CTATAACTTTAACGAGACTAGTTTTACGATAGCTATAATCGCGACTATAAAGGTTATAGCGAGAAAGGAATTCTACGGTCGGCGATTACTTTTATAGCCTAGAAATCGCGCGTCGGTGACTATAATTAAGTATTGTAGTGGGGAAATCACGACACTTGTATGATTACTGCCTCAGGCAGTGATATCCTCGAGGACGGGTTATGGGCAACCTACGACTGTAGAGAAGGATAGACAGTTACAACAATGCCACTCATTTCCTGATTCAAGATTTATGATCATTATGCTCCTTGATATAGCATCTGATTATCCCTGACAGGCATCATCTGTCTAGAGCTCACAGACCTGACTTGTTGTTGGGTTTTCTTGCCACCATTTGTCGACCCGTCTGTTTTGACCAGACTGCCATCGCGCATCTCCCATTTCAGTATATAAGTTTAACGGGGTAGGCGCTTCCTCTATACGTGATTTTTAAAGGTAAGGTCTTTATTAAATCTTAGTTCGATAACCATCTAAATAATTAGAGACTCGATGTTAGTCCTAACGGATAGACCTCTAATTAAATTAGCCTTCGCTAGCTTAAAAAGTTCTTTATTCTATCAATATTAAACAAAACAAGATTCAACAAAAGAATAAGATCATGAAGAAACACATGAAGAAAACTTAACACAAGAAAAAAGAGATGTAACAGAAGTTACAAACATAAGTACAATATGACACAAGAACTTGAACACAAGTTCGAACAGAAAAACAATACATGCAAACACTATACTCAAGAATTCCATGAAGACTCTAAAACAAGCAAACATACAAAAAGGAACAAGACAACAGAAAATATGGAACATCTAAGAATTCCAAAGAAGAATAGAGAACTATAGAAAAACATGGAAGAGTTATGAACACAGAAAAATGCATGACAACCGCATCCGGAAATCCGAGGAAACCTCAAAATACAACAATAAGAATATAACCCTAGGATTCCTACGAATGCAGCAAATAAGCTGAAAGCATCAAAAAGGAAGAATAGAGAAATTTAACTTAAATTGAGCAGGATTACCTAGCAAAAAAAAAAAAAAACATCAATAAAATGATCTATTTCTCTGATTCATCTACCTTCGGTCTTAATCTCTCACAGATTCTTAATCTCACTTTGTTTTTATCATTTCTTTAAATGATCCCTACCCAAATAACCTAAAATATTCCGTCTACTACTTCTCGTACGAAGGGGAAGTATAGACTCTTAATACTTAACGGCCACGGGAGTTATTTAACACTACAATTTAACAAAATTTACGAAGAGAATAATATTATCGTAATTTATATACCTCCGTATTCTTCTTATCTTTTATAGCCTCTCGATATTAGCTATTTTACGGTGTTAAAAGCCGCGTACGGTCGGTTTATCGAATTAAAAATATAGGCAAAAATTGTTCAAAAGGTACGATGCAAGTAGGAATGATGACCGGTACGACCGTACAATATAGATAATCTAACGATAGATTACCGAGGTGTTTATATACCAGAAAACTCTGCCTTCAGCTAGTCCTAATTAGATTTCCCAGGTGATGAATCACTACGGTTGCCGTCATGGCTCATTCATGGCATAAACCATGGCCGGCCACCATAAATCTCAACAAAAATCAATTATATTAATAAGCTAGACTTCCTCGAAGCCTATAAATCTACGCGAATTAAGATATTTCAATCGGAGACTATTAAAAATAGCTTCTCCGCCGCTAGTTTAATCCCTCTTAACCCTTCTCGGGTGATCTCGAAGGTTAATATTCTCACGCGTACGCTAACACCCCCTTTAAGCCGAGGTAGCGAGTGGGAGCCAAAAACGCCCTCGAATTATATCTAATTACAAAAATAGGCTTCCTCGATAAAAGCATTGTTAAAAGAGCGATCAAAAAGCCCTCTTAGTCCGCTAAATTCGGCGATAAATTAGGTTTTAAAAGCCTATCAAATCACCATACAATCAGTAGCTATTCTTAAGAAAGAAGTAAGCGATTTACGCGCTAAGAACGAGAAGAAGAAGCGAAAGAAGGCTAGATCTATAACGTAGATCTACTCTCAAGAAGGCCTTACAGTTTTAGAGGTATTATCCTTAATAAAACAACTAGTACAGGCTAGTTTAGGGCAAATATCTGATAAGGGAAATCAGGCTATATCACCTTCCCAGCCGTATACAAGGGCACCCCCTAGGTGTTCTGATTGTAGGGAACTAGGTCATCGAAGAAATGCCTGTCATAATAAACCTTTGTTTTAGTTAAATTAATTTAATGGCGTTTTAGTTGAGATAAATCCACTTAAAATGATCAAGTTAGGTGGGGTGCGCAGCTCGGTTGTGTGCGCAGCTCGGTAGTGAATCACGTTATGGCTCATTCGTGGCATAAACCATGGCCGGCCGCGATAATTCTCAACAGCTATCGGCAAAATATTGATTTGGTAGTGAACCGCATATTAAAATGCTTGGCTCCTAATCCTTCTCAAAAAAGATAGTTGATACCCGACTAACGTTATGTATGATTCAAAGTTTGTTGTCATTAAGTACGCTATCACCCTGTACAGCAAATTACTCGGTAATAAACACGCTCATGATATGGCTGCTTAAATCCCGGTACATATAGCGAGATACATACAGGACACGCTTATTGATACTTGCAGAGGAACAAGAAAAAACACGTTCGTTGCTTAGTGCTCGGAAACGAAGATACCGGCCATACCCATGCCCTTGTTGAATAGTTAGTAACGGTTCAATGGTGTGTTCAAGAATTACCGAAGAATAACTCACAGTTCCAACACACATGGAGGTCACGGCAATGCGCTTGTCCTGGCGACGCAGCTCAGAAAGAGCCGTAACGACCTGACGGGCACCGGTAGCTCCGAGGGGGTGACCGAAGGCAATAGCACCGCCACGGGGGTTGACCTTGGATTCATCCAAACCGAGCTTGCTGACACAGTAGACACCCTGTCGGAAACGAGATTAGCAAGGGATCGCAGTAACAGAAGTCGAAGATACACATACCATGGAAGCAAAAGCCTCATTGATCTCAAAGATATCAACATCATCCTTGCTGAGGTTGAACTTGCCGAGAATCTTAGGAATAGCAAGCGACGGTCCAATACCCATAATGCGGGGCTCAAGACCAGAAACAGTAGCACCACAGAACTTAGCAACGATAGGCTGACCAATTTCAATGGCACGCGACCGCTTCATGAGAACCAAGGCAGCAGCACCGTCGGTAATCTGAGAGGCATTACCACCGGTGGTAGCACTAGGAGCCCACTGGGGGAACGCAGCGCGCACCTTACCCAGTGACTCGGGGGTGGTACCATAGCGAATTCCATCATCGCGGTCAACAACAATATCCTTAACCTCACCAGTCTTAGGGTCCTTGATCTGTGTCTTGACAGGAACGATCTCATCGTTCAACCAACCAGACTTCTGGGCATGCTCGGCCTTCTGGAAAGACTTTGCAGCGAAAGCATCATGCTGTGCGCGGTTAATGTTGAACTGGTTGGCGACGTTCTCGGATGTCTGGCCCATGGGCTGGGAGTTCTGGCTGGCAATTGGGTGGGCAGCGATGGCTGCGGACATTTCTGGGGCACCGCCGTCTTGGTTTTTGCTCATGCTTTCGGCGCCAACAGCTACACCGACGTCGATTGAGCCGGCAATGATTTGGTTGGCGATGTTCTGGACGGCAAGCAGGCCGGAGGAGCAGAATCGGTTGGCAATTGAGGCCGCTGCTGTTACGGGGAAGCCGGCTGCTAGGACTGCTGAGCGGGCAACATAGGCGGAGCCTGGGCAGAGGACATTGCCGACGCAGACATCCTCGACTAATCTGGGGTCGAGCTTGGAGTTCTCGCGGACGCTCTGGAGATTTTATTAGAGTTCGGGTCTTTTTATAGTTGGGCTTTAGTTTGCTGGTTGGAGTATAACGTACGGTGAGAAGGGAGACGAGGAGGTCGTCAACGGTTGTGTCCTTCAAACCACCCTTGCGAGCCTTTGTGAGAGGTGTACGGGCAAGGTAGGTGATGACCTATAGTTGAACTGGTTAATTTGCGAATTTCATTTGCATTTTATGGTAGCATACAATATCATCGGGGTTCTTGGCCAGAAGCTTCTGGCGGGCAGAACCAGGAGCAGCCAGCTGGTTAGCGACAGAGTTCAAACGCTGTTGTGGTGAAGACATTTTGTATGGGTATCAAAAGGGGATGTGAAAAGAAGAAATAAACCGATCGCGCGACGATCATCATTTTAACCCGAGCTCCAAATGAACCGCGGCTAGATCGTGACCGAGCCGAAAGGTGGGACAGGAACAACTTTCGCTCCGAAGGCCGAACGAACTGCCGGATTAACTCGGTCCGACCGGTGTACCATACCGTATTACTGAGTTCCTCGGTCGGTTTTTATGAGCGTTGATTGGTCTGTTGACCACATCTCCTGCGTTTGAAGGGCCCATAATCCCCTGCCGATCGCATCATACCGAATAAAATACAGTAGTGAGAGAGAGAGTACACTTTAGTGACACGTGGTGCACTTCAATCATATCGATGAGGAGAGGCAAGGTATTTTAATAGTGAATATATCATTGGTGTTGGGAAAATGCACTTACCCCAGAAATCAAGAAATGCAAAAAAACCAAAAACCGGGGAAGCTGTTGGGGAAGCCGAGATTCGAATACGAGAAATTTCCGTATCTGCGCAGCTGCACATGCTGTGCAGCCCGCTGTCAGGTAAATCTCCGTATGGCGCAGGCTTAGCGTCGTCACAGACGGCAGATCGAGTCAGACGGGCTTCCGTTTATCATTCCCGAATCTCTGCCCGAATGACTGTATATCTGTTCCCCCAGCTTCTCTAGCGTTTCCAGATCCCCCGTTTTCTGCATATTACCTTTGCGACACTCTCTTTTCACTTGACCTTGACTTTGTGCTTTTTTTTTTGAATCAAGCCTGGAAAGACAGCTTTCAGTTTGAAAATTAGGATTGCTCACTACCGCCATGGACGTCCTCTCCGAAATCGGCGCACCTACGCTGGCCATGGCATCGGCGCTGGGTATAGCCGCTGGTGCGTACCTCAACGCGAGATTCTCACTTTCAACCGATCTGTCCCAAATGTCGGGTGACAAGGCATTTGGAAAGCGCGTCGGCGAGCGCATCGCCAAGCTCGATGGCGCAACAACCATCTACAAGATGTTGGAGCGGGTGGTAGATGTTGAACACAAAGGCGCTTCAGATGCGCTCTGGTTTGAACACCAGACTTGGTCTTATAGTCAATTGAAAGACTGTGGGTACCTCATGCTTGTCAATGAGAGCTTCATGTCGCTAATATAAGATTTGCAGTGGTTGACAGAATGGCCGCTCTGTTGAAGACCCGTAATATCAATTCCGGGGACACAGTCGGTGTTTTTACGACCAATTCACCAGAAATGGTAATCATACTCTACGCGCTCTCCAAGCTAGGCGCAGTATCAGCAATGATCAACACTAACCTGCGAGGTAAGCTTTCTCCCGATGATTTAATCTACGACCAAACTGGATCACTGCGCTAACCCAGACCCGAACTAGACGACACATTCACGCACTGTCTGAACGTTTCAGGCTCCAAGCAAATCATTTCAACAGCAGACATCTCTCAATACGTCAAAGTTGACATCCCCCATCTCACGATAAACCTCACTTCCTTCCCAGACACGAAAACAAGCCCAGTAGAGCTCGTAACGCTCTCAACCCTACAATTGCATTCGCCAACAGGTCTCCCCGCAGCAAAGCGCAGCCCCAAGGATTTAGCAGTCCTCATTTACACCTCAGGAACAACAGGTAAACCCAAAGCCTGCGCAATCCGCAACATGCTTACCCTGATAACTTCGACACCCCTGTCAAGAGATGCAAACGACCCAGCCAAATACTACCCATTACGCATCTACTCCTCTCTACCTCTCTTCCACGGCACAGCCTTCTTCACGGGCGTCTGTGGCGCAGTCGGAAACGCAGGAACTCTCTGTCTGAGACGGAAGTTCTCTGCTAGTCAGTTCTGGAAGGATGTGCATGATTCGCGCGCTACGCGGATCTTGTACATCGGTGAATTGTGCCGTTATCTACTTGCTACCCCGCCCTCGCCGTATGATGCGGACCATAACTGCATCGTTGCGACTGGTAACGGGCTGCGTGGTGAGATCTGGGAGAAGTTCAAGGAACGATTCAATGTTCCTGAGATCCGGGAGTTTTACCGGTCTACCGAGGGTGTAGCCAAATTTGATAATCATGGGCCTGGTGTGTGGGGTGCTGGAAAGGTTGGTTTCTCTGGGCCTATCAGGCGGTTCTGGGAGGATGATACTTTCATTGTGAAGTATGATACGGATAAAGAGTGTCCGTATCGTGATCCTTCTACTGGCTTCTGTGTCCGTTCGGGTCTGAACCAAGAGGGTGAGGCTATTGGACGGGTCAGGGATCGCGACTTGTTGATTGAGTATCTGGGCAATGAGGCTGCTACCGAGCAGAAGCTTCTCCGTGATGTGTTTGTCAAAGGAGATTTGTTCCAGAGGACTGGCGATTTGGTCGTGCAGGACTCAGATGGCTGGGTGAGGTTCCAGGATCGGGTTGGAGATACTTTCCGGTGGAAGGGTGAGAATGTTAGTGCTGGTGAGATTCGTGATCATATTTGTCGGATTGAAGGAGTTCATGATGCTGTTGTTTATGGTGTAAAACTGGCTGAGTATGTTATCCCCGTGGTTCCTTTTCCTGCTGAGCTTTTTGCTGATCTCTTTTCTATTCAGGTATGATGGCCAGGCCGGTGCTGCTGGTATCACGCTCGAATCGCCGAATGTTGAAGTTGAATTAATGTCCAACTTATATGCCGAGCTGAAGAAGAAGGGTGTTCCTTCCTATGCTCTTCCCAGACTTGTTCGCTTGACCGAGAAGTGAGTTTTTTGTCTATATGTTGAAATATTTCCCTGCTCATCATTTCTTTTTCTGCAGGGTTGCCACTGGAGTGACGTTCAAGCAAGCCAAGGGCGACTTGACCAAGAAAGGCTGGGACCCCCGCAAAGACTGGGGTGGGGATATCCTCTACTGGCTGGACGGAGACAAGTACAAGAAACTGGAGACAGAGAGTTGGTCCGAGATCGAAAGCGGCAAGGCCAAGCTGTGATCGTTGTAACGTTACAACGTTGAAGCCCTACATTGTACATAATCGGCCTGGCGATTCAGGCCACCACACCCTAACTCACTAGAGCCGGAATAGTTAAGCGGTGCACGCCACGAAATTAGATAAAGTGCAACCAATCAAATCCATAGGTTGACAAGCATTCAAGCTACAACTAATCCCGAGCAGTCCTAGCGCGATGTACAAAATCCAGTTTACCCTCGCGATCGGCACACTGATTCCAATGCGACTGGTTCCCCTCTCGGTATGAGGGTTCTGGCACCCGGGGCCTCTGCGGTCTCTGCACGGCTGGGCTTATTTAAAGTGCGCCATCCCGGCTGACTTTTTTTTTTTTTTTTCTTCTCTTTTTCCACTTCTGTTGTATAGTGTGCTCTGCAACATCTCACAGTCATGGACCAGGATCAGCATAAAGACCCTGGCATCGCCACTGCGGAGGTGGACCGAACAGGCCACCCCGACAAGATCGATCACCCAATAGCGCCAGACCAATTCGACGAGCGATATCGCACAACCCGTACAGAGATCTGGGCTTATTACGCGTGCGTTGATCGTTGAATTGACCCTGTGCGCAGACTTAACATAAACTGTAGCTATTACATTGGAAACAACGGGTTATCACTATTCAGTGCGTCCATTATATTCTCTCCAATCGATTGCAAAAGGCAATGTGCTCGAGATCAAACCCCCAAATCTAACGTCTAGCCAGACTTTGCCCCAACAGCCTTTCAAAACCTGCTATACCAAGCCGCCCCACCATCTGGCCTACTGGAATTCGCCGGCCGCAACCGCTCCATAAACAGCATCGTCCTCCTTTCAAACGGAATCTCCTTCGCCATCCAAGTAGTAGTCTTCTTAGTAATAGGCTCCTTCGCCGACTTCGGCTACTGGCGCCCGAACATCCTAATCGCCTTGTCAATAATCGCTTACGCAATCGGCTTCGGCTGGTTAGGCGTGCACACGTCGGATAAATGGCACATCGCGGTCGGACTATACATGGTCGGATTGATCGCCTACCAAACTACTCTTACATTCTGGACAGCGGCGTTCCCTAGTCTTGCGCGGAATACGCTCGAGCTCAAGGAGAAGGCGGATGCGTACTCTGCTGGTACTATCTCACGCGAGGAATACGATTATGCTGATACTATGATGCGCAGTAAACTTGCCAATGTGGCGTTTTATGTGCAGTCTGTTGCGGAGATTTTCATCCTCGCTATTATTGTGGGGATCATGTTCGGGTTGAAAGTCAATGATAGCGAGGCTAATAATAACTGGGGCTTGAGTGTCCTTATTGCATTCGTTTCGGGAGTTTGGATGCTCGTTTCCATTCCTTGGTTTGTGTTGGAGAAACGGAGGCCTGGCCAGGATCCAGGCGAGAAATCAATTCTTGTTGCTGGATTGTGGCAGTTGGTGCATGCTATGAAGCAGATTTGGCACTTGAAGCAGAGTTTGTTGTATCTCATTGGTAAGTTTGGTTCGCTCTTGGGAGTGTGGCTTTTGATATTGGATTTGTGGCTAACTTTTCGTTCGATTGTAGGTTACTTCCTGCTTGGGGATTCGCTGAATACGACTGTCACTGTTATCTCCACCTTGCAGAATAGCATTGTGGCTTACAACACCTTGGAATTGACATACCTTCTGATTGTTGGTATTGCTGCACAGGTAAGTCTCAATCTCATTCACATGACAGTCTCAATCTCACAAAATCTTTAGGCCGTTGGAATTTATGTATTCTGGTGGATTCAGCAGCGATTCAAGCTCGGCACAAAAACAATGTTCAACACCATCGCAGTCGGAATCATCTTACTAGACGGCTGGGGCATGATTGGCATCTGGACAGACAAATTCGGTTTCCACAACGCATGGGAAGTTTGGGTATGTCCATTCCCAGCCTGAGCTGATAACACAGAACAAAATACTAACCTTCTTTCTATTTTCAGGTCTACCAAGCATTTTACGGCCTATTCATTTGCCCATGGTACAGCTACTCGCAAATCATGATCTCAGAAGTAACGCCCCGCGGCCACGAGTTCCTATTCTTCAGTTTATTCAGTATCATCGGCAAGACATCCTCGTTCATCGGACCCATTGTTTCAAGCGCTATCATTGATGCCAGTCCGACCGGTAATGCCTCGACGCCATTCTACTTTCTGTTTGCGTTGAGCTTGGTGAGCTTTTTGATTCTGTTTTGGGGTGTTGATTTGAAGAAAAGTCAGATTGAACAGGAGGAGTTTTTGTTGGATAAGTTAAGGAGGTTGAACGGGAGCCAGTCTTCTGCTGAGGCCTCGAATTCTGTTTGATCGACGATTATGTGTCAATTGAGATTAAACCTTACGACGTTGGGATTCGATTTCTATATATCTCATTCATTTTCCTAGCAAATAATATAAACTGCTGCGTATGTTTTGTTAGTTGCTAAAAAGCCACTTTCCCCCCAAACAACTTGATGCCACTATTGAGTTGGCCACTTTAGCACATTTTTGAGTATTATATTTATTTCCAATTTTACCTCTAACATGCGATCAAATAAATAGGTTGGCCTTTAAGCAATGGACTATTTTTTACTCATCACCAAGGCCTTACAGTGTTGCGCTGATCAATGGTAGGGTAAAATTCGGCCTGCGAGAATTGTCTCGGCGCCGAAACAGCAAATATGGGACGGGTTCGGTCCCGATCACTCAGTATATAAATCAGACTGCGACGAACGTTTTCCAATGATTAACCATCATCCGACTATTCCTTGGACGCTAAATTCAATCTCTAATTGACATGTCATCCTCTCATGTACCTCCTGTTATCGTTGTGGGCGCCAGTCTCGTAGGCTTGTCCGCAGCACTATGCTTGGCCTCATACCAAGTACCAACCATCGTGCTTGAAAAGCATTCCGGAGTTTCCTCACACCCTCGCGCAATTGGATTTACAGCTCGGACAATGGAAATCTACCGCTCTCTTGGTATTGAAAATACGGATCCCGCGCCAGAGGATTTTGAGCTGAAACGTCTCCGTGTCGAAAGCTTGACGGGCAAGTGGTTTGAGCGGAGCTCGTGGTCTGATGCTGAAAAGAGGCATGACCATAAAGATATGCCAGAAAAGCAGCCCCAAAGTCCCCGTCCTCCAAAGAAAGAATACTCCGCTTCTCGGGGATCAGCGATCCCCCAGGACAAACTTGAACCTCTCCTTGAATCACTCGCATTGGAACGAGGGGCAGAGATTCGACGCCAACAGACCGTTCTCAAGGTTGACCAAGATGAGAATGGAGTTACAGTAACAGTCCAGGACTCACAGGGCAAAACCCACCAAATTCAAGGCTCGTACCTCATCGCAGCAGACGGAAACCGCAGCACAATCCGCGAACAACTCCAAATTTCGCGCCAAGGCCGCGGCTTCATGCAAAACCTCCGCAGCGTACTTTTTCATGCTCCACTCGAGCAATTTACGAAAGGTATTGTTCAGTTCGAAATCGAGCAGCCAACCCTGAAAGCCCTCCTGGTCTCCTACAATGATGGACGCTGGGCATTGATGTTCCGGGACGACATCGAGCGCGATGGTACAGCTCTCCTTGCTGCAATCTACCAAGCTGTCGGCGATTCCTCTGTCCCGGTTGACATTATCACGACGGGCAAATGGGAACTCACGGCTCTGGTCGCTGAAACCTTTCAATCCGGACGTGTTTTCTTAGCTGGTGATGCAGCGCACACCCTGCCTCCAAACCGCGGTGGATACGGTGCAAACACTGGTATCCACGATGTGCATAACCTTGCTTGGAAGCTTGCCGCTGTGTTAAATGGACGGTCTTCTCCGAAGCTTTTGGATACATATGATGCTGAGCGGAGGCCTGTTGCTCTTCTCCGTCATGATCAGATCTTTGTTCGTGCGGACTATAAAGTTCATCTGGATACCAAGACTGCTACTGGAGAAAAGATTGACGATGATGCTATGGAGTTTGGCCAGATATACTCGTCAGAGGGGTTTATTGGTGTTGATACAGGTATTCCTCGTGCGAGAAAGCCGGATGAGTGGGCTGGTCAGCCTGGAACGCATTTGCCTCATTTCTTGATCAAGAGTAATGAAGAAAGAGTTCCTATTCTGCATGTTGTTCCACGGAAATCTTGGACACTTATTTCCGCTTCTGCCGAGTGGGAGACTGTCTTATCCAGCGTAAACGGGATGTCTCGGAATACGATTCGGTCTGTTCGTGTGGATGACCAGTTGGAGGAATTTCAACAGACCTTTTCAATATCCGAGACTGGTGCTGCTCTTATTCGCCCGGATGGATATATCACTTGGAAAGTGGAGGAGATTCCTGTCAATCCGATTGACGTTATTATGGCGACGCTGTGTCAAGTTGCCTTTGAGGGGAATTCGTAGTGTGCAACTTGGCGATGATATATTTTATTGAAAATCTTCTCACATACGACTCAAATGTGGGCTGAAATTCTTGTACGCCGTGATATGTACTATATTAGCTGGTTCTAGTCCGACATCTTGTATAGTGTATTCTATGTGGTAGATTATTTAGGATCATGGAGAGTTTTATATGTAATTATATGGTTCTATATCATTGGTACAGCAACTTTTTTGGAGGTCCGAGATGAAATAAGATATTATTAGTATTGTGATTATTATCGTTCAAGTTAGCTGTCACTGGGCCATTCCAAATTAAATCTGCTTCGCAATTCTGATCCTCATTCAATAAAATCCTTCCCTATGGATCTGGGTCAATGAGAACCCAGCAGCCTGCAGGCCATCAGTTACTGAGTCCCCGAAGCTATTCGGTCCGCAAATGAAAGCCTCTTTATCCCGAGAGAATTGTTTCCATATATCCGGACTGACACGGCCTGGGTGCGTGGTAATTACCCTAGACGACAGGTTCGAATTTGAAAGATTAAGCTTGGAGGCATGGGAAAAAAGATCAATTTTGACCTTGACTGTCGCCGATATCCTCTCAAGGGCTGATTTCATCAAGTTGAACATAAGTTCAGGCTCTCTCGTTGATAACACAAGTGAAACTTCACCATTTATATTTGGCCCGCGCTCAGCCAGTGCGCTGAGCATAGCAAGGAATGGTGTTATGCCAATTCCGCCAGCGATGAGTAGCATATTCACTTTGCCGTGGCCCATGAAAAAGTCTCCAGTGACACCAACAATGTCCGCAGAAATAGGCTGATCGAACACAACATGCTGGCCTTGGCTCTTTGGATTTCTTTTTTCAGCAGGGCAAACAAGGCGCCTGTCACAGCGCCTCCTTCAACTCTGCGCATGGTTAATTCAAAGAAAGTAACCTTCTTCTGTTCATGAGCACTCGAAACCGTCCAAGTGCGAACGCGATCGTCATTTATCGACCCAGGGGCTGAATTGGCCATGTGCTGATACTGAGGTGGCCCTATCCAATCCATAAAGTCAAGCACTATCGCTTGTCCGGGCCGAATTTTCAAATCACTGGCGCCGACCTCCGAGACAACCTTGAACTTGAACACAGCAAGATCGTGGGAAATATGCGTTGCCTCTTGAAGCACCGCTTTTTGTTGATGAGCACTACCCATATTTGATCCCGCTTCTTCAACAAGGTATTTGATCTTGGGGCTGTAAGGACTGCGCTCCACGGGGGTACCACTCTGTTGACGAACAGGGAGAGCATTCCTGACAAAAGTGAACCCCGTAATCTTCACTGATGTGAGACTGGCGTGTCGGGCCATAATTTTGAGAGCAGGTGGTCCGACAATGTTCTCAGCCAAGCCCGTCAGATAAAGAATATCGCCTGTTGTGAAGGACACGATAGTCAAACCAGCAACTCCACTGGCTTCAATATTTCCCAGGCTGGAGACAAATCGATTTCCTGAGTAGTCTGGGATGATCACTGTGCGGCCATCAGACGGGCTGACCCGGATGAACCCCGGCAAGCCACTCCGAGCATTCATGCCAGCATGAGGAGGGTAAATCTCGTATGTCGACTTTGTTGAGGCGAACATGGTTCCCATGAAGACCGTGTCTGTTTCAAGGATGAATTGAATTACTTCTTCTGGTAGGCGTTCCTGTGGCTCAAGATGTTGACGTCGGTGGACAACGTCTGGTCGCGTTTGAGGATATGGAATCAGCTTCCGTATGTTGATGTACTTAGGACAGTTTCTAGCACTGTATTAGCAAACTTTCCATGAATGATCGGTGGATTCAGTGTGCTTTACTCACCCTATAGCCTCGATGATTTGAAAGTCAATCTGATATTCCAAGTTGGTCCGGCGTCTCACCTCTCGTATCGCCCCGGCAAACTTATTACGCCTTCGCGTTGAGAACTCGATTCCCAACCCGGCAGTCAAAAATCTCTCGGGGGCAGTCGTTCCTTTCTTCTCGAGCCATGTCTTGACTGTCTGTAAAAGCGGATCACCCTCCCATATTCGGGCGTTCATGCGAAGAGTACGTGGGTTTGGGCTATCCACAAAGCCAATATCACCAGTTCGTCCGGCAACAATAGATGCCCAGGGACGGCCATCTTCATCCAGAGTGGCGATCGGGATGAAGGGCAGATGAGATGTGTGGAAGAGACGATGCTGGTCAGGCAAGAAGCTCGTAATAAGCGACCAGTGATCAGAAACGGCACTAGCGAATCCGAGCCTGTGCTGGATTGATAGCTCGCCAGGATGCCAGCCGGTCAGTGCTGCTGTAGCCATTGGTAGTGTTGTGTAGAGGATCCACGACAGTGTTAAGATTGGCGATTGTCAGAAGGAAAGTCATGATATGTATCTCACTTGGTCCCACCGAATTGCTCGGCATGTTTGATATCATCTCGTATTCATGCGCTTTCATTTACTTGGGTGCAGACGCCGGATGACAAATGCCGCTTCGGCGTCTGAACACTCCTTGCAGCGGTGAATGCTCACCAAAGTAACCCTAATCTTGAACGTTTTTTACATCTACGATATTCCAGGACCTTGTAGAAAATTTATTACCATCGCAGAAAAACCCAATTTGGATATTCTAATTATTTTTTAGGACAGGATGCTACTTTCGGCGAAGTATACGGGACTCTCTGCAGGTGATGGGCGAGGATGTCATTATGCGGTAAGCAATCGAGCAGACCCCGGGGTCAATCCCCAGAATTGCCGTATGCGTGTGAGATATAAAGCGATGTCAGATCCTAAATTTTTGATGGTCATGCTCAGATCTCTCAACCGCATATTCACTCATCAATCATTCGGAACCGACAGTCATGGCTACAAACACCCCCGCGGTCTACCACTATCTGGATATCGGTAGATTAGGCCGAGGAGAAGTTGTCAAGTGAGTGTCACATCGCCATACTTTTGCGCAAAACTGACCTTATCAAGGCTTTTCATGAAAGACGCTGGCTTCAAAGTGAAAGAGGTCCGTTATGCATACGACGAGACCTGGCCAAAAGTTAGCAAGATGCTCCAAGAGCAAGGTATTACAAGAACAGGCAAAGTGCCCGCACTTGAATACCAAGGCTTGATTCTGACGCAGGTATGCTACATTGATATTCTTTTGACTGCGCTCGATCGGATTCTAATTCAGATTGCAGCATCTTCCAATCTTGCGGTATCTCGCTAGAGAGCTTGGCTCTTATGACGGAGAGACCAACCAGGAGAAATACGCTGTCGATGTTGTTGCTGATATCTACAGTGACTGGAGAGTAAGCACATTCCTGGCACAGGGCTTGAATTGCATATATTAACAAGTCTAAAGTCCAAGTGGGTTGCGAATCTGTCGAATAAGACAGATCAATATAAAGATGAGGTTGCACCAACGTACTATAGTCTCATGGGACTGTACTACAGTGATGAGAACGGTCCTTATCTGTTAGGGGATAAGATCACCTATGTTGATTTTGCGGTTTATCAGTCTATTGATAATGATGAAAGGACTGAAACTCTTCCGGTATGTTCTCTCATTCAATGATGATATAGAATTGGACTGATGATTTTCTAGTCTTCTCTCCCACAGCCGCTTCTCAAGTTGCGAGAGGCTATTGAGAAGCGAGCTAATATTGCTGATTATATCAAGGAGACACGCAAAGATTAGGATTGCTGATAGGGACAGTTATTGTCTGGAATTACCATTATGTTTTGAAATGAACGGAATGCCTTGCTTTCCTACATGTGCTGTTCGACTGCTTCGATCTGACGGTTGTCTATGTTTCAAATTGCATCCCCAACAGTGAAATTCGCGGGATGTAGTCATGTAATTAAGAACCCAGCCCCTATTTATTTATGCAGGCCGACTTTGAAGCTTCTGTATCCATTTCATTTTTGGTTCGATGTTGGAAAAATGTGTTGGTGAAATTATATATTCTAGTTAAGTAGAACACTCAGCTCAACTCGCTGCTTATAGTTTTCTATAGCAAAGCTCGATGCCGAAACTTCCTTCAAGTTTATACATAAATGAAATGCAGAAGAGATTTGACAAATATGACAGGACTTAACTCATAAAACTAAAAAAGCTTCACATAGAGGTCTGCCTGGAAGCTAATATCTTATTTTGCATTGTCATTGGATCAGCATTTCCGATATATGTATTTTGTCCATTTTCGAGTCTCACAAGGCACAATAATGACAGCCGAGATAAAGAGACCCGTGGCATATGAATATATTACATGACATATTCCAATTATATGTTGTTTAGTCTGAGCACCGGAAACACTATGTGACTGTGCTGCTACAAGGTTACGTATCGCCTGGTCTCATCTCGAGTCCAGCCTAATTCGCGTTCTTAGTTCCAATTGAGATACCCGTCGTCAAGCTCGCTAGGCCTTGAGTTCATACTACGAATAATCTGGGACTCGCACGAGTCACATCAATGTAGCACTCTGTGAAACCGCGGTCCTTTGCAGCGTTACTGTGGCTCAATATCAGGGGAATATCGCAACGTGGAGGAATCCTGTGCGAGTCTGTCAGCTTCTAGCGTCTCAATTCTGATAGCCTTGAAAAGACACGATACACTCTACATTGAGTGTAGCTGGTCAAAGACTGAGATTTGGAGGTTCGTTTGTTTGTGTGACCATCTAAGCAGGAGGGTTGCTGACGGCAACTTCCTATTAAGGTCACGTCCATCGTTGCTTCTTTTTGCTTCTCTTTCTTCCTCTTCTTCCTCTCTTCTTCATCTCCCACTTCCCTTCCCTTCTTCGAGACTTCCAGTAAGATTGAAGCATCCACAACATGTGCTTAACTGACTGGTCTACAGCTCATTTCAACGACTGACGACTTCAACAACGTATTCATCATGTCCAATAACTTGGGCACTGTTAACCTGAGCCTCGTCGAGGCTCCGGTCACCTGGCGCGCTTACCTGATCTGTGGCTTTGCCAGCTTCGGAGGTAAAACATATCCCTAACCCCCCTTCCCCAACAGACCACAACTCACACTTTAGCAGGAATTCTTTATGGATATGACTCCGGCTACATCAGTGGTGTTCTTGGCATGAACTATGTCAAGGAGCACTTCGGTCATCCTGTTCCTAAGAGTGATGATGCCCCTACTGGTATTCAGATTTCTACTTCACGCAAGTCTCTTATCACTTCTATCTTGTCCGCTGGTACCTTCTTCGGTGCAATCTTCGGTGGTGCCGTCGCAGAGATAATTGGTCGCCGTATGGCAATCATGCTTTCCTGTCTGATCTTCTCTATTGGTGTTGCTGTTCAGGTTGGCACCACGTCTGTTGGAGGTTTGGTCGCCGGCCGTTTGGTTGCTGGTCTCGGAGTTGGTGGTGTCTCCTCGGTTGTCATCTTGTATGTCTCTGAAATCAGTCCCCGTCGCGTCCGTGGTGTGCTTGTTTCCATGTACCAGTGGGCTATTACTATTGGTTTGCTTGTGGCCTCTGGTATCGATCAGGCCTGCAAGAACCGAACAAACTCAACTGCCTATCGCCTCCCAATTGCTATTCAGTTCATCTGGGCTTTCATACTTGCCGCAGGTCTTTTCGTTTTGCCCGAGTCACCCCGCTATTATGTTCGCTGTGGACGGACTGAGGACGCATTGCGTTCACTTTCCCGGGTTCGTGGTCAGTCTCCCACTCATCCCGCCATCCAGGCCGAACTCGCTGAAATCAAGGCGAACTTTGAATATGAGAAACGAATTGCCAGCACCTCCTGGACCGATTGCTTCAAGGGTGGTATGTCGGCTAACGGCAATCTTCGTCGCATTCTTACCGGCACTGCCTTGCAAATGTTTCAACAGTGGACTGGAATTAACTTCATTTGTGTGTCACTCTCTAAGCCTTTGTCTGAATACATTTTAACCTTCGTGCTCATATAGTCTACTACGGAACCACCTTCTTCCAGCAGGTTGGCCTGCAGAACCCGTTCCTGATTTCGACCATTACAAACGTTGTCAATGTCGTTACAACCCCCGCCTCCTTCTACATGATTGAGAAGTTCGGACGTCGTAGCCTACTGATCTGGGGTGCCGTTTCTATGTGCCTTTGCGAGTTCATCATTGCAATCGTTGGTGCTGCCTCTCCTGATGGACAAGCACGTAAGGCTGAAATTTTGACATCTGGTGTGATGAGAATATTAACATGAATCTAGAAACACCTGTCTGATTGTATTTGTCTGCTTGTACATTGCCGCATTTGCCACTACTTGGGGCCCTGCAGCCTGGGTCGTCATCGGCGAAATCTATCCTCTTCCCATCCGAGCCAAGGGTGTCGCCCTCGCTACAGCTTCGAACTGGCTGTGGAACTGTGTCATTGCCGTCATCACCCCATACTTGGTAGACAAGGAATACGGCAACCTGAAGTCAAATGTCTTCTTTGTCTGGGGCAGCGCTCTTTTCCTCTGTCTTATGTTTGCCTATCTCGTCATTCCTGAGACCAAAGGCCTCACTCTCGAGCAAGTGGACAAGATGCTGGAGGAGTGTACGCCTCGTAACAGTCCCAATTGGACCCCTCACGATACTTTTGCTCATGAGATGGCCGTTGCAGAGTTTTATCATGCCCGCTTGCGTGAGAATAAGCCCGTCGCTTTCCACTCTAACCAGACAATTCATGCGGGTACTATGGAGGACGTGACGATTGTCTGAACCACCTCTAAGTTAAATTGCTCTACACAGATTCGATACAACACTGATATCTGTATCAAGTTGTCATATTGGGTCTCTGTTGAAGCACAGAAATCGAAATTCGATTGGGGATTCACAGAAAATTACAAATTTACAAAAACAGGTTGTGCTCAATGAGAATCCCAATATGGTTTCAAATGAGGATGGATGGCTGTGCATCCAGTTTCATCTTACCGATTATGTGCTCAGCCCTTTAGCTTAACGAAATGAAGAGCTCCAATCTATGAAAAGAGTACAAGTAGACATAAAGACTTTGGTATTGAACAATAATTTTTTGGGATACACATATACACGCCAGCTTGGAGCATACATGGGTTGCAACGTTGCAACGAAAGGACCAGGAAGGAGACAAGCCATTCAAACGCCAGACCCATGCTCTGCCATAAGCGCCAAATCCGATACAAGACACCACATTCAAAGAGCAGTTCATTCCGCATCGGAAGATGCGTCCTTGGACTTGCTCTTCTTCTTTTCTTCTTCTCCTTGCGCTCGGCCGCATCGTCGACATCGACATCCGCATCGGCCTCGCGCTTCCGCTTCTCCTTCTTCTCCTTCTTCCTCTTCTTCTCCTCCAAATCCACCGGCGCAACCTCCTCGGGCGCAATGAAATCCTTCTCGCGCTCCCGCATCTTCTCCTCCCGCTTGACCCGCTGCCTCTCGACAACCTCCTCCTTCTGAGCCCGCTCCTTCGCCTCCTTGGACAGGAAGTACTCGCCAGACTCGATCTGCAAGTCGACCTTGCTCTTCTCCGGCGCAGGCGGGAACGGCGTGTAAACCTTCTTGGTCTTGTCGGTAACCTGGAAGGGAACGTGACGCTTGGACAGCGTGCGCTTCTTGAAGTTGGGCAAGAATCGGTCCCAGGACTCTTCCGCCAGCGTCGGGTCCTTGGCCAACTCACGCTTAATCATCAACTCCTTGATGTGGTAGATCGGGTGGATATTCGCCATGCAGTCGTCGATGATCCGTCGCACCTCCTTCAACCCCTTGTAGGGTCCCATGACCGCAACAGTGTTTCCCTGTACGAGGATGTATGTGCTGGTAAGGAGTTCCAGTGCTTTAAGGGTTGAGCCGTTGGGACCGAGGATACGCTGGCGACGCTTGACGAAGCGCTCTTTGTTGCGGACCTGGTTGCGGATCTTGATCACGTCGCAGGCTGTGCCGTCTTCGAGGATCTTCATCGCTTGTGTGACGGGCACGCTACGCGCGAGCAGCTTGATCAGATCACGGGCTTTCATGATTGCCGCTGGGTCGTAGGTCTTTCGTGTCGTCTTCACTGTCATGCTGCCCTCAACCAAATCCAGTGTGCAGGCAATTCCCTGCTTCTCCAGGGCACGGGTGATGACCGGCCATGCTTCCTTCAGGTATTGTTCGCGGTATTTGGGGAAGAGGGTCATGAAGGATGACTCCTCGGCGAAGCTTCCTGCGGCATTGTGTTCGGGTTTGAATTCTTCAATCTGATCGGGTTTGGTTAGTTTTTCCAGCGTAAATGAGAATGGAGAAGTGAATAGCTTACTTTCCACTTGTCAATATCATCTGTGTCCCATGACTTCTCCTTGTTGTGTGTGGAAGGCATCTTGGCTGATGTTGCGCAAAAGAAAGAAAGCGACTGTTCCGGAGCTCAAATGAAAATCCGCGCCAACTTTTTTTCTCCCCGCTTTCCCCGATCGGGCAGTATTTATGCCTGGATAATCGGGTGTCTACTATCTTACTTATAATTGAGTTATCGACTCTAGAGGATGGCATCGTCAGTGCCACTGCTGCTCTACGAATGTTGTATTCTGCGCTATCAAGAAGAACTCCAGATCTACCATGTTCATGGCGAAACTGGGATATTGGGTTCTCCTCATCCGCTGCAGCATGACCTGATAGTCAACGAAGTATGAGCAGATTGGATAAGTTATGTTTTGAGTTCCACACTCCATACAGTAGAGAGCCAGTAAGGCTGAAATATAAGGACAACGTCTCCAAGGATCCACCGGCCTAGCGTGAAGTGCTTCATATTTGATCTGGCCAATTCTATGCATTCCCCTTTCCCCTAATAAAAGCACAGCCGATAGATAGGATCGGGTACCGCAGGTCTGTGCCCAACAGACTGCTTGAACGCCGAGAGTCGGCACCGTCATAATTTATTGGTTTCGGAGGCGACATGAACCCAATGTGTTTTGTATTTATGCTCTCCTTGGGTCTCTCTTTCTGGGATGTCTTTTTGATCGCTTGTTTGTCAATTCTCGAGTGTCGAGTTCGAATGCCTCGGACTGATCATCTGAATCATCCCAAGGTGGAGGGTGAGAAAGCAGTGCCAATTGAGGCTGTTTGTAGTCTTTTCTTGTCTCTCGGGGCTTTTGTAAACCAACACGATTGACTCTGGACAAGGTCTCTGGAGACCTGATCTTGACTCAAGGACATTCCACTCCAAACTTTAAACGTTTTCCCGGCGGGTTGACCTCGCCGAACGAAGGACAGGGGGCAAACAACTTGCTAGTTCTGTCGGGGTTGAATCTGCAGCTCTCGTATAGAAACCAGGTGGTCGGTAATCGAGCCGTCACGGCGGCTGTGGGCAGCTTTGATTGGGTGTCTGCCAGAAGTAACGGTGCGCTCACTGGCCAGATGGTTCTTGCTGCCCAAGGGAGGTCAGTGGGATAGGAGGCATCTGGCTGGCTTGGGGCGAAGTGGGATTGGGAGAGGGAAGTCTGACAAATTGCAAGGCTTTCAGGGAGAGCAAAGGCAGAAGTTTGACGGTATCACGTTGGCCGGAAGATCTTTGGAGGCTGAGCGTCCTGGTAGTTGCAGGTGTCTTCCCGTCTGGTTTCCCCTTCCACTTCGCTCTTCTCTTTTCCTCTTTTCCTCGTTTCCTCTCGTTTCAGCTCTTGGTCAACCTTGCTGCTTGTCGAGCTCTGAACGATCGAAGATTTTCGTGGCCACTGAAAGCTTATCTCGAAGAAACTCCGCCCATGGGCCCCCCCCGTTGAGGCTCTCAGGCACCAGGTACGAGGGAAATTGGGCACTCACCGATCTCCATCGTCTGAGTCTGTCTACTGTGCACTCTCTTCACGTCTCAACAAGCAGTCAGCACCTTACACTAGGGCCATGCGAGTCATTGCTTAGCGCAATCCCCAGGTCCTCCCCGATCCCCCGATCTGCCAGATCCCCCGATCCGCACCCGGACCACCAGGTCCTCCGATGATCCCGCGAACAATCACAGGCAGGCAAGAGATTACAGCCCAAGGCTGGGCGCGTATGGGCATTTTCGATCCCGCGAAATCAACGATACCAACGAGAAGTGGGCTACGGGCGTTCTCACACGCCAATCGCCGAGTCCCACATGCTTCTCTGTGCGACCATGTTCTCCTCCAACCACACCCGGATTCCCTGTCTGTCTGGCAGACTCAACTTCGACAGTAATGGAGTCGTGTCAGGGATGCAAAATTTCGACATGCTAAAGATGGCACTGGTATCAAGATGAGTCTTTCACTAACCATTTCTCGCTATGCTGATTTATATGCAACGGGAATGCAAAGTGAAACGATCAAGAATGTACATGTGCATGTTATGTGAGATTTGAGACGAGTCGGAGGCGTGGAGTGTATCAGGAGAATCGAAAACGCCTTGATCTCATCGTGAAGATATTCTCGATGTGGGACTCATGTCGGATTCGACAAGTGCAAGTTCGCCAAAAGGGACTTCTATGGCTTTCGTCCAATGCAAACGTATCTGCTTTGTCAGACAGCAATGCTTAGAATGCGAAGAGCGAGACATACAAGGGAAAGTATGGTTTCAACGTGAGGTCACCCGCCTCCCGTTGTGCCTGTGTGATAAGGGATTCGAAGCTCTGTGGCGACATATGCAGACGTTGTGTCAATGGGTAGAGGGCGAGTGATCGAAGCAGTTGTTTGATGTTCTCGTGGTTGGATCGGCCGATGTTTTGCGTTCTTGCATCTACTCTCAGTCAGTCTTGATCTGTTTCCCAAAGGGAACACAAACAAACCATTCCCCCATGGACACAAAGGAAGAGGGATCATCTTTATGTCTACCTCTTCAAACCCTGCCTCTGTCATGAGCGTTCTCAATTTCGAACCTATCCGAAGGTCCTTCCTATCCTCCAGAGCACGCATATAGTGTGTGCTCCACCGTCTCAGGGCGTGGTCGTCAGTGAGGGAGCCATTGTCGGACTGCACATTGAAGTATATTTCGACTATTTGAACCCATCCTCCTGGCTTCAATACTCTTGAGGAAACCTGATATTAGTTTTGGGAGTTCGACTGGATCATTTCAGGTTCTCAGATCAACAGCAAAGTCAATCTGTCAAGAGGTTTCGCACCTGACTATGTCACGCAAATAGGATGGCCATCGGGCTCGGTGGATACCGGTCGCAAGTAGTCTCGAGTGGACAAGGTCGAAATGTTGACTGGGAAAGGTGAAGCGGCGATTCAAATCATCAACCTGTGGGATGACATATTAGCAGCTTTCGTGGGAAGGTGTTGTGTCGTTGATTACGACTTGTCAAACGAATCCTTGAGATACATCCAGAGGTCTGCGACAGTACCACTGCTTCTCTCTTGATGCAGGGTATGCTGTCACCAAGGTAAAAGATGAAACAAACCTACCTGAAGCCACAAGTTGTCAGGGACATCGTCTGGATTCATGTGCGGGGCAATGTCCACGCCGGTGACCTACAAGGCACCGAGTGTCAGATAATTTCGAGGACGCTGAATGGAATATCTCACTTCGCAACTGGGATTTTGCTCAGCGACCTCGACAGCCCAGGATGCGGATCCATGCCCACAGTCTAACACTCTTCGAAGTCGACGTATTGGTGGAAATATGAGGCGATTGTCGAAAATCTTTTGGAAGACTTGCTGCTCGTCCTCGAGCCGTTCTGCTTCTTCCTGTGTTGCTGATCAGCAGTGCAACAATGATGAGACACCCACATTCCTACCTCATCAACTGGCCCGAAATATGTGCGGTTATCGATCGAATATTTCTGATACTCTCGACCGTGGAATGTGACAGTATCGAGAAACTCACGATCCAGTTCTATCGTCTGAGAGTCCGGATTCCTGTATAAATGTCAATTTCGTCAGGTTGCAGGCAGTAACAGGGAGATCGAGCGTACGCCATTGTCACCCTGGATCAAGTGGAGTGGTAAACAAAAAGGAAATTTCAGCTGGTTTATACAGATTTGACTGGCCAGGGCGGGGTTGAATCTTCCGGGTCCAAAAGTGCATCAGATCACGATGTTTGGAAAAGGTACGAAAATCGATGTGATTTTCATGGAAGCGATCGGGTACCGCTTGGACACGACGGCGGCAACGGCACCCTTGGGATGGCGGCTCGCGCGAGGATCATTCACTTCTGGCGCCTGTTGGTGAAGGTTCTGTGGAGGGGGTTTCAATGATACAATGAGCCCGAATGAAGAAATGAAGAGAGCCAAATGGGGCCTCCCTGTTCAATTGCCTCGTGAAAGATCACAAAACCAAATTGCGAAGACACGGGGCGCTCAACGGTCGACTAATTAGCAGTTATGGGGCCAGCGAAAGTGGTGCCAAATACGATTACTGCTGACTCCCTTGTCCCCTTCGGATCGCTGATGTGGTCCAGGGCAGCTCCAAGATCTCATCCGCACAAAGGAACTACTGCGCGTGACAGCTCCCAGGTCTTCTACTCCAAGGCAAATGGGATATTCGACCAGGACGGAAGAAGCAAAGAGCGGGTCGGTTGAGTAGCCGAATAATGGTTCACAAATAGTGCTGGCAGGATTGGCATACTAACATGTAGGTATCAGGATAGACTTAACTCGGTTCCGCCGCTTAAAGCCAAGCTAATGAACTTTGAGCCGAGACGGCAGTGCCGTCAACTAATGCACAGTTCGCCGTCACGCATAGTACCTACTTTGCATGAAGGGTCCAAGAGCGCCCGTTGCTGTGGGTTGAGTGCAACTGCCCACGCTGCACCTGTGACGTCCATACCAACCTGTCAAGTATCGTTTCTATCCGAAATTCGCAGGAATCACTCGGTTAATAGGGGTTCTAGTGCCTGTATCCAGGACTTGGCCCTATGGTTGCTTCTGGTGATTTGTGTTCAACATTTGGCAACAAGGTGCTTACACCATGGGTGTCACAAGCATTTCGATCAAGAATGGAAGAAATTAACGATGCATTCCCTGCCTGAATCACCAAAACACTTGACTATGAGGCTGGAACGGTTGTTCAAAAACAGTGCAACATGGCCATACGGACAAAAAGTCTTCAGAAATCGGACATCATGATAGACCAGATCGAAAAAAAAGGGCTTCGGTATTCAAGTCTTGACCAACCCTTGCTGCACACCCTGCATTACATGTACATTACAGATTCCAGAGCTCTGGAAACGGATCTTCGCCGGTTCCCGCTGTCAGTTCCAATCAGGATGAAAAAGAAACGAAGCTGCTCACAATTGGACCGGAGCCTAATTGGGCCGGAGCCTCGGTGACCGGTTTTCAAATCATTTATTCACGCCCCAAACCGAACCCGTACCCTCGGGCCAAGGTTTTTGCAATACTGTGGGTGCAAAGTGGCTTGCTCAGCCCGGTCTCACAAATAGCACCAACAACCCAACTCTAGTGGGGATTGACTTGGTGAGGATCAGCATCATCCTCGTTGGACATCCGTTCCCTCGGGATTTTATGTGGATAGACAATAGGGTTGAATGTGTTCCATGCCCCTCCTCGCTCTCGCTCACTCACACCGCTTGTCTTTTTCATGTTTCGCGTTCCATTCCAATGCTGTTGGCCGAATTGATGATGCTATGCGGATTTTCTACAGGGATTTTCGTCTCCGGATTGCCCCAGGGAACATGACACAAGTACCCCCGCGCGATAGCCCGGTGTTTCTGTTCTCCCCACCTTTTCTGACACGAGAGTTCGTCTAGTTGCCTTGCTTACGGGGTTTGTGTCAGGTACGAGTCAGCGCAGGGGCTTGGACGACATTCTGACGGAGAAGATATCCACGCCAAAGGTATTCAATTCCGTGTGAATGTGGGTATCGTTTCTGGCTGGAGTACAGTAAAGTATGTACAGTACAGCGCTGTTGCAGTCCCCACTCCCGTGTTTGAATCCACTGAGGAAAACCCCTTGAAAAAATTCTAAACCACATGACTCCTGGTTTAGCGTTTTGGAATCTGGGTCAATTCTCCGAAAATCTGTTTCACGGCTCAAACTCACGGGAATATGAACCCGCAAGGGCTTTCTGCAGATACTGAATTGTGGTTACAGGGATGTTTTTCATACACCACGTCAATAAAGGACCGTCACTATTCCATCCCTCAATTGCCACCACTCCGATCCGCGTGTGATGCTTACGACCCAGCCAGCCGGGACCATTTTTGGAGAAGTGGATTCCAATTTAAATTTCAACCCAGTATCATAGTCCAGAGCTCCGAGTTCTGAGTTATGGGTTGGCGTATAGGCATGCTGTACGTAGGGGCTGGATACTCACCGGAGTGCAAGCCATCCAGACTGTCGGGTCAACCAGGGGGCTCCCAGTTCCCGTCCGGGGGCTGCCGTTGGCTCTGAAACCCAGCGCCATGGTTCGATCTCGGGAAGCCTGGCCTTACTTCCACTTTGGATGTTTGTGATAGAAGTCAGGTGTGATATGGTCAAGGGTACTGTGTACAGTATTGTCTTTTCGGCTCCTTTCTCTCCTCTTTGCCTATTCTGATCTCGGATCGGGGCCCCAGCGCGATCGAGACTGAGCGGGGGTGTGTCCAGAGTCTCGGGACGGCATCACGTAGTGGGCTTACCACTCCTCCCGGTGGTTTCGGGGTCTCCGTCGTCTCCCGTCTCTCTAGTATTTGTCATTTCTCATCATGACCAATGTTTTCAAGAGCACGTCTCCTTCTTCGGACTGGAATCAGGAGATCGTAGCCCCCGGACCTGTCCACTCAGCCCCCGATTTCGGCAAGCGAAGGCTACTCTATAAGCGACGGTGCGCGACTGTACGGAGTAGGCCGCATGATTATCCGTCCCAAAAACATATGCATGTGAGTGAAATAGTACAAGTCAGAGAGCCGTCTAAATTACCCTAATCACTCTCCTCTTATTTGCCTCCGAATTAATTGCCTGCAATCCTGCATGCAATGCCGCTATGGAGTGAGGGACACTGGAGGGGCACTTAGTGCCACTAAAAAAAAAAAAAAAAACAATAACAAAAGAAGAGAAAAAATAGGAGCCCGAAATTAGCGTACCAGTCCCTCGGGCCAAGCCCCTCCAGTCCACTGCTTCGTACTGTTCTCCGTCATCACAATTACAATAGCCAGTGTTGGGGGCCGATCATCGAGTGCGAAACCGTTGGGATATATATTCTTCGCTTTTTTTTTATCGTTCTTAGAGTCTCTTATAACGTTTTACCATGTGTGTCGCCATTACTTGCATGTCATAGTGCATATATCAGTAAACGATTGTTGCTTTTATCCGGGGTTTGGAGACCCGCAGTCGATATTAAAGGGGGGACACGTCACATTCACTGGGTGCCATACATGTACAGTATTTGGGGTGTAGTTGGGAGTGGAAGATTTGCCTTGTTCGCCTTGCTAAGGTGGAGTATAATCCAAGCCTGCTAAGCTTGCTAAGCACATGGTAGATCTGCAATAGTCCGGATATTGAATTTGAGTCTCTACACACGAGAGCAGTTAAAGTGTACTCGACAGGTTCGAATGACTCGGTTTTATCATGTAGCACATAAGTTGAGTTATTCATGTCGATCCTAAAGCGCTTCTGGTGTTTGACTGTGAACGTGACGATCTATGGAGAACGCAGTTTCAACTCACCGAGACATTTCCTGCCTCGGCCGGTACGTCATACGTCATGAATTGATCCAAAATCCTACAGTTCAACTCAACACGACAATTGGGCTAGATCGTAACGAAAGAGTGGGGTATAGAGAAAAGCCAGAACGCAAGTAAACTTCACCACATGAAGTCAGAGCCCGAGAGTATCGAAAACATTCACCTCCGTGCCACCTCCCACCTACCGAACATCCTCCCTCCCAGTCATGAACTTTACTGCCGCCGCGATAATCTGCATGACAGTCTCGATCTCTGCCTCTGTCCGGGGCGCATAGATCAGAAGATACTCGGCTGGGATATCAGGCCGTGTACCAAGGGAGAGGTAAGTCATGGCCGATGAGCCCGAGAAAGCGTGTCGCTGGCCCCAACCTGCTTCAATTACTTTGATACCTGGATATGAGTGAGTTTATGGCCAAGCAAAGGAAGTAGCACATATGAAGTCGGACGAAGAAGGAACAGAAAAAGCAAGATACATACAATCAGCCGGAGCAAGGACAACATGTGCAGAATGGTCATTTCCCGAATGAAGATGAGCAATCTCACCATCCAGAATTGCAGATGAAGGAATATGATCAGCAAGGAAGAGGGCCGGGGCATGTTTCTCAAGCCTCGAACGTGACATCTTCACGAGGTGATGATTGCGCAGACCGAAAGCATTGAAAACAGCAACGAATTTCTGTTAAACAGCAGCAATTAACATCCAGCTCACCCAAAAACCAACCCCAAATCCAGCCTTTCTTGGCCTATCAACCCGGCCCGGACACGCACGCATACATACCTCCATAATAAGCTCATCCGGCAACTGTGTCAGCTGCCTCTGCGGCACAACATGAGGCCCAACAACCGGCCTCCCCTGCTCCGTCCTACAACCAAGCTGGTCCTCCGACAAGATCAAAAAGCCCTCATCACCCTTCCCGTGACCCTCCACCGCCGCAATCCGCCGCACATACTCGTCCGTACTGAGCATCTCGCGCCCGAACGGCTGGAAGAATATGCGCACGAGAATCCATCCCAGGGCGTTATTTGGGACACCGCCTGGACCGTAGGATTTGAAGATCTTGTAGTCGTGGTAGGCTTTGGGGACTAGGAGTGTTGTGGTTAGGAGGGCAAGGGCGCTTAGGCCGATGTTTAGACGGGATGGGGTGGAGATGGTGAGAGCTGAGGTTAGTTTTTGGAGGGTTGGGAGAGGCATTATTGTAATGTTAGCTGGGGTTTAGGATGGTCAGAGTAAGACATGGGAAAGGATGAGTTGGAATGAGGTTGGGAAGTGAAGTTCGGCTTAAGTGGGAGTTCCCCGGTCTGACGCGATCCCGTGGAATTCGCGTGCTCCGGTTCTTTCTCACTTGCTGCGCGCTTGGTCTATTTACCAGTGCATCCGACTAAAGCCGGGAAATGGACTTGTGGCTTCTGGCTGTACATGTACTTCATCATACGATAGACTTGGTGGGAATACTAATTCCGTTTCGTTTGGCTACTCATACTATCGTAATGTCTAGCGTGTTTTGGGACTCTGTATAAAGTACAGAGTGCATGACCCTCTAATGGGGCCTTGATCGGGCGCAGGTGCTGCCTCTTTGGGCCCCAGGCTTAGACTCGGAGTGGTCGTTTGCCGAACCCCGTAGGGTTTGCGATGACTGGAAGTATGGAGATCCGATTTACCGGCTTGTCGCGTGATGCTCAAAGCGAGGTGATTTCGGGCATTGAACTGTGTGTCGAGAAAGAGTAGCATGAAAATAGTGGTGGTCAAATTGTAGAGAGGTCAACAATTCAAACTGAACACTCTCAATCCTCTTTGCTCTCTTCCCGGCTGATGGAGGTCAATGAATGTGCAAGTTTCAGAAGCACCACACTCTCGGTGGCGGCGTAGTAATTCAGACTAAATCATTGTTAGATAACTCAGTATCCTCATTGATGTCGTAAATTGGCACTCACCTATCCATCAAGATCCGAAGATGGCGCGTGAAGTGATCCTCGTAGCGCTTCAGTGTATCCTCGAGCTTTGCAATTCGCGTCGGATCATAACCTCTAGCATCAGCGCCGGCTATTTTACCTGCGGCCAGATCTGGGTCTGCCGAAGCCAAAGTGCGGGAGAGCGAGGCTGCTGTCCAGGATGCAAACATCGTGCAGCAAGTTACCAGTTTAGAATGGATCTGCGATATCAAGTATTAGTATGAATTCCAAATTCCACCAAAATCGAAAACCACAACATACCTTCAACAGCTTAGCCTGAGTAAGCATGCACTCCTTCAGGCATGTATCGAGGAAATCCACGTGGTCCTGCATCAATTCATCAACCGTCCGGTTGACCTGCTTCATATCACCTTGCGTCACCTCCGAGGCCTCCTTGTGGACCTTCTCAACACGCTCCATCAAACCAACCCAGTTGGGTTCGATGACCTCTGCCGTGCAGAAATACAAAAGCTGCTGAACAAACACCAGCATTTTCGCACGCAAGTTCCATGCCCGCCGTTTCCAAATCTCCAGTCGTCGATCGGAAGATTTATGCCGCCAGCTAGTGACCTTGTTCTGATCTGACCAGGACGTGACCAGCAACGTCTCGAGATGGCGTAATGATAAAAGATGGCGGAAAATGAGTTGGTACCGCAGAACAGTCTTGCGACTGATGACGAGCGAGAGAGGGAATGGAACTGAATAATCCAGCTCTAGAGCATCGAACCCGAGAATGTCTTTGTCTTCGTCGGCTGAATGAGCTACTTGTTGCTTCTCAAATGACGCTTCGGGGTTGTCTTGGTTGATGCCCGATACATTGACAACCTGCATCAACCACTTTGTTAAACCGATCTTGTTCATTCGCACTTTGACGTCTTCCTTGAACTGATCCTGTGCCGCGATACTGCCCGGCTGCCGAAGCACGATATCCAGAAGTGACTGGAGCTTGCCCTCGTTGACGACCCGCGCCGGCTTTCGCAGCTCCGAGGAGCCAAGCTCGAGGAAATAGGAGAAGAAATCTGAACGGTCGAGGAAGAAGTAGTGTTTCAGGGAGCGGAATCGAATAGTAAGTGAGTTTTTGGTGACGAGCAAATTCAACAATGATGCGTTGGCGTATGTATAAGCGGCGTTGACGTTGTCCAAGAATCGTGGATCGTCCAGCGTCTTGGGTACATCTTTGACCTCTTTGCTGATATCGACACCACCACATTCTCGAACCACATTGAGATACTTTCCAGCCAACAAGACCTTTTCGCGGACGCTCGTCAGCTGTGGAGGAACCTCGTTATCTCGTATCGTATACCGCTTCTCCCAGTACTCATCGGTGTAGTCTTCTTCCAGCTTCTCTCGCTTGATCCATTTTTGTTCTTTGACGAGGAACTCTGCGTGGGGATCTTTTATACCTCCGTGGTGCAGCCATTCATTCAGCATGGTCATATATGGCCGACTGGCGTCGCGCAGTAAAGTCTGAAGTAAGGTCTTCGTTGTCGGATCCCCCGAGAACGTGGCCAGACGTTCTGTTAGCAGCCGCAGGATGTTTCCTCCTTTGCACATCTTCTTGCGTGCCATGGCTCCCGGCACCAGGTCTCCGCCTTCTTTCAGCTGTTCAAGAATATTATCAACATCATCGAAGTCATCAATGGATTCATCGAGATCCTGGTCTAATAACCCATTTCGACGCAGCAATTCCTGACCCATAGAGTAAAGCTGTGCCAAGCACTGAGCGGTGGGCATCGTGTGAAGGTGTAGTTGGTGCAAGGTGAAGGTAGAGTTGTTTAACAGCTGGCTCTCGAGCTGTGCGATAAGAATCAAGTAGTCCTTGAGAAGCTTCCGGATGGACGCACACAATGAGTGACTAACAGCACCACACTCTGCTCGGCTTTGGATTTCCACGAATGCCTCCATAGCACTGTAATGTGTCGCCATCTTTAACATGGACTGTGTGAGATCACGGAGGGTAGGGTCGCTGCCCGAGGCCATTTGGAAGACAGGACCCGTGAGGCGGTCCTTTTCGACAGAAGGATCATACGAGCTGGCGTAATGAATGTATTGACCCTCAAATCCCATAAACACAAACAACAAGTCCTCCAGGATTGCAGCTTCCTGCTCATCGGGGGAGAGCTCTCGGAGTGGTCGAGGGTGAAGCGACTGCGGAGCTGTCGAAGCGAGAGGAGGAACAGATACACGACATGCTAGCGGAGCTGTAGAGCAGGGAATCAAGGAAGCTTGCGGATCCCATGGCGCTATGAACGAAGAGAGAGATTAGTATAGCTATCACAACCTCGCCGACAAGATGCGACGCAAGGCCACTTACCAGCCGAGTCATTCTGAGGAATCGAACTTGCGCCATCTGCCTGGACAGGCTTTTTAGACCGAGTCTTATCCCAATCACCCCGGTTTGCCGCGCTGAGAGATTCTTTGACAGGGTTCCTTCGCACTGCCTTTTCCCTTGTTGTGATCACGGCTCGCTCAGTGCGCTTCTCGGGCATAATCTTCTGATCACGCGACATTCTATGTTTTTGACTTGAAGTACTCGCGCGCGAAGGGTCCATGTTCTCGGTTTGAAGCGGCGACGCTCCGCGGGCTTCGGCATCGACGCGATTGGAGACAACGCGGGGTCGTGAGGCGTTCATATAGGCGCGGTCATTGACAGACATAATCCCGCGGGGGCGACGAGTATGTCATGTAGAATACGAAACCAAGTGCGAATAACGTGAATGGCCTGGCGCAAAGGGTACTGCAAGGGAAGAGTGATATCCAAACAACTCCACTCGGATTTGGGCTGATGTGTTTGCCTTGGTGCCTGAGGCGGCACTAGGCGCTCACCTCTTACGTCGCGAGCTTCCTTCCCGAGCTTCAGACATCCTCTGCTCCCTTTCCCATCCTCTCCATCGCTCTTCGTTGCTTCTTCTATTAGTCCCTTCAGCCCTTTCAGATCCTCCATCATGTTTATTGCTCGATCAGAATATGGTAAGCTTCCTGAATGTCCCCTCACCGCGGATTCAACTAACAGCTGTGAACAGACCGTGGAATCAAGTACGTTCGCCCGTTCAATGCGTGCCTCTTCCCGATGAATCTGAAGTCTGACAATGATTCCCTCCAGCACCTTCTCCCCCGAAGGTCGTTTGTTCCAGGTCGAATACTCTCTCGAAGCTATCAAGCTAGGCTCCACAGCGATCGGAGTATGTCATACTATACCTTCCCTATGCAGTGCGCCGGTCGATTGAGCAAGTACAAGGCACCTGCTGGGAAAGCTCATATCGTTATCAAAACGTCGAACGGAAGATGTTGCGACCCCGGGACCATTCTTGCTGACATTCACCCAGGTAGCAACATCCGAGGGTGTGATCCTCGGTGTCGAGAAGCGCGTCACATCTACCCTCCTCGAAGCGTCATCCGTTGAGAAAATTGTCGAAATCGATCAGCACATCGGCTGTGCCATGTCCGGTCTCCAGGCCGATGCCCGCAACCTTGTTGAACATGCCCGCGTTGAGTGCCAGAACCACGCTTTCCACTATGCCGAGCCTTTGCGGGTCGAAAGCACCACTCAGGCAATTTGCGATTTGGCTCTGCGTTTCGGCGAGAGCGGTGATGATGAAGAGAGTGTTATGAGTAGACCTTTCGGTGTTGCACTGTTAATTGCTGGATACGACGAGGATGGGCCACAGCTGTAAGGAACCCGTGTTGTTAGCCAATGTCAACGGCTTGCTAACCTCTGTTCTGTACCAGATACCACGCCGAGCCATCTGGCACATTCTACCGTTATGACGCCAAGGCTATTGGCTCGGGAAGCGAAGGCGCGCAGGCCGAACTCCAGAATGAATACCACCGATCTTTGACCCTAGCAGAGGCTGAGACGTTGGTTCTCAAGACATTGAAGCAGGTTATGGAGGAGAAGCTTGACTCTAAGAACGTCCAGCTTGCTAGCGTGACCAAGGAGAAGGGCTTCCGTATTTACGGCGATGAGGAGATGGGCAATGCTGTCGCACAGCTTGGTGGGAACCAATAGACGAGCAAATTTGGATGATATGTCCTGCAGTTTTTTTAAGGCTCAATGTGGAGGCTAGTACCTGTTCAGAGCAATAGAAAATCAATGATGCCGCCCAACGTTTATATTTTTATAAAGATCTCCAATAATCTTGTTGAGTGTCGATGGAAAGGTAGAGAGTTCTTCATGTTGAAAGAGACCTGAACAAGCTTTTGTGAAAGGGCAGTAAATTGGCGAGGTGGATGAGTCCTGTTATATAGATTCGTGGAAACTACAGTACCTCCAGAGCCGCTAGATGGGACTTCTGTGAGAAAGAGCCAGACCATGGCCCCATTCTTGACCAGAGCACATGAGCGACACCCAGAAGCTCAGCTTCTCCTAAGTAGTAGGATTCACGAAGAACCCTCCCGACATCCTGGCCAGCTACGTTCCGCTTCTTGCTCAACATATGCCAGCTTCATCGTACACAACCACTCGTTACATGTGTCAGTACTCGGTCAGACGGTGTATCTAGCCAGCAACTCTTGCACTATGCCGTCTTCCTCATCAGCTGCACTCAAATCCTCTTCGTGGGTACTCTTATTCTCTTCAAATTCCGATCCAGTTTCATACACTCTTTGTTCGACTCCACCACTATGCTCTTCTTGTTCCGAGTCGGTAAGCTCTTCTTCGTAGAACTGACAAACATCGATAGTCTGGCTCGTGGAATCGCTCCGGCGAGTCCGGCAAGATGCCCTCCGGCGAGTCTCTATATCCATATGCTCTTCTTCGAAGCGCTGACAAACATCGATAACCTCGCTCCGCCTCCCGCGGCGAATCCCTATATTCCTCCGCTCCCAAGAAAATTCCGAATCGGATTCCTGAGTAGAACTGACAGGGGAAAGTTCAGGCGCCAGTCTCGTGAAAACAATCATCTTTCTGGCCTTGATCTGCTCAATGCCCTCATAAACTGGTGTATAGTCGCCTAGCTGGATCCATTCCAGGACTTCGTCCTTGGACCACGTGGGGTAGTCGTTATCAAGGACTTCAACACGATCGTCATCATAGTCATGAGAGTCATCATAAGGAAGGGAGCTGGACATCCTCAATGCTGTATGTTCCTCGGGTCTAAGAGCGAGCAGTTGAGCTAGCATTGTTGACTGGGAAGAATCCTTCCATTCCTTGATTTGCGGTTCAGCCTTCGATGGGTGCAGTAGATGGATGCGAGAAGAATAGGTTATCTGGACGTGGCAGTTCCGAACAGAAGCTCCAGGAACGAGCGAGTAGACCTTGAAGTAACAAGGTGATTTCCGCGTGCTGGAGGTTGCGCATTCGGTTATCTCTTGGGTCCAGGGGGGCGGCGAAGAAACCTGTCTTATGAACAAGCTGATCCTTCTGGCTTTGATCTGCTCGATTCCCTCGCAGACCGGTTGATAATCGCCCAACTGGAGCCATTCGAGAGTTTCTTGCTCACTTGTATCCGCGGCGCCGTATTCAGGAGTGTTCACTGCATTTAGCGCAGCATGCTCCTCGGCTTTGAGAATGAGCAGTTGGGCCAGCATTGTAGACTTGGAAGTATCCTTCCATTCTCGAATTTGGGGTTCAACTCTCGAGGATTGAAGTGTATAGGCATGAGAAGAGTAGCTTATCTTGACGTGGGAATCCTGAACAGAGGCCTCCGGAATGAGGCAGTAGACTTTGATATAGCTCGGCGATGATCTAGTGGTTAAGGGTAAATATTTACTTGCACCTGCTCGAGGATTTTCTGACAGAAATAAAATACCTTAGAGCCCCTATATTTCCTGAATTCTTATTCCGTCGAGCAGTACTTTCATCTGTATCGGACTCGGAAGTGCTGATAGCCAAATATTAGTTCTGAATGTGCCCAGGTGGCCAAAGGTAGACAGATGATAAGTTATACCTGGTTCCTCTAGTTGTTTGATTTGCCGCATCAGGCCCGGAAGAATTGTTCTCGTTCACACCAGGATTGTTCGAGGGCCCCCCCCACAAGAGCAGCAGTCTTCTGTGCCGCAACAATGGACCGAATCAAGATCTCTTGATCTTCCTTGGAATAGGCGACCAGGGAGGATCTCTGCGGAGGTTTATTTTCTGCCCTTCATCTCAAGACTTCAGCACGATATCATCCTACATGGGTACAGTGAGTAAACAAAGAGAGGATCTACATACCCCTCCATAATCTTCCTCGAATAAGCCAACATAGCAACTTGCAACATCAACATGAGCGTCCCTTTCGCATCACGTAGCTGTTCACGCATTGCATCCACGTCGGGTTTGAGGAATGGCCATTTCAGCATCTCCACCCGGTTCAACTTCACTTGATTCAACCGACCCGGTCGCGTCGCAAGTTGCTTACTTGCTTTCTCAAGATAATCATTTAGAGTGTCGAAGATAACGCGGCCATTTTCGGCGAGCTGGAGGACCGTTGATAGACCCGTTGCGCTGAAGATGCAGGAGGGCGTGGGACCATTCTCGCTACCCGTGGAAGTCGGGTCTAATTTGTTGTCGTTGATATCCGTTGTGGAATCGTTTGAAAGAGTTGGTTTATCGACTATACTCTCTTTAATCAATTCACCTAGCTGCTGCAATATGCTCGCATTCAGCGAAACATCTTCCGCAATGCTGGTGATTTGCTCTGACGCTGTCTTAACTTGGCCTGCGAAGGTGACCAGTTTCACAGAGCATTGGATTCCCGCTGTTGCGATGGAGAGAATGGCCGAGGCAGCCCCGATACCCTCCATGATATTGAACAATACAAATGTGTTCCCGGAAGTATACACGTGCTACCGAAGCACGAGTGTTGTCTAAAAGACGCGGCTGTATCAACGATATCCAAGACTTTGATGGTTGAGAGGAGATAATATACAGAAATGGGACTAGAAATACGGGGGAAAGGTCAATGGGCACAGCCCAAACTAGTGCAGGGTCAGGGCGCATATGAGTTTAGCTTCTGCTTCGTGGTTAGTGGCCCTCATTCTCAACATTATATACATAGATCTATCAAGACATAAGTTACTCCAATAATGTGCTATATTCGAAGTAAATAACATATTAAGAATGAAACCAAAACAGTAATGACCAGAGTGATGCTAAATGTTGGGGCTCCGGCTAAGGGATGCTTGTTTCAATGTTAGTGGAGCGGCTATCGCCTTTTCCCGAGCAGAAGAAGATAGGAGCCGTTGGTAGATCTTATCTACACATGTAGTGGTTGGAATGATGATCATGTATGGTAATTTTGAGCTATGTACAAGGAAATAGAGATAAGACTAGCGGATTTTGTAGACACAGGGCTTCAACACCTGAGCCTCCTGCTCAGCAGTCAAACCAGACTCAGACTCGGGCTTGCGGTCAACAAAACGTTTCTTGCCAGGAGCGGCAGGTGCACTCAAAGCAGAGGCATGTTTGCCCTTAGCAGGCGCACCACCCTGCTTAACAAACACCATGCGCACAAACATTTTATTGGACTTGTCGACAGACTCCTGACGAAGCATGAACCCACGGGAGCGGAAGACGTCCACAAAGGCAGAGATATCAGTCTCATCCTTGTTATCAGAGGGACGAGCATCCTCAGCAAAGATCTCGGCTTCCTCCGCATCGGAATCAGCATCATCCTTGCCACCCTTCTTCTTGGGCTTCTTCTTGTCAGCCTTGCTGCCGGGTCTCTGAGCCCCGATCTGCGACTTCTTGCGTGCCACCTTGCCGAATCGACTCTTCACTTCACTGACCCAGCACTCGCCCTTGCCGTCACCACGCAGAACACGCCATGCCTCTTCGACAAATGAGACCCAGTTGGTACCCATCAGACTAAGACAGAAGATAGTCACATCCACGGAGCCATCCTCCAGAGGGAGGTTGGAGATATCTGCCTTGGTAATCAGCGCATCGGGGGCTTGCAGGTCATAGCTGTTAAGCTTGATGTTCAATTTCTTGGCGGAGGGAGTCAAGGCACGCGACAGAGCCGCATCACCGCAGCCCAGATCAGCGATTGTGCATGATCCGTTCGGGCGACGGGGAAGCGGGTATCCCCGTTCCGGATTAAGTGGCTTGCCTCGTTTGGGCAGGGGGATGGCACCACGGTGGCGGATGGTCTTGATGTAGCCGTCGACCGGGTTGGAGGGCCAGGATTCCTTGACCTGTCTTGCGAATCCGGCGTGGTACTCGTCGAAGAGCTCTGGGTTGGCATTGAACATGTCAAGTGCTTTCTCCGACGGTGTGGTGTATAGTGTTTCGTTCAGGTGGCGGAATCGGGAGGAGATCAGCTTCTGGCGCATCGCCTGCTGGAGAGGAGTCAGGTTTGAGGGTGCTGGTGGTGGCGCTGGCGCAGCGGGAGCAGAAGCGGCAGCTGGAGTAGGAACTGCGTCGGTTGAGGATGCAGCGTCGTTGGTCTGCTTTGAGGCTTCGGCATCCTTGTCCTTGTTCTTTCTGTTTCTCTTCTGCTTCTTCTTGGGTGCCTTTTCATCGCCTTGCTCTGCCTCAGCAATGGGGGCAGTGGCTTCGCTAGCAGGCTCCTCGGGTGCGGCTTCGGATGCGGCTTCGGATGTCTGTTTCTCCTTCTTTTCCTTCTTCTGCTTTTGCTTCGGCTCTGCCTTCACCGCAGCATTCGCACCCTTTCCACCTTTGGCAGGGCCACCTTCGATATGGCGACGGTACAACTCATCAACGTTGTTTTCATTGACAGCGCCATTGGCGCGCTTGCGCTTGTTATTTTTCGCATTGGGCTTGGTATCCTTCTTCTCGGACTCATTCTGAGGCTTCGCAGGCTGAGTCTGTACCTTCAAAGCATCGCTCGAAAGCGACCATCCTGGGACAGCGAACATGGTCTGGTATGTATGGCGAGTAGTGGCCAATACCGTTCAAGATGTAAGACGGGGGTGGTGACTGGTGGATGTTCGAGCTATCAAAAAAGGGAAAAAAAGTAGCTCGAAATTTCGTTATCAGTGGCTATCTGGTTCATGCCTAAGGTGTCTACTGCCTGAGGTGTCGATATATCATGTGCTTTCCGCCTCAGGTGTCCATTGCATCAGGCCTTTCGCCTAAACGCCTATCGGAATGCAATGCACGTTTCCTGTTTTGAGTCTTCCTCCGATCATACAGACTCGATTGGGACCAATAGGAGAGCCCAATCTGATCGGCTGTCGTACAGTACAGTCTTACAGTCCAGGCCTTTGCGCTTTTGCTGATAACCGTGGAACTTAATAGTAAGCTGGGAATCTCAAGCCCTGCGTAGATGAATTCCCCATGGGAAGCCTGAGTAGTTCATGCTAGGTAAATCAAGAGATAAATTAAAAAAACAAAGAATGGGCCCTGGGGGAAGCTTGGATCTCTCGGCTGATCTGCGAAACCGGCAGCTTTAACGAACGTCGTTAGCTTCCTCACCTCTACTTCCCCCGTCCTCTTTTTAAGGTCTCTCTGGCCCCACAATGACTTCCAGGCATAATTACCCTCTTTCTCCTTATACTGTTTAGCCACCACTTTGGCCATGGCTGAAGATCTCCATGATAGTCCGAGTCCTATCGATTCGGCAGAGGCCTCGACCACACGGTCAGGTCCCCGCAGACTCCCGAAGAAGCGGACCAAGACTGGTTGTTTAAGTATGTAGCATCGTGAGCGCGAAAGATTTCCCCGTTGACCAGGTCTAGCTTGTCGAAAACGTCGTATTAAGTGCGGCGAAGAGAAGCCGATATGCAGCAACTGCGTCAAGTCAAAGCGAATCTGCGAGGGCTATGCCCAGCGCGTTGTGTTCAAGAACCCCATCGGTATTTTTGGGTCTTTTGGTCCGCCACATGGTCAGGATTCGCAAATGCCACAGCAGCATATAGGGATGCCCATGTATAGTGATTATGGCTCGCAACTCCCGCCTCAGCAGGCCGCTGCCGCCGCTCAGCATCCAATGCTTGCCCCGCGACCTGTTGATCCGGCTACATTGGGTTACAACTCGTTCCCGCCACAGATGCCACCGCCAGATAGGACTCAACCGGGAAACGCTCCTCCGTTCTACTATCCACCGGGTCCAATGCCAGCAGAAGCGCCAACTCATATGTGGCAGCTCGGGCAATTGGGTCATACAGAGGGCATGCCGATCCCACAAGCTAGCACCGACTACTCACAGACACAGCAGCCAGTTCAGTTGGGTCCCTCGAATACTTCGCAGACACCACAGACAAGCATACAATATCCGCCTCCGATCACTAGTCCGATCGGCCAGACGGCTGAAGAATATGCCTCCAACCTGTCCCCTGTTCCGGCGCTTAATGCTTCACTGGAAAGAAATCCGGACCTACCAACGCAGGTTTGTAACACCATGATCTCTTTGGTGCTAGTAATGAGCATGCTGAGTGTTTTTTACTAGATTACTCAACCGCTACCGACAATATACCATTATCAACCACCACCCTGGCAAATGGCACCGCAATCGGGTTCTCTTGAGCAGTATATTCCCCAACAGCCGCAGATCATATATATGGAAGATGAAACCGAAGATTACTATGATGTGGATTCGGATGATGAGATGGACGATCAATCGCGGGCCGAAGGCTTCAACCAGCTGAGTCTCATCATGGCATCTGCCAACCGCGACGAACAACAACTTCGCTCCTTCACAACGTATTTAAACGAGCCTAACATTCTCGCCTCATACCGACCCTCTTATGGTTCATCTCCTTTGAACAACCCCAAAACAGCCCGCATATTCGCCCACTTCATTCATTCGACCGGCCCCTCGTTATCAATCTTCGAACGCCATCCTACCGACTCTTCAATTGTCCTAGGAGCTGCAGTGCCGACTGCAAGACAAGGATTGTGGACCTACACGCTTGCTCTCAAGGCCTTGGATCACCCTGCACTGCTGCAGTCAATTTTGGCAGTCAGTAGTCTGCATATCGCAAACTTGCAGCATACTCCTGCGACAGTATCCCTGAAACACTACCATTACGCATTAAAGCGAATTGGTTATGCAGTCGGCCTTCCCCATCGACGCAAACAAATCGGTACCCTAGCTGCCACCCTGCTACTTGGTTACTATGAGGTGATCTCAGCTGACCACTCCGGATGGAACAACCATATTGCTGGATCGGCCCAGCTAATTCGAGAGGTCGACTTTGCAACGACAACCAAAGATCTTCGAGCTCATCGGCGAAGGTTACACGAGCAGCGACGTGAGTCGGACTGGTCGAATTCGTGGTGGGGGATGTCTGGTGATGTGTCCGAGGATGACCCCTTCGAGGAGAAAGAAGGCAACATAGACGAAGACCTCATTGGAACCCTGATGGGTCGCGCGATCAACTATGACCAGTTCGGGGTTATTGATGAGGGCAACACAACACCATCAAAAAAGTACTTTTCTCGCAAGGATATTGAGGTCTTCCGAATCCAGTGCGATCTATACTGGTGGTTCTTCAAACATGACGCGTTCCAGAGCTTCATTGGCGGGAACAAACTACTGTAAGTCTTCCTTGCTGGGAACAATAATGGGAGTGGCACTTGCTAATATGAAAAGGATGCCCTTTTCTCAACGCGGTCAGTGTCCGCCTCGAGCGGGTGTCGGTCGATTAGATGCCATCTATGGTTCGGCAGATCATTTGTGGATGCTTCTCGCTCGAGTGACGGACTATGGATTGCGTGACCGGAAACGAAAGCTAAAATTATCCAAGGCAGGTGGGAAGGACTGGAGACCTGGTCCTGAGCTGTTCAAGTTCATGGGTCGCTTTGCTGGTGGTCCTCCTGGAAAAAGACCAGGGCCTCCTGGTGGTCCAGGTCCAGGTCCAGGCTCGGGAGGTCCAGGGGGTCCAGGGGGTCCACCTGGTGCCCCTCCATCTGGCCCCCATGGGCCCCCCGGTCCCCCTGGGATGCCACCTGGGGGTCCGGGCGGCCAGCCGACGGGGGAACCTGCTGGGCAGTCACCGCCATCTGCTGACAGTCCTCCCATGTATGGGATGGTCCCCCCTCAGCCCCCAGCTCAACTTCCGTCTGCATTCCAGGATAGACCGCGTGAGCCGCGGGCGTCACCTGACGCGGAAGACCAAATTGAGGTAAGTTACATGGATGCAGAGCAGGAATGGGAGGAGATCTTGGCTGCTATGGAGATATTTGCCCATGCGCTGGGTCGTGACTTTCAGCCTCTGCCAGCGGATGTCACACTTCCAATCGCGACCCCCTTCGGGCCTGCTCTTCAATATCGCACGCATACCATCGCCGTCATCTGGGGATTCTACTATGCAGTACGGCTTTTGCTAAACCGGCTCCACCCTTGTATGCCGCCGGCCATCATGATGGCAGCCGGGGTGGCAGCGCCAACGACAGCTGAGTTGGCGCAAACCATTGGAAGGGTTTTCTCGGGTATTTACTACCCGCAGCGCCATAGTCTCGAAGCGGGCAGCCTCAATCCCAATTTGGGTTCGTCATTGACAGAAATGACGGTTCCGCTTTTCTTTGCGGCTGTACAATATACCGATGCTAATCAGCGGGCTTGGACAATTTCGAAACTCCGAGATATCTCTCGTCTGACAGGATGGAAGTCTTCCGAAGCTATCGCCGGTGGCTGTGAAAAGGCATGGACTGTGGCTGCCAAACAAGGTCGAGGCCCGCCTTATCAACGGTCCTTCCAGACTGCACGAGAGCGGGAGCTTCAACAAGAGGTAAGTTTGCTCCGAAATCCTGACACCGACGCTAATGCTCATGCGCCACAGGAGGCTGTGCTTGAAATGAGTGACGATCGGCGGTTTGTGACGGTGAAGAAAGATCGATCTCATTGGGCGATGGGGATTCTAGAGGAGGACATAGCCAATTTGGAAGTGTAGGCAGCATGGAGGCAGCACGCAGGCAGCATGGAGGCAGCATGAAGGCATATCATACAGTATACAGTAGTGCCCGAGTTTAATGTACGCGGAGAGATATACCCCCACATAGTTTCAGCCAATGTCATCATTGATCGACTTCTGCCTGACTTCCCTATTCACTATGCTGTGGCTTTTTTTTCTCGTAAGGCTGACCTTACCTTTCCCCTTCTAGTCTCATCAGCTCTCTCTTCTTCTCACTCTATCTGTCTCATACTCTTTCGCTTCCCCCTAGTACGTTTCTCTAACCCGTGGTTCGCATCCTCGGTCCGCGAGTCAGCCGCCCGCGTCATCCACGGTTCACGTCATCCCGGACTTTGTCCTTGTTCGCAGGTGATAGCCATGTCTCGCTATGACGATTACCGTTCGTCAACAGGAACACTGGATTCGCGAGACCGCCACGACCGCTACTCACGAGGTCCAGCTGTGGTTGACCGACCCCGCCATGCCGAAGAACGCTTCGAGTCCCGGCTCCGCGACGAAGACAGATACGGACCCCCTGCACGCGCCCCAGGACGCATCTACGAGGATGAATATCTAGACCAGCCGGTCCCTGCAGGCCCTCTTGTGGCGCCTGATCGGCGCCGACGCCGTGACGAGAGCCCCGCCTTTGAACGGCCTCGTCTACTTAGGCGACAGTCGTCGCTGGACACTTTTGATCGCATCCCCCGGCGCAAGATGGAGACTCTCGACCTCCGAGATCGTGCCCCTCGCATGCCCCGCGTCCCTGCTGCGCCTCGTCGCCACTTCTCCCCTGGTCACTATCGGGAGCGCGAGGTTTATGAAGATATTAGGATCGCTGAGCCCGATTACTATGGCGATGAAGAGTTTAGGGATGTGAAAGAGAGAGACATGGTTGACCATCGTCGCCGCTCGAGCAGCAATGCTCATAGACATCGCGAGGAGAAGCCTTATCCACGCAAAGGAAAGACTCGTGTTCCTCGTCACCTTGTCCATGTCCATGCCATCTTGGACCTAGGCTATCCATACAAAGAAGAGGTTTGTGTTTGCTCTGTGGGTTTATATCCAGTCACTGACCTCGGTAGGATGATGTGATCGTGATTCAGAAAGCCCTGTCGAAAGCACAGATCGACGAGGTGATCATGTTGAGCCGCGAGTTCAGAAGACCCCCCAGCCCGGTGGAGAGTGAGTGCAATGACCTATCTCATCTTCTAAGTGCCGGTTCTAACCTGCGAGGTCGAGCAGCTGAATATCTGTCCCCCATCCGTCCCCGCGAGCGTGTCGCGACGGAATACCTGCAAGTCGAGTCATCATCTTCTCCGCGCTCGAGTCGTGACGCATTTATTGTTGAAGCCACCCCTTCACGACATAGGTCCCACTCTCGCCATCACCATGATCACTATGAGGAGATTGTGGAACGACCAAGAGTGCAGGGGATCTCCCGACCTCGCTCAGTATCTGTGCATGCACACCACCCCGTACAATACATTGAGCAGCGCGAATCTGATACTTCTCGCACGGGCCAGATGGTTCTTGTCCGGCCACGGGACAGTGATCATGGTGTTAACGACTATATCCGTCAACTTGAGGAGGAGACAAGACTTCTTCGTCTGGAGAGAGAGAGCGGTGGCATTGAGATTACTCGCCAACGCGATACCGAAATCATTGATAACAGAGGCAATGAGGAGGAGGTTACGGAGGTTCGGAGACAGGAGCGGAAAGGTATGTTTTTAACCAGACTATTTTCGTCTTTTTTCGTGATTCTGACCTTTTTACAGAGCCTAACTCTCGCATCATGCGCGCTATGATGGCTTCACTTACTTGAGCTTTGCAGACTTCTCAAGGTTTTCGGCAGGGATTTGATGATGCTATGACTTAATTTGATTCTGGAGAATTTCCGGATATTTCTATGTATTTTTTCTTAGTTTCCATTGAATATTAAGTTATCTTTACAAGGACATTGTTACTTGTGGCGGTGCAGTGATGCAGCGGTGGCGGTGAAATGCGGGAGCCTCGACCTTGACAGCTGCACATGGTAATATCCTATCATCTCTTCACCCACCACCCCATTTCTCCCTCTTTTTTAGTCTTTCTCAGTAATTTCGCAATCATGGATCGAGTGCAGGCATTCGGAAAGAACTTTAGGTGAGCACATCCACTCACCCCTCACCCCTATCCCGCGGAGCCATCCACCTAACCCAGAGGTTGATCGCGTTACTGACATCTTCTTGCCTTGTGGTTTTCTGACGGACAGCGCAAACTTTACGCCTTTTGCGCAGCGTACCCAGCAAATGATCAAGGAACAGCTTGGCCAAGCCGAAGACAAGACCCAGCTCCCCGATGAATACATCGAGCTTGAGAAGCGCGTCGATGCGCTCAAGCTCGTCCACCAGAAACTCTTGCAGGTGACGTGAGTGATTCCTGTTTCCTCGCCATGGTACTCTGCCATGGGGTGTGTGTATGGTCGCAGCTACTGACCAGCGCCGCCGATCATCAGCTCCCAATACTCCAACGAGGCCTACGACTACCCTCCCAACATCCGCGAATCCTTCAACGACCTGGGCCGCACCATCAACGAGAAGGTTCAGCTCCTCTCCCAGGCAGGCTCCCCCGCCGAAGCCCAAGCCGCTTTGACTGCCCCACCAAGCGCAAAGCCCCAGCCCAAGACCTTCAACCACGCCATTGCTCGTGCCTCCCTGTCCGGCTCGCAGACCCTTGCGCAGAGCTCTGAAGTCGAGGATCCCCTCGCTACTGCGCTCGAGAAGTACGCCTTGGCCGAGGAGAAGGTCGGAGAGGCTCGTCTTGCTCAAGATGCGCAGATCCAGTCCCGTTTCTTGGCTGGCTGGAACACCACTCTCAACACCAACTTGATGTTTGCTGCTAAGGCGCGCAAGAATGTTGAGAATGCTCGTTTGATGCTTGACTCTGTTAAGGCTAGCAAGAAGGCTGCTGCTCATGGTGATCTGGACAACCTGAGTGAAGATGCCCGCGCCGAGATCGAGCAGGCAGAGGACGAGTTTGTGGGTCAGACCGAGGAGGCTGTGAGCGTGATGAAGAATGTGAGTTTTGATTACTCGTTTGGTTGATATTTTGAGGTTGAGTTCTAATGTTCAATCGTTCGCTAGGTCCTTGATACCCCCGAGCCCCTTCGCAACCTGGCCGATCTGATCGCCGCTCAACTCGAGTTCCACAAGAAGTCTTATGAGATTCTCAGCGAGCTTGCCCCGACCGTGGATGCTCTGCAGGTCGAGCAGGAGGTAAGTGTCCATAAAGTGACATACATCCAGCATTGCGTCTAACCCGTATCAATTAGGCTAGCTACCGCAAGAGCCGTGAAGGCGCGTAAACATATTCCTAAGTGCCTTTTCTTTTAATTGCCCTGTCTGGTCCTGGATTGGTTTACTTTGTTTCGAGTCATGGCAATTGACTGTATCTAAGCCGTTTTGCTTTTCCTGTGCCACCCCAAGGGATCATGCAATGATTCTTGTACTTGGAATTTATATCGTCTCGTAAACAAACAAGTCTAAAAGCCAAAGAAATGAAAATCACCAAACACTTAACCTTTGGAAAGAGTAGATGTCACCCGCGTTGATCCACCGCCCGCCCGTTCTGGCCTAAGGCGGTATCTTGCCAGCTCCAGGAGCTCCGACATCAGATACTCCAACTCGCCAGCGCCCTTCCCAGCTGACAACCCCGACAGCTGCATACTTCTCGAAAAAGGACATCTGAGATCCCGAATCTTTGAGTCCACATCCACCCGACCTCAATCGTGCCACGCTACACAGATATCGAATACTTGTCCGTATCCAATCCGCGCTGTCGAGTGAACAGAAACGGACTATCGAAGCAATACAAGACCAGTCAATCCAGGAATCTACCAATAGTTTCCTTCACTGACTTTTTCCCTCTCGGATCTTGCTCTCACGACGACGATTCCCCGTGCCGAATCCCGCATAACACGCTTCGGCCGTTCCCCGGATTGCGCTTCGCTTTAAAACACATTACTCAATACCGACAATATGGCCAACGGGTACGTTCTCTCTGTTCCGGGAGTTTATATGGAATTTGCAATCTACATACGAACACATGTTCTGTAACTCGGCCGGCTACTCGACCGCGCGAGTCGCTACCTCCATCATCCTATCCCGCTCTACTACAATACCACCCACCCGAGCCATCATCACGATATTCTGAAATTATATACTGACATATATTATAGCTGGAGCTTGGTTATCGGCCTGATTGTCATCGTTGCTGCATCCGTGGCTGCATGGTTCCTCAGCCCGAAAGGTGAAAACCAAACGTGAGTTGGCCCCAGTGTTGGACATTTGATCTTTCATATCCTTTGATATATCATATGGATCTTAGTGAATCGTGCAAGGTATTGACTATTTCCCATCTCTAGACTCTTCCGCAGCACGTTTGTCTTGACATTTGTTTCTTGTTACTTGATGTGGGGTACGTATTCCGAATCTCTTCTTGCCCATGCCTATCAATTATAATATAGCCCTTCCGGCTTCGAGATTTGCCATGACGAATTTCATACATCGAAAAGTTACTGACCATACGCTTCTCTAGCAATCGTCTTCCTCTCACAGTGGCACCCTCTCATCGCACCAAAGCGATCAGACATCAGACCTGACCGGGTACCAAATTAAATGCATCGCTCTCGTTTGGATCGGGTTTTGTCATGTTTTCTCGTCTGTCTTTGATAGGCTTTCGCGGAGATTGTTGTTTAAGGTGTCTTCTTTGGAATGTGGTCAATTATGATACGTTCCATGCATTTATGAGCTCAAGTTAGATTTGATCTGGCTGTTCCGGTCCACGCTTTAGTGTGGTCTCTAAGTTAGGTTTGCGCCTTGCTGTAGGTGCCTTTGTACAGTCTTTATTTCATAATTGGTAGCGTTCCATCAATTGTATTTTTTTTTTCAGTGAACGCTTTTTGAAATCAAAGGAGGGTCGTAAGATCTGTTTTTCTATGTTGTATTTTGGATTTCATTGACTTGATCTACTTGAACATCATAAGACGACAGATATATATAGCCACTACAATGGGTGATGGTTACCCCAAACCCAAAACTTGAACTGGTTCATGTCGAATAAATTATGATTATGTATCAGATATATGTATATATATGCATCATGATCTAAGAATATTATCCAACCCCAATAGCCCCCAGAATAACCTTCTGCACTGCCCACCGCGCAACCTGACCAGCAACCGCAACAGCAACAGCCCGCAAATAACCACACCCGAGCAAGATATACAACGCCTCAATATTGCTTAGTAGCACGAGATGCGTATCGACAACACCAAGGGAAAGCAACGAGGCAAGCAAATCAAACAGCCCAGCCAGATGACTAGTGGGCGTAGAACTCCGCATAGAGGAAACCAAACCCCCAAGCCACGATTCCAGGGATGAAGTTGGAACTGGCGTAGCAGAGGGAGTTGCCGAGGCTGATACTTTCGCCGCGAGAACAGAAGATGCAGTTGTAGCCTTGGAATACAGACTCTGGCGCACAGTGCTAGAAATGGTAGCCGTCTGAGATGCAGCTCGAATTGTCGCTGCTGTCTGGCTATGCGTTGGAATTTTGGATAGGCTGCCGCTGCCGTCGGCACCCCAGATTACTAGGAGTATGGGGAACAGCTTTGCGCAACTGCTTACTAGCAGCGCGGTACTGATTGCTGCTGGGCTTGCTGCTGTTGGAGGGGGAAGCGGCTGTATATTCTGGAGCGGGGCTGTTGAGGCGCGACGCAATGGCGGGGCTGGGCGCGGTGGTGGGATTGGTGGCGCCTGGCCATCGATTGGGGAGGTGACCTCGCTGTGGGTGCCCGAGGCTTGGGTTGCCTTGATCGGACTTGCCAGAGGGTTTGATTGGGGTGGAAATTGCGCATTGACCGAGGCCGTAGATGGAGAAGGTCGGATCGTGGGTGTTGAGGGCCCAGAGGGGAATGGAGTTGCTTCGCCGGTGTTTGTTGTGGTGGTGGCGGCATTGTTGCTGCTGTCTGGGCCGCTGTACCGGCGGGATTTTGGAATTAGGACTGAAGCTAACAGGCGGACTGCTAAGTGGTGCGCAAGGGTTGCGGCGGCGTTTAAGCTCAGGAAGAAGAGGTATTGGACGATGATGGGGGCGCGCGAGAGGAAGGTCGCTGCGAGGGATGGATCCTTTTCGATGCGTGCCCAGGTCAGGTAGACGTCGAAAAGAAGTAGGAGAACACCGAGGCGAATGATGGATCGCTAGAAGGCCATGGTATTGGTTAGGCGTTCGCAATTGCCTTGGGCAGTGCACTCACATCGTACTGATTGTCGTCGCGTCCAAGCCGATTGAACAGAAGGTGACGGTAGACCTTTACTTGTCAGCACTGGCTTCATTCTCCAATGGCCAGATACAGCTTACCTGGGGTTTGATAAGCACCAAGTCAATGAAGAGCACGACGAAATCGTATTCAACGTATTTATCGGCAAATCGCTGGCATCGCGGGCATTGCGTCAATCGCACGCCCTTGCCTTGGGATCGGTCATCAGCGCGACTGTAAGCGCTGTATAGGTGGGAGACCGGATAGGAACATTCGATGCAGATGGGCATCGTGTCATGACCTTCAATGTTGTAGTTGTTGGTCTCCTATATGCATCAAGGCGGTGAGCTGTCTAAGCGGCCTAGATCTACACTACTGTATAAGTTCGATGTCTAGTGAAACGACCTGATGTTGAACAAGGCCGTCATGATATTGAAGATGATATCAGGAAAATTCAAAAGCAAAAAAAATGTACTTACTGTCGTGTAAAGATTATCTATTACCAAGAATAGAAAACGAAACCAAAAAAGAAACTCCGATAGGGGGAATCGAACCCCCGGCTGTCGTGTGAGAGACGACGATGTTAGCCACTACACCATATCGGATATTGGATGCTGTTACGTCAGACTTTTGACATTATAAGCCAGAGCACACAAGTGTAGTTCCTGTGCGTGGTTCTATATAGACCCTTGCTTTCCCCCTCGCTACCCAGTAACTTCTAATTTCTTTTTCTCACACCTTCTTCCTACGTCTCGGAGGTGAGGCAATTTTGCAATTGACCCGGATCACCGAGCTTCTGAGCTCCGCCACCCCTTTCCTCATGTGACTGGTCATCATCCCGTGCATCATTCCGTCGCGCTCGCTGCTGGCTCATCCTCTAAGCTCAGATTGCAAGACTGCATAGAATGCGACTTCGTCCATGGTTCAGACAGGGCGCAGATAGATCCCTCTAATTTTTCCCTGTTTCCCTCGTAGTCATTCAGAATATTTGTACCGGTCCGGCCTTCAGATGCCCAATTCGCCAACCAACGCAACACAGTCGACATTATGGTTGATTTGTTCAAAGGATGAGATGAAGGGATCCAAAAGTCGGCATACTGCTGTTGTATCGGTGTCGCATTCACAGGAGACGAAGTGGCGGCCTCTCGTCCTCGTTCCACTGCGCCGCACTCCTTTCATCTTGAGTGAGAAACTTAAGGAACGACTGGCGACAGAGCCTAGTCGACCTGGTGGATCATCACTGCGATGTAGTCTAGCGCAGGCTTGGATCGCTTTAGAATAGCAACGGCCGGTAATAGCAGGGTCATTGGCCTATGAAGGCGATTGAGCATGTCATTGATAGTACAGTCTTTAGCCAACGAAATGCATCAGACAGAGTAACTAGTGAAAGACATATTTCACCTACATGCAGTCCTGTCGGGGCTTTGAAGTCTAGAGTTTCAGGTAGGCGGAAAAATCAATGTCCTTTTCTATATAGATTTGGTTTGATTCGGCAACCATCCTGCGTAGTATTGTGGAGCAATCTGAGATGTTATGAATTCGCAAGATAGAACTGACATCAAAAAAACAAGTGTACATCGTCCGACCATCCACCCGGAATCTCCATTCGTCGCTCAATCATTGCCCAAAAGTCTCCCGCAAATTCATCAGAGGGCTCACTAATCCATAGACATCAGTCCTCCGGTGCTGGGCCGTGTGAGAATCCAATTATACGAATAAATAAGCGCACTGATCCGCCGAATATTCGAAAATCGATACATTCCCCTTGGTCTTTCAGAATTAACTCTTCCCTCTCACCGAAGTTTTTCAGGTTGACATCGGCATCTTGAAGATTCCGAAACAGCGCTCCGAGGGGATCATTGGACCTTTTCATGGGTGAGCTTTCAAGTGGGTTAGAGAGCTGAAAATAACCGTCCAAGAAAGCGTACAATGGGGTCCTGCCGTTCATTGTTTGGTGCATGTCAAGACCATTTTCCAACATTTCTTGAAACATAACATGCCATTCCTCATAAAGTTTTTGCTGCATAGCCCTGTCCTTGATGGTGTTGTAAAGCCAATTTGAGCCAGATTTAGTGCAGCCCATACAATATGCAACACCATGAGGCAAAGTGATCATGTGAATGCTGTCGAAAAAAGAGCCGGTGTCTGACACTTCAAAGTTAGGAATTGTAAAAGAGATAACTTCAAATTTGGAGGTTGTAAAAAAGACTTCCGTTTAGAATGGTTCTAATGACTGAGGGTCCATTCCAAAGATTTCGAGATAAGCAAGGTCCCAGTTCGCCAATGGCAGGTTGGATGCGCTGCTCATCGGATAAAGTGAAAAATAACGGGTAGCAAGTTTGCTGGAAGAAATTAAACTCTGCTGTGCCTCTGAACCATTGGCCATGGACATAATGTCACCAGCGGAGCGAGCAAAGGGGAGCAATGGAAATCCATACTGAATCTTCGTCAGCATCCAGCACAACCACTATATGGAGAGAAGAATAAATCACACAATCAAAAAAAAAAAACTGAGTGGCTTCAGTAGCAGCTGTATTGTTGCCGTTAAAAGGCGAAGCACTGGCGACGGTCGCCAGCAGCGTTGTCGCAGTCAGGAGACTTGTATGCATCTTGTGATTGAGATGTTTGAAGCGCTTGGATATGATGATTCTGGATGTCCTTCATGATTGCGAAGCATACCTCAGTATATTTATAAGGTGAAAGATCATAGAAAAGATAGTGTCCATGAGGCTGCTCTCCTGCCAAGCACTTCTCCTGTAAGGCCGTCTATCCGTCTGCGGCTAAACACGCTTGGGATTGTCTTTAATTGGTCAACATGGCTGTGGCTTGCGAGCTTCTTGCATCGTCCACTGTATCAGAACTTGCGAGAGAGAGAGAGAGGGTGGGGGTCGCAGGCTATTTTCATAGGTCCGAAGAAGCATGTAAATTACGGGTTTTGCGAGTGTTCTTACTCTCAACGCAACTTTGGAAGCCCCGAAGGCAATATATTAACAATCGACGAGCGTCAAGCATGTCGAGCCTCTAAAGATGGATAGCTATTACAATGTCACGGTCCCAAACAGTAAGCTATCGTGAATATCTCCTTGATTTCGGGACATATCTACAGTAGGTTGAAGCCCAATCTATAGCTCCAACCGATTGTATAATTAGCTCGTTGCCCTAAGTATTGTATCGCCCCTGAGGGTATTTACGCTAGAGACTCCATCGTTACGATATAACTATTTAGCTTCGTCTTTAATACTAGGCAGAGGCGTGATGGCTTCCTTGGAACTAAGAGTACTAAGCCCATAAGGTGTCTACGTTGAGACATTATATTCTACACCTTTCAACCGGGGTAGGCGACAATAATTTCCTGGTTCAACGAGACGTTAGGGATAGGCACTACCGTAATAGAAGGCTTAGAAGGCCTGCGTTGGCGTCGTACAGATCGAACGTATATTTATATTACTATGAAAGGCACCTATACCAACGCGATCTCGCGGGCTCTCTCCATATAATAAAGACTATCCACCGCCTCTTGCGCCCGGCGCAAAAGAAAGGCGGCCCTCGAGGGCCAATTCCACCACGCTTTGCTCCTAGCGCCGACGACTGCTGTTTATATAGTCCCCCGCATATATAGTGAAAGTATCTGCTGACAAGACTGGCTCTGATTTGATATTTGACTACAACATTGTGGGTACATTGCGCGACTCCATCAAACCAGAAAGCCACAATCGACACAACTCGTTCCGTACACTGGCTCTCCACCACCTTGTGAGCCCCATCCAGCTGCCGCCGACGAAGCCTTCCGCCTGAATTGGAACTCTCCATTTTGGGCAAACCGAAGATATAGCTTCAGCTACGCCAATATTGAATTCTTCTAGGAGGGCACCAGAAACATGCATTCCGCCGACAAATAGGCGCGAAGATTCGTGTCCTTCACTCGCCTGAAGCTTATCGCCGAGATCCCCGGTGCCACAGAAGAGAAGATCTTTGGTGCCCAATACGTCTCAAGCTTTAGACGCAGAAGTACGGCGAGCTAGGGATGTTTGACTCTGCAGTCTCCGACTTGTTGAAGAAGGACGGATCATCCTGCTGCATGGATCAAGCGTACGGAAGGCAATGGTAATATTTGTACTGAATTTAGTGTGTAATATTCGGCTGCTTATAACAACAGCTATGTCTATGATTATTGGAGAGTGGCAGAAGAGGATGGTTCTCTGGCTGTTATTTAGGACAGTTTCGTTGGGATTGAATGCGTCAAATTCATTTGAAGATGACACTGGTGACCGTGTGTTTCCAGATTATCTAGGTAGATTCAAATGCCAAAGGCGATACTGTTCCCCTAGTTGATGGAGTTGCCCCTGATTGCCTCCGAAAAACCCCCGAGCACAACTACGCCTCCCATAGTTAGTCGCTCGGCTAAAATAACTAACGTGCATGTTTTTCTCGGCAAGGCCGCCACCTTCAAAGTGGATTGGATCGATTGACTCCAGCTGTGAGTGGACGCATCGCGAATAATTGCCGGATATTGTGGTGCAGGATCTTGCCCTCTTTGATCAAAACAAGATTTTGTGATGGATTAGTAGACGCCACAAATGACTATATACTATGATGAGGCGAGTCACTGTTCCCTTTCTCTTCTCTTACTCACCATCACACTCGTTTTTCTTTTTAGTTGGAGCGACCCTATTTGGGTCTCAGGCGTTTCAACATGATGCGGTCTACTCTCCCTATCTCATTCTTGTTGCTAGCATTACCATTCAACGTGGTGGCGGAGACCCGGGTGATCACAGGGACCGATGTGACATGTTCGTGGAGCCATAATGTTATACAAAATCCATCTTTCGAGCTTGGATCCATATCCCCGTGGAACATTTATCAAAACCTAGGCACTTCGACCGTTGTTGCGGATGGTTCAGACAGTGGGAACTATGTTGCGTGAGCAGAACTCCTAGAAATACTCCGCGAACTAAAGAGATTGAAACAATGACTGACACTTGAAACAAACAGATCAATGACGCTGAGCACCTCAGGATACGGAGTACTCTACCAAAGCTTGACAGGCCTCGTCCCGGGAGAGACTTACAACTTGTCTTTTGATTACAAAATTGCTTCAGCGGTTAACGCTGGATCCTGCGCTTTCTATTTTTCCATCAACGGTGACAGTGCAACCTCTCGCATAACCACGACTGCAATGGCATACATTCGCTATTCGGGATCATCGTCGGCGCTATTTTCAACGTCTTGGGAGACCCTGTCAACTACATATGCACCCACCAGCACAAGCATTGATCTTTATTTGTTGGCCATTTGTGCTGGAAATAGCCGCATCCCACAGGCGATGCCCCAGGTCTACTACGATAGTGTTCAATTTAGCAACGATAATGTCGAGATTGAGACGTGTACGACGTCCACTTACACCTCAACTGTGACCATTGCATCTAGTTCGACTCTCGTCAATATACCACCAGCTACGGCTACCAGCGCAGCCGTTGTTTCTTCGGCTGCTTTCACCTCTCAGACCCTTTCAAGCACATTTGGGTCGAGCCGACCATCCTCTCCGATTGCTGCTTCTAGTACGATTCTCGCCGAGACACCAAAAGCTTCGATTACGAATCCAGTCATTGTATCATCCATAAAAGCTTCCCAGACTACTGTTATCACACCTGGGCCGAGCCCGTCATCCTCCGTGCTGATTTCAGGTGATGGGCCTTCGACATCGACATTGCCCTCTTCATCGCTCGGGATGTCGTCCCAGCCTGACTTGCCAACAACACCGGTTCGGACTCCAACAGTCCTCACAAGGCGGCCAAAGCCTTCAAGTTCGAGAGTTCCCATCCCTCAAATTTCGTCTTCGGGCTCGCTTTTGAAAGAATCATCGACCACGCCCTCCTTAATACTTCCCACCCTGCCTGGTCAACCCCCCGTGTCTTCCGTTCATATTATCTCATCTACCCCAAGCAAGGTTGCTGCCTCCTCAGCTCCACCGACGACTTTCAATTCGGGATCCTCGTTATCACACACAGTCGTTATTTCTTCAGCTGATGCCACATTCCCCCAGTCTACGCAACCAGCTATTCAGCCTTCGTCCCGATCAAGGACAAGCCACGACGCCTCCTCGATCTACGGCGCTTCCTCAGCCGATGTTACCAACATCGCATCTAGCACTATTCCAAGCACAGCCGTGGTTAATAGTTCCTCAAAATTTCCCTCGGTTCCTGTCGCATCAGGGGTTCCGGGACCTAGTTCCGTCGATACTTCGGAAATCACCTCTTCCACCGTTGCCAAGATACAAACATCCACAGGCACTGACGTGGTGACAGGAAACCTTCCCAGCTCCACGTATCAAGGACAAACCAGCCTGATGCCAACTGCCACAGTTGTTTCGCAGTCCGGAATCAATGAAAGTGCTCCGAACGGTGGTTTCACGACTTCTACTATCTTCAGCACTCGTACTGCCACAATAACAGGATGCCCTTCTAGTATAACCGACTGCCCTGCCTTTTCTAAGACAACCTACGTCACCACCGAGACCATCATTTTATCCACTACCATCTGCCCAGTGACTGCCACCGAGGTTATTACTCCAACTGGAACTTCAAGCTCTTCTGTTCAAACTGCGAAAAATTCCGCTGCCGATAAATCATCCGCTGTTTCAGAATATGCAACTATTACTACACCAACCTTGAGCCCTTTGCCCCAAATCACTGACAGCACATTCGCCCAAGATTCCATCGGTTACACAACTTCGACCATTTTCAGTACTCGCACTGCTACAATCACGGCTTGTCCCTCGAGTTCTCAAAATTGTCCCGCTTCATCCAAAACAACATATCTGACAACAGATACTGTCATCGTTTCTACCACCATCTGCCCTGTGGCCGTCAGTTCTTCTACAGAAGCAGGAAATAACCCCAGTGTGGAGGAAATGACCATGGAAACACTTTTGACGACTGTGACCAAGACTATCACCGCTTGTCCTTCGACGGTGACTGATTGCCCAGATTCTCAGAGACAAACATACACAACTACCGAGACTCTCGTTGCCGGTACTACTGCCTATCCAGTGACCCCGACAGAACAGTCTGTCGGTCAAAGTGCATCAAGTATTTCTACCATGAGGCCTTCCATTATTTCCGCTAGCAGCACCGGCAATGAGGGTGAAGATGAAACAACGACTATTACCATTAAATCTACTGTGTCAGCGGCTTCAGCTTCCGGAGTCTCATTTGTTGATGAGAACGCCGCCCACTCCAATGCTTTGGGCCAGATCACAGACTCGCAGTTCCCGGGGGCAGCTGCTATCTCCACCGCCACATTCTCGCCTACCAGTGCCAGCATTCAATCTAGCAGCGACGTCTCTAGACACTCTTTGTTTACCTCTCTTTCTCCAGTGTCTGGCAGTAGCTCCACTCTGACTTCCCAGAGGAGCTCTACTTCCAGCTCTTCGACATCCACACAGACATATGCAAATGTCGCTTCTGCATCAAGTGCCATATACAATGGCTCTGCCTCTCATCTTCAATTCAACTGGCTGAAGACTATTGTCGCAATTTTCGTTGTTTTGTTCTTTTAGATATAATTAGACTTTCTTTGCATAAGATGCAGAGAGCTTTTATCATAGTTGATAATACTGAATCATTAAAGGAATCTCTTTTTGAGATTATTCCGGATATCCAGATCCTTGGCTACAGTGTGGTAGTTCTTTTAACAGCCCTTTTGACGTTGTCGTCGATGTCAGTGCGTGTCGGTAAGGGTCGCCCTGGGGTAGTTATTCGTACAACCTGCTCAATCAGTAACTGCGGTACATACAGTCACGTTGTACAACTCATGCTCGTTGTTGCAAAATACCGAGTAATAAAGATTGTACTATTGACATGGCTTCCAAGAACTAAATTAGGGCACTCTCTCTTGACTGTAGCTCTGGTAGAATTGAAAACGATTATCCCTTTCATATCTTTCTGCTTATGGTACTTCATACTAGTATAGTATTGCTTGGCGAATTTAAATATTCCTTAGTTTAGTTTCTAATCCTCTTTTTAATCCTCTTTCTAATCCGTTTTCTAATCCTATTTCTAATCCGTTTTCTAATACTCTTTCTAATACTCTTTTCAATCCTCGTTCATATAGTCTACCATCTTACTCCTTGAAAGGCCACTCCTTTTACCCCGTTTCTTTCTAGACAGCAGATTTGGCTTGATAACCCGCGAAATTCCTCAAGTGCCGTGTTCCAAAAGGTTGAAAACTACGCCTCCTTCGGTTTATATCGGAACTCTTGCAGAAGTACGCTAGTCAAATTGACATTCGAGGGCCAACGCGACGTTATGAACAGTTTCTCCAAAGCTATTCAGGGTCTCCCAGCTCATATGAGAGCTGAGATCCAAGACACATTTGAAACGGACGCATCAGTCTTTTTCCTATTGCATATGTCGTGGGAAGCATGGGCTCACTGGACATGGTGGCGAACTTGGACTTTGTTGGGATTACGGTTAGCCTTTCTCTGATTCACCGGGGCGTAACTCCCTCTGTCCAAGCCTCTGGTGAGAACCTTCCCCCAGAAGACCTATCGCGGAAACGACAATAGTGACTCTGAGAACCTTGCTGGTTTGTGTTTGATCTTCTCGTCGCTTGTTTATCTTTCTTCTTATGGCGCTTGATATCAGCATAACATTGCTAAGCGAATCCAAGTATCTTTTGCTTCAATACTCTTTCTAATTCTCTACTCTGAGTGCCTGGGATGCTTAGGAAGAAGTAGACGTCTCTTGTTTCTTTTCTTTTCTTTTCGATTTCTTCACGCGTCTTCAACATATATAGAGAGACTAACATGCTACACACTTCGCTAATCTTAGGGTGTTATAACTGAATTATTTCTTTGGTAGACTACGCTAATCTCGGGGTTTGAATGGGTAAGCGAGATAGAATTATGATAATGCGTATACAATAATAAGATAAATATTTATTGTAGAAGGTAGTCTGAACGCCGATTTTTAAAGCATGAGAACTCCATACTCGTCCTGCATGCCAGGCATCGAGGCTTCGACAGCCCCAGTCGGTGGTAGTCCTAACAATACCCCTATGCACATAGACCACGTCCCTGGGGTCTTGCTGCTACAATTACTCCGCTAAAACCTCCTTCGAGTTAACAAAACCAGTGAGAAAACACCCGTAGGGTAAAGGTCAGCAATGAGAATGGCCCTATTAGACGCTTTATCACGCATTATAGTCACAAAAAATAGTGATAGAAACGAAGATTCATGCATATCGTGTAACTAGCTTCGCGAATGGCGCTGTTATTGACCCTGGATGCGCTATTGTTGTTTGCTTTTGTCAACATGTAGTTGGAATCTTTTGAACAAAAGCACGCACTACCCATTTTAGTGTAAGTGACGCATTTGTCCCGATGAGCTTGAGTATCAAAACGAGGCCGTTTCTGGCGCTTATTGTCAATGGAGGGGTTGGTGGTACTGCCAGTGATAGGGTGAGACGGCGTAGAAGGAGCTTCAACTAGGCTTGATGCGCGCTTCCGGTTTACAGCTTATAGAGGAGCCTATGCGACAGCCATGAGAGTGGCCTGACGAGCAGCTTGTGGAGAGACTAGATAGTGGTAAATTAAGGTTTTGAGTAAGGTTAAACGCGGAGCGGCGCCGCGGTTCGTCTCACGATCCAGAGTGCCTAAATATTAGGTGGACCACAAGCCATTTGATGAGTTCCTGCCGGACTATGAATGTTTAAGTGTATTTCAACTGCACCGCGTTTGCCGTTAGAGATGGATCTGGCTCAGAAAACTGAAGCTATTGACTCAGTTACTGCTTATTGCTAATTCTAGGAGGCAGCACGATCTGTTTATTGCGGAATGAAAGACCAGAAGGCGAGAGACACGTCCGGATCGATGATCATCTTTAGCTAGAAGATAAGGTGATGATGAGCAACTTTTAACCACAGTTCCTGTCAACCCTGTTCTTCGATCTGCCACAAAGCTCATCAAGCCTGAAACTGCTTTATATATTTGGGTGACCTGGACCTGAACCCTGCAAGACGTACCTCACGACTTGACCCTTACGCCTGAAAAAACCAATAACAGCACCCAAAAGAAAGGAATCGAACATGACAATTTCTTACAGTATCTGTGATAAAATAAATCATGGATCATGCGTTTTCAGCAACATACTGGTAATTCCCACTCGAATTTGACCAATCTCCAGTTGTGCTGAGCATGGAGAGCTCGGGGCATCAGGAGTCTATAGAGCTGAGTAAGATAGATAAGAGGACTACCTTAGGGTATTTGCGTAGATAAATCGGATCTAGGCACCGCCCGGGCCACAAGACTAGCGTCTACGGACTAGTGGAATTGGTTTCAATAATTTAGCATATGCATATCATCGTCTCCAAATTAATTTATGTCGTTCTAATCTAAACGCTTTCGCTCCATCCCGCCACAAGCTTTGAATAATAACAGATTTCAACAAAGTAATGACACAATTTCCTTGAATCTACTTATTTCGAACGGCCATTGTATACGCACTCCAGTCACAATACTGTCGAATCGACATGAATTAGACGTAGAAGAGCGCGCAGGCAGCACCGAGCAGAGCCATGGCTCCCTTGGGAGCACTCAAGTGAGACGGCGCAGCACCAGTCGAGTGCACAGGGGACGCGGAGGCACTGGTGGATGAAGAGCCGGAAGAACTGGAAGACCTGGCTACAGAAGTGGTGGTAGAGTCTGTGATGAAAATGATGTATTAGTATAGTCCCCTTGTAAAATTGTATGGAGTTGCATCATGCCTGAGGAAGACGTAGGACTAGTCGACGATGCGGATGTTGAAGATGCCGAGGTTGTCAGGGTGGAAGTGACTGATGGAGTAGTGGTCGCACTGGATGTTGTGGAAGAAGAAGTGGAGGAAGAGGTAGTGGTGGTAGTGGTGGTGGTGGTAGTGGTGATGATGGAAGTAGACGTGGAAGAGGAAGTGGAAGAAGGGGAGGATGTAGTACCATCATCCGAAGCGCCCTTCTTGACAGTGAAACTGTCACTGACGGCGAGCTGGCCAGAGGAATCAATTATCTGGATCTCGTAGTCATTTCTGAGCCATAGCAGAATGGTATTAGTGTTGTTCCAACCTATACACCGACGTTCATTTTATACATACCCGTTGGAAATGCTAGGGTTAGGCTGAGTGGTATATTCGCCCTCAGAGGTCTTGACGTTATCCGCCAGTTTGGTCTGGAAGGAGCCATCCTGACTTTTAAGGATGATGCTGACTACTGAAGGATCACCAGAACCGCTGGTGAATTTGATGGTTTTGGCAGTGGAGAAATCCCACGATGCGCCCGATGCCGGAGCGGTGATGGTGATTGCACAAGCCGATGAGATGAGGCTCAGAGCGGTGATGGTGAATGAGTAACGCATTTCGATTGAATGGAATTATAAAATTATTAGAGAATTTGTTGGGGGGATGGGATATCTCACTGTTTCCTACGAAAAGACTATATATATTTGGTCGATAGACTGCGAGTTGCTGTAGATTGTTGAGACATCTACTGTATGTAAAAAAATCGATAGTTTCAGCTGAGACACAGTGCATTGAAAATACGAGATAGTCTAAGCCTTGCACCAAAGCAGAATATGATCTCCAAAATGAGATGAGCCTCTTGTGGAGAGACCGAAGAAATCAAGGGGTCATTGTCGTGTCCACGTAGGATAACGACAAATACGAACAACTAGGATCACCTCTGCATCAGTTAACCAGCCTATTCTGTTGGGCTATGTTGGGTCCATCGGAGTGAGCGTTGCACCTTATCTTGCCAATCATGATTCCAAAACACACTCTGACCGGTGGGCCTTGCTAAATAAAGGATTAAACTTCTAGCCAATGGCAGCTACCATGTCAGCGCTAGGCGAGAAGTACAGTAAATACGAAATCTACAAGCCGAGCTCGGAAATCGAGGTTATCATTTTTAGAAATCTTTTGCCGGTATATTGTATTGTTGTTTACAGCCGTGCATGAATACCGGTCATGACTGGTAACATTCACCGCACGAGCAAGGAGGTCTGTATGCCGTCTTCTTGCTGTGTGCCCAATAGTCAGAAGTGACTGTCGGAATTTCGCTGCAAAAAGAAAGTGTTCAGTGACGTAGAAAATCTCCTATGTTCCGTTCCGATTTACGAGATGTCATATGGAAGCAATAGAACCAACTTAAATATACGGAGTATCTCATCTATAGTAAACCCAAAGCAAGAAACATCGAGAAAATCGTCAACACACAACATCAAAAACTCAAGCAGAGCACAGAAAACATGACCAAAACAGAGAAACTGGCGGTCTAGAACATTAGATAAAATTGCAGGACGCGGTGAATGCAGCTGCGGCGATCAATGTCCCCGTCCCCCACGACAAACCCAATAAAGAATTCCCAGCACCGGTAGAAGGCTTCGCAGTGGTTGACGAGGTTGTTGATGTGTGGATGTGATCTCCACAGATATTAGAGCTCCGTTTCAGACTCTCGGTAGGATAGTACACCCGCGGCCCTCCATCCGAGCTGAGGTCCACTTTGAGGTTTCCGCTTGAATCGATCACATATGTTTTGCAAGAAATAAGCTCGGTCACATTTTGTCCGGATGAGAATCCCGTACCGTCGGAGCCAAGCGTGATTTTGGTGGTGGCTTTGGTGGCTGGCTTGGCACCTAAGTTGGATACCACGCTTACAACCTGGTTACCGGTAAATCCCTTGCGTGTGGCCAAGATGTTGCTTGAGTTGTAGATTGGCAATGATAGGTACGAGAGATAGTCATTTCCTGACTCCGAGCCGACCACAGACTTTTCTCCGTCGCCACTCGCATATGTCCGAATGCGATTCAATGACTGAACCAGCGAAGGTAGGGAGCTCGATTTCATCGAGTATTTGGTATGCCATAGGGCTTCCCGGTTGACCGGGTTGTATGCACCCGACAAGTGCTGTTCTTCACCGTAGTAAACTGTATTATGTTTATTAGCGTTTCTGGGTTTCGTTTCCACTTGTGAGGGCGCAACATACGGATTGGAATACCGTCAGCGAGCATGCTGACCGTGAGAATGTTTCGAGCCAGCTAATCGGGGGTGAAGTCAATACATGCTGACACCAAACTCTATGCACTCAACTTACCGAGATGTCTGAGGTATACGACCCGAAGCGAGGAACATCCTGATTCGATGTGAATGTTCCCAAGGGAAGCACGTCCTCGCAGTTTGATCTGATATAGTCGATGGACTGTACAATTCTGTTCAGGTCTCCATTGGTCGTATTGAAGGCCTCCGAGAGAATATAATACCTAGCAATTGTCAATAAGCCCTCTGCTCGGTTTCGTGAGCTACTCACAGCGGATAATTCAAAAGTCCGCTCAGACCCGGTTGAAGAGAACAATAACCAGATGCGTCTCTTGTGGCTCCCTCGCCCATAGTGAAAACCCCAGCTGCTCTGGTGAAATTCGAGAAAAATACGGGAGGAATGTTCAACACGCTGTCGATTCGCAAGCCATCAACTACAAAGGTTAATCCTCATTATCTCCACTGGAGAACATCCATTGGAAAGACAAATAAAAAAAGCATAGACATACTTGAGTAATTTGAAACCAACTGCGAAACCCAGGTACCCAGCATCTGCTGGACTTCATGATCCTCATTTCGTAGATCTGGAAGCGATATGGTGTTGTCTCCCATCCAGCACTGATGAAGGCTTAGCAATGCTCCCAGCGCACATGATCACCGACTTACATCCAAAACACAGGTGTCATTCATGGGATCCTTAGAAAGTAACTTATAGCCATGAAAGTATTTCTTGTCATTGAATGGATTGAACTTGCTGTAATCGACAGTGGAGGAAGTTCCAGCCCAGGCCATGTCGCCTACCACTATGTCCAACATCAAGTACTATTTGTTTTTTTTCATGTCAGTCTCATGCATGAAGCTGGCGGCCGGCAACTCACCATGCCACGCGCGTGCAACGCTGTGGACAACTTTTTGAGGTCATCGGATGTGCCGAAATGGGAGTTGATGGAATACAAGTCGTTCGGCCAATACCCATGGTATGCTATCATCGATCACGCATTAGTTCTCTATATCCGTTGACGCTCCACGATGAAAATAGGGTCATACCTGAAAGATCCGCCGTGAGAGTCGATTCCTGGCTTTGCACTGGAGATATCCATACCGCATCGAACCCAAGGTCCTGGATATAATCCAGCTTGTTTATGATGCCCTGTAGACTCCCACCACAGTACTCTCCCAGCGCCGCCTCACATAACGCAGTGGTTGAATTGTCTGATCGAGCAAAGCGATCGGTGACTACTTGGTAGACTGACCGTCCGAGCCATTGGTCTCGGGATGCCGCATGTACGGTCTCAATGGCAGCAACCAGCAAAACCATCCACCACATGGTCAGTGGCGTTTGCATGACAGGTCGATGGAGAATCAAGTAATGGAGTCGGAGAAAATGAAAAGGCTATTTGAATTATTTGACGATGTCATATATGATCCAATATTGATTTACGCTGTGCAGACCTGTACTGTATCGTATTCGTAATACGTCAAATACCGTCAGGAATGATGTGTCATCTCTTCGGCCCGATCGGCAGCCCGATAGCCTCGAACCACTCATCCCACGACATGACTGGGCATGGCTGGGCGGGCTGGGCTGAGTGGGCAGAACATCGCGCCAGCATCCTAGTGGGTTCACCAGCGAGTCGACTGGTCTTAGGGCTCGGCCTAGTTGACGATCATTGTCCTTACATTTGGTGTGCTGGCCTCGGGAGAGCCGCATGGCAATCCAGCCCGATATCGTGAACCGATGCAGCAATCCTTGCGTGATAAGTACTTCTTCCAGATATCGTGATCGGGTCCACACGGAGATCCCAATATGACAGCTGGGCTTTTTGGCCCTTCTTTTTCCATGTGGGTCTGGATGGTCTCTATAGGACTGGGGTTGAGATAAGGACCCTTTCGGCATTCTCGGCGCCCCCCCCGCTAACTATTGGATTTTTCCTTTTCGCTTTTTCACAAACTATTGAGTTCAGCCATGCCAAGTCAACGCATAAAGTGCATGAATTGCCGATCAGTTACACCTTGCAGCCCTTGCAGCAACGCCGGAGTGGCCGTGGACAAAAGCAAAAGGCAATACGAGTCAGGAACAACTCGCAACCATAAGCCACATCCTTATCATGATAACCCACCTCTTACTCCTTTTTCATAGGTCGGTTATATATCGGGTATGACGTGTACTCTATTCCATAAGGCGGGATACCCGATCTAGCAGGATTTACACTTTATGATCGATGATTGACTCGTCTGGGACCGCTACTATATCCGAACATCCTATACTTCTATACTGATGCATGTCAGATTGCCTCCGTATGAGACATGATCCGGCTGGGGCCTGGAACCTGTTCTAGATGCTCGATCAATGCGCGCATCAAATACGGTGTCTTACACCGTGAGATCCATCATCCCAGATTAGAAATGCTCAACCGCTTGGGGATTATGTGGTGTGGAGTGAGGCTGTACAGCAAGGCTGGCTCGGGTCTCCAGCGGTTCGCCTGATGCCTGCGTCAATGCTGATTTACAAAACAGTCATTGGTATTCTTGCACTCAGAATCAATTATTGCATTGACCTGGGCAGATCCGGAGCTTTCATTCTTTTTCACATGCTTCTCTGGCGCAGCTGAACTCTATGAATCTTTCAGTGTCTCTGTTTCTATGAGTTATCACTTTCTTCCTGGCATGCACTCTGTGGTTGTCTTTCTGCAGTCGAGGCTCCAACACCGTCTTCTGTGAAGGTCACTGTAGTGGCATTTACTGTGCGGAATGAAGTTTCTCACTCCCATCACTCATTATCTTGCTATTGTGGCCATATCTATACCCATTGTACAATCCCTGCCATATCTTCCAGAGGAAGCAGACTGGAATCTCAATCAAAACCAGACCGCGACACATCCCCTCGACTACTCGGGTCGGTGGGATGACCACACGTACAACCCCTCCCCGGAAAACTGGCGATTCCCCTTTTACACAATATTCCTCGACAAGTTTGTGAATGGTGATCCAAGTAACGACAATGCGAATGGCACACAATGGGAACATATCTTGACCTCCAACGAGTTCCGCCATGGCGGCGACGTTCTCGGGCTGGTTGATACATTTGATTATCTCCAGGGAATGGGAATAAAGGTGCGTCCTTTGCTTCAGGAAGACTAGGACCGAAGAATATACTGACAATATCCAGGGCGTTTATCTCGCTGGAACTCCGTATATCAACTTCCCGTGGGCTGCAGATGGCTACTCGCCACTGGACCTGACTCTGCTAGATCATCACTTTGGTACGATCGAGGATTGGCGCACAATGATATCCGAGGCGCATCGACGTGGCATCTATGTTCTTTTTGATAATACATTCGCAACGTATGTGATATCCATCAGCGCAACCTGTGATTTAATTTGCTGATTGTGAATAGAATGGGCGATCTTATTGGGTTTCAGGGTTTCTTGAACAAGTCTGCGCCAATCAATCCTAACGAATACGACTATGTATGGAAGTACGACCGCCGGTACTGGGACTTCCAACCTGGAAACGAAGTTGAGAGTGAATGCCTTTGGGACTTTCCTCGATTCTGGGATGATGACGGAACCGGTTTGACCACCACAACCCTTGGTCCTTCATGTCGAAACAGTGAATTTGATCAGGTAACATTGATTTCTTTTGATGTTGAACATGACTGACCTCTACAGTACGGAGAAGTTGCCGCCTTTGGAAATTACACCGAATGGGAAGGTCAGATTGCCAAATTCGCATTTGTGCAGGATCGTCTACGTGGATGGCGGCCAGACGTGCTTGCCAAAATCAAACACTTCTCGTGTTTGACCATCACCATGCTTGATATCGACGGATTCCGTGTCGACAAAGCCCTACAGGTAACCCTTGACTCTCTTGGAGAATGGTCCGAGCATATGCGAGATTGCGCAAAGCAGGTTGGAAAGGATAACTTTTACATTCCTGGAGAGATTGTGGCTGGAAACTCCTTTGGCTCGCTTTATATTGGTCGCGGTCAACAGACAAACCAAACCAAATCTAATCTAACGGAAGCATTCCTGATGACGAACAAGACGCACAAGTCAGAGGAGGATCTGTTCTTGAGACCCCCGGAGAGATCCGCGTTAGACGGGGCAGCGTTCCACTACTCGTTATACCGCGGTCTAAGTCGGTTTTTGGGGTAAATTTCTTCCCCTCAGCACTTTCAGTTTGGTGGTACTAACATCGTCTTGTTTAGTCTCGACGGTACTTACACTGCCGAAGGCGACCCGCCAGTCAACTTTGTGGAGAGCTGGAACGATCTCGTGGCGACTAACGATATGATCAACACAAATACCGGTGTTTTCGACCCTCGTCACTTGTTTGGTGTCACCAACCAGGATGTCTTCAGGTGGCCAGGAATCAAAAACGGGACCCACAAGCAGAACTTAGGTCTGTACGTTGCTTCGTTGATCATGCCTGGGATCCCCATTCTTTCCTGGGGCGAGGAACAGGATTTCTACGTATTGGATAACCAGGCCGACAACTACGTGTTCGGTCGTGGACCTATGTCATCTGCCCAAGCATGGCAGATGCACGGATGTTACAAGCTGGGGTCATCGAAATACGTGGATTTCCCGCTCGAACGCTCCCTGACCGGATGCGAAGATGACAACGTCAGTCTTGATCATCGCGATCCTTCTCACCCGGTGCGAGGTCTCATTAAGATGATGTTCGAGATGCGTGAAAACTATCCTGCTTTGAACGATGGCTGGTACCTCCAGCAATTGTCAAGCCAGACGTTTGACATCTACCTTCCAGGCAGTAATGGAACACCGACCGAGACTGGCATGTGGAGTGTTATGAGATCCCGTTTTGTGGATGAACAGAACTTCGATGGTCAAGGCCAGGGAAATCAGAGCGTCTGGCTGGTATATTCCAATGACAACAAAACAGTCGAGCACGATTTCAACTGCAGCAGCAAGGATGCTTTGATCTCACCATTTCCCGCGGGAACAAGTGTCAAAAACCTCTTTCCACCGTTCGAGGAATTGACTCTGGTGAATAGCTCGACTTCGCTTGGGTATGATTGCCAGTCCAGACTCGATTTCTGTTGCTGACAACGAGTAGATTTGAAGGGTCTAAAGTTCCCAATGGGTGTTATCCCAAACTTACGATTCCGGCGTGGGGCTTCAAAGCCTTTGTCCCGAAGGATAAATTCGTGCAGCCTTCCCCATATGTGACAAGCTTCTCTCCTGGGCATGATGCTCGACTTTTGCCTCAGGGAACAAGTGGGGAGACGATTCGAATCGGCTTCGAATTTTCTCAGGAGATGGACTGCAGCGATATCACAAACTCGCTGACAACCACCTCCAAAACGCTTGACAACCAAAGCCCGGAATTTGACACAACGTCGGTTTCTTGTACTTCAATCGAAGAAACTGAAATCGTGACATGGCCTGGGGCATTTACTAGCGTTTTCAGGTATGAGGTGGATTTGGGTAATGTCTTTCCAGGAGTTCACCAAGTCACGCTTAACAACGTGACGACAGCCGATAGAACTCAGTTCACAGGTGTAAGTATTTTCCTCGCCCCAACGTCATCAACGTCACAATACTAACTGAGTTGGGTAGTCCGTCGACCACTTTCTATTCCGTATCGGAGAGATAAACAATCCGATGGTTTGGCCACGCTTGGCCAACTACAGCAGAACTCTGCTGTTCGATAATCCATCGTCCGAGACTAATCCCTTATCAGTCATGCCACAAGCTCCTGGTGCAGACATGTGGCGCTACTCGCTGGATTTTGGTGCTACATTCAGTGCCTGGATGACATACAGCGGTTTCAATACGTCCATCCCCGGCAAAAGCTGGAGCGGCACTACAAAACAGGCGTGGGAAGGAGAACATATCCTTGCCCAATACTGGAGCAAGTTGACCGGAAGTAGTGCTCATTGGCAGCATGGAGACACACAATGGGCGTACAAACCCCCACGTCGTTTCCCCAATCTTTTCATCGAAGGCGAGTTTAACCAGTTCGGGTATGACGCTGGATATTCCAACAAAATGACTCTAAGCAACGACACTGGTCTGTGGGAAATCCACTTCATGGGCGAATGGCCTGTGCAGGTTGCATTCAACGCCTGGGGGTTAAACGAAGACGGCCTGCCTGATCAAACACAGGTGTTTGGGGACATCGATGGAGACAATGTTCTGGATCAAGTTCCTCCAGTCACTCTCCTTAGCAATGTTTTCAACGTCACCATCCCACCTCCTTCGCCCTATCTTGCCTTCAAGCTGTCAGTTGGTGACGGTGATCTCAAGGTTTACGCTACACCCACAGGATCAAGATGGGTACAGCTGGCCATCTTCATCATTCTAGCAATTGTGCCTGTTACTACCGCATTCAGTGCGGTGTTTGTTTACCTGAAGGCGTTCTACCAGGTGAAGTTCAACCAAATCGGTGTCACGGAGAAAAGATCGAGTTTCGCTCCCCTTGTGGGCGTCTTTAACAAGGTTGCCCATCGATCCAATGACAGAGAATCCAATTCTGGTCTTGCTTTATCCAATGTGGGTCCGTTTCCATCTGAGGGTGGAGGCGTTGTTGGTGCCACGGTGAACACCCACCGACGAACTGTGCTGATTGCAACAATGGAATACGATATCGAAGATTGGGCCATCAAGATCAAAATTGGTGGGCTTGGTGTAATGGCCCAGCTTGTCGGGAAACACCTGACCCAGCACGATCTCATTTGGGTCGTCCCTTGTGTTGGAGGCGTCGATTACCCCAAGGACGATCCCCAAGAACCGATGGTGATCACCGTTCTGGGAAATCAATACCAAGTTGATGTCCAGTATCACCGGCTGCACAACATCACCTACGTCTTGTTGGACGCGCCTGTGTTCCGGGCTCAGACCAAATCAGAGCCCTACCCTGCCCGCATGGATGACTTGAACTCGGCTATATTCTATTCTAGTTGGAATCAATGTATTGCCGAAGCAATTAGGAGATTCCCGGCTATCGACCTCTATCACATCAATGACTACCATGGCGCCGCTGCTCCTCTCTACCTCTTACCTCGCACGATTCCATGCTGCCTATCTCTGCATAATGCTGAATTCCAAGGACTCTGGCCAATGAAAACCTTGAAGCAAAGTCAAGAAGTTTGCAGTGTCTATAACCTTGATCATGCATTGGTGAAAAAGTACGTGCAATTTGGCGAAGTGTTCAACCTTCTTCATGGCGCTGCAAACTATCTGAAAATTCACCAAAACGGCTTCGGTGCTGTCGGCGTCTCCAAGAAATATGGCAAGAGGTCGTACGCTAGATATCCCATTTTCTGGGGTCTGAAGAACATTGAAGCACTACCGAACCCTGATCCATCAGACATCGCCGACTGGGACCAAAACGCAAACAACAGCCTCGAGGACGTTGTCATCGATATGGAGTTTGAAGCCAGTCGTGCCGCACTGAAGAAGCAAGCACAAGAATGGGCAGGGCTTAAAGTGGACCCAGAGGCCCAGTTGTTTGTGTTCGTTGGTCGTTGGTCCATGCAAAAAGGTGTCGATCTGATTGCAGACATTTTCCCATCTGTCATGGACGCTCACCCAGAGGTCCAGTTGATGTGTATCGGCCCAGTAATTGATCTCCACGGAAGGTTTGCCGCGTTGAAATTGAATCGACTTGTTGAGCTTTACCCTGGACGGGTCTATTCCAAGCCAGAGTTCACTGCATTGCCGCCCTTCATCTTCAGTGGCGCTGAATTTGCTTTGATTCCTTCGCGTGATGAGCCGTTTGGTCTGGTGGCTGTCGAATTTGGACGGAAAGGAGCCTTGGGCGTGGGATCACGGTAAGAACGACCAGACTTGAGTTTACCACTATTACTAACCTATATTTCTTTAGTGTCGGTGGCCTTGGACAGATGCCAGGATGGTGGTTCACAATGTGAGTTTCCTTGTCTCACGATATGTTCAAACTAACCCTTTCCAGCGAGTCTATGACAACCAAACATCTGATCCAGCAGTTCAAGATGGCAATCAACGATGCTTTGAAGTCGTCCCAGGAGACTCGAGCGCTCATGCGAGCACGATCCAGCAAGCAGCGGTTCCCCGTAGCGCAATGGGTTGAGGATCTGGACATCCTACAAGCCACATCAATCGAGAAGCACACCAAATACTCTAAACGCAGCGATCGCAGTTCATGGAGGTTCTCACATGGTAGCACCCTTGTCCCAGAAAGCGTTCGCAAAGTCTCGCCGAGTTCAGACAACAGCCGCGAACAGAGCCGATCGCGCAGCTCCACTGGGTCTGCCCCGCCGAGTAGGCCAATGTTGTCCGATATGAGGCTTTCCGTGCCTCGGCCAGGGTATGATCAGGTTCCCTCGCCGACAAATCCGTATTTCAACATCAATATGTCCGACAACGACCCCGACTCGGATACCGACCCGAGACGAAAGCACTTGTCCTCCGAACCTGTCGCAGATTCACGCATCGTATACTCTGCGGTGAACGACCGAGAAGATCTCGAGCCAATTTCTACTGGGGCAATCCAAGATGATGGCAGTGTTCGTCCATCGCCACTTGGGACGCCCAACTTTTATTTCGCTCGATCTGGCGCCAGCACACCGGTCCATAATGCCCTCGCAGAAGATGGTCTGTTGGGCCGAAGAGACGCAAGGTCATCCATGATGAGTCTGATCAGTGTCGATGATATAGTAAAGGAGAAACAAGACTACAACCTGCAGAAGGTTGATCCTTTCTTCACCGATTCAAACAACGAGTACGCGGACAAGTTCCAACACAAGCTTGCGGATCTGAATGGTAAAAACTCGGAGGACCAGCTCTGCATCGAGGATTATCTCGAAAAGAGTCAAAAAGACTGGTTCAATCGCTACCGTGATGTGAAACTGGGCAAGTCCCCCTTGCCGTCACCTGCTCCATCTGTCTTTCGCATCAAGGTTCGTGAAACTGGTCGAGCAGAGAGCCCGCCGGGTCCGGACCCGAATGCCGGGCAATTCCTTCTCCCAAATAACTATGTGCCTCCCACGGGTTTGAAGCGTTTCATGTTAATGAAGCTGGGTGATTGGCCTGTATACTCCCTCTTCCTTGCTATCGTGAGTTGGAACCCTACCCAAATCTTTTAGTCAGACATTGACAACATTATTTTAGGGCCAAATTCTCGCCTTGAACTCGTATCAGATCACACTTCTGAACGGCGAGGTTGGAGAGACAGCCGAAAAGCTATACATCCTGGCATCTATTTATCTTGCGTCTTCTATCGTATGGTGGATGGTCTTCCGTCTAGTTCCTTCGGTTTATGTGTTGACGACGCCATTCTTTGTACGATCACGTTTTTCTGTCTGACGTACGAAATCGCAAGCTAACTATCCGCAGATATACGGAGTTGCCTTCCTATTTGTCGGTCTTGCCGGCTATATTGACGACAGCGTGACTAGAACATGGATCCAAAACGTGGGAACCGGCCTATACTCTTTTGCATCCTCGAGTGGTTCGATTTTCTTTGCCCTCAACTTTGGAGATGAAGGTATGTAAAACTTCTTTCAAACCGTATGAGGACATTCTGACTGTCTTGTTCAGGTGGAGCGCCTCTGAAGTCTTGGATTTACCGAGCCACTATCATCCAAGGCACTCAGCAGTTATTCATCAGTTTCCTTTGGTACTGGGGTAGCTGGATGGCAGCTGTCAATCAAAAGGGTAGCACGCAGTATGGCCTTGCCATGACCAACCCAGGCGCTTTGCTCGGGATTGGACTTGGACTTGCTTGTCTTTTGTGGCTATTGGGTGCCGTGGTCTTCTTCGGACTTCCTTCATACTACAGGCAAGCACCAGGTCAAGTGCCGACATTCTACCTATCGCTCTTCCGCCGTCGCATCATTCTTGTATGTCTCCCCCAGTTCTCCTTCACGATGATTTTCATTCTGACATCGCATTTTGCAGTGGTTCTTCTACATGGTGTTCATTTCCAACTACTGGTTGTCAGCACCTTACGGGCGAAACTGGCTTTATCTCTGGTCCAGCAAGCATGCATCGGTGTGGCAAATCGTGCTTCTCGTCCTCTTCTTTTTCATCATTGTCTGGGCGGCAGCTCTATGGGTCTTCCACGTCTTTTCCAAGAGACACGCCTGGTTCATCCCCATCTTTGCCGTCGGTCTTGGTGCTCCTAGATGGGCCCAGATCCTATGGGCAACCTCCAACATAGCCACGTACATCCCTTGGGCCGGTGGTCCCGTAGCCGGAGCACTCCTCGGCAGAGCACTTTGGCTCTGGTTAGGAGTTTTGGATTCACTTCAAGGTGTCGGTACGTATCTTCGTGCAGCTTATCAAGCGTGACAGAAACTGACTCATGGCAATATAGGCTTTGGAATGATTCTTCTCCACACGATGACTCGATTCCATGTCACTTTCACACTTCTAGCTGCGCAGGTAGTCGGCTCAATTGCGACTATCCTGGCCCGCGCGACAGCACCGGATAAATTGGGCCCTGGTAATGTCTTCCCTGATTTCTCCGCTGGTATCGCAGCCGGTTTGGAAAAGGCAGACTTTTGGGTTTGCCTTCTTTTCATGCTATCCATCAACGTGCTCTGCATCTTCTTTTATCGCAAGGAACAACTCGCGAAACCTTGATCGCTATTTCGATCTTTACTGGCGTTTCTTTTCGTTTCTTCTTAATTCCGTTTTTTCATCCACCCAACATTGTGTGGCGCTTGCATTATCATTGAAGAATTAATAATAGTATATTGGGTTGCATTGACTGGGGTGCGATAGACTTTGTGAAGATCCCCCCATGTTTTCGATTTGTATATAGTGTATTAGTGTATAAACAGACTCCTGGTTTACAAACTGTCTACTTTGCGTGTCCAAACTCAATTTCGTGTTCATGTTACCTAGGTATATGATTCCGATTAGGTAGCGGTTCTCTCAGGCCCAAATCAAACTCATTCATGGTTAGCTCCAAGCAGGTTCCCTTCAGATTTGAGCAATGACAATCTCCGATTCCATTGAACTTTCTGCTAAGCGGGGGCGCGTCTGGATCGGAGAAATTAACAATCTGGAACGTGACAGCCTGCGCCAAGATAGGACTAGGGCTACATGGTCTAGCCTAATTAGTACCTGTCATCGTGTTGGACGTCCGTTTCAGGCCTAGTCAGGGGAACTGATTACTCCGAGCCCTATTCCCAGTGAGAGGTTATATATTGTCAGGACAGTGCTGATTTTCTTTGCAAATTGTCTCTGCTCGTGTCCATATTCTTGCCACTCTTTTCAAGATAATACGACACTAATCCATTCTTTTATTCTATTTTTACCCGTTGTTTTCACCGTATAATTCCCAGTCACTCATTTCCATACAATGTATCAAATGATTGTCTCGTTTATCGTGGCCCTGTGCCTTGGCACGCGCTGGGCACTCGCTGCTTCGACATCAGATGAAATCGCCAACTCTCTAAATGAACTAGCACAGCAAGGATTCGCTGTTAAGCAACTTGTATTGGAAGTAAATTCCACTGCGGACGCTGGTCCAATTCCGGTAAGTGGAGAGACTCTGTCAAGGTGCATGAATAATAGCTCATCATACGATTCAGGATATTTACTTTGAGATGGACACAATGGTCACTGTGGTGCTAACTGATATCAAATTCCTTATGAACACGCCTATCATTACCGGTCAGGCGGAGCAGCAGGACGTCTACGAGGGCTACTCAAATGTAGGTTAATAACACAAAACAGGATGTTTGTAGTTTATGCTTAATGGCGCTAGTTCGTTCAATCCATCCTCGAACTTATGGACGCCTTCTCGAGCAGCGCAGCTCATTTTAAATCCATCAACCAAGCAACAAAGAACACAATTCCTTCAGAAGTTCGCATCTTGCAGAGTGCCGTTGACGTAAGTTTCACAATCGAATTTTTTCTTGAGGCTTTAGTATATTGCCGATAAGTCGCTGACACCTCGCAAGGCTTACTTCTACAATATCATCGGTCTCTTCCCAGCCAACAGCTCGTACAATACCCAGGCCAATAACCAGAAGGCCCAGGTGGATACACATTGTTTCCAGGCTGTCTGGGCATTTGATCTCGGCTCTACCAATGGCAATCAGGCTTTGTACCAAGCCCACAGCAACAGCTCCCTTCACTCCCGACGTATGAAACGCGGTTCTTTCTAATTTCACCCCATGTCTATCTTTGAGTACCACCTGGCCTCATACTTGGGTGCATGGCCACTGGTAGATCCGGCTGAGGGGCGGGCACACTTTGCCCATGGGCTACTTATTGGGCCGAACTTGTGCATAGACTCTCTGTCACGTCCATTACCTATCATGACCAAGGCATGACATAATGTTTCCTTAGGTTCTGCGCTGACGTGTCTACGTTCGTTTTGCATAATTATCCTTCCACAGTAAAGCTATCAATTCACCGCAAGGCCAACTCTAGATCTTGTGTTCCACTGCTAGACAATTCAGTCACGAAGACTAGCAACACAATAACGCAGGCAGACGATGCTTTTTTGAAGCGTATTCATTAATGGTAATTGAGAGTGTGAGATATCTCATCTTTTGCCGTGTGGGATCCTGTACGATGAAAATTAACGATTTCATGAAGCTTGAAGTCCATGGAAGTTTGAGATGATACATGTGATATAATAATCTTCCTATGGAATTGAATAATCTATTATCGTTTGTAGAGCTAAGACTGATACAACTAAAGTATGAACGAGATTGATGAAAGGACGACTCAATGCTTGAAAGACACCAAACCATGCTAGCAAAGTCTTGTCGCTATTTTATAACGTCACTTTGCTTCAAAAGTCATTATTTATTAAGAATCTCAACACATTAGATAAATAATATACACTCTTTAGTAGCACCAGAACTTTTGTTTCTTGAGTATCTAGTTTGTCATCGTAATTTGACCTACCAAAATGTGAAAAATGACAAGGACTCGGAATAAGTAGCTTAACCTTGGAGTTTAAATCCTACGATTATTGATTGGTGCGGGTTGCCTTATTGTTGCATTTAAAGATCCTGTCAAAGCTCGCCAATGAATCGATGGAGCTGTGCGAGCTGTGATGCCCTCCGTCCATACACCAGTACCTATCTCGTACCCACGCATGTATATTTGAGATTAGTGAGTAATCAATCATGCCGACCTGCAGTTGTATTGCTTAGACCTTCCAATCACCCAATTATCCACACTGACCAACTCGGGTGTCGGATAGACCTCAATGTCACTGATATCGAGAAGAAAGATAGAAAATATTTGCAATATTCAATTTACACCCAGATTCAAGCTAATAGTAATACCTTGATACGACGTGCTTCAAGAGCTTTATCAAGTATGCGAGTTCACAAGGGAAAATAATCGTGCTCACATTAAAATGAAATGCTTACGAATAGGGGTGATAGCTTAACAGTTTTCACTAGTGCCTGTCTTCGCAGTTCACATACGTAATACTCTCATTCAGAAAAATTTAACAGTACAATTTCACGCATCGGGCCACCGAATCCAGGAATATCTTTCTGTTACGATGCAAAAATCCAGTCATTGCTACTGTCTTTCGGCTTTTGATTAGGTTGCTGCTTTGAGTCGGGGATTTTCCCATGTTTGTTGCCCCAGCCCCAGGAGTGGCGGTTCTTCAGATCCTCTTTGAAAGTTTGTCAGAGAAAGCGATGGATTTTCAAGGCGTACGAAAACAACTTACTAGTTGCTGTGTCAGCAGAAGGATTGCTGGCCTGAGAAGCAGGCTGCGCGGACTCGAACTTTTGATTTGCTGGCTGTTGCTCGGGTAATTTTGCTGCGTTAGGAGATATGGGTGCGTCCATTGAGCCGGCTGAGCCGGTCGAGCTGGTCGAGTCTTGACGCTCGCGATGATGGAACGCGTCGGATGCTCTGCGGAGGAAGTCTGACATGGTCGGATTTCAATTGTGTTCGAATATAGTGATTTCAATGGTCCATGGATATTCAATATGCCGTGGAGGACGAGCTCGTGGCTCTCAAATTCGTTATATATAGAGCTGAGCTAGCATAACACTCGTAACGTCATGTGGCCCCATTTATACGAAGACCTGGTGATCTCTGCCTGTTTTCCTATGGTATAGCTAAAACGTCAGGCCTATCAGGTAAGAGAGAACAGGCTCTAGACCGTCAAACCAGAGGACGGCATGGTGAGCTCGCCACAACAATCTCCTCACGGGCGGAAGTATCTGTGAACGTTGAGGTAGTTTGATTGGGTGCTAGTCACAAAACCATAAGTAAATGACTGCCATCTAAATGTATGTCACATGTTATATAACCGATTTTGGGGACTGCATACTGGTCGTTGGGTCAACCATAGATTCGGGCACGGAGAAGGACTGATCATCATGACGTTATAGAACTATCCGCAATATATACAAATTCGAACCTATTGAGTAGATGAGATAAATTTTCGTAGAAAGTCTGTTCCATCTTATCTTCATCGAGCCTTGTTAGCATCATACGGATCAAGAATATCATATTCTGCAATGCCCGCCGTAAACTTTCACCACAACACCATCACGGTGTCCGGAGATTGCGATGTCAAGTTGACACTTGATGATCAGAACAATCCAGATGAGCCCTTGTCTTTACTTTGCCCAGGCGAAACCAAAAAGGATTTTACTGGAAAACTGGTTTGTGTTGAGCCCTACGGGACCTATTCTACTAGGTCCTGGAGACTTTCACAGGGCATGGATGCTGCTGAAAATGAAGACGTTACTGTGACGGATCAAAGTAAGCAAAATATGAAAAGCGAATAATATGTGAGAACTGACGATATATATAAAGCACTGCAACAAGGGGATACTGTGGTTTGGTTTAGTTGAAGTAGTGGTAAAACAGAAATTGCTGAATGTATGTAAGATTTGAGATTTTTAAGCTATTTAAGCAATGCATCAAATTGAACAATACAGAGAGAGAGACAGACAGTCAGGCTGTTCAACAAGAGAAAATTATGTTATTCACAATGCAACTTCCCAATGAGATTAAGCCACTTCCCGCCCCGTTCAAGTGCTTCTAACTGCTAACGTCCATTGATTGGAGGGTTTCAGATGCACGATTACACGATGTTAAATATAGTTCATATATTCCACGCATGTGCAAACACCGAGACAGGCAATACAGAAATCGCATCGAATCAGCTCCACCCCAGACGCTGGGAAAGTTCATCTCGCACTAAAATTCCTAGAATTGGGCGGCCATTCGGGCTCTTATCGCGTAACCCTGACTCTTTCTTTTCTAGTAAAGGCGCATTTGATTGGTATCCATATTCTTGACGCTTATTGTTTGGATCTTAATCGATGCTAAAATCGCTATAAGTTGATGTGGAAGGTAGTAGATGACTAGCTGTTAAAGCACTCAATTTACGCTGACAATGCCAGACATTGGAGTCATGAACAATTTCAAGTAAAGATCTTGGTCGTTATAGAATGAATCAAGAGACATGTTATTCAATTGTAGCTTGATTTGCTCACGCAGTATGCAAGAACGCGTAGTAGGCGCCCTTTAGATTACACATTACGTGCTATCCACAGTGTTCGAGCTAAAAAGAACTGCGCACAGTATTGAAGCAGTAGTACGCCTCTCCATTCTTTAGATTCCTGCTTGGCAGAATCACTGAAATTGTGGGAGACAGTTATAATTCAGTTCAAATCAAACGTAATCTGGAATAACAAGCACTTTGTAACCTTCTCCAGCACAGCGAATTACAGCACATTAACAGTATGGGAGACTTATTAAATCATTTTCGCATGTACTTATATAGCCATAATTATGTTTTTCTTTCGAATGTCCCACTGTCATAAATGAAAAATGATTTCACAGAGAAAAGGCCCGTTGAACCTATACTTAGTATTTGACGCAGACCACACCTTCCTTGCCCTATTCACTGTTAGTTTCTTTTCAGTAGTACATTTAGATTCAGAGAGTGACTTACCACAATCTGGTTCTGGGGGCAGCAAAGACTGGCAGGGCGATTGTTGGGACATCTGTTGCCGGACTTGACTGAATTGCATGTTAGCATTTTTCAAAAATTCTCTGAAGATTACTTACGCTCGCATTTCTTTCCGCTTCCCTGAATGAAAAGCAGATTCAAAGGGACTGCACTCTCACAGCACCAGTTGTTTCCATACTTGCATTGGTCTCTCTCTTCAAGGTCTCTCTCTTCGAAGTCATCAACAGGAATAGCAGCGACTAGACCAGTGAGAGCAAGAGCTGCGAAGATATTTTTCATAAGCATCTTAGAGTAATAAAAACTACTATGAAGAATGTAATTCTTTTGGGTGCTTATATCGATTGAGTGCAAGGATTGTGATTTTGAGTGAGGCATTGATCGTTTGAAATGTGGCCCTTTAAATACACGATTCTTGACCCAATCTGCATGATTAAATCTCGATCTATTCGTATCTCGATCAAGAATTTCATTTCGACCGACTCGTCTAGATCGTGGCGATGTGATCAATGACATAGAGTGAAGGAGAAAGATGCAATGTTGATTAATTCTGGATGACCCCGTTTAACGAGTGGCGTATTAGCCAGGCAGTGTTTTCCGCAGGTACAGGATTGGCTTGGCCCTGGTGACCTGGGAATATTATCATGGTTCATTCATAGTTGACTATCTGCGGCACGAACGAAAGGACCTTGTTTGAATAACTAGTAGATAAACGTAAACAAATCTTGTAAATTTTTATACTCGAAGTTCAAAAACCGAACGAAACGAGAAAATGAAGAAGATGACAGACGATTTCCGAATAACATACTGGATATGCCATTGCTCTAAGTCTGCCTTGATATGCGGATCTTTGAATACGAGAAATCTGCGAGTTTATCATGCCGTAAACTCAAATCAATTGGCTGTCAAAGGAGACACTAAACTCTCAATTCATCTTTGGGTGGTAGTATTCCGCCCGATTTGGCGAGATCTAGCCAACAATGAAAGAGGGTCAGAAGATACAGTCCATTTCCGGCGCTTGGCGGTCCAGGAAAATCTAAGCTTAACGGCAACGGGCACGTATCGTGAGTGGACGGGAGTAACCGACGTGGCTTGGCATTTAGAGGTCGGTATGGATAGTTCATGTTCTGTTACGAGCCGAGGAACATCTATCCAGATCCGGAGGAATATGGTACAAAGCTAAGATCGAGATTTCCTCTCCGGTAACTACATCCATTGGATAACCTACACAATAAACTCTCAAGTAGTTTACCCTCATCTTCGTCAATCACAGTCGCTCCTCCTTTTTCTGAGCCGAAGTTTATATATTTGTTGAAATGGAAATGGCGCAATGGCAATCTGGCATCGCAGCCAGGTCAACACCAAATGGGTAGAGAGAATGAAACAGAACGCAACAAGAGGTTAGGTAGTGGACGCGTGGCAAATGGGGCTTACTATAGATGGTTTGATTCTATTTGAAGGAACATGATGAATGACTGGCCGTGGTTTGTGTTCTTCCAAATTCTCCAATGACAGACCGTTATCCTGAAGCAATTCTAACGCCTGAGGCTGTCATCAGCGTTAAACATGTCGCGAGATTTCTCACTCAAATTTGCAGATTTTCTCCTGTGATGGCATATCTGCTACAGGATATTAGACCATAAGTATACTAAAGAAAAAATGTCCCATTCTCGATCTTCAACACTCGAGCATCATCAAGCCAGGTGAAGTTGCGACCTCCGAAACCTCATTCCGCTCCAAATGCCAAGAGAAACTATTTTGTCGGAACCAAGACTGTATATACTGAGCCAAGTATCCTAATATTGGACACCGAAAACGTTATCTAGTGGAAGAAACAGGGAATATTTATGACTGACCTCACACTAGGATCCATGTACTGACTGTCACGGTGACCGACGGTACAGCGACGATTTCTAGGCCTAGAGCCGGAGTGACAGAAGCCTAGAATAATTTTTCTTGAAATTCTCGTCTCAGACTGATAGATATTAGATTTTGATTTATTCATACCACGGCTCTTCGACTACGCGGGCGTGAATCAACCGAGATGGCTCGCCAGATGAGCTTTGGTAGAATACCCAATTCGCCAGTTCTTCACGCCGAAGTAGAGCATAATACCAGTCGCAGCCATACATGAATGGATATAAGCGAAGTCCAAGATGTCTATGACAAAATATTGCATCTGAAGCTTCGGTCATTGTGCTACTTTTCTAAACCATACTTTTACTGCTGTAAAGGACAACGGAAGGTACCCAGTGAGCTCCGCACTGACCATGACACAAAGCACTCAAATTATGATTTAATTTTAGGGATAATATCATTTTAGAATGCTCAATAAGTTCCTTTGGAAAATAATAAACATGTGGTGCGTAATATCGCAAGTCCAAGTAGCAGAGCAATCACTAACGTTAGTTAGTATAAGTTAACTAGTTAAGTGCAAGGAAGTTCAGGCGCTAAGGCACACTGTCAAAATCCATCAAAGCCTGAAGCGTTTGATGAACTGGGTTCGAATTCAACTAGGATTTCGAAACCAAGGCAGAGTATCAGAGGATCTGGGTTCAAGATACATAAATCTATAAGGAGTTTTGCTTCTCGTCCAATTATCACGAGTCGGGAAAGACGTCAACAAATTACTACATAGCTCTTGTACGAGTCAGCCATTACACGTGACATTAATCCTCCTTCCAACAATTCTTTTTTGAGAATAGTGAATATAATTTCCTCGGCCAAGCCAGCAAGACCCTATGGCCACTCGTACCTTACCTTCCCGGCTGTGACTGTGGATGCTGGAGGCGAATTGATTGTTTCTTAAAGAAAGAGAATTAATTCAGTTGATGATTACACAGAAACTTTGGTTGAAATCAGAGAAGGATTGATGAAATTTGATTGAATATAGACGTATTTGAGAGGCGGGTATACCCCCCATGTGCCAGGCATGCGATTAGACGATTGATCCTCGGGCAATTTGCTACCATGTGCGAGCCTAAAAGACTGGCCATAAATTTAAAGGACTGCAAATGGCATTGAATAAGAGATATATCTCTGACGATATGGTTCTCTTTGGTCGGAGTCGAACATGGGTTGGGGGTATAATGAAGTTATGCACGAGTTTCATTGACGGGTGAACGAACCGAGAAGGGATCCAGGGAACCCCAAATGTTAATTGCCACACCAAATCTCTTCAGATACAACAGTTTGCGGGAATTGAACCCTGTGTAATACTCGATTTGATTAGAGCTGGATGAACTTATCCTCGCAGTCGCGTAGCGTGTATGATTAAAACAAAGGTATCCCAGTGCAAAATATCTCGTGGCATAATCACGGAACAGTGTGCATGTTACCGTTAAAAGTCTAGGTGATCATCAGCTGCGGTCGCGATACGAACTTTCATCATAGATTGGGTGTGAGAACTGCAAGTGGGCTAAACTCGTATAGCATCATCGTAATGTGACGTAGCGTACGGAAATTCTGACGGGGAGCTCCTACTATGAATATCAGCATCGAAGTCCCGGCATTTTCCACGTAAAGATCAGATCATCTCAATAACAGAATAATCCCCTGAAACAAATTAAGTTCTTACTATTTTCTCAATATGCCGATTAAGAGATACGGCGTGTGGAAGGCAAAACCTGTGTACTATGAGGTTGAAGATGCATTCACGGACGATATCAGCCCTCACTTATCCCTCTATTTCGACGATAAAGGTGGTGATCATTCTGGAAGGGAGTTTCGTTCAACCGGCGGGCGCAAAGAGATTCGTGGTCTTTTCAGAGCTGCAATCAACACCAAGTCTGTAGGCAACGACTCTCGACTTGCCTACTGGGTGAATCACAACGTCAACAATCATCCCATCATCGATGGTCTCAACGTTCTACCTTCGGGCTTTGAGCCTCTAGAGCAACCACAGCGGGGATACAATGAACTAGGATTGGATTACATCCGAAGCAATCTATTCAATGTCAACAGCGGTCGGATCTTGTTCCATGATCATCAAGGCCCCAATAACGATATGATTGATGTTTTGGAACCTGAGATCAAACAAGCGATTGATCAGAAGGCGGACGTCTACATTTTTGGGGCACAGTTTGAGGACCGGAAAGGCATTCACGATGTGCACATGAATCAAGGCAACATTGGGCGGTTTCAGCGTGACGACGGTATCTTCCAAGACGGTGGTCTTTTGATCAATTATCCAAGATCTGGTAAATGGGTGGGAATATTCATCGGGTTCGCTTCGCAATCTGCGCACACAGACGATGACACCGGACATGCCATAGGGTCAGAGACTTGGATCGACTATCTCCGCTCCACAGGGCGCCGCAAAGATCTCATCGAGAACTCTTTGCATATTGATGAGGCTTTGGTCAACTCGAGTGATTCCAAAATGAGACGCAGATCAGTCACGATCTCCAACTCAACGGAGCACACAATGCCTCTGTCCGCATGGAAGATCCAAAATTCAGCTGGGGAATTCCAAGCCCTACCGCCTGATGCAGCGTTGGGTGCTATGAAAACGCAAACTTTCGAGATTCCGCATTGCCCTCTTTCGAAAATAGGTGATACTATCACACTGGTGAATGATGAAGGACTTAAAGTTGATGGGGTGAGTTACCATGCTCAAAAAGGGGGAATGGAACTTCAATCTGTTGTTTTCGCTCATTAATATTGCTATGGGTATTTGATTCAAAGGTAAGTTCAGTCTTAATTCAATAATCAAATGTCGCTTGAGGGATTGACGGGAGTAATTTTTCGGTTTTACTGCACGACAATAGGAAATTGAACACGATTGCTTGATGTACAAACTTGGCTGTAGTAGGACATCATTGTCGGTGCCATGATTCTTAGAGGCATAGTACATAGTATCCATTCAGTAAATGACTCGATACGTACTTTTTTCTCAAGCTTCCTAGTAGTGTATTTGACGGAAAGACCGATCCAGGCTACTTACAGTCAGAGATCATGAGTATTTGCAACCTGGTACATAAGACCCACTTTCATTATGCCGGTATAAAACCTGAATTCCTAATAACTACACTGCCGTATGAAACGCCAACGACATCAGGCATTTCATGTAATACCAGCCGTATGCTGTAACTGTAACATACCAGTCCCCGTATACGCGGACTTATCGAGTTTTGATTGGCTTCCCATCTCCGCTGTATGGGTCTTCCGGTGGAGCACGTTTACCTTCTTCCTTTTTCCGTTTAGATCGGGTTTGAGGATTTACTGGACTTGGTTTTTATAATTTTCATGTACGACATCTTCTACTGACCAATGTCTCGAATGCCCGTATTTAAAGATCTGAGCTATACGTTGCCAACTTCGTACTATATTTTCTAAGCTCCACGCATTATGATTTAAGCGACTAGACCGCGGTGAGCGTTGTTCGTACGATAGTAAAAATCCCGCTTGAATATCCCCTGATTATTCGTAGTCATAAACAGTTCACGTACTGATATCATTGATGATCTCTTGCCATTTATAATATTTTTCCATTCATCCCTGTGTGTTTTGTCCATCACCCTTGTCCTGGAATATAATGAGTAATCTCTACTCTGCAATGCAACGACAATTTATTGACCGCAGCGCCGCGATTATGCTGGTACCTAAAGCCATACTTTTGTTTTCGACTATCATCACTGTCTCTTTTGCAAGCCTAGGCTGTAAACTTTCACTCGCCGATTCAGCATGGCCCTCGGTGAACGAATGGGCCGCATTAAACAATTCTATCGGAGGAGTGCTACTCAAAACTTCACCCGTTGCATCATCTTGCTTTCCTGGTAATCCCTTCAATTCTCCTGAGAATTGTACCAGTGTACAGGAGAAATGGTCCTATGCAGCATATCATGCTTCCTGGCCCGAGAGCATTGACTACCCAATCTACACAAACAATTCCTGTGTTCCAAAGGGTGCCACTGGCTATGTCAAAGGCAATGGTTGCAGTATTGGTGGATTGCCACGATATATTGTCAATGCCACGACAGTCGATCATGTTTCGAAGGCAATGAAATGGGCCTCTAAACGAAATATTCGGATTGTTGTGAAAGGAACCGGCCATGACCTGAACGGCCGGTATGTGATATGATAATTGATACTTTCCAACCGAGTCGCTAATAATTATCTAGATCAACTGGCGCATTTGCGCTTTCTATTTGGACACACAACTTTAAGCATTTCGAATGGCGACGTGCTTGGAAACTGCCAGGTCGGAATGAAACCGACGATGTTGTTGTATGCGGAAGCGGCAATAATTGGGGCAGTGTTTACGCTGCGGTTAACCGCATCAACAGAACTGTCGTTGGTGGAGAGGACGCTACTGTTGGCCTCGGAGGGCTGATTCAAAATGGTGGTCATGGATTTTTGTCGAGTCACCACGGTCTTGCGTCGGATCAAGTCTACCAGGTCACTGTAGTAACCACCGATGGCAAGCGTCTTATCGCGAACAGTATACAGAATGAGGATCTCTTTTGGGCAATTCGCGGAGGTGGAGGAGGTCAATATGGAGTGGTCACGGAGTTTATCCTCAAAACACACCCTATTCCAACAAACGTGGTCACCGGAGGGCTTTCGTTTTATGCGACTGACTCCTCAAACGCCAGTGGGGCTGCCTCATGGAACGCTTTGTCGGAAGTTGTTTCTTCGATTCCCGACATTATGGATGGTGGTCTGAATGGCAACATCACCGCATATACCAAGACAAGAGCGATGGCTTTGGGTCTTACAAGTGCACTAGCCGGTGTTGCAGTAGTGGTTGGTTTTGTTGGTTTAAACATGACAGCTGATCGTATGGATCATGTCGTTAATCAACTAGCAATCCGAGTTGCATCCATTGACAACAGCAACTATCTCAGCTTTTCTCGTCAACGGGCGTCTACGCAGAGTTACTGGTCGTTTTCGAAGGCTAACCCTTTGTCTAGCAATTCTGCGGGAGTTGTCAGCCTGATGACCAGTCGCCTAATGGGCCGAAGGGAGTTATCGGACATTGCTCAAAAAGACTTGACAGGATATCTGCGGCAGGCTATGGCTTCCGAAGATCCAGACACTGGAACAATGTTACTGTTTGGATTGCAAGGCGGTCGCGGTCCTGCTCATGTCCCAGAACATATGCGTGGAAGTGTTCTCCCTGCCTGGCGCACCGCATATGCTCATGTTTTCACCCTAGGAGCATCGATCAACGCGACAAAAGATGCAAGTCAGTCCCTCAAGGCCGCCGCAGATTGGTATGAGGCTGTCAAAGAGCCTGTTTGGAGAAATTGGGCTCCTAATACCGGCTCATACATGAACGAGGGCAACCCATTCAGTAGTACCTGGAAGAAAGATTTCTATGGCGAAAACTATGAAAAGCTCCTAGCCATCAAGCGCAAGTTTGATCCTAGCGATAGTCTCTTCGTTTGGAGTGGCGTCGGTAGTGACCTGTGGAATTATGATCTGAACTCTGGATTGCTCTGCCGAGTGGCATCATGATTCAGAAACAGATGCTAGCAGACGAGAACATTTGATATTCCGTTGCAACCCAACTAAATGATTTTGAATCCTCAATGCTCCTGGTTCTACTGCTATTTGAAGATATACAGAGAGATAGATATGTGTGTATTTTGGGTTAGAGAACTTGCGTCGTTATGTATTTTATTCGTCTCAAAACTGCGTTGGACTCATTCAATCGACTACATTCATACTTAAATGGTTCAATGTAAGAATTTAATGGAAACCACTTTAATCTATAATACACAGGCAAGTGATATCGAGAATGCGAAACGTTGGGGCATGGCTTGCTCAGAAAGAATAATCGCTGGAATGGCTGAGTAACACACGTAGTCTCATTATTTTGCGCAGTTTCCAATTTGAGACTGAGCCTAGAAATTTACTCTTCGGGCGTTAAAAGGTCGGGTTCTCTTAGATCCGTGTAAATCTTAAACTGGGTGAAGATTGCCTAAACAGGCAGCATCGTTAAAGCTCGATACGTATTACTCAAATAATGATCGGCTTCTGTATTCGGGTCTTCATAATATTCATCAATATGACTCCCGCGTATTCAGTTGGCATCTGTTTTAAAATGCTCAACTTTACATTCTTGGCAACGATTACTATTGGAATGTCCCGAATACGCGGAGCGAATGATTTCTGATTGGCTGACTTTTAAAGTACCAAGACCAGAATATCCTCATATTCAGCGAACTTTCGCTTTCTTTTTGGACCTGGCCATACCAATTGGATATCTCTTTTTAGCATTTGCCCGCCTTATGTGTAACTTCGGTTCTCAAGGTCTGCTTCGTCGTCTCAGGCGATGCCAAGTCATACTTAATTTCAACGTTTGGAAACTCCATTCCTATCAGCATTGTATTGATTATTGTAGCCCTGTTTTCTTATTTCTATCGGAGCAAACTCTAGTACTCTGATATAGCTCAAGCAGGTTACAGCCCACAAAGCATGAGTGCTGCCGTTGTACAACTCTATGCTGCCACCATCATTATGGGGCTCTTCATCGCCTTTTTGTGGATTTTAAAATTGAACCTTTCATTGAAAGACTATATATATTTATGTGTACTTGACGTTTGCAATATTGACTAACTTTGCCGCGAGTGAGTTCGTGGAGTTAAGGTAAGGAGAGTGTTGAGCATTTCCAACGAAAGCTAGCTCTTGGGTCAGTCTCTAATCAGTTGATTTATTGATATTGTCAATCGTAATATAGAATTTATGGGCAAAGCCAAAACATGCCTGGCGGAGAATTGTCTGACAGAATAAAATCGGCCCGGGGGGGAGGTCAGAGTACTCATGGCTCGTGCATGAACGTGTTCGGCCAGCGAAGCCAACTTTCCCACTGCGGCCCAAGGTAATTACTGATAGAAGAAATTAGATAAAGACCACTATTTCCAAAAGTCCATATCTCACGGTGCAGGTGTAAAAGGGCTCCGAAGTGGGACAAAACAGCAAGTGCTTCTGGTCGACGCTCTGAAAGTAGGTCTATGTACTCTGGAGTAATGTTCACCGGCCAGAAAATGATTGGACCAATTCTTGAGAAGTTTGATAAAGGCGAGCGACTTGCATTGAAGGCTTTTTGTAAGTCTTCAATGGTCTGTCGGTAGATAGAGTCGATCACTGGATCATAGATAGCATCCAAATGTGCTAGGAGCTCGACACACTCATTGCCAGATGTACTTTGATCCAAGATCATTTGTTCGATTTCAAGCAGAGGTTTAAGCGGTGACTGCAAAAGTAGATGCCACGATTTATTTGTAACTGCACGAACGCCACGATGCATCCTCAGTGACTGAACAAAGTGATCGAGAAAATCTTCGAAGCTATCGGGGCGAAACAATAACTTTTCGGCGAGAACATGCATTGCCAGACATGAAGAAAAAAGAAACATGGGCACGCAAGTGTCGGCAGATACGTCCAGGTTTCCGCCATTGAATTCGGACAGAGCGTGTGTTTGAAGCTGTGAAGAATGATATTGGTAGAATTCCTGTCTTGTTGTATGAATAACGCTGAGATGTAATGCAGCGAAAGCCAAGATTTGGTTCATGAGATATGGCGCAGACAATATGTATCTAGTCATGTCGATAGCAGAGCCCTCGGATGAGAGCATATCAAAGCCAGGGAACGCCAAAACGTCCGTAGCAAAGTGATGGAATAATTCCAAGTGCAATTTGTTAACTGGAGGACTGTCATTTGTGACACCAGAATCGGCAACATGCGAAGATTTCACAGGTACTTCATTATTTATGGCAGCACGTTTTGACTTTGATCGATGGATCTGCACTAAGCTATGCGCTTTCGACACCATACCTTCATATGAACAGTGACGCTTTGAAACATGGCAATTGACGCATTTTGGCCTGGTCTCATCGCACTGTAGCACAAATCAGCGTCTAGCTTGTTGAATTGGACAGGCTGTGTCCCGGTAGTTGTTTCATATGATGATAGAGTATAATACCTTGACGTGACGACGTTTGCATTCGACGCAGCCATGCCTTGATTTTTTGTGCGCCTTTCTTGCCTGGATCATGATCTTTTCCTTTCCGGTTGAAATCAGATGGGGGAACTTTGTCTCCTAGGCATCAGGATCTGAGAAATGCAGAACCTGAGTATACCCCGATTATGCGCAAGCAATTTGAATGACCAACGGGTTCAACCCTAGAGGTTTCTGGTATTGACAAGGGGTGAAAGCAACATTCACCTCCTAAGTTAGGATTTTCTAATATGCTGACTCAGCCAGTTTCCAGGCATCTTCGTTCAGAATTATTGGCCAAGTTTATCCTCGATTTGACCTGAATAGTCGTATATTTAGTGACAAAAAGAATGGTTGATAACTAGTTCTATTTAACAAACAGTCTCACTGTATAATTACTGGAGGGCTATAATGGTTACCAGGAATTGATGATGGCTTTAAGTATTGGACGCTTCGTTTCCCACAGATAAGTTAACCTATACTTTAAATCAAGCATCTTGAAGGTTCACATAGTCATCAACAACAGGACCCTTGCCTACAAGGATTTTGCCTGGATGAAAGAGGTGAAAGATTGCCTGTACGATGAACATTGGAATCGCGTCGAAAATGTACATGCAAAACTCATGCGAGTTCACATATCCATTTGTTCCGCCGACGTACTCTATGATGCGAAAAACACATCGCCCAATAACCAGTGCCGAAACGAGGAACAAGATATGTAAAAGGCGACGCCATGGACCACCGATCAAATTGAGATTCGCCTTGCGCAACCGATGCTGGAAGGCAACAGCGACGTAGAGGAAGAATCCAAAAAATATCAGTTGGATAATCAGCCCAACAACCAGAATCTTCTCTCCTAGACTGCGCATACTATTTATGGTCTGCATACCACCACCACTTAGCTGTAGGAGGAACGCAGTGGTGTCTCCCAATACAAATATTTTGGTCACTTTTCGAGGTGCCACGATGGATAGATGAGGTTGACCGACAAACATGACAATTCTACCGTAGGTCATGTAGATTGTGGCAGCGTATAGCGATGGTGGGAGAATAATGAACATGGACTGGCAGATGTAGGGGATAAGGCTATCCAAGCTGCGTGCGGAAATCAACCGGAAGATATAGCCCAGGGTCATCACTGGTGTCACATATTAAAAAACTGAAGATAAGTGTTGATGGAGATGGAGTACTGACTGAAAGCACCGATGAGAAAAGCGGTGAAAAACCAGGTTCTTGTCTTTATCATTTGCCAAAGGTGGACAAATGCACTGGCTCCGAATAATAGCATTGCAATTGTAGCACCTGTCGTGCTGGGCTCATAGGGGTAGTAACCTGAAGATCCCATCGTGTCCAGATACGTTCGTCTTGTCGTTCAAAATGGCTTGTAGCGATGAACAACGAAGAAGATTCTTTCACAGAGGTGAAAACGAAAATGCCGAAACAGGAAACAGGAAATGAATGACTGAAGAGGGGTGATTGTGGAAGTTTGAAGGAGAGCTTAAAAGAGAGAAGTTTCAAAGATTGAGTAGAATATTAAAAGAAAGTAACATGTGGACGTGAAATCCGTGTATATATACAGCTTCATATTTATATTTAGTTTACTGGGGGTTCGCGGCTAGAAGAAGATCTAGCAAGCATATGTTGAGTGGATTGAAAGCGTAACTCGTACGTCGGGAAAGCTCATTGCTTGATAAGGGGTTGTGGCAGTGATCCAACCTGATATTGTCTCAAGCATGCGGGTCTGGGGACCTATCATGGTACTAATTATATGTCGAAGGAAATTTCCGGATGCATATATATGGGACAGGTATGTTTCAATTAGCCAGCCTTGCCCGAATACGCGGAGAGATTGACCCGTGATTGGTGCATATATGAGTGGATCTACAAAACATATCTCTACGCGAATCTAATTTTTTGAAATTGCGCCACCACCAGACCTCCTACGGCCATACGATCAAAAGAAAGTTTTATCTATATCAGCGTCAGTGGGACTACCCGAACCAACTCGAACTTACCCCAGAAATCTTTCGATCAGTCAAGAAGTGTGTCCTCTGTTGGTCCTTCACGAAGTTTTCAAAGCTTGTGGTGAGATATTTAATCCCCTCTATAATGGCCCCGATAAGGCTAAGACAAAGTCATATGGTTCATCCTCCTCATCAGCATGGCCATTTTCTAGAGAGCGCATGCTTCCCACAACATACCCAAAATGAAGAGAGCCTACGCGTTATTTTCGAAGGTGTCCCGGATTTCAAATGTCGTATTGGCTGGAAGATCCCGAATAGAGATCCCGAATAGAATTTGAGAAATTGTCAAGAACCTCACGTTTCCCTCCAACTGTTGGCTTGACAAGTACGTGTATCAGCGTGAGGCCTCATGCTGACCGCATAACATGTAGCTGTAAATAGGCACTGCCTTATTTATAAACACAGCTAGACAATCTCAAACTTGTTATCGAGACTTGATTTCATACTACCAAGTACAACTCCTGAGGCAACAATATGGATGTTGCCTACCCAGGTGCGAAGCGCTTGATCGGTCTTCCCCCTTTACCCTTTAGCTTAAATCTTTTCTAATATTCTTTTGGAAAAGCATCTTACCTGTCTGTCTTGAAATGATCCATTAAAATGCCAAGAATCCTATTCCATGTTGAATATAAAATTGGATGTAAAATTGGATGTAAAATTGGATGTAAAATTGGATGTAAAATATGATACTCAAAAAGATATAAAATATGACTGATATCTTAGTCGCATTTCGTTATAGGTGGTTATTTAGTACTAGCCTTTATTTAAAGATGTATGAATATTCGGGTAAAGGTTTAGTTTGAACTTGGTTAATGGTCACTTCGCGCTCACTTCTCGTGAAATGCCTTCGATCATCGCTTCCATCCATGTTCATCTTTTACCACGCCGGCCATGAAGGCCCGTTTCAGGGTGATTTATCTTTCATCTCCCATGATAAGCGAGTTAAATGGGATGCGGTGAAAATGTGCATGGACTCGGATGAGTCAATGGACTGCTTCGCTATCCTTGACTGCTGTCATGTTGCCACCCGTTACCCTAGCTCGAAGGGACTATTTCGGGTTATGACTTCCTCTGGGAATCATGAAACTGCCTCCCCCCGTGGACAGAAAACTTCCGTCACCCAGCGACTATTCCGCGCCATGCAGCGATTCAAACCCCAGGATAGTTTCACTACAGCTCAGTGGTTCCAGCAGGTTCATCTAGAGCAACCAAAAAATGCACCAAGTGCTGTATTTCAAACCTTGAACGGTATCGGCACGATCAAACTCGTGTTTGATCGAAAACAAGACACGCCGTTCCGCCTCCCTCGACCAATATACGGTCTCACACGGAAAGACGTGCTTGTCAAGCTGACAATCGAAGGCCAACGTGACGTTGTCAATTGTTTCTCCACTGCGACTCATAGTCTCCCAGCTCATACGAGACTTGAGATCCAAGACGCATTCGAAACTTACGCGTCGGTCCTTTTCCTATTGCACATGTCGTGGGAAGCATGAGCTCTCTGGACTATGGTTGTGAACTTACAGTTCGTTGGGGCTACACTTAGCCCTTCTCTGATCCACCGAGAAGGAATTACTTATGGCGCTTGATATCAGTATAGCATTGCTAAGCGAATCCAAGTATCTTTTGCTTTCTAATACTCTGTTTGATTCTCTACTATCCTACTCTATGAAATGCATCCAGTGCTGTTAAAAAGATCGAATGCTACGCCTCCTTCGATAGGGATATGTACCAACCGAGCCCATTTTCGAATCAATGACGAATGATTACTACGAACGTCTCGACCTGCGGTAGTAGATTCTCCAGTAGAAAGCAGCCCATAAATAGCTTCAGTCACAGCGTATGACGATGGGCCAATTGCGGGATAGTCGGTATCTTGATCGAAATAGAAATATGGCGTGAGGATTCGCTTGATCAACTGGTTCAATCGGCGCTCTGAGATAGTTCCATTTTGAACACCAGACACCACATGAGATCCGAAATATGAATTCGTGAAGTCTGTCTCGCTAAAATAGCCAGGTATCCTCAAATCAAGACCAGAATTGATGGCACGGGCGCCCGAATGGGTTGCAAACCAATCCGACATCACGTAGCCCTGGAAGCCTAGCTCGTCTCTGGGAAACTTTTTGAGAAGTGGGGTATTTTCGCAGGAATATGTAATGTTTACTGTGTTGTAGCTACACATGAACGAAGCAATTCTGGCCTTGACAGCTTCTTAGTACTGTTCTGAGAATCAATTCGGGTCGCATAGCCAATAAGTTAATTTCGACTAAATAGACAAATATCAACTAGCGAAAAAGGCGATAAATTGAAACAAGGCCTCTTACATATGCCGCCAATAGCAAACGGTAGATTAAACCGTACTTGATTCCGGAAGATCCAGAAAGGAAAAATATAGCTAGAAGGAACATGACCAAAAAAATGACGGCCGCAATGATAGAGGGGACATATTGCCAGACGTAATAGCCGCTCTTCAAAGGCTAAGCTTTGCCATTTTGGAGTCTTGAATTTTATGAGATTTAGTAATATCGGTGAAGCCTGGAATAATTACAGTAGACCTCAAGATACCTGGCCAACATTTCTATACTCGTGAAAGAGAAATTTAAGCATGGAGCCATTTTGGGTGGGTCTACTCTAAATCGGGTGGCCAATCGCGTTCCTCGCAGTACGCGTACTCGTATCGTATCGGATTGCGGCTCACTCAGTCTCCAAGCCCCGCAAATCTTCAACTATCGTCACCGTTATTGAATAGGCACACCTGAAAACCTCAACGAAGTGGAGTCATTGGAATACTAAACGCGGATTCCTGAAGTGGCGATTAACCACTTAGTTGGCCCCTGACTCACTTGCCTTTTAGCCCCGGCCTTCATGTCGCACCCCAGTCCATTTGGAAGGATGTGAAGTTGAAGACGTCATTTAACGTACACGTGTATTTTTCCGAAACAAATCCAACGAACATACCTGATATCGGCGCAATCGAGACAGTCTTCTTTGCTTTCTTTCTCAATTTGTTCTGAAGATTCTTTTCTCTGGTACTTTTGTGACATCAACTCTTCTCTCGATTACAACCGTGCTCTACTGCTTCGCATTGGCTGGTTTGAAAGTGACCAAACATCGTGAACATCAGCATGACTCAACTGCGACTCCGGGTCCAGGGGCAATCCTTTCGAGATCCCCAGAACCGAGAAGTTATTCTAAGGGGAATAAATGTCGCAGGCGATGCAAAATATCCGAAATTCTCAACACAGGGATCTCATAATTCCGAGGACTTGTTCGATGCGGATGATGTCTCATTTGTTGGACGTCCATTTCCTCTAGAGCAGGCGGATTCCCACTTTCAACGACTCCGAAAATGGGGATATAATACCATTCGATACATTTTTACGTGGGAGGCCATCGAGCACGCTGGCCCCGGTATATACGACGAGGAATGGGTGGATTTCACTCTTCAGATCCTTGGCATCGCCAAACGTTATCAGTTCTATATTTTCATGGATCCACATCAAGATGTGGTAAGACGATCTTTGAGCCATTTGGAAGCCCCGACCCCCCCGAGCTAGATGCTGATGTTTGAAAGTGGTCGCGACTATCAGGGGGATCAGGAGCACCAGCATGGACCTTTTATGCAGCTGGACTAGATCCAAGGTCTTTCACGAATACAGAGGCCGCCATCTCTCAGCACACATCGGACAATCCTGCAGAGTTCCCCAAGATGATATGGTGTACTAATTATACCAGGTTGGCTTGTCAGACTATGTTCACTTTGTTCTGGGCTGGCCGAGACTTTGCGCCAAAAGCAATCATTGATGGTGTGAATATTCAGACATACTTACAAAACCACTTCATTGCGGCGTGCAAATATCTCGCACAAAGAATACATGATACAGAAGGTCTCGAACAAGATGTGGTTATTGGGTGGGAAAGTTTGAATGAGCCCAATAGGGGACTTATCGGTATTCAAGATATTTCGAAAGTTCCAGAAGAGCAGCATCTACAACTCGGCACATCACCTACTGCCTTTCAGGGTATGCTTCTTGGATCCGGGAGGTCCTGTGAGGTGGAAGTGTGGCGATTTGGAAGAATGGGACCACGCCGGACTGGCAAACGTGTCGTCAATTCGAAGAGCGAGTCGGTCTGGCTACAATCCGAGTGTAGCAAATACGGCTGGCGACGAGATCCTGGATGGAAACTCGGGAAATGCCTTTGGGCGCAGCATGGCGTTTGGGATCCGACCAACGATAACCTGATCCACAACGACTATTTTTCGAAGACGCCCGGGTCTGACGAGGATCTGGACTATGAAAAGTTCACCAATACCTACTTTCTGGAGCACTATAGAGCATACAGAGACGCAATTCGCAGTGTTTGTGAGGGCACCATCATGTTCTGCCAGCCTCCTGTTATGGAAATTCCGCCGAAGATCAAAGATACTATCGATGACGATCCGAATATGGTCCATGCTGTTCACTTTTACGATGGTCTGACACTATTGAGAAAGCACTGGTAAGTTTTCACAATCCCCTTCTGAGCTTGACACCAATTTTTGTAGGAGCCGCTTTTTCAATATCGACGTGATCGGCGTACTTCGAGGCAAACACTTGTTGCCGGCATTCGCAGTCAAATTTGGCGAGACGTCTATTCGCAAAGGGCTACGAGATCAGCTCATGTTTATCCGCAACGAAAGTTTCAACAATGTTGGGAATCATCCACTCATTTTTACGGAGATTGGAGTTCCATATGATCTGGATAATAAACATGCCTATAAGACTGGAGACTACAAGAGTCAAATCAAAGCTATGGATGCCAACCATTTTGCTCTCGAAGGGAGCAATGCCAACGGATTTACCTTGTGGGCCTATATGACAGAGGTATGCACGGTGATTTTCAGCGCGACAACTTTGCTGACTTTGCTTAGAACAATCACAAATGTGGCGATCAATGGAATGGTGAGGACTTTTCGATATTCTCTCAAGATGACTTGGAGCTGCCGGACAAGAAGAATCCACGTTCCATCAGATCACGTCCGTCGACGTCATCCGACACTCATGCTTCTGAGAATAGTATCAAAGCTGATCCAAACGCCCAAAGTGTTCCGGGGTCAAGGCGTAGATCAACTGGATTTGATCATTTTCAGAAAGTGGTGACTCGGAGAAAAGGCTATCGCGCAGCAGAGGCTTACCTTCGCCCTAGCCCAATCTGTGTTGACGGCCAATTGAACAGCCATGGTTTCGATTTGAAAAGATGCACATTTACGATGAGCATAACTGGGAAAGCTACGGCCTCCAACTCTCCAACTGAGATATATCTCCCATACTTCCATTTTCCACAGAAAGATACGGTGGTTACTGTGAGTGGGGGCAAATGGAAGATTGTCGAGCAAGAGGTCAATCATTGCAAAGTACAATTTTTGCTGTGGTGGCATGATGAAGGGAATTCAGAAATTGAAGTCAACGGAGTTGGTTGTAGAACAAGAAAATCAGCTTTTTGATACTGAGAAATGTCAAATAAAAAAATATGTCATTAGGTGAAAGTTGCAAAAGCATTCTCATGTTCAAATATACTGGTCTCCTGATTTTAAATCAGTACATCAACTGCAATCATGAGGGAGGTCATTTTCATCTAAGATTCAGAGAGCCCGAACAAAGGCCCTTGACCCTCGATTGGAGAAGAAAAAAAAGTCCCAGCGGATCAAAGTATAATTCAATCATGGATGGACGACATATTGATTGACATACTCAAGTTGGTTTAATAAAAACTAGCATGATACATAATTAAAGCCACTGGACCATCAACAACAGAGGCAACAACAACAGCACACATCCATGCACGCAATGCCCATACACCTAATGCTTTTAGATTCAATTCAGCTAATCAGTTGAGTAAAACTCACATTCCACAACAGAATTGACCTATACCGCCTCCACGTATATTCACTTCCGCTGCCTGTGATTGATTCTTCGTCTGTCAGTATGAATTATGGTCTAATTCCTGACATGACAAGGTTCTAATGGTCAAGTCACAGGATAGATCTCACTAATTGTGGTACGACTGTATCGGCAGTCATAGTTTCCGATTTCAAGGGCTGCTGCATCGTTACAGAACTCGCTTCCCACAAACGTTCCTCTGGGTGAGATGACCGATTCGATTTGAACCACGCAAACATTCTGACGAAGGACTTCAAGAAGGATAAGTGATCAAACAGGATAATCTGCACGAATGAAGAAAACTCAGGATCAAATATATATAGACAACACAGAAGCATTTGCAGACGCGTACCGAATATGCTAGTTGTCATGCCCTACAGTTGGAACCAATGAAAATGTGGGACCAAATTTAGATTGCTTCACAACGCTTCAGCCTTATGGACATGGGTACGAGGTGGATCTAGTCAAAATCTTCAACTGAGACGAGATATTAAAGAAAAGAGAATTATTCAAACCAAAGCATGTCCAAATTTGCTGATCCAGCTTCAGTCCAAGGGAATGCGTTCCGATTTTACCGCCGCGGAGTAGCCGTTTCATGACTAGTGGAATTTCTGCGGGTATGTTTTCAATAGCCAATCAAAATAGTGAGTATACGCGTATACGATATAGAGTTATCCGGTGGGTCGTGCTCACAGTTGGGCACTTCCCAGGGGCTCAGTGGATTACTCTAGAAATCCAATCGAAAAATCGCCGGGTCTACTGAAACTTTTTCGTGGGTCAATGGGTGGCAATAATCATATCGCCAAGCCATTAAATTCTGGACTCTGAGATATCTGAAAATCGACCAGAGAATTCCGCTTCCCCATTCGATCCCTGATTGACCGTTGGATCGGTGATGATCTGTCAACTTTGACAAAGCTCAAAACCGATCAGCTGCAGGCGTAGGAACCCAATTCTGTTAGCGTTGTCTTCACTCAGGCCTGAACGGATTGAAAAGATCAGGGGAACCCGAAGTTGTTTTGATTTTACCCTTCTCAGTTGCAATATTTTCTTCATAAAGTCCTCATGGAAGACCAACCTCCAAGGTATTCCGTGCTGGAGGCCGCTGGCTGGTCGGATAATAATTGGCCTCAGAATGGGGCACATGTCAACGGTATTACTGATGCGAATATCGCCATTTCTTTGATAAAAGCTAACCGATGGCAGACGATGGTCGCGTCGAGGTCGACCTGGATTCGAAGGTCTGTAGGACTGTCGCAAAGCTGATTCCGATCTCGCACGAGGAACACAGACCTCCTTCTTCAGTCTCGGACAAGAAAGAGTTTGAACCTTGCGATGTGCAATTAAACATCGTCATTCAGGTCGTTGGCAGTCGAGGCGACGTCCAGCCCTTTATCGCATTGGGTAATGAGCTTCAACTGCATGGCCATCGTGTGAGACTAGCGACCCATGGAGTGTTTGAATCATTCGTCCTTCAGTCCGGGTTGGAGTTCTATCCAATTGGAGGTGACCCGTCGGAACTCATGGCGTACATGGTCAAAAACCCTGGCTTAATACCCCAAATGAAAAGTCTGCGAAGCGGAGAGATTCAACGCAAGCGAGCCATGGTGGCTGAGATGCTTCAGGGCTGCTGGGACTCATGTATCAGCGATGATCCGGTCAGCAAAGCACCGTTCGTGGCTGACGCTATTATCGCGAACCCGCCAAGCTTTGCTCACGTTCACTGTGCGCAAGCCTTATCGATTCCCTTACATCTGATGTTCACAATGCCTTGGAGCAGCACGCGGGCTTTCCCGCATCCGTTGGCAAATCTCAAGTATACGACCACCGAGCCAAAATCGGCTAACTATATTTCTTACGGTGTTGTTGAATGGATGACCTGGCAGGGGTAATACCTTATTCGACTTCAAACCATTGCCCTATACTCATGCTGACTCGAATCTAGACTTGGTGATGTTATAAATGAATGGAGATCTTCGCTTGATTTAGAGCCCATACCAGAGACAGAGGGACCATGTCTGGCGGAGACCTTAGGAGTGCCTTTCACGTACTGTTGGTCTCCGAGCCTCATGCCAAAACCACTTGACTGGCCATCAACCATAGATGTCTGTGGCTTCTTCTTCCGCTCGCTACCGGACTACAAGCCACCTGCTGATCTCGATTCATTCCTTCGAAATGGTGACCCTCCAGTTTACATTGGATTCGGCAGTATTGTGATTGAAGATCCGGTTGCCATGACGAGGAAGATTCTTCAGGCTGTTAGATCACTTGGTATTCGGGCAATTATATCTCGTGGCTGGAGTAACATTGGAGAGGCTGCATCTGATGATCAGGTCTTCTATCTTGGTGACTGTCCGCACGAATGGCTTTTCCAACACGTCGCCGCTGTTGTCCACCATGGAGGTGCAGGCACTACAGCATGTGGCCTACGATTTGGAAGAACAACAACTATAATTCCGTTTTTTGGGGAGTATGTTTTTCCCTATCCCACTGTTGGCCCAATAGCTTGTTCTGACGTATACCAGTCAACTTTTTTGGGGTAACATGGTCGCATCTTGTGAGCTTGGCCCTCGGCCTATTCCTTATCGTTCTCTCACGTCACAAAATTTGGCGGAGGCTATTCGATTCTGCTTGAAGCCTGAAGCACAGCTTGCAGCTCAAGAGGTTGCAAACCGAATGAGTCATGAAAATGGTGTTGCCGCCGCGGTCGCCTCATTTCATCGCAATCTCCCAGTAAAGGAGATGCGATGCCATGCTCTTCCTTCGGAACCCGCCGTGTGGCAGTTCAAAAAGTCCTCCAAGCCCCCCATTCATTTGTCAAAGGTTGGCGCTGAGGTTCTGATCGAACATCATCGTTTAAAATACAGTGATCTTCAGCCGTGAGAATACCTTTTAAGCTACCCTTTTTTCAAAAGTAGTTACTAACAGGGAGCAGCTACCTTGTCCGACCAGTGGTTATTGAGAATCGGCGATGGGATCCAGTCACAGGCACAGCTTCCTCGTTGATAGGCACCGGGACTGACATATTGAAAGCGACAGGTGGCATTGTTTATCGACCATATCAAGAATTTCGTCGGTCCCCCAGAAGTCAACCGGAAACTGACCTTCCAGGTCCATCTGGCTCTCGTTCGTCTAGCATTGGTTCTTCGGTGGATACAGCTTCTCTCTCTTCCAAAGCTAGGAAATCCTCGAGGCTTAAAACTACAGGCATGGCAATGGAGGGCTCAGCAAAAAGTCTGGGGAAGGTTGTTGGCTACTGGTATAAAGGCGTGCTCGTAGACATGCCTTTAGCAGCGAGTGAGGGCCTGAGGGCTGTACCTCGGCTATACGGTGACGAAGTCAAAGATCATGGAACAGTTCGAGATTGGAAATCCGGAGCTACTTTTGCGGGAAAGAATTTTGTTCATGGGATGGCCGACGGGCTCAGTGGCATCTTCACCCAGCCTTACAAAGGTGGCCAAGAAGAGGGAGCAAAGGGCGTGGTGAAGGGACTTGCCAAGGGTACTATTGGCATGACGACAAAAGTTTCATCTGGTATGTGTATTGCACACAAGAATTCTACAAACAAAATGCTAATCATTTATCGCAGCCGCATTGGGTTTGGTGGCTTATCCTGCCCACGGAATGATGAAGAGCCTTTATAGCGCAACGCACTCCAAAACGCGGAAACACATTCTTCAGGCGCGAGTTCAAGAAGGAAAATATTTAGTGGAACACTCAAATAAGTATCGAAAAGACTACCAAACGATCATTCGCAATTTTGAGGCTGCCTACCGCAAGACTGTTGATTCTGCCGACTCATTGTCTACCTGATGAACACCTCGGCCTTTGACAATCTATCTGCTCTTTATTCACTATATTGATGCTTGGTGTTTGGAGTACTTCGAGAGCAGCGAAAGAGACGCTCTTTTTTTGCATTCAAATTTGAACTAGACCCATCAGATCTCATTGATGGAAACAATTTTGTCGACTTCGAGTATGTACAACTTCTTTCCATAAATTTAGGTAGCACACATATGTTTATGTATGGACTTGAATTCTTTTTCATTGAATTAGTAATTTGCTTTAAGAAACTTGACATACCAAAATTCCTCATCTTTATAGATGTCTATCCAAACTCCATCTATCAAATAAGTTGCAATATCAGAGTTTTGACTTCTGTTCATATAACTTGCAAGCAAGATCCAGTCCAGGCATCCATTCTTCTGAAACCCTTAGTCTGTCTTTTGCAGGCAGATCTGCCCAATCTTTCGCAATGCGAATCTCGTCCGCGTGCCATTTGTGCACAACCGAGTCGATCCACACCCCCAAGGCCAATGCTGTTCTAGCCACTTCTTCAAGTGGTAGCTGATGTCCAAATCCTTCAATTCGTTCCTCTTTCACCTGTCCACTCTTCACACCGCCACTCCCTCCGATGCCTGCGCCAGTTCGCTGTATTATCTCAGCACAAAGCTTATGTGTCGACATTGGACTGGTCCCTCCAAAGATATAAAGCACCGAGGGCCGGACATGATCAAGTAGCTTCCATGCTATAACAGGCTCGCTGCGGTAAAAGGGCGCTGTTCTCAACGGAGGGCCAATCACGTCAGCTTGGAACAAAGGGTCATAAGCAGGTCCTGAGAGAGAGTCTTCTTGCCCTACAGGCTTGTGACCTCCGAAATTTGACCTGACATATTGCATCACTTCTTGGTGCTTGGTGCTAGTCAAGGTGACTGGTCCATCATCGGTGACAAGTGTGCCACTCTCCGCGTTTTGCGGGTAGAGAGCAGTTGGAAGCCTGCGGTACCCGTGTAAAGCCCATAGCTTAAAAACACGTTCGTCCCATTTCTTGTGTGATTTTCGCGCTGCCTCAATGGCCACGGATCTGGATGACCAGGAATCACGTCGCCTGAGTGATAATTTTGAAAGCAAAGGCCCGTATCCACTGAAGGTGTCTGGTACTATCACTGGCTCAACCAAAGCCAAAGAGGTGAACAAGCGCGGATGCATTAGAGAAAGCAGGACACTAAAAAAACATCAGCAGCTATCATAGCATCCTCATCGGTCAATCTCACAGCTGCCCTGCACCCATACTATGACCCACGCCAATTATGGGTCGCGGCATTTCATCGCGAAATTGATTGATCATGTATAGAAGATCCCGGCTATGGTCAAGCCAAGATGCTTAAGCGTGTCAGCTATAGGCCAGAATAAGATAAGAAAACATTCTCACGGTCATTTCCCAGTAATTCTTCATTCACGACTCCGCTAGCACCGAGATTCGCAGCATCTGCAGTCCAGATTGATCCAATTTTGATTCCACTCTTCTTACATTGTACAAAGAGATCTTCCCATAACGGTTCATATAATTCCTTTGCATTCTTTTGTCAGTGATAGTTATAGCCCATATAAGGAACGGATTTGTACTTTTGGAAAGCCACCACCAGGTGCCCCAATAATAGTCACATCCCCAGGTTGAGGATTCGGGTTGTCAGTGGGGACATATTTCTTAACCGCTAGCTTTAAGCAAGCACCTTGTGAGACGGTTGCCCGGGGATATTCGCGGATATACTGGCCATCAATAATATGCTCTGTGACGGTAAAGGGGAAACTTGAGGTGTTTGTCATGTTTGCTGTCGCAATTGAGCCTTTCATGCGTGTTGAAGCCGACTGTCGTGTGGAGAATAGAAGGACAACATGTCACGCCTGTCTGAAGAGCGACGTACTGTATAGTAAGCCCGCTTCGCTCCTATTTTTCACCGCTAGAACGCCAGAAAGTCAATCCAACATAGCGTGCCATTATTGATTTCGGCCTCGCTAGCCTGAAAGATGCTAAGATGTGCCACCTAATGACGATTGACCAATAGGAGTGTCAATCCAAGTAGCGTCATATAATCTTCACTACGTAAAAATTCCCGACAGTCTGGCACGAACCAAAGTGGAGTCCACAAGCCGGTTTACTTTCCACATTTCAATAGATTTCCCTTGGCGCTAACATCGGATCTGAGCTGATGCAGATCACCTCTTAGATCCGCAAAATCATCGATTTCGGATGACGATCATATCTGAGTGTGGTAGGCGATCGCTGAGTTCCACCCTACAGTTCCATCCTAATCTCCATCAAGTGGACCGACCTGTGAGCCGTTTTTTTTTCTCGAATCGTACACGGGAAACTCGAGTTCAAACTTCCCATGATTGTACAGTATGATCGGGGAAATATCAAGAAGCAAGTTTCGTCAAGATTCTTCGCGGCTTTGAATCAGGGTAACATAATTGGCCAGAAACCCTGAGTGTTGGAAATGTTGAATGGTGTTCGGTGGGTCTTTCCATGAGCCGGGAAAGTCTGACTGGATTGGCGAGGTAAGGAGTACGGTCCATCGGCAGTGCCGGGCTCCCAAATTACTCCTTCTGGAAAAAAGTGTACCAGCTGTGACATACAAACCAAAGCTAGAATGTAAGTTAGGGGTAATGGATTAAAATTTCTGTCCATTTTCGAGCAGCTCGAGTCGAAATTCTTGACATTACAAGTGGAGAATATACGATGTCTGGTGTATTCCCTTTCCAATCCTATATTATATTAATATTTTGTAAGAATTGAGGGATCTGCCGGTGGGCTTTGGTACATGTTTCTTAGCCCTTCATCCACCTGGTGAATTTACCTTTCTTACCCTCTACCTTCCTTCGATTCTTCCTTTGCAGTGGACCAATTCAAATCCCGATTCCAACATGTCTTTTCTCGATCTAGACTGTGCATATGACAAAGACTCTGAATGGCAACGATCTCCGTGCGTCATCAAGCATGATGTGCAAGCTTACTGCAAAGAGCTGAATTGGAAACCGTCCTCTTTCTTCAAAACGATATGGGCAATCGTCCTCAACAAATATACTACGTCCCAAGCCGTGACCTTTGCCGTACACAGCAATGAAATCCATAAGGAAGCTCCAACAATATGTGACGTCTCAGTTGAGCCGCAAACTTCAATTGTTGACATTCTAGCGGATTGTTCATTGGGAACCACGTTCACTGAAACTGTACAAAGTCAAATTCCTTGCAATACCGGCGTTGTCTTTGATATGCAAGGTGATGAAATCTTTAAACCCATTCCTCCAGTGCAAGTTCTTCTGCTTGTAAGCACGACTTCCTCCGAGCTATGGCTGTCGTACTCGTCAAACATCGCCTCGTCTCATGCAGACAACCTTGTTTCTACTGTCGAACAGACCATCGAAGAGGTCTTACGGCATCCAAATCAAACAGTCAAAGAGTTACAGCTGTTTAGTGAAAGAAACACTCTCCAAGTTCTTGAATGGAACCGTCATACTTTGTCAAGTGAGACAGTTTCAATGGTTGACCTAATCCGAAAACACGCATCACAACGAGCAACCCACGAAGCTGTTTGTGCCTGGGACGGATCACTCACGTACGCGGAACTGGATAGTTTGACTACGCGGCTGGCCTACCACCTGCGGACAATGGGTATTGTAGAAAACGACAAAGTGTTGCTTGGCTTTGAGAAGTCAATGTACGCCGTTGTCGCTTTTCTATCTATCCTCAAGGCAGGCGCCATTTTTGTTCCTGTCAGTCCTTCTTATCCTACAGAACGTATGCAAGCAATCATCGATGCAACTCATCCTCGTCTTGCCATCACGTTATGCGACACCACCTCGGTCTTTGAGAAACTACAAGTGCCAGCCTTGGGCCTGAATCAATCTGTCATTTCCGGCTTTTCTGTTGAAGACCATGATCCGCTCCCTGCATCTAGCCCACAGCGCGTGGCATACATTTTGTTTACTTCCGGCAGTACTGGCCTACCCAAGGGTTGTGTCATTTCAAATCAAGCGCTGGGAACTATGACCAGCCAAGGTCCACCATTCCAAATTTATCCATCCAGTCGCGTACTTCAAGTTGCTCCGATTATCTTTGCCGCAAGCTCCGTTGATATGTTCTTGCCCCTGCTCACTGGAGGTACCGTCTGCATTGCTTCGAAACACGATCTCATGAACAACCTGGCAGCCTCGATGAAGCAGTTCCGGATAACATGGGCCTGCATGACTCCATCCGCCATCGCCTCTGTTGATCCTTCGGAACTATCAGGGCTACAAACTCTGGGCTTGGTTGGTGAGCCTGTAAGTGAGGACCTGCTCAATAAGTGGGCATCCTCAGTAGATCTTCTGTCAGGCTACGGCCTTTCGGAGATTGTGGGTGCCGGATGCATCTCTTCTCTCCAGGTCGGAATGCATCCCCGAAATATCGGTGTTTCGCCTACCGCACATATCTGGCTGGCAGATCCGACAAACATCAACAGACTTTCACCGGTAGGTGCTATTGGAGAAGTGTTGATTGACGGGCCAAATCTTGCCAATGGGTATCTTGATGACCCACAGAAGACGGCCAATACTTTTATTCAGGGACCCAGATGGCTTCAAGATTTCTATCCGGGACCGAATCGATATGTCCTTAGAACGGGCGATCTGGCTCGATATCATTCCGATGGCTCCATTGTGTATGTCGGTCGCAAAGATACCCAAATCAAGATACGGGGGAAGCGAGTTGAGCTGGGAGAGGTTGAAAGCGTGATTCGCCTCCGCCAAGCACCCGACGATGCTGTAATTGTGGAAGCGGCAGCTCCGTTTGATGGTGATAGTACACCCATGTTGATCGGTTTTATTCACACCTCTGGAGGTCAATTGGCGGATTCGTCCCTGCTTCTAGGAAGTCCGAGCCAAGAATTTCGGCAGAATACATCGCGTCTTGATCAGCTGGTCCGCGCTGTATTGCCAGAATATATGATACCGAGCATATACATACCACTCAATCGCATTCCAAAGACTGCCTCTGGAAAGACTGATCGCCGCGCGCTGCGCCTTGAAGTCTCTGGTATGACTAGGCAGCAGATTGAACTGTACCACAATTCAGGTGTTAAACCACAGGTTCGGCCTCAAACTGATGCAGAAAAGTCTGTTCATAAGCTGTTTTGTCAAATCTTGAGGCGAGATGAAGCTTCATTTGGAGTTCACGACCATTTTCTCCGATTGGGTGGAGATTCGATCAAAGCTATAAGTCTTGTACAGCTTTGCCGAAAAGTTGGGCTGGCTGTCAATGTTGCTGACATTATGGAGTCTGGCACAGTCGCCCAGCTCGCCCAGATGGCCAATCGCTCACCCCAGTCTACACTCGAAAACGGTATATGGAGATTTGAAGTCCCGACTACTGCTGTAAAAGAGCAATTGACCGATCTCGGTGTTGCTGCTCAAGAGGTGGAAGCTATGAATCCATGCTCCTCGATGCAGGATGGCATTTTGATGAGCCAATTGAAAAGCCCACAACAATATGCGCTGCGAGTTCTGTATGAAGTACAGCTTTCCGAAAAACTGTCAACATCGTCCTCCAAGGCGGACCTCGGTCGGCTTCAAAAGGCATGGCAATCAGTGGTTCAGATTCACCCCATGCTGCGGACAATATTCGTGACCAATGTCACACCCAGTGTGTTTGCGGTGCAGGTTCAGTTGAAGAATGGCTCCATCCCGCGTATTCATGAAGTCGATGATAACTTGCAACCGAGCAATATTTTCGACCAGCGCCAGGACTGTCAGCCTCCAAGCACGCTTCCTCAGTTCGATCTATACGTCACTCCAAGTGGGCGAATCATCCTCGAGCTTGAACTATCCCATGCAGTTGTTGATGGAATGTCTATGTCAATGATAGTTCGAGATCTATGCAGATTCTATGACAACCCGAGCCCTTCTCTCTCTGTGTTTGACTTCGCCGACTATGTCCAATATCAGCAAAATGTTCTCACGGATGATTCTTTGGTCTACTGGAAGCAATACCTTGATTGCATGGAACCAACCCAATTCCCAACAGCCAGCGATGGTACTTCAGATCTGTCTAAGTCGTCCAGTCAAACATCTCAATTCAAGGCTTTGTCTGTGGATGTTGGCTCGGTTGCAGAATATCGAAAGTTCGCTCAACAAACTGGAACAACTGTGGCAAATGTTGTCAAGCTGGCATGGTCCCTTGTTTTGCAAACAATGTGTCGCACTGACGACGTATGTTTTGGGTTTCTGGCTACGAGCCGTGACGCACCTGTTGAAGGTATATTGGAAGGTGTTGGGCCTCTGATCAATTTGATTGTGTTTCGCCAGCAGCTTGATAATCAATCGACGGTGGAACAAGTCTTGCAATCCATTCAGGCCGATTTCATCTCTAGTCTGCCGCACAAAGGCAGTTCTTTGAGTGATATTCGCCGGACTTTAGACTTTTCAAGTGACGAGGTCATGTTCAATACGTGCATTAGCCATTTCCCCGCCACCGCCGACGATGGAGCAGACGAGTTGCCAATTCTACTTCACGAAGTCGGGCGGCAAGATCCCACGGAGTTTGATCTTTCTCTTGAGATCATGGAATCTGAGGATGAGATTGAAGCAACTATCAAGGCCTATACTGGGCGCGTTCCATTAGAGCAGATGGAGCGGGTAGCGGCGCTCTTCGGACACCTGATGAAGACCATTCCCCAGAGCTCAGGTCGCCTGATAGGAGAACTGGAGTTAGTTCCCCCGGAACAACTTGCCACAATCCGACAATTGAATCGAGGTATCAATAACCTTCCTATCGATGCATGTGTTCACGATATCATCCTGCGACAGTGCCAAAGTCAACCTCGGTCGCCAGCTATCTGTGCTTGGGATGGAGACTGGACTTATGGCGAATTAGATTACGTCTCATCATGTCTAGCAGAAGAGATACAGTCACAGGGTGTTACGCTAGAGTCCTTTGTGCCTGTCTTGATGGACAAAAGTCGCTGGGTACCTATTGCTTTACTTGCTATCCTCAGGGCCGGAGGTGCTTTTGTTCTCCTAGATCCTACACAGCCAGTCCAGCGACTCAAGGATATCTGTATTGACCTAAATCCTACCACTATTTTGGTCTCACCGGAATACCAAGCAACTGCCATCCCGCTTGTCAATACCGTTGTTGTTGTTAACAACGAGCATTCTCGGATCCTTGAAACAGACCTTGGTGAGACTCACAAGGTAGCCGCTCACCCAGGAAATGCAGCATACGCTGTCTTTACTTCTGGATCGACGGGAAAGCCAAAGGGCGTGGCAATCACTCATCGTTCTCTGTGTACTAGTGCGGCCGCGATGATGGAGCATTTGCCCATGACAAGTACGACGCGAATGCTCCAATACGCCTCACATGCATTTGATGTGAGTGTTTTGGATCTCACAGTTTGTCTCATGGCGGGAGGTTGCCTATGCATTCCGTCAGCTGGGGACAGGCAAAATCGACTAACAGAAAGTTTGAATGACTTTTCTGTGAGCCTCGTCGCTCTCACTCCCACTGTTACTCGCACTATACAGCCAGAACGATTGACTACCCTGAAAACTTTGAAGGTCAGCGGAGAGGCGCTTTCATCCTTTGACATTCAACGATGGAAGACTGCAGCACCCCACATTCAAATCGTCAACATGTACGGCCCTGCAGAATGTACAATCAACTCGACTGTTCAAGGTCCTGTTGAGCTAGAATCGTATCCTTCGAACATTGGATATCCGTTGCGGAGTGCCACCACGTGGGTAGTCAATTCCAAGAACCATCACAAATTACTCCCAATGGGGGCCGTTGGTGAACTAGTGATCCAAGGACCTGTTGTCGGGCGTGGCTACCTGAACCGCGCCGAGCAGACAGCTGCATCATTTATTGCGCCACCAGATTGGTTGAGGCAATTCATGCCAGCAGTCTCCGACGATGAGAGACTTTACAAGACTGGGGATCTGGTTCAGTATGCTGCAGATGGCTCGATGCATTACAAGGGACGCAAAGACTTTCAAGTCAAGCTCCGCGGACAACGACTTGAGCTAGGTGAAGTTGAGGCGCAACTTCGTCGCGTATTCCCTAATGCCTCTGATGCTATCGCTGAAGTGGCATATTTGAACCAAGGTAAAACATCAGCCTTGGTTGCATTCATCCACCAAGCCGCCTGGGATAGTGACTCGAGCTCGGATCCAGCTACAGAACTTGGAGTTGAAAGTACCAATCTCGATTTACTTCATGCTCCTTGTAAAGCATTTGATCAGGCAGTCGCACACGCGAAGGTTCTGATGGCTGCTACTCTTCCAAGCTATATGGAGCCCAGTATCTATTTACCACTCATTCATGTCCCCAGATCTCGAAGTGGTAAGGCTGACCGCGGTCGACTCCAACAAATAGTCATCTCCGGACTCCATGAGCGCTGGACTGGTGGCGCAAGTACAGTCCCTATGTCACAGCGGAGGCCGATTACAGAAATGGAAGTCACTTTGTGCTCTGCTGTTGCTGGGGCTTTAGGACTGTCAGAGGCCGATGTCAGTGCCGAAGACAGTTTCTTCCGGCGTGGAGGCGACTCGGTGGCAGCGATGATGTTGGTCGGAAGTTTACGAGAGCAAGGTTGTCATCTCACCGTCGCAGACATATTTGCGAACCCAAAGTTGGATATTCTCGCTACCAAGATAAGCCGTGTGCTTCCCTCAAGTGTTGTCAAGGTCCCCCTGCCATTTTCCCTTCTTGGGGATAATGAAGACTCCAATAAAGCGATCATCGCACAAGCGATGACGCAGTGTGATGTCGCACAGAAGGAGATTGAGGATATTTACCCCTGCTCGCCACTCCAACATGCCTTCTTCATGTTCAGCAGCACCCGGGAGAAAGGTACTTTAATTGCACGATTTGCCTATGATCTATGGCCCGAAACGGATCTTGGTAGGCTGCAAAAAGCCTGGTATGAGACCACAAAAGCGCATCCGATGCTACGAACAAGAATCATCCAAGTGGAAGGTAAATCCAACCTACATCAGGCGGTTCTCGGTCATGCGACAGAAATTGAGTATCATGACTCGGATGAGCTAGATTATGTCCCTGACCTGCCAATTGAAGTTGGTCCTGGTAAACCACTCCTACGAATTGCTGTATTGCGCAGATCATCTGCACAACACCATCACCGGCTTGTGATTACCTTACAACATTCCTTGTACGATGGATGGTCTCGGGCATTATTGATGCAAGAGCTTGAGCGAGCCTATTCTGGCGTCGCCTTGCAGCCTTTGCCGGTTTCCCCATTCATCGGGCATCTCGATCAAACCAATGAGGGAGCCCTGCAATTTTGGACATCAGAGCTCAGAGATCTTCAAAGCACGATCTTTCCTCAAGTTCCGTCCGCTTATACGCCTCACCCAAGTGCAACATTGGTTCAACATGTAAAAATCCCCAAACTTGTATCGCCCCAAATCACACTTTCGACCAAAATTCGCTGGGCATGGGCCCACGCAATATCGCTCCAGACTAGCAACTCCGAGGTTGCAATGGGCTTGGGAACAGCCGGACGAGGCACTCCAGTTGCGGGAATCGAGAGATTGGTGGCGCCAACAATGGCGATCTTCCCCTATCGAATCCATATCAGTCCGAAACAGAAGGTGATCGACGCTCTGCAAGAATCTCAAGCCCATTATAGCCAAATCCTTCCACACGAGCATTATGGCACGCCAAATATCTGTCGCGCTGCGACAGGCCCGACCTCCCCGGCCGCACTCCAAACTCTTTTGATTGTTCAGCCGCAGGGGGAGCAAAACCCTTCCTCGCTGTATTTCGAAGAAGAGATGCTTCCTCAGACTGGGGCTTTCCACGTTCGTGCGCTGACCTTACACTGTCACCTTCAAGAAAGTTCTGTCGAGACTGTTGCGTGCTATGACGACAAACTCATTTCAGAGAATAAAATGCTTGAAGTACTTTCTATGTTTGATTTGATCTTCCAACAAGTGTGTCAGGAGCCTAGCATTCCTGTTCGGGAGTTGAGGGCCTATTCAGCTGAAGACTGATTAAAGCCAGTTTACCACTTTTTGTGTCAACTTTTTCTGCCCTACTTTGTCCTCTAATTGTCCCATTTGTGTGTATATGGTTCAATACTTATTGAAATGTTTCTATGGCGCCGCAAATCAGCTTCGGCTTTCTTCTTATACCATATCAACCCTTTCGGCTCTCTATCAGCCATTTGGGATTGTTCTTTTGACCCTTTCTGTATTTTCTCACTCTATACTTCTCAAATCTGACGTCTTCTATTTATTAGTACTATTTATCTCTATTCTTCGGGGGTGTGAGCTATACCTTCCCGATACTTTCTAAGCTCTATGCATAGTAATTACAGCAAGCTAATAGATGGAGTATGATTAAATTGATCATTGGTATTAATTCTAATGGATAATTGTGGATTCTTATGTCGAAGTACCTTTTATATATATTAGTCATGCCGACTACAAAACCTCCTCTTTGTTAAAAGGCTACGATGCAAGTAGGAATGATGACCGGTACGACCGTACAATATAGATAATCTAACAATAGATTACCGAGGTGTTTAAGTCTGGAGATTCTCATTTGTGTGAGAATCTCCTTATATACCAGAAAACTCTGCCTTAAGCTAGTCCTGATTAGATTTCCCAGGTGATGAATCACTGCGGTTGCCGTCATGGCTCATTCATGGCATAAACCATGGCCGGCCACCATAAATCTCAACACTCTTGGGTAGTTATACTACTTATAACGTGCTAAAAAAGAGCTAAGAGAGTAGCATCTTTCTGATCGTACCATACTTTAAAATAAGGATTATCTATTTAGAAAAACAACGGTTTTCAATGGTATACCATTCAATGCTTATCGAATTGGGGGGCCACTCACGTGTGGACGCATTAGGCGGGTAGCCACTAATACTTCGGGGGACATAGACAAAGCAACAATTTTGGGCAATACGGTACTAATTTTGAAATTCAGTAGCTTACAATTTTATAATGGAAATGATTATATTGGCAATAACTGAAGAGGACTCTCAACAGAAATGGTAAACCCTGGACCTAAGCAACCCTCAAAGCTGAATAGGACCCGCATGAGCTACTCTCTGCGAAAGGCGCCAGATAAAAAGAGAGCAAACCATGGGACGTCATGACCACAGCGAGGCGGTCATAATGTTCAAAGTATGGCCTCGTGGCGCAATGGTAGCGCGTCGCTCTCCTATTCTGGACGAAACCAGATTATCCTACTTCAAGCGGAAGTTGTGAGTTCGAGTCTCACCGGGGTCGAAATTTTTTATTTGATTTTTGTTTTAACTCCACACTAATAAATTCCGATTTGAAGATCGCTATTACTGGAAGGGATTTTAATTTTTTTTTGTTTTCTTTAAGATAAATACTTAATTCTATATGAAACAAAAGTGTGACGGAAAACCTTGGAATGGTTTTCTACTAGAGCGAAAGATGTACATACCGTTGCAAAAGTCTCCCTACACTACACTACCACTTTCGCCAGCTTAAAGGCCAGTTTTCAGCCCCAGTTATCTCAACAATTTTATATGAAAGGATGTATTTTCTAGAGTGTTTACCTAGTGGTTAGCCAAGTACGCCAGAGTTCTTGGTTTTTAAAGTATTTTTTCGAATTTTCTGTTTAACGCTGTGCCATTTGATACAGAAAATTCGAAAATACTTTAAAAATCAAGAACTCTGGCGTAAATGGCCAACAAATAAGGAAGCCATTTCAGAAATATATCTTTCTATATAAAATTGTTGAGATAATTGGGGCTGAAAACAGGCCTTTAAGCTGGCGAAAGTGGCAGTGTAGGAAGACTTTTGCAACGGTATGTATATAAGTTAGTTACGACTGAACATGAACAAGGCAACAGACTCACACAGGGATACTATGTGATTATTTTCTGATTAGCAGAAGATGGGGTGCAGTCTCATGTATCATGGGATGCTATTAAATGGATTCTCTTTGTACCTCTTTATATTATAAAAGCAGGCATCTATAGAACCTCTAGTAAAGCTCTTTGTGAACATGAACATCTAGACTGTAGACTATAGAGGCCCTTGATGATTTGTGAAATATATGGGTATCGCTAACGCACTCCACTGGTTGTTAACTCTATTGCTTCCCACCCAACCCTAACCTGTTCTCAATGACCTTGACAATCTCTGTCCATTCCAACATGGCACCACCCCCAACGTCCCCGCATGCCAAAACCTTTGACGCTTGAGGCGCTAACACCTCAAACCATCCTGTCTCTTCTCCAGACTCCTCATTTACTTTAACGCCCCATTCCTCTCCAAGCACCTTCATATGCCGAGCCGTCACCGGATGCCGCCACATGGCCGTATTCATCGCAGGTGCGACTATAATCCGCTTTCGTTGTCCATCAATTTGGCCATCGGTATCCCACGCCCGACATACTGAGGTCAATAGATTATCACTAAGACCGTTGGCGAGCTTTGCTAAGGTATTGGCTGAAAGAGGAGCAATGACAAGAATGTCTGCCCAGCGCCGAAGGGAAATGTGCAAGATATCAGCGCCACGACGCCACGGCTCTGGCCCCCATTCGGCGCTGTCATCATAGATAGCATCCACGCCTGGTATTGAGAGTAGAGATGAGATCGTAGGTTGCTCGGCAGACTGGCCGCCTAAGAAGTGTTTGGCGTTGGATGTGAATATTACTCGTATTGATAGCTTCTGAGCATGTGGAGCAAGAGCGCTAAGGATGTTGAAGATTTTGATGGTAGCGACTGATCCAGTTGCTGCAAGTAGGAGATGAACACGCTTGTCAGAGAGTGATGCATTCACGTCCTCGGAAGAATTCATGTTAGAGGTGCCATTGATGCTATTATCAGCGAGCATTGTTTCCGACATTCTGACTCTAGATGTGAGCAACCACAAAAGCCTAGTTCAAGCAAATTTGCGAGCCACCGGTGAATTAAAGTGGTTGTTGTAATGTTGGTAAGGGAACAAAATTAGAAAGCATGATGCCATTCCACATATTGCCATCTCATTCCGCCTTTGATCCCACGATCCACAGCGGGGATCCCCCAAACTAGTCTGAATTGGTATTAGTCTAGCCCGGATTTCATGATCTCTATAAGAATCTCAAGGGTTACAAGTCTATAGAGGACTAGACTCACAGTAGAATTTGCTTATAAGAGTAATAGCAAAGTGATCATCACGATATTCTATATGTTTTCCCTCTCATTATGTCTAGTTTTCGTGCCCCCAAGTAAAAAAGTAATGTAAATAAGCCACAATTGATGTGCATGGATAAACAAACATACACCCAGACCACAGATTATCAAAGGCAAACATGCGTTCTCCAGCGAGCCGCTTCAATAGTAATTCATTTGATACTGGCTGACAATAAAGTTTACTATATAGGTCGGGTGTCATGGATATTTAAGCTGAAAGGCTCTTGTCATGCATTGATCCCCCAGTATGTGTAGCATATATTTAAAACGATTGTCTCTACAGACTTAGACTTGAAGCTGTTTGATATGTTCATTGATAATAGCCGAACCCCGGGGGCCCCGGGATGAGAAAATTGCACGTGACCAGCAAGGGCTTTGAAATTGCGACAAATTGTTTGGACCAGGGGCACACGTCACATGACACCGACACCGGCCTCGATCTGCGGCAACTACAAAAACTTCGTCAATTACACCAACGTCGTGGTACCGTTGAAAATGTCTAGGCAACTACGTACGCTGCTGCGCAGGCCGGTGAGTGAATGTCCTCATCTAATTACGCGATTGGAGCTGACTTTTTCCAGCTTTTGCCTCGGTTGAGTCAAACGGCCGCTCTCCCAGGTCTCACAAGCAGGAGAATCCCTCAACACTTCCAATCGGTCTCGATTCCCGCGCCTGCACGCTTTCTGAGCTCGAATGCCCCCAGACAGGCGGAAGCTTTCCCCTCGCAGCTCGAAAATGCCTCTTCGATCCCCAACGAGAGCGGGCGGTCGCAGACCTTGACCGAGAAGATTGTACAACGCTATGCAGTTGGTCTCCCCGAAGGAAAGCTTGTCCGAAGTGGCGATTATATCAGTCTTGCGCCCGGATACTGCATGACTCATGATAACTCGTGGCCCGTGGCACTCAAGTTCATGTCTATGGGAGCTACCCAAATCAACAACCCTAAGCAAATCGTCATGACCCTCGATCACGACGTTCAGAACACTAGCGCATCAAACCTGCAGAAATATCAACAAATCGAGACTTTTGCTGGTCAGCATGGTATCGATTTCTATCCTGCCGGACGGGGTATTGGACACCAGGTTATGGTGGAAGAGGGATATGCTTGGCCCGGTACTATGGCGGTAGCCTCCGACAGCCACAGCAACCACTACGGTGGTGTTGGCTGCCTTGGAACCGCTGTGGTGAGAACCGACGCTGCCAGTATTTGGGCAACCTCCCGGACATGGTGGCAGATCCCCCCAGTTGCGAAGGTCACTTTCACCGGAGTGCTACCTAAGGGTGTGACCGGTAAGGATGTAATCGTCGCGCTGTGCGGTATGTTCAACAGTGACGTTCTCAACCATGCAATTGAGTTCACTGGCTCCGAAGAGACCATGGCCAGTCTTCTGGTGGATAGCCGTATGACTATTGCCAACATGACGACTGAGTGGGGTGCTCTCACTGGTCTATTCCCTATTGACAGGACTCTGGAACGTTGGCTACGATACAAGGCCACTGAGGCAGCTATGCTCGAAGACCGTACAACTCGGGAGCGTATCACTCACGAACGAGTTGATGAGCTGTTCGCCAACCCTCTCTCCGCGGATCCCGATGCTGTTTACGCCAAGCAGCTTTACCTTAACCTCTCCACCCTCTCCCCCTATGTCTCTGGTCCTAACTCCGTCAAGGTTGCCACACCTTTGAACGAGTTGGTTCAGCAGGACATCAAGGTTAACCGCGCCTACATTGTTTCCTGCACGAACTCGCGTGCTTCTGACCTTGCTGCCGCTGCCAAGGTCTTCAAGGATGCTGCCAAGGCTAACCCCGACAGCCCTGCCAAGATTGCCGACGGTGTCAAGCTTTACATTGCCGCAGCCTCCGCGCCCGAACAGGAGGCTGCCGAAGCCACTGGTGACTGGAAGGTGCTGCTTGATGCTGGTGCTCAGCCGTTGCCTGCTGGCTGTGGACCTTGCATTGGTCTCGGCACAGGTCTTCTTGAGCCCGGCGAGGTTGGAATCAGTGCCAGCAACCGTAACTTCAAGGGACGCATGGGTTCGCGTGATGCCCTCGCCTACCTGGCCAGCCCCGAGGTCGTTGCTGCCAGTGCTCTGAGCGGTATCATCTCCGGCCCCGGTGCCTACGAGGTGCCCCAAGGCTGGGATGGTGTTGAGCATGGCTTCGGCACCGGTGCCGAGCCCAGCACTGTGGATGAGCTCTCCAACATGCTTCAGCAGATGGAGTCCTTGATCGACCGTGTTGAGTCCGCTGACGCCTCTGCCAAGCCTGCCACCGAGATTCTGCCTGGCTTCCCCGAGAGCATCACTGGCGAGATCGTCTTCTGTGACTTTGACAACCTCGACACTGACAACATCTACCCCGGCAAATTGACATACCAGGACAACGTCTCCAAGGAGGACATGGCTAACGCCTGTATGTCCAACTACGACCCCGAGTTCAAGGGAATTGCCAAGCCCAACGACATCCTGGTCTCCGGCTTCAACTTTGGTTGCGGATCCTCAAGAGAGCAAGCCGCTACTGCAATCCTCGCCAAGCAGATCCCTCTGGTCGTTGCTGGCAGCTTCGGAAACATCTTCTCCCGAAACAGTATCAACAACGCCCTTATGGGTCTCGAGGTTCCCAAGCTTGTTGAGCGTCTGCGTACCGCCTTCTCGGACCGTCAGCCCACCCGCCGGACCGGCTGGACTTTGACCTGGGACGTGAAGCGCAGTGTCGTTGAGGTGCAAGAGGGTGAGGGCGGCGATAAGTGGACCGAGCAGGTCGGCGAGCTCCCCGCCAACGTTCAAGAGATCATTGCGGCTGGTGGCCTCGAGGCGTGGGTCAAGAACGAAGTTCAGAAGTCGCAATAAAAACATGATATACATGTATAGTGATTACTGGTGGTATTCTGTTCAATTCGATGGAAAAATGAGACGACGAGAAAGGATGAGTGGAGAAAAAGGATAGAATACTCGAAGGAGTGTAAAGTATTTGAAAGAATAATAGGAATGATTGTATCAATATAAGATACCCCAAATTTGCAACTTAATATACTCTCCTTCGTAATTATCTCCACTCACCCCATGCGATTGTCATTGATCTTGTGGAACCCTCCAATCCATCTCAATGGGCCAAGGCTTTGAGCGACGGTGGATCGAAGTCCGTAGCGTTCACTGAAAGGACCAAATTAGACCGATCACAACTCAACCAGGAGGACAACAAATACCAATAGAGATCATAATGAATCCAAACTCATCAGCCTCTTCTAACCACCGCTCCGCCCTAGCATCCATAACAATACCCGGACGAATCTTCCCAAACTCAGCCTGCAAATAGCACTGACCACTCCAACGCGACAGCCAATGAATATACCGCGTGTTCCACTCTTGTTCCGTCTGCGCCTGCCAAAGCACCTTCGCAGCAGGGGCAGGCATGAAGCCCAAATCCCTACAGTCGAAACAAGGCACCTCATGCAACACCGAGTATGCCCAATGGAGAAGATATAGCGCAAGAACTGCGCGCCGCTTCGATGTCACATGCACCCATGATGTCCACGACGGTCTCGTTTGTGTGCGCTCTTCTTCGAGGAACAGGCCTGCGTGCACGATTTGGTAGACTAGCATTTCGACTTTGCGAAAGACGATATTGTGGTCTGTTAACGAGGGCTGCGGGCTGGATGAGGGGGATAGGAGGATTATTGTGTATATGACCACTGCTTGTAAGGATGCTAGGAGGTCTGTGTCGTTGGACTTATTGGACTTTGTTTCGCGGGTCTGTTAATTGGGCTTACTTGGAATGGGGGGAATGACGGACCTGGTTTACTATGTTGTCTAGCTCTCCCAGTATTGTTTCGCGTACCATCTCCTCTGCGCCTTCGCATTGTCCGTGCCACATTTTGGTTAGGGTGATGCATTTTGCTAGTGGCAATGGTAATATTTTGCCGGGTGTGATCTGTGTTGCATGAAATAAAGGTGGGAGCTGGAACTCTTCGGCCAACATTTTTGGCCAGCCTTTTAGAACTCGAAAAATGAGTTCCATGCTATGATGTGCCAGTGCGAGTGAGTTCGTGTTTACCGGCGGATCATGTCGAATGTGTGGAAGTGAGATGGCTCGGATCAGCTCTGGAGATTGGCTTTTGTTGATACTATTCAGCGATAAAAGATCTGGGTCTACTGTGCGCTGTGGAGAGCCGAGGATGTTGTTCGTTGGTTGCGTTAGACCCCATGAGGTTATATCTGAGAAGCATGAATCAAACAGATTGGGATCAAATATTGGTTGTGAGTCTTGTAGTTCGGTGTTCAGTGACAATCCCGGAGACGCGCCTCTGCCTCCTTCGCCAATGCTGGGCTGTTGGTTATTAGTTTCTAGGGTCAGTGTCTCGGTCGATTCAGCACTGGTATATTGACAGGAGACGCCCCGTAGTGAACAACGTGAACAACTGGGACGTTTCAAGTTGCACTTGGATTTATTCGCAACGCACTGCTGGCATGATTTGCGTCTCAGGCTTTGTGATTGATGCTTATTGCAGTTGTTCTTTAGATGGCGGATCAGTGAGGACCCTGCAGTGGCGTTAGATAGAAACCCGATTCAGACACATGAATTACGCACGATGACTGAAACCTAGACCACAGAATGGACATCCAGCCCTTTTTTCGATGACTGATTCCATGAAGATTTGATTGTGCAGGTAAGGAGGTGGAATTTGACGAAGTGTTTCCTCAACCCGGAACTCCGGGTTGCGGGGTCCGAAGCGTACAATATAACAAAGGCAGGACTCGCGAAATGTCTGCACAATTTAACAACCGCCAAAATGACTATCAATCATGTTTTCTTCTGGGCTTCTGCAAATAAAATCGTCGCCCTACGGTCGTTTTATCGTGCCATTCTTCAACCTCTAGGATATACCGAGATGATTCGGGCAAGCAATGAAGGTCTCATCGGATACGGAAGTGACTTTCCCTACTTCTGGCTCAAAAGATTGCCTGAGAGTAAAGAGCCACTGCCAAGCCATATCGCGTTTGATGCTCCAAGTGAGCTACCCTGTATGTAGTACTCGGGAAGCTGCTAATACGTGAACACAGGCCCTGAAGCTGTAGATCAATTCTACAAATTGGCACTGTGAGTCTAACATTCTCTTTCTTGCAGAAACAGAGATCAATCTATCCGGTTACAGTCGAAGACTTTGCTAATAATGACCACAGCCAGCATGGAGGACGCGACAATGGAGGCCCGGGTATCAGGGAAGAGATGAGCCGGCAGCCATACTACTCGGCGTTTGTGATTGATTTGGAGGGGAACAATGTCGAAGCTGTTTGTGTTCCTAAGTAAAATCAAGCTCTTCATATCTACTGCAGAGAATCATATTACTCTTTAATGCCCACATCGGATTCAGGTCGCATAGGATGCTTGGTATTCCGATCTCATACCTAGTGAACCTTGCTTTTCTCATTGAAACTACTACTCAATATCCGAAGTATTACTAGGCAATATAATTCGATTGATTGGTTGTGTGGTCCACTCAAAATGATAGAACAATCAACATCTGGAGGTATGAGAAGCTTGATCTAATACGAGGGATAGATCTCAACATCTCTGCTTCGCACCTCCCCCTAGTGATGCCAGCAGCTAGCAACATTGTACTCGTAGTCACAGACACTAGTTCTCGCCTGGAAGGCAGTTCCGGGACCGCAGGTCTTCAAGACAGGGGTACCGCCGGAGGGGCATTCGTAGAATTTATGGCAGTCCGCAGGGTCGGCCCATGCGACAGCGCCAGCGGCGACTTCGGAGACTGGGGCAGCATTGACCGCGCTAAAGAGCACAAAAGCCACAAAGGTGCTAATGGTCTGATAGGTGAACTGCATGGTGTTGACTGTGGGTGAATTAGCCAGAGTTCAGACAAGGACTTTTTACAAGGGCTTTTTGAGACGTACTTGGGTTGAGTTTGGATAGGTAAACAACGAAGTGAAATTGCGAAGGAATTTAAGATTGAAGGATTCAGAATTTGGGTTTTCCTGATGGTTCTAAGAGAAGAAGGTCAAAAAGCACAGGATAGAAGTCGAGCTTTATAGGTTCTTTGCGATTTCTATACCGGCCATGTCTGAGTTCTTGTGACCTGCCACAAACAAAACACGAACAGGAATAACATAATACCGATACTGAAAACGGTAGCATTCCTTCCATCGGCTAAGGAAGCCCTGTAACGAGTACCTTTTTAAGGTATTGTGGGGGAGCGTCAGGTATGCAAGGGCATACCTCGCCCTCTGCTAGAAGAATTTGCAAAGTAAATGACAGCTGTCCTTGGTGGAATTCAATGTACCCCTTCATTTTACTTGGCTGTCACTCGCTAAATTCAACAAAGTATCCATTGGCGGACATTGTCGCCAATTTACGTTTTTATACCACTTCACGCCACAGATATTCGATTTCCGCCAAACCATGCATCATGTAACAGTGGAGCAATTCTCATAAATCATTATCAACATCTCGAGGACAGTGCTCACAAAGATAACAAAGTAAGATAGAATTATTAGTTTGACTTGTGTTCTAGCCGCAGATACTGCGAAACAAGGCCCTTGAAAGTCTCCTCGAAACTTGTAAACTTCCAACCAAATGCGTCTTCCGTGCTCTGAACATTCAGCCTCCATTTCTTTGCGGTCAGTGACCCTTCCAATGGCAGTTTTCCGCTTTCAATCTCCTCGGAGAAGAACTCCCTGCACACATTCTTCACATCTCTATCCCAAATTACTCCATCTGGAGCGTCCGAAGAGAGGATATACTCCGAATTCCCAGGCACCAATTGAGAATCTATCGCGTCGACATGTGCCCTTGCAACATCGGCAACGTGTACCGGAGTACCAACATAAGGGAAAGGAGAGTTGAGCGAGCTGGTTAATGCCGGTGCAAGGACAGCTGCCCGCGTGCCCTGCAGGAGGCTGCGTCCAGTTGCATTCGGATCTGCATCCAGACGATCGTCTGGTCCAATCACAACAGACGGTAAGAGGTTCACAAAGTCAAAGGCTGGACGCATATTGCTGAAAAACTCCTTGGTCTCTACTCGGGCCAGAGCTTTGGATGCCCAGTAAGCTTCCATTGCGCTTGAAAAGGGACCAGCGACGCTGGTGTTAGTGTCGGCCACTAATGCTGAGTGTGAGTCTCATGAAATATTTGGGTTGATCAAGGGGTGTACCAACCGCTGTATAATCTCTCGCTGTCTGGGTTCATGTTCCATTCAAAGGGAATCAGTGTGACACACGACGAAGTCAAGACTACCCTGCGAATTGATGGCACACGAGTAGCAGCTTCCAGGACGGTCTTTACCATGGAGACAGTTTGCTTCAGGATTCCGATATCGTAGTCATCAGTCTGTTGAAATATAAGTTAGCGTTGGATCGCAGATTACTCGACAAAAAGAATTACCTCAATTGCCAAAGGTGACGCTAGATGAACGATCACACTGATTCCGTCAAGTGACTTGAAGAATGCATCCTTCTCGAGTAAATCGGGGATCACTGTGAATTCGAGTCTCTCGTCGTCATGACTTTGTGCAATCACATTGCTTTTGCCTTTCAAGTCGTCGATGTTGCTTTTGCTTCGGACAACCGCACGAACACGATGTCCTCTTTCGAGAGCAATTGTCAATGTCTTAAATCCGATATAACCAGTTACGCCTGTGATCTGCTCTTAACTATGAGAATTTGTCTATCGTGAAAGATAGGTAATATGCAAAGAATCGCTCACCAAAAGATGCTCCCCGCTGGTATGTGGTGTTATGTTTGCCATTTCGAAAGACTGAGCGATCTCTAGATTGATTGCCAGGCGAAAAAGACGTACAATGATCCTTATATTTATATAGTTCCATTACGCAGAGTCAAATCGTAGCTTAGCATTTGCTTACCGGAACTCGGAGTTCCGGGTTGGCGAGATTCTAGACCCCAAAATTGTTTTTTTATTGATAAAATATGCAACTTAAGAAAGAGATTGACTCAATAGTAGAACAGTATTGAAGGCTAAACCAACAGCAGATTACCATTGCTTTATTTTGAATATAGACCAATCCCCAACCGAGATCACCAATCAGACCTGCCGAACAGGCGATCTCTCAATCCTAGTGGAACCCCGCGACGAATGAATCTCCCAATCAGAAGTAATGTGAATATGGCCAGGCGTAAGATGGCCCATCTTAGCCATCATAGGTTGAGTAACAGTAACCAAAGGCATCTCAGGCTCCTCCAACCGCCTACTAGTAAGAATTGTAGTTTTCCAGTGCTTGGCCGCCTCCGGACCCAGTCCAGACATACGCGATGTCGATGAAAACACCGACGTCCCAAAGACCTTTTTGATAACCGGAGGTAGAATTGGGAGACAGGCCACCGTTATACCCAACAGCGGTACTAAGCATGAAAGAAGCGATTTCCGCGCAGAGCCATACGTTGCGTCTGACGGCATTGTTTTGGAATCGTATTTCATGCGCGAGGCAATAATTCCGACGATGCTGGATTTCCGTTAGTACTGGATTCATAACGGGATTCTGTTGATAAAAGAGGGAAATGGAACGCACCCTAATCCGAGTGCAAGGACACACACAAGTGCGGCTCTTCTAGCTTGTGAAAAGGCCCTGCTCCATGCGAAATAACTAGGGAGGATCAGTACCAAGAAACTGAGGACAGCCTCGCTGGCATTGACACTAGTTTGCAGCTTGTCCCGGTCACCGCAATGCCCTGGTGCATCCGAGATCCAGAACTTTTCGACTGGGAGGCAGAAGAATGCGGTTGCAAATACACCTGCAAGGCCGAGAGCTGTACATAGGCCCATGAGCGCATAGGCTGGCCAGACAACCACTCTCTGGCCAAATTCATGAACATAGTAGTGGAGAATTGATAGCTGAATCAATGTGACCGTTATGATCCATAAAAGATCACTAGCGTAAGTCACCTAAGTTCCTGTTAGGATTGGGAGGGCAAATTCCGTAGTTGAAGTGTGGCCTACCTTGCTGAGTTGGACGAATATATTCTCCCCTCCGACCTGGGATACTTCTGCAGAATGAAGTCCCAATCCAGTCAGCAGCACTTTGATGATTTCCACCACATAGAGACCAATGACTGCAAACTATAGCCCAGTGTCTTCAGTCAGCCTCGGCGAAATAGAGTGGAGAAAGGAGTAGCGCCCAATAGGTCTCCCGCGGAGAAATAGTGAACTCAGAGAGCCTTACCGTTCCAAATAGAATGAACCAGTCATTCCATTGCAGCGAACACAATTGTAATCGCCTTGCCCAGAATCTCAAGCCGACAGTGACAAGAGCAACCGCCAGAAAAATCGTCTGAACAGCGATATCGGCCTTGCCCAACCAATTATGGCCAAGGGCATGAACGAGCGTGCCAGAAAAAGCCATAACAGAGAAGCTTACATCCAAGAAGCCCTCAGATTCAGAAAATTGCCATGGGATGGGAAATAAGAAACAAAACCTGATATGTGAGAGGGCGGGGGCCTATAATCAGTTGCCCGAGCACGTTCAGAGCCTGCAAATAGTAAGATCGCCCCGAAGGACTATGCACTTCAACTGCCACACTGGCAAAACATGGAGGTGCTCCGATTTTGGTGTCCTTGCATCTGCTACTTTACTTGACATGTATGTGATATGTCTAGAATCCTTCGATCTATGAATAGATTCGAAATGGAAGTCACTGAAGGCAACTGGACTTGTATTCTAGGATTTAGTGACTGCAACTGCGTCAATCCTTCAATCTGCTCAAAATCAAGGCCCCCAATTTATCCCTAACACGAATGTTTCATGTGCTGAAACTAACTCGACCACAGCATCATCGTCCCACTTTGTTCTCCCGTGTGGGTCGATCTTCACCGTTTTTTTCCACTGAGGTTATTGGCTCTGCGGCCACAATAGGACAAAGGTCCTTGAATCCGCCCAGGTCTAGTGAGTAAATGGTCCAGACTCCGACACTAAAACCACAACTCCACTTTACTGACACGAAAAGTCTATCTCGGTTGAACAGCATCGTGTGAAAAGTCCAGACTCAAAGTAAGCTTTGTTCCATTTTACAGTACGGAGTACACATGGAACATCCATCCCTCGTTATGCAAGTCCACAGCAAGGAAGCAATCAAGCACGCGTTCATGAACTATAAGCGACCAACAAACTCAAGGCAGACACATTGACAAAACCCAATAGTCACCACCTGTGCATCTCCCACGTCAACAGTAACGCGTCTCCTCCCAAATCACACGTCAGCCTAGAACTGCCTATACCCAACATCCTTCACAAAAGTCTGCTGCCAAGGGCCCTGCGACGAATCCCCGGACAGCGAAACATACAACGCCCCGTGGGCTTCCCCACTGATCCCGCGGCCAGCACTGGACCCATCGGCCTTGCGTTCGTCGGCATAGTAGAATCTAGGGTGATCCCGTCAGCCATTGTGTTTTAGATTGAGATTGAGATTGAAATTGAGATGCGGTTTTAAGGTTAGATTTGTTTATCTTCTGGACCAGGGTTCGACACAGGGCCAGGAGATATTCTGAACGTGTTGGAATGTCTTACTTGTATCCCCGGTCAGCATAAGTCTCAGCAGCCGATTGGATGATGTGCGCTGTAGCAGCCTTGCCCACGCCTAGATCGAGGAGTGGTGGCATGGTCGTCGTGTTTAGTATATTGCCTGTATAGATGAATGTTTTCGATGCTGTTTCAGGGAGCTGGGCGAAGCTTGCTGCTGCTTCTTTGGCGGCGGCGAATGCGCTTATTGTGTTTATGTTTGTGTCGTTTGTGAAGTCTGCTAGGGAGAGTGAGAGGGGGTCCTTTGGATCGCTTGGTGTTACAGCGGCAGCTGGGACTCGTTAGTTGTATACTTATGGGAAGCTGGAGGGAGGGCGAGGGCGAGGGAGGGATTGTCTACCATTGTAGACGACAACGCTTGGGTGACCGAGTCGGGTCCTGACTTTTGAGAAGATTTCGGTTATGGAAGTTGGGTCGGAGAGATTGGCTGATATGTTGATTTGATCTTGGGTGCTATCTTCTTCTTTGAGTGATCTGGATACAAGAGCAATCTTGTAGCCCTTTTCGGCGAAAGAACGAGCTACGTGGTGGCCGACGTTGGACCCTGCGCCGAGAAGGAGGAGGATGGGAGTGGACATGGCTTAGTATGTATGAGTGAGATGCGTGATTAACTTAGAATATGAGTGCACTGGTAGGTTACTCCCTCAGGGTTGGCTGATTCCTATATAGCTGGATCCCCAGTGGGATTTCTAATCGGCGGATGGTGTCGGAACGCCTCGTTGAGACACATCTTATATATTCCGCCTTCGTAAGGCCTCGAAGGCCGAATGGCGCGAGTTCATGACAAAGATTGGTTATAAAGCATGCTTGATGCGGGGAACATGATGCTCACTGACATGATATCATGTAAGTCGCAGCTTATTATGCGCATCCATTCTATAGGAAATTGAACTCTTGGGTAGATTAAAATTGAATAATACGTTTCGCATTTCATTTTATATGTAGAAAACGAGTTCGAGAACGGTATAGTTCCACTCCACATCCCGCAAACACATCTTAAGTGCTCTTCTTAGCAGCCTCCCGTTCAGCCTTGCGGAGAGCACGCTTACGAATACTCTCATGCATAGACTTGTTCTGGGAAAGAACGGTTTTGCCCATAACACCAGCCACAGAAGTCAAGAACCAAGCCATGATTCCATGACTCCAGTAAGGTGACGAGCTATAAGCGTAAGAAGGCGAGCCACCGCTGCGACCAATCTTGCCCAGAACGGAACGAACAAATGCGCGTGGGGTAGGGATAGAAGCAGAGGCGCGACGGATCTTCGACATGGCAGAGGTAATCAGATAAGCCTGCACAAGCTCGACGTCGATGCCGTGGGGGGCGAGCTCGGCGCCAAGCGCAGTAGACCAGTGCTGGAGGAAAGCCTTGCTGCCGGAGTAGGTAGCCAAGAAAGGAGTGGGGAGGAGACCACCGAAAGAACCCATGGTCAAGACGAGACCGCGGCGACGCTGCATCATGCCTGGCACAACGAGCTGGGTGACGCGGAGGGTACCGGTGCAGTTGATGGTCACGATATCGGCCATTTCGGCGGCGGGGGTCTGCGCGAAGGGGACGGGGATGGAGTGGCTCAGGCCAACGTTGTTGACGAGGATGGAGACGTCCAGGTCGGAGACGAGGCCCTTCAGGGCTTCGTAGTCGGCGTCGGCGTTTTGCGCGAAGTCCATGGCCAGGGTCTTTGTTTGCACGTTGGGGTATTGCTTGGTGATATCCTCCGACAGGGTAGTCAGCTTCGAAGCTGTGCGCGACACGAGAACGACGTTGAATTTCGACTTGGCGAGCTGCAATGCGAATTCCTTGCCTAGTCCATCGGAGGCTCCTGTCACCACGGCCCAGCTACCGGGGGGACCGAATGAACGGAGCTATTCAATTGTCAGTCTTATTCTCTCAAGGCGTGATTGTAGATTATAGTTGCATACCGGCTTGCCTGGAAGCACAAACAGGCTGAGAAGCACCCGCACGAACGTCCACACCTTGCAGGCCACCACCAGCCCACCAGTCGCGAGGAGGAACAGGGCACCAAAAGTAGGCAAGCCCGGGGCAACATGGCTAGGCCATTGCGAGAGACACTCAGTATACTTTGAGAGATCCATGATGAAAAAAGACCGCGAATGGAAAGGAGTTGGCAACGAAAAGAAGAGAAAAAAAGTTGAGAAGCACCGCTTGTTGGGGGAAGATCAACGCCAAGAATCCCAAACATCCTCGGCCTTCCTCAATCACAACACTTCCCTGCAACACTGCACTGTGCAACATATCAACCATGTCCCAATTCCTCACCTACCTCCCCCAATTCGAGGGCGTCCTGCCCAAATGGCTTGTATTCGTATGCCCGCTCAATATCTTCTCTAAACTCCATTCCGAGCTAACAGACCCTAGGTCTCCGTGGTCTCCGCCCTGAACAGCCTCCAAGCCTACATCTCCCCGGCCTACACTTCTCAACTCTACAGCAATGGCCAGGTTCCCGCTAGCCCGCTGTCCGGCCGTGTCTTTGGAACTTGGACTTTCCTTTCCGCTGTTATTCGCATGACTGCCGCTTACAACATCACCAACCCTGTCGCATACGACCTTGCCCTGTGGACTTACGGAATTGCCCTGACGCACTTTGTCGGTGAACTGGTGTTTGGCAATGCCACCCTCAAGGGCCGTTTCATCAGCCCCCTGATTGTGGCTTCGTCGTCTCTGGCTTGGATGTTGACGCAGCGCGAGGCGTACCTTGCTTAAGTGCTGCGCAAGTGCTTGAATGAAGCCCAAAATGGTGATTGGTCGGAGTGGAGGAAATAAAGAAATGGCGAGATACCAAAATTCCTGGGATGGTTGTTGAATGGATTGTATTAAACTACATTACGGCTCGGTGCATACGTGCTGTGAAAATAATATGCATGTTTTATGTTCTGTTCTATGCTCACTACTTGAACAAACCACCCACCGACGCCATATTTCTGATCTCTTTTGCATAAACGCGCTATTTACTGCAGCTTGTTACGGTATAGCTCACCGCCGCAGTTGCGCAGCTTAGCAGCAGCCTGTTCAGGAGTGATGTCGCGCTGGGGCTCACCCAGCAGCTCGTATCCAACGAGGAACTTGCGCACAGTGGCACTTCGCAGCAGAGGTGGGTAGAAGTGCAAGTGCAGGTAAGAAGCCTCGATTTCCTCCTTGGTGCCATCAAGAGGCGCCTGGTGAATACCCATACTGTATGGGAAATGCGTTTCAAACAGGTTATCATAGCGGCGGGTGATGTCTGAGATGGCCTCGGCCAGCAACATGCGGTCCGCATCTGAGAGATCAACCAGAGCACGCTTGTGCGTGCGACTGATGATCATGACCTCGAACGGCCAGGTGGCCCACCATGGGCAAACGACGACGAAGGCCTCGTTCTCGAACACGACGCGCTCTTGTTTGCGGCTCTCGAGCGTGGCGTAGTCCTCGAGGAGGTGGGTGCTATGCGCCGTGCGGTACTTGAGCATCTGCGTCATTTCCGCCGCGGGCTCTTCGGGCATCGTGCTGGTCGTCCAGACCTGGCCGTGCGGGTGCGGGTTTGAGCAGCCCATGGCAGCACCCTTGTTCTCGAAGATCTGCATGTACCGGTACTGGTCCTTTGGCTTTGCAGGGCTCGTGTCATGAGAGATTGGCTGGATGGTGGTCGCCGCGGCATTCTGAGCTAAGGGGGAGGTGGGTGAGAGGTGGGCCGTGTAGATCTCCGTCCAGGCATTGATGACCGGGACGATCTCACGAGGCGGAAGGTCGGCCAGAGTGAGATTATGCGACGAGGAGAAAGTTAGCACGTAGCATTTGCCCTTGACGGGCTCGGCTTGCAGGAAGCGGGACTCGAGTTCTACTTCATTAGCTTGACCGGATTTTTAACGGGTGTGGAGGGCTGAGTAGTGAGCGTACCATCTTCATGGGTAGGTTCATAGTCCGCCTGTTCCTCCTTCACGGCGCTGTAGTCATTCACAAACACGAAAGTGCTGTCATACTTGGGATTGACGTCACCGGCGGCACGTTGGTTTCCCGGGCAGAGATAGCACTTGGGGTCGTAATTGGGGAGGGTGGTCTTGGACGGACTCTCCTGTGCTCCTCTAGAAGTTTCAATTAGTCAATTAGACCCTGTACGCGAATTGCCTTTTCGAGGTCCTTACTGCCAGGGACGCTTGGTTCGGTGGGGAGAGACCAAGATGGAGGAACCACGAAGAAGGTTAAACCTCCTGTGAGAGATGTCATCCAGTACATTGGCCATATTGAGCGATGATCAGAGGACCTTGGAGAAGAATAGAAACGAGAGAGAAAAAGAAGAGAAGAAAAGGCACCCCGGGAATCGGCAAATAATCTCCGGACTCCGGTGGGGTCGCGGGGTCAGAAGAAGACTTGTAAGCGAAGGGATTTCTATGTAAATTAGGAAGGGTGGTTTCTTTTCTATCTTGTATAGAGCTGGAATTTATCCGAAATACACATGGGACATTTGATCGAGATATCCCGATCTACATACTGATCCAACATACAGCCAATGCATATCCAACTGCCGCTTGACATCTCCCCATCTCGCTCGGTGAGCCGTAAAGGGTTCGGCATCCCGCACTTTTTTTTCCGGGGAAATGACGTTGAGCATTTCCAGAATTGACAAGAGTTGAGTTGGGTAGCAATTGGCATGACTATCTGGTCTTCCTACTTCTCCTCCATCGTATCAATTCCTATCTCGTCTTGCACTGCACTGCATTGTACAACCCCAAAGTAGTGACGTCAGCCCGTGTCCTGATCTCTATCAGCCCATCAACAACGCAATCAGAACACACCGCACCGCTGAAAAGCCTTATATGCAACCCAGTCCTAGTGTGAGTATTCTAATCTACGAGACTGTCACAGTTAACCTGCAGCCATGAATTACTCGACCCTAAACTGTCTTCCAAACGAGGTACATCGCCCATCTCCAACAAACTTCAAACAACAAACAGCCCTAATTACCGGATATAACTTAGGTCTTGGTCCAAATCTTATCAGACTTCTCAACGAGAACCCTCCTCCCATTAACATCAGTCTGCCACCGCTTCCACGCCCTGGTCCTTCGAATCCTACACTACCGCCTTCTCTTCAGCACTCCGCTGAAAGAATACAAACTCCTCCTCGAATGCTTCCACCCAAGCTCAAAGCTGACAGAGCCACACGTCTTCTGTAAATACCTCGGCACCGATGGCCTCAGCGAGCGCCACGACGGCAAAGGCTCGCTATATGAGAACGTCGACACAGCCCACCAACTCAGCCGGGTGACCGGTCTGTATTCCCGGTTCCGGCCGGAAGTCTGCACACCCGACGAGCAGAGTCGGAAAGCGGGGAGTTATGGAGTCCGTCTCGCTCCATCGCCAGGTAGGATGCTTCTGTTGTCGGGGATGGCTGGATTCATTAGGGCTGACATGAATCGGGGTGGAGATGGGGATGACGGCGCTGTAATGCGGGAGGTGATGTTGGATGGGTTTGAGGATTTCTCGCAGCTGTGCGTGGTGGCTAATCTGGTGCAAGTGCTTCCGGGGACGTCGTTGTTGTTGAGTGCTTTGACTATTGAGGATGGGGTGGTTCGGTTGTGGAGGGATTGGTTGTTGCGGCAGAGCCTGAAATGGAAAGCCGCGACGGAACGGGCTAAAGAGGAAGGGATCGAAAAGCCTGTGGTCGCTCCCGATGAAGATATTTTATGGGTTGATATGGAGGAGACCGTCGGGTTGAAGATGCGTGTGCGACCCAAGGAGTGGAACTCCTCTCAGCCGGTGCTTATGCATCAAGATGACCGATTTGAGGGCTCAGAAGTTGCTTATGAAGTGGATTTGGAAGGTGAGTTGTTTTACTCCTCTGTGTAGAATCAAGACTGATTGGTCAGAACTGCATATCCGTTCTACACGTCTGCTCTTAGCTGCTGAAAAGTCAAAAGAAGAACAACGGAACTGCCAACCAAATGCGCTTGTGCTTGGAAGCGTTCCTGCAGCTGCGCCAATTCAAGTGGCATAAAAGCTCTTCTGAAATTATAACGATTACAACGAACGCCTCTAATAATCTATGGGCCTATATAGGGATTGATCTATTTCAAAATTGATGTACAGCGCATATACAATACCAAAGCAAATAAAGCGGGTTCAAAGGTACAAAACTACCTGTTCAAACCAATAGCAGGATCAAAATCCCTCAAAAAGGACCAAAGAGTCTTCTCCCTCCACCCCTTCTCTTTCCATCCATCAGCCCTTAAAGGAAAGAAATCAACGACGCCGATCAAACTCGAATCATGAGCAAACACAAACCAAATATTCGAATTAGCATCGGCATCCTGCGATTTCACTATAGTCCTCACAGTCTCTTCAATCTCAACGCCAATCATAGCCGCAGGTTTAAAAAACGGCTCATCAACAGCACAACCTCGACTAGTCAACAATTCCTTGTAAGAGTCCACTCCCGGACATGGCAGCATACAAGAAGGATTTGCAGCGGGGAGATCAGAAGGGAGATGAAGATATTTGGATGGTCTCATTTCCCCACTGTGGTGACATAGATCACCGCCCATGAAGATGAACGTGTCTGGGTTTGTGGTTGTGCGTGCCAGGCCGCCAAGATGGCCTATAGCGTGGCCAGGCGTGTCTAGCAGATAGAATGAGCCGTCGCCGAAGAAGTCAAAAGCACGGAAATGACCTGTCTGGGCGGAATTCGTGAAATCAATCTCTCTTAGATTTCTTCCGCTGATTATCTTGTTAGACTGAGAAGCACGTCGGAGAAAAAGGTGTAGACATACGCAAAATCCGACTCTCGAATTGGAGAATCTGGGTCTGCTGGATATCCCGGCATGAAAGTACTTTTGAAACCAGGTCCGACGATGACCTCCGTTGAGGATGGAAATCGAGAGGGATCGCCCAGGTGATCCCAATGCCAGTGACTATCTCAAAAAAGCAATCAACACCAGGTCCTCCTTCGGAATTGAGTCGAGAGTGGAGTTCCTTACCTCCAAACAATACCCGAGATATCACTCGCTGCAACACCATTCTTCTCTAGGGTGTCAATGACCTCTTCTTCTACATCAATCTCCCACCCTGCCGCCTCAAGACGTCCAACGACAACCGGAGAAAAGGCTCGCCAGTCCTTCGGCACACCAAGATCGAAAAGCAGTTTCTGGCCCGAGGGATGTTCAATCAGGAATGACCATGCCGGCATCGGGGGCATATGGGGCATTCCCTCCATGGGTGGTTCCATGAGGAATTCCACGGGGAGTTTGGACATTCGAACGGTCGTGTCGATAATTCGGACTTGGACTGTTTGCGTGCCGCTAGGCACGGGGAAGGGGGCGTCATGGTTGGATCTACTTGATGCCCCGGTGGGTACATGATGTCTATGTACTGGATTGAATAAAGCACAGATATTGGTTGGGTACAGTCGAAAGGCTCTCGGTCGATGTGGGATGGGACGAGATGCGGGGTATCTTATCTCCGGCGAGTAAATATAACGCGATCTACATAGCTTTGCGATGCGCTTTATATTGATGTTTGGCCTGGTTAGCTTCACGTGGTTTGGCTTGAAGGGACCTCGAAATAATTTCTTACAATCCTTGGTCACTTCAGTGAGCTCTCGGTTGAACAGGTCTTCCATCGTAGATGTTTCACTAAGACATTACCCGGAATTTCTTTTATGCACCTTGCAAAGATGTACAATAGGTAACCCCAACCATATACTTCGGAATCAGGAACCGATGGTCGGTGGCTGAAGAAAGGTTTACCCGGAACCTGGGGATTGTGCGAGACATAAACCAAGTACAAATCCCCAGCATCGGTTATATCGGGACAGTGCATGAGAGACCCGCCCAAATCCACTGTCATTGCCGGGACCTACAGTAGTAGTAGATCTAGTGATGATGCTATCTAGCATCTTGTCTCGGCTTGGAAATATCTTAACCATCTCAACCAGTTTAACCATTTCAACTATTCTGCCCTATATCGAACCCTATAGCAAGCCAAGCTTTCGGGAAGCCGTCCAAGCCGGGCCGATATTTGGAACGCGAGTCAGGGCTTGAAATCTCCACTGAAAATTCTGAGACCGGCACCGTGCCGAAGCAATAGTCAACGCTGATTGGCTCAAAGGAGCCGAGGCATTTCGGCTGTTATCAAAGTGGGACATCTTTTTTCTTATGTTTCAAAGATTTTTATATTTCTTTAATAGTCACGGCTGATCCGTGGTGAATTTCGATCGCTTGATCTCGCTTTGGACATTCCCGTGGAGACATTCACTTGCCAACGCCAATTCAACGAGCCCCTCAGGGGATCTATCAAAATGGCCCCCAAGGGAGGCGAGACAACACTGCCCTCTCAGATCACCTTTTGGCGCATGGTCTTTGATCAAAGAGTCGTTACGGAGGAAATCGTGCAATATCCATATACAGGCTCCGGCACCGAGGATGATCCCTATGCAGTGATCTGGATCCCAAATGATCCACGAAACCCAATGAACTTTGCGGCAACGAAGAAATGGGCCATCACGCTGTTAGTGTCGTTTGTCACTCTGGCCGTCTCACTAGTATCATCCGCGTTCTCAGGCGGCATGAGCCAGATCATGGAGGACTTTGGATCGCCCGAAGAAGTCGTCATCTTAGGTGTTTCCTTGTTCGTCTTGGGATTCGCGATTGGTCCATTGATCTGGGCTCCTCTGAGTGAGATCTTCGGCCGTCGCCATATCTTCACTATCTCATTCATGTTCTTGACTGCATTCAATGCCGGTGCAGCGGGAGCCCAGAACATCCAAACCCTCATCATTCTTCGTTTCCTAGCGGGATCGTTTGGCTCTTCGCCATTCGGTAATGCAGGTGGCACTATTGCGGACATGTTCCCAGCTTCGCAGCGTGGAATCGCCATTTCTCTCTTCGCCGCAGCACCATTCCTAGGTCCTACCTTAGGCCCTGTCATCGGCGGTTTCCTCGCCACCGGCGCAGGCTGGCGCTGGGTTGAAGGCTTCCTCGCCGCCTTCTCCGGCGCTCTCTGGTTATGCATTATCTTCCTTCTCCCGGAGACATACGCCCCAGTCCTTCTTCGCCGACGAGCAGAGAAACTCTCAGCTCTGACCGGCGACGTCTACCGCAGCCATCTCGACATAGCCCGTGGCCCTGTTCCAATGAGCCAGACCTTAAAAACCGCCCTCTCCCGCCCCTGGATCCTCCTCTTCCGCGAGCCAATCGTGCTCCTCTTCTCAATCTACATGTCCATCATCTACGGCACCCTGTACATGCTCTTCGCCGCCTATCCAATCGTCTTCCAGCAAACCCGCGGCTGGTCCGAAGGCATCGGCGGTCTAGCCTTCCTAGGAATCCTCGTGGGAATGGTAATAGCAGTAGCCTACACCTTCCCCGAGAATTTCCGCTACGCAAAGAAATGCGCCCAAACAACCGACAGACTCGCTCCCGAACTTCGCCTCCCACCAAGTATGGTCGGCGGCATAGCCCTCCCCAATCGGTCTATTCTGGTTCGCCTGGACCAATTCACCCAGTATCCACTGGATGGCCTCGGTAGCAGCAGGCGCACCTTTCGGCTTTGGAATGGTCCTCGTCTTCCTCAGTGTATTCAACTACCTCATCGATTCCTACACCATCTTCGCGGCGTCCGTGCTAGCAGCAAACTCAGCCCTCCGCTCTTTGTTCGGCATGGCCTTCCCTCTTTTCACCACATACATGTATCAGAACCTGGGAATTCACTGGGCGTCCTCGATCCCGGCATTCCTCTCGCTGGCATGCGTGCCCTTCCCATTCATCTTCTACAAATACGGCGCTCAAATCCGGAAACGCTGTACCTACGCCGCTGAAGCAGATGCATTCATGGAGCGTCTCGCCCAGAAGAATCAGGCTCAGGCCGGGGCGCGGATTGAGAAGGAGGAGGAGGAATCCGAGAAGACGGATCCAAATGCTATTCTGCCCGATGAGGTTGATTCGAGCGACGATGATACTTTGTCCACTGTTCCTTCGCGCGGTACGATCGCTCGCCATGCTTCCCGTGCTTCGCGGCAGTCTGGCCGTTCTATGCATCGTGTTGCTACTGCTACTCAGTATGAAGAGAATCCTTATGATTTGGATTTGGTTAATACCAAGCAGTCGGCTATTAGTGGACATCGCAAGGATTGAAGGGCTGTGGGATGGTGTATCTCACATTCGCCTTCGATTACTACTCTTGCCATTAAACTCATATTCTGAATTCTGTGGCTGATTACCATCGGCAAAATAAATTTGAGAGCTCATCTTTATTGCCGACTCACAACTCCAAGCTCGGTTTCTCATCGTGGCTTCACCACATGCCGCGGCGGAACGGGCAGAGAAGGGGCTCAGGTCCTCCTCAGTGAACATCGGATGATACCCCCGAGTCATTTCGACAGATTTATGCTGCTTTGAAGTTGACGCCAAACACGGAGACGCGTGTCAAGCCATACTTGCTCTGGACGGCACACATCGCAACCAGCGCTTAACTGTCATTTATTGTATATACCTAATTCTTTAATACATAGAATAGAGCATGGAACCGAACCAATTCAATGTTCCACACACAATACTACACTCGTCCCGTCGAGGATGTGATCCCACCATCAACCACCAGCTCCTGGCCAGTAATATACCGTGACTCATCCGCAGCAAGAAACAAAACCGCATTAGCGACATCCCAAGCATCCCCCATCCTCTTCATCGGCACCTGATCATGCCGCATTTTCATATACCCATCTTCATCACCACCAGGAGCAAACCGTCTAGCAAGGTCACGGGTATAAGGCGTATAGATCAAACCCGGAACAACGGTATTCAACCTGACGCGCCGATCAGCATAAATCACCGCAGTAGCTTTAGTAAACTGCATAATAGCAGCCTTGGCAGCCGAGTAAGCCACCTGGGGTTTTCCAATGTATCGCAAGCCCGCAATACTCGAGACATTGATTACCGTGCCGCCACTCGCTTGCTTCTCCATGATGGGCAGGACAAAGTGGGTTGTCAGGTAGACGCTTTTCAGATTCAGGTCCATTTGTTGGTCCCAGATCTTCTCTGACATGGTTGCTGGACAGCCGGGCTCTGATTTACCCACGTTGTTCACTAGGATGTCGATGCGGCCGTATCGTTCAATACAGGCTTCTACTAATGCTTTCGTGGACGCGGAATCTGTAACGTCTGTTTGCTGGACGTGGCAGATGCCGCCTTCGGCTTCGATTCGTGTCTTGGTTCTTGCGGCTGCGGCTGCTGTGCGGTTCCCGCCGAAGATGAGTGCCCCTTGCTGTGAGAGCTTCATTGCGATGGCGGCCCCGATGCCCCAGCCTTCTTCACTTGTTTGGCCGAGGCCGGTGATTAGGGCTACTTTTCCGTCGAGTCGCAGCATGGTCGAAATGGGAAGTTTGATACCACGAGGTGTAATTGATCGTAATGAGCACTTTTATGGGCTTGGAACTTTTTATATCATGACTTTAAAGTCAATTTTGTCCCTGTCCCTGCTTGGGAATGGCGGATCGCATCCGTCGCTCGGAGCGAAGCCGCGCGCCGTTAGTCCGCGCCTGAGTGAAGGGCTTCGAATTGACGACTAGCAGATGTTTAAGATCAATTTCAATTTAATGTACTGTTCAGTCTTGGGGTTACTCTGATTCAACCGCGAGTAATACATGCAGGCATCATGACCGCTTCGACTGAACCCGACGCGGTTCAGAAATACTACGATCTTTCGCAATCTCTAGACATCAGCTCCGGTCTTCGACACGGACTTACATCTTATGGAGATGCGCGCTTTTCCCTATTTCTCTGAAAGGTCTTCATCGTGACTTGGCGATTCCATTCATGGCCGTTGTCAATAATCGGGGTGATCGGCTTTATTATGGGATCAGGGGACTGGACTGTTTTGATGCAACTGAGGTTGGTACCGAGGTATCTTTGTGCCTTGAGTGACCCAGTGTCGGAACATATCATTACTACATGGAGATAATGTAAATTCTCCGTATATGGATGTGAGACTGCTACTAAACTCAGGGAGAAGAATGCGGTGTCTTCCAATGCCCTATTTGGCAGTTTAGTGTCGTAAGGCAGGTGTGAAAATAGGGGGATTTGGGACTCGGTCACGATTGGGGCTGCTTGGGCATTGGCTCTTTTATTAGAGATCATTTGGTGGTTTATACAAGTAGACGTTTTACTGAGGTAGGAATCATGTGTTAACTTAAGTGTCAAGTTATATGAGAGATGAAAACTCAAGGCATCATAGTAAGACAATATTTTATCCCATTGCAATATGCAGATATAGAGTAGATTCTATTCTAGCACCTATCTGATAGTTGTTAAAAAGAAGCTTGAACTGACATCCAGTATCGTCCGATCGCCGACAGTGTGGTCGGGTCCCAATGATCACTCATCACAGCCTCGGCCCACCTCCACCTCGGCCTACCCCAGCTATATACCATCGCCTCACCTCACTGGCAGACCCTCAATTATACAATTATAATCAATCCACTAATTCGAACGCCATGCCGGGCAAGATTGACGCCTACGTTGATTGCGGTATGCAATACCCCTGTCATTGCCCCAAGCCTCCGAGTCGCTAATCATTGGACAGTATCGCCGTATTCGTACTATGCGACGCTCTATCTCAGAAAGAATCGCAAAGCGTTAGAGTCGCATGGAATCGAGATCGAGTCTGTCCCTGAATAAATCGTCCTCTCACTTGCGCTGATTCCCGAACAGATTCCATCCGGTGTTCCTTGGCGGGATCAATGTCGGATCTGGTATGTCTGCACCTTTCACTGCACCCTATCTAAATAACCAAAACTGAAAACAAAAGGAAACAAACCCCCCTGGACACTCCCCGCCAAGGCTGCATACTCCAAATTCGACTCCCAGCGCGCCTGTAAATACTTTGGCGTGGAGCCGATCAGCCCCCCTTCGTTTTTCCCCATCCTCTCGATCTTGGTAAGCTGGTATTCATATCCTATGCCTTTCCAAATCTAACTCGCCAGCCTCAACGCTGCATGGTCTACATCAAACTCCACCATCCGCGCGAAAAATATGAAACCACCTTCCTCTCTCTTTGGGAATGGATGTTTTACAAGGGCGTGGACATCAGCAAGCCCGACAATCTAGCCGAAGTCTTCCGCAGCAACGGATACGCCGATGCCGAGATTCAAGAGATTCTCGCGTCGGCATCTAAGGCGGAGTTCAAGGAGGCGTTGACGGCTAACACGCAGACGGCGCTTGATAAAGGTGCTTATGGCGCGCCCTGGTTTTGGGTTCGGAATGACCAGGGCCAGGAGGAGCCTTTCTTTGGGAGCGATCGGTATGTGCCTCTGTGCTTCTTTGCGACAATGCTGACTGGGTTAGATTTGCGTTTATGTGGATGTATCTTGGATTGCCGTTCCAGGATGTTGCTATACTGGCTCCTGAGAAGGAGAAGTCGAAGCTTTAAGCATCTGGACGTGGCCCACTTCTCGGCCTTCGGGCTTATGTGACTCAGAGCTTAGAAATATTCAATTGACCAGACTTTTGTGGACTTGTGGACTTATGGACTTGGTAGTGTAAGGTAGAATGCAGCGTAGAAGTATATAAACCCGCCATTGTTCTCTTTGACATCTTCCCACCGGATAAGAGCTGAACCACTGCAGCTTTACCCCACGTCTGCCCCACACTTGACTTGTCTCCAACATTTAACCTGCGCATCGAACATCGACTCAACATCTACTTGACCATCTATTCTACCATCTAGCATCTACTCATAACCATCACTCACCACTCATCATGTCTGGACCTCGCGTTGCATGGATTGGCCTCGGTAACATCGGCCGAGTAAGTCAAACCACCCCACCCCGGAGCTATACTCGAAAACACCCAATCCCAACCCTAACCAACCACAGGGCATGAGCCAAAACATAGCCCAAAAAGGCCCCCAAACCGGCCCCATAATCCTCTACAACCGCACCACCTCCCGCGCCACAGCCCACGCCAACAAGCTCGGCGCCGACAAAGCAACCGTCGCCTCAACCCTCCACGACGCCGTCGCCGCCGCCGACCTAATCTTCACCTGCGTCGGCGACGACCCAGCCCTAACCTCCATCGTGGAGACCATCCTCGCCGACAAAACCCTAACCCTAACCAACAAGACCTTCATCGACTGCTCGACCGTGCACCCGGACACATCACGCAGCACCGAAGCCGCCTACCTCGCCCGCGCCGCCAACTTCGTCGCCTGCCCCGTCTTCGGCGCGCCCAACATGGCCGACGCCGGCGCCCTGATCGTCGTCCCGGCCGGCAAGCAAGCCTCCATCGCGACGCTGCGCCCGTTCCTGGACGGCGTCGTCGCGAAGCAGACCATTGATTTGGCTGCCGGCACGGGCGCGGATATCGATGTGGGCAAGGCGTCTACCATGAAGGTTATTGGGAATACGTTTATCTTGAATACGGTGGGCGTGCTGGCCGAGTCGCTGGTTGCTGCGGAGGCGTCTGGGCTGGGTGTTGGCCCGTTGAAGGAGTGGTTGGATATTTTTGCCCCGGGGGCGTTTGCCAAGTATGCGGAGCGTATGGTTGGGGGTGACTATTATACACGTGAGGAACCGCTTTTCGCGGTGGATCTTGCTAGGAAGGATTTGAGACATGCTTATTCTATTGCGGAGCAGGGGGGTTTGCGGATGAGGAATGTTGAGGTTACGGATGCTTTGTTGGAGGGTGTTAAGGGGGAGAGGGGGGAGGCTGGGGATATTGCTGCTGTTTATGGCATTGTGAGGCAGAGGGCTGGGTTGGAGTTTGAGTGTTTGAAGGAGAAGAAAGAGTAGGTGGGTTTAAGAGTGGATCAAAGTATATAGAATTACAACTGTAAAGCCAATTGCTTCATGCCATTAAGAATCAAGGTCTCCTAGGGATATAGTGGAGACACAACTAAGGGTCAATAATAAAGACATAAAAGTATGCACATCAAGAATAATTTTTATCAAAACACAGCAAATACTGAACACCCCCGGGGTGTCATCTTGCAATCATATCATAGCATCGCATCTACTCCTCCCGAATCTCGGCATTCTGATCGTGGTGCTGGTGCTGACTAGCGCCGGCCTCACCCTCCTTCTGAGCATCGGCGGTGCCGTGGAGATCGTTGACGATTCCATCGGGGGGAACCCAGCTGGAGGACTTCCAGGGCTTGACGTGGAGGACGTACATGGTGTCAACCTCCTCGAGGGTACGGCCCTGGGTCTCGTTGACGAAGAAGAAGACGACGAGGACAGCGAGGAAGCAGCAGGCAGCGAAGACGTAGCCGTAGCGGAAGTCGATGGTGTTGTTGATGAAGGGGGTGAAGAAGGAGATGAGGAAGTTCCAGGTCCAGTTGGCGGCGGTGGCAACTCCCATGCAGACGGCGCGGTAACGGAAGGGGTACATTTCACCACAGATGGCCCAGACGATGGGACCCCAGGTGGTGGCGAAACCGACGATGAACAGACAGGTGAAGACGATCATGACGATACCGGCGGAGTGGTTGGTAGGGTTGGGGTGGATGATCTCGTGACCAACAGAGGCCCAGATCAAGAAGCAGATGAACATCCAGGCGCCACCGTACATCAGACACTTGCGACGACCGTAGTGCTCGACAATGTACAGACCGGGGAGGGTCATACCGAAGTTGACGGCACCAAGAATGATGGAGGTGACGTAGGAGTTGCTCAGACCGATACCGTTGAAGATGGAGGTTCCGTAGTAGAAGATGAAGTTGGCACCAGTCAGCTGCTGCAGGGATTGCAGGGCGACACCGAGAAGGATACGGTAAAGCATGCGAGGACCGGTGAAGACCTCTTGCCAGGGGGCATCACCGTTGGCAAGCTCCTCCTCGGTCTTGCGCTTCATGTCGCTCATTTCCTGGGCGACAACGCGGTGGTTGTGGGGAACACCATAGAGCTTGCACATGACATCGCGGGCCTCCTCAATGCGGCCGTGACGGTAGGCGAAACGGGGGGACTCGGGAAGGAAGAGAGTACCGATACCGAGGATCAGGGGCCAGGCAAAGCCAATGCCCATGGTGATGCGCCAGGAGGCATCGGTGTCGAGTCTGGAGGTACCGAAGTTGACGATGTAGGAGATGAAGATACCGAAGGCGACGAACAGCTGGAAAGCACTGACCATGGCACCACGGACCTGGCGAGGAGCAGACTCACTCTGGTACATGGGGACGACACTGGAGAGCGCACCGACACCCAGACCAGCGACCCAACGGCCGAGGGCGATTTGGTACCACTTGTCCGTGGTGGCGATTTGAATGATGATACCAACAATGTGGAGGAGAGCCCAGAAAGAGATGGAGAGCTTGCGGCCAATGCGGTCCGCAATGGGGGCGGCAACCAGGGCACCAATCATAGTACCGATAGAGAGCTGTAGCATGTGTTAGTATACAGTACTATCAAGGGCCCCCAGTAGGGTCTTTCAGGATACAGGATTCTCTTACCAATCCGACAATGAGACCGTTGCGCACGTTGCTGAAGACATATTCCCCGGTGGCGGCGTCGTACTCAGCGAAGCGACGCTTGAAATCCGGCATGGTGGTGAAACCCGAGATTTGACCTGCGGTTTGGTTAGCGTTATGAACGTTGCATTGTTGAACGACCAGTCTTGTGTGACATACCAGTGGCATATCCGAAGATGAAACCTCCCATGGAGACACACAAGCCCAGGATGAAGGAACGCCATGTCAGGTACTTGACTGGGCTGTCATCGAGGGTGATGTTGTCCTTCTCAGCTGAGGTAGAGTCGGCACGTGAGGGAGTAGCAGCCTGTGAAGAGAATTGAGACTCCGACTTGGCGGGCTTGACCCGATCCATGAAGGAAGAGAGACCCATAGTGAAAGACGGCTGTTTGCTTTTTTTTCACTTGCTATGGATAGAAGTGAAAGAAAACGAAGAGAAGAAGAGGAGGGAAAACCGACTAATTATACCCCTCGGGGTAGGGGACTCCCGGATTTGTCCCACTTCCGAAATGGGGAAGTAAATTTCCCACTCCACGGGCAGTTTTAGCGTCTCTGCACTCCGTACTCTCCGTGTTTGGAGCAGTGGAGAGAAAGTGGAGAGAGATTTGGTCCACGTGAAGGTGAAAACGTCTACATGCCTGTATCCCTTCTAGAAAGACCCTTTGCTTGCAACTCCTCTATATCAATCCTCATATCTAGGGATGACTTTGGTATGTACATCTACGCCATCTCCGTAGACTTCACGTGGGAATCAAAGGGGCATCTGATCACCCGACCTTCTTGCCACCTTCTAGAAGCCTGCGTGATTCAGTTTAGTCCCTGGGTCCTCGGGCCAGGTGTGCGAATGAAAATGCCGTGCCTGGGCCAACAATCCGTGGGGAGACGGGTAAAAGGATATTCCACGTAACAATGATCATGACATTGGACAATAATCACTCATACTGGCCAGGTGGGAACTGGGAGACTCGGTTCTGGTGCCGATGGTATGAACTATACAGGGAGTGGGCGTCACTAGTAAATAAACCGGTTACCGTACGCGATCACGCAGAGTTTGCATGGGCGATTTACGAAACAGAACATCGAGCGCCTGAAACCGGTGGGTTCCCAACGGAGAAGGTGAGAACCAAAATAACCCGACTAAATTGACTAAAATCTTCCCATGTCTAGAATTTTTACAAGGTGGGTCGACGATTCGCTGTGGCCGACTTGGCGCTGATCATGGCTGAAAAGCTTGGCGTGCTGCAAGGGGGCCTCGGGGGACTCTGATTGCAGTCAACCAGAGCACAGAGTAGGCAAACAGCACACAAAGGGCGAACTCCCATTTATATCAATTGGAGAAGCAACGACCAGCTTCAAGATAAGAAAGAGAAAGAAAACAACCGACCCACGAGGCTTCGGTCGATATCCGCGCAGAGATTTCGGCGACTCCACTACGCCCAAATCGGCACACCGAATGCCCGACTTTGCTGCTTTTTCTGTCCCGAGCCGAGTGGGATCCCGACTCGGCTTCGGTCAATCCCGTGTTTGGATTCGGCCTCCTCAATCTACGGCAGGAGTTGGGAATCCGTGGAAATCAGCAGGTTGTCACTCTCTTGTGCTTCCTCTGATTTACATTCTTCTTATAGGCATTCCTTCTATTATTGATTGACCGGCATGTTTGTTGTTCTCGGCATCCCTAGAGACGGAAACAGAGACCCACATCCCTTGATCTGCGGTGAACCACCTAGGAAAACTCTGAAGGTATCAGACCATTGTTCGAAAGTCTAGTCCAACAGATTGAGTGGGTCACGTATCTCAGCTTCACTCTAGAGTCCAATCGCTAATGTACAGTGTACAATATCATGACTCCTCTCGGGACAGGTCGGGACCTAAGTCTGCAGCAGCTGTGCAAAAGTCCCTAGATAACTTCACTCCATCTGTCTGTGCTGGTGAAAGAAAAAAACCTCCAGTCAGCCAATGCTGTCATCTTAAAAAAAAAAAAACACTGTTCCAAGGTTCGGGTCTTGCTTACAATGGCAAGGCCATGGGCAAAGTGGCAGAAAGGAAAGGAAATTAACACTAATTGAACCACAGTTCAATTCAATCAATTCAAGTTAAATCAAAAATTAACATAAATTCAAAACAAATCAATCAAATCAACCAAAATAAATCCAATTACTGCATGGAGTATTGCAAACATCCAATGACGTGGGGATGTACATCCGACTTCCCAAAGAGGAAATCGGGAATGTCTACCTTGACATGATTCTGTACAGCTATACAGCTATACTACTGTACCGTACTCCGTACAGCATGTGTATGAAACACAACTCCATCCAGTAGATGATCACACCCCATTAGCCGAAAAATCGCGCTTGACTCCATACTTCATCTCCATGTCCTCCATGCCCCATACTCGCTGGCAGATGCCGTCATACTGCATCGGGAGTCGGTCACAGCTGTGCCGTTGCGTAGAATCAGGGGATGGGGTTGGGGATGAGACTGGAGAAAGTGGTCATTGCTGACCCTGATCCTGGAGGCACAGGGAACAGGGAGGACCGGGGACAGGTGACATCCGCCATGGGGTTTTGTTGGACCGTGTTTTCTAGTTGTTTCCCTTCCTCTTTCATCCTTCATTCAACTTTCGTCCAACCTTCACCCCGGATGAGAGTGCCGGGTTGCTTCGCCTCTTCCAAGGTTTCGCATCACATGTCTTGTGCAATCACACTCCTCTTGATAACCACTGTGCTACATGTGTTTCTTGCTTTTAACGGTAACAGGTGATGCAGATTGTATCGTATGATGGATGCTGTGTGCATGGCCAGCGAGCGTCCATCACTTATCATCAGTGATCAGGGTAATCAGGGCCACGGATGGTCAGATACAGGTTGTGGGATGGAATCTGGGGATCTCATGATGCACTGATAGGGGATGGGATGAGCGTGCGGGCTGCGGAACCCATTCGAGGGCAGGCCGTTGTGAACCTGTTCCAGACACCGGTGAGCACATGTTCTTTTAGGGTCCACCCTGCTGAGACGCCCTGGCCACCTACGCCTACGACGGCTTTCACCTGAGCTTTGGGATCGAAGGTTTAGAGTAACCTTACGAGTACGGCAAACGGGGATGCAACAACTACCGAGTACACGGTTAAGACACTACCACTCATTTACCATAAGCTTCATCTGGATTGGTATATGCGAGATCATCAAGTCAAGAACTTTTCTGTGCCATTGACCAGGAGGACAACTCCCACAAAATCGAACATCAGACCGGACAAACGAGTTATCCGGGAACAGTCGTGGAAACAAAATGCACGTCAAATGAACATTTCTTCAGCATAAAATGGAGAAAAGATAAGGGGAAAAATCAGGAAAATAAACGCCCAACACCATTTTGCACCCGGCATCGAAACCAATGGACAATGATTAAGAATGGGTCTCGTTTCCGCATATGCAGAGCTGGGCTTAACGACGGTCCGTCTTGCCCATACCACGCTTTCCGGAGAACTGTAGTGAAACATGGTTAGCAATGGAACAAAAGGTGAAGTGGAGTGACAGGGGTTACATACCAAGTGCTTGGCGAGAGAGGCGGTTGTGTGACGATCGGCCTCACCGGCACGGGCCATGCGGTTCATCTTCTTCTGGCCCAGCTTGGCCAGACGCTCAGCCTTGTCACGGTTACCGAAAGTAGTGACACCGTCGAGACGACGGTCAGTGACAGGTGTGCTGCGAGCGCGGCTCTTAGCGCGGGCAAGGGCCTTGTGGGGGGTGTCGACGTCCATGGCGTCATCATCGTTGGCGCCCTCACGGGTGGAGGAGCGGCCACGGGGAGCCTGGCTCTGGTTGCGGGCACGGGAGCTGGCGGCTCCAACATCGTAGCCGGCAGAGTCGAGACCTCTCTCCATCTGGGAGAGCTTCTTGGCCTTGGCGCTGCGGGGAATTTGGGCGCGGTTCTTGAGCGACTTGCGGTCCCGGGCTTCGTTGCGGAGGAGCACACGCTTCTCGCGGATAAGATCGGCCTTCTCGCGGGTATCGGCGTCTTCGGCGTCTTCCACGCTCTCGTCCGACTCGTAGTAGCCGTCGGCTTCGAGCTTCTCTTCTTCGTCCTCGAGGGCGGCGAGCTTGGTCTCGATATCGGGGTCGACAAAGTCGTAGATGTTCTTGCCGTTCCACACCTCGGGAATCTTGTCGTGGTTCCACTCCTTGTTGGCCAGAGTGTAGTCGCGCTGCATGTCGAAGCTGTAGACACCAGCACCACCGTTCTCCTCCTCGAGGTCGCGCTCCAGTCTCCGGCGGTTGGGGTCGTTCTTGTCGTACTTCTTGAGGTCCTTGACGGCATCGGGGATGAAGGATTCACGAACACCACCCATGGGCTGGGCAACGTGAATACGGGACAGAACGTCGCCGAGACGGCCACCGGGGGTGGCGCTGGTGGAACCAGACTTGAGCTTCTGCGCAACACGCTCAGCCAGGAGCTTGTCACAGGCGGCGTTCTTGACGGCGGTCACACCCTCGGTGGTGGTGCAAGAGGCCTGCAGCATCTCGACATCCTCGGCCTTGAGAATCTCCTGGAGCTGCTCCTGGTACTCAGGCTCCAGCTCCTCGGGACGGCGCACGTCGATCTTGTTGACAACGATGAACACAATCTTGTTGGCGAAAAGAGGCTTGATGCTGTGGAAGAGCTTGATCTGGTCGCCGACAGAGTAACCACACTGCTCGGAAAGATCCATGAAGTAGAGGATAGCGGAACGCAAATGGGCAACGGCGGTGATGGACTGCATTTCAATGGTGTTCATCTCCTCCAGGGGGTGGTCCAGAATTCCGGGGGTATCAATGGCTTGGAAACGGAGGTACTTGTAATCGAAGTGACCAACGAACAAACTCTTGGTGGTGAAAGCATAGGGCTGAACATCGACATCTGCGCGGGTAATGTTGCGCAGGAAACTCGACTTTCCAACGTTGGGGTATCCACAAATCAGGAGAGTACGAGTGTTGGGGTCGATAGAGGGCAGACGACCCAAGTGCTGGCGGACCTGCTCCAGGTAGACGAGGGGGTCCTTAAGACGGCGACAGATGGTAGCCATACGACCGAGCGCAGCGCGCTTGAGCTGCTTGCACTGGAACAGAGACTGCGCATACTTGATAAGACGGACGTAATCGCGAGAAACGGTTTCAATCAGGTGCTTGGCGGTCGAGACCTGGCCAAGACCGATACGGAAGTGGTCGGCATCATAGAGAGTGTTCATCAAATCCTTGTCTGGTGAACGTTAGACCCGCCCGAACATCGCCACAGAAGAATCTGAACTTACGGAAAGGATGGATATCCTGCAGGCGAGGGAATCCATCGAGAATAGCCTGGAACTTCTCACAGAAGGTCTCTTGGGTATACTTGACCTTACGGGTGTAGAAACCTGAAGGGGAAAAAATTCGGTCAGCATTGCTTTATCGATAACCGCGATAACTTTTTTTTCTGCAAGTTGCCATTTCCTCCACCTCGGAGCAGAACTCGTAGGAATCGTACCTCTGATACGGCTGATCTTGAAACCAGCACGAATCTGTGTGGGCAACTGTCTCTGAGTCCGACTCAGGACAATATCCAGGAACTCCTGGTGTGTGGGCACCGGCGCAATCTAATCAAGCGGTGAACTCATTAGCGGAGTAAAACAAGGAGGGTGAGAAATGGGAGACGCACATCCTTCCACGTAGTCTTCATGATGGGCACAATCAAAAGTCAAACGAGCAGTGACCTTTGAAGATATCCCGAGGTGAATGGGTGTTGATAGAGTGGGTTTTTCTCCGCGAAAAAAATTGTTGGCAATCCTTTTCTGCCAGGCGGTAGGCAAATGCGGGGATTGGGATTGGATGGACGTTGAGAGACGATCACGTGGTTCATATCGCGATCTGCTCTTGCGCCAAAATTTGAACAGTTGGATGGGCACTGGATTAATTTGGGTATTTATGTGGCCGATAAGTAGAAGAATGATATTTTATTGAGTTAGGCTACTTATACCTACATCACATGGTGGACATGCTGCATAAAAAGCCTTGGATCGATCGTTCGAGATTTGAACCCCTCAAACCCATGTCATGTTACCTTGTAATGATATGTAGGTCTATAACTGTTTGCAAAATACTGCTCTTATAGAATTTCAAATACATCTGCTAGGAAAGTACCTATGCATCTATAGGGTGCTTGGTTCTTGCAGAGGTTTGCGGGTTGTCTGATATATAATATTGCAGAAACGACTTAGCACCTTAAGGCTCTATTCACAAGAAATTGGACCACTGGTGTTCAGCAATGTCTTTAGATTCGTACAGCCACTTAAATAGTTCACTCAAAGATATAGAACTTCATCTAATCCAATATGGCACACCCACACAGTGATATATATATCTCAGTAATACATGTTTCCTCGTAGACGCTCCTAGATCCTCGCCTTCCTCGTTTCATTCAATTTGGCAGGTAAAAGTCTCCTCAAAATCTTACCAGTCGGAGTCTTGGGCAAGCTTTGCAAATGGTGAACACCACCCCTGAGCTTTTTGTACCCAGCCAGCTGGCTGTCGATCCAGATCTTAATCTCATCGAGAACTTTCTGCTTCTCGGAGTCTGACAACTCCGCTGACTCCGGCGATAGACTGACATAGGCGAGTGGGACTTCAGTCGCTTGGGAATCATCGTAGACTGCACAAACTGCAGCATCTGTAACATCGGAATGGCGCAGAAGAATATCTTCTAGTTCTGAAGGTGCTATTTGGAATCTATAGTGACATCGAAACGATTAGCTGGAGGCCATTGAATCAAGAAGCCCAAATTGGAGACAAACCCCTTGTACTTGATCATCTGTATCCAAGCAGTTAGTTAAAGACTGCTCAGGAGTCAATTGGGCAAGGGAGGTATACTTCTTTCAGACGATCGGTGACCCAGAAGTTCTGATTCTCATCCATCTTCAAGATGTCTCCTGATTTGATCCACCCGTCGGAAAATGTACTTTCTGTTGCCTCGCTATCGTTGATGTAACCCCTGTGAGAGTCGTCAGCACACTTGATGATGATGAATTTCCAAATATGAGAGCCCACGCACATCATGACTAGCGGGCCACGCAGCCATAATTCACCTTCCTCGCCAAGAGGGACGTCTTTGTTAGTTACTGGATTGACCAAACGACCTTCCCTATCACAATATTAGCAATGGTGTACGGCGCTCAATCGCATTAGATCCAACATACACCCCCGAAAACAGCTTGCCAACACATCCGAAGGCTTCTTCATCCTCGTCAATCTGGTGGATAACACCCCCGAGCATTCGGTAAGTCCATAACCTTTCCACGTTAGTGAACTATGATTGCCAGACGGGACACCGCACATACCTTGACAGATGCTAACATGCGGAAGGCGCTTCTTGAGAAGAAGCTGAACAGCTTTCTACAAAGATCATACGATTAATACTCAGACCATGTTTCCAGCGTGCGTAAATGCAGGGAAATGCCAAAACTTACCTTCAATGGGGCGGCAGAAATGACAATTCTTCTCAAGGATGCCAAATCATACTTCTGAGCTATGGGTGAAGTAGCAAGCAGAAGTGCTACCGGGGGGACAAGATGCAGATCGGTAACCTTCAATTCGCTGGACTTGCGACAAAACGTCTCCAAGTCAAAGGCAGGAAGACTGCAATATTGGGCTCCGACCCACATGCCAGACAGAACCACCAGACTGAGCCCGTAACAATGGCAATCTAGAATAGAGCTGTGTTAGCAGAGCCATTGTATGATTGATGGAGGTTGAAGCGGGCAACTTACACGGCGCAAAGAAAACCTCCCGGACAGTCGAGTTGACCCGCACCGGCATGGAGGCTCTCATGATGATGCTGTTCATGACAAGATTATAATGAGAGAGTTGGACACCCTTCATCTTTCCGGTTGTTCCAGAGGAAAAGCAGATTGTGCTGGGTACATCCTTGGAGCTCTTCCCTTGAAGGTCGTACGGCGGTATGCTTTCTGTAGCAGTCTTGCCAACCACATCATCCGGGAACTGAGGGACAATTAACACTCTCAAATATAATTATGCCAGAAAATAGGGCTCCAGACCTGTGGTAAGTTGTCTACTTTACACCGAACGGTCAAAACTTTGGTGCTTGTCATTGCGAGAGAAGCTAGGGCATCTTGGACCGTGCTAAGCTTCTCCTCAATAGTGACAACATGTGTTGGCTGGACAATTCCGAGCACATGCGAGATATCCCCCTGAGTTGCGGATGTATTTAATGGTCTAAAGAGCTGATTAGCGAATCTCCAGAGTTCATGGATGTGATGAGCTCACGCGAAGACAGCACCGGTCCACCAGGTGGCATGAGCCAGATGAACAAATACATTCTATATCCGGATAAGTATATTTCGAGCTAAAGTGTTCCAAGTTTTTTTGAGTGAGTCTCTTACAGAGTTGTTGACCAACGCTAGTAGGGTATCGCCTGGCTGCAATCCAAACTTGTTCTGTAAGCCCCAGGCAGCACGACCAGCATGTTCCCGTAGAGAGCCATATGTGATGGTTTCGTCGGAGAAGGTCTCAACATGAACAATCTTTGAATCAGGTACATCATCGGGATTATATTGGGTCATGAACTGTGAGATGGACAACTCCGTCGCATCGTGAATTGGGATCACAGGTGACCTGTAAACAGCCATTGCGTCAAGATTCAGAGTCAGTAGATAGGTTGCAGTGCCGATGAAATAGGATGAAACTCCAGCGATGCAAGTTCCCTCAATCCCCAATTATACCCTATTACGGAGTCCATACCTGTTCTGTAAGTAGTGTGTAAAAGAGTGTAGAGCTAGTTACGAACTAGTATCCGAGCGTGCCGTCCCTTCTGCTCCACCCTGATGGCTCAGTCAAAAGAAATGCCATGCTTACTTATAGCTAAAATAGCTGACATGTGGCTCAGAGACCGTTGGAAATACCAGAATTGGCAAATGGCTTGGACTCCCATACAACAAGCAACAGCCGCCAAAGTTAAAATGGAGCAAAGTAGAAATTACTTCCGAAGTCTGGAGACAAATGCATGAAAATGGCCCCCATTCATTTACCACTTTTTACCACTAGTGATTTAGATTGTGTTCTCCCAATGGTACGTTCAATTCGTGGAATACGTTCAATTCGTGGAATACGTTCAATTCGTGGAATACCATGTCAAGCGTGGCGAATGAGAGCACTGGTTTGGCCATGGATCCGCTTTGGAGGGATCAAATGGAGGCGCTCGTTTCTTAAGGGTCTATGATTCATTAGAAAGTCAGGATTGTGCTGTATGGCCATATAAGCCATAGATTAATTGCTTGAAGGGTGGAGTGTATCTTCTTTGAATGCTTCAACTCCAACCAGCGAAAATCTTTAAACATCTCGCTCTGGCCCCTTGGTGGCGGGTGAAATGTCACCTTGATAGTGAATGCAATCTCGTTTTTGCAAGGATTCTCATCCTTGACACAAGAATTCTGCACCAATCGCACGTGTCAATTCTTGTCACTATCGGACGCTTCCAACTTGCCGATACGTTTTAGCCCCCAATCGTTTCCGTGAGGGGATCCTGTCGTCGAACGAGAGACGGGAATATTGTGGATCGTGAAGTAAATTAAGACTGTACTGTACGGACGTACATGTGAGGCAATTAGTGCATGGTCCCTGGACATATCCTTGTAATCAGGGCACTTTGGCGAAACAATCGCCTTGTTTTTTTTTTCTCCTTGATGTGTTAGACTCTTGGCCCCTTATGAAGCGAGTCGGTCGATTCTTCGAGTCTGACACATGATGAATATGGTGTATCTCCTTGTCAATTCGATTGAACACCGCAGTAAGACCTGTCCACGGCAGTATGCGATGCTCTCGATATTGGACTGTGTTCGTACTCTGCACCGTGACTCTTTTGATTGATTTGGCATTTGCGAAGACACAATCTCTTCCATCATGCGCTGTGAGAACTGAGAAAATCCACTCTCTTCTGAACTAGCTAACATCTTTTACAGCTGGACTGCTTTGCCAATCTGGTCCCTCAGTCAACTTGTGCCTCTGATAATCAGACATGCATCTGTACAAATGTTGATCTCAATCAAGAATTGAACCTTTGCGTCTCGGCAAATTGTACTATTAGGGAGGGCCTTAGTACGTTATTCCCTGAAACATGCTTGAGCTTCACATTCTCATCAATCACATAGCCACTATCAATTCCACCGATACAACATGTGGAGCTCCAATACGAGACAAGACTTCCTTAAGCGTCATAGTTCCAGCAGTTGGCATCGGCGTCATTGTGGTCCTCATCATTCTGAGGATGTACACAACCCTTTTTCTCAAAAGTTTGAATATCGACTTGGATGACTGGGCAACCATCTTCCTCGGAGTAAGAATATGCACTCTGGCATATACTCATTGGATGCCCTCAGCTAATTCCCACAGTGTTGTGCCGTGCCAGTCAACGTCGGCTCGATCTTGCGTAAGTGACTTAATCGAACCATTTGTCTCGTCCACGAAGAGAACATGATTAACCATTCCTTCAGTTGGAAATGCAGGCTTGGGTAAAGATATGTGGACTCTCGAGTTCGACAAGATTATTCGAGTTTTCTATGTAAATCTCCCCCTTCTCGCCTTTTTTTCATGGACCAACTAACCCTCCTAGCTGTTCTATATCCAGGAACTTCTATACATAATCTGCGTCGCCCTCGTCAAGGTCTGCTTTCTCCTATTCTACCTGCGCATCTTTCCTTCCGACAGAATGCGTCTTGTCATCAAAATCTCCTGCCTCGTGACAGTTTGCTACGGTCTCACGTTCCTCTTCGCCTTTGCGTTCCAATGCTCGCCTGTGAGTTACAACTGGAACGGCTGGGATGGGGAGCACAAGGGAGCTTGCGTACAGACAAATACCCTGGTTGTCACTGCTGCCGCGTTGAACATTGTCTTGGATATCTGGGTGATTGCCCTGCCCATTCCTAGAGTGATGAAAATCCAAGCATCCATCAATACCAAGCTGCAGGTGTTATTCATGTTTTCGATTGGTTTCTTGTGAGTTTCCCCTCCCCTTCGGTCTTGTTAAGGGTTAAGGCTGGAGCATACACAGTGCCAATGGCGCTAACATGTCATTCTGCAATAGGATTACCGGCGTTGGCATCTATCGCGCTATAATGCTCAAGCTGTTTGCTAAAAGCACAAATCCATCATGTATTCACTTCACCTCCCTTTTTCCGAAATCGTTGAAAAACTAACCCATCTTCAACACAGGGGACAATGCTCCTGGTGGATATTGGTCTGTGATCGAGATCGATGTTGGGATCATCTGTCTATGCATGCCGGCCATGCGATCCTTGCTAAGTCGCTTGTTCCCGGCGGTGTTTGGATCTACAAAAGGGACCAGCAGGGGTCATACTAGCAGCCAGCGGAAAATCAGAACCGCGGATAGCGGACCAAACATAAGCTTTGTTCACTTGATCGAGATGGACAACACGGAGCATGCGGACCATATGGATCAAGCGGATCATACGGACCATTTGGAAACCCACCGGGATATCTAATAGGGGTCTCTTGTTGTAATGTTGCTGTATAAATAGGTGTCTGTAGCATTTACAGATAGAATTAATTGTATAAAGTGTATACGGAAACACCCCATTGGCTTTAGAAGCCATAATGTCTACAATACGTTTGATAGAAAAAAAAGAAGAAAGGACTATGTACGTTTCTCCGCAAAGAAACCACTTCTATATACCATCTATCTATATACAGATCAATCAATGACACTTTTCTTATCAGCCCAACTAGGCTGAATCATTCGGCAAACAGCCTCATAATCCCGGAAGCGCTGAGCATCCTCCGGTAAACCAGCCGTAGTCCAAAACATGGTCCAGTTACTATCAGCCAGCTTCCAAGTACCAGACGAGCGCTCAAAGTACCACTTGTTAACGGGGTTATCTTTACGACTACGCCAGCAAACCCCATTGGGGAAGCAGGTGCGCACCATCGCGTTGAAGACCACGTCGGCGACACCACCTGCGCCCTGGCTTCGCTTCAGGACGGCGAATTTGTCCAGATATGGGACCATGCGGGCGGCGCTTTCTTCGCTACCGTCGTCCACCACCCCGGGTGGTGTTTCCCAGGTGAGGATTGCGCCGCCTTCGTATTCGCCTGCGACGATTATACCTGCGATCCGGTCGTTGACTCGCTCGAGGTAGTTCTGGACGTCGAGTTTGCGGTCAAAGGAGTCTTCGATCAGGTGTACTAGACGGGGGAGGTCGATGGTTGGATCGTTTAGTTGGAGTCGGGGGTGGGTGTTGGCTGTCCATGTTTGCACGTGTGGATTTGGGAGAATGGTGAGGGGCATGCCGCGCTTGACAAATGTGGTGTGGCATGTGAAGGGACTGACTGCGACCGTTTTGCCGTTGCTGGAGGCGCTGCGTCGACCTGGGGGCAGCGAAGAGGAGAGGAGAGGCTTGTCGGTTAGGAGGTTGTGGATCAGCGGGTTGCGCTGTCGACGAGTTCCGACGGCTGAGAGATCTGATGCGGCCATTGAAGGGGCCCGGGCTGAGTGAGAGACTTCTTCTGGGGATGTGATGATGCCTGATGAGGCTGACGGCAGCATTGCCAGTGCTTTCTGGGCGAAGCGCAGGTTCTCGAGATGACCATCGAGTACCTTCTGCGTTGCCTCCGCGCTGGGTGTTGGGTCGGATTGTCCTGGTGAGATGATCTCTTGATTGACAAACTTCGAGAAAGGATTGCTCTCCACGATTGGATTTGTGGATTCGGTGTTGATCTGCTTTACGGGGTCGCAATCGTTCCCGTCGGCAGTCTGTCGTGCCTGGGAGAGTTCATCTACAATTTGATCAAACTCTTGCTCCATGTTGATAAAGACATGGGATGACTGGGGTCCAGTAAGTGCAGGAATGCCCCCGAGGACATCCAGTACAATGACACGGTCCAGAGACACCTCTTTTTGAAGAGCAGTGATTCTATCAACTGTGACTGCGGGATCCTCGTCCGGGTGGGGGGTGAAGGATAGCCCGGCAAACTCTTTCGTCAAGGCAAGCGCAGCATCGTTGGCAGAGATTGTAACGGCTCGAGGATTGTCTTCTGTATAAGCAATTGGCGGGATAAGAACTACATGACCATCCCGCAGAGCACTCAGAAGAACTTTCCGGGATAGAACGGTGGGCGGACCAGCGCCTTGCTCGTTGATGGATAACGCGGAGTCCAAACGGAAAGATTTCGAGTCCGGCTGCTCATCGATTGCAGCTGAAATCCGATTTGCCTGGTCAATAGCTGTTTGTCGCACAGCAGCGGCGCTCTCCAGATTGCCGGGGTCGACAACTACACAGCATGCCATTCCCAGGCGCACAAGCTGCGACAAGGTCTTGGCCACCCCATCGATGACGGAATCATCGAGTGACTGGGGTGTAGTGATTTTAATCAGGGCCAGGTGTAACCTTTCGGGCAAATCCTGTCCTCGTGGAGTAGGCGTGGTATCTTGTCGGAACACAGGACTGTCGTAAACGGCTCTGGAGGCACCGTAAAACGAACCCAAATTCACACCGGAGGGGAGCGATGCCGATAATGGCTCATTCGGAGGCTCGATAGGTGATTTTGGGGCGGACTTGGTAGGGCTGGCTTTGAGCCGAGCTAGGTAGGACTTAGCTTCGCGCTTGGTGGATGCGGAGCTCAGCAAGCTGAGAAAGAATTCCTGCCAGGCCAACGTTAATTCACCGGAATATTTACATAACATCAATTCATTCTCATACCCGATCAAGCAATTTCTCCTTTGCTCGGCGACCTAGACGGTCTTGGCTCTCGCTGCTGCCCGAGAATTCGGCGATTTGACCTCGGAGATTGAGTGACTGTGCCGAGCGCACCGAGGTGGGATCAGGACGAGCGACATGATGCTGCATTTGAGTCAGTTGTTGCCATTCACTGCCATTCATGGTCATTCATGACCATTCATAGCCATGTAGTGTATCTATAATCACCCACTGTCAATGAGGACTTTGCCGTCCGAGACCAGCCCAAAGTTCGAGAACTCATGGCAAGCAGCCCTGTTTGCCCTGTTCCTGTCAAGGAGCTCGAAGAGTGTTTTCACCCACAATCTTGAGATTTGAGGGGAGAAAAGGAAGAGTGAGTCAAGAAAATCATAAATGACGGGCTCACCGCCTGTCGATCAGCACCCAGATTGATAAGAGGCATTTATGTCCACCCCACTGGGGTTAGTGGACAATTGGTCTAGTGCTGGACCAATCTCGTCCAGCTGACAGTGCATCTGGAAGCCTATGATCATGTTTTTACGCCTATAGTAGATCTATTTGCGAAATACTTCAACTATAGTGAGTACTAACTTATCAGATCACAAACGGTTAGCTAATCACAGAATACGTTAGTTAGCTAACTTAAGTTAACTAATAGAAGGTTAAATTAATGACAAAATACGTTTACGGAAAATTAATGTATGCCAGAATAACATGAACACGACTTACATGTATCCTGCAGGTCATTCATCTCACATTGGTCAACCTTGGGAAATGCCTACTGTAGAATGACATAATGACATTTACACCCCGACCTGTCATCAATCATCGACCGCTTTGATAGATCTTCAACCCGTTAGTCTTATGTGCAGATCTAAAACATAATCACATCTCCCTTCTACAAGACATAGAACAACTAAATGCATGACTTGATTTATCCATATTGCTTGGTCCTTGTCTATTACACCACAGTCAAAGTCTTAAGTATACTAGTGACAGCTACCCAGAGCTGACCCCTCCAATCCCTAGTCATAAACACAAGCATCTCCAACGCTTCCAAGCATATAAGATGCTCAACAAAAGAACATAAGTAATCTGGGGAAGCAGACCGCTTTGGGGCAAAGGTCACGGGTGAGATGCAGAAACTGGGCGGGAACGTGGGATCGGTTTCTGTACTTGATTCCCCCCCCCCGGCGCCACTCAAGCAAAAGTTCCTTCAAGCTTCTCACGGCCCTTTTGATCAATTTCCCCCTAATTTGAATCCCTCAGATCGAGGTAAGTGATCCTCAATTTCATCCCAATCCAGACCCCCCTTATCCCATGCGGCCCGGTCGCACCCCTCCTTGCGCACAAGCATCATTGTGTCGCAAATTCTTATCTGCAGCACTTCGGCCTCAAAAGCCCTCTCGGAAACCAGACAAATACTTTACCTCATCGTACTGGTGATTTGGACTTTGTAGAATCACTTGCAGAAGCTAATCCCCACTGTTCTAGATTGATCCTCCCTCAATCTCCATTCGCGCCACCAAGTCCGGCCCCTCCCCCCTGCCAATCGATCGCGGGCTAGCCTAGTACCCTCGCAAATTTCGATCCCAACCACCCCTCTATACCTGAGTTTGTTTGCCGATTGTCCAACATGTCCGACCAAAGCGAGTACCCTTCCGAGTCCATTGGATCCGACAATGGACTGCGGCCACTCTCCAATGTGGACGATTTGTCCCTCGGAAACCCCAGCAACAACGATTTGTCCCGCATCATGAACCGTGCTGGTATTGCATTGGCCAATGGATTCCCTCTCGATGACGATGAGGACGAAGAGGACGTGGAGGAGGAGTACGTCTCCGTCGACCAAGATGACGCCAATGATTTCCCATACTGGTTCCGTCGCCCGCCTACCCACCACCGCACTAAGCTCGATGAGCTGCACCCATTTGTTCAGTTGCTGTCTGCCTCAAACGTAGAAGACTGTATCAAGGTGGAGAATGCTTTCCCGGAGCCGGAGCGTTGCTCGCATGACAAGGTACGACCCCTACAGACTACTGCAAAGCCACAATATCGAGATAGATCATGCCATATATGAGACATGATCAAGTTTTTATTCCTGGATATTAGCGCAGAAGGAAACTAGAAACTCAATGCTGACCTCTTGCTTCATCAGTTCATTTACCGTCTCACCAGATGCCCGGAGCTCAGCCTGGGTCTCTTCACTCTCCCCCTTCTCGCAGAGGGCGAGGCCAAGCCCCGCCCAACGCTTGTCGGACATATCATCGCCACTCGCACTTCAGAACCGCTTGTGACAGATCGAGCCATGCGCCTTCCAGCCAACTGGCAAAATGAGCGTTGGTCCTTTGAGAACGACCAGGCTGTTGGCCACGAAGAAGGTGGCAGCACCATTGCCATCCACTCCCTCGCTGTCGAGCCAGAGCACCAGGGCAAGCAAGTCGGAAGCACCTTGATGAAGTCTTATATTCACCGCATTCGGGAAGCTCAGATTGCTGATCGTATTGCGATTATTGCACACGATCACCTGGTTCCATTCTATGAGTCGTTTGGATTTGAGTCCCACGGCCCCAGCAAGTGTCAATTCGGTGGCGGTGGCTGGGTTGATTTGGTATGTGACTTACGAGGCCCAAATACATTACTTGATACTAACCTATGACTAGGTCTTGGAGTTTGGCCCTGAGCCCCCACAGGAGTAGTTACAGGTGATTGTTATTATGCATCTTTACGGCGTGGACCGTGTCAGGCCACTGTTGGTTCTTTTTTTTCCCTCTTTTTTGGGGTTTTATCATGTCCCTTTACGCACGTTCATGTCAGGTGGGTTATGGATTCGAGAGAAAAGCAAATGGAGTTTGGGGTGGGATTATGGCCATTCAATTCAGTTCTATGGATGGGATAGGAAAGGGCTTCCCGACCCAAGGCTTGTTTATGTAGCATAGTTATAATGCGATGTACATGAACATGGATAATCTCGCGGGATAATCAACATTTTTATGAAAATATCCAAAGTAATCGATACATGAGGTTCGTAGTCAGGTCATTATTGGTCTTCTTCGCCGTCAGTGTCGCGCAGTCCGGCGCGTAGGGCGTGGTGTGTATTCAGGTTCTGCGTCTTCACGGCCATCATCGTGGTCACCCTGCTCCTCGCCATCTGAAGCTGAAGGGATAGAATGAGACGGAGACAATGGATCCGACAGACTGTCTCCATTAGATTCACCACGAGACTGCGATGGACCAGGCTTTTTCTCCTCGTGATGTTCAACAATCAAGCCATCATCACCATCATCTTCGCCAGGAAGGAGGAATCCACCACCATAATCCATTGGATCATGATCAGACTCCGCATTCTCATGGCCAGCTTCCTGACCTTCTCCCTCTCCCTCATCTTCATCTTCCTTCTTCCTTTTCTTCAAAGCAAAAGGATTGTGCTCGTCCCTCTCCTTCCCAGCCTCAGGGTCCCCTCCCCCATACTCCTCCCGAACCCTTTCCATAATCCTCAGTCCGAACAGGAACTTTCGCCAAGTCTGCAAGATCCGCTTCTCGGCCTTCAACTCCTCCTTCTTCCGCTTCTCCGCCGCATCAACCCTCCACGCATCCCTTAGCAACTCCTCATTCTCCTCCGCAATCACAACACCCTGTATAACAGGAACAGCCATCTTAGACCCAAACTCAAACCCAGTAACGGCCTCTGCATAATCAATCCCAAGCTTTTTACAGATGCGCACGGTCCCGGGCAACGGTACATGCGCCGCTCCACGCGGAACCATACTCGGTACGAAACAGTCCATGTTCCCATAATCGTTCTTGGGGATCCGTCCATCTTCAATGGGCGGCGGAATGATGTACTCGGTTTGATCACGGGCGTACAGTCCCTGGAGTGGTTTCTCACCTGTTTCACGCTGCATCTCGTCGACTTCACGTTTGCGAATGAGGGTCACGGCTCGGATGGGGACGCGCTTGAGGGGGACTTCTCCGGGGAGAGTCTGGCGGCCTTCTTTGTGCCAGCTTTCGGCGGAGAGGCATTTGACCACGTCGGCACGTTTGAAGACGGGTTCTTCTTTGGCGCGGGCGCCTTTGCCGGAGGTGAAGGTGCGGACTGGTTCCGCGCCTGGTTTGAGGGCTTCTTCGCGGCGAAGAAAGCGCTCCAGCACGAATTCTGCTGAGGTGCGGAGGCTTTGGAGGGTGTCATGGGTTGGGGCTGCTTTTGTCTTTTCTGGTTGGTTGCGTTTGAGGTCGCGTTCGTCTTCGAGTTCGTCTGCTGCTGTTCGTTTCTCTTTGGGTCTTTGGTAGCCGCGCATTACCATTCCGAACCAGTCGAAGGCAATGTATTGGCCTCGGAGACCGGGTAGTGGGATCTTTTCTAGGGGCATTCTGAAGCCCTTGGTTTTGCTTGGCCATGTGCGCTTTCGAAGATAGCGTGTGGTGACTTCTTTTGCTGTGCCATCCGCTGAGTGGGCAACGACGTAGCATATCACTTGTTTGGCTTTTTCAGCTTTTGCGCCACGGGGTTCGAACGTGCCCTGTAGATCTGCGGTGGGTGCCACGGGATTTGAAAGAACCAGAGGATCAACAGAAATGATCTCATTCGTTACGGGAGACTCAATCTCAGTCCAATAGATCGGGAATGGGAGGTCTTTGTCGAATTGCTTGCGTTTGGTCTCCTTCGCTGGTGTTTGATCTGCGACCTCATCTGCGTCGGACTCGGATTCAGCAGGCTCATCTTTCTCCTCCGGTTCTTTCTTTTCGGAATCTTTTGACGGTGTGAAAACCTCATTCTTAGTCCAGCCAAATCCCAGTGGTTGAAGACTTCCCACCAGCCTGCCCTCAATGCCTAAACCCCGAATCAGAGCCGTAAAGAGCTGCGCACCAACATCCCGCGAGCCCTGCATGCGCTCAGCAGTAGCGCGGAATTCGTCAAGATTCGCAATGCGCTCACCATGGCGCGCCGAATCATGTTCCTCCTCGCGGAAGTCAGAAATCACCCTTTCAAGATCCGAGACTGGCCGATATCCATACTTGCGCAATCCCGGCGCAGTGATACAAAACTGTTTCCTCCAGTACGCAACCAGAACCTTGATAAGCGTAATGATCGGGTCTCCCCGACTCATATCCGGCCGACCAGGTTCCAGCCGCTCCGAGTCCGCACTCCAATCCTTGTTCTTCTGGGCCTTTTTGCCCTTTTTCTTGCTCTTTGGTGGTTCAGGTTTCGCCTCGGGAAGTTCCAGCCCAGATGCAATGCGCCATTTCTTTACTTCCTTGTGAATCCCTTCCGGTAGCTTTTTCCGTAGGGTGTCATGGACCTTGGAGTCGTTGATCCACGCGTTACGAATGGCATTATGGAACAGCAAGCACTGAACATGCATGCAATGTGTCTGGACACGGATATGGCGCTCAATCTTGCTGGGCCCTTTCTTGCCATCCAGCAGGTCTGTCGTGTGTGTTTCATTCTTATCAAAGGTCAATTCCAAATCGCGTAGCTCCGGGGCTGCCGTGGCAGGGGTTGTTGCGCTCGTAGTCCCTGTCTCGATAGCATCCTCCCAATCAATGTCTTCGTCAGATTCATTTCCATCGTTGATAAGCTCCTCTGGAGCGTCGCTCAAGGCGGAATCTGAATCGGAGTCCGACAAGTGGAACGGAGCTTCATCGGGCCGGGGACGCTTGGCCGGGGGCGGGTCCTCGGAGGAGACGCGCTTGCGGGGGACGAACGGTGGCATCAAGGTGAAGATGTAGAGTGAAGGTGGTCGCCGAATGCCGGAGTTGAGGTGTTGAGGGAGGTTCCGTCATCGCCGGATGCCGAGGCCTTTGGGGTTCTCCTGCAGCTTGTCTCTGCCTGTATTTGCCCATCACTCTATACTCTATACTCTATCCTCCATACATTTTACCTTTTGTCTATTACCTTCTACTTTGGACGGATTTTCCCTCTCTACAAAATGGCCGACGTCAAGCGTTTCTTCTCGTCGCCCCGCTTCGCGGTGGCGGGCGCCAGCAATGACACACACAAGTTCGGATACAAGAGTAATGTCGACCAGACCAGACAAGTTTCGATCTTTACTGACCAGCTCCAGTTCTCGCCTGGTATCACCAACACTCCCTGCCCGTGACACCGCTCAACCCCCGAGCGGCGCAGATCACTCTCCCCTCGCGTGCCTACGATACGGTCCCCTCACCGTCCAAGCTGCCCTCGCCGCTGCAGACCTCCCTCTCCGTGGTGACTCCACCGCCTGTAACGCTGCAGGTGCTGCAGGAAGCTCACTCGGTGGGGATTCCTGCGGTGTGGTTGCAGCCAGGTACCTTTGACAACTCGGTGCTGGACTATGCTCGCGGTCATTTTGAAGCCGTTATTGCTGGTGACGGGGGAGCTGGCGGCGAGGGTTGGTGTGTTCTTGTTGATGGCGATGAGGGTCTTGAAGCTGCTGGTGTTCAGTGGACAAGCCAGCGACTGTAATTTACAAAGTGATCTATCATGTAGGGGGGGACTCAATAAGAGAAGATGTCTCAACAATGAGATCCGAGGAATACAGGGGTTGATGCCATGAAGCTAGCTGGGTGAAATGTCGCAGATATTTGGACGAAACAATCAAAGAATGAACATATTATCTGGAAACAAAAGAAAGAAAGAGAAAAAAGCGACGAAGAGCCCCCAAGTGCAGGTCGGGACTATAGATTATTGTCCGATTGGCCGCAAACCTCCCAAATCCCCAACCTCTTGTTTTTTCTCGTCTTTTCGCCTTTTTTTCCCTCTGACTTTCTTCTCTTTTCTTCTCAACATGCCCGATATGCATGTCTTTAATGCTCCAGCCAAGCTGGACTTGTCAAATGCGCCCTCGCAGTACTTCCAGGTCCCAGCCACCTCCGCATCCTCATCACTGTACTCCCTCTCCGTGAGTCGCAAGCGCCCACGCCGGAACACCGAGAAGCTTGCATCGCATTTTGAGTCTCCCTCCGAATTCGAGTCCCCGATGGTCCAGTCGGATTATCGGGTATTCAGCGGAGGAAACGACTTCCACACCTCGGCAGAGCTGGACTACCGTCCAAACCGATACCGCGAATCATTCCTCCCACCATCTCTGGATGCAAGCACCGAGTCAATAAACCCCGAGTCCAGCGGTACAAGTCGCAAGCGCAGTCGTCGTGACTCGGGGATCGCATCTCCAAGCGCCGACGGTCCGGACTCGCCCTCCACAACACCAGCGGGTTGGGGCAGGACTGTGATCAAAGCCGTTGGCAAAGTCCTCGACCTCTGCTGGTCTGGAGCGTTCCGAGGATTCTATGCTGGCGGTGGTCAGGGCTATGATATGACCGCTGGATCACCAACAACGCTCGAAGCAAGCTGGCAGCCTCCGACCAGCCCATCCACCGAAAAAGAGCCCTTCCACTCCAACCTATTCGCAACCCCCATCCCGGGCCAATACCCAGACGACGATCTTGAACGCAGCTGGGTCGTTGTTCCACCCGAGGCCCATGATCCCTTTGTGGGCAACAGCGATATCGCCAGCCCGTCACTGCGCACTCGGCGGATGTTCCAAGCTTCCAGTCCGCGCCGTCGACCGGCCGTCATGCCCCGACTTAAGAGGGTCTCTTGTGCCTCGCCACAACCCAAATCTCCAACCAAAAATCAGGGCCTCCCCTCGCCCCGAACACGGGACGCCCCTGCATCTGCTGAGGTGCAGCGACATGCAGCCAAGATGCGCCGCAAGGAGCGCGAAGAGGATGCCAGCATCCAACGCTTGAACAAGCAGCTGCAAGACATGATTCGGGAAGGCAAAGCAGCTCTCGGCACAACGGTGGAGGTAAACGACGTGGACATGGATTTCTCCGACTACGACTAAGCATGATCATGTTTGCTTGCAGTCGTTGAAAGTCGCATGACATGTCCCAACATACTTATCTGGATTTGATTTTTCTCGCACATAACGATCTGATACCCCAACGACGCTCTTTACCTGGGTTAGTCTGCGCCTCAAAAGGCGGTTTTTTTTAATTGATGCTACGACTCACGATCTCGGTGTTTTATTATACTTTTTTTTACTCTTGAGCTTATGCTCTTTGTCTGGCTACGTCCACCAAGCAAGAGATGCAACGCAATATCTCTTGCACGTTTTTATGTCTACTTGATCTCAAGATTTCCTGTCACAACTGCCACTACTACTATTACTATGGCAAGAACCATCTACTCGGGAAATTGAACGTCGCATTTCGACTGGAATCATAAAAAGCATTCATTTGACATTGTCCAAGAAATAAGTAACAACCCAATAACCTAAGCCATTCTGTATCCGATTCCAAGGTTGTACACCGGTCCACTGCAAATCACATCGCCAAGTCCCTATCATCAAACAGGGAAGAAGAAAAGAAGATCCATCCATCTAACATGAACATCAAAGACGTCACCTTACTGGGCCTGGGCGGCACCACCAGCAACAGAAGCCGCGGCCTTTGCATCACCGTGCTCACCAGCAAATCCAGGACCACTGTGGGGACCAGCACCAGAAGCAGGGTCAGGGGGACCGTTGCTGGTGCCATCACCAACAGTATTGGGGTCACCGGTGGGAGACTTGGGGGGAGTAGCAGGGGACAGCATCTTGGTGAGCTTTCCGAGGGCACCACCTTGCATCAAGACGTCGGTCAAAGTTGAGCCCTGAATAGGGGGCGCTTGACGGGCCTCGATCTCGTTGTCACGGCGCATCTGGAGGTGTATTAGTAGGTGTTCGATTTATCCGCTTGAATATTGCTAGTGGGAACTCGCAGAGAACTTACAGGGAAGAGACCAACACCGTGGTGGGCGTGTCCCATAATTGAGCCAAGACCGTGCTTGCCCATCAGCTCGCTGAGGAAGCTCTTGGGTTTGGCAGATGCACTGGGTGTGGGTGTTGCGGAGGAGGCGGATTGTTCGGTGGGAGTGGCCATCTTGTCGCGGCGCATCTTGGCATGGTTAGTGTATGCACCTCGCGGTACGGAGTAGGATGTATGAACTTACAGGCATAGCAGCACCCTCGGCTTCCATGCCGGACATGACGGCACCATCGACGACATTGCTGAGAGGATCAAGCTCATCTTCCTCGCGCTTGGAGTGGCTCTTGGAAACGGGCTGGTTTGTGAATTAGTTGATCAATGCTTCAGGCTGGAGAGATACACTTACGTTTCCACTGGTCAGGGACTGCAAGATACCGAAGACTCCCTTCGCGTTTCCTCCAACCTGGCGGGTGTCGAGATGCTGAGCGGGCTCGTCAGTCTCCTTGTGGCCGGCCTTGTTCTGAGTTTGTGTCAGTGTCAGATTTCAATGGAAGGCGGTGGTTACATACGCTCTTGAGGAGGTCTCCGACGATGGGAAGGCTCTCGAGACCACCGAGGTCGCGCTTGGAGTTCTGGCCGTAGTTTTGCAGGAGGTTCTGCCAGTCATTCTGATCATCGTTCTGACCCTCATTCTGGCCTTCGTTCTGGCCCTCGTTCTGACCGTAGTTCTGACCCTCGTTTTGGCCCTCGTTCTGGCCCTCGTTCTGACCCTCATTCTGGCCCTCGTTCTGGCCCTCATTCTGGCCCTCGTTCTGGCCTTCGTTCTGGCCCTCGTTCTGACCTTCATTCTGGCCGTAGTTCTGACCATAGTTCCGGCGGGCTGGCTGGCCGTTGTATCCACCAGTGTGCTCGTGCTGGTGCATCATCAGCACTTCGTGCCACTACAAATTGGACCGTCGTGAGAACTTACCTTGCCGAACAAACCACCAATCAATGGGATACCATTCAAACCATCGCTCAGGTCACGACGTTCCTTGCCCTTGTCAAGAGTGGACTTGTCCTGTTCGTTATACTATATTAGTATCCGTGATTGCGAGCCCGTCATTCTCAGAAGCAATAGACTTACATTTCCAAGCAGCTGGCCAACAATAGGAATACCGTCGATCAGGTTGTGGTGATCAGCCTCATACTCGGAGTGGCCACGGCGCTTGGAGTCATGCTTCTATGGTTCCTCTGGTTAGTATTTTGCGCTCCTGAAATGCAGTTTCGATGCAGCTCGATCATGACTTACCGCTCCAAGCATGGGGCCCAGGATTGGAATGTCCTCAATGAGGTTCTTGTGCTCATTCGAAGTATCTTCGTCACCACGACCAGTAAGCTTAGATACGAGCTTGCTGAGGCCAGCATCAGTACCCCCGAGGAGGTTACCGCTGCCATCGGGGTGAGCGACAGGCGCAGCAATGCTGACAGCCGCAAAGAGCGTCAGCGCGTAGGTAGTCTTAACCATGATGTCGATATTGTCGTAAGTTGTCGTAGAGACTGAAGCAGCACTGAAAGAAAGGAAATGCCGACGAGCGACAAAAGAGTTAGTGGTCGAAACAGAGAAACAAGAGAAGGGATATCAACGAAAGTCTTCTGGAATGCAAGACCAGCCCCGAGAGATCCCTGGCTTCCTTTGTTCTTTATACCACGCATGGCCTTGGTGACATTCTACCATAACTGGGATGAAGGGGCGTCGTCCGGCGACATCCCCCAGCTGCCCGTGCGGCAGCATCAACGCCCCTGACGGGGAATGCTGGGTGCTTGTCTCGTGTCTCTGAGTGGATGACGAGTGTTTGTTCTCCCCTATGGCGGGAATGCTCCGATGCTTGATCTCGACAAATATCCTCGTCGATCATCGTTGCGCCTCCTTGTTATGCAAGGGGTTGCCCTGACTGCCCCGTGCTAGATCCCACAAGGCTTCGGACCTGCGCCGCTGACGACCCTTTGATTTGAATAGTCTGCATTGCATGTTTCTGAGAAGGTTTGATGTATTCCCTGTGCTTGGCCCTTCTAGGGTCGCTGAAACAGTCATGGATTGCAACTATGCTCCAGGTGACGGGAAGTTATATGTAGGGATGGCTCCCCGACTTAGGGCTTCCGCCCCCCTCCAGCACAGGATCCCTATATGTCTGAAATACGACATCCCCACGACTGATATTGATCTATTGCTTCGGATATGCCTTGTTTAATGGTATCAAATAGCATTAATATTAACTTTTCATACTGTTCTTTGGTCCAAACAGGGATTTCATCCACTGGATGTTAGTGTAGGATTCTAATATTGAATCTCCACGCACCTAAAGTTACCGTAATTATCAAGATCGGCCAATTGGCCTAGTGGTAAGGCATCCGTTTCCGGTGCGGGAGATCGTAGGTTCGAATCCTGCATTGGTCGTCGATCTTTTCTTTTTGTTTTTGTCTGTCCATCTTTATTTGCTCTTTTGATTACTTAGGTACTAGAGTGGATGGTGTTTTTGTCTCTCTGTGGAACGTATTAATTACTTCCCGGAATTTCCTTCATTTTTTGGCCGCAGCCTGATGCGGACTAGTTTGTATAACGTTAGTTGCTGAATCTGGTACATGATACAATTTTCTGCCTCAATGATATGCAACAGCTTGAATTGATCAGAGCTCTCAAAAGATCATTTGTTGTTGTAACAGGTCTTAACATTATTCGGTATCATGTTACAAAGCCGAGTTGAGCCCAACGGATGCGCGAAAACTCCCAAATATGGTCCTATCTTTCTATCACTCTATTGTAAAATCATACAATGAATTGGCGCATGCAAACCCCGAAGTGAATTGCGCTATCTAATCTCCAGAGTTCAAGCCCGACTGGGTTGAGAGCAGTGGCATGGCACAGGACGTTGTTACGTCTAGTATGGGTATGGAAACTATGACAGAAAAGCTTATAACGTTATATAGAAAACGCTTGTCTGTTGTAATATTCTCTTGTCTCTGTTCCTGTCTTTCTACAGGGTACTCAGCATTAAAACGTCACCCTAGCTGTTGCGGACAGGTTCATTGGCTTTGTTGGTCTGCTTTCTTATGTTGTAATATAAGATGCTTGTTAAGGGAATGTTTGTGGTGTCCGAGAAACAATTATTGCAGGCTATGAAGCTCATTTTGAGAGACTCAAAATTATAATCGAGTTTTGTGCTGCTGTGTGATCGGCAATTGCGTTGTTCAATGAAGTTTTCAGTTCTATGATGTGGCAGGAAGCTGGGTAAGTGTGTTGGAGCTTGGGGCTTGTCCTTAGTAGAGGAAAAGCCTGCCAAATAGTAGCACAGTCGAATCATCATTGGTTGGTCAATCAACCTAGCGAAGTTGGGTAAGTCCGTTTGTTCCCTCGGTAACTATACTTCTTCCAGAAGGCTGCCATCGTTACGTTTATTGTTTGTTTTTTTAGATAGCCACACACACACACACACAAAAACTACATGTAATAGCCCCGCATGTTTCCCATGGAATAAGTCAGACTTGACCTTTCTTCAAGTGTCGAAGGTTTTATGCGTTGTTCTGTTGGTTCTACTGGTCTTTAGCTACAACTTCGATGTAGATCGCAACTCAATGTTCTCATACTATGTCGACCCCGCACTCTAGTGCTCGGGCTACTCTCGGTTCACATTAAGATAACAACAGACTCCAAAAAATCAACGCTCTTCGTTACATGAAGCAAAAAGAGACGACCAATGCAGGATTCGAACCTACGATCTCCCGCACCGGAAACGGATGCCTTACCACTAGGCCAATTGGCCAACCACGAGGGATTGTTATGTAAGAAAGTCGCGGGTCGTGATATATAAGGGTTAGGTCAAATATCATCACAATTCGTTTGCCTTTAGTGTTTATACAGCCATCTATCGAGACGTTTCTTATATTACTCAAGATGCATAACGTAGGCTCACTGAAGTTATCCCTGAAATACTGTATACTAATTTCATGGAGCATGAGTTGCCTGCGACGCATTCGATCCTTTGGTATACAACTACAGTATTTGACCTTCTGGTCAAATATAGCGAGGGTTGAGATGTATTGAAGTATGCATTTTAGACAAAGAAACGATCGTGCCGATAGATAGTATATGATCCTACGTACAGAACTTTTCTTGAGACCTGTGTCATGTCCGAACTGGTACTATATATTCTGGTATAAGCAACCCAAAGAATCAATAGACGTAACACATGATCCAAAAGAAAGGGTCAAAAGTTATCAGAGGTGACTTTTGTTGTCAGATGCAAGATTTCTAGAGGCGAATATATTGTGTAGGTAACACTTTAGCAACAAAGCAAACGAAAAAACTACAATAACTAAAAGATTCATTTACACAGCATCTATGTATCCTCATAGTACTAGATAATAGCAATCACACCAGACATAGGCAAGATTCGGCAACTTGGTTTCACCTAGAAAATTTGAAACACGGGTTTCTGAACACAATATCTGTGCACCTGTTAAAAGTTATGTGCTTGAGGTTTATCATACCTCAAAGAATTTATTAGCTGCTGGTGTGACTTGTATCGGAAAACGTTGAAAGAATTGACTTCCTCTTCGCCCAGAGGGTATTATTTAGCACGATACATGTACCTCAAAGATGTAGACTTCGGCATTATTCATTTGACATGCTCTGATATGCCAATATTTGACAAATATAGCGTCGTTTGACGTTATGTTTCGGATTATGACGATCAAAATCGCTGGATCCATTTATGGAGCTCATCAGAATTGTCTGGAATTTCTAAAAAAAAGTACAGTTCTCCTAGTTTCTCGTTAAGGACATTGAATTCAAGTCTATGAAATACCGAAAGAAGTCATCTCATCATATCTACACGAGACCCAACATCAATTCCTAGACCGAGCAGCAGCCAATGGAGAATCAATAACCCCCCACTCCGAGACATCATCATAACTATCATCCTCGTCATCTAGAATAAAGCTCTCATCTTCAAAAGAGGGACTGACATGAACAGCCGGCGAAGATATAGGACTCAGCGCTACACGCGGCCGCGACTTGAACACACTAGCATATTCAGCATCTTCCTCAAAGAGCTGATCCTGTGGTGTGGAAGCGCGAGAAATCTGGTCAATTGAGCGTGTCGATTGCGCAGAGGCCTTTCGTGGAGTAACGAATTGATTCACTGGGTAGGAGGGGCGAGGTCCACGACGCTGGCGGGAACGGACTTGCGGTTCATGGCCTGGTGGTAGGAGAGACATCGATTTGCGCGTGCGTTCGACCAATGTATGGGAGCGTTTAATGGGCTCTGGATCTGGCTCATGCTCTGGCGAAGAGGGAATATCTGGGGAGAGGCGAACAGTTGGAGTCGGCTGGACTGGCTCCCGTTGGGGTTCGGGTTCAGGCTCGGGAGGTGTGTATGATATCTCCGAGGCAGCTAGATCTACCGGAAGACCTGTAGGGTGACCGTATACCATTATCGGCGATTCTGGTTCTTCCGACGAGCTTTGAAATTGGGGCTCATAACTCGGTTCTACCTCGAATGTAGAATCATCACGCCTGGGACGGGATTTACCATTGATGCGAGCGAGAGCTTCATTTACAGATGAAAGCAGAGATCGATCTGCTCCTTTTAGGGCTCGCTCCCTATCTCCAGGCTGGCGTTTCGATTTGGATATGCTGGCAACGGTAAGAGATTGGTGGTTGTGGAAAAATAGCCGATTCTCTTTGGAAGAGGCTTTGCTCGCTGCGTTGGTGTCTGTGCCTCTTTCTTTCGAAAGAGAGTCATTGTATTCATGCCACTTGTGCAATCGACTTCTTTGCATCAATACCCGGGAGTTGAGATCAACAATCAGGTCATGTTTCAAATTATTCTCGAGACCACTGCCAGGCGGGGCAATTGCCCGCGACAAAGCCTCCGGGAAAGGAAGCTCCAGGAAAGCATCCGAGCTACTTTGCAATCCGCCTTTCAGCAGAGCAGTGGCCCATTCTTTATTGCCTAGCCAATTTGCTTGCAGTTCGTGCGCCAGGCTTTCCGGATTCATTTGCAAGCTTCCTTTGCTCTGCTGCTCTTTAGTCCGCTGTTCTTTGTTGGTTCGTTCGGCTAGCTCGGTTTTTTTGTTATCCAGTAGCTCCGAGAATTGAGCATAAGCACGCTGGACTCGAGCACGCCGTTCTTCGCCAGCACCCAAGGAAACCTGGTGGGCAAGAATGAGCGGCAACAAGTTTTGATAGTTTGTTGGCGTCATTGCTGTAGCGGTCGACAATTTCATAGAGGAGCTCCAGGCCATCTCGTCTACATCTGCGGCGACGTATTTGCGGAGAACGGCCGTAGAGAAGCCAGCGAGTAACTCATCGAATTTCTCTCCTTTGCAGTCATCTAGCATAGTCTTGCGCAAGATGATCTCTCGTCCCAGATCGCCATTCTTTTTCAATTCACCCAGACTCCTGAACAGGGCGGCGCGAAGGTTGACAGACTGTAGGGGTTCGAGCGGAGGAAAGAAAGGACGCAGTTTCTGTATTAATTATCAGCGGGATTCACAAGATCATATTCAGTTTATGTACATTCTGGGCTCCCTCTGGATCCCAGATGACGAAAAGGTAGTATAATCCCCATTCTATCAAGCGGATCCGTTGCCGTTGGTTCTGCGATGACGCCGACAGCGCGCGAATCGAGATGTTGGGCCAGTCCTCGCGTTGATCCAATCGCAACAGCTTCAAGTTTCGAACAAAGACATCTTGGTGTGAGGGACCCGGCCAGTCCAGGGGTTTTGGCCTGTTCGGCCTTGTTGCAGCCATTGATGCACTGGGGGATCTTTGAGGGACGAGAGTAAACACAGATAAGGGGAGTTTGCATCTGTTTGCACGGTCTATCAGTCCCGCCTTTATCTTCGTTTTGTGCTTTCCAAGGTTCTTTCTTCTTCCTCAGTCACTCTTTGATTTTATTTGATTTTACATAGCCATGGGCTCCGAAACCCCCTCCTGGACTCCCCAGTCCGGTAAGTTTTGGAATTTACCTCTCGTGATTGCGCAGTGTTGACCGTCTGCAGTCCTATCAACCCTCCCCCACCCGCCAGAGGAGAACTCGACCTCGCCTGTTCCCTTCTTCCATCTGGTCGAGCGCCTGAAGACCACCAAGCGCGAAGGTTGGCGCCGCTTTGGCATCAATGGTGAATCCATTTCCGACCACATGTACCGCATGTCGATCATGACGATGTTGGCCCCGCCTTCTCTGTCCGCTAAGCTCGACATTCCACGCTGCACCAAGATGGCCTTGATCCACGATATGGCCGAGGCGCTTGTCGGGGATATTACTCCAGTTGACTACCACATCACCAAGGCCGAGAAGGCTCGCCGCGAGGCCTCTGTTATGGAGTACATCACTACGACTCTGCTCGGCAAGGTCCCCGGAGGCACCTTATCAGGCGCGGACATCAAGAGTGTGTTCGAGGAATACGAGGAGGACCAGACCCTCGAGGCCCACTTCGTCCACGATATCGACAAGATGGAGTTGCTGTTGCAGATGGTTGAATATGAGCGCTCAAACGAGGTTGATCTTACTGAGTTTACTCATGTTGCCTCTCGCATTCGCTTGCCTGAGATCCAGGCCTGGGCCGCTGAGGTTATTCAAGAGCGACGGAAGCAAGAATAAGCACGCATAGCTATTGAGATAATGGAAGACTGGGGAGTTGGATTTCCGGTGACTTACCATTTGGTGACCCATGAGTTCTCGGCGTTTGTTTATGCATCTTTATTTTTTTCCCCAACGGGTACGCCAGATACCATAGAGAACGAGCTACCCGAATGCATCGGATTTTTAAAAAAATATTGACCTGTCTAACTTCTGCTAAGTCTAATGTATATTCGACATTGTCATCAGCATATGTATCTGAAGCTAGGTATGAGGCGCATGGCTGATATCATCTGCCACTTCATCTGAGAAAAAATCCTATAGATCATGGCATTCCAATCGTATTAGTAAACAGTTGATTCTGATTAGAGGAGTTAGTAAACAAACCCACCCAAGAAAGTATAGTAGAGGTCATAGGCCAATATACAGTGTCTACACCTTGATCTTTAGATAACCCTGAGGTTTCAGGCATTTGTTCAGCTTGAATTCCATTTCTCTTTGGTAAATCTTGTTTGCCCATTTATTAGTGGCCTTGATAATTGCTGCTTTTATGCAAATGCGAATGAAAAAGCGAACAGATTATGAACCCTACTTCTCACAGCAAGTGCAGATTCAACCTCACCTATAGTGCAATTTCTGTTTATCTTATAACAAATTTATAGCATTTGACAATTGCGGCGATCCACATTTATTTATCAATACAATAGAAATGGGTGTCTGAAAGAAGTGAATTAAGGTCTATAACTACACAGCCGTAGATCAAGTTAAGCTCAACGCCTTCCTTTCCGCACAGCCAATGAAAATATTAGATTTAATTCACATGTTGAGTGGAGTAATCGTTCATTTGGCTCTCTCTAGTCCGTACATCTCATGGATCTGAAAGGTCTAGGCAAAAGTCCCTTAACTCCTGACCATGCATTCCGTGTCGAAGGACACTGAAAGACGCGATATACACGTCCCGTAAATCACACAAAAAGCTATACAAAGTAATAAAAAAACAGGTATATACGACATGACTCAAAGCAGACTCAAAACTAGGGCAATCAAGTGGCGCTTTACTCGTCATCTGTGTTTCGGCTCTCCTTCTCTGGCTTGGCCAGGGCCTTTTGCCAGACTGTGCGGGCAGCCTCTTGGTCGAGGCCAGGGAAGAGAAGATCAAACACTTCCGAGTACCAATTCACTGGGTGGCCTTCAATACCCTTCTTGATGTTCTTGGGGATTTATTAGCCTTGGTCGTTCAGCTGGGGAAAGCGGTGACTTACTTCAGGTAGCTCAAGCCAGTCAGATGTGTTGTCTGCTGGGAAGAGGATCTTTGTGGCACCAGCCCGACGAGCGGCGACGGTCTTCTCTCGCAAACCTCCGATGCGAAGAACCTTACCAGTGACGGTCAATTCTCCGGTCATGGCAACAGTAGGCTCAAGAGAGTGGTTCAGAGCCAAGGACAACAAGGCACTGGCCATCGTGATACCAGCAGAGGGGCCTATTTGTGGTCAGCTTTCGAACAATGAATTATGATAGGTCATAGCGAGATTACTTACCATCCTTAGGGACAGCTCCTTCGGGACAGTGCAAGTGAACCTTGGCCTTCTCAAAGAATTGGTTTTCGGGGAATTGCCGAGCCATGACAGACTTAGCAAACGAGTATGCAATGTGAGTAGACTCCTTCATCACGTTTTGAAGGTTACCGGTGATTTCAAGCCCGGGTCGCGAGTTGTGGGTCAACGCATTCTCCAGGATACATTCAACGTACAGGGCTGCTCCACCCATGCTGGTCCAGGCGAGACCCATAGTGACACCAGGGGGGAACTTGTCGTACAGTCGATCGGAAGTGAAGACTGCGGGTCCGACATAGTCCTTCAATGTGCTCTTGCCGATGCTGAGGTGGACATTATCTGGAACCTTCAGGGCAAGCCGGGGGGTCTCGGTGGTCGACTTCTCGGGCTCAATGGGAGTCTGAGCGGGATCAGTCGGCTCGTGCTCCTTTGCCTCCTCGGCGGCAGCCTTGCCCTCGTCGGTCAAGGCAGCCTCCTCTGACATAATATCCTCGCCTAGATCTTGGACGATCTTGAATGCCGCCTTGCGGTAGACCTTCTCGATTTGCTTTTTCAGGTTGCGAACACCGCTTTCACGGCAATAAGACTTAATCAACTCCTCAATAGCTTCTTTCTCAAGGTTCACGTCGACATCTTTCAGACCTGTCAGCTCCCGAGCGGCAGGTGCCAAGTATTTCTCGGCGATTGCCATCTTTTCGTCCGCCACGTATCCAGACAATTCGATGAGCTCCATTCGGTCTAGCAATGGCCGAGGAATGGTGTCAGTCACATTGGCCGTGCATACGAAAAGGACCTTGGACAAATCCACAGGGACATCCATGTAATGGTCCAAGAATGAGCTATTCTGTTCCGGGTCGAGGAGCTCAAGCAAAGCCGAGGATGGATCGCCCTGGTGACCACGACCAATCTTGTCCACCTCGTCGATGAGGATCAGAGGGTTCTCGGTTTGACATTTCTTCAGCGCTTGAATAATGCGTCCAGGTAAGGCACCCACGTAGGTCCGTCGGTGACCCTTGATCTCGGCAACATCTGTCAAGCCACCCACAGAGAAGCGGTAGTATTGTCTGTTCAGGGCACGAGCCACTGACTTTCCAATACTAGTCTTTCCAACACCAGGAGGACCAACGAGACAAAGGATCTTTCCTTCAACAGTTCCACGAAGCTTGCCAACGGCAATGAACTCAAGAATACGATCCTTGACATCCTTGAGACCATAGTGATCCTCGTCTAGAACACTTGTGGCGTTCTTGATTCCGAAGTTCTCCACGCTCTTCTGCCCCCAAGGGATTTGGGTGAGCCAGTCCAGGTAGTTACGGGTGACATTGAACTCAGATGCGGCAGGCTCAAGGTGAGCGAGCTTGTTGATCTCTTCGTCAAAGACCTTCTTGACAGCCTCAGGCATGGCAAGCTTCTCGGCCTTCTCCTTGAACTTCTCAACCAGCTTGTCCTTTCCATCAGATTCGATGCCAAGCTCTCTCTTGATCCCCTTCATCTGTTCCATGAGCCAGTACTCACGCTGGCGTTTCTGAATCTTGGCTTCGACATCTTTGGTGATCTTAGATTGTAGTTGGGCGTTCATCAATTCCTTCTTCAGAACAACAAGAGCCTTGGGAAGACGCTCCTCGATGTTCATTGTTTCGAGAACCTCCTGCATTTCATGCAACTCACCAGCGGAAACAGCAGCGGCAAAATCAGCCAATTTAGCTGGTTCGTCGCTCAAGTTTCCGGGAAATTGATCAGTGTAAAAGGCTGAGATCTGGTCACGGAACAACGGGTTCAAGGTGGCGATCTCCTTGCATACGTTTACGATTTCACTGGTCACAGCACGAATGATGCCGGCTTTTTTGTCGAACGGCTCTTCAACCAGGTTCTCCACATTGACCAAGCTGACAGGGTGTTTCCGTAAGAATGATGTGGGCTCGTGAAGATCTTTAGGAGCGGGCTCGGGAGTTCCCTCCTCGAAGCTGGCCACGACATCGCCACGCTTTTCGGTAGTCTTGTCTTCGGACGTAGGTGGAGCGCCCTTTGTAGTCTCGGCGGGAGGAAGTAGGGATGAGATTTTGATACGGCGATGAGGGTATAGGACTGCCGTTACACCGCTGGCCTCCCCGCGGAGAGGGTATGCGGCAGTGATCTGAGCGAAGACACCGGTATCATAAACGTCATCCATATTCTCGATGACATCGCCGTCAGCGTTTTCATCTTTGAACAAGAATGCTCCGACATATGGCTGACCCCGTTTCATCATGTCTTGAATCGCAGTGGCCACATTCGGGTCACGGATGGTAATAGCTTTATAGAATCCGGGGAATAGCGGGCGCTTCGCAATGGGAATTGCCATCACTTGAGGATAAACGTCCGGCACCGATGGCTTTTGTAAAGCCTTGTCGCTGGATCCCTTCTTCCCCTTCTTGCCGCTGTCATCGTTCCCGCTATTACCTCCACTGCTTGCGCCACTGGGTTTCGAGTCGGCTGGGCCATCACTCGGCGGGATAGGCGAGGGTCCATTTCTCGAGTCTGCCTTTGCATCTGATGTGTTGGCTTCCTTTTTGCCTTCCTCCTCTACCGCGCGTTGCTCTTTTTCGGATGACCGGTCTTTTCTCCGAGTGGAGCCTGCCCCGTCTGCAGAAGGGACGTTCTTCCCTGAGTCAGATGCTTTTCGCCGTGACTCTGGGGCTTTTTCTGTGCTTTTATCGTCCTGGCTGGTCTCCTGTTCTTCCGGTTCGTCCTTCGGGTCCTCTGGTGGGGGTTTCTCTCGTCGCCGGATGGAGCTTACAGAGAAAGCGCGGGAGGTCGAAGGGATGGAGTTTCCGAGGCGGGCTGAAGCTAGTGCTGACCGGAAGCTTGCATTGTATCTCGGAGAAGCAAGAAATGGGCGTCGGAGGAGAGCTCGAGGCGTTTGGTGGAGCGCAGCTCTCCAGGGGAGGGTCTGGCCGCGGAGCATGCTCCTGGATTATGCGATGAAGGGACGGGCGGTAAAGAAGTCTGAAAGGGTAGAGAAAGCTGTGAACAGCCCGTAGCACACAGCTCTTAAAGGGATGGAGAATAGAAAAGGTGGAGAGTGGAAGCTGGAATTCCGTAGTCGGAGCACCCCAATTGCTTCGGTAAGCAGCTCTTTCATCATCGCCCCGGCATCACGTTTTTCCGATAAACTTCTCTCTTCCGAAGAACTCGAAGCTTCTGTGAACAGGAGAGTAATGAGTTAGAGATCATTGGCTCGACTGTTTTCCTTATTGTTACCGTCCTTCATTTTGATATCCTCTGTCATTCGCATTGTCTCTCTCCAGTATAGCCAACCGTTATCCGGCTATTGCTATCCATGAATCCATCGACGGCATTCCCCAAGGCCGCGGCTCTCCCCGCGCGTCTGTTGCGAACCCAGCGACAATGCTCGAACCAGACCTCCACCACTAGTGTGCGATCTCAGAGCAGAAATTACCATGCCACTGCCTCCGCTTCTCCGGCTCGACGTCTGCGGGAAGGCGTCTGCAAAAGAAAGGATTCCTTGGTGACTTCCGCTCGGGTACGTTATCACAAGATTCTATATCGTCATCGGCTCGGGTCTCATCAGACATTGATACTAATGAATTACCTACCTGCAGTCTTTTCACACTACTTCCCCCCTTTTGGCCGTCGCCGATCCCTACAAAGTCCTCGGCGTCGACAAGAAGGCTTCTGCCGGCGATATCAAGAAGGCCTACTACGGACTAGCCAAGAAATACCACCCGGATACCAACAAGGACCCTCAAGCGAAGGACAAGTTTTCCGAGGCCCAAACAGCTTACGAACTACTGTCCGACGCCAAAAAGCGTGAGAACTACGACAAATTTGGCTCGGCGGCCTTTGATCAGAACGGCGGATTCGACCCAAGCGGTGGCAACCCATTCGCCGGTGCAGGAGGATTCCATGGCTTCGGTGGTGGCTTCGGTGGTGGTGGATTTGGCGGAGGTGGCTTTGGTGGAGGATTTTCCGGTGATATCAACTTCGAGGATCTGTTTGGCGCGTTCACTGGCGGAGCGCGTCGTGGGCCTCGGGGTCGGGGCAACCCCTTCCAGGAACAGATACTTGTTGGTGAAGATATCGAGGTCCAGACCAACATCTCGTTCATGGATGCCGCCAAGGGCACTTCCCAGGACATTGTCATCACTCCTTTGACTGAGTGCGGAACTTGCAAAGGTGACGGCTTGAAGGAAGGCACCAAGCGGTCCCAATGTAAGCAGTGCAATGGTACCGGTACACGCGTCCACCTCATGCAGGGAGGCTTCCAGGTTGCCGCTACTTGCGATGCTTGTGGCGGTGCTGGTATGTCCGCCCCTCGTGGGTCTGAATGCCGTCCATGCCGTGGAAACGGTGTTGTCAGGGAACGCAAGACTATCAAGGTCGACATCCCCGGAGGTGTTGAGGATGGCATGCGTTTGCGGGTGACCGGTGAAGGTGACAGACCTCCCACTGGATCAGCTGTTCCCCCCGGGGCCCGGACCAAGCCCGGTGATCTTTACGTCTCCATTCGCGTGGCTCCGGACTCTCGGTTCAGTCGCTCTGGATCTGACATTCTCTATACGGCTTCAATTCCTCTCACTACTGCCATTCTTGGTGGTGAGGTGACTATCCCAACCCTCGAGAGCGAGGTCAAGGTTAAGGTCGCTACGGGTACTGGTACTGGTGACCGGATTACCCTGTCTGGAATGGGAATGAAGAAGCTTGGTGCTCGGGCACGCGGCTACACTCCTAATGGTGATCTCAAGGTCGAGTTCAAGGTAGCAATGCCTAAATACTTGACCGGTAACCAGCGAACCATCCTGGAAGTTCTTGCAGATGAGATGAACGACAAGACCGCGAAGCGGACAATGAACTTCAACGCCGACAAGGACAGGTAAGATTTGAAATTATCTATGCATCAATTGGCCATAACTGACCTCTTCCAGCTCTGCACCGAGCTCCGAGAACGAAGGCTTCCTGAAGTCTGTTTGGCACCGACTTACGGGCGAGAACTATGAAGCCAATAAGAAGGACACCAAGGACACCAAGGACAAGGATGGCAACACCGATTCCAAGGATGACTCGAAAAAGTCGAGCTGAAATATGTAAATCATGTACTTTATATCCGTTTGTATTTACCTCACCCATGTCATAGCGCCGGCGATATTGGGGACCTGTTCTGCCTAGGAGGGTCTTGGGGGCAGAATACTGTATTATTATCAAGAGTTAGGTGGTTATGAAGTTCTCCATTCCACTATAATATGTTTCTATGTAAATGGTAAATGCTTATGTTGTATGTGATGTTGATGTTCGGAGTATACAGTCAGTAGGAGAGTAGATGTGTATGGTGACCTGGGGCTTGCCGCCCATCAAGACACGGATATCACATCCCACCTTACCTTCCTCCAACATTCCAGGCACCCCCTATTCTTTTCCAATCTTCTCATTTCATGTGCTTTCAGATCCTGAACCCCAATCGACGTCATTGAAACAGGACCCATTAGGCGGCGACTTTCCGTCTCCCTTACCCCACAGCCTCGACTCCAAGCCCCTCAGACACGGCGCTTTAGACCCCCCCCTTGTCCCTCACGCTTCCTCTCTTACAGTTTTTAATAAGTTGGATGGGAGCAGATTGCTCCTGACAACCATCCAAAATGGTTCAGTCGCCGATGCTTTCGTGTCCGCTGAAGCAGACCAACGAGATCGATTGGATTCAACCCCTCAAGGATTACATCCGACAGACATATGGCGAGGACGCCGAACGGTACAGCCAAGAATGTGTGACCCTCAACCGACTTCGTCAAGATATGAGGGGCGCAGGAAATGATAGCGCTACCGGTCGCGATCTGTTGTATCGGTATTATGGCCAACTGGAGCTGTTGGACCTCCGGTTTCCCGTCGATGAGAACCACATCAAGATCTCGTTCACTTGGTAAGGTGTGCCACTCCTACATATAGAATTGCGCCAACGAATTTATCATATAGGTACGATGCGTTCACCCACAAACCTACGTCTCAATATTCCCTGGCCTACGAGAAGGCATCAATCATCTTCAATATCTCCGCTGTCCTGTCCTGCCATGCCGCCAACCAGAATCGGGCCGACGATACTGGTGTCAAGACTGCCTACCACTCCTTCCAAGCCTCCGCTGGCATGTTCACCTACATAAATGAGAACTTCTTGCATGCCCCGTCTACCGACCTTAATCGGGATACGGTCAAAACATTGATCCATGTTACACTCGCCCAAGCGCAGGAGGTTTTTTTCGAGAAGCAAGTGGCGGATGGAAAGAAGCCTGGGTTCTTGGCTAAGTTGGCTGGACAGGCAGCATATCTTTACTCACAGGGTGCGGAAACCATGCAGGACTTTGTCGGCAAGAACGTGTTCGACAAGGTGTGGTCGATCGTCGTTCAGGCCAAGGCTGCGCATATGGGATCAGTTGCATCTTACTACCAGGCGATTGCGGACAGCGAGAGCGGATCACACGGCGTTGCGATTGCTCGTCTTCAAATGGCCGACAAGCAATCCGCCACTGCCCTGAGCTGGGCAAAGACCTTCCCCTCGACAGCTCCCGTGACCTCCAATTTGACAGCAGATTCTGGACCTGCTCTGATGGAGCTCATTAAGCACAACCAAACAAATGTGCAGTCCCAGCTTGCTACTATGATCAAGGACAATGACTTCATTTATCACCAGCCGGTTCCAAATGAGGCTGGTCTCTCAGCCGTCGCCAAGCTTCCTGCCGCCAAGGCTATTCCTGTTAGTGAATTGTATCAAGGTCAGGATATTCAGCGTATCATTGGACCCGATATCTTCCAGAAGCTGGTACCCATGTCTGTTACCGAAACTGCCAGTCTATATGATGAAGAAAAAGCCAAGTTAATTCGAGCCGAAACCGAAAAGGTTGAAACCGCCAATGGTGAGATGGCCGCCAGCCTGGATTATCTGAAGCTACCCGGCAGTCTCAATATCCTTAAGGGAGGCATGAACCAGGAAATGTCAGTAGACGAAGAATTTCGCCGCTGGTGTTCAGAGCTTGCTGGCCACAAGCCATTTCACAGAGCTTTTGACGATTTGCAAGATCGCAAGGCTGAAGTTTTGTCGCAACTGGACCAGTGCTCTAAACAGCTCGATCTGGAGGAAAGCGTCTGTGAGAAAATGCGCTCCAAGTATGGCGCGGATTGGAGCCAGCAGCCAAGTGCTCGACTCAATACGACACTTCGCGGAGATGTTCGCGCATATCGGGACACTATCAACGAAGCCAGCGCCAGCGATTCACAGCTCTCCTCCACACTGCGTCAATACGAGACTGATTTCGATGAAATGCGGTCTGCGGGAGAGACAGATGAGGCTGATGTGCTGTTCCAGCGCGGGTTGATCAAAGCTGGCTCGAAACAAAGCAAGGGAAAGAACGGTGTCGCTAGTCCAGCCGAAGGTAGCCTGTTGGATGACGTGTATGATGAAGGCGGTGCATCTGTTGCTGAACAGATTGCCAAGGTGGAAGAGATTCTGAAGAAATTGAACCTTGTAAAGCGAGAGCGGTCTCAAGTTCTCAAAGACCTCAAGGATAAGGTGAGTATTCTAGCGCATCCCTTCACGGCAATTTCTGACTATATGCCAGATTCACACTGATGATATCTCGAACGTCCTCATCCTAAACAAGAAGTCAATTACTGGCCAGGAAAGTCAACTCTTCGATGCTGAGCTCGAAAAATTCCGGCCGCACCAGAACCGACTTCTTCAGGCAAACCACAAACAGTCTTCTTTAATGAAGGAGCTTACCAAAATTTACGGTGATCTCCTTCAAGACAAGCGAGTTCAAGGCGAGCAGTCGAAATATGAGTCCATTACGCGGCAACGCAACTCAGTAATGGCTCGATACAAGAAGGTTTACGAAGCTTTCAATGGGCTTTCGTCGGGCATTGCTCAAGCAAAAACCTTCTATAAGGACATGACGGACAATGTGGACAGCCTTCGCAAGAATGTCGAGACTTTCCTCAACAACCGTCGGTCAGAAGGTGCTCAACTTCTAAGCCAGATCGAACGCGATAAGGCCAGCGGTGTTTCTGAGCAAGAAGAACGCGAAAGAGAGAAACTGCGCCAACTGATGGAACGTCTCTCCACGGAGCCCAAGAGCTCAACTTCACCATCTGCAGCATCAGGACCTCCTTCCAAGGTCAAATCACCCCCTCCACCTGTACAGACCCCAGCCTATGGAACAGGTCCCTCTCCAAAGATGTCACCCCGCTACCCACCCACCGGTGGACCTCTCTCCCATTCACCTGCACCCTACGGACAATACATGGGCGGCCAGGGAGCGCCATATCAACCAACCCAGCACTTCCAGCAAGGCGCCGCAGCTCCCCTATCCGAAGGCTACAACCCCATGGCATACCCCTATCAAACTCCCGTGTCCCCACCCCCAAACCAGCAATTCTTCTCCTCCACCCCCGCCCCGTACGGGGGCTACTCCAACTCTAGCACTCCCGTTCCTCCAACTGCAGGCGCCCAACCCTCGCACTACATGTCGCCGCACGGCTACATCCCGCCCCCTCCCCCTCCACGTCCCCAGCAGACATCCTACCCTCCCTCTGGAGGCTCCTACCCATCTGGACCAGGCGGCTATGCCCAGGGTAGACCGCCATATGCCCATCACAAGGCACCCTCGCAATCCCAACCCCAGCCCAACACTGGCGGTGATCCATGGGCTGGTCTGAATGCCTGGAAATAGGTACTCTATTCAAGGACATGGTCTTCATTACTTGGATTGGATTGGATTAGCAGGGATGGATCGGATCAAGTCAAAATGGACCAATGGGAGGAAAGGCATACATCTCGGCGTTTGCGAACGAGTAATAGAGGACTTGGAAGTTAGAGTGATCAGACCTCATCTGTCTAGTTGAGCTGACGTTCAATACCTTCGGTTTGGTCTGGGGGCTTTTTTTTCCTTGTCCTTTTGCCTTCGCATTGGATGTGATGTTTCTTGTCGTTTGTTTCTTGATTTTTTATTTTATTTCTGTCCTGTTAGAGGGGAGATTTAATTATTTTATGTACATGATGAATGAAATACAAGCCATAAGTTGTAAGTCATTGCTCATTTGGTTGCTGGTCATCTTTACTCCGGATGTATATGCGGTGCTTTCATTTAAGGTTTTAGTGCTGCAGGTTGGTCAGGTACCCATGCAGTGATGTTCAGGGCTTGATGTCATAGGTTGGATGTCCATGTTCGTTGGTTGCTATGCGCTGTTGATCACCTTGGGTAGATCTTCAAGCAATGCCCGACTAGTGAGATATATAAATCTGACGACGTAATGGAATCCGTAGCCTTGCCCAATTGAAAGAACGGAACTATGTGGGAAAAGCGTAGAAGAAAAGATATAATATAAGCTATAGTAGTGGCTCAAACACGGATTATAGTATATGCAAAAGTGTACATAGTAAGAGGGAGCGAACCAACCGACAAAACACACAAAACGCTGATGGGTATCTTAACGTAAGAACAAGAAAAGGAAAGGGAAGATAGATCACCGCCTCCGCAGAAAGCCGAAGCATGCCGACAGTGTATTCAGACACCAGCAAGCACCCCGAGAGCAGAGAGCAGACAGCAGAGAGCAGGGACCAAGGAATCAAGTCCCGACAAAAGCAAGACAAGATCCCAACCCAACCCCAACAAGACTAAAGCAGACGACACGAAAACTCCTTACCCTAACATGCACCCGAATCAGACAAGCCCAGGTTACGGCTGAAACCGCAATCGGAACTGCCTCCCCCTCCGTTCCTCACGCACGGTATACAAGAACCGCGCAATCGTTTCCTGCTCCGACAGCCCAGCACTGTTGAAGTGTCTACGAACAACCAGCGCAAATTGATCCTTGCTCACACGGTCCTGGCCAACAATGCGACGCAGCGAGTCACCCGACTCGCCATTGCGGCCGCGGTGACCACTGTGGACATGGGTGTGAGCATGGGTATGGGGGTAAGTGTGGTTGTGGGAGGAGGACGATTGAGCGCGGCGAGCAGCGAGGGAAGTCGGTGAGCGGAGCCCGATACCCTGTGACAGGATGGTGCGCGAGTAATCGCTTGCGAAGGCGCTTGGGGTGGGGAGTTTGTGGACGTGGCGGTATGAGTGGAGGATTTCGAGGGGGAGGTCGGACCAGGGGAGCTAAGAATTAGAAGGTTAGATGAGAGGTAAAAAGGGGGGTGTTAGGGTGTTGGGTTTGGATTGGGGGGAGTGGAAAAGGAGAGCGATTGGGACAAAAAGACAAAACCGGCGGCTACATACTCGAGGCTGATCATCCACGATCTGATCGACCGGCGCGCTAGTCACCGAGGCTTTGTCCTTGGTTGCTGCTGCTCTGCGACTCTTGGGGGGATTCTTGTATTCTCTTGTGCCGCTGGAAGCTTCGGATCTCGAGTCGTCGACTATGGCCGTGGTGCGCTGGCGCGGGGGAGCCATTGCGTGCCGGAGCTCGAGGCTTGAAGGTTACTGGATGGGGGGTTGTTGTTCAGGGCTCAGGGAGTTGTGGAGGGGTTGGAGATGGGAGTGAATCATGTAGAGACTCGCTGTATCGTGTCAGATTGGGTGAATGGACTTGTTAGCTCTGAATTGACACTTGAGATTCTCGTTTCCCCAGGCGGCCGGGCAGGGCAGAAACGTCATTTCCGCTTTCGAGGCATGCCTCAGGTTTGGGGTATCAGATAGATCGGTGTGTTAGTAGGATGCTCTGGCTTGTTCATAGGGTGATCCAATGCCTATTGACTGGGTGCGCGACTCGCGTGAGGCTGATGCAGCTACGCGCGGAAACCCTCGTCATGTACAACCCATATAACGTTAATATCAATGGGAATGATGTGTCTGGCCATTCTAGTGCCGGAATTCCGTTAGAGCGGCAGAATGTTTTGGAAAGAAAATACGAAGAGAGCCAGGCATTGATAAGAATACATTCCAGCCTGGCCTTATATATGTATAGTTGGAAGTACGTAACTAGTAGGATTTCCAGAACGAAACAAAAAAAAAGAAACGTCAGCTGCACGGTTCGAACGTACGCGGGCGAACCCACTAGATATCTCAAATGCGAAATTCAAGTCTAGCTCCTTAACCACTCGGACAAGCTGACGAAGGTGATGTAAGTAAGACGTTGTCTCTGAATTATAAACATGGAGTCCACTCGCTACGAACGTATCATTCGTCCATCAGTTCCCAGTTACAATAGCAAACCGTTCCCAAGACCCCCATTCCTGCAAACCAGACAAACCTGCTAATCCCTCTTCCCTCATTCTCGCCCGATAGCCAACTCCTTTTTATCTGATCCCCGCGACTCGGGACTCCACACGGCTTCACCGCTACATGCGGAGAAAAGGACGGCAAAACGTTCTCTTCCTTACCTAATAGACCTAAAAGACCAGGGTCAAGATGAGGGAGGTATCCCGAGGTACACAACGAGACACAAGCATTGTTAGCCTGCCAGAGGGGGCGAACGTGCCTTGAACTAGGGATCACTAGGGATCACTTGCATACAGTAGGGGGATATCCGTACACCATTTCACCCCGGACTGGCCACTTCCGACCCTCGGAGGAATCTCGGATAACAATTTTTCATTTCGTATCCATACAAGACGGTACAACCTGACCCATAGGAAAAGGGGCAATCAGCATGGGGAAAACACCCCGAATACACAACAAAGCGAACCCGACACTCGGCACGGCGATGCCGAGAGCCATTTCGCCGATACCTCTCGGCGCGGCTCCAGACACGGCAACGATGGAGGGGCAAAAGGGAAAAAAGGGAGGAAACCAAGGTCAGGAAAAAAAGGCCGCGAAAAAAACGCCCCCGGAAGACTCCCGTTTTTTCCCTCTTCACCGAAACCCCCTTTTTCGATTCCTGTTACTCACTCCAGTATGTGCTCCGGGTGAAAACTCTTCGTTCCTTGAATTGATACTCCGGACGAGAATAGTGTATAGCCCTCTCCCACCTAAAAGGCTCCAAGCCAAGCCTCCATCCCGAGATTCCCCATGCCACCTTGACTCATTCCCAAAGCCCTCTAGATCGTGGATCCGAAATATCGACACTAAGCCCCGCAACCCGGTCTGTCTTTGCAAATTAGTGTCATAATGGTACAATTTGGTCTTTCCGACTTTTCCCGTCCTCTTCTCCTTACCCCAGCCTTATGGGCTGATGCGAACAGAGAGAGGTATAGAGCCGTACGGACCGTACCTGCAGAAGAATTGGTCTAGATGTGAGCTGTGTCGTCATCTGACAGTCTTCAGTTCACAGTCACGCAACAGCACCTCGACCGCATGTACAGTACACAGTAGTCGGCAAGCAATATAAAGCGCCTATAGCGTCTTCATTCCTACTCCATATTTTCTTATCGCCATGCCCCAATCTGGAGAACACCACATGGATGCATGACGTATCTCCATGCAGAGCCCAATCTCCAATCTACTGTACACCTTCTTTGTCCAGTCCAATCTACATGTATCACCCAGAAATGCGCTATGGCGCCGTGCTGGGGACCATATCATCCCCCCTACCCTACCCAACCTCGGCAGTGCTGCTATCACGCATGAATGGGCGCATTCACCAAACCATTCTCCCCCCTCTTTAGCGCCGAACCACCTACTAACCTAGTCCCTGAAGCTACTGTAGAGCAAACGCCACCAAACTATCCCAACCCAAGTCCTTTTCCCCTCCCTCCTCCCCGGTGGGATGATAAGCCCCTGTGTGCATGTGATTAGACGGACTCACAGAACACACTACAGTAACCTTGCCCCTGCCGCTAAGTCTACAGTCAGTTAGTTGCCCTTCACAGAAAAATATCCTGGACATGTGAAACGACCTCTCGCAAGCTATCGTCTTAGCCCGTGGAGCTCTCCCGCTCAAAGTCCTGATTGGGACCTCGTGGGCGGACTCCGGCTTTGCCGTAGTGTCCGTAGTGCCATTTTTGCCCGGGGGATTTTTTTTTTCTCCCCCCTTTGCTTTCGATTTCCCTTTCGAGCTGGACGGTGGAGGGCGGAGGAGGGGCACACGTGCTTGGGTCTGTTGATTCGGCTTGTTCGTACCCGTGAGGCCCGGCTTTGGGGGCTGTTCTGAGCCTTTGACCCGGGGGAATTGGGGCCGAACATCTAGTTCGTCTGGGGGGCAAACTGGATCCCCTGATTTTGGGTGTCTTGAACTGTGATGGGATCTATGTGATACGATTTTTTTTTCTGAAATGTAAAAATTGAATATGCATTATACAATACAGATAGGTCTAGAATTCGACCCCCCTGGTCGCATTGATCTACGGTACCTGACTACTGTATCTACTCCGTACTATGTGAGTGGAACATGTCGATCGCAGTCAACTTATCCTGGGAGAGTGTCGAGACCCCCAAAAGAGTAATAATTGGCTCAGAGTGGGAACCGTCAATGGGCTTTTTTTATTTATAAATCTTGGGCTTCACCGAGAACTGGACACGTACATCTTTTCTTTCCCAAACAGTGTCACAGATCACGGATCAGGCTCCTAAGTGAATTGAACACCTGGTCTATACTAGTTCTATCGCTCCCCCCCCTCCCCCTCACCCCCAGAATATCACATGTCCCTTCAAGATAGGATGAATTTCCCCGAACCAAAAGTCCAAATCCCACCAATAGCCTCAGAGTCCGGAATGACGGCCCCGCAATTATCAATGATATCAGCGTGAGCCCATCCCAAGCCCTAATTGGAGGAGGATCGTTCCAGAAGCTGTGGAGTGCGGATCTCTCTTGGCGGCTCCGTGGATTTAACAGAACAGGGCGTGGTGGTAACAAGGTCTGTTAAGTAATCCTGGGGTTGCACTGTACACATTCCCTGCGAAACATTCACGTAAACGTAAACGTAAATGTGCCTATCTCGCTCAACTCTCCCACCCTACCTTTTTTGGTCCTTTTGTTGCCCTCTTGTCTCTTTCTTTACTCCGTTCTGCATACAGTAATTGGACCCGAACACCCTGAGGCACATTCCTGGCTAAAGCGTCTCGCCGCCTTTTACCTTTGTCCCCCTACCCCGGATTTCATTTGCTCCCCACATCGAGACATGCCAAGCTCGACTAGATGTCACCTTTACGCCATGATCACACTGTACCAACCTGGGAAAGGGGAGGGCGAGGATAAATGTTACGTAGACCCATGTGTATCTCCAACCGTTCAACGTTATCTACTGAATGTGATTTTCTCGTTTGGATTAATTCCGGTTGCCTAGTGGCGCCCTGTAGGAACCACGCCAGAGCAGGTCGGTCTCGCCATTTTTCCAATTTTGAGGACGCAGAGCGATTGGAAAGAAAATGGAAAAGAAATTTTGTAAAAAAAAAAAAAAAAAACAAAAAATAAACGGAGCGAGAACGAGAATAGGCCGATCCATTTCTTCCTCTTTCGATTTCTTTCGAATTCTGGGTGCTGCGCACGTCATGACTTACGCTGATGCGCAAGGGATGACACGCTGTATACTCCGTGTTTCCGCGCACTTGAACCCTTGATCTGGGGAGATACGTGCAGAGGCTCCGGACTGATAACAGAGTCCGGGGTTGAGATGGCGTTTTCTTTGACATGACATTATTCTTTCCCCTCTCTGTTATAAAGTATATTTGGCTTTCTATATACGTGTTCGTCCCGTTTGGTGACTGGATCTTTGCCTAATTTGGGGGGGGGCTTCTCCTCCAGATCGACAATCTGCATACCAGGCATGATCCTGGAATGTCGTCCGGCGGACCGCGATACGCGGAGCCAAGCCCCATATCTTGAAAATTCTACAGTGCTGCATATAGTCTGCAGATGGCAGACTTCCCCGGATGGCGTGACGACAATCCAGCGATATCGGGATTGACCTGGAGACCCCAGCGATCATGACGATCACGTTGATACGCTCTGTAGATCGGGGATTGCGGGGTAGTGAAGAGAAAGTGTTAACGTAAGGATCGCCACTGTCGGGTATATCGGCCATTGAAAGTTCGCTGGGCGATCACCGCAAAAATGGGGTGAAGATGGATATAGCCGCTGATTGTTCCGGAGACAATAGCCTGTACGGAGTATACATGGATGTGACCTCCAAATTGTGGAGTGTGATCTTCCAGGGAAAGTGAGACGAGCATGGTCCATTCCGGGGGGATATGGGGATATGGGGATATACAGCAGAATAACGTTCTAGGATATGGAGATGGGGATCTGGCGGAAGCTGAAATCCGAGCTGTTCACCTGGGCAGCTAATAGTATCATCCTGTACACGTATCATCTGTCTCAACATATCAGCATACAGCACAGTGCACTCGTCACCTGAAGCTGAAACTCCGTTTCATGCTCTAATTATACATCGCTGATATCGGCAAAAAGCGGGTAATTGGTACCTGCTTCCTGGAGATCTCCGAATCCGGAGTTTCTCCCCAACTGCGCCATTCCCCAGCTACATAGTATTATAGCCAGCGACCAGTCGGACTCGCATCTGCCCATGTCTAGGATTTGCGCATTTCCTGGGGATATATTCGTGATGCGCCAACCGGGCCGACATACCATGTTTCGTGGTATCGCTGCTGACTGAGATCGACTCCATTTCATGCGCGAGATCTGCCACTAAGGGTCCCCCCTGTACTCCGTATGCAGGATCCAGGATCAAGCGAGGTGGCCCTAACATTTTACCTGTACAGCCCATGCCCACAGTCGAGCTGAACATTTGATGAACATCAACTATTGCCTTCGCATCCCCTTTAGCCATTTATACGAGATAAGGTCATCCCACGTCTTTCCCCGTTCCCCATTCCCCATTGCCCCCATTTCCCCCCCATTCCCCGTGTTATCGTCCAACCATATATCCGGGCCCCAGCACATGGGGAAGTCCGTTTCGCTTGCCGAGTAGGCGTATCTTTCTTTATCCCGTTATCCCGATGGCGCTACACCCTGGGCCTTGGCTTTGGAGGACCCCCTGGGGGTGTCTCCACATCGGACTAGGAGACCTCCGTGCTGGAACGGTTATCAAAGTCCAGTTGATAGATTAAATCAGAGGGGGGAAAACCACCACTGAATGGGACCATGTTGGCCGATGACAGGCTGGAATCTCGATTCGGCAAAAGAGGGACAAAAGATAACAGAAATTCCCCCAAACACCCCGGATGTCCTCCGTACGGAGGTACTCCATATCACATCCCCCATACCGCTTCCCATCTGGACCGGAGGGCGCATCCCTCGAGATACGCGACTTTGCGGCTGTGTGGCTGCAGGACTATCAATAATTGGACGATCCGCGCCTATCAGCGTTCATCCGCCTTTTATCTATCTCCTGGGGGGGATCCAGGTTATAACTTCTAGCTTGGCCTCTGACTTGATATCCCTACTCTAATTATCCGGGTTCATCTCGGGTGATTTGACACGGGGAAATGGGATCATCGACATCATCGATGATCCCATATCGAGTCTGGATTGTGATCATACAATCCTCCGTACACACGGTTGGAACCCGCGATAGCCGGATGTAGGGACACGCACTCACGCCACACGGTTCTTCAGATCAACTCCACATTCTTTACGTATGTAATTTAATTCTATTTTTCGAACTCCCCGTTTCCGTAGATGAGTGTTGCAAGCCGGAGAGAAGCAGTAATTATGTCTAGTCTTGAGTAGTGTCGAATAGTGAGTGGGTGATATTTGGGGGGGGTCTTTTTCATCTTTCTGTATTGTCTTTGGGGTCATTTTGGTTATTTTGGTCATTTTCATTTTTTTTTCTGAAATTTTCTGAATTTTCTGAATTTCCCCTAACTTTTCCCGATATTCTTTTTTTTTCTTTTTTTTTTTCCTTTCCCAAATTGAAAAAAACGAATTTTCCATGAATTTTTGCACTTTCCCAATTTGCCCCAGTCTTCCCCCACACTCCTTTTGGGGTTTTCTTCTGAATTTTTCACTCCCTTCCGATTTCACCCTTGGCTTTATATTATTTGCTCCCCAGATCGTCATCTCCGGATTCTTCTCTCTCCTTCACTTTTCGCCAGCCTTCCTTCTCCATGCCACCAACTACTTTTGGATTTTCTAATCTCCTCAACCCAGACACCTCGCCAGACTCAACTCCCTCGACCCCCGGGGACTCAACCGCTTCAATGGCTTCCTCTGTAAGCCTGTTGCCGCCGCTCATGAAGGGTGCTCGTCCTGCGACCGAGGAAGTCCGTCAGGATCTCCCCCGGCCTTACAAGTGCCCTCTTTGTGACCGTGCCTTTCACCGCCTGGAGCACCAGACAAGACACATCCGGACGCACACCGGCGAGAAGCCCCACGCCTGCCAGTTCCCTGGCTGCACAAAGCGGTTCTCGCGCTCCGATGAATTGACTCGTCACTCGCGCATCCACAACAACCCCAACTCTCGCCGCAGTAACAAGGCTCAGCATTTGGCTGCGGCCGCCGCGGCGGCGGCGAGCCAGGATGCGGGGATGGTCAATGCTGCCAACATGATGCCGCCCCCGAGCAAGCCCATCACTCGCTCCGCGCCCGTGTCGCAAGTGGGATCCCCCGATGTGTCCCCGCCGCACTCGTTCTCCAGCTACGCCAACCACATGCGCTCAAATCTGGGACCGTACTCGCGCAATACCGAGCGTGCCTCGTCGGGCATGGATATTAACCTCCTGGCCACGGCCGCCTCGCAGGTCGAGCGCGACGACCACATGGGATTCCACGGCGCACGCGGCCACCAAATGTTCGGCTCTCGTCACGGTCACGGCACTGGCCGTGGTCTGCCCTCGCTCTCGGCCTACGCCATCTCCCAGAACATGACCCGGTCGCATTCCAACGACGATGACGATGGATATGGCCACCGGGTCAAGCGTTCTCGTCCCAACTCGCCTAACTCCACTGCTCCTTCTTCTCCTACTTTCTCTCACGATTCTCTGTCCCCGACTCCCGACCACACTCCCTTGGCCACCCCGGCACACTCGCCCCGTCTGCGCCCTCTCGGCGCCAGCGAGCTGCACCTGCCGTCCATCCGCCACCTGTCCCTCCAGCACACGCCCGCTCTCGCGCCCATGGAACCTCAAGCCGAGGGTCCCAATTACTATAGCCCCAGCCAGGGACACATGGGCTCGACCATTGCGGACATCATGTCAAAACCCGACGGCACACAGCGCAAGCTCCCGGTTCCTCAGGTTCCCAAGGTCGCGGTGCAGGACATGTTGAACCCGGCCGCTGGATTCTCTTCGATGAACTCCTCCGCTAATAACTCCGTGGCGGGCGGCGACCTGGCCGACCGATTCTAATCTCGCCTCTGCAATTTTTGCAACCCCCTATCATGCCTTTTGTTATGCGCGCTACGAAACGATATAGACTTGTGCATTTTTTATTTTGGCTTGCGGGCATCAAACGGTGTCGGATGGTTTTTGGCTTTCTTGATTTTCTTATCTGAGGCGTCTCTCCAAATAGACCTGGGATCTTTCTTTGTTTTCTTTCTTTTCTTCTCCCTCCTCTTCTACCACTCCTCTTTTGGCTTCTGTGCTCCTCCTTTGGTTGGTCCCTCCTCTCTGGGGCCTTTCTTTTCAAGTTCAAAATTACTGGATCGGTCCACGACCGTTTTATTTCCTTCTCCTCTCTCGAGATCTGTGGTCTCTCCTCCCCCTTTTCACCTTGGTTTTCCTTACTATATAATTCTCGCCTATGGCCGAGCAAAATGAAATCTAAACTCTTACAATCCTCCATCTACCACAATCGCCTTATTCATGCAGCCACTCGAAATTCACTTATCTCGGATTTCATGTGATACCCGCGATCCCACATCGGATGTCCACCACCCGAACTCACCTAATCCATGGCAACAATGACAACAATGACTATGATGACCACAATGGCATTATCAATGACCTAACCCTAGGGTCCCCTAACCAAGAACCAGCTCAAGATCGGAATACGGACTCCTCAAACCCTCTGCTGGTAAACTGTAATATCACCACATGTCTCCCCCGGATACCCACGATACCTTCACATGCACATGCACATGCACTCCCCATTCCAATCCCCTTATCACGTTATCACGTTCTAGTCCTTGTGATCAGCATAGCCTAGAACCATGGTACCTGCTGTTCGAGCTCAGCTACTCAGAGCTCATATCATATTCACATGTTCCGATTGTTGAGACATGATCTGCACAGGCTACACTAGAACAAGCCGTCAAGCCGTCAAGCCGTCGAACGTCCAGATCTGCATGTGCTTGTTTCGCATTCGGGGTGGCATTTGTTCGTGTACATTACTGTACTGTACCTTTGTACGCTGGACTTGGGTTGATGGAGAGCATAAGGTATTTCCACTTCACGATCGTGCCTATAGGGTAAGTTAACTTAAGTTAATGGTCGTCATATAATGTTACGTAGGTGCGCCGCTTGGTCAACTCGTGTTCGGTTTTCTTGTATCGGGTCGATTATTGTTCCTGTCCTCTCTGTACTATCGCTTTCCCCCCTCTTAGTGGGGTAGTATTATATTCATTCCTACCGTTCCTTCGGAGTATCACACTCTTCTCCAGGTAACTGGTACATAGGTGTACAGTACACCGTAGGCTCAGGCAAGTATCGTCCCACTCGTTTCAGAATCAAGTTAAGCGTTCGTCTACTGTAACAAATGTGGAACACGCCCACAGAGACAACGCAAAAGTACTGCAGACTCAACGTATGATTCATAATTCATAGCGCTAATTAAGTGTAAAGTTCTCTGCAGCCTGGCGGGGTTCCGACGTGCGACAGTCACTAAGCAAGCCTGTACATATTTCCCTCTATAAGGGACCTTGAAGACTGAATTCCCTGGACCGAGACTGTTAACTAATAGAACTGAACGTGACCGCCGACATCAAAAGGGTCCTCCTGTCCATTTCCCTGCCACATAGTGTGCACCACACTCTACACTACAGTAGTGATGCCCGATCATTTACAGTAGATCAACACTAGTCCCCCCCAATTTAGCGCGAACAAACCCCCCCCCCCCCAACACTATAGCTCGACTAAACCAAACACTCTGGAAAATTCTATCCAAACCCCACCAAGCACACCATGGATTCGGCCTTTCCTACATGTTCATGTATATGTAGTGTCTGAGAAACAGTACAGAAGAAAAAGAAGCTTCTGCTTCTTCTGGTTCGCAGAAGGGTACAGTACAGTCCTTGCAGTGTTCCCTCGTACCCACATTGTACATTGTATGCCGCAGAACGGTCGGGCGACGCCGGCTCCTTAGTAGATGTCATGCATGCTGACACTTTCTCCCGACAAAGAAAAAAAAAGTTGCAGGTTGCAGGTTGCAGATCAACGAGATTGTTATCACTTCCAGCAGAGAGACTGGGACGGGCGTGAGGCGGTGATATCGTCGAGTGTATGTGTACAGTACGTTTTCGCGCGGGTCTGCATGTCATGTTCAGTATCATGTTGGGCTCTGTACGGATCTCTGATCTCGGGTCTTGACCCGGACGAGTCTGATGTTGATGTTGATGTTGATTATGAATATCGTCCCCCTCTCCTCTACTTTGTAAGCCGAGAACTTTCCTCTGACGCGATCACAGCGACGTACGTGACTCGGTGATTCCCCGCGCGAGACCCGATTTCGTCTTGTCTTCCTTTTTTTTTTTTCCGCTTCGCTGGTGACTTGCTTTTGGTCGGGTTTGTTGCTCTTTCTTCGCGGAGCATGTCGGAGCCTGCGCTTGAATGCCGTGTCGCTCAAAGAGCCGACGCTGATCTGCGCTCGTTTTCTACTTCTGCCGGTGATAGACATAGGTCCCGTCGCTCTGACTCGGCCGCGGTGAGATATACTATGAGTGACCGTAGGGATTCGGGGAGCCGTCCAGGCGTCGTGTTGCTTTCTTCTTCGCCGTTGCCTGTGCCTGCCTTGTCGCGTGGTTCGCCCTCGCCGTCGATTTCGTCAGTTGATACGACTGGGTCTGAGTTTGGCGGACTTGGAAACGGACATGGACATGGAAACGGGTACGCCGGTGGTCATGGCGGCGAAGATCACGACGACGATTTTTATATCCTCGAGGACAGTGGTCGGGCGCCGTTGATCACCACTGCTACCGGCGGCGCAGAGCCGGCTGCGCTATCGCGCGCTTCCTTGTCATGGGGAACAGCGGTTCCGTCGGTATCATCGGCTTCGCCGTCTTTGTCCGCGCCTAGTATTGAGCAGCGCACATATGTCTGTCTCTTCCATATGCTGGATTGTCATGAGTCGTTCGACGATGACGCACAGTGGAGGACTCATGTCTGCAGCCACTTCCGATCACACCCTACGCCCCCGACGGCGAGATGCCCCCTCTGTCCGAGTATGAAGTTCATCGATGGGATCGCGGAGCCTATATCATCGCCCGTTCTGGACGATGACGAGTCGATGCGCAGTGAAAATATTGTGATGCCGGGTCCGGGAGTCGGACCTGAACCTGGACAGTCCTCGGCCTGGGATAGAATGCTTGATCATGTTGCTGCTGGGCATTACCAGCTTGGACAGACACTAGCGGGGAGTCGGCCTGATTTCGAGTTGATGCGGTATTTGTATGGGCTGCGGATTATCACAGATGCACAGTTCAAAGCTATGCAGTTGCCGCCCGCTCCGTCTAGTCCGGCTTATCATCGCTCACAGGATGGAGTCAGGGCTAGTATTGGGTCTGCGGATGAGCCTTATTGTGCGCCGTATAGTAAAAGGAGGGAACAGAGGATGCGTGGACAGTCAAGGAGTGTTGTTGTGTAAATCTGTTGGATGTTGGATGTTGGATGCTGGATTTTGTTTGCTTTTGAATATTCCCCCTCTTTGTATATGTAATTTTGCCAGCCAATTTGTGACAGATCAGATTCAGATGTGGATGAGTTCACCCTGTTCGACTCTATAGATGGTCCCGAGCAAACAAGACAAACTCACCGCCCTTGATGACGGCCCTTTGCGACTTCGATTCTTGCCTACTGTCGAATAGCATGAGAACAGCCTGATTCAATCGCCGACTCTCTTGATTTCTCTTTCTTTTTCTCTCTCACCTCGACCTCTGCCCCTCCCTCCCCCCCGAATTCGGATTCGGATTCGGATCGATTTCTTCCCCGCCAACCCACTCAAATCCCCAGACATGGAGCGGCTATCTCTAAATGAAAGCCCTGCCAATGCGCAGCGGAACCCTCAGCAGCAACAGCAGCAATTTTCTCAGCAGAATGCCCTTGGTCCCGCTAGCTCTCAGGAACGTGGTGGCCCGCCCCAATTACCGCCTCAGATGTTCACCACCGCCGCACAACTGCTCGACCTAACAGATAGTACGTCGATCTACACAAACACTCAGGCTCTAGCTTGGATCAGGACAGTCAAGCTAACGCCTTCACTTTCTTACAGAGAAACTCGTCCTCATCCTCCGCGACGGGCGGAAACTTATCGGCGTTTTGCGAAGCTGGGACCAGTTCGGTATGACAGTCGCACAACTTCCAATCTGGATCATTATCTCACGTACAAAATCTCGCAGCGAACCTTGTCTTCCAGGAAACGATTGAGCGCATCTACGCGGGGGGTCTGTACGCCGACGTCAACCGGGGGATTTTCATTGTCCGCGGAGAGAACGTGCTCCTCCTAGGCGAAGTGGTAAGTCGAATGAAACTAGGCTTGATTTGAATTTGTTACGCGGGATGGACCGAGGACTGATAAGCTATTTCCCACCACAGGACCTCGACCGCGAAGATGATATCCCTCCTACGCTGACCCAGGCACCGTTCGAAGAAGTCTTCGAACTTAAGAAGAAGGAAGACGAGAAGAGGAGCACCGGTGATAAGAAGCGGTACAAGGAGCTACAAGCGCTTGGATTTGAGCCTGAGCATAGCGGCGAGATTCTGTTCTAATGATTTCCCCCCACCCTTTCGATCCGCTTTCTCGGTTATGCTATCAGCTCGCATGCTCTGCCCTCTATCCGTAAATGAGGGGCAAGGGAAACTGCGTCTGCGTCTGCGTCGGTTAGGGCCTCCGATGTGAAGGCCCCTTCTGTCGAGAATCAGGTGTCGGCAGAATGTGGTACTGCGCTGTATGTGGCGTCGTGGTGGATCTCAATACCGATTTTTGAATTCGCATCGACACTGGAGTTTTGGGTAGAATCTCAACTGCAGAAAGCTCGGACTGCTGAAGATGCGATGTATAACATCTATGGATGCACGAACGGTTGTGGTCTATACGCTAACCTGGTTGATCACCGTCTATACTTTTCGTTCTTGCATCTCTTGCACTTCTTATGGCTCATTGGGATACACTGCCGGGCTGCCTTACCCCGGGCTTGCTTGGGTTCATGAAGTTCTGATTAACATGTTTGAATTTTTTTTTCTATGATAAATCTCTTGCGAATGAGGAAATGAAAACTTAACGCTGGATTGGTTTGTTCTTTTTTTTATGTAGATCGAGCTATGGTGGTATATGATTGCGTTATAAATACCAGTGGTATCTATATGTCGAGACATGCCTCGGCGTGTGGCTAATATGTGTTAAATCGGAGGATATAACCATTTGACCAAATAGCAACGATACAGATTGGCGTCCAGGCTTATATTTCAGCAATAAACTGTCCCAACATCATTCTCTAAGATTCTGGCTTCCACTAGCTTTCATTATTTAGGCATCGTTCCCTGAACAAGCCTAGGGCCAGGCACATATATGTATGTTCATTCGATTATCTCCCGTATACAGCCGAAATGGACACAGGGCAAGGTGCTCTCGTCACTATTCTGTCTTGTTTCCCATATCCATAAACTTCAATGACAGACCAGGTTTCTCATATCCCATGGTAAACAAGTCTTTTCTTCGGGGCGGCTCAGCGTCCGGCAACAAACTCATTTTAAACGACCGGAACATATAAGCCATGATAATGGTAACCTCAGCAAGAGCCAAACTGTAAAGAAGCCGTCAATATCTGTTCACTCGATACCGCAAAGTCGATGGAGAGAAAGGGGACTAAACGTACTTCTGCCCAAGACACATTCTAGTTCCTTTGGAAAATGCGCACATATACTGCTCGAGGGACTTTGCCTCGGGGGTCAACCATCGATCTGGGTTGAAGCTTCGCGCATCTACCCCCCATATTTCTTCGCTGGTGTGCATTGTATATGCTGACATTGAGACGACGGTCTATAAGTTATGTGGATTGTTAATTGGATGGTTCATTACCCCATGGATACGATACTTGTCTTTGCTTGCAGTGACTTACACCCGGCGGAATCACTTTCCCATCGACAATGAAGGGCTGGGAAAGATCTTGTGGTACAACTCTCGGCAAACGGCCTGGGACTGCCATTCCTATCCGGAGTGATTCTTTGACGCAAGCCGTCTTCAAGAGGTTAGATCAGAAGATGTCGGATATAGAGCCTCGTGACTGGGAAATATGCGTACCAGATACTTTACTTTCTCCAAATTCAACATCTGGAATGATGGGTCTGCGTCACTCAATTCCTGGGTCAGTCTATCGCAGATAAGTGGGTTGGAGAGTATGTGAAGCAGTCCGCTTGTCAGTGTGGAAGCTGTGGTATCAGAGCCGGCGACTAGAATGATCAATGCCTCTGCAACTTTTATCTGATGGGGTAGGGTAGATAGGTGATCAAATAACACTGGATGAGAAGTTGTATTGCCGTTCTTCTCGTAGTGTTGGAGACAGGTCTCAGCGTACTGGAACACGATGCAGTTAGCAATGACCTGGCTGACATCAACAGCAAGCTCTGAAAAAGACATACTTGGAGCAGTTTGAACACATTGGCGGCCTCTGGTTTGACTAGCTCTACAAAGCTGAGAGGAAGATAATTGGACATTTTCCATAGCCACGGTCGTTCCTCCATGAGCCAGAAACTTTCGGCTGCGGCATCGAATGCAGCTTGAAACCAGGACTCAAACTCATTGTTGTCGTCATCCAACAGATTTTCTGGTTTGGCAAAGACAAATTCCATGACGATTTCTGTTGTGAGACATCTGCTCAGGTCAGGTGTCTGCGTGAAAGATAAAGGATGGAACGACAGACGAGACATTACCTACCGGAAAGCATTGTATATATTGATATTCTGAACACCCTTCAATTTGTTGATCTGCCCCAGCAGAACTGCAACCTTCTCATGTATGAGAGGCTCAAGTTTGAAGGATTCCGCCCGTGAGAATAAGGGATTGAGAATGCGACGATGCTCCTTGTGCAGTTCTATCTCTGTCTCTGTTACTACTGTGTGTGGGGTGTTGAACGCATCGTAGAACTCTTTATCCTTGGGGAATGGCTGTGTCTGGCTGTAGATGACCTTGTATTGTGTGATATCTGTGATGTGGAGTTCATTGGGTCCGATACGCAATGCTTGCGTTTCTGGGCAATCTGTGAGCTCTGGAACGGTATAAACCAAGCATGCTTACTCACGATATTTCTCATGAAGTTTTTCGAGTGTTTCTTCGGGGTGATCGCCCGTGATTGTATAAATGTATGAACGAGAACGAGCAGCTTTGGGCGGACCTGGGAATTGGGAGAGTGGGTGGAAGGACGTGAGATACAGGGTGTTTAGTATGCGCTGGATGAGGTAGAGAAGGAGTATAGCGGCTGAAGCTAGAGTGACTTCTATCTTAGTGGGCTGCTGGACATTCCAAGTGGAAAGAAAAGACTGAGCCATAGCGAGATGGGAAACAGTAGGAGCCCTCAGAAGAAGACTACGTACTTACTGGATCATCGATTCCAAGCGCTATTTATGTGATTACATGGAACCGCTTGGACCTTTGACCACCGAAACCGAGTGCATATTATTGGTTAGCTGTGTTTACAGTATGCAGCTAATTGCCAATTGCACATTCTTCAACGCTAGCCAACGAGTCAATAGGGTCAGATAGAGTCAAGTGCTTATAGCCTTACTAGTTTCCCAAATCTACGCCAATACTGACATGAATAGTCAAGGTCAACAGATCTCCAAAGACACACACTTCGATCTGACATTTTAGGTTGAGCTCCGCAACCCTAAATGGCCGATAAGCTCTTATCACCCGCATCGACATCATCTCTCCAACCTCCAATCCCTCAACCATGGCAGCCCTGAAAGGCGCCACGCCAATTTACTTTGGCTCCTTTATCGTGACACCACAGGTAATTCATGCCCAGCTTCCCCACTCGAATTGCATCTTGCATCTTGCCTCGCGCAAGACATACTGCCGCAACCCCCCAAAACAACATCTGGGCTAACACCCCCAACAGGTCTTCTTCCAAACACCCCTCACCTTCGCCCTGGTCAACCTCAAACCAATCCTGCCCGGTCACGTCCTCGTCTCTCCACGACGCGTCGTCCCCCGCGTTGCAGACCTAACACCCGCCGAAACAAGCGATCTCTTCCTTACAGTGCGCCGAGTCGGCCGCATGGTCGAGCGCGTCTATGGAGCATCGAGTTTGAACATTGCTGTGCAGGACGGTGTGCATGCTGGCCAGAGTGTTCCACATGTGCATGCACACATCATTCCTCGCAGAGCGGCGGATTTAGATCACCGCGGTGGTACGGATGCAGTGTATGATATGCTTGATGGAGAGGAAGGGGATTTGGGAAAGAATTTCCGAGAAGCTGGGGCTGGAAACCAGGCTGATGGGTCTGTAAGCTCTGAGGAGGAGACTTCGAGGTCTGGGAGGAGGTCTAGGTTCCCTGCTGTTGATAACGAGGAGCGGAAGCCTAGGAGCGAGGAGGAGATGAAAACTGAGGCTGAGATGCTGGCCCAGGAGATGGAAAATGAACCCGTTGATTGAGATGGGGTTGGGGCTTGGCTTGGGTTGCCTGGTTTCATGATTGTACATACGTATGTGCTAGACTTAGACGATTCGTGGGCACTATCTACGGTCCCCGATTGTGAATTGCGAATGCTTCGCAGTTCTGCCTTTGGCTTCCTTATGCGCTAGCGTGTATCATTCGAGGCCAGTCATTGTAGTTCTCATCAGGGTGTTGGTAAGGTCCGTAGTTGACTCTTCCTCGATCGTTGAAGGCAAGCGGAGTACCGGTCTTCACTCGAGTAACAAGATCCTAGAATGGAGGTATCAGCAATCTCTCAACGAAAGTGAAAAGGCTTGTAGAGCGTACTGGGTTGTAGATGAATGGTCTACTAAAAGACACCAAATCAACCTGGTCCGTTTTAATGAGTTCATGATTTACCATCAACGTGGTTTCACTCCCCGGATACTTGATCATGGATCCAAATTGGGACAAAACCTTTTACTTGATATATAATATTCTTGACTGGGGTCAGAATATAAAAGCTGTAGAAAACAGGTGGACCTACGTCACATCGTGAGAAATGTATATTTCGATCTCTGGAATGAAGATTCAATTATCCGGTAGCCAATACTGGCTCTTGGGGAAAATATGGTACCTGAAAGTCATCTTAGAAAGAGCAAATTCCGTCCTTATTGATGTGGATACTGTCTCACATGGCGAGTATGAAGACATTCACTAAGAAGAAACCCAAGATGCTCCATTTTTCAAGGAGCAAGTAACAATTAGCCGTACAACTACCATTCTTCCTCTAGCATTCTTGGATCATGCATACTGATGTTTGCTTTCTGGGGATATGTGCCATTATGAGTCACGTGGAACCATGAAGGTTGTTATTGGAATCTCTTACGAGACTGACTTTCGGATTAACGTCAACAGGCGGATATGATATCGAGTATGGTTCTCTGACAGGAAAGTATACACACACAGTTAGGCCTGCAGGAGCTCACATGATGTCAAATCCTGGCTGTTGCTCTAACCTCTTTGACATTTTAGCTGCAGGGCTGATCCTGTGTCGTTGCGGATTAGGTTGGGACACTCTTATAGGCCACAGCACCATGCAAGTCAATTGTGCTACCGGGCCATGATACAGTAAGCCGTGCAGTTGGTTCAATGTGCCATGAAGGCAACTTGAGGTTACTATATACCTTCTTTTGCTGAGCGATGCTTACTCGTCCAACGCCTGTGATAGCGCCTCATATCTTGCTTCAGGTACACCCCTGTGGGATGGTATCCAAGCACTATAATATACAATACAGAAAATAGTCTGCTAATTCTCCCGCCTGAGCTGGGAGCTCTTATTGCATAGCTGCAGCTTGAGAAGCGATGTGCCTTTGTTTAGATGCACTCACCTGTGTCTTGCAGCTGCGTCATCAAGCGTCCCCCGCAGACAGGGTGTCGGCAATGTATAATTATTACCTCTAACGTGTGATGTAGCGCTGACTATGATCAAGTCAATCAAAAGACCCGAGCATTGGGCTTTACTTCCATGAGGAATATATCACCGACTTGAATGCTGGGGATAGACAGTGGAGAGAACAAAGCCATTGGGTACTGATAGTCCAGCCTGGACTTCAGCGTAGAACTAGTACTATTGTATCGTACTTTAAATATGGAGGGCTTTTGTTAGATTAGGATGCGCGAGATGCCGATTCGAAGGGAGAGAAAATGCTCTGAAAAGCGTATGCTTCCTCAGCATCACGCTCCATTGCATCATCTTCCTCTTATCTTTCCAATTGAATTACAGTGAGGCATCTCACAGCGTGCTTTACCAGCATTAGTCTCGCGACCTTTGTCGGCGTGAGCGCTGCCATGCTGAGCTGCCAGTAAGAAAAACACCAGTATGTGCGGACTCCTGATACATCTGAGTGATTGCAAGATGCTCGCAAGCCATCTCCAAAGGATATAAAAGCTGTATGCAATTACTCCTTTGAGTATAAGCAAATATCATCTCACAGTGGTGATAGGAAGTCTGGCCAACTGTCGTATCGGGACCCCAACGCCTATCTCGACACTGGCACAATTGAGAGTGGACATTTACCTAGGTAGACGACTCTCTAATGATAGTAATAGGAGGTTTAGACTTCTATCAGGAGTATCAGAGTCCAGAGTCCAGAGTAGAGGTGAGGCAGTCAGGCCAAAGTGTCAGGCCGCAACGCATTTCGGATCTGTGCGCGATGAATCATATTTCTCGTTTCTCTCTTCTCTGCAAGGTTCTTTTGCCTACACTTGAAGCCTTGCAGCATTAACGGCTGCAGGCTCCTTTTTTTTTTTTTTTTCCCTTTTCTTTTCTTGTTATTGTTTGGGGCTTAGAAAAAAAAAGCAAAAGTGAAGAGAGGAGAGAGAGAGAGAGAGACAAGACGCAAGAAACACGAAGCCAGAAAAAAAAAACAACCAGCCTCTAAAGTACATCTTAAGGAAAACTCCAACTCTCCCAAGCCAATCCTGACCGACATCTTCGTTTTTCTCAGGGCACTCCCAGCCTCTTTTGTGCGACACGTTTGGGACCCCCCCCCCGGAGTGACTGTGGTCTGTTTCTTATGGACGGACATCTGATCAGGTTCAAGTCGTTTGGAAGCGACTAGCCGTATGGCCATCTCGATGGCCGACTGCCTGGAAGAAAAAGGCAAGCAAAGTATGTGGCAGAAATTAGGCCTGCGGAAATGGCTGGGTCGCGAGGATCGAGAGTCAGGGGAAGAACCCCGGGCCTCCGACACGGCCAAAGATTCTCATCCCAAAGATTCTCATCCGAAAGACCCCAACCCCAAAGATAAAGAGAAGCAGGATAATATCACGCGTCGCATCTCCCGCAAAGTCGGGGTTGGTCTGCCACGCACAACCACCTTCAAACGCCAGAGTTCCGAACAGCGCGATCGTCTCGCTCCCCTCGAACCCGAACCACAACGCCGAGCCCTGTCTGCCGACCGCGATCCCCTGACTGCACGATCGAGGTCTCCCCCCGTGGATCCCAGACTGTCCGCGCCCGAGGTTCAGTGGATCGGCCCGCCGGCGACCACGGTCGAGTCACCCTCCGAGCCCGAACCAAATGTGCCCGACTGGGTCCCTTATCCGGATATGGACACAGAGTCGGAATCAGAGCCGGAGAAACTGCCAGAGGAAACCCTGGAGTTGGAATTGGAGCAACGATGGATTCTGAATCTGAGTATGCACTTCCGAGACCGGTCAGAGCGAGAGAAGTTCTTCGTGACATACGCCGAGGCCCCGAACCGATGGCGACGAGTGACCATTTCGTGCGATTACCGCGACGCACCACCCGACTCGCTGGAACGAGATCTCAAGGAGCTGCGATATCAACGCGATAAATGTGCTCGCATCTACGAGTCCATTCGGGAATCGCTCCTCGAGATTCAATTCTATGATACCGTGACAAATCTCAAGCTGGAGACGCTGGATGGCCGATTGCATGTCCATGTCACCGAGGATGTAAACGAAACGATCCCATACCCCCCAATTTCCAGCATCGGTCATCTAGGGGGCGCTCGATGCGTCCCGGAGCATTTTCTACACTTCGAATCGCATCTTTCCGGCTTTGTGTACAAGGTTCAACTCGGTGGAAGGGCGTATATCAAGAAGGAGATTCCAGGCCCTGACACGGTGGACGAGTTCCTTTACGAGATCAATGCACTGCATGCGCTGAATGGTGCTCCGAGTGTCATCCAAGTGGAGGGAATTGTCGTTGATGAACAACGAGATGTGGTCAAGGGCTTGCTGATCAGCTATGCCGAACAAGGCGCTCTGGTCGACATCCTGTACGAGCAACGGGGAAGAACGAGCTTTGCAAGACGTGAGCGCTGGGCTAGGCAGATTGTTCAGGGTCTCTGCGAGATCCATGAATCGGGATACGTACAGGGCGACTTTACCCTTGCGAACATTGTGGTGGATGCTTATGACAATGCAAAAATCATCGATATCAATCGTAGAGGGTGTCCGGTGGGCTGGGAGCCACCTGAAATTGCCGCTAAAATTGAGAGCAACCAGCGCATCTCAATGTACATTGGAGTCAAGACTGATCTCTATCAGCTGGGAATGACTCTGTGGGCCTTGGCGATGGAGGAAGACGAACCCGAACGACAACCCCGACCTCTTTTCATCGGAGAGGACCCAATGATCCCCGATTACTACCGGCGAGTAGTCGACATTTGCCTGAGCCCAACTCCACGACACAGGCTATCTGCGAAAGAACTTCTCTTCATGTTCCCCTCTGATCTTCCGACAGCACGAGCATCACCTGCTGCTCAGCCGATGGAGATTGCCACGAATGATCCAAGACATGTTCCCATCAAACACAACTGGGCTCATCCTCCGGCATCAGGAATTGGGTTGTCTCTACCGCGAGGCTTTATGCGCCAGGTCGATCAATATTCCTCCCAGAAAGAGTTCGCGGACAATACATACAGAGATCTGCAACACCCAATCTTTGCTGATAACAACGACCCGGGGAATCGATCTACAATCACACTTGCAGAATGCACTGAAGATACCAGCTATCCATCCAAGCCATCTTCTTCATCTACCTTGAATCACCACGAATCTCATGATGCTCATGGGTATTTAGATGACCGTCCAAGTCGTGATTTCGTGCCCGACTTATCTCGTGGAAACACCGAACCGGAGATTGTTCCCGTTTCACAGACAACAATAACACCAACTAGCAATGGATTCTACGATTACACAATGGAAGAACCAGAGTTGTCAGACGAGGTCGTCTATCTTGATGATGCTCTTCTGCATGACCAGCAAACTTTTGGCAATCAACCATTGACTGCGCTGACTCCTGATCAACCTCAACCCGACGAACATACCACACATATCACCTCTTCAACTACTCCACCCCCTACTGGACCACCGCACAAAGAAACTGCGAGTCAATCACATGCTAAGAGTACTGACATCGTGCCGACATCGCCAGCACCCCCATCTGCACTCCAACCATCATCTCTTATCCTCTCCGCTTTGCCCATAAATCCCGCGTTTGGTCCTCCTGAAACTCCCGGTTCTCGACAGACATCTTTGGTTGACAATTCACCCCCATCCACACCAAGAAGTAGTGGTGTGGACCGACCGTTTGCAGGAATGGTTGGTATCAAGCCTACCTTCACAACGCCACCACCTCCAACATCTTCTCTTTTTCTCTCTGCGTTGCCCATGAATCCTTCACTGCGATACCCGTCGAATTATTTCCGTGAATTGACCACACCAAACTCTGTATATCCAACTATTCCTGAAGTACCTCGGCAAGATGGCGAAGAACCATACCTGAAGAAGGCTGCCGACATCCAGTCTTCTGTCACACAATTGCCCTCTCTCTTCTCCTCGATCTTACCTTTGAATCCTGCTTTGCAGCAACCCAAAGCATCTTCTGCAGACATTGTCACCTCATCTGTAACGAACGTCAACCGTGACTCATCGACGAAGCATGTGGGCCAACTGTTGGCAAACACCGCCACAGCCAGTGAGACATTGAGGGAGCCATACTCGCCAACCTCACTTTCGCTCTCAGTCTTGCCTATCAATCCTGCTATAGGCCCGCTCTCTGCCTCAATAGACAGCTTGGTAACGGTTGCCAACCAACATCTGGCAAATTTGGCAAAACAAGATGTGGAATCCACAAGTGAAAAAGTGGCTGATCTCAATGATGTGCCAGCAACCTCTGAAACACCCTCTCTCAGTCTCTCATCCCTGCCGATTAACCCAGCTATGCCTCATCTGGAGACACCGAGGTCTTTCAGCACCACGCCATTGACACACTCACATTCAATTGAGACACCAGAGTCGGAATATCCTCCCCAGCCGACACATATGGCCAACATCAAACCCACCCTGAGAAGAGTACCTGGCCACGAATCATCCCTTTTCGTGTCAGCACTGCCTATAAACCCCGCTCTGGCAGACCTCAACACCAACACCACCTCTGCAAGCGCAGAGATGACCCCTCCTGCTCAAGTTTCACGCCAAAATCAATCAAAATTCGGCCAACAAAGCCAGCCCTCATCCTGTTTCAGCGAACCGCAACCCCGAAATTTCAACCTGCATCAAACCAGGTGAAGTACCCACGGGCCACTGCCCCAAAGCAAGACAATTAATATTTATACAACAACAATCTTGCCCAAATTGGCGACAGCCAACGAAGCCACGACCCCTTGACCCTTGAGCCTTTTCGTCCGAACGAGCCCCATATTCGGGGCCGAGCACTCGATACCCTTTTGATTTGCTCTGCTTGTACAGTTTATGCCTCGTCGTTTGCCTCGTGTTTTTTCCAGCTCTTGCTAGCATGCATTTACACCGATGGCGGGCGAATATCCTGGAGTACCAAAAAGTCCTTTTTTGTTTCTTTCTTCCTTTTTGCTTTCTCTGCATGGCGGATTTTAATGGGGTTTTTTTGGTAGCCTTGTGATTTTCTTTTGTCTGATCTTTTGTTATTTTTCTTGCTGTTTATTTATTTATTTTTTCTGCTTGGTTTCTTTATATCTCTCTTTTGGAGGCCCTCTTGCGTTTTGGTGTCGTCATATGGAAGTCAATGTACATTGATGGGTTCTTTTTCTACCTCTTCTCGACTGACAGGGCTGTATTATTCTTTCTTTTTATTTGCTTTCGTTTTGGCAATGCGATTTTTGAATGACATGACTGGTTTTTCTTTAACAAAGACATCTCGTAGACTCCATATACGTTTTCCTTTTTGGCTTTTTAAGTAATACTGGTTCAATTACCCGCCACGCATGATTCGAAGCTTTCGAGCCAGGGCTCAACGCTTGGCCCAAGTCCTCGTCCAATCAATACAATCTTGCACTGAAGGGGCTGAGTCCTTTCCTCGTCATGCTCAATTGGCTCCGCATCCCGGATTTCAAAAACATCCCGCACGGCCTGGATAATCCGAGTTGTTCCATCAGTTAAAACCAGGATACCCTTTAACCGATGGATTTCAAAGTCATCGGGATGCGGCTCAGATGAGACCGACTTGGAAGGCGCAGGGAACGTGGACTCCCACAAAACAGAGCGCAGCCAGGCATCGACACAGTCGACTTTATCAGGCGAAATCGGTGCTGTGACAATAGCAGTAGTGGAAATTGCCTGGAGAGGATTAGCATCAGGGAACACGGAAGCAAGGGTTGATTTTATGTCGACTTACTGGGTCCATATGACTATGGCCCTTCTTACTGAAATCCAAATCCGCCAGATGATCATACGCATGCAGATCCAGCAAGACACCCTCAATCTGCGGCGTGCGACTATGATCCGTAACATGGATCTTAGCCACGCTGTTAATGGACGTCACACGGTCCCTTACGGCCTCCAACTCCTCCGCCGTGACAAGGTCTGTCTTGTTGAGGATAACGACATCTGCATGCGATATCTGCATATGAGCCATCGATAACACAGGTCCTGAGCCATGGTCGTGATGTTGATCATGCGATTCGGCCTTTTCCTCGGCTGCAGGCTCGTCTAGCAATCGCATGATGTTTTTCGCGTCGACAAGAGTGACGATTCCGTCGAGGTAGATGGAGCTTCCGAGCCCTTCGTCCATCCAGAAGATTGGGGCGATGTTGCCTGGGTCTGCTAGCCCTGTGGTTTCTAGTAGGATATAGTCGAATGTGCCTGAGCGTTCCATGAGGGATTCGATGGCCATTACGCCGGAATCTTTCACGGAGCAGCAGATGCAGCCGTTGCCGACTTCCATCCATTCTGTTACTTCTTGGCCGTCTTTGTTTACTGTCATTGGTTGTTTTTCAATGTCGGTTGCTGTGATTGAATTTGGGGTTAGTATGTGAAATGTTGGAGGTTTTTTTTTCACTTGGTTGCTTACAATCACCAAATTCTAATATCATGTTAGCTTGTTGGATATGCAGGAGGCTGGATATACAAACCATTCATGATAACGGCAATTTTCTTGCCATGTTTCTCTGTGAGGATGTAATTCAATAGGGTTGTTTTGCCTGCCCCAAGATATCCTGATCATGGTGTTAACTCCCAACATCAATGTGAAGTGAATTGCTGTCGATCTATACATACCTGTTACCAGAGTGATCGGCACACGAGGTGTTGGGGTTTCATCTACAGAAGTCTGATCTGCCGGCATGGCAGACACATCGATCAACTCCGGAGGAGCATCCTCATCATCCAAATTATTAGACATCTTGTGGTTGTCTAGAGAACAAGAAATATATAGAATATTCCAGTGTTAGTCTAAAGAGAGAAAGCCACTTCTTGATTCGTAGAGCGGCATCAGTTTCCCCCACACCGCCTTTGGAGTATATCAGAAGCCTATGAATTAGTGTATGCCCAACGGTGTTTAGGTGGTGTTGTAGAAAATATACTTGTTTGACATAGAACGAATTTTAGCTCACTATATCATAACAATGCTTTTATGCTTGTCAACTCATCATCTCCATGAAATGTTTCTGAATAGAGTCGTAGTGACGTTTGCACCAAGAACGGATGTTAGGGCACAGGGCTCGGGGCGGTCAGCCGTTGTTATGGTCGAAGCTGAGCTTGTTATCTCCAGCTTCAATGTTCTCCATGCTCTCACGATTCTTTTGACTAGTTATCAGTTTGACAGGGCGTCTAGGGAACTTTCACTCATTTGTATCCTTGCTCTTCGTTTCATCTAGCGCCCTCGTTTTCCGCCGTCATGACTTCCGGAATGTCCCCGTCCAGCTCCCCGCGGCTTCCCAGCCCTCCCCCATTCACGGAGGTTCAGCTCGCTCCCCAGTCACCCTCAGGAGAATATTTTGAGGATCAGATGCTTGGTGCTGCAGCGGGTGAAGATGATGGCTCGACACGCAGAATACGCCCCGGCACCAAAGCCGCCGACATGGCCTTTGGTCCGCCATTGATTCCCCTTTCGCAGGTAAGTTGCGCTTGACTGACCTTGATTGGGTGTCGCTGATTATCGTAGCTTGACTCGCCTTTCCAGCTCCAGGAACATCTCAAAGCCCTGTATAATCACTTTACGAAACCCGAAGGATCTGACACCGTGGTCCCGATTAACCGCCAGGTTGCGATACAGCTGGCGGAACCCCCCGAGGGCGTCGACCGATCGCTTTGGCTGTACGAACTCTGCCGCTTCCTCACCATGAAAGTCAATAATCTCATCGTCGCCTTCTTTGCCGAGGACCCACCCTGCTCTGCAACCACTTGCCCCGAGATGCGAGCTTCGGAGTGGCAGTATCTCTGCGCGGTCCACGACCCTCCCAAATCTTGTTGCGCGATCGATTACTGCTGTCACACTTTGGACTGGGCTATGAACACCCTCACTTCGCCCAAGTACTTCCCGAGTCGGCTCACTCTAGGCAACGAGAATGCCGGAGGCCCTCAGGCCAGCATGAGGCACCTGACCAACGTTTTCCGCCGTCTTTATCGTATTTTCGCTCACGCTTGGTTCCAACATCGCGATGTGTTCTGGCAGGTGGAGGGTCACGATGGGTTGTACGTCTTTTTCAAGACTGTTTGCGACATGTACAGCCTCATCCCGCATGACAACTACACAGTTCCTCCGGAGGCAGAGGGCCCTGATGCACTTCAGCCTGAGGAGGAGCCAGTTGACTCCAAGCGTTTAACTATTCTGCGCAAGGAAGACGAGAATCCATTTGCTTCAGGCATAGAGAGTCTAGACCCTGCTCTCGGCACTGGTGCTACCACTCGTCGTCACAAACATAGCCCGTCAACAGGATCGCGTGTTACAACCATCACGGAGGACATGGAAGACAGCCCAGAGATCCCGTCGCCGCTGCGTGAGGCCATGGAGGAATCACCTGAACGCCCTATTTCTGTCCTGGAAGTCTCCAAGGCTTCTCTCGAGACCGCCGAGGAGACTGACTCTGAAAAGCCACCTACTCAGGAGGAAGAACCACTCGTAGAGCAGCCAGATGAAGCAGATCATCAGACTGAAGAAGAAGATGTTGGACAGCCTGGACCATCTGAGGCCACAGAAGAGGCGCAGCCCGAGCCCGAGCAGCCTATTGATGACAAGACTGAAGAGCCAGCCGAGAAGAATACGTCTGAATCCGAGGAAGCAACCTCGTCTGAACAGACTGAGACGAAACCCGAGCCCGAGCAGGAAACTTCAACTGCATCGGAAGCCAAGTCTGAGCCAGAAAAGGAAGAATCTTGAAGCCCATCCCATGTCGCCCTTATTACTTATGGTACTATGATGATCTATCACTAACCCCAAATGTTGTACTTTTCATGTTTGCTTTCTTGTTAGCCCTGTGCCATCCTATGGGGTTGGGATGCCGGGCACTTTTTTTCTCTTTTTACTTCTCGTGCTGAAGGATATTTCTTGTAATATATGTATGTAGTTCAGGATATTGTTAATGGTCAATGTCAATGATACCCTTTCTCTTGTTTTTTTTTTTGCTGGTTAAACACTCTACAACCTCGACAGCGAGGTATCGATTAGCTCAATTAAGGTGATGTAGGTTGAAAACTCCGAGAATGATGCTGGATTTGAGGTCGGCACTAAGAACGCCGTCGAGCAAGTTGATAGTGTTAACTGACCCCACTAGATTATATATGTTAATAACCCGCAGTTCTCTCTTATCTTGGTCTCTCTCGATCCTCACTTCGTAAGCATCCTTCCCATAAACGTGATGCGTCTAATACAGCTGTTTCAAGATAAACATGTAGACCCTGGTTCTCTCTCTCTAGCATTCATTCGAACAAGGATAAACGAGGTTATGCGTTGCCTTAGCTGGGTGGTGGGTGGTGTCGGTGTAGGGGTTATCCCAGGGCTCCTATATAGCAATAACTTCGGCTTCGAGAACCCGGGGGGTTCGAAGGAAGTCGGCCGTGACGGTGTCCCTAGACCGGTGGACGTTATATTGGAGAATAGTGAGTTCTCTCCAATGAATAAAGGAGAACTCACTATCCTCCAATACAACGTCCACCGGTGAAGAGACTCACAATGGCCGGCGAGAAATGCAAGCATTATCAGATTGAGACCAGAGCCACCACCAGCTTCCTACCGAACCACAGCCAGACCGAAGCCGGGGTCATGACCCAGGCAGGTATCGAGAAGTCTCCACGCAAGAAGAGACTCACAGCTTTGGCTTCGAAACTTTCGACGTGGAAGTTGAGAATGTAGTTGAGTCGACCCCACCGCCCCCCTCACCGCTACTTTCTGCTGGCGGTATCTTTCTCTTTCTCGACAATTTTTTCAGCAACAATCAGTAGGTGCATTCAATCACTTTTGACGCCAATCTTCCACCTCCACAGATTGTTCATTCTCTAAATATCTTCTTCACCTCGTCGTCCACGTTCATCATGGCGACCCTGGCGGAGAAGCTTGAGAAGATCAAGTCTCCCAAGCTGCAGAACCAGCACCATGTGAGTCCCCCCGCTGCATACCCGGTCGAGTTACGCTAACGCATTGACCCCATAGACTGCTGTGGTACTGTCTGCAGTTGAGGATACTCTTCGTGACCAGAAGGCGGATTTCTCGCCTACCGCATATTTCGCCGCTCTCATTGCACTGCTATCGCAGTCATTGACCGCCTCGCAAGGCATCGTCAACAAAGACCTTGCGACCTCCGTCGTCTACCTTCTCGATGTCATAACCATCTATGTTCCCGCTCCAATTCTTTGCTCCAAATTCTCTCAGATTCTCGAAAGCCTTGCCCCAGCACTTTCTTTGCCCGAGGTCGAAGCCCCACTCTTGCGTCCGTCGATCGGTTGCCTCGAATCTCTGCTTATCGCCCAGGACGCGGCGGCATGGCAGCTCCCTCACACACAGGTCGGCCCGCGCCGCGCAATGGCAGGTTTGCTGAGTCTCTCTGTTGACCACCGACCTAAGGTGCGCAAGCGCGCCCAGGAGGCCCTTGTTAAAGTTCTCAAGGCGCCCCCACCCAGCCCGTCTCTGGACCACCCTGGTGCGGATATGTGCGCCCAGTCCGCAATGAAGTCTCTGGGTGACAGTATTTCAGCCGTGTCAAAGCAGAAGAAGGGACGCCCCGATGCGCAACGCGACAACCAGGAGCCGCTCATCATTCACTCGTTGCAGCTCATTAAGACTATTGCCTCGGCATCTGGTGGCTGGCCTAGCAAGAAGATCGAGCCTCTTTGCGAGCTCTTGATGAATGCATCCCGCTCTACCAACGAATATATCACCATGGGTGCTTTCGAGGTGTTCGAGGTCATCTTCGAGGGAATGGCTGATGAGATCTCTTCTTCCAAGCTACCCCGTCTTTTGGATGCTATTTCCGAGCTCAAGCCTGCCCAGAACGACTCGCAACTTCTTCCACCTTGGATCGCTGTGCTCTCTCGCGGATACGATGTGGCTGCACAGATCACCCCTGAGGATACCTTTGAGAAGTTGCCCGGTCTTTTCAGCTTGGTCGCTGGCTTCTTGACTTCACCCTCAAACAACATTCGGGTTTCTGCTTCCGAGTGCCTGATCTCCTTCCTTCACAACTGCATTCCCGACAGCGTCATTGTGGACCCCTCTGTCTACGATGAGAAGACCCTCGAGAAGTTGGCTCGCGGAGCTGTCGACTTGCTTTCCGTGAAGTACCAGGCTGCTTGGATGGAGGTTTTCAATGTCTGCTCCGCCATGTTTGACTGCTATAAGTGGCGCTCAAGCCCCTACCTTAACAAGATTGTTTCTACAATCGGCGAATTGCGCAGCAATGGGTCCTTCCACGGAAAGAAGGAGGCTGATGCTGTTATTGGCAGTGCGCTTCAGGCAATGGGTCCCGAGGCTGTCTTGGAAATCTTGCCTCTTAACATTATTGAACAGAAGGCCGGTCAGCCTGGCCGTGTCTGGATGTTGCCCATTATGCGTGACAATGTGACCAACACCAATCTGCGTCACTTCCGCTCCGAGCTTGTTCCTTTGAGCGAGGCCCTTTACCAAAAGGTGGTGACTTTCGGAGCTGCCGAAAAGTCTGTCGAGGTGAAGATCTTCGAAACCCTTGTTCAACAGACCTGGAATGTCCTTCCCGGCTACTGCGAGCTGCCCCTTGACCTTGAGGAGGCATTTGACCAAACTTTCGCCGAGCTGCTGTCAAACGTTTTGTACAAGCAGACTGAGCTGCGTGTCGATGTTTGCCGTGCTCTGCAGAACCTTGTTGAGTCAAATCAGGCCATCTTGACCGTCGAAAAGGAGGAAGATGACCTTATTTTGCAGCGTCGCATCACTAAGGCCGCTGCTAAAAAGAACCTTGCTCACCTCGGCGGCTTTGCAAGCAATTTGCTGGCTGTTCTCTTCAACGTCTACAGCCAAACCCTTCCTCACTACCGTGGATTCATCCTGCAGTGTATTAATGTCTACCTCAGCATTACCCCCGAGAACGTAAGTGATGCTTGGCTTTTCGCAACTGATTCGAACAAATCTGACAATTTTTATAGGAGCTGAATGACACCTTCAACCGTGTTACCTCAATGCTTGAGTCTTCTCTGGTTGCTGAGCAAGAGACAGCGGCCAAGCAGAGCGCCCAGCCCAAGGGTGACAAGATGCCGCCCACCTCTCACACTCTGATTGACCTGGTTATTGCCATGTCAATTTATCTCCCCCGCTCCAGCTTCAGTGGCCTGTTTGCCCTGGCCGCCGCAATCCTCAACAGCTCCTCCCCCAACCCTGACCAGCAGCTTATCAAGAAGGCCTACAAGCTGATTCCCCGTCTCGCATCGACCGAGACTGGCCGTGAGGCCCTCCAGGAGCGTAGCAGCGAACTCCAGGCTTTGATGCTCGCCACCACAGATAGCACCCCCGCTTCCGGCCGCCGTGACCGTATGCTTGCTATCCACGAGATCATTGCTCACCTGCCCACCTCAGACCTCCACTTCATTCCTGCAATCCTGTCAGAGGTTGTCTTGGGCTGCAAGGAAAGCAACGAGAAGGCTCGCACTGCTGCCTTTGACCTGCTGATTCTCTTGGCCAAGCGTACAATCGACTCCGAGCGCAACCCTCCCGGCACCGTCATCCGCAGATCTCTTGTGCCTGGTGTGCCTGAAGACTCCCCCGATGCCCCCGCTACCATTGAGGAGTTCTTCACCATGGTCTCAGCCGGTCTGGCTGGTTCCGCACCCCACATGGTGGGTGCCTCCGTCACCGCTCTCTCGCGACTGTTTTTCGATTTCCAGGCTCAACTCCAACCTGAAATGCTCACTGAGCTTGTCGAGACCGTTGGACTCTTCCTTACCTCCAGCAACCGTGAGATTGTTCGCTCTGTCCTTGGCTTTGTCAAGGTTGCCGTTGTCGTTCTTCCAGATGAGGCTCTGCGTCCCCGCCTGAGCACCCTGGTCCCCAACCTCATGGCTTGGAACAAGGAACACAAGGGACGTCTTCGCAGTAAGGTCAAGGGTATCATTGACCGACTTGTCCGCCGCTTCGGTGCCCCTCTACTGGAAACCCTTGTTGGCGAGGATGACCGCAAGCTCGTTGTCAACATTCGCAAGCAGCGTGAGCGCAGCAAGCGCAAGAAGAAGGAGGGTGCTGAGGGTGAGGGTGATGAGGATGAGGAGAAGGCTTCCAAGCCTCAAGCCGGTAACGCCTTCGACAAGGCTGTCTATGGCTCTGACTCCGACTCCTCCGATGAGGGCTCCGACGACGATGGAAGTGATGTTGACGTCGACGACCTCGCCCGCATCAAGGGCAAGGCTGGAAAGAAGAAGGCTGGACAAAGCAACCAGTACATCCGTGAGATGTCTCCCGAAGACAACCCTCTCGATTTGCTCGGTTCCAACGCTCTTGCCAGTATCTCCACCACCAAGCCCAGCCAACGCTTCCTCAACACCGGTCCCGGCTCTAAGAAGAAGCGCGCCGCCAAGGTTGATGCTGACGGACGTCTTGTCCTCGGTGACGATGGTGACGTCGTTGCTGACGACGTTGAGATGTCCGGTGCTGCCGAGACTGGTGGCGTCAACGCCTACCTTGCTGCCGTGAGTGGACCTGACGCCGTCCGCCGTGGCCAGAAGGGTAAGGTGAGAATGGGCCAGTCGACCAAGAAGAACTCTGGTGACCGCATGGATCTCGATGACGAGGATACTCTGAAGGAAGACATGCGCGCTTCGGGCTCAGGCAAGGGTCCCGGTCGTCGTGGTCTCGGTGCCCCCAAGACCGCTGGCGCCCCTGGTGGCGGTCGCATTGAGAAGCGTCGCAGCCCTGGCAAGGCCCCGAGAGGCAACAACCGCTCGGGATGGGGAAAGAAGAGATAAGCCTTCGATCTTGATATCTTCTGGTGGAATGGAAAGAGGGCAGCCTCTAGCAGATCCTGGTGTTATGTTTTGGGGCAGTTTTTCATGTTACTTGGTTATGATTTACATTCTTGTGAACCATTTTATTTTTCTTCCATCTGCTCTTTTCATCTTTCTAGCTAGTCTTCGGCCCCTTCATGCTTGGTTGGTGCTAGATGTTTTCTCATAATACCCGACGCTGTGGTGATTCCGTTGACTTGGGCTTTCTTTGTTCTGTTTGTGTTTTGATGCAGAGTTCCGCTGTGTCTCTTTCATGATATGATTACGATTGTGTTCAAAAGTTTGTTTTAGTCCAATGGATATAGGTTGACTGTTATCTCGTTTTCGTCTGTTCGTAGCATACTTAGTGAAGGCACCTCGAATTGTCAAAGTTGCGCTGCTTCGGCAATAAGGGTGTTTCGCACGCCCTTCTCGAAATTCTCCCCAGTTGGGTGCCATCCCAGTAGCTTCTTCGCCCGCGAAGCCATTCCTTGGCCATTGGTACCCAATACCACAGCGCCGTGCGGAATAACATCGTTGGCCTCGTCAAGAGTCATAGAGCGCACTGAATCAGCCGAGTCAATGTAGCCAAGGCTGTGAGCTTCTTTGGCAATGACAGATGCAACATCCTTGAAGCTCTGTTAAAAAGCATGATGTCAGTAAGAGGCTTCTAGATTTCCTTGATCAAATCAAGTGAAGACACACCTCAACGCCATTCTCAGCAAAGTAAAGACCGTTCTCATTCCAAAAGGGACCCTCTGTAGCTTTCGCGCCAGCCTGCGCCAGATCCGCGAACAATTGACCCAAATCAGAGACATGAACTGTACCCCATCGGCTCAGTCCCTTGCCGAGGTATAGACCAACCCGCTGCTGTAGCGCGGCTCGCGACAAAGATGGAATCTGAATGCTTCGTTGGTTGACAGGACCTTCTCCAGCTCCGTAGATGATTGGAGGGAAGATGATAGCTGTCTTGGGACCATCGGTGCCCAGGTCGAGAATGTAGTTCTCCACGGGTCGGCGGGTTCTGTAGCTGCGGATGAAGTCCCGTAGAGCTTCGGCGTTGTCGAGGTCATCGAAGATCTGGTCTGATGGTTCGCCATAGGAGTTGTTGTCGATTTCGGGACATGCCAGGACGCTCGCCCCTGTGATTTGAATGTAGTATGCTGAATGGATGTTAGAATTGGCGATTTGAATTCTGGCGTATGAGCTGGCTCCGTGCATAGGGTCTAGCGCCTACCATTTTGACGTCCTGCTAGACCTTTCGCGATCGCTTTGACGCTTTCCATGTGTTTGTTGCTGGCAGCGTCTGGAACATTGAGATTAGAAGTCCGTGATCAAATTCGAAGATCGGATCGCTCACGGATAACAATGTCGGCGTTTCGTGCTTCATCTTCAATGACCTTGGTGTTATCTAGATCTGCAAGCACAATGCAGACTTTAGGATATGCAGCTGAAACCTTGCTGGCCTTTTCTGCATCTCTCACCAGAGCCGAGATGTCATACTTGGGGTTGCTCTGCTGTAGAGAGTGGAGGACTTGGCCTCCGACATAGCCAGTGGCACCGGTGCTGGTATTGGAAGTTAGCAGCGAACTCTTACGACCGCAGTAGCAAAAGGTGATCTACTTACAGGAAGATCTTGGTCATTTTGAGGATTCAGAGTTGAGATAGTTGAAAGTCTTAATGAGAAGAAAGAGGCACACTTATACATCCCCCGCGCCCCCGAAAAGGCAAGTGATTCCGTGGAGACGACCACCCGTTGTATCTCATCCATGAAACATCTCATCTTCAGAGAAAGATTACATCTATCTCAACTCAAGCCACGATTCAAAGGAAGCGCCAAGACATAATTTCAGGCAGCAGAGGGGATGCCTAGACTAGTCCTATTCGGGAGGCAAATTCCTACTTATAAAGACATCCCTCAACCTGGGAAGACAGGGGAGATTCATGTCTTTTCTCAATCTTCCTCGTGAGATTCACCAGCGAATCCTGTCATACCTTGTCTCTGCTCGAGATGTAGCCGCCTTGTCGATACAATGTCGTACTCTGTACTCGATATGCGACATGCCAACGCGCAAACTCTATGACAAAATCAGCATCTATGCAAACGATGAGAGTCTCGACGCAGCATTTGGGCTTCTTATGAAGATCCTGAAACGGCCCATGCTAGGCCAGTACGTACGTCATGTTGAGTCCTGCTCGGCGACTGCTCGGGCCTTGGATTTCAAAGAGACTGCCCCTCAGCGCGGATTGAGCGAGCAAGACACTGCTCTCGTGCGAGATGCCGTGAGAAAGGCTGGTTTTTCGGGCCACAGCGCGGAACGCATCGTCAATATGCTTCTGCAGAGGATGGAACATGCGACAGGGTCATATGGCTTTTTCAAGTAAGAACCGGTTCATGTGTGATCATGTTTGAAGGGTGGACTGACTAGATGAACAGATATTGTGATACACTGGGTACATATATTGCACAAGCTCTTACTGCAGTTCTCATTGCAATCTCGCCAAACCTTACATCGATGGCCTCACCACCGCCCTTTCACGGGCATGGAGAGGAGGCAGTGGTATATCCACTTGTCGAATTTCTTCGTCAAGCCCATTCTAGCACGGGAACAATGCCTTATCTTCAAAATCTACAGAAGGTATATTTGATCAATAAATCCGATAGCACATGGTCCGATGGCCGGTTCTATGTCGAGATGGACTTGCTTGCTTGTTGGGAGTTATTTGGACAGCTCCCATCTATTGAATCGATCGGGGCGGATATTGTTGTGACAGGCCAGAATGATAAGCAGGCACTTGAATGCAAACCCTCCAACGTTAGTAGGATTGCAATCAACCACTCGCATGTTGATTCGAACATACTTGTTCAGTGCATCTCATCTTGCAGAGCCCTCCGAGAGTTTCAATATTCTATAGGGGGCAGAGCGAGCAGTGACGGAAGCTCCCCGCTTATCAATCCCAAGGCACTCATCAAAGCGTTCTTAGGGCACAAAGACAGCCTCGAAATTCTTGATGTTGATGTTGATAATGGGACTCGTCTGGAAGGGGTGGCAGGAGACGAGAATTCTTACGAAAATATGGAGTTTGAACTTGAAAGATATGGGACTCCATCCGAGGAATGGGTAGATCCCGCAGTCATTGAGACTTTACGCTCTATATGGGGAAATCATGGATCCCTCCAGGATTTCAGGTCCTTGAAGAAACTGAGCATCGGCTTACAATTTCTGGTATATTTTGCCAGGGGTGTGAAAGTCAGTGATACCTCCACGGAACCCCCCGAATGGCCCATGGTGGCCGATTGCCTCCCAAATAGTCTTGAATATCTGTGTATCAGAGGATATGAAAAAGGGGAGAATAAAGAGCTTGATACACAGGTGGAGAGATTGATATCCCATTACAAGTCTGGGTCGTCAAACCTGAAAGAGATCAAGGGACTCATGGAAGCGATACCCAATTCCGACACTGTGCACAGCCCCGATGACAACGAGGATTTGTTGTGGTCTCTGACTGAAATGGGCTACGAGAGTGATTGGTGATGCTTTTCCTAGGTTCTCGATATTGCTTAGGAAACCCACACAACGTTTCTGATTCTTACATACAAATCACTATTAATTGAAGTATAATGCTAAAAAGTCACCCCCTCCCCCATAATTCAATGTGACTAATAAGCTAGCGGCATTTTGGCGCTTTTTGGGTATTGGAATTTACATCAAACTTTTGGCATTTTACTTTGGTAATGAATCAGATGAACATTGGAATCATCAGCCCTCGCTTGTTAACCCATCAAAAACCCGATTTCTGCTGAGGGTGTCGTATGTAGGGTCTCCGTATGCACTCAGGGTACTCGAGTCTGCTAGCAATCTGCTACGTAAATCATGTACCCTGAGTGTCCAAGTCCCCCAACTCCCTTGCTCCATCAGATGAAAGTGATAAAACTGCGATAAAAATGGCATGCTTTGATTAAATCTAACTAACAGAGCCCAGGAGCATGAAATAATTCGATTTACTATACTGCCACATAGTAACATTGCGTACTGCTTGCCCACTAATTGAATGATCATATAAGCCAATTTGGGTACATTTCAAGATGGCTGATTAAATCAAAGATGTCTAGCAAGGGCCTCGCTGCAAGCCTTGATCATCTCCTGTTGCATCTTGATCCATTCTGTCGTCCACTCCTTCAATTTTGGGATAGCATCCACATCATCCAGGGACCCTGGATCTTCAAAGTTGTTTAATACATTCTGCACAGCTTTGGTCCCAGATAGCCAGCCAAGAATACCTTTGGAGTCTGTCGGCTCAGGAAGTTCCTTGCTGACATTCAGTCGATAATACTTCTTCGTTTGAACGTGAGGTGCAAACGCATCCACGAGCGCTCGGAAAAGAATATTGGTGCTCTCTGTATTGGTTGCGATATCCGAGAAACTGAACATTGCTTTCTTGAAGTCGAGTCCTGGCTGAGCAACTGCAACGTTGGCACCCATCCCAGTGCCAATACTGAGAAAACAGTCGGTCTCACGAGTTGGACCGTACAAACCGAGAATCTCAGTCCAAAGCCTGCAGAAACAGTATATTAGCTAGAGCCCAAGTTTTCTGATACTGTGGCCACATACCATCCCAGGGGATTATTGGCTAGCAGACCGCCATCTACAAGCTTCACTCTACCGACTTGAATTGGCTGGAAATAGCCAGGAGCTGCAGATGTGGCCCGGGCAGCCTCCCATAACTTGATCTTGGAAAGATCGGGGTCTGGGGGAACTTCGTCATTCGTATAAGAGCGAAGGAAGACAGGCCCACGGTTGCTGGCAGACTCTTCGCGTGTTGCCATCAGGAAGCTGCAGTCGAATTATCAGCCAAAATACTCGTACAAGCCATGATCGAATAAAGTAAAGATGATAGGTCCTTACATTTTACATGGGTTAGCCTCGTCCAAAAGGGAAGCGTCTTCTGCACTCTGCCCTGCTGGTAGTCTTTTGCGAAGCAGGTCCTTAATTACCTTCTCCAGTTGTCCAGCGGAGTAAAACTCGCCCTTTGTAAGATAGTCCAATGGTTTTCCAATATGCGTGTGTAGCCAACCAGAGCCAAAGACATCTTTCATGACTGAGTCGTACGCATCCAAACATTCCTGGGCACTCATCTTCAGCCGGCCTAGCATAATGGCAATCAATCTTTACGGTTAGTGTCGAATATCAGAAGTTCTCCAAAGAAACTCTTCGAAAACTACTTACCCGCCAGTACTAGTTCCACCAATAATGTCGAACACCTCATGTGGTTTCTTATTGGGAGCTGCTCGATCCATGACCTCTTTCAGGAGCATCAGAGAGGAATAACCTCGGACACCACCTCCATCTATGGTATATATCAGCCCAATAGGAATTCAATCGAAGCTAACGATAAAAGGATTCTCACCAAGCGCCAAAACGCGAAGAGGACGTTTCTCATTGCCGGCAAATGTTTCGGCTTTATTCCAGGATGCTTTGATCGTGGGAGCAAATGCCTCGTTCTTTGAATTAACACTGTTCAGAATTTGTTGAATTGCAATGGTGTTTTCAAAGGTTTGAGCATAGCTAGGAGGCGTGTCGATAATTGTAGGTTTACCCATATCGAGCACTAGGCATGCAGCTCTGCCGTATAGCTCCCAGCCAGTATAACGGGCACACACCCGAGCCCCAATACAATTTCCGACCTACTTACCATATCAGCAGAGAGGAATGCCAACAAGGATTTGAGAAGCAGACTCACCTCGAGTAGCCCTAGTAAATCATGTTTTCCTGCAAGGATTTCACCGCCCAACTGTCAAGCCGATTAGTACATGAAGGCCAATTTCAGAACAAAGCACTTGCCCATCCATACTCCTTCGATCCCATATCATTTTTATGACTCTGCCATACCAGATCAACACCCTCTCGGACCCGTGGCGAATCAGATGTCTCGTTTTCATAGAGGGCAATCTCCAACCATGTCCAATTTCCGAGCGCCCGATCATCCACCCAGCCTTGATCGTGTGTATCAGCAAAAAGCTGAACACTCTGGAGTGCTTCTATGGCAGCCTCATTAAGGGGCTATGTTGCATAAGATCCGTTAGTGCTATCCCTCAAGCGTAATATTGAACACGAACCGATGTTTTGAACCATGTTTTTGCCACCATGTCTGATCCTTTCCCGCTCACTAAAGGGTCATTTTCATTTTTTGAAGCTGGCGCGGTGACAATGAATCGACCCTGAGGGAAGAGTGACTTGTCATCGATGGCCCGCAAGGGCAAGGTCTGCAAATTTTGTAAAGACCGAGGCAGAGACATGTCCAATATTTAATAGTATTTCTGTTTACATTATTCTCTTCGCAAATGGCGCTTGGTCTTCTTATTTATATTCGAGCTCCTTCGTGTCAAAGCAAGCAAGGTGGCAATTAGCGACTCCTCCGCTACTCACAGGATGACAAGCAGGCACGAGCCAAAGTCTGTGCGTCATCAAATGATTCAAAGCTGAGCTTCATTATGAAGGTTCTTTAAGCGATAGGATCAACGGAGCTAGAAATGACCCATGTATAGTTGCTGGCTGGGTGCGGCTGGGATAGGCTCGTATTCGGTTCAGGTGAGAGTCCACAAAGTCAAAGAATAGAAAGCGCGTCAGACTAGACACCCTTTTCAGCCTCAGCTTCACGGAGTCCACTTCCGCGGGTGGCCCCGGTGCTGTACCGTGGTTAAAGGCCCGTTTGTGACCTGAGGCCGCATGGTTGAAAGGTTAACCTTTCGTCAGTAAGCAGGAAGCAGGAAGCAGGAAGCAGTAAAGCTGGCATGATCGTACAACTGATGAATCAATCTACGACAATTCGAACCAGCTTGTAATGTCAGAAAGTGAGCCGAACAGGGGCCTATGTCCTAGTGGACTCGCGTAATCAAATGTAACAGGTTGTCAATTTTCAAGTATCAAGGATATGGACAGAACAAGAACCAGAAATGCACAATTAGCTACCTGCAATCAAGACACCGACACCGGCGTGAATCCAACCATTGTACCATTAGCACTCGACATGGTCAACTTCAAATCCTGTACAAAAGGCCTGGAATCCCGGCTCTCCATGGCCTCAAACTCTTGCATAATTCTGACAATTGTGTATCCAGCCTCAGTCAGAGCAAATTGTTGGCCAAGGCAGATGCGAGGGCCTCCATTAAATGGCAGAAACGCCCAGCCGGGTCTCAGATTTTCCCATCTCTCGGGGCGATACTCGTCAGCATCGGATCCGTAATATTCAGGTGATCGGTGCATAGTGTATACGCTGTACATGATCTCGTAGCCCTTCGGAACATGTACCGGGGATTTTCCGTCTGGACCACCACCGACAGGGAGGTGCGTGTCCTTCCTCGCCCTTCGAAGGTTGAAGGGAACAATAGGATATAAACGTAAGGCTAGGATCAACTTAGTATGTCGGGAAGAACCTCTCTAGAAAGGCGCGGACTTACTCTCGTTTAGGACCCACGATAGATAAGTCATCGACTTCAAATCAATGAACGTCGGACGACGTCCTTCCAGAGCGAGTACATCCTGTCGAACCCTATTCCAGATCTCGGGATTCTTTGCCATCAGGAAGAAGGTGATACTCAATATGTTGGCAGTTGTATCACGACCAGCTAGCAGAATACTCAGCAACTGATCTGTAAGTTGTTTCTTATCGAGCGTTTCCTTGGAAAGCTCAAAAGAAAACACATATTGTTTATCCATGAGCTTCTGAATCTCCTCGGGGACCTTTTGGCCATTATTGACAGAAATTCGATAGTCGATCGCTTTCTGAACCAAGCGCTCAGCGTACGTCCGGGTCGACTTGATTGCTTTCCAAAATTTGGGATTATAGTAGAAATGCATCAGAGGCCCAAGCCTGATGCGTGTTGCAGTTCCTCCTTGAGCGATATCCCACTCTTTGGCAAATGTAGAGCCGGAGGCAGACGAGCTAAGATCTGCCAGGGAGTTGGTCGATTCTCCAAAAAGGAACTCCGTTGCCGTGTCGATGGTCTGTTCTTTGTTAGTAAAATAGATATCACGAGAGTCTGAATGTAATCACCATTCTCAAAAACAGATCCTGCATATCAACCGTGGACCCGTCTCGGGGGATGTGCTTGATGAGTTTGGCAACGTGAGACTCATAAATATCAGTATCGGAGACTCTAGTACGAGAAAAGTTGGGACGGAGCATAGCACGCGAGTGCTCCCATTCGCTCCCATCCGTAGTAAAGACGTTGGAGCCAAGTAGAGGACGTGCTGCCTCGTTGCGAATGGGTCCTAACTCAAAATCCTTGAACTTAAGAGCTAGAACAGTTTGAATATTTTTGGGCTCGGCTGTGAAGATCACTTTTCGCCCGCCCATCTTCGCTTTGAACGTAGTGCCATACGCTCTATGCCAGCCACGGATGAGCTCCGTGAATCGGAATTCGGTTCCAGCCTTGACCATTGAGAGAATCATACTAATACCGAACGGACCGTGTGCGACACTATGTAATGGTGGCTTGCAGTCATTCTCACGAGAATATTTCCAACCTAGAACAGAGGTTAGAACTCAAGTATCGGTCTTTGGGAACTCAGTGTTTTGTACTTTGGAATTCTCGTGCGACTTTCAAGGAAAGGAAGGTGAAAGCAACAGCAATAGCTACGAGAGCATAGAGTGGAACATTCAATATATCAATCGAAATTGGAGCCATACTTGCAAAGCTCATCTGCAAACAAGTCTTGAATTAATGTTCAAAAGAAGCAACAGACGATAGAGGTGAATTGCATGAGTATTTGTATCGAGGCTACTGGTTTGACCCGGGGTGACATGAACATTTCATCACGAGCTGCGTTGTACTTTAGCAGTGAAGACCCCTCAATTGACTAGGCTTAGCTAGGGAGATGCATTCATTTTGGGCAGTATCAGTGGTTTGGGATTGGCCATAGCTCCAATGGTGGTCGAGACCTGAACTCCTCTGCCTTCTGGGGGATGGTGAAAGACGCGAGTCTTCTGCGGCTAACAACTTCGCTTGGAGTCGACCCACTGGGGATTTTTCCCAGTGTCTGGGTTATATTTATCCATCAAATAGCCCGTGCATGCAATATAAACATGGTAGGGCTATGTGGAACTCCAAGCGATAAGACATGAGACTAATGCATTCGCGGGAGAGGGAGTTGGATTTAGTGCACTGGGGCGGGCCGGCAGCCTTATTACAGTAATGATCTGGTGGATTAGGATCTTCATTGGGGCTTCTAGCTTTGACATGATTCGAAAACCCGCAGCACTCTCTCCAAAGAGGTAGAAGCACGACAATGAAACGTCAAATGCACGTTTTGTTTGGACGGCTATTCAGCGCCACTAACGATGATGCATAAGCCAAGACAGACATGCCTTAACGCTAAGACATTGACGTGGAACCAGCAAGTGCGTAACATAGCAGCAGTGGGCTCATGTATTGAGCGGGGGTGTCGTGCATGTCGCATAGCGAATCAAGAAGGCCAAGTAGGTCATGGCAAGTACAGGATGATACTAGCCCTTATATCAAGCCAACAAAAGTACTAGCGATATTATCACAACTAACGCCAGCCCCGCAGCAAGGACGAAATTTCAACAGAAGCCCTCGACTCCGACATCATACAGCTACCGGAGCTGGAGTTTCTTTCAAATCTCCCATTCGCTTCTCCGTGGTCTCGTCTGTGGTTGCACTAATCGCATTTTTCACGACAGGATAGAAATTCACAGTTCCATCGCCTTGGATGACCCCTGTTCGATCCAGAACAGTCCGGGCTCGGACGTAAGGGTCAAGCTCCCAGTAGTTTTGTCGTAATTTGTCAACGGTCTGATTTCGGCTTTCCAAGTCTGTCTTGGGATCTGCAATCCATTGTGTGGTTAGACTAAAAAGTCTAGCACCAATGGTATCTCTTTCTGTGAGAATGACATCCCGCGCGGTGATATCGGCCAATTTGTCGTTTTCGCCGGCGACAGGCTCCACGTATTCATATTCCCAATCTTCCTCTCCACCAAGTTCCTTCAAAATATGCTCGCGAGGAATCAGTTCTTCAAGAGCTTTGGCGCCAGTGATAAAATGTACTTTGGCGGCAACTACGGGATCAAGTATGCCGTTGATCAGTTTCCAGAAGCTGCTGAAGATCCAAGGGGCGTTATAGAAGATCATCGCCCCAAGAGACTCGGGATAGTTCTCCTGGAAACAGTCGATGATAAACTTCACTGGCGGGAATTCCCAATTTCCAAGCGTGAATGAAGTGAGATCGAAAACAATCGCCATAGATTCCACGGGCGGAACCTGAAGAAGTCGAACAGTCTCAATGCACTGGATAATAAAATCATTCAGTGCCTTTTGAGTCTGAGTGCTTGGGTCATGAGCTCGTACTCGAACAACACAAATTGGTCGACCCATTTTGTCACAGCCATGGAAGTGACCTTTTCCGGTGGTGGCCTGCAGTATGAAACCCTCCCCATCCTTTTTGGCAGATGATTGTGTTTCCATTTGCGATTGTTCAAGTGCGTATGCTTCACCCTTTGCCAAAACTTCTTCATCCACTTTATACTCATTGACCCGCCAGTTCAAAGCCGAGACCAACTTGATCCACGCTTTGGGGATATTCCATTTTTCTGCTCGAAGAAAGCGCAAAAGAACAGCGTCAGGGTGGTCTTGTTTGAATAGAGCCAGAAGCGCCGACCGAAGCCTATCGCCTGGAAGCTTCAATAGGAGTGTCTGGATAGTCTTCGTCTCGATTGGGCTTGCGTTCAAGCCTTTGACGGTAGTCAACAGTTTAGCTGGGATGGCCGATGTCTCTGACTCGGTGGGCTCTGCCGGTGCCCGACTTAGGGAGAACAGTCTTCGATTAGCCTTGGGCGCGCTGTCGGGGTTTACTGCTGAGGCTCCATCGGGGCTGGGTACTTCTTCATCCCAAGACTGAATTAACATTCTCCAAAATTCCCGAAGCTTCTCCTCCTCGGACGTGGTGAGATTTCCGACATGGCCAGTTTCTGTCACGGACGCCATGGCGTGGGGTGCTTCGGGGCTAAGGTCTCCAAGGGGGACGTATTGTATAACAAAGCTTCTTTATCCCCAGAACGCAAACTTATAGGTTGGCCGACTGCGATCTCGTGTTTCACAGACTGGAGTGTCGAACACCTTCTGAGATTGACTCATCACAGCTGAAATGCCTTCAGGGGCATATGTGACGGGCTCCTGCAGTAGCCCCGCATAAGCAGCAGCTGAGAGGGGTAATCAGCGCTCTCGTGTTGGTCCCCAAAAGCGCTGAATCTGTGTTCATCCTGAAGATCTTCGGGTTATGGTTTGCAATGGTTGCGGGGTCTTCAGCCTTTGTTTCAACCGAGGTGGCTGTCGGCATGTGGTAGGTTTTCATAACCTCGCAACCTAGGTCCGGGCGTGTATGCAATATGCAGGATGAGATAGAAGCGAATAAAAAGATGAAGGATATATCTGTTGAGGATTTTTCCTTCTCCGTTGGGTCCAACTTAGATGATAAGGAACAAACAAATAAAGAGAGGAGGTGGTCTTATTATATTATTGATGATCTTGAATAGATGAATGGTTATGTCTCAAAGCTTGAAGTCCAACATTCAGATAGAATATCCCCATGTTGCCGCATCAGCAACTGAAGGGCCATACTCGAAGTCTGCGATCCACCGATGGTCACATCAAGTGACATCAGACCCTTCATCAGAACATCGAGCTGTCGGTCCCATGTTCCATCGGGAATGAGCATGCCACAGCCTTGCTCGAAGAGATCAGCGTCTTGGCTAAGATGAATTTGCTGTTGAATGACACCCTCTATCGCCTTTTGAAGGGCTGTCACCGCTAAACTTGGAGTGACATGATAAGCCGTGATCGGAACTTCTGCGCCTAGACCATTTTGAAGATTGAAAGCCTCTTCCATAGGAAGAGTGAGTACACATTCAACGGTTTGGGCAACAAATGATGCAGCCTCTTGTTGGTACGTTTGGATTATAGGAACGAATCGCTGCTCGTCCGAGTCATTAATATATTGACAGGCGTTTTTGAAGACGTCATCAAGGTGGAATATCCCCAGGCTCCAGAACATTACAAGAGAAACTTTGAAAAGTAAGCACAAGTTGGCAAATGGATACTCAGAAAGAACTCGCTCACCAATAGAAATCCTCGGGCAGGTGGAGAGATAGAGAAATATCCTGATAGAATGAGCTAGAAATGGTTGAAACGACGCATTCAGCTGGTTAATGGCTGCGATGCTAGAATTTATGGCCTCGACAATCGCGTGTTGATGCTCGGGAACAGAATTTGTCGAGTTCATAGCAGAAGTATTGATTTTGATGATCTGCCTCCAGACACAGAATGTCTCCGCGCTGGCTTTTAGGCATATCGCCTGAACATGACTGTCAAATTCTAGTATGCTTTGACAGGTAGTCCAAGCCGTCATAGACTCTTTGTTTGAAGCGACTTTGCATTGTCAGCTATGTATGTATAGATGAGCAGTTTTCCTACCTTTTTCAAGCCCCCAAAGATCTGGAAGCTTGCATTGCCGATCCATGGACAACGCCGCTCCTGTATCGCGGATGTACGCAGTCCAGCGAATGATGTTCAAACTTGCCTCTAAAAGACTACTATATGTGGAAGATGATCCTAGGTTCTTGCGATATTGTGTTAGAAGCCCATCCAAGTCGCAAAGCTTTTGCAGAGCCGAGTCGAGAAAGTTGGGAGGCACAAAGCCCTCCATCTCCCTTAATTTGGTTGGAGTCACAATGCCGACAAAGGTAAGTGTTGCAAGGATGATGCGAAATGATTTCACGTGGCGAACATCCTCTAGAAGTGCACGAGCTCGGACCCACGCATCTGTAAATGCATTCAAAGTTGACTCGGGTTCCGTGGAATTATCTCTGTCAGACACTGGCAGCCATTGCATCGAGAATGCAAGAAGGACTGCCTTTAAGACTGCATCGGACTTTCTCCGTGCATTGGAGTCCAATCGGTTGCCGTAGAGATGACTGAAATGATCCAAGAATCGAATGCTCCCAAGAAGAGAGATCTCATGAACGATATCCTCATTTTCCGGGTTTGAAGGGACAGGTTCTTGAAGAAGATTGTTGCTTGGCTTATCTTCTGGAGTATTTATTGATTGCGCAGGCGGCGACGCGGTTGAGCTTCCATAATGGCCTTCTCCGATTCTGTAACGGTTTCCAGCCGTTGCGTACAGATTGCAATCATATTCGAGAAATCTACACGAGCTGGCTGTTGAGATTGCGTCGTATATTCGGGTGAGTCTATCACCGAGTATCTTGGCGTCAATTCCAGAATTCAACAAATATATTGGACTGTTGAATGATAGAGGGACGTTTGGTGCATTCTGAGTCATGCGCATTCGATTGAATGAAAGTGAGCGTTGGTTATTGAGCTCAATGTATGGCGTAGCTGAAGTATCGGACCAGGCTGGTACGAAAGGCGGACACACCAGCTTACTATTCGATAAAGATGTGGTGTGATCGTCTGGAGCCTGTTCAAGATCCAAGTTAAGCCAGGATGCCAGTATATCTTGACCAGCCACGGAAGTTGCATCGAACTGAATTTCCGGACCGCCGGGTAGCCCCTCGATCAGCCCGTCAAAAATATTCGAGTCATCGCGTTCAATTCTCTCTGTTGTCTCTGCAACTTGGGTTTTCTGTTTCCTGCTGATTGGGGATGTAGGATGACGCTTCGCAAACTCGAATGTACAATGGTGCTTCAACCGTTGGCAGTTCGTGCATATCGTTCCAGGCACTCCATTAACGTCAATGCTTGGCACGAAACAACGTCGCTTTGAACGTCGGCACCGGTCACAACTGGTATTTTGGCGCCGCTGTGGTTTTGAAGATGATATAAACGCCTGCGAAACACTCTGGTCCCCTGGCATTCCGTATTTACATATGTCAACGAGGAAACAACGCCGATGAGGTTATTCTTATGACGGCACGATGATGATCCGTTCCGTCCCGTGTGATGCCTGAACTATGAGGCGTCACTTGCAGGTTTCAATAACTATGACAGGAGACATCTTCTATCGGTTCGTATAAGCCGCTCCAATATGAAGCAGAAGCAACGGAGTTGTCTCCTTCGGACCTTTGATGAAGCACTTCCATGATCGGGAACTCAATCGGGTAATATCAAGGCGGCGAAGCTATACCCCATTAGGTTTCCGACTGAGCAAGCCACCATCCACATTGGCTTTCGATTTCTTTATATTTCTTCTCTATTCCTTCTGTTCTTTCTCTATTGCACGGCATTTATCGTCTATCCTATTTGTGGAGCTAAGAGAGAATACAAGTCTAACGTTCCACAGCTCCGTTGACTTGATCCAGGTCTCATCCGAATAATTATAACTTGGTCAAATCAGGCGTGCATTACTTGAACCATGGCTGGAGTCAGAACTTACGAGCTGTCTGAGGCAGACAAAAGGGGGTTCACAAAAACGGTGAAAGTTTTGATCTGCTATGAGCTTCAGTCCATAGCTGATCCAGACGATGTGATCACCTCCATCGTGCAAGGCGTGAGAAACGCGACTCACCAACTGCCCTTCATGGCAGGGAACTTGGAATTTCAGAAGTCCGGCAAGCTCTGCATTGTAGTGTCTCCAGAAGATCAGGTTGAAGTCAACATCCGGAGATTCGGATCTACTGAGCACAAGCCTTTCTCCATGTTGGCCAAGAATTCCTTCTCCTCAACTGACCTGGACCTAACTCAACTATTGCCTGACGAGGCCATAGGCAAGAAGGGTGTCTGTGCATTACATCTGAATCTTATTGAGGGTGGTCTCATCATGGGCTTCCGAATGAACCATGCTGTTGGGGACTGGGCGTCGATCAATACATTCTTGTCTCTCATTTGTCAAAGCACTAAGGCGCACCAAGCTGGACTTGATGGTCCAACATACACCCCAAATCTGAACAGAGCACCTTATAATACCCCAGCTCCGGACCCGTCTTTGTCAAGGGAAGAACTACTCGAAAGCCTGCCAATGTTTTATGTCATGAACAAGAGCGATTTCAAGCCCCCACCGCCGCCCCCGGCTTTCAAGTCGAATATCTACAAGATCAAGGAGCGAACGATTCAACAACTCAAATCGCGCTGTGTTCCGTTCCTGGGAGATGTTGACTATGTCACCTCTTATGATTGCATTGCTGCCCTCGCCTGGAGGTCAATCACACGAGCCCGGCTTGGAGTCCACCCAGAGAAATCCAGCATGTTGTCACGTTTCGTTCACCCCATCGATGTCCGTACAAGGGACCCGGATCAAATGACAAGTAAGAAGTACTTTGGCAACGCCGTTATCGGATGCCAAGCCGACCCTGTCACTGCGCGGGAATTGGTAGCGGATGGAGACAAAGACTATGCGACCACGGCAATCCTCATCCGCAAGTCCATATCTAAAGTTAGCCTATCCACAGTCGGACATATGACGTCTCTCATTGGATCTCTCTCTCCGGCAGAGACGCTGGGCAGCTTGGCAGATTTCTCTGACATGGACCTTCTGATGAATACCTGGTATTCGGGCAAGGCAGAGAATTATGATATTGGAGCTGGCTCTGTCCCTGTCGCAGCTAGACTGGAGGCAGCAGGAGCCTGTGCAATGATTTTGCCAGATTTCTCGTGTGGAGGGGAGCGAACCTTTGAAATCTTCGTGCAGTTACCCGTTGAAGAACTTGATCTATTTGAGAAAGATGCAGAGTTCTCAACTTATTTCGAGCCTGTTGTGTGAAATCGATGTATCAAAGGTGATTTTATGCATAGTTTCGTCTCTTATCGTTCCATACATTGACTTGCACGCATCTAATCCAATCTATGGTGTAACAAACGGCTGAACCCTTCAAACTCTTCTTCAAAAAGAACGAGACCTGTTTGAATTTATGCAGCGAAGCAAGGTTGATTTGTTGTCGTCCGTGTTTTGCTCAGACATGAGAACAAGTAAGCCGTGGTTGGATGAGGAGGAAATAGGAAGACTGGCAGTCACTAACTTTCTTTCTGTTTGCTTTTAAAACCTACGAAGATCTTTCTTCATCGCCTGAATCAGCTATGATTGTGGATTTGGACTCGCCAATTTGTTTGGACTGAATGACTGATCCAATCAATTCAGTGCGGGAACTTTTGATACAAACACAGAAAAATGAAGTTGTTCTATCTCGATCATTCGCATATCCGAGCAACTTTGTGAAATTCGCCATAGCTCTCATGATATAGTACTATGGGTGAAGCGTCCTACCAGTCTTCAAAGCGCTACGGCCGCGGAGCATTGGGCTTACCTACCAGTTTCTCATCAAACACATGGTAGACAATATTCTCATCCTCAGTAACATCACCCAGGTATAGAACGACAGTATCTCCATGGTTCTCAGTGTATTTGACGTATACTGAACCAGTTACGCGAGTATGTCAGTCTCATGGCAGACAGCTTTGGGGGTATGAAACATACGCTTGCGACGGATGGATCTTTCCGGTGCAAGATCCCTGCCATTCACCTTGATCGGATCAAGGGCGTCTAATGGATCATTGTCGAACTTAACCGGATGAACATCGAGCTATTCAAGATCGTCAGAAGCCTCATCCAAAGAATATCTACGACGCACGAAAGATACCTTTACAGCGTGGGTGTCATTCTCGATAAGGCATTTGTCGGTTGTCCAACCACTTGAAGAGCTTTCACCGTAAGTGTTGTAATACGTCAAGGCATAACTGTGATATCACGTCAACTTTGAAAAAAAAAAAAAAAAAAAAAAAAACACTGAGAGCTTGCACATTTTAAGCATTATGAGGGTTTGAGGCAGGAAGAGAAGAACCTACTGCAGTTTCTTCCCAAAAAACTCCTCCTTCAGTGAAATGGACTTAGCCTCTGGCGTTTCCTTGGATTTGACAACAGTGGCTTTGACGTGATCCTGCCCTCTTGGAAGATTCTTTGTCGGAGCCACGGGAACTCTACTGTTCCACTGCCGAACTACTGCGATTTAGTGTCTCGCTCAGCCGGGGGCTTGACTGACCACTCACTGCTTTCTTCAAGATGATTCATCACAGCGTGAGCCGGTCCGAGGTTGAACTCTAGTGCCTGCACTGCGTATGTCTTCCATAAGCTATGAGCGAGGGTGATAACGTTGTCATCAAACACCAAAGCCTTTTGAGACCTTCAATCACGATAAGCAGGGGATTCCTCGAGGCTGAGAGAATTTTCACGCACTTAACGGATGATTGGTCTTTAACGCCAAGCTCCACCATCAGTTTCATAAGAGGAATCGAGCCGACTGATAACGTTGGCCAGTCGTCTTGGATGTATTGCGGCTGGCTGTTTCCCGGGTTGATTATTTTGATCATTCCTTCTCGGTTCACTGGTACATTTTTGATAAGGGCTTGGAGCACATCGCGCGCGTTGATGGCGTCCCTCCGTAGCTTCGCGTAATGATGAGTTCCTAATCGCGGGCATGAGATTGAAAATTGGCAACATACCTCATTGATGTCATTGTTCAGGTTATTCACAGTGTTGAGGTAAGCCACTTGAGAAGATCAGTATCCTTTGACGCATTCCTTAATAGGCCAGAAAGTGGCTACTTACGCCATTTTTGGCCGACAAACAAGGCTCTTGCGTAAATGCCTCGGGTGACAACAACCCTATAAAGGAGTTTAGCTTGCACTTTGCGTTCGTATCATTAGACGGCTTCATAACTCACGCCTATGCAATGCGAGTTAGCCATGGGTTTCGCGCTTGATGTGCTTCCGTTAGCGAACATGGCGAGCTCACCTTGTCATATATCAACAGCCAATGGATACCAAGCAGATAGAGGTCAAGCATTTGTTGCGAGAGTGGGGGATCGAGATTTGCAATTTTGGTCTCAATTTGCACGATACATTGCTTGAGCTTGCTTTGGACACTCGGGAGATTTTCATGATCATGAAGAAGCGCCTTGATCTTTTCAGGCCCATCCTGGGCAGTGACAGAAAGTTTCAGCTGGTTCATTTGAAACCATTTTCTAATTATTGTCAGTGTTTGCTGTTTATCAACGTCGAGGAACCAGCCTTACACCGACTCACGAACCACCATAAACAATTCGTCATACTCGTCTATTGCCAGCGCCTTCAGTGTTTCCTCCATGTTTAGGTCCAATTTATCCTGGAAATCCTTTTTCATTTCCTCGAAATTTTCACGGAGAGTACTTTTTAAGCCCTCGGCCGTTTTCAAGACTGATTGGATTTCGTCATTCTGCCGCTTGAGTTCGACCAGGACAGGGGTATTCAGCTGTTCAAAAGTCGGTGGTTTAGGCTCCTCGCCGGCATTTGGAGCAGTGTTGTCTTTGCTAAAAATCACTTGAACTGCGGGAATGGCACTGTCGATGATGGGTCCTACGAAAACGTATCAAACATTCGGACACATACTATCAGGTGAAAGAGTAGAAGGCGATCATGTACGTACCAACTCCAGGCACTGCATGGGCGATGATTCCCCCGAGGGGCGCAAGAGCCTTGACAATCGGCGAATGTGAGACCTGTCGAGGGAAGAATTCCTCGTCAGTTACTCACACTTCTTATAGAACTAGGCCTCTTACTATGTTTTTCACGGCTCCAACAGCCTGACTGAGGAAGCTTCCAAAACCCATCTTCTTAGAATAATCTCGCGCACAAGCAGGAACCGTATCAACTTAGTCAATTACGGCGAAATTTCGGCTTCAGCTCTGCCAATTCCGAGGGCTACCTGGATCTTATACCCAAATGCTATACCCTCCAGTGATCACTTGATCTAGCAGTCAAAATTAATACCACCAATAATATAATTCGACTTGCCGCGAGCTAAGTCTGCATTTATGCTTGATCTTTTCACGAAGACCTGGCCTCGGCGTTTTGAACCCATAACGGAGTATACGCATGTGCGGAGCGGGTGATGGTTGGTCAAACTACACTGTGCGGTGTGACTGGTCAGAAATCCATCACGGGCGTTGAAGATCTCCACGGCGAGGGATAGAATGCCTTATCGTGGCTTGTATCATCAGAAAGACACAGGTATGGGCCAATAATACTTTGATTTGGCAGTTTTGATACACCAGGACGATACTAGCTCGTGGTGAGCTTCGGCGTCGCCGGTTGCTGGCTGCCTGGGAGCTTTGGTCTAAATTTAACTTTCAGCTGGCCAGAACATTTTCGCCACATCCGAGCAATAACACTCGATGTCTGAAATATTATGGTCATGTTCGCCGACAAAGCCATAATTTTTAGGCTCAATTTTAGGCTCAAGTTGCGGGGGGTGGCGCCGCGTATGATTGCCCAGGGGGGACGGCGTCCCCGAGTCTCCTGCATCGAGTCCTCTGCGCTAGATACGGCGCCACTGCACACATTCTGCAGAAAACTGGTCGAAGCGGAGGAGAAGCAAATGGCTGACGACCGAGCGGCTAACGAGGCCGAGTTGTAGGTGCGTTGTGTTGTGAGGAATATTGTTAAACAAAACAATCACGATGCGCTCATATGCAGCTTATTGGCATCCTCTCCTTGTTGGAGGTGTCTTTATAATATTTAAATATCTAAAAAGGGGAGATTTATCGCAATACATTCAAATTACATAGCTTCAAGCTTTGCCGCCAATCCAACAAGGGTCTAAACCTTCTCACCCGCGGCCCTGCGAACACAATCCACAATGAAAGTCGGGTTGCTCATGAATGGAGAATGACCTTCATCGCACTCTTCCACATCGAAGCACCCCTCGCCTTGGGCGATCATTCTGCGCTGCACTGGCGGGGGCAGTGCACGGTCGTTGTTGCACACAATGTATGTGCTTGGAATTTCCCGGTAAGCAGTATAAGTGACAGGAACAGCCAATGGACCCGCGGGGAATGTTCCGAGCAGTGACACAGCTCGATCAATGTCTTTCTGCTCGCAGCGGTTATAGAAGACCATGTGAATGTGCTGCTTAGGGAGGGAAATTGCTCCATCCTGAAATAGTCAGTAAGTGTAAGTCATATGAATGCTGTATTAGAAAGTGATCATACCGGTGAAACCTCCATACCACCCAATTGAGCCTGCATTTCCTGACGCTGTCGCTCGATATCCTCCTCTTCGGGTGAAGAAGGCACCATCTGGCCGAGATGGGTCTGGCCCTCCGGCAATGCCATAGCGCACATGTAAATAAGCTTAATAACACCTCCATTTAGGCCTTGCGCCTCACGCTCTTTCTTTCCGAGACCTTTGACAGCCTCGGACATTGAAATACCTCCGAACGAGTGAGCGAGCGCGATGATATCCTTGCCGGCATCCAGCTTTTCGAGAATCACTTGGCGGATAGCTTGTGCATCCTGATCCCAGCTTGGTAGAGGAGGACTTGAGTCAACGCAGGGGAGAGTAACTCCGACAGCGTCGTAGTGGGCCTTGGCGAGCTCATCGATCAGGCCTTGGAAATGGGCAGGTCGGTGCCAGGCGCCTGGCACAATGACGACAGTGGGGTTGGGCATCATGGAATTTGGTGTCCTTGAAAAGAGTAGGAGAGAAAATATACTTTGACTTGGATGTTATTCAAAGAGGTAATAAGAAATGAACTTATATACCCTGATGTAACTATACACAATCTGATCGGAGCCGCACCCCAAGTCGCCACCTCGGAGCCGCCTCACTGAGGACTCTGATTGGTTCCGATTTCGTCCATCGGTTCCGCCATTACCCACTTGCGGCGTCTAGCAGACAGTAGACAACTGTGGGAAAGAGTGCAGAATTTGATTTGATTCAATGTTTTCTAATCTATACCTCCGACTGGTTGAGTCTCAGGTTACACATCTTAGCATGTGTAAGGTTTTATTCAATGAAGGTTCTGGTCTACAGTATTCCCTAGCAACCGGACTAATTATTTTCTCTCGGTATTACATACCGCAGTTGTGGAAGTGATATTCTAGGAATGCACTTTGAGACTTGACCACTTCAATGTCTGTAACACTGGAAATAATTTCACTTCAATGGGAGGCAGCTCTGTGGATATCAAGAACCTCCATCCAAGGATGAAAGTAAATATCCCGTGTAACTACCTATGCAAGTCATCTGTTTAAAATCAGAAACTTTCCCATAGCCTGGAATCCTAGATCATCGGGCAATTTAAATTGTTTACGCAACTCAAACTTTCAATATGGCAGCAGCTTGTTCTGATCAACCTGGCAGTCGTCTCAGCTATTCCAATTTCAAGCAATACAAGCGCGACTCATGGTATCAGCGTTGCCGATGGTCTCAGTGGATGCTATCGATTGTAAGCACTACTTGAAATGTATATGGCTCAATACGTATGATATACTATACTTATATGGATGTAGTTCCGATCCTGGCTGTGGTGTCAATGGGACTTATTGTCAATGTGCTTATGGTAAGCAAATGGGTCCTCGATCAACGAATAGCCATCCTCTAACTATTGCTGGTATCAATATAGGGCGCTTTTATGTATTGAACCGTGATACTGAGGACTGTGATCCTCCCTGGGCATATCTTGGGAACTCAGAGAGATTTCTCCCAGGATTCAGGTGCTAATTGAAAACTGCCGGTCTATGGCTCTTATAGTGGTTGAAATGAGTGTGTTGCTTATGTATCAAACTGTCATTGAACAGAGTCTTCATAACAGACACAATACTATGCGTGAATTTCATTACTTGGCATTCACAATACTCTCTCCGCGGCGCTATAACTTAATGCAAATATCTTGCACAAGCAAATACTGGGTTTCATTTTCCATACATTGAGCTTCAAAACATCCTCCCCAAAAGCTCATGATGCCAATAAATTAGCTGCATGTTAGCGAAACTCGCAGAAGAGTAATTTGCTGCAAAGTGCAGTCTAAATTAAGCTTCTCTGAATATTGGCCTATATCACTGTCTCCAATTAGTTCTCAGGGGTGCTATCTACCCGAAAGAAGAAGTAGATAGTCTGACGGAGAACGCGGCATACGCTAGAGGAAATATATGAAGAGATCTATTTTGAGGGATTCAAGGGAGCACATAGGGCTGAACTTTCCTTCAATCCTTGACATGGCCTCCCCTGGCTCAACTTGGGCAGCTGGAAGCCCAAGGTCACAGTGCTAGTAACTACGTCACTGCGATGTCACCCATTTCTTCACTCAACAAGCAAGAGAATCGTAACTTTTCACCTCTTATTTCCAATTGTAGACTTTGCACATCCAGAGCGATCAATTATTCATGTTCATTTAAGTTGCCACCTAACTCTGGCGCTGGCGGCTTTTCTTCCGGAAGTGTCGCCCACTTCGATTTAATGATCTGCACGCAACCGTATTTTCCGCCTATCAATTTCTCTTGTTTGACTCAATCGCAGATCGATATCAAGTTTTTGTGTCCAATGGTTCGAGTAAGTGTCATATCTTCGATTGATACTTGATTTTCTGAGGAATGTGACCTCGTTGAATCTGGAACCCAGGGAGATCGAGAACCGAGATGATGTAACAATGAAACCAGTCCGGGGATTTTGGTTTCTTGCCAGTTATTTTGTGTTTGTTTCAATTGTCAGGGTTTCTTGATCTTAAGATTTTCTCTGCAACTACATCTTTCGAACCCATCTCGCAATTTCGAGTTACAACCATGAGCTATCTCCGCCAGTCTGTTCTACACGCGCCAGTGTCACGGCCTATCCGTATCGGAACTGTTGGGCTACGTCCAAGTCAGACAGGGACTAGTCGGAGATGTATGGCTACTAGCGGACCAGAAAGGCAACAAGCTGTTCCCCGATGGTGAGTCTATCTTCCTGTCTTCTTCCAGAGAGATCTCCTACTTATAAATTTTCCTTGACTAGGTTAATAGCCTCGCTCGGACTCGGTCTTCCGACCTCGTTCTACTTCTGGCAAAGAGGGGGCAAACAGAATCATAAAACCAACGTCGTTCGCGAAGAACAACGAGAATCAGTACGAGGAGCGAATCAGGAGTACACCAATGGAGCAGAGGGAAATGAAGGCAAGCCAGGTCTCAAAGGAAATAACCCTCTCTCGTTTGACGATGATAAGGTAAGCTAATTTCAAATCTGCTTTCTCTTCCCTCGAACTGCGTATTTAACTTTTGATAGCCTCGAGGCATGGGCTCCCCTGGTGGCCCAAAGACCATGTCTTTCAAGCAGGAAGGTCTCTCCAATGCGGATGCCATGCATCCATATGTCAATGATCCCGGAAAAAGCAAAAAGGGAGAGGGCGAGACTGAGACCGTGAAGGTCAAGGGTACTGTGAGGACCGATAGGCCACAGGTGTAATGAAAGAGATTTATCGATTATATAGCAAAGATTATTGATGGATATCATTGCGAATATAGAGCAGAAGAAAATGACCGATGCCATGTACTTCACTAACGGCCAGTATTCAATTACTACCGATAGCTTGAGTCTTTCTCTACCCACAAACCCTCTGGACTGTTTTGTCATCAGTTCATTTTTGATGAACAATATCTATTTTCATCCTAATTAATCATATTGCCGATCAATTCAATGCTTGTTTCTTTTTAAGAATTCGTCAGGGGGTGCCGCTCGGGGTATTTGTATACCCATCAATAGGCACTGGGAACTAGCGATCGATAGCTCCATATGGCGTACATTGCTATCATCGGCCCACAACATTTACAATTACATGATTCTGACTAGTCATAACTCACGGAGATAATCCTTCCATATTGTACTGTAATGTATTTCATTGTATGCCAGTATTGACAGAAAAGTGGTACTGATATCCCACATAGTAAAACCAACCGCACCATAACGCCTGGGAGTTGAAATGTGCATTTCAACATGCAAAACAAAGTCTGCGGGCTGAAATCAACCCGATCTTACACCTGGTAGTGCCTTTCCAGCAGCAAACTGTCGGCCTTTCTTGAGTAATAGAAGAATTGCAAATATCTGCGCGCCTGCAAATCCAATCATGACACGCAGCTGCGTGCTGTAACTGCCAGCAAAAACATCCTTTACCTGGTCCTGTAGATGCGGAGAGAGCATATCTATCGATTTCACGTTCTCGAGGAACAGATGCAGTTCGTGTGTTGTCAGAGCACCATGCAAATGATGTGCCAGGCGACCGTTCAAAATATTGGACGCAATAGCGAGACCAATAGCCCCTCCAAGGAAGCGGAACTGAACAACAGCGCCAGTTGCGATCGCTATTGAGGAAAAATCAGTCAGCTGATATAACTCGTGCAATAGAAAGGTAATATGTTACCAAGATCCCTGTCCTCGACTATATATGGTGTTGATAGTACCAAAACTCCCATGATTATGCCCATTCCTGCACCTGCGATGGCCTCGTATACAATATCCGTTGCATGAAATCCCCTCGAGGCGGTGATGGTCGAGAGAAGACCCATGCCAACAGTGTGGATTACGCATCCGACGAGCAAAGTATAGATAAAGGGGATGCGTCCTCTGGAGCTGGCAATGTTGACAATTGCGGCGGCAAAGGCTGCCACCGCCGAGTATCCAATCAAATAAATTCCCGAGTTCAATGGGGATTTGCCTAATAAAATCTCGGCTTGCTGTGGAACATACACGATAACAACATTCCATGGTACACCGATGAGGAACGAGGAGCTATAGCCCGTTAGTCAAATCAAATAGTTCATATATTGGAAGCTGGTTCAAGTCTCACGTTAGAATACCCATCCATGGACGGTCAGATAGCCAGCGTTTGGGGAAAATAGGATCCTTCCCTGGAATTCCCGATATGTACCATTCCCAGGCAAAGAAAGCAACCCAGGAGACTCCCGTCAGCACTAGAAGCGCAATTGCGCCCCCAGAGGACCATGAAAAGGAAAGATTCGTCTCATTTAGGACCGCAACAATCAAGAATGAACCGGCCATCAGCAGGACCGACCCCGTGAGATCAAGATTCGCAAATGAGTGATATGATGCTCGCGTTCTAAATGACGGAGTATGCTGGTCGAGACCGAAGTTTGTAGGCATAGCAATGAAGATGACAAGGATCGCAACACCGCATAATGGAGCACTGGCAATTAATCAACACATGCGTATTATATCTCGGGCATCTACATACTTGATAAGGAAAGTCCATCTCCAGGACGAATCTTGCGCAAAGGCGCCTCCAATGATAGGGCCTATCAAAGATGCAAGAGCGAGGCAGAATGACATGAGACCGCTGTATGTCGGAAGCTTCGTTTTAGGGGATATTTCATAGATGCATAGTTGTGCCAAGGCATATGCCCCCGCGCCTCCTATGCCTTGGAGAGCACGAAGAACTATACTATACCGGGATGGTCAGTTTCAAACGATTCCGCGCTTAGGAGCGTCGGTAAATCTCACAGTTGGTTTATTGTGTGGGCGCATCCGCATCCAATGGAAAAGGCAAGCAAGATGACGAGAGAAGCGATTGTAGTATGCTTCCTTCCGATGATATCACTCACTTTTGTCCATATTGCCATGGAGCCTAAACAAATTCGGGAATCAGCTTGAAGGTCGGGGAGCCAAGTCCGAGTCAATCCAAGATCATACCTGTGTAGGTGGCCAGGTAGCCAGTAACAATCCAACTTCTCTTCTCAAAGCCTTCAAGATCATCTGTCATGCTCGTAAGAGACGAGCTTACAATTGTCACATCCAAATTGGAGAGAAAGAACCCAATCAAGAGCCTGTCCTAGAATGTCAGTATTCATTCCCCACACACAGCCTACAGGCACTTGAATGGGCAAATATACCCTATGGTAGTAAGTGCGAGTCTCCATCCTGTCGGATAGACGATTTCACTTCCAGGAGACGGTGCTCTTTGTGTCGACCCTTTTTCTCCAGTTTCTCTCCCTCTTGGAGGTCCGTCACCACCTTTCTTGCCGATGGGCTCTGCAAACTTGATGTGACTAGACATGGTTGCCTGGCCTGTCGACGAGACGTGCTTCAGGCGTGGGTAGTGGAGTTGGCAGCCATTGCGATCCGAGAGATTTGGAATGGGACTGTGTAGGACCAAGCCCCGCGTATTTTCATCACAGGGGCTCCAGGTGGAACGTAGACGCGCGATGACAGAATGTGGATTGTCTAGGAGAAGGGGGATCTACGCCGATCATTGAACCTAAAGCTTGAATCGACTGGCTTGGCGTAGATTTGTTTTTCTGGGGACGCGTGAGTAAATGAGTTTGGGCCTTTTTGCCATGCATTTTTGGTCAAATTGTTCTCCTTGGACTGCTTGTAGCCTGGTTGCTCTTGTTGCGGAGAGATAGGTAGATCTGTCGGATGTATAGGATTCCAATGTTTGTTTGGCAATTATTTGGACTTCTCCTTGCTCGGGACTACCTGGCTAACTACATCATACTGTAACGTACTGTATGTCTATACCCCTGCAGTAGTTCCTCGCTGATATTTGCTGTATGTTTTACATACGTGCCTTATCTTTGGTGGCTGTTGCTCGATAGTGGGCGCCGAATATCCATTTGCCCCTATAGCGGGAATTGCTTCAATTTTAGCGTTTTTTGCTGCACACGTGAGACTAAATTAGAATCATTGGCCGCTCTATTTGCTTATCCGAGGCCACGACCATCTGCACGCTCCGGCAGTTATCTTTTCCTACATCTAGATCCGCGGCACGCGCCCTAGGGGTATCTGAACAAGACCACCAATGGGCATAAACAGAAACATCATGTCCACCTCGCAATAAGGGGTGACACAGAGCAACCGGTGGTCTCATTCTGGAAAATCTAGCTTGCAACGAAAGTTATAGTCTGCATAGACCTGATTTGGGGGAAGCACTGTAATTGGGTGTGAGGACCTACGCGCACACCCTCACGTTATGCTCGGTTGCACATGAAGAACTCCGTCGCACCAATTCCCACATATACCCTAGGCAAAGATTTCAAGAGACAAGTGCGTTGAGTTTTGGCTGCTATTCGATCTAGATTATGTTACAATACAGGTTTAAACACATCTCGGCGGCTTCTTTACGGGACTATTCATCAATACATGTATTGTTACTAGTAATCAATACAAGCCCGCATCAGAGTTTGAATGGACATCACGTGTATAAAACATCTCTCGACATCATCTATAAAAGAATGGCCAAGGTGCGGAGCAATTTCCAAGAGCTCCCAATTGAACCTCATGGCATCATTTGGGAAGACGACTTTGTCGACGCCGAGCATGAACAGCGTCTCATCTCCATCTTCCTGAACGAGCTGAAATGGCCCGATCGCCCGGGCCGTATATCCCTCCACTACGGCTACACTTTCGACTATAAAACATTTGGAATAGATCCAGAAATCCCCTACAAAGAGTTTCCGGGATGGCTCCAACCACTCATCCCCACTACCGAAGAACGACCACCAGATCAGGTCTGTCTGCAGTACTATCCTCCAGGTGCTGGCATCCCTCCACACGTAGATGCACACAAGCCGTATGATCAGCTCTACGCACTGTCTCTGGGTGCCCCTGCTATGATGTTATTTCGCAGGGGCGAGCAGCGCCTCGAGGTTGATTTGACCCCGCGGAGCATGATGCAGATGAGCGGTGACTCTAGGCTGCATTGGACGCATGGTATTAAGAAAAGAAAGACGGATACTCTTCCAGACGGAACGGTCCGGCTGCGCGAGAATCGGTGGAGCATTACCTATCGCTGGCTCAGAGATGGAGATTGTGAATGTGGGAACCTCGAGCTATGTGATACTGCCCAACAGCGGAATGGTGTTGAGAAGGAGAAGAGATCAGTCAAGGAGCTGGCTGAGAAAGCTGCTGCTGAAAAGTTGAATGCTGAACAAATGGCTGCAACGGCAGTTTGACGTGGTTCTTTGGCCGGTTCGCACTATTAAAAGGTCACCGACTTCGCCTTCTTCTGCGTGTACATAATATCGAAGCGAAATATACCCGAAGCGTCAGGATATTTATGGCTAGACCTTTCCTCCTGGATAAATATTCCAAATCGGATAGAGGTGGGCAACATCGATAGAGGCTGCCGCAGAGATGTAGATGATGGGAGTTTCGACCCTCTCGATGATCAGAATACGTCCGACTCAGACTCCTGCAGTGCACGTTGGACAGAATGGAAATGACACAGCTACTACGGCCGTCGATAAAAATCCACCCCCACTCTTAAGTTTTCTGCATCGAACTACGTCTGGCTAAAATATGCTTTGCTTGTCTACTTTAACCTTTGGGGTCGGGGACCAGATCGGGCTTAGCGACCAGAAACCAAAACCGGGGGAAAGAAACTTAGAACTCGTAAATCTCAACTCGAAATATTCAAGATGGCTACAGAACAAGAAATCAAGGAGCAAATCTCGCAGCAGCTCTCACGAACTCCCTTTGCTTGCACTTCCCTCACCCGTCTATCGGGCGGCACGGCTAATTTCGTGTACCGAGGCACTGTCTCGCCCACCGAATCTATCATCATCAAGAATACCAGAGATCATTCAGCTTCAAATCCAAACTTCAAAATCGTGGTTGATCGATGCGTGAGTTACTTTTTGACTCTTCTTTTCTGGACCAGGGGTTGACAAATGTGAGCTAGTACTTTGAAGAAGCCATTCTCCAAGCTCTACATGAGTTGCCGCCTTACATCAAAGACAATATCACTGTCAAAACACCCCGGCTGTTGAACTTCGACAAAAAGACTAATACTCAGATTCTGGAAGATCTTCCTGATTCAGTAGATCTGAAGAACTTCCTCATCTCTGGTGTGTCTGTTGGCATCACAGATTCTACGGCGCGAACACTCGGTCGTGCATTGGGATCATGGCTTCGCGCGTTCCACGCTTGGGGAATCCACAATGACCAGCGGAAGACTAAGACAACTGTTGCTGGTAATATAGCTATGAGAGATTTGAAGTTCTACATAAATTACACTATGCTCATTGACACTATTCCCAATTTCTCGGAAATTCTGGGAGAGAGTCGTGAAATCTTCGAAAACGTTCGTGATATGGCGGCTGCCGAGCTGGAGAATATGGATGAAAGTGATGATTACGGAATTATTCATGGCGACTTTTGGACTGGGAAGTACGCTCGGTCAAATTTCACTTCCGTTTTCTCCCCGCTTGAGTTGTGTGTTTGCTAAACTTTTTGTCTCTAGTGTTCTTCTACCAAAGGCCCCTCTCGCCAAAGAAGCTAAAATAAAAGTCTTTATTGTTGATTGGGAGTTGGTGCATGTCGGACGACGAGCTTTGGATTTGGCGCAGATGATTGCTGAGCTTTACGAAACCAAGCTCTTCAAGAATGTGGATGCTGGTGTGTGGGTTATTGAAGGCTTCTTGGCTGGATATGGACCTCTCAGTGATGATACAGCGCTCAGAACTGCTATCCACGTTGGGGTGCATCTTGTCTGTTGGGGAAGCAGGGTGTCTGGATGGGGTACCCCTGAGCAAATTGAGGAAGTTGTCCAGGTTGGTAGGGATCTCATTATTCATGGATGGAAGCAAGACCGCGCTTGGTTTGAGGCTGGCAGCTTGGGTTGTTTGTTCAAATGAATGAAGATAATCAATCCGAAAGAAACTTTGGCAGTACGCCGAAGCATTTCATTATTTTTCTAGAAGAGCACTGGTCTCGGAAGCTAGCCCATCTCAATATAAGGGCATTCTCATCCGAGAATATCATTATACACAGGCTTCAACCTTTCCGCCGACGTCTCAAACAAACGTGGCAGCCCAGTCTCCTTGAATGATACTGAGTCCCTAGCCATATTGGCAACAGCCTTACCAGAAAGGTATGCAACCGGCATTCCATGGCCATTGAAGCCTGCCGCAATGAACTGCCCAGGCTTATCGGGGACATTACCAACATGGGGTAACGAGTCCGCGCTATATCCCATGACTATAACCATCAGTCAGTACAAATCACATCAAAGTAATGGTAACAAAGGCATTTGTTCGCAAGATCAAGAAGTTACATACCACCGCTCCAAATATGCTTAACTTCTGCCCCGCTATCTTCCCACCCAAAGAAAGTCCGCTGCATATACCCATCGAAGTAATGCTCCATGTTCCGAACGAGCGTCCCATCATTGGGCTGATTGTACCACTCTTTCAAATCATCTTTGAAAGTATGCGATGCTCCCCCAACAATGAGGGACCCGTCCTTTCGAGATATTTGGTAGATGTATGCACCAGGCCCGAGCCAGATTGCATATGTACAGGGTAACTCTTGATGGGGTGCACCTGGAGTGGCGGCAATTTGAGTACAGACTCCTTTGCAGGGTATAATTGCCTCTGAGTATTCTGGTGCCAGCGCGCTGGTGAAGGCGTTTGTTGCGAAGATGATGTTCTTAGCCTTGATTGTGCCCCGGTTGGTGGTAACTGTCCATGAGCCATCTTCGTTTTTGGTCTGATTGATCTCTGATACTGGTGTGTTTGTTTGGAGGTTCAGACCCTTTGACAAGGCAATGCGAATTAGACCTACTATTAGCTTATAAGGCCAGAGATGTCCGGCGGAAAAGCTAAAGCCACCTTTCGCGTTGCGCACATAGGCTTCCTGGTTATACATATTGTAAGTGAATTTGACTGACTATCATCCAGAGAAGATATCCTGAACTTACCTTCTGAGCCTCCGATTGAGAAAGATACTTCACATCGTCCATAAAGTCCAGCCCTCGCTCAAGCAAAGAATCATAAAAGGTCTTTGCTTTCTTAAGCTGATCTTCATCAAGGTAAATATTCAGACTTCTTGTAAAAGTAAGTTCACAATCGATATTCTCGAGGCGAACCAAATCCTCTATCTCTTTCATATGCGCAAGCTCAAACCGCACAATCTCAACTGCGGCTTCAAGGCCATAGCGCTCGGTGTTTGTTGCAGTTGCTGAGTATATATCTGGTCGTAGATGACCTCCTATTTTCGAACAATGTGAGCTTGCTCAACTGAACATCAACATAGGTAAGGTCGCAACGCACCATTCCGCCCGGTGGCACCAGAGCACAGCTCGCGCGCTTCCACTAGCACGACCTGGGGAGCTGGCTTTTCTTGGTTTGACAAGAGATGATAGGCAGCTGATGCTCCCACATAGCCACAACCGATGATGAGGATGTCAGTTTCTGTTGGCAATTCGGAGGTACTTTGGTAACTATCCAATGGATCTGGTTGGGTCCGCCAGAATGACTGGGTGTACCCCGCCGCAGGCGCCGGAAAACATTTTGACTGCGAGTGAGAGGCCATGGTGATGTTGTTATGTTTAGATATGGGTGTTTGGTGCAACTTGGGATATGACGAGAGAGAGTATTTGGAAAAAGAAAGCGCGTCGAAAGATCCTCTTATCAGGCTGATGCATACTGCGGGGCAGCAATTAGAGAGAGACAGATACGTATTCTTAGTTCATTGTACGAAGTCCTGGCACATTTGCAAGATAAATTTAATATTTACACGTCTAGTCTTGGATTCGCTCGAATCCCGAGATCTCAGCTCCAGGATTCCGCTGCTGGGTTTCGAATGCTTCCAGAACAGCAGGGCAATTTGACCAGGCCTTGGGCGATTGGACTGCTAAATGTTGACCTTCTTTTAGACGCGCCTTGCCGACCAGCTTCCGAGTCTTGCCATGCATAGCGGTGTGAATACTCTTGGCCAATCCCTGTCCTGGGTAAGCTACTAGTCCCAGCGCCGCTACAAGTTCGTTAGTATCATTTCTGTAGCAAGTTGGCAGGAAGAATGGCGATTTTCATACCTGATGATGCCTTCGTGCCCATGCTAAGGGGCCCTTTCACAAATCCCTTGACCATCCCTCTAAATCCATCCTCTTGAACTCCTTTGTAGGGCTGCTTAAGTATTTCGCTCACGCCTGCCATTCCGTCGGTGAAGTTCTCTCTGGCAGCAGCGGCTCCTGATTTGAAGTCTGTGATGTTATCGTAGCTCTTGACTTCCTCGCCATACATGCGTGGTACTGCTCTGAGGCCTTCATTCACAGCCATGGGGATATCGACCAACACGCCCTTGTAGTAATAGCCGATGATCTTGCCCACACTTTTGGCAGAGCTTCCCACTGCTGTACTTGTTACCTTCCATTGCGCGTCTCTTTTTTCGTTGGTGGATGCTCGGGAGAGTCCACTTGAGGATGCATCGCTGGATTTCCGATTCGTAGGCTCGATGACTCGAAGTTCCCCTTCTCCTGATTGAGCGCGTTTGAACTCTTTGTATGGCTGTATCACTACATCGCTCGATGCTGTGAGGACGTCTTTATACATTCCTAGTAGGGAAGATGCACCGCCCGTGATAGGATCCCACCTCCGTGTTTGTATGAACATGGGCCGACTTTCATGGCTGGTTCAATCAATGCATTAGTTCACATGGTTTTTTGTCAAGTTAAGGGGAAATTCTGATGAGATACTAACAAGCTCAAGTCCCTTGCGTCGATGCGTGAGTTTTCAACCAATATCCCGGCGGCCATCTTGGACAGAAAAACAGAAACATTCGAGTTTTGCAGTTTTAGTTTCCACGCAGCCGGCTCAGATCCAAAGAAGCGACATTGCATCTGGTCTATAGGCAAGTTTCGATGGAAAGATGATACTGCTGCAGTCACTCCAGATTCTTCGCTCATTCTGATAGCAACGTCTTCGGCGGCACTTAGTGTACTAGGCTCGAGGCAGAAGCGAATCGCCTCCGCCAGGTTATCCGCAGTCAATTCACGATGGGGGATTGGTTTAGGTCCTATGCCGCAGGATGCAACCATGTTTCCCCAGAAGAGCTGACTGTGGCATATTAGCAAGTCAACTTAAAACATCGCTTGAGGCGACTCACTCTCCAAAAAACGGCACAATCATAGTCGGCTTCCCAAAACGTAGACCGCATGCTGTTGTACCAGCTCCACCATGGTGTACCACAGCGGCAACATGCTGGAACAGCCATTCATGTGGACAGTCTCCAAGATAGAATATTTGATCGTCTGACTGTGCATCTCCAAGATTGCTCCAACCTCGAGATATAAGGGCACGGCCACCCCAGGACTTTATGGCTTTGATAAGTGTTGCTGTCATTGCAGGGGGGTCCTCAATCACTATACTGCCAAAACCGATGTAGATAGGCGGGGGGCCATTTTGAAGAAACGAATGGAGGTCAGAGGGTGGTGAGAAGTCCGGAGGAGATCGGAAGAAGAATCCGCAGACATCTAGATGGGCCGGCCAGTCTGCTGGTTTTGGCATCAATGTTGGTGACCAGCAGTAGGTAAATGGTATCTTCAAAGTCTCCGCTAGCCGGGGACCTTCCGTGACAGGGACAGGTTCGAGGTCAATAGATACTCTCCACTCATTAATCACATCGCCAAGGCTAGATATCGAGGTCAGTGTCTAGGATTTAGTGAAGAATCAGAGGCCTTACCCTTGCCATGTCAGCCACTCGACAATTCCGTAAGATAGATAATTAGCCATTTTTGGCTCTGTAGTGGAGTATTTCAAATTGGCCAGAGGGTGTGGAAATGACCGTGTGCTAGTCCATGGCATTGTAAACATCAAATGTAAAGGGATGCCTAACGCCTGGGCACAATGAATGTGGGCAAAACTCGGGGGATTGGCGATGATCGCATCGGCCACAAATGGGGTTTTTGCTACTGGGTCATCCTCTATACAGGACTCCCAGCATCCCTGTAGCATTTCAGCCACCATTACTCGCTTACGCTGGATGTCGCCGGCACGTAAGGAGTTCATCTGAGGTATCAAGCCCGGGTTCTTGACCATATACGCCATCAGCTCAGAGGGATCTCCGCCGATAGGATAGAATTCCAGATCTGAATCGCGCACAAATTTCTCAAAGACGTTGTGAGTGGCAATTCGTACGCGATGTCCATGGCGCTGGAGCTCGTTGCCAAGTGCGATGAAAGGCTGCACATCACCTCGGCTCCCAACCACTTGGATGACGATGTTAAGACAAAGACTGCACCCATCAGGCCCGACTAGCGGTTCTGTCTGTTCCACGTCTTGCTTGGACTCCAGAAATGGAATCAATTTTGAGATCTCCCGGCCGACTTTAGAGTCTAGGTCAATCTCAATACGGCCATCGTCTTCGTCGAGTTAGCACATCTTGAAAACATAAACCATGGGAAATTCACCTTGAACATCGGTTCCATCTTGCATCCACTCATTCTCCTTGGAAGTCGCACTTTGAGGTTGCTGTTCCGCCATGGTTGTTCTTAGACCGAGTCTAGTCCTGTGACATCACATGCGGGGGAAACAAAGATTTGAGAAATCGAAGCTTGGGTTGATTTAAATCACCAAGACAAGGATAGATCTGTATACAGTATGTGTCTCACCGTGAGAGAACTGTCAGTGATCAATTTCGAGCTGAACAGAACAACATCTCAATGGTGTTGATACTTCCAAGCCGTGGGACAAGTGGGTCTCAAGCAAGAGTCTGTGTCATGTGATCATCATCTGGCCAATCATCGCTTTGATGTGGCGGGGACTATGACGACATTTTCAGGCACGTGGTGCCTGAGGCAGAAAGGCTTTATACAAACTGTCTTGAATCTCACTAACCGTGTTGAATGCTACAGCAGTGTACTGAGTTTTAGCTGAGACCGCTCTAAGCGGTAATTAGATAAGATTTTGCCTATTCCTAAACATATCACGTGCTGTAAAATGCGAAAAGTAACAAGCTCTCATAAGTTACAGATATTGAATACAGCACTATGGCTGGGCATCTTCACTTTGGCGCGGGACAGCGTTGTTCGCTCACTTCAACCCTCCGGATTGGCAGCAAGATACCTTTCAGCTTCTTCATTTGCGACATCAATCAGTTCGCACAATGAGTCCGAGGTAATGGCCAATACGCTATGTTCGTGGTCCATGAGATAGTATCCTCCATTTCTTTCGTCCAGGTAGCCCAGTGGGTATTCTCTTGCCATTTCTGTGAGCTCTTGGTAGGCCTCAATGACTTTGACTGATTCAGAGATTGGTAGAGTATAACGGGTTGTCGAAACTGCCAATGTGCTTGCAACATTGGAAGTTAAAAGAACCAAGCATGGAAAGGCGATTCTATAGAGCATGATAGGGACTCTGAAAGTGGCAGATGCTGTTAGTGACCTTCATATCTGTTTGAAGATGATCCTGATCAGTATCACATACCTGTACAACGTTACTTCTCAGTGCACTTGATGAGCTGAGGTCGAAGTTGAGGTGGGGTGATCTCTTTCGGCCCCCAATGACGTGTTGTGGGCGTTAAGGTACAGTTATCTAAAGACTAAATTTGGGGGCTAGATACGAGACTCAACTAGTAATTCTTGGAAGCTGCCTTGAAAGCCAACTAAGACACACTGTTCCAAAGAAGGGGTGACTCGAAGCTGGGGGTCTAAGTTATACCTAGTGCAAGCGAGGCTTACTACTTTGTCTAAATCTGATCATTCCATTCCAGCTGAAAACTCTGGGTCTGAGTCAAAATTTAATCGCATTTAAGATGAGTTCTACAGTCAGGATCTAATGACATTTGCGCGCAGAGAAGCCTTTGTTCTAGTGAGCAGCAAGTGTTAACCGTGACTCCATGGGCATTCAGGTAATATCGTATATCGTAGTTGATCTGTATACCAGATCAAACTTAAGTTCTTGGTTGAACTTACAAGCAGATTCAATACCTTTCGCGTCTTGAATCTATACTTCTTGATTGCACTCCTTGGCCTGAATCAAGTGGGACTTGCGATATTACTGGTGGAATCCCTATACTTGCTTTCGGTTTAGGCAATAAAAAGACAAAAATACAGACCCTGTACCCTCAGAGCTAAGAGAATAGACAAGTGAGCGTCAATCAACAAACATCCATAGAAGCGAAAGTGAAGCGAAAGTGAAGCGTAAAAGTTACCTTCCATAGGTGCGGCGTGACCAGTTAGCGCCATTGTATCCGGTGGAAATGGGCAAAATCGAGCCTAACCACAGTGATCAAAACATCTTGGAGTTTGCACTGCTTTACGTTGATTGAGTTTGCCTTTTGACAACAAATTGAGAAACAAATTCAATTGTTGATTCCAGTCGTACAGTTCGACGCGTCCAAAACGCGTCCTGGGGCATACCCGCCACTCACCCGCCCTGGGGTAATCCGTGCATCTTGTCAACATTAGTCGCACAGAACTTCGGGCAAAAGACTTGATCTTTTCTCTCATCTTCCTCATGGCCGCTCCCATGGCTGCTCCCATGGCTGACATCGCTGGATTTGTCTGCCCTGGCTGCCACCGAGACGACTTCAAAAGTCTCCGAGGTGTGAAGACCCATTTCGAGTCCAAACGCCACAAGCTCTTTTGTGTTCCCTGCCAAAAGGAATTCACCAATGTCTGGGGCTTGCTTCATCATACTCAGAAACATCAAACCCCTGATCAAAAAAGCAACAACATTGCTTCTGGGCCCTCTCTCATGTCATCTCCATCAACACAGAGCCGAAAGCGGGCCCCAAAATCGAATCATAAGCCATCATTGCCTGTTCAATCGACTGACGGGGGTAGTCCATCTCTTACACAGCCATGGCTGCCTGTCACAGATATGGAGAGTCTAAGTCTCGAAATTGAAGCCCTCGCATTGCAGCCCCTGATCGTCCGGGGGACAAATCGCCATGTGGTTCTCGGAATGCAAGAACAAGCTCTGTATCTGCGCTATCTTCTTCTGCAATGCCACTCAGATTTTCGTCTCCGGGCACAAGGTTTCATCGTGGAGACCACCACAGAAGATACCAGGAAACGCCCTTCCATCCCAAAATCCCTATTCCGTAAAACTCCTACCGCCGTGTTGGGTGCAGGACAAAAGAGACAGGCCGTTGTGATTGACTGTGAGATGGTACAAGTCACAGGTGGTCTGCGGGAGATGGCTTATATCACTGCCATCGATTTTCTCACGGGCGACGTGCTCTTGGACCATTATGTGAAACCAGAGAAGAATGTAGTGAGCTGGGACACTCGGTACAGCGGTGTTACCCCTTATGCGATGGACAAGGCTGTCCGAAAAGGTCAAGCAATCATGGGCTGGGTGCGCGCGCGCGAGCAGGTTTGGAGATTCGTCGGTCCGGAAACTGTGCTTATTGGACATTCGCTCAACAACGACCTGGACATGCTAGGCATTGTTCATCCAAGAATTGTCGATTCCTCGATTCTCACCAGCGAGGCTGTTTTCAACGAGTTGCTCCCGGCCCAGGCCCTATCGCGTACGTGGAGTTTGAAGACTCTCACCAATGAGCTCGCCGGTTACGAGATCCAGGCGGGCAAGAAGGGCCACGATGCATACGAAGATACCATGGCCACGCGTGATGTCTTGATTTGGTGTATTAGGAATCAGAAATTGTGGGCGATATGGTCCGCAGAAAGACGTGATGCTGAAAAGATTCGTGGTTTGGAACAGGAGCTTGCCAAAATCCAGGCCAAGCTGGAGCATGCGAGAAAGAACCTGATCGAGTCGCAGAAGGAGAGGGAGAAGGCGAGATTGGAAATTCTGAACCTTGCATCGGAGCACTCATGATAACGAACACCTATGATTCTATGTTTTGCTGAGTTCTAGGTGATATCCAGCATCAGATGTATGCTTATGAGGGTCTACTTTGAAAGGATGCCGCAAACATTATCATCTCATGTCTGACAGATTAATTGAACATCCTATAGGATTTCTACGGCTCCGCTAATCAGCTTCCATTTCTCGTATCATAATTCCGTTCTCTGTCGGCCTTTTCAACACCAGTGCGCTGCACCTACACTCTGGCTGCCGAATCACCGTACAAACTCACAAGTCTCCTCCGCCTTCTTCTTCTCAACTCCTCTGATGTGGTTGATCGCTGCTTCAAGCTTCCATTTTGGCCAATTCAAATGGTTAACAAGTCGTTTACTGTTGAATCCGTTGGATTGGGCTCCAAATTAGCAGTCTTGATCTTGTTCTAACAGTCCCAATCTGGGACAATCTAGGGCAGAAATATCGGCCTGAGGCAGCAAACGCGGGAACATAACGTCTTGCGGGGTTGGCGACTGAGTGCTATCCCCCATGGAGAATCCTTCGAAAAAGTTACGCTCGCGTGTGGGCTGTGAACGCTGCAGACGTCGAAGGCAAAAGTGCGATGAGGCACGACCAGACTGCGGGCGATGCCGTGGCGCTGGGGAAAGCTGCGTTTACCGCATGAATCTCAAATGGGGAGGACGACAGTTCGGTCGGTCTCGCTTTGGCAATTGTCCCGTGAAACTGATTAGTCTGTCAACTCTGTGCGCATTGTTTTGTTACTTCGTCTAACTGGGTTCCGCAGATGGAGCATTCGTGTATTCCGCAGAGGTGATGACACCAGCAATCCTGGCTTCGCAGACTCTAGAACAGCCATTTCCTCGGCTTGTTTTGACTCGATCCCTCTCTGGACTTCCGCCTGGTCTTGATGCTGAATTACAGCAGCTTTGGCATTACTTTGTCACTACGGCATCCGGGACAATTTCCTGTCACAAACAGATGCAGAACGAGACGTGCCGTGTTCTACTTCCTATGGCATTTGAAGATCCTGCACTTCGACATGCAATCCTCGCGTTCTCGTCTGCTCATAGGGCAAATCAGAAAGACTCCGAGACATCCTGGGAAAGCTTGAAATTGCACGCAGTGAGTCTGAGAACTCAAAGCATGGGTCAGCTTCGTCAAGAGATTGCTTCAGGGAATGACCGGCTGGAAACTCTATTTGCAACTTGTTTGATTTTGTGCTTGGGTACTTTATGCCATGAAAATGAGGAATATAACTCCTGGAGAACACATCTCCAGGGAGCGAGGGCTATCTTGTCTGCTATTTGTGCTACACAGTCTGCCTCTGTCCTCTCAGACCCTTCAGTCTCTTTTCTGCGAAGACGGTACTCATTATTAGAGATGGTTGCAAGCTTGACTCCCGATGGGTTCTTAGCAGAAGACTCGAATTATGAGTCTCCTGAAACTTCCCAACAACCGTACCGGGTCTTCTTTGATGATTATGCCGGTTGTTATCCCGAAATTTTCGAGGTATTTCACCAAATCCGCGCTATTTCGTGGAAACGACAACAGAAAGAGCACGACTCTTATGAAATGATCCCTCTTTACGACCCACAATATGAGCTTGATGCAATCAATATCGAGGGCCGGCTTTTGGCAATGATAAAACGAGATGAGAGTTCTCGACCTTGCTTTTCCCCGAGTCTTCAGGATACATTGGACGAAAAACAAACTCTGGAGTTTGCGTATTGCAATTTGTTGCTCGAGTACACCGCACTGATTCACATCCGCACGCAGTTGATGAGTCTTGATTCTGAAGCTTTAGAAGTACAGCAGCCAGTAAAGATGATCATCCATCTTATTCAACAACTTGAGCCTCCATCGGGCCTTTCACCTGTCCTGGGGGTGAACACTGCTCTCTTTATCGCCGGGCGCTATGCCTTTGGAGCAGATCGTCTTACTGTTCAATCATTACTTATACGCTTTCATCAAAAAATGTTCAACTATAATATGGTCAATGCGATGGATATTTTGGATTTGATCTGGCGGCAGGTGGATTCGGGCCAGAAGAACATCGGTACGTTATGCACCACATGCATAAATAAGAGAAGCTAATTTGTTTTAAGGGTTGCAAGGACATGACTTTATGGCCTGGTGAATGAATGAAGCATTCCCATTGCTTGGGCCTCAGGCACCATGTCTTGATATTGAGATCCTGTGCTTTCCCTTGCCTTGACTCTTCTTAGGCTTAATTTTCAGCATTGCTTTTCTGCCAAAAAAAAAAAAGGTCTTCAGGGGACAGGAAAATGCCCAAGTGGGGACGTCAATGCAGTAGTTGCTCCCGGAAGGCATCGGGGTCCGTTCAGGGGTATGCATGAGGATTCGGCAATTTACCTCATGCAGCTTGAATCACACGGGTCATCCTGGTTCATTTCTGATTCGAGAACAAGTCTTCAGTTCAAAGACCAGTTCCCCGATCGGGATTTGGCCCCCACGGTCCCTGAATGCTCCACGTCTTGCCCCACGTTGCGATCAACTTCAGCTGTCTGACATCTAACCACAATGGGGAAGTGTGAGTCTATGGCTTGTTTGGGATCTGTCGCCATGGGTATTTATATGCAGGTCTTTTCTGGCTTCTGAATTGCATTCCTTTTACATACGTTCTTTTGGTACATATTTCGCTTGTGCGAACATCATTCATTTCTTTCCTGGATCATGCATGATCTGCTTTGGTGGACTGCCGTGGTGAGTGGACTTTCCACCGCCTCGGCAGTTGCTATTTTCTCGTCTTCTGGCAGGTAAGTTCTCCAGCTAGACGATCGCCAACTGTGCTGACAGCGATACAGAGAAATGCGCGCGAGAGATACCTGCAGCGGGCCCACCGCTTCTTCTCCTACGAGCTACTGGCTTCTCAATCAAGATCACACTGGCAATCCCCGAGGCTATGCCCCTGAAGTTTCCAACGCCAACTATCCCGTGTGGCGCAATGTCTTGGACTATTCTGCTTCGGCTGACGGATCTGGCGACCAAACAAGCAGCATCCAGAATGCGATCAACGACAATGGATCGGGTGGCAGTCGTGAAGGTCAGGGTGTTACTAGATACCCGGCGGAAGTCTTCCTCCCCGGTGGAACATACCAGCTTGGAAGCACTTTGAACTTGCGTGTCGGGACCATCATTACTGGTGACCCATTGAATCCACCGGTGCTCAAAGCGGCAGCTGGTTTCAGCGGTGATACGTTGATCAATGGGTTCGACAGTAAGAATGGTCAGCCTGAGACCAGTTTTATGACACTCCTACGCAACGTGGTTATTGATACCACTGCGCTCAGCGCTAGCACCACAATTACCGCGCTGCAATGGGGTGTCGCTCAGGGCTCTGGCTTGACCAATGTCAAAATCAAGATGCCTACCAGCTCTACCGGACACACCGGTATCAACATCAACGGTGGATCGACCATCGCCGTGACGGATGTCGACATTACCGGTGGTGCCGTCGGCATCAAAAACTCCAACCAGCAGGTCAACTTCAAGAACATCTACTTCAGACAATGTACGACTGCCTTCCAGGCTTCTGGTGGCCATACCGCTCTTCTTCAAGGGGCAACATTCGATACCGTCGGTTATGGTATTGACATGACCAGCAACGGACTTGGAAGCATGGTCCTGCTGGATTCCACTTCAACAAACTCAGGCACCGTAGTGAAGTTCCATGACTCCTCCAACGACAGCGGTAACCGCAATAGCCAGATCACCATTCAGAATCTTGTCCATGATACTACCAATCCTATCGCCGTCGACAGCAATAATAACGTGAAGCTCGCCGCTACCAGCAAGGTCGATACATGGGTGTGGGGTAACATCACTCCCGGTCAGTACGTATCAGGCGAGAGCCTCACAACCTCCAGACCGGATGCGCTCTTATCAAATGGCAAATACTTCACTCGCGCCCAGCCCACCTACGCGCAGTATGCCGCAGACCAGGTCGTGAACGTCAAAGCCGTGAGCGGCTACCCAGTCTACGGCGATGGCAGAACAAACGACGTGGAATCCCTCAATGCCATCCTAGCGAATAACGCAGCCAACTGTAAGATCTCATATTTCCCATACGGAGTCTACACCGTCAAAGATACCCTCAAGATCCCCGTGGGCTCGCGCATCATGGGCGAGGCATGGGCCGTGATTTCCGGAGCAGGCGATGTATTCAAGGACGCCTCGAACCCAAAGCCAGTAGTTCAAGTTGGACAAGCAAACGATGTGGGCGTCATCGAAATCCAGAATATGCGCTTCAGCGTCGGCGAGATCCTCCCTGGCGCGATCATCCTCGAGGTCAATGCCGCCGGCACAAACCGCGGTGATGTAGCCTTGTGGAATACCCTCGTGACCGTTGGCGGCACTGCTGAGACGAGCATCAAGGATAACTGCGACAACCAAGACACCTCGCAGTGCATGGCGGCATTCCTAATGGTGCACCTCACCAAGTCGTCATCTGCGTATATCGAGAATTTCTGGGGCTGGACTGCAGACCACAATCTAGACGGTGGATCATCGGTCACGATCATCTCTACCGGACGTGGCATCCTCGTCGAAGCGACAAAGGGCACTTGGCTAACCGGAACGGGATCCGAACATAATTGGCTATACAACTACAACTTCAAATCTGCACAGAACGTCTACGCGGGTATGCTCCAAAGCGAGAGCCCCTACATGCAAGGCGAAGGCGCGACACAAACTGCGCCGGCGCCTTGGACAGCCCTGGCCACGTATGGTGATCCCGATTTCTCATGGTGCGGTGGAGGCGATCAAAAATGTCGGACGTCACTTGCGACGAATGTTGACGGTGGCAAGGATGTCTTGCTTTATAACAGTGCCGCATGGGCTTTCTTTAATGGGCAATGGAATGGCGATTATGGAACTCAGTGTTCTGGGTCGTGTCAGACGAATATGATGCGTGTTACTGGCTCTCCGGAGAATTTGGTGTGGTATTCTGTCAATACGCGCAAGGCTGATGTGATGATTCTTGATGGGCAGTCAAACCCTACGGAGTATAATCATCCAGGGGGTGGGAGGCTATAATTCAGGGATACAGGCAGTTTTCTTCGTAGGAAGTGGGAACTATACTCTATGTAAATAGCCCATGCGTGTGCATAAGATGCTAGATTTTAATAGCGCAACCCCGTCATTCTGCAGGTATCAGCCCCAAAAGTAAATCCTCTGATTGGTTATTTTCTACAGAGAACTACGACATATTAAGAATCCAAACAGCAAAACCCGGGTATCAAATTCGCACTTGAGCAGTGCATTCGTACAAGCATCTCTCGCAGCCTGATTTCATACATACAAGTACAGCTCCAAGGTAGGATTGCCGTTTTCCAGCCAGACGAAATATTTTAATCTTGTCTGGCTGGGAAAAGGAAAGCCCCTATCTTGATGATCTGCAAGACAGATGATAAAGGATACATTCGAAGATCCGAAGGTGACGGTGCGTCGGCTCAGACGCCCGTGTTAAAAGTCAAGTCAATTCCAAACGCCGTACGCATCAACGATGCAAAATGTATAATCATGGCCGTCGGGGACGGAAGTAATATCAGCATGAGAAGGGTAAAAAGGTAATGTAATCAGGTCGTTCCACGTGTTGCCGGCGCCATGTACATGTACCACGATAGGGGCATCATGTGTATCATGCGGTCCGGGATGATATTTCAGGATAGAAAGGTGAGATGCATCTGTGTCTCTGGTCGGCCTATCATGCCGTAGTGAGATCGTAGATCATTGTTATTTGCGGGCTTTGCAAAGCCATGTCCGCCACCATTTGCATACTCCGAGGACGGCAGCACGGCCGTCATCTTTGCGTTCCGTGCCGTCTGGGTTTCCGAGGACCATGGCAAATACCCAGAAGAAGGCGGCTGTCCAGGCGAACAGGAGGATTACAATGCCAAAGAATGGCGATAGGAGTAGGACGGCGATTGATGTGCCGACGGAGTACACCTCGCTCGGTTCGGATAAGACTGAGGGCTGGTCGGAGTCTGGATCAGACTGGATCCATTGCGTTGAGGGTGATCTGTTTGCCGCAGATGGTGGCTGCATAAAAACAAGCCGTTCGTGGATGTGGAGGGCGGGGGAGAGGAGGTCACATAATTGTGAGCCGAATGTAGTTGAACGGAAGTAAGGTGAGAATGAGCAGAGACGGAGAGGTGAGACAAGAAGGGCGAAGAAGAGTGCGAAGATGGTGTACAAGGCACCTCCAAAGGCGTATAAAGGGACGATGGTGAGTCGGAACTGTTGACTATGTCAGTATATGATCATGGAACATTCTTATCCAACACTTACCAGCATCAATAGAGCATCTTGGCCCTCACTGGTGACTATTTCGTCATCTGGAATGTCTCGTTTGCGGGTGCGAGTTATGCTGGGGTTGGAATGTTCCCCCGACATCAAAGAGGGTTGGTCTGCCCAACTTCTGCGGGTCCGCTCCTCTTTTGGTGCACTACTCGAGATCGAACCTCGGGCAGGGAGAGATTCCACTTCCCGAGGATCTGACCTCGGCCAAACTGATCCTCCTAGGGCTTGGGTTTGATATACACGGTATCCCCGGCCAGATGTGCGGGGACTGGCGTCCAGGCTTGATAAGGGAGAGGAAGGACGGGACCCGCCAACAGGATTACCGAGCACCGGGGATTGTTCTTGGGATCGACGAGCGGCTGCGGGAGGGGTGACGATCGAGCTGCGAGGTTGTTGTGGTCCGAGGGGTCCCAGATCCTGATAGTAGGCGGGACTATGGGACATCTCCGGCAACCCCATGATGAATCGGAGAGAAAGCACGAGACAGGAGGTGACGAGGGAAGTATGAGGCGCACAGATGGCGACTATTGAAACGAAAGATCACCGCATGGTTTCCTGGCCGAGGTGTGTGATTTTACTGGCATAGGGGGTAGGCGCACTCCGTGAAGTCGGACAGGGGGAGGAGGGAGGGCGGAAGGAAGGAGCGACTTATAAGAGACTGCGGAGGATCTCATGAGACCAGAGCGGAAAGCCAGGAAACGCCAGGCCAGCGAGCGGAAGGAACATTTCCATCTGTTTGCAGTCCTCTCGCCAAGACGCCCAGATGCCGAGCCCTTGGCATGGAGTCGAGCCTTGTATAGGCTACCCAAACCCCGGATGAGCATCCTGTTTGATGCCTGCTCTTCTTAAACATAGCTTCAAAACTGATCCTCGACATTCTGGTGTCGGACAAGAGGAAAGGCTGTCCTACAGTAGGACATGGGTAGAGCCGAACAATTCGACGTCTGCAGTCGATTACCAGAGGTTACCGAGTGCCAAGCCGCCAAGCTGCTATCGAGCATGATGAGTCGTCAATATCTGGGCTGTGATTGGCTGCAGTCTGTGGTGATCCGCGCTGAGACGAAGCCCGTAGTCTTGGCGGTAACGCTGTGACGCACGTGATGTGTGCATTGTGTGGTGTATACTTACCGGTATACAGGAAGTAGATGTTGACGGTGATTGTAACTAGGACTGTTTCTGAATCCGTACAAAGATTCCCGATTCTCTTTCATGTGTTTGACCTTCCTGCTTAGAAATACGCGGCACGATAACCGTCTCAGAACCGAGGGCGCCCAGGCGCCGAGAGGTTGGCGGCATTGGCATTCATCTGAGAATTCAGTTTCACACAAAACGCCCTGCTTGATTCAATATTTCTTAGGTAAAAAGCTCTCAATAATTTTCCTGAGGCTGCATTAGCCCATTTGGTCAAGAACCTCCCACATTCCACTCTTGGGGATCTTCTTGGCCTATCCTTTCATTCCGCTGAGATGAGTCGATTTATGACGAATCAACGGACCCGATAATCGTGTCGGACCTTTCTTTCAGGCTTTCCTCTTGGCTTGTTCCTAGGCACTTTACACAAAACCCGTGTCTTCAGCTTGGCTGAGCGGTCAGAAGCGACCCATTGCGCGTTCATGCTCGGCATACTTCGCTTCTCCATACCACTTCTGCTTTCTTCTCCTCCTATTTGGTATTCCTTATATGCCTAGAATCATGTGCCTCGGTCACAGATGCTCATTTGACTAGTCGAGATTTTCGGCTTGAAGGGCTTGACAGCTCTAGATCAATCACATCCTTGCAGAATTCAGCTTCCTTGCAACTGCCCTCGTTCAATAAAGGATCAGCTCCAGCCCACTCGGGTCTCGGAAGACTGGGCAATTTCTTATCAAAGTGTTTCCGTGTGATTCCTCAAGTCGCACAGTTGTCCGATCGACACACTTGGGAGCTATCTTCGAACAGATCAGAATACCCTCATACGATGCTCCCGAAGCTTCTTGCAAACCGTCAGACCTATTTATCAAAGTCACCGCTTGACTTGGCCACCGTCCGACCGTCGTTTTCATGGTCGTCCGCTTAATCCTTGGCTTTCTTTGCCAACACCATGTCGATTGTTTTTGTGTGATCTTAGGTTTCCCTCTCCAGAGGGTCGGTCATTTACGGTCCCGCCATCTTGCACCACCGCGTTGAACTCTTTTCCAGTCAAATCTCAAACATCCCCTGTTATCACTCGCGCTTTTACCCTTATATCCTCGCGAGTGCATACCCGGATGTATCAGGTTTCACAAAATTTGCTTTCATGTGCTCAAAGTGAACTAACAGAGCGATTTTTGTAAACCATTCATCAGTTTATCTACGGCTGGGTTTGCTTCTGGTCTCATTCGAGACCATATAATTATTGCTCACGTCAACTCCGATCTCAGTATAGTGGCCATCGGACAACAGTGCGTAAGTTTTCCGGCACACTCAGTACGCTTATATTCCAATGCAAGAAAGTGAGAACAGCTCACTCACCGTTCTTTTTGCACTTGGTATCGAGAATGCAAGAATTCCACAGAGCGCGTTCGTGGAGCCTGTTTGCTGCTGTCTCAAAGGAAGAGATGCCGATTTGTTGGGGTTCCCATCCTGGTATTCACAGTTAGGTTCTCCAATGACTGCAAAGTGCAGCATGTCCAGATTCCCTCGAGGCCTTGATTCCAAAATTTAGAACCCAAATACTCAAGGCATCTTGAACAAACTGTTCTTCATTTGATATTGATTGATGTCCTCCTTTCGCATACTAAATAACATTCGCTTTGCCCGACTAGCTTAGTGGTATCAAGACCCGAAGGATCTCATTCATTGGAGTTTGCAATCCGTTAGTCTACGCACGCAGCCCAAGCATGCACGGCGTAGAGACTCTCACCCCATATGCTAAAAATATCCAATGTCATCCAATGTGGATCTACCACGCTAACCTCGACAGTACATCTGCATGAAACTGCGTTGCATGTAACGCTTTCTCTGCCAAGGCTAAGTATACGATAAAGCCCGGCAGCCTCTCGCCAGGTGTTCCATATCTTTTCCATCATAACTTTTGATATGGATTATAGTTTTCTTTTCCTTTTTGGTATTGATTTAATCACTCTATGAGTCTCGTTCAATATTTCTAGCGGTTCACACGGCTCACATCGATTCATGTGGAGAGTATCAACAGCACATTTGAAGAACAGACTTTCTATCTGGACATGACTGGGAGGTAGAATAGAAAATGCAAAGTAAGAAGCGGTGAATGCACTTGAACACGACACTACTGTACTTATACTCGGAGATGTCACATCACGTGAATGTCTATATTAGGAAAGGGGCGCCTGCATCTCTAATTGGCCAAACTGTATATTATTCTCCTACAATTAAATTAAATTAATCTCAAACACAATGTACTGCATTATCAGTGGGAAGTGCCGAACATGCAGAGAGTGAGGCGAATTGTCAGAAGACCCGAGCCGGCACTAAAATTGCCCATTTTGTTTAGTCTGACAATTGTACTTTTCCCAATATTTACCTTTCACTGTTCTTCAAGTGGCTGTTGATTAATAATAACGAAAAAGAAAAAGAACAATGTGAAATCGAAAATTTGGTTTTCAGCTCACCTTGCATTGGTAGACATATATATATCGGGTCCATGTGCGAAGCAAAACATACATGTACGAATAACAGAAAAAAGCAAAGAAAGGCCAAGAAAAAAGCAAGCAAGGGTGCCTTCGGGAATCAAAGACGGCGAATATATACGCCTGCAACCCTAGCGGCCACACAATCCGGGTATCCTCATTTTGTGGCGGAGGCTTGCAGCCATCCAGTGATGGCCCTAGTGGTCGTGATGTGATGGGCTGAATAGGCTGACACCTCTAGCGCAAATGTACCCACTAGCGTAAACAATTGGGCTTAGGGCTGGGGAAAGGACAATCGATGTCAGACAATGGTCCACGCATCACAATATATCAACAAAAATAAGCATCTGGATATAGGTCCATGGGTCTCCTGTATGCATCAGCACCTAAGCAGCAAGCAAGAGATGGTTACCCAGCAGTATCACAACGACGAAGCCCCGCCCCGTGAACAGGTGCAGGACTGGTTGAAAATAAGACCACCCAATCTCCCCGTGCTATCTGATCCCGCACACTCCAGTAGTTTGAGTTTTCCTTGTACAGTAATCCCAGAGTACAATCCCTGTAGCCACACGCACTGAAACACATTATGATTACTCTTTGCTTTTTTTCCTTTTTTTTTTTTGAGATCTGTACAGTACTGTGGGTGTGAGACACTTCTGGCATTCTATTTATCCTCCGCTACAAGCCACGCTGGCTTCCGGGGCAAACTTAAAATCAAATAGGCGATCGTGGCAGATCACACTCTACTGCATTCTCGATGAATCGTGTCGCACGGTCATACCCACGTCGAAGCATGGCGTCTGCGAAAAGCCGTCGCAAGGGGCTTTTTGACTTATTTACATTAACGGAACACATGTGGGCGAATAATGGGCTCCACTGTGGATGTGGTATGCGCGCGGCTGATCTCTTGTTTCTGGGGGCGTTGCCGTGTTGCCGGTCTTACTTGTCACTTCCGAGAACTCCATTTTCAATTTGGATTTGCTTGATCGACGGGAAATTCAGACATGGCAGGGATGATGGAGAGGAGAGATGGGTTGGGGAAGGGAGAGGGAAGTACTGTACATGGGATTGATGAATTGAATATGAGGGGAGGAAAAAGAGACAAGGGGTAGAGCGACAACTGGAACATAGCGACAGGATTCGGCAGGTTAACTTCTCGCAGTGTCACTCAGGATGGGACTAGACACATTATAAGAGTGAGGAACCCCTCTGTTTCATAAGGGGAACGGCAGAGACAACGGCGGCTCGGCTAGCAAACCCTGTCTGACATGGAAAATGAGGCGTACCCAAAGTGGAGTTGGGCTTTATAAGAGCCATATAGCCCAGGGGTGCGGCAGTGGGGAATTTTGACTTCTAGCAGTTCACCTAGGGAGGAGTACTGGGTAAGTAACCAGGTACCTTGGAGAGTAGAATAGTCCATAATAGTATAGGTTGATCTTTCTCTCTATCCTACTCTACGCTACCTTACTCGGACCTCAAGTCAAGACAAGACAAGCACAAACATTCTCCACATGACGACACCACTACGGAGTGCGTTAGAAATCTCTCAAACTGCTCACTCCACGGGATCCACTTCAGGGCCGGAAAAATGTGCCCTGTGGCTGACCTGTGGCTCAAGATGGAGTGGCTGTCGAGAAAATAGACTGCGGAGGGCACTATTCCCTTTTAGGTAAGTAACGGGAACCGTCATGACGGAAGGGGCAAAATGCACTAGGGGGGTCTTGAGGTATGCAAGTCAAGGAACCCTGCAGGGTACTTTACACAAGGGGGAGGTGTGTACCGTAGGCTACTTGGATTGTATCCGGAGAAATGGTGGGAAGCAAAAAAGCAAAGAATAAAGAAATTACAAAAAATAATAAATAATAAAAGACCAGAGAGGGGGGGGAACAACAGGGTCACTCAACAGCTGCATGCACGCTTCCGGGTTTGGTCAGTCTGTGCTGCAGTTGATGTAGATCGGGAAGCGATATCATACCCAATGCCGACCAGAAAATATAGAAGGAAAAAGAAACACGAAAGAGATCTACCCAGCAAAAGGGGGCAAGGATCGAGCCCAAGCAGCACGGGCCAGTCATGCCGGGTGAGTTTAGGCCCTGTGGACTAGGCTAAAATCGGAGTGGCACGGAGAACAGTCGCACTAACGCACTAACGCACTAACGTACCTTAGAGCGCAACCACGGGGGAGTCCACCCCGAGACCCACTGGGGCATAGTCTTTATCATTACTCTATACTGCAGCACAGTATATAGTCTCAGGAATTTAAAAATTGGGTAGAGAGAATAGGCTCTTTATTTTAGAGCCACCGCCACACTCTTCATCTTATAAACAGGAGAAGGGGAAAATAAAATGAAAATAAAAGAATAACCGCCTCCAGATCTGACTCCACCGCACTAAGCCGTTCCTGGGCGTCAGCTGGTGTTAGCTAATCAATGGTGACGGCCGGGAGCTGCGCAACCACTAGCGTATCTTGGCGAAATTCACCTTTCCTGCCAGCCCCTCGACTCTTCCCTCTCTTCCCCCCTTAGGCTTTCATCCTCCTTCAATTCCCCGTTCCCCACATCTCGCTTCATTCTTCTTCCATCTACAGCTTGCGTTCAGCTTGTCGTGTCCTTTCCCCTTTCCCGCCTTTTTGCGCCCACACTCTTTTACCGGGCTACCCATCGATTTTTCCGATCCGGCACCCTTCACTGCTGGAAAGTGTCGTGTGAGGAACAATTAATCATCGTCACACCGATCATTTTTATCTATCGGGGAGGGATTGAGCATTGCGCCTTGTAGCTTCTATTACGCGCAATACTCGTGTGCTTCTGGTGTCGACTGTGGATTGCATCATCGTGTCGCAAACCCCGAGAGTTTGGTCGCGACACGGTCAGAATTAAACAACTAGCACCTCGGCTCCATCATCAGGAACCATGTCTCACACTCAACCTTCGCCTACCGCGGGTGTTGCTCCACACCATGCGCATCTCGCAGCGCATGCCCAGGCCAACGGCCATATGACGGCAATTCCAGTCCAGGCCCAGAAGCCTGGTCCTCTGACCACCGCCCAGAAGATTGCCAGTCTCAATGAGCAAGTCTGGCTACAAATAGGTAGGTTATTCACTCTGTATTGACTTAATAAAGCTAACAAGGAGGGTTGTAGGTAGCTTAACCGAGTTGATGGGTGATTTGGAGGGTGCGATGAACGCTTATGAGCAAGCTTTGCGCCATAACCAGTGGTCTGTTCCTGCTATGAACGCCATCTCGTGTATCCTGCGAACCAAGGAGCAGTTCCCTAAAGCGATCGAATACCTGCAAAACATCTTAAAGCTGGACCCAAGCAGTGGAGAAACCTGGGGTAGCTTGGGCCACTGCCATCTCATGATGGACAATCTGCAAGAGGCTTACACCTCTTACCAGCAAGCTCTTTACCACTTGCGGGATCCCAAGGTATGCGATTTCTTGATCAGTGGTGGCTTCCTGGTTACTAAGTCTCTTTTAGGAACCCAAGCTGTGGTACGGCATTGGTATCTTGTACGATCGATATGGTTCTCTAGATCATGCCGAGGAGGCCTTTTCGCAAGTTATGCGCATGTCTCCCGAGTTCGAGAAGGCAAATGAGATCTACTTCCGTCTCGGCATAATATACAAGCAACAGCAAAAATTCAGAGAGAGTCTGGAGGTATGTAGATGCCTGCTGCACAGATTGGGGCTTCACTAATTTTTGTACAGTGCTTCAAGTATATTGTTGGCGACCCTCCGCGTCCTCTAACTGAGGAAGATATCTGGTTCCAGATTGGTCACGTTCACGAGCAGCAGAAAGACGTAAGTCATTGGTCGTGCATATCCATGCTTCGTTGTACTAATTCAAGCTGCAGTTTGACTCTGCTCAAGCCGCTTATCAGCGTGTCCTTGACCGTGACCCTAACCACGCCAAGGTTCTCCAGCAGCTTGGATGGCTCTACCACCAGCAGAGCAGCGCCTTCCAAAGCCAGGAGAAAGCCATCCAGTTCCTGGAGAAGTCTGTCAATGCTGGTAAGCACAAATTAGATGTTCATAAAGTTTTCCTACTAATTCATCTTGCTAGATAACAACGACGCTCAAAGCTGGTACCTTCTTGGTCGTTGCTACATGTCGATGCAGAAATACCCCAAGGCATACGAGGCCTATCAACAGGCCGTCTATCGCGACGGTCGCAACCCTACCTTCTGGTGCTCAATTGGTGTTCTCTACTACCAGATCAACCAATACCGTGACGCCCTCGATGCCTACTCCCGTGCTATCCGCCTCAATCCCTACATCTCCGAAGTCTGGTATGACCTGGGCACATTGTATGAATCTTGCAACAACCAGATCGCCGATGCTCTTGACGCCTACGGACGCGCTGCGGATCTTGACCCATCCAACGTCCACATCAAGGCTCGCTTGCAATTGCTCCAAAGTCAGTTGTCGGGTTCGGCTCAACAAAACAATGCCCCCGCTCCCCAGCCTCAGGACGTTCATCCTCAGGCTTACCAGGCTCCTGGTGTTGGTCAGCCTCCCGCGCCTCAGTGGGGGGCTGCAGCTCCCCCCTCCGGCTCCGATCGGTCCTCCCCCTCAAGCTCCCGCTCCTCCCCGACAGATTCCCGACTGGAACCGTGGGATTAACGAGCTGGGGTCCCAAGCCCAAGCTCCTCCTGCCAACGGTGTTGACCCTCGCGATTCTCGCATCCCTGGTGTGCCTGCCCAGAGCCCCCGTCAGGAGCCTGGTCGCACATTCCCCGACCCTCGCGGTGCACCTCGCTCGCCAAACATGGGCGATCCCAACTCCTATCCGGCGCAGCACACCCTTCCCCAAATCGGCAACCCATCCGGCCCGGGGCATGAACGTGCCCCTAGTGGCGGAAATGCCTTTGGCGCTGGTCGCGGTGGTCTGCCTTCAGCTTCTGCCGGTCCTCCCGGGCCTCCTGGTCCCCCTGGTCTCAATGGTAATGCAGCTCCTCCACCTCCCTACCAGGGTCGTCCGTTCACTCCTCCGACTGAAATCCGTCCTATTCGCGATGCTTCCCCAGCATCAACTTATCCCGGCCGGCAGTACCACCCCGGACCTACTCTTCCCCCCCTCCGCTGCGGGTCCTAACTCCACCGGCATCGCCTCTGGTGCCCCGCCTCCTCCCTCTGCAGCTACTGCAGCCGACGCTGCCGCTCGCGACCGCGAAGATCGCCCTACATCTGCAATGAAGCGCGGCCGCGAGTGGGAGGCTGACGGTCCTGTGAAAAAGCTCGCTAGTGACGAGAGCCGTGCCCGTCTAGATGACCAGAACAGCCGCCGCGCCAGCCCGCCCGCTCGCATGCCTTCTCCTGGTGAGATGCAACGACGTAGCTCTTCGGAGGCTCGTCGCGAGGATGCCCGTCGTGCCAATGAGAACTATCATCCCTCGGAGGCTGCGCACCACCCTCCTACTCTGCCTTCCATTCAAGACATGCCGCCCCATGCTTCCAGTGGTCCCAGTCTTCCCCCAATGACTGAAGGCTCTGCTCCTCCTGCATCCAACGGACCTCCCTCTGTTCCTCCTTCGGCCAACACTCCGGTCAAGGAAGAGCCCACTCGTCCCGAGGCGCCTCCCGCTCATGAGCCACCTGCGCGCAAAATGGACGTGGACGAGGACTATGACGATGAGGTGGAGGAAGAGAAGAAAGCAACCGTATCCAAGGGCAGCCCTAATGGCAGCGCTGCTGGCAACCCGGCTAACGGCACTGCCCGCCCAGGCACCCCCTCCAAGACCGAGACCGCCTAAAAGTCTTTTATTACCCAGGCCACATACGATATGGTCCTACCCAACCAAATTCCCCCTCGCTCTCTTTCTCCTCAATGTCCTTCTTATTTCTAGTGTGTGATGTACGGTATGAATGTGCGAGTTACGATAACTGGCTTCGAGCGCGTGCGCTGCAGTCTTGTTTGTTCGTTCTCTTCTCTTATGATTTCTTAGTCTCCTTTCTTTGTGATTACTTATGGTGTGTGAGGCATCTTAGCAAATCCTTTTTTTTTTTTGACACTTTTGAATCCAGTAGACTTAAATTAACGAATCTTCAACTTTGGTATGTGCCAATTCGATCCTGTAAGAAAATGTCCAGTCCAATTTTGAAACAGCCGTATAAAATAACCTTGGTCCACAATGTAAGGCAGTTCACACCGTTTGCCTTGGCGTTCACCTCAGACCCATCAAATCCAGGGGAAAATGTGGGAAAGACACGTGATCCAGGGCTGGATGCGCTGATTACATAATATTGAGTGATTGTGGGGTGCCTCAGGCTACAAAGCTAGGCCCAGATAGGCTATACCCACGCCAAGAGTCTCGCTTAGGTTAGCCCACACACCAAGCGTGCAAAATCAACTTCGACACTTTCAGATCGTCACTCCCACCACCTCGACGACTAACGACACCAGGGTCAAGATGTGAGTCTTTCCAATATTATATCGACTGTCAATGCAATTGCTGACCTGCTTTCGCCATTCAGGAGTCACCGCAAGTTCGAAGCGCCCCGGCACGGTTCGTAATCAACTTTTTCATCGATGTCGAAATCTCGAAAATTCGGCCTCAATTCTGTGTGCGATAACTAACTCTCTTCCCAGGCTCCCTTGCCTACCTCCCGCGCAAGCGCGCTGCCCGTCACCGTGGTAAGGTGAAGAGGTCAGTCATTTCTAGCGTTTGAGAGAATTTGTGTGGATTTGTGTGCTGAGACTTTTGCGACAGCTTCCCCAAGGATGACGCCAAGAAGCCCGTCCACCTTACTGCCTCCATGGGCTACAAGGCCGGTATGACCACCGTCGTCCGTGACCTTGACCGTCCCGGTGCCAAGATGCACAAGAAGGAGATCGTCGAGGCCGTCACCGTCATCGAGACCCCTCCTGTAGGTTTTTCTTTGTGGAGAGAAAATTTCGAACGACCAGCTAACCAGTTTTCTTTCCTCTTTTTAGCTCGTTGCCGTTGGTGTCGTTGGCTACATCGAGACTCCCCGTGGTCTCCGCTCGCTCACCACCGTCTGGGCTGAGCACTTGAGCGACGAGGTCAAGCGTCGCTTCTACAAGAACTGGTACAAGTCCAAGAAGAAGGCCTTCACCAAGTACGCCAAGTCCCACGCCGAGTCCTCCGGTGCCTCCATCACCCGCGAGCTTGAGCGCATCCAGAAGTACTGCACTGTCGTCCGTGTCCTCGCCCACACCCAGATCCGCCAGACCCCCATCAAGCAGAAGAAGGCCCACCTCATGGAGATCCAGGTCAACGGTGGCTCCGTTTCCGACAAGGTTGACTTCGCCCGCAACCTCTTCGAGAAGACCATCGACATCGACTCCATCTTCGAGAAGGACGAGATGATTGATGTCATCGCCGTCACCAAGGGTCACGGTTTCACTGGTGTCACCTCCCGTTGGGGAACCACCAAGCTGCCCCGTAAGACCCACAAGGGTCTCCGTAAGGTCGCCTGTATTGGTGCCTGGCACCCTAACCACGTCCAGTGGACTGTTGCCCGTGCCGGTCAGAGCGGTTACCACCACCGTACCTCTTGCAACCACAAGGTCTTCCGCATTGGCAAGGGTTCCGATGAGGGCAACGCCTCCACCGAGTTCGACATCTCCAAGAAGCAGATCACCCCGTATGTTTCCCCTTTTTTTTGGTTTATCTTTGGATTCAACTAACTCTGTTATAGCATGGGTGGCTTTGTTCACTACGGTGAGGTCAAGAACGACTTCGTCATGGTCAAGGGCTCCGTTCCCGGTGTTAAGAAGCGTGTCATGACTCTGCGCAAGACTCTCTACCCCCAGACCAGCCGCAGGGCTACCGAGAAGGTCGACCTCAAGTGGATCGATACCTCCTCCAAGTTCGGTCACGGTGCTTTCCAGACCTTCGAGGAGAAGAAGGCCTTCATGGGTACCCTCAAGAAGGACCTTATCGAGACTGTTTAAGATGTTCCAGGCTATGGTTGGTGATAGTTCAACGTTTCCTATTCAATAAAAAAGCGAATACCTTCACATTTGTTTGCGTAAATCACCCGAGTAGATTGTTCAAGTGTATATCCGTTGTACAGAGGTTTAATTGGAATCAAACTAATTGAAATATTGAAATATGAATTTGTATGTTCCATGCTATATCAAATTGTCGTGTTGTATGAGATTGTTATGCTACATATATATCTTCAACATACCCATAGGATATACCTTTCTGGTTCAGGCATACTGTAAGCAACCGAACTATTGGAAATTGATTGTTCCGCACTTGAGCTCTACATATATTTCAACTCCAAACCTCAATACACCTCAAAAGACACCCTACTGACAGAATAAACCAAGTTTGACAGGCGAAACGCCATGCGGTCCAAGATCCATTGCGTCATCCCACACGTTTCCCCAACTGGCGCAAACAAACTTCTCCAAATCGCAACTCAACATCTCTTGCACTTTCCTCTACCCCGAGCCCAACTGATCCATACCCATTTACCTTCAAGACTTCCTCTTCGATCCTCTTTCTCAACGTCTACCACCATGTCTTCCGACGATGCCTACATGGCGTTCTTGAACAAGGCCAACGCAGACTCCAGCGATGGCCAGGCTCAAACCAGCCAAGAGTCCTCCGACGTCCTGCGCACCAAGACAGTCGACAGCTCTCTCTCCGTCCCAAAGCCACTTAAGAATATTGACGCCTACTACGTGTCCGACACAGATGAGCCCTTCGATCCTGTCGTGCTCAAGTGGGATGCTGCGAAGGATGATACCTGGCCGAGTATTGGTACGTTTACATCACTCCCCCGCATGGCTTCAGCCAGCTATCAACACTTAACACCTCAACAACCACTTGAGCTTTTACGCTGGCGCTCAAACCCGCCATGGACCCCAAACACTCCAATCTAACATCTTTCCCACTCTAGCTGAACTCGCCACTCTCATCTCCGAATCCAAAGACCTCTCCCGCTCAATCGAGTCCCTCCCCCTCACCTCCTTCGACCCGAAAGATCAATACCCCGAAGTCTTCGGCGCCGTGCGCGCCGCTGCAGCAGAGAAGAACCCCGATGCCACAGAGGAAGCTGTTGAGCTGAAGGTGTACAGAATTGAGATTACAACTACTCGTATCGAGTACTGGATTCTGGCTTTGCACGCGCCAGAGAAGAAAATCGTGGGTCTGCGCGCCAAGGCTGTTGAGTCGTAGGTTATCGAGTACGCTGAACTGCTGCGACGCGATGCGATGCGACGAGGACACGAACAGGAACACGACTCTGGGTGGAAACGCAATTGCAATCGAAGTGAAATGGAGTTTTTGATTTGATCGTGACGTGGACATGAAATGATATGAAACAGTTTAGCATATTCTGCCTTTCAAACCCTGCTTCTGCTATGCAGTCAACTATTGTCATCCCTACGAGAATACAATGAGAATATGTGGTTTGATCGTGGATCGTGGATCATGGATCTCCTGTATGCAGGTAGATATTGAAGCCTGTAGGTTGTGTAAGGAGCCTTGAGGATCCATGTCTCTATATTGGCTTGACACTGAGACTGGACACCTTGGAATGGAGGGGATCATGCCCTTGACAGCTTGGGGATGCATTCCTATGCCTTGGACGTTGGAGTTTCGGATTTTTCGGGACGCGTATACGGGAATGGCTGAGGATCTTGATTTGCGGTTTGAGGCAAGTTTCGCGGAGATTAGATGTTAACGTTAGTGATCTGTGTCGTGGGTATAGAGGAGGTTGAATGTGGCTGGGCGATGAAGCTGCGGATGTCTTACCCGCATCTTTGCTTAAACAACACCCCAAGATATACACCTCAACCGGCTTGACTGTCTGCTATCATCGTACTGGGTGCTCTACGAATATGCTGATTCTTGAATTCCGACCAGCATTCATGGTCGACCATTCTTTGCCCTGGGGGGCAACGGGAATGTCGCGCCTTCAGCACCCTGGCTCAGCGCAGGGCGTTGAAGGCTGGATGATATCTGTCAACAAACCCTCGACCAGTACATTTGAATAGAATGAATCAGACAATCTGCAGACAGCGCAACGGAACATCAGCCCAGCAAGATGGCCAACGGAATACAGCACAATTGACTTATTCCAGATGTGCAGTGCAAACACCGAGAGGAATAGACATACCAAAGGTTGCCCCCCTTGTCCCTCTGTCATTCCAGTCTCCTCGTGCACCCAAACAATCCCCTCGGGTCAATCTAGGCTCTTCTTTTCTTCCGTGGCTTTGGCATCTTTCTCAGCTTGTCTCTGTTTGCTTCTTCATCGCGTCGCCCGGGGACATTGGATGCCATCCGACTTGTCCTGTCCGTTCTTTCGGTGAACTTCGCACTACTCAACTGTGCAGTCTCAATCCCAGGTCTCCAGTCCTTACCAGGTCCGATATACAACAGGGCCATTGCCGGACGAACTGGAAGCAAGTCGACAAACAACAGGGCTCGAGATCACCTAATTACCAATCATACCAAAGACTGATACAATAGACGTGCTCGTTCATTGGGAGACCGAAAAGAGATAGAGAGTACCATCCTGGCGCACAGGAGACAATTGGGACCAAATAGCGTCACGCCAACAGCAATTAAGACATTTGGAATCGCAACCCGATGTCAGAGCATTCTGATATTTCAGAGGAACGGGCTATGGCCCCCCACATCCGACTCAACTCAGGTCGACAGGACCCCCTGACGGAGGCGAATGAGGACTACGCGCCTCTGACGTCGCGGACATTTCCGCGTCCTTTGACACCACAGGGCCCCGAACCTCCCGTGATAGGTGCACAAGGAGCCTCCCCATATGGAGTGTCGAATGCACCCGAGTCGTCCGAATTCTTGCTGCCACCAAAGTTGCGTCCGACGCAGGGATTCACCAGCCAGTCTGAGCGGCCGCGGTCACCGGATCGCTGGTCTGCAGCGCGGTCAAGTGTTAGCTCGCTCAGCCGCGAGAGCACATTTCCTCTGGACCCGTTTCATGATTCTAGGGCGTCTTCTAGGTCTGAAGGGGATGAGCATGATATGAATACGCAGACTGTTTCGGAGAAGTTCAATATCATGCCTACTGACGGGCTTTTGTTATTTCCCGAGGATGTTGAGAAGGACGATTACATGCACAACCCCGATCCTAAGGATCAAGACCGGGATTGTGATATGTGCAATCGTCGGGGTATCTTGAACATGGGTGGATTGGCTGTTTTGACCGTGGGAATTATGGTGCTGTTCATCGGATATCCTCTCATGTAAGTTCTTTTTGGCTTTTCTGACTATTCCCATGCTGACCATCATGAAAGCACTTGGCTGGAAGGCATTATGAAGCCAAGGAGTGTATGTCATCCCCATGACACACTCTGTCTGGATGTAGGGGAGAGGGACTTGTTGGGCAATATTCGACACGGATTGATTGATCCGGACACACCAAAAGACGCACTCACCAAGAAAAACATCAATGGCAAGGAGATGAAGCTGGTGGTAAGTTGTTTCGCAATTTGCTCGAGAGCAATTAGTAACATGGATGCAGTTCTCCGACGAATTCAATATGCCCGGCCGGACCTTCTTTGAAGACGACGATCCGTTTTTCCAAGCCGTTGACCTGTGGTACGGAGTGACTGCCGACAAGGAATGGTACGATCCAGATGCAGTCACAACATCAGAGGGCACACTCCAGCTTCGATTTGACCACTTCGAGAACCACGAGTTGCAATACAGATCAGGCATGGTCCAGACCTGGAACAAGCTCTGTTTCAAGGGAGGCCGTTTGGAAGCTAGTATGTCGCTACCTGGTGATGGACACATCGAAGGTTTCTGGCCTGGTTTCTGGGCAATGGGTAATCTGGCGCGTCCTGGTTACGCTGCAACCACTGATGGCCTGTGGCCATATAGTTACCACGACGGTTGCGATGCCGGTATCACTCCTAACCAAAGCGCACCCGATGGTCTCAATTGGTTGCCCGGCATGCGTCTGCCCGGATGTGCTTGCCCTGGCTCTGATCATCCCTCTCCTGGCCGTGCTCGCAGTGCCCCTGAGATTGACGTTATCGAAGGTAGCACTGCTGCCCTGTTCGGTGATAGCGGCCCATTCGTTGGTAGCGCGTCACAAAGTTTGCAGACTGCACCCTTCGATCTGTGGTACCTCCCTGACTATGGTAAGTGAATAAGCCCTCCCGTTTGTCTCATTCTGCTCACTAAATCCTTAGACTTTGCCGCTGTCTACGACGACCGCGTAACCCAAATTAATGCCTACCGTGGCGGTGTCTACCAACAAGCCATGTCCGGACTCACAAACCTGAACTCACGCTGGTACAATGGCACTGAGTACCAGACCTACTCTTTCGAATACACGCCCGGTGCCGAAGGAAACGTTACTTGGTTCGTCGGCGCTGACAAGACCTGGACACTCGACGGCCGCGCTATCGGACCAAATGGTAATGTTGGCCAGCGCATGATACCATTGGAGCCTATGTCACTCGTTATGAACATGGGTATGGCAGACAACTTTGCACCGCAAAACAAATCCATCCGCGATTACATGCCCGCCTTCCTCCGCTTCGACTATGTTCGCATTTACCAGGACCCCGATGATGAGAGCGTAACCTGTGACCCGCCTGGTTGGGAGACGACACAGTATATCAAGGACCATCCTAAGGCATACGCTAATCAGAATTATACCACTTGGTATGTTGCCCCCCTGTCGCATCTTTCTCTTGAGCCTTTTGACTAACCTACTTTCCGTTGTAGGGACGATGCTGGATACAACTGGCCCAAGAACTCCTACATGCACGACTGTGCAGCTAAATAAACTCCTTTCCTTCTTCTCTTACCTGTTTCTTTTGCTCTCTTATAATTTATCAGTCGTTTTAGCGGCATTGTGTTATGGCGTTGTCGGGGGTCTGTCTGGGCATCCGTTACATTACATTTATTCCTGGATCTATCGATAAATCCAATCATTTAGTCCTTACACTTTTCCTAGCACCATATTGATACTGCTTACAGACTATCCACCGGTCTGATAAGCTTAATACAAGTGCAAGCACCGGTAGACATAGCGGCATCGTAATGTGATGTGTAAATGGACAGATTTCCGGCATCTAAAATCAGAAAAAATATACTGTGCTGGATGATTCCTAAAGAGCTGCAAGACCGACTCATCACCAGAAAAACCAGGTAGCCCTATCTCAACCCTATAACGAAGTGTTGGATCAAGCAGCTTATTCTGCCGATACTGCCAAAATCCACCGCTTCCCTGGTCCAGCCAGAGGTCAACGCCAAGCACAAAGAGTAACCTCATCATCCCGTCCTCCTGAGGCTGTCTATAACCTCCTTTGGTTCTTGACAGACTGACACAAAAGGCCGTTTGATACAATCCTGCTACATTCAAGCAAGTGAGACAATTAATAGCCTGCTGCTCTGCCGATATCATTTTCAAATGAACTGACTTGTACTATAGATCTCCTCTGGGTCTGAATTCAATATAAGATCCAGTCGGCGCATTTCTGTCATTGGCGTCATCTCCGGTGTCCTAGACCAAAGTCCCATTTTTCTTATTTCGGAGTCACCTGCCAATACATTTGGCTGTATTGCCTTTGGCAAGTGCGACTACTCAAGTGGCGTAGACGGTGTCGACGTGACATTCATCTGTCGTGTTTACGCCTTCCGAGATCCAAGCACCCGACTAAATCCACTCGATCATTCTCAGCATGACTGACTTGAGCACCTTCATTACCTCTGTCCCATCGGAATCGGAATCCGACTCCGATGATGATGGTGGCATGCATCTTGACCCTAGCGAGAACAATGATATTGATATCATGAGATACGCGGACGAAGAAGGTACGGGTGTTCTTTTCACCGTATGGAGCCCTATGCCGCTTTATGCATCTTGTCCCATCTTGATCCTTCATATCCCCAATATCAAGACACGTGTTGAGCACCGCTCTACTTCTTCGAACGAAGCCAACTGATCAATCAATCCAGATTCCTTCTCCTTCACCGCCCCAGATCCCATGTCTCCATCCTACGACCAAACCAACAACGTTGAAAACATTGGCCCCGACAACACCGTCCAAACCCCAACCGAGTTCGAACGGGATATGCGCTCGCGCTCGCATCTCCGTGATGAGAAACATGCCGCTTTGTCGGTCCTAATGGACCGGGAGTTACTAGTCACCTATGCACTTGCTGCGAGAGAGGTACGTCCGCACTCCAATCCACTACATTGACTCTGAGATCTCTCATACGTACTCTTGAACACCCTGCCAACCAACGCCACCACAAAACCTAACCCGAGACTAAGACCAAACTAATTCCAAAAAAAACCCAGACAATCCCCCAAACCCGTCGCCGCTTCATGGCAAAGATGCTCTGCCCCAACGACCCAGTCAAAGCAGAGGAACTCTATGCTCCTCGGATTTACCTGCCCGCCCAGACATCTGGCGGGGAGGCGTCTACTATCCGTGGCCGTCTCCACGATATCCTCGACAATGACGAATCGGGCTGGCATAATCCCACCGCTCGGCGCGTGCACAAGGGGTCACGATCGGCTTCGGCTTCGGCGTCACGTTCTGCGTCGGCTAGTGGCAATAATTCGCCCCGTCGGGTTTCTTCTGGTGTTGGGCTCGCTGCTGGGATTACTGGTGGTACTGCCAGGACTCGTACTTCACTCCAGGCTCAGGGCAGTGATGATGAATGCTTGTAATTGGTTTACATCTCCGACGTGATGTGATGGGATCTATGACTGCTATGATACCTTCTTTCCTGTTCTGCTTGTGATGGAACACATATTGATACTGGTTGCTTGACTGGTTGATTTACCTGGATTCTTTGTTTTTTTTCGTATGTATTAGCGATTCGCGGCTTATGTCTTTGTCATGATTGTGCTTCTTTTTTGACCATCGCGTGTATCTGTTCATGGTAGATGACCGGCAATGTAGCACTTTTCGAATTGAATACCTTGTTCTTTTGATCCACTACTGTTGTATGCTTTGTTTAATCTGAATATCTTGGTTAGACACCTTTTGCTTATTCTTCATTTGTCAATGAGGAATGAAAATTGCTGTTATAGTTTACAGCCCCACAGCAATCTTAAAAAGAGACTGAAAGAATAGACTATGTAAATTCGCTAAAACTATAAACAAAGTACTGTACAAAAGAAACCAAATCCATAACAGAACCAACCACAGAGAAAGTGAGAGAAAGAAAAATGAAATGGATCATGGATCATGAAAGGGTAATGGGTATCATCGGAATGAAAGACCAGCAGGGAACATCTTCCGGGCCGGGTAGTGTGTTTTTTTGTTGTTTTTCTGGGGGGACTCTCCCTCAATTCAAGAAGATAACATCACCTCAGAAGATCCCTCCTAGGAAGGAAGGCAAGGTGGTACACTCAGAATGAGAAGAGGATGAGTCCTCATCGTCAGACTGTTGAGTCATACTAAGAAGCAACAGCCACCAAAATCGGCAGGGGGAAGATCCAAGACTTGAGAGAGAGAGAGAGAGTCAGCCACAGAGAACAGAAAAAAAAAGGAAACCAAGACGAGCATGTGGGGAGCCCAATCGCTACCTACGTCTCATTTTCCTCTTTCCTCCGCTGTTCCGAGTGGAACAGACTCTCCGCGTCTCCCACCTGCTTGCGCTCTGAGACCTCACGGTTGCGCATGCGCGCGTAGTGGGCCTGGGCGTTCATCAGTGTCAGTCCTCGAGGCGGTGCGGGTTTGGGCTCCGGATCATTGTATACGGGGTGCAGGCGGTGCTGGGTGGTGATCCGGACCCGACCGTCTCTCATGACAGGTGATTGTCATTGCAGGGGTTCCGAGCTGGACGAGAGACGATTCAAGTGAAGGTAGACGTCGGTTCCGTATCTATTTAGTGTTAGGGTAGGTCGGAAGAATTGATGGGAAAAGACTTACCCCTCCATGCTAATCAGCTTGAGATCACCGCCAAAGTAGCGGGCGTACAGTCTACTGATGGGTAGACCGTATCCGAATCCTGCCATGGGTGCCTTGAAGTCGTTCTTGTCAAAGTCAGGGTCCAGATTAGGAGTCTGCTCCACTGTCGTGTACATATAAGTCCACACCAAGGGGATGGCCGATCGGGGGATACCACCACCCTCATCAGAGATCTTGATGGTGATGTCCTCTTTACCCTCGGCGACAATCACTTTGGTCACAGGGAAATCTTCCTTGTCGGCTCCATGCTGTTCCACAACCGCTCGCAGGGAGTTCTTGAGAGTCTCAAAGAGCATGTGCGAGAGATGGCCGGGGACATACATGAAGTTCAGATCATCCTTGCAGACCAGCTGCACCTTGGGCGACTCGAAAAGACCATAGTAATCTTCACAGACAAATCGAGCATTTTCAATGGCCTCGAGCGCAATATCGCGAACATTGGTCTTGGTACAGATTATTCCGACGTAGTTGGGGTGTTTAACGTGCGTTTGTTCCGTGAGTGCAATGTGTTGACCAATCAGCATTCGTATACCGATGCGGGACATGTAAAACCGGTCGAGGAATGACTGAATGGTCGAGTCGATCTGCATGCGTTGCCGCACCCGTTTCCACTCCAATATACCCTGGGCGACGGTCGTCACAACTCCGTCGTGACGCCGCTTGATCTGTTGCAAAGTCTTGGCGAATCGTTGGTTATAGTCGTTGAGTTCCGGTGGCCAGTCTCCGTGGTCGTCCGCTGGGAAAAAGTACCGTCGGCCTGCAGCAGGCGCTTTTCCGTTTCCGTTGCAATTGCCCGCGGTCACCGAAGATCGGTATTGTCCGTCGCGCACACTGGGGTTCTGTGTTGTCTCTGAGAGGATCTTGGAGGTGCCGTTCATCCGACCCGGTCGTAACAGGCGTGCTTTGACTTCCTGAGTCAGAGTTGGGCGGGGAAGGCTGATAATTTCCTACTTTCGGTTAATTCATGCATCTGAAAATGTGAGTGAAAATCCATACCTCAAACGACTGCGCATACCAGTCCTGAACCTTTTTGATGGATGGCATTTCACTCAGTCCATCCGGGAGCTCCCCCAGATCCTGCACCCGATGTGCGAGCCGAATTGGGAGCTCCTCGGAGAGGAATTGGGAAGCGCGAAACAGAGTACCTAGAGGCGTCAGACCAGCTATATCTCCCGGCCATCAGTAGCACACACCTGTGGAGGGACGGTCGCCAAATTGGACCATCTGCCTCAGCGAGACACCGGTTGCGGGGAAGCTAGCATAGTGTCTGATGGTTTCCATCAGCCTTTCTGAAGGCTTCCACATGGTGGGTCAATGAGGCCTCTTGGCCTGACAAAATGTATGAAGGGTGAGTCAACAATAGCCAAAGCTGGGGAAGAAGAAGAAGAAGAGGTCGCGTGTGAGTAATCTCGGGTCGTTTTCAACTGCCGAGGTCGACTGCACTCGGGGGTCCGCATCCTCCGGGAATCGGAGCTTGCGTCACAAGATCAGTTTCTCCGTCGGATTTGCACACACTTTTTGTTAATATTAACATTCAATTACGATTAGTAGGTTATGTGAATGTGCTTTTACTTAAATTGTGGGCAAGGAAACTACCAGATATCAGTTGTATATAAAAATAAACTAAACAGACATATATGTAAGTTAGCATGTCAAAATACCGTCCATGAACTAAGATCCCCTTCATCATATGACTGCATCTCCCCATTCCCCGGATCTCCCCTTTCGTCCGAGATGAGGTCATTGTCTATTCTGCACCCTGACTAAGCAGCCCTCTAAAGTAGAGACTCTGTTTGACCGGTTTGCACTGTCTCTTCCTCTGATTGGCCAGATTGCATCTATACTGGTCCTGCACCTGTTGACAGTCGACATCCGTCACAGTAGATCTACTGGAAGCTCCCAAGCTCCCAGTTTCTCGTCTCTGATCTATTTTCGACTTCGGACATCTCTATCCCGGGGTTGATCCCAAGATCCTGCTCCAGCACTGTCCCGTGGCCGAACTCACGTCACCGTCGTCTTCCCTATCTTGGTCTCAAGTGGGATCCTGGACACTCTCCCATCTCAGACGCTGCCATCCCCGGACCTGATTACCGGATGCTCTCCTGAAGCCGAAGTATAGCCGTTCCCCCGGAGTCCTGGATTCGAGGGGCCGCATGACTAAGCCCGATATCAGAAGCTCGTACCTGGTCCAGTTTCTGTACTTTTGTCACATCGCTCGAGATCTTTTCTCACTTCCCCGTCGACTGTCATGTCTTCTCTCTGAGCATGGAGACTGTCATTCGCCCGTATTCCCCCCGCTCCGCTTTCTGGATCCTCAAGATTCCCTTTTCGAGCTCATGCTGTTGACGTGCAATTACTGCCTCTGACTGGCTCGTCGTGATCGCGCCCCTCTCTTTTGTGTGCGTTGGCAATATCATCCAATTTCCTCTAAAAAAATTTAAGAGAGAGGGAAAAAAAAAAAAAAAAAAAAGCCCCCCAAACAACCCTAACCGCGATCTTCAAGAGTTCAATCCCATCCCAATCCAACTTCCAATCTTCCTATCTCCCCAATCTCTCCTTTTGACATATATCATATACATATACCCCATACTCTGCTAGAACCCTCCGAACAAAAAAGACAAAAAGACCTTTCTACCAAAAAAAAAAAAAAAAAAATCCCACATACCCTCCGTCCCCCGAACAACATGTCTCGCCGGCGAACATCACACAGCGAGATGAACGAGGCCCTCGCCTACCCCTACATGCAGTCCAACGGCCACCAATACCCGAACAACAATCAACACATCCCTCAACCTCATGTACAGCCCCCCTCCCCTCCCCGCCGCGGTCCCATCGAGGGTCCCAATGGCCGTCGCCTCATCCGCCGCGTCACCTGGCGCTCCTCAACCTACAAACTCATGGCCTCGCTGTGGGTGCTCACGGTTCTTTACATCGTCTGGCTGGTCCGTGACCTCTTCTACCTCCCCGTCCCGCCTGCCGAGTCTGCTCCGCCTCAGTAGCTTTAGCTTGAGCTGTTAACGGCGCTGTCTTGGGTTGGTTGGGTCTTGGGACTAGTGGGGGGGGCAGAAGGGAGGGGGGCGGCTTGTGCTTGGTGGGCTTGGGCGCGGGCTTGGGCTTGGTGGGCTTGGTGGGGGGTGGATTGGCATGTCATGTTTGCTTTGCTTGTCCCCTGTTCCTTGTTCCTTGTTCCTGTCTGCGTCGTCAACGCCCTTCTGCTATGCTTAACTGGGGATATGAATGTGGACACGGATCTGGAAATGGATATGGTGCCGGGAATCACTGAGGGGACTGTTGCGCCCAAACCGCCATTTCGGAGTGTGAGCGCATCCTACTCTTTTCCTCTAGGCCTGTGTTGAATGGGTCGGCGCTTACAGGCGCTCCGCTTCTGTTGCTTTTTGGTATTTTTTTCTCTCTTTTTTTTTCCCGCCCACAGTGATCCCACTCGTTCTTTGACCCGTGTCTTGCCGGATTTTATCTCCGGGAATTCTCCGGTGAATCAGTGTGCCATTGGGATTAAGGGCCATATGGAACCTCGTTCTCTCTGGTCTTGCCTCTGTCCGCGTGACCCCGTTGCGCAAGAATCCTTTTGGGATCGAGATGCAGATGAGGTCTATATCTGCATGTCCCGCTTGTCGGGCATGCAAATACCCAATTGGCACCCAAGAGTGATGCAGCTTGGGTTCTGTTATGCATGTTGCCTGCGTTCTTGTGTGTGTGTGTGTGTGTTTGTGTGTGTGTTTTCTGCATTTTCTTACTCTGCATTTGTGCGTTATGGTTTTCTTTGACTTGTCCTTTTCTTGCTTTACCAGCACAGCATGTCCTCAGCGTTTGATAGTTTTGTCAGGTCAACCGCCTGGTCATACATTCCATTTGTTTTCCTTTGTTTGGGCGGCTCCTCTCTCTCTCTCTCTCTCTCTCTCTCTCTTGCATATACAGGCAAAAGCGGGTTTTAGAATGTGTTCTATGTTCCTTCGCTTCAATGAAGATATGAGATCACATCCAATTTATATCTTTCGGGCGGGGAAGTAGGGAAGTGGGGCAAGTGTGTGTGCCCGAGGCTATTCGACTTTTCATTTTCGGCAATATACATAAACTTCCTCTATATTCATTTCGGGGGGTCGTAATTCTTGACTTGCCGTTTAAACGTGCAGAGCAGAGGTCTCACCCTTGGCAATGACAGCGGCGTAGGGCTTGATGGCAGCAGCCACCTCGGTAGAGGTGAACTTCTCAACCTGCTGGGGAGCACGGCCAACGAAAGTGCTGGCATCGAGGAGAGTCTCGAGCTCGGGGATGATGGGGTTGAAGAAGGCAGTGCGGCGGATACGCTCAATGAGGTCATTGTCCTTACCCTGCTTCTTGACGTTGTCGGCAGCTTGGTGAGAGAGGACACCTAAGGTAGGATTAGATTGGCATCTAGTGAGTGGATCGAGAGACTTACGGATCTCCTCGTGGGCATCCTGGCGGGAGAGACCCTTGGCAACACAGGCCATGATGATGTTCTCACTGATATACAATTAGCGACTGACTTCCACGTAAAAGTGCCGTACTTACGTGGCCATGAAGGGAAGCTCATCGTTGACATGACGCTTGATGACCTCGGGGTAGACGACGAAGCCGGAGGTGACGTTGTCTATAGAAATTAGTCTCAAGAGTAGAATGATGTTCTCAAGTAAAACTCACTCAGGAGGATGAGACAGGCGTCAGCGGAAAGGTAGAGCTCGGGAATGCTGATACGGCGAATGGCACTGTCATCCTAGTCAAAGTCAATACGCGTTCTGCCTCAAACAAGGGAGATACTCACGAGAGATCGCTCGAACCACTGAGCAGAGTAAGTGTCGAGACCGTCCTTGGGGAGGTTCTGCAAGTGACGTCCAAGGGAGCACAGACGCTCTGAGCGCATAGGGTTACGCTTGTAGGCCTTCGAATAATCAGCCACAAAAACTTAAACACTCGAAGCGGGAATCTTACCATGGCACTGCTGCCAATCTGGTCCTTCTCGAAAGGCTCCTCGACCTCCTTGAGCATGGCAAGGTGACGGATGTCAATACCGATGCGCTCGCAGGTAGCACCGAAAGAGCCCAGAGCGTTGCCAACATCAACATCGATCTTGCGGGTGTATGTCTGACTGGAGATGATGAAGGCAGAGCTGAAGCCGGCCTTCTCGGTAACGAGCTCATCGAGGCTCTCGACCTTGGCGTGGTCGCCGTTGAAGATCTGGAGGAAAGAAGCCTGAGTACCGGTGGTACCCTTGACACCACGGAAGCGCAGGTCGTCACGGGCACGCTCGAGGTTACGCAGGTCCATCAGGAGATCCTGGATCCAGAGACAAGCACGCTTGCCGACGGTGACCAGCTGGGCGGGCTGACCGTGGGTGAAACCCAGGCAAGGCAGGTCCTTGTACTGCTGGGCGAACTGGGACAGCTTGTCGACGACAACAGCCAGCTTGGGGATGAGGATGTCGAGACCATCGCGGAGCAGAATAAGGTCGGCGTTGTCGGTGCAGTAGCACGAGGTGGCACCCCAGTGAATGATACCAGCAGCAGCCGGGGCGACCTGACCGAAGGCGTGGACGTGGGCCATGACGTCGTGTCTCCGGCGCTTCTCCTCCTCAGCGGCAACGGCGAACTCGTCGTCCTGGATGACCTCGTGGGCCTTCATCTGATCGAGGGCCTCCTGAGTGATAGGAAGACCAAGCTCTGTAGCCATTTCAGTCAATTGGGATGCTCTCTTCAACAACATCCGATGTCGGCAATGGCTTGACATTCTCCCGTACCTTTTTGGGCCTCGGCGAGCCAAGTCCAAAGCTGTCTCCAGGTGGAGAAACGCTTGCGAGGAGAGAAGAGATACTTCATCTCAATGCCTATCAATTGACCGCGATTAGTATCTATACAATTCCTGGGGTTGCCCCTCATCGAGGGGTATGGTTCGACTTACTCGCATAACGCGAGTTAAGGGGGGTCTGGTAGACATCGTTGCTTCCGGACATTCTGTCGGTGTTGTCTGAAGACTCAAAAGACAAATTGAGTTACAGGAAGGACGTATAGACTATGACAAGGCAATGTGCGAGCAGGAAATTTTGCCGCAGCCCGATAGCGGGGCTTATCAGTCACGTTATCGAGATCTACAAGTCACGTGATAGATAGATCGATAGGAAGTTACATTTGCATTATGGTATTGACTCGTATAGATAGGCTCGTTATGGATCAACCAAGCTGTGCTAATTGCACAGACAGACTGTTCTTGTCGTACTTGATGTACTTGCCACGACCCTTGTCGATCTCGACATAGCGATCGTAAAAGCGGGCATACAAAGGCTCGAGAACAGTTTGAAGCTCCCGAGACAACACAGTGCGCACCTCGCGCTCCATGTGCAGATTCTTGTGCCGAGATACCATGTCGTCGAAGCTTGCGTTGAAAGATTTGAACTTTTCCTTGATCGCATCTCTGTCTTTGGACGACAGACTTTTGACAATGGCACTTGAATCGGTGGCACCTCCAGAACTGGCTCGTGCCCCAGAGCGGGAGGTGTACTGAACATCGAGGAGGTACTGTGATGTTTCCTTCCACGCATCAAGGTAAGTGGATGTTGCACGCTTGCGGAACGTGTCGATTCTGGCGATGCTGTCCGGCGCACCTAGGTAACGTGCTAGTTCTGGGTTCTGTCGGATTGATCGGTCGACAATGCAGAAAACGTTGGACAAGAACACACCAAGTGCAGCCTTGGATCGGTGGAATGCTCGACCCCGAGCTTCTAAAGAGGTCATCAAGGACTCAATCATGTCCAGAATGAAGTGCGAAAGAAGAGTGCCGCTATCCGGACCCACATCCAAAGGAGCGCTTCCACTGGCATTGGCTTTGGTGCGCCAATTTCCATCTCCCAAGGATGTCAAAATAGACGCCAATGGGCCTGAGTAGCCAGTGAGTGTGGCTAATGAACTCATCACTTCTTCCACAAGCGGCACAGATCCGCCGTCTGGCGGAAGTGGCGTGGTAGCAGCTTTGCGTTTCGTTTCCTCGAGCAATTCAGAGAGTGACGATTTCGCAGTGTCGCGAACAGGTCGCAAAGCCTCGATTAATGCGGCCTTAAGCTCTGCAGACTTGGTATCAATGCGATAGGACATTGCTGTCACAATTTCAATAATCTCGAATGCCAGGAAGCAGTCTGTCATCAGATTGGCCTTGATGTACGAATTGAGCTCTCGCAATGTTACCGAATATTCATTCATGGTTGTGGAGAATGTTGCCTGCAAAGCCAGGCCCTGCTGGTCTCCGCTGAACAACTCGGTGATAATATTGTGCTCTGTAGTGATGAAGCCTTCCAGCGCATTGGAATAGATACCAATGCCATTGGTGCCTTGTCGGTAGGGGCCATCGGTCGCTCGGCGTTTAACAGTATTGAGAGATGCAATGGAGAGATTCTGCAGACAGTTCTTGATATAGGGCCCCCGTACCTCTGCATACACCTTCAGCGCGGGGTTCTCCCCCTTGCCGCGCTGTGGTCCATAGATATGTGCGGATCCGACTGCTGCACATAAAGGTGCTAAATGGGAGACTGTTTCTTCGGGAATGGATGGGAAGGGTAGGTCTAAGAGAAACTTGCATTAGTTTGGGTTTCGTGGGCTCGGTGAGATGCGTACCTTTGGTCAGATAATGTAGGGGTTCAATGGGAGTAGCGTGTTGGTTCAACTCCTGTCGTAACATCTCCTGCAGCTTGGCACTGCCGGTATTCAGAAGCGCATTGAAGTCGGTGATCGCATTCTGGTTAGATCGCAGGTTTGTTGTACTGAGGTCGACCAGCGCCTTTTCAACACGTTTCATGGCCGCCAGATACTGGGTGAGGCCGGAACTCTGTGGTCTAGCAGGAGTCAGTAAAGCGCAGTTCCATGTAGTAGATTAAAGGCGCGTACCCTGCGCGGATAATGCCATCCTCTCGTTTCTTTGCATCGAGGGGCTGGCGCAAGCGATCGATCGCATCATTAACCTTGTCGATATTGCTGTTTGTAATTTGAAGGGACTGAGTGTTGCTGTATATAGGGCCAATGGCTTCCTTGACGACTTTCCCACCAGTCTCTAGGCGTACCATGGACCCTTGGATCTTCTTTGTGAGGCGGTTGAGCTTCTCGAGGTTGGCGTACAACACCTCGACCTCGGCACTCTCCTCGGCATAGGCAGTATTCCGACCCACCATGGTGATAGTTCAATCCAAGCAATCAAAGACCATGCCTGAGACGGTCATGCCTAGAGAGAAGGTCTGAAGTGTTCCTCCGACCTCCGATAAGCTCCCCAGACTGTTTGGCACGCTAGTCCCAAATCAGCCAGACCCGTGATATCGGATCACGTGCAAAGAGCTTGAAAGTTGGCCCTTGGGGGACAATTCCCTGTCCAATTAGTGTGATTTCAACGTACGTGGATTCGTATGAATATTGAAACTCGGATTGCCAATTACCAGCTACTATCAGACTACCGTGGCATGATATTGCAGCAAATTGTTGAGGTGGAATTACGTCATGGTTGATCGCCAGGTCCCAATTCGTACAGTGGCTTGGAAAAAGTAGGCAGGGTTAACTTTTTAACTTTTCCTTCCTCTCAATGGATCTGGATGCCGCATGCCTGTTGCATTCGACACTCTCCCTTCGTGATCATGGGTGCTGCGAGGGTAACTGGTCTTAAATGGACTGTTCCCCCGGCCGCCCTAGCTGCATATACTGCGGGGGAATGGTCTCACCCCAGAGCGAAAGCGCGCTTCAGCACTTCTAGACCTCAATCAACAAACGAGTCCAAGTCCAATGCACCTTCAGACGACCAAGAAAAGGACTATGGCTCTATCTGGAATAACATTGTGCATAAGCTCGATGGCGTCAAGCACACTGTTGGCTCTGCCGAATGGGTAGACGTCGGTAGCATTACCAACCTCATCATTCCGGACTGGGCACGGTTCATTCCAGCTACAGCGCAAAAGCTCCAGCGAGAGCTGTCCCTATCTCCTGGGTCATTGGCAGATGACATATGGAAAGAGGCGCAAGATCCGGATGTCAATCCTGAAATCTTGCAGGATGCCACGGTACGCGTTAGTGGTGACCTCTGTGACGAGGAGCAGACGTTTAGGCGTCATCGACAAAAGAGAGTTGTGAAGGCATTGGCGTCATACCTCGGTATTGCTGAGGAGGACATCCACCCTGATGATGTCCCGGTCATTGCCATGTGTGGCTCGGGCGGTGGCCTGCGTGCACTGGTTGCGGGTACGGGCTCGTACCTAGCTGCACAGGAAGCAGGGCTATGGGACTGTATCACTTACACTGCCGGTGTCAGCGGCAGCTGCTGGCTGCAGACTTTGTACCACTCGTCCATCGCGCATCGTGATTTCAACAAGCTGGTCAACCATTTGAAGAATCGGCTTGGTGTTCATATTGCATTCCCGCCTGCAGCTCTCAATCTGCTGACAACTGCCCCGACAAACAAGTACCTTCTTAGTGGGTTTGTGGAGAAGTTGAAAGGCGACCCTGGAGCAGACTTTGGGCTGGTAGATATCTACGGGTTGTTACTTGCAGCGAGACTTTTGGTACCGAGAGGAGAGCTTGGGGTCTCGGATCGAGATTTCAAGCTTTCCAACCAAAGAGTGAATCTAATGGACGGTGCCCATCCACTTCCCATCTACACGGCAGTCCGCCATGAGATTCCCGTTCTCGATCAAGAAACCAACAAGGACGAAAAGAAGCCCACCCGCGAGCAGCTGGTGAAGAAATCCCGAAGCGAAGCCTGGTTTCAGTGGTTCGAGTTTACTCCCTATGAATTCTTCTGTGAAGAACTCAATGCCGGTATTCCTACCTGGGCACTCGGTCGACACTTCAAAGAAGGTCACTCACAGGCTTCTTCTGAATATCTCCCTATTCCCGAGCTGAGAATTCCCGGGCTGATGGGTGTTTGGGGTAGCGCTTTCTGTGCGACTTTGTCCCATTACTACAAAGAGATCCGGCCCCTGGTCAAGGGGCTTGCTGGGTTTGGTGGTGTCGATTCTCTCATCCAGGGCAAGAACCAAGATCTGATCAAAGTGCACCCAATTGATCCTGCAGGCATACCGAATTATGTCATGGGCATGAAAGATAAGCTACCCGATTCCTGTCCTGAATCCATCTTCCGGAACGACCACTTGCGTCTTATGGACGCAGGCATGAGCAATAACCTCCCAATCTACCCACTTTTGCGCCCTGGGCGTGATGTCGATGTCATTATCGCATTCGATGCATCTGCAGATATCAAACAAGAAAACTGGCTTTCTGTCGTGGACGGATACGCGAAACAACGTGGTATCAAAGGCTGGCCCGTCGGCGCCGGCTGGCCCAGAGCAAATTCAAGCATTGAGGATACCGAGAACGCCCTGCGCGAGCCCCAGAACATCACCGATGATCAAGCAAGCAAAAAGCTCAACGAAGCCATAAAGCATGGCTCGAAAAAGTCAGCTTCCGATCAAAAGGCCAGCGACAGTACGGACCTGGGCTACTGCAACGTTTGGGTCGGTACCACTGAAGAACGCACCTCAAATGAGGAGCCTCCACCATCGAAACGACTGTTTAATCCTTCCCACAGTGAAGACCACTCCGAATCGGAATTCCACCTTATGCGCCCAGACGCCGGTGTCGCCGTCGTCTACTTCCCCCTACTTCCAAACCCAGACGCACCAGACGTTCCACCCAAGCCTCAAGTTCGTCCCCGTGCAGCAGCCCAGTCTATGAGACAGGATGCTTCCCAAACCAAAGATCCTGAACAGCCGCTCGCCCCCAAACCCAGTTCAATTGATCCCGAGGTTGATGATTTCTTGTCTACATGGAACTTCATCTATACGCCTGAACAAATTGACTCGGTGGTTGGTCTTGCTAGGGCCAACTTTTCTCACGGCGAGGAGCAGACCCGTCGTGTTATCCGCGCTGTCTACGAGCGTAAGAAAACCGATCGGTTGAATAAGGAGGCGCAGGAGCATCGAAAGAAGATGGAGGGCTTTGTACCTCTGTGATTCAGTGCTTCCTGTCCATGCGCCACGAGATGACGCATTTCCATCTCTTCATTTACATACCCAGCCTTTCCTTTTTCTATTTCTTAATTTCTCGAACTAGATCGAATCATACAGCTAGAATTCATGTTTCAGTGTTTGATTACTTCATGTGTGTATAGTACAGAATAAACGAACTGTGCCAATAGCATATTCAGATACCAGAATACTGTCAAGTCAACAATATTAACCATCAGCTTTGAAAAAAAGACCTCGTAGCCCTAAAGTTATATCCTGGCGTCTCATGAGCCCCGAGCAAGTACAGACTCTTACTACATACCTCAATGGTCTACTGATAGAATGCCACGACTAGCTGCTGCAGCACATGTTTAATGTGTCTATTCAGTTGATCATAATTGTATATCGTATATCCACAAGTGCAATGCAAATGCACATATACAGTATAACGCTAACAGTGACTATCCTACTTACCATCCCCAAAGTCTGTCTTGACGCCTTTCAAATCTTCAGCACTCGTCTTCGTCTTCACCTTATTTCCTTCTTCATCTGTAGTAAATCCCATCTCATCCTCACTCCCAGCAAGACTCACATCCTTACTCTCATCTCCCTGCTTTCGTAGTCCAAGTTCCTTCTCCAGTGCATGTGCCATCCCTTTCGCTTTGCCCGATACAATAGCAGAAGCACTTTTCACAGATGATGTCTCCGACAAATCCTTCTTCTCTTTATTCACTTGCCCACGCCAATCAGCAGGCTCACTCTCGGGAACTGGATCACCGGGCTTCGGCTCGCTGATCGACCTCCCTTCTGCGGAAGCACTCGTATCAACGCTCTTCCCTTTGCTATCTCCTGTGGCACTGGCAGTGGCACCTGGATCCATTGATTCAGGTGGCGGATAGCGCCATACAACCTTCAGCTTGTCCAGCGCGCGAATCCCCTTTCTCGCACTACCCTTGATCCCATCCATGGCGCTCCATTCTGTCTCGAAGACGCCTGAATCGTGGTCTGCGCCACCTTCAAAGTATGCATTGAACCAGACGTGTGCGATGGATGTTACCATTGCGAAACCTGTGTAGGAGGCTTTGCTGCGTCGTTCAAGGTCGATATTCACGTCTGAGCTGGGAACTATGACTGGTTTGCTGGGTCGGAAGATGATCGCCGGCAGGCGTTGCCCTGTGGCTGTTGCACCTGTTCCTGAGACGTCGGACTGGGACCCGGAGGTTGCAGGCGACCAAGTAGCAGCTGCAGGAAGGGGTTTCCCCGTTGGCGAATCTGCCTCAGTCTCCGGCGCAGAATCACAGTCTGCAATGATAGTGCGTTCACTTCGATGGAACAGATGCACACACTTGATCTTCTTCCCTTCATCCTCATATCCTTCCACAGCAACCTTCACCCCGTCCTTCAATCCCCATATGTGGACTTCCAAAATCTCCACAGGACGCTCAACATACTGCTTTTCCATCTGATTCGTCCACCGATCCACATAGCCAACATACCGCAATTGACTCGGGATACTAACGCCATGTCCGAATCCCACGCGCATGCGTCGCTCTGTGAATCGCTGCAGGGCATCTTCCTTCTTCCACCCTTCCTGGCTGATAAGGTATGAACAAGCGACCGTCCCGCTGCGCCCCTTGCCGGCCTTGCAATGTACAACTGCGACGCGCTGGCCTGGCCCGGGCCCCTTTTCGACCTGGTTCTCCTTGTTCTTGTCTGTATCGACCCCATTGGTGTCTGTATCGTCCAGCCGTTGTATCCAGTTCCTCATACTCCCCATGATATTAGGAATCAGTGCGAACGGCGGGGGATGATGGTCCGGCCAGGGGAAATGGTGGATTCGACCGTAGACTTCGCTGTCTGGATATCCTGTCCCCTCCGCGCGGAACTCCCAGATACACCAGTCTTCGTCATGCTTGCTGTCGAGGAAGTTTACTAGTGCGTCTAGTGGGTTGCGGTATGCGCGCTGTGGGTATGTTGCTGAGGGGCCGGAGGTTGCGATGACTGCGCTGTCCGCTTAGCATGGACTGGGCATTGATTGGCAGGGTGCTTACCATTGTCGGTAACATAGCACAGATCTAGTCCGGCTTCTGGGTGTTGGAGTCGTGGTCCTGCGACTATTTGGCGGAGAATGGATGACTGCGTTGGAGCGTTAGTTTCCGTATTGGGGGCCGCCGTACAATTGAGGAGTCTGACCATTATTTAACAGCTCGTAGTAAGGAAGACTCAGAACTCTCACCCGGAATTAAACTCGTGGAAAGGTGGAAAGAATGTTGACTGTTTACGGAGGCAGGCTCGCGTGAGGAGCAGCGATGATGTCACTGCTGGTATCAAGATTCTCATAGTCCAATCCAGCGGTTTAGAGGTTTCGCATGTTTATGTGTTTGAATATGTCGTAACTTATATTTTTCAATCATAAATACAAGAAATTTTGAATATATCCAATCCAATCATATCCCAAAGGCGCCCAACGCCAGACATTAAGGAGCGACATGCCGGCGTGCGCCAGACTCGGCGAAATGCGAGTCGATTACATTAAAACACCAGGTCCCAAAAATTCACCACGGGTACCACTGAAGAGAAGAAAAATAGAAGAGAAGAGATCGTTTACGCAACACCATACTCCTCAGTGGGCTTCATGGTGAAGTTGAACGGCTTGGGGTTCATCACCGTCACGTTCTTCGCACCCTCCTGGTACCAAGTCGCGAGGTCATGGTGCGCCGCATCGAGGTAGGTCGTCCAGCGGTGGGTAATGTCCACGGTCCAGAGGGGGTTTCCGGCCGGCACGACAGTGGCTGTGATGTTCTTGTCGTCGCAGTAGACCTTCTTGTTCTCGGGGCCTTTGCAGTGGGTGTTGAACTCGGGGGTGTAGCTGTTGCCATTGCCTGTGATGTTGAAGTCATAGTAGCAGCCACCAGAGGAACAGCCCAGTTTGAAGTTTGACACGCTCCACGCAATCTCTTGGGTGATTGTGTTGGTGTTGGCAATCTTGTTGGTGGCGGGGAGGGCGGTGGCGAGGCCCAGGAAGGGGAGGAGGGTGGTGAGTTGCATTATGGGATTATATAGAGAAACTGGGTGGGCGAGAAGATGGAGATGATATACAGAGTCAATTGAGAATTGAAACGAGAGGATTGCGAAATGAGGGAGTTGGAATTGGGCGAGGTTGGGGTTATATAGTTGAAGTGCAGGGTTCAGTCTCTCCCTTGGAAACCCACTGCGCCGATCCCTAAGGGGATTTCTTGGACTTGGCCATAATACGGGGCACACGGAGCATACGAGGTCTAACGAACTGCTTGGAGTTCTCGATAGATTACTTTGGTGGTCCTGGAAATCGTTCGTTGTTTGATCCTTCTGAAAAGGTCGTGCTATTCGACTTCCTGGCCCTGATCGTCGCTGAAAGCGCGTTTCAGATGAGCGGAGACTATTTATAGCCGGGTCCACTGAACATGTCTCTGGTTCAAGGCTTCAGGATTGGAGCCAAAGACGCAAAAGCAAACAGGGAAGAAGAAAACATGATGTCAAGGTGCCCATTTTGGGCTACGGTCCCAATGTGTTGTACAGAAGATGATATATATACATGCCGAGAACTCCGCCCCTGGTCCTCGAGAATGCACCAGCGAGCTTGGCTGCATATTTCAGGTGACATGCCGTCGAAACATGAGCTTCCCCCCCTGTAAGGACCCTAGACACTCCGGGGTTTCAAGCGAGCCCATTTTCAGGACTTTCGTCGCTTTCACCACTCTCAGCCCGGCCTTCCTTTCGCGCAATAGCCATTAACCGGCGTTTTTTCCGGCGACGTTCCTTGTTCACCTCGATCCGTTCATTGTGTGACATGTTCATGCGACGGACTGCTGGGTGGATCGGTTCCCCTGATGCCTGCATTTCCTCCCATTTCTCCTCCTGCTGCTTGATTTCGTCGTCGAGCTTCTGCACATCCGCTCGAATTAAAGGGTGATACTGCAGTCGCATTGCAAATTCATCCACAGAGCCACTGCAAATCTCGAGGATTTCCTTTTGTGTTTCCGGACTAATCTTGGCGTCCCGCTTGATTAGGTCTTGGAAGTACATGAAGCCGGAGCGGAAATTGCCGGCGTCAACGCACATGAGGATGATAGACTCGAAGGTTAAAGCGTTCGGTACAACCCCAAGTGATGCCATTTCTTTCACGAGGAACATACCGGATTGGCGGTCCTTGGCTATTCGGCACATTCGAATTAGCACGTTGTAGATTCGTACGTCTGCCCCTTCGGGGCATAATGTGTAGAGCTCTTTGTAGAAGCCCACGGCGTCATCGACAACCGATGGGTCTTCGTGGGCATTGTGCTCGCAGAACTGGGCGATGACACGAACAGCGCCGAGGGGAATGGATCGTTTTTCATTCTTCAGCCGCTTCAGTATCTGCCAGGCCTCCCGGTGATCGGTCTTATGTTCAATCATGTATGCAAGAATAGCCTCGGTCGAGGAATCTGCAAGCGGGGTTCCAGATTCATGCATGCTGCAGAGTGCTTCAAAAGCAGCTGGGAGATCACCGGCTGAGACATGCGCCTCGACAAACTGCTCATGCTGCCCCTGGCCAAGTTTGATGTTATTCTCTGAAAGGTAGCGGAACACAGACATGGAAAGTTCGGTGTCGCCAAGCTTGGACGCCACCTTGAGAACATTATGGCATATTTCAGCCGGTGGATGCATATAGCCCAATTCAACCATGCGCCGCCACACAAAGTGAGCACAAGGATGATGCAGAGCTTCACTGGCTGTGGTCAAGACATGCGCCCAGAGATGATTGCTCATGTCATGGCCCTGGTCGACTCGAGCGCACATCAGGTCAAACACCTCATGGAACTCATGATGATCGCAAAGTGTGTAAATTATCATGCCATGAAGCCAGTTCTCGATAAATATATCCTTCCGCCCCATAAGCGCAGCTTGTTCCAGTGCAAGCTCGATCTGATTCTCACGAAGCAGACCGGCCACCACGAAATGCCACCCGGCCGGACTCAACGTAAGCCACCGGTCTCGAAGCTTGCAGAGAATTTCCTGTCGTAGTAAATAGTCCGGGTGTACAGCAAGAACCTGTAGAAATTCAATGGTAAGCTTCAATTCGCAATTCATGCTGTGCAAAACTATCACCGACCTGCAATGCGCCGTGGAGTGTGCCCGAGTCTGCGGTGATTCCGTTTTCCTCCATTTCTCTCAAAAGTCCTCGCACTATATCTGGCGATCCTCGCTCGCAATCTGTGTTGGCGAGAATCAACGCTTTGTAGTGGCGCGCTGTTGGCCGAATATGACGATCTCGAATGAGCAGCCGTAGCACTTGTGTTGTGTGTCGAAGGTTCGGTTGTTTATCTGCCATATGTTGCAACAGTGCTTCTAGCGCACTGTCTGGCTTTTTCAAAAGGTCATCCTGCACCTTATGGTAGGATCTAGGGTGCCAGCTTTTCCGTGGTTGCGGGTGTTCGCGGCGGGTTTTCTGGCTGGGCAAGTCCTCATTGTGCTCGGAGTTCTCGTTTGAGTTGTGTTCTCGGGGTGTTTGCGGGCTATCATGGTCTGGGTATTGGGTCGGGTTTGGGTTGCCCTCGAATGGCGTGCTGTAACACCGTTTTGAAGTCGAAGTTACGGAGATCGGGGTTAACCGTGATATCCTCAAGTTCCGGCTATGTTTGTGAAATATTGTAGAGCGACTGGACGTGGAAAACGATGGACATAAAGAATACCAGAGTCCGTCGAGAACCAGCGCTCGCCGTGACATGTTGACGCGCATCTACTAAAGGTGGAACTGTTGAACTCCGCGGATTTGATCTCAACTTGATATCACGTGATATGATATCCCACAATGCTCGCGGTGGAAATCCTGAATAGTGTGGATGGTTACAGGCAAAGGGAGCTTCAATCCGGGTTTTTTAGTTGTAATATTTCTAGGTGTAAATCGAAGTGACCCAGATCCCGTGAAAATACAGAGCCCGATACGCCACAGCCATGCTCGATCAATTCGTTCCACCGGACCTTCCGAGCGACCTTACCACCGTCTCCTCCGGGGTATCTCGTTTGACTTCCTCTTAAATCATGTAGCCGTATCTCTTTAGTTGCCTCGGCCCCGACCGCGACCACGTCCACCACGACCACCACCGCGGCCACGGCCACGCTCACCATCTCTCCCGTGACCACCGCGACGGTTCTGTGGTTGGTTTTGTTGCTGTTCCTTGACGATATCGACAATCTCCTCGGGGACTCGTAGGTATTTGATCTAGTGGACTGTCAGTCTCTGGATATCATAAAGTGGGGGACGGTTCATATCGAGCACGTACGTTGTTGCCTCGGATGTAGACTTCAGGTAATCTGAAGAAGCGGTCGCCTTCTGGGCTTGTCTGTACCACCTCGCGGAGAATCAGGTTCATGAAGTTGTCGCAGGTGACCAGGTGGCCGTTGAGGGTTTCGCCGTTCTTCAGCTCCACCAGCATGGGGTGACCTTGGGCGGCCGTAAGGAGGCCGAGGGGGAGCTATCATATATATTGTCAGATTGTGTCAAGAGAGAGTTCTGAGGTGCTGGAGCTTACCATCTTGAAATGCGATCGAAGTGGGTGAAAGTGGGAGGTTCGGGGGATGGCGCACGGGTTCTGAAAAGCGCGGTGTGCAGATCCACAGTCGGATATGGATTCAGTATTGTAATGAGAGCCCAATGAAGGGATTTGTTGGCTTATTTGGAGATGTGAGACGTAGCAATGGGTTCAAGCAAGCTCCATGAGATGCGATCGAGGGCGGCCGGAAAAAGAGAAGCCCCGAGCCCAATCTGGCCCTGCCATCGGAGTATACACACCAGTTGCCTCTGGACGTTGTTGATTGCACTCCAAGCCAATACAAATACTAATAGGAAATCGGAGTTCTCATTTTCATCATCCCAGACTGGGATAGGTAATTAATAATACATCATATAGACCTGCTCATGGCGACTCTAATTCTTAGGGCGCTTGGCAAGTCCAGCATCCTCCTCCTCTTCATCCTCATCATCCATGACGGTGAGCTTGCGCTTAACACGCTTGTCTCGGCTTCCAGTGGGAGCTCCAACCTCTCGCAGGTCCTCCCATTCTCCCTCTCCATCTTCTCCATCACCGCCCTCTGAGAGGCTATCCTCAAGCGCATCCAATGTGATTTCATAGCCCTCTTCCACGTTCTGGACCGTAGCATCAAGTTTTTCCACCCGATCAAGAAGTTCAAGTTCATTCAGGAGTTCCTTGTGCTTCTTATAGAGACGTTGCTTGGTGAGCATGCGCCACCAATAGTAGCGACGGTCGTTTTCGTCGGTGGCCTTGTACTTTTTGATCAAGAGCCGGGCAAGGTTTGTGCCGCCAGCCAGGCGGTGGCTCTTAGGAATCTGGCCCAGAAGATACATTTCTAGGACATGGGCGAACTGGGTGGTCTCAATCTTGAAGGATGTGCGGATATCGTGGAGAAGTTTGGTGGGAATCAGGGCGGAAGTTGGCACCACGCGTGGTCGTTTCTTTTGCGAGTACGATCCAAGCGGATCCGGGTTGAGGTTGACGTTGTGCTTCAAGAACTCTGGTCGCAGCAGAGTGTAATCAGCTGTGTCCCGGAGTGCGTCGAACTGTTCGTTGGGGTCTTCAATGGTCAATTCCACAACGGTTGGGTCTGCGATACAGGCGGCGTGGATTGTGGTATATAGTTGGTTGCCGTGACCGGAGCGGCTGTGTGAAGGGAGAATGAGGAATTGCGCAATGCGAATTCGAGACGGAAGCTCGGAAACCTTGACTTCCGGCAGTGGGAAATCGCCGTTCTTGACTGTTGGAACCTCTGAGATATCTCGCTGATAACGCCAATAGCGGTACGTTGTGGCATATCCAACAATGGAGTATGAGGAGGCCGTTGGTGTTGGGGGCGTCACCTTCTCATATCTGCATTATCGATTAGCCCGGGTGATAATCAGCAAGAACATTGGATACTCACACGAAGTAGACTGTCCACCGCTCAAGAGTCCACTCTGGATCATCAGTTTCCAGAGGAGTTCCAGCTTCAATGAAGAGGGAGACAAGGATCTGGACGCGATCTAGAAGCTTGCGCACTTCCGGGTCTGCGAGTGACCCAGCCCAGATCTCGTACTTTCTGTCGCCGACGTCGTATCCGATCACAAACTCGCCCGGGGGCTTGAAGTCTTTGGCGCTTGGATCGTTCTGGACCGCTTTCTCGTAGTCTTCAAGGTTGCCGAATGCCTCTGCGCAATAAGATTTAGCTGATGTCATCCATATGGGTTGATGTATCTGACTCACCTTCCTGAGCAAAAGGCTTCAAGGTATCGAGAAGGTTGAGAGCTTGCGTATCGCCGATCGGCTTGAATTTCTCATCATAGGAAATGTGAACGTGAGGGCGTAGATCATGAGCGGCAAAGCGTAACCGGATAATCAGCCCCTTGTAACCAAAGATTTGCTCATCGTCGCCGAAAATAGGATATGTGAATTGCGGGTGGAAGGTCGAGAGAGTCTTGGGCTTCTTTTCGCCGGGTTGGATAACGGTGATATGGACCGCATCGTTGGCGTCGGAGGACCCTACAACGAAGATCAATTAATATTCATTGATAGCTGGCGCATTTATTTCTCACTTACATCCAGCTTCACTCGCCATTGTGACCGTATGGATTCGGGATGTGAAGATCGAATGGTTGAAGAGAGAGCAAAAGCGCGCGTTACCCGCGTCGGGTCCGCCGCGTCATTAAATTCACGGCCAAATCTGGACTAGCGCCTGGTTTCATACTCTTTGATCAAATTAACAGTCGAAACTCAATTTGACTATTGACTATTAAGTATGGTATGGTTGACTCTTAAGCCATATATATCTGTTTCCACCGCTCCTGGTCTAGTTTCCATTGCCCATGATTTCTCTTTAATTCGGGTATCATCTCAATAGCTCGCTGAATCCCCATGGTACACCCGATTCGTTCAAGAGTCGCAATGACCCATTCATGAACTTCATCTGACACCCCGGCTATACCACCTGCAACGGCTAGTGGGAAAAGCAGCATGAATATACCGTTTAATGGTGGTACATGCGATGGGCATTCAACTACAGCGCCGCGCTGGGAGAGAGCCTCTTGACTGGCAGCTCCAACGCAGATATCAATTGTCATGCAAGAAATCGTGTCCAATGCTTGTTGTCGTTGAACAAACTCATCTGCAGTGGGCCACTTGATGCTTGAAACCTGGCTTAAAATCAGCTCGTTGACCAGCGCTCGTCCCCAGCGGTAGTGATTGAAAACTCTCGAGACCCATATATCTCGGTAGATATGAAATTGGCCGTGAAAGGTATGCTGGCGATTGTCTGTCTTATCTGTGTATTTGGCGACAAAGGACCAATTTTCCGGAAGAGAGGCTTCCCAGTCTCGAAGTTCGATCTCGAACAACGCTGCTGAGGTGGCCACTGTCCGTGGATCGTGGACTTTTGCACGCAAAGATACGTCGAACTTCATGAATCTTATCAAGATATCGACAAGATTGACAGCAGGAAGAATTTCATGGGGCGCGGATTCCATGATCTTTGGTGACCATTTCAACAAATCCGGAGGAATATCCCTCCGCGGCAGAAAATATTTGACCAGTGAAGCAAAGTAGAATTGCAACTGGGCTCGATGATCCAACGTCGTCATTGCCCGTTTGAATGTAGATTGTCGGAGCAATGCAGCAGCACCATCCAGGTGCACTGTCCAGCGATCTACTTGATCTGAGGAACAGCTCACCATCTGCGTGAATTAGTGATTGGACTATAAAACAGGCACTCGGCTGTTCATGCACGTCTTACCTCGTATAAACTCAACATGACAATCTTGTGAAACGTGCTATCTGGATTTGCCTGCGCAGGATTACTCACGGCCTTCTGGACAGCGTTGATGACCGTAGCATGTTTCTCTCTCGATAATATTCGCATTGCTTTGTCCCGAGTGACATTGGACATGGCAGCCAGCCCCACCGAGACAACCGCATCCCGAGCTGACTGATCATAGTGTATTGCCCCAAAAAAATGGGATGGCTGTAAGGTATGTGGAGAGCCATCTGGTCGAGTCACTTCGGGGGTTCCAAAACGAGCCACGAAGAACTTCAGGCCGAGCTCCTCCGCCGAAGACGAAAGCGGGGCGACGATGCGTGGAGCAACTAGGAACAGCTGCGCCCTTCGGAACAGCAAAGCCTCCGACGGAGTAGGCGCAAATCGTGGGCCGGGGCTTGATGTATTAGACTCTAAAGCCGCATCTTCCAGCTCTCGGCGAGCCATCGTTTTGGCTTTCGCCTCTGCACTCCGTCGAGCGGTTTTATCGTTCTCATTGCGGAATAGCAGAGACGAGATGTCTCGATAGCCACCACATTTTTTGTTTCCTCGCTTGCATTGCGAGCATATAGGATCTACCCGATCACACTAGACGCCCGTGAGTCTCGGGTCCAGTATAAGCGTTGCACTGTCGTACCTTGATTCGTCTTTGCCGGCAGCTTGAGCAGCCTTGGCTAGGATTACCGTAGTAAGGCATGATGAACCGAGTGTGTCATTTTCCAAGTCTAAATAGGAAATGAGTTCGCCAAATTCGATGAGTCGGCATTTCGGAGACTGCCACAGTTTTAGCTCCGGGGAGGCTGCGTCGACTTCATCGTCTATGGGCCACGCTGATTGGCTGGACCAGGGTTGGCTTGGCCTAATCGGGTAACTGTTTCATCGTTTAGTTCGCAAGATGAAGCCTTGAACGGAAGCCTAAAAAAATCCCACGAAATCAGACTGACAGGTGGCTTAGTATCTCCGGGCTTCGGGTAGTCTCGATGCCGATTTGGCTGGTTTTATAAAGGTGGGATCCCTGCGCCGATAGATCAGCATTTCGAGTTTACATACAATGTCGTTGGTCAGTAGGGCTAGGGAGAATCTCTCCTATTATCATTATAATCCTTCTTTGGCGGTATCGATCGTGGCAGCTGTTCTCTATTCTATTGCCTTTATCTTGACATTGGTGCAATGGATTCGATACAAAGCCTGGGTTTGGAGTGTAATGGTGGTCGCCGCGGCCAGTACGTGTTGCCTGACTTTTTTTTTTCACACTGACTTCAAGCTGACTTCTACCAGTGGAAGCTGTTGGGTACATTGCCCGCTGTGTTTCCGTACAGCATGTGACGGATAGATCGATTTACGCCCTTCAACTCTGTCTCGTCATCCTCGCCCCCGTTCTCATGGCCGCGTGCTGCTACATCCTATTCAGTCGCATTTTGATCCTCATAGTCCCTCCAGCGGCGCGCACTTTGAAATTGTGCTGGGTGCCTCCCCGGTGGATTACCCCGATTTTTGTCGGATTTGATATCATCGCTCTCTTCCTCCAGCTTATAGGCGCGGTGATGATTTCTTCGGTTGATTCCACCGATATCAATGCTCAAGACAAACTGGACCGGGGAAAACACATTGCCCAAGCGGGCGTCATTATCCAGCTGGCCGCCTTTGGTCTGTTTGCGGTGGCTGCTGTTCGCTTCAACTTTACCTCGAAACGATTTGCAAAGTCTCTCAGTGATCGATATGAGGACTTTGGGGATAAGGAGTATCTCATTGACGGCATTGCGAAGAATAAGCACTGGCCTGCTTTATTGCGAGTGGTGAACTTGACTACAATTTTGATTCTCGTGCGTTTCCTCCCTACAGTTCCTGTTGTTGAACACTCGTTAACAATCTACATTAGGTTCGGTCTGTTTATCGACTGGTGGAATTTACCGAAGGCAATACAGGCTATCTGAATACGCACGAATGGCCCCTGTATGTCTTTGATGCCCTCGTCATCTATCCATGTGTCGCCCTGTTTGTCTACTGGCATCCAGCGAGATACCTGCCTTACTTGGGATTTCGAGTGCCCAAGGAGGCGAATGTCAGCCGCGAATTTGAGCTTCAGACTCGATAAGCATCGCGGGGTACATCTTGTCGGATGCGATATAATATAATTTTGTCTTTAGAAGACCTTAGTAATTCTATTCCACACAATCTGCCCCCTTTCACCCTTCCCTAAACGTAGTTGTTTGAGTTGGATGGTCGGTATCTACACATCAGACATCCCTATACAATACAGTCAGTGGATGAAGGGGCTGAAAATAGAACCGAGATCGACGCGAATTGCCAGGGCCAGGCAAACCAGGGCCAGCATGGATTCAGTACCGTTTGGATCTAGAATCAGCCTTGCAGAGCCCTGTCCCCCTTATCCATACCTGGAATTCCTGGACCTCATACTTCGCCCCTATGTTTTGATCGAAAGCGGTGCCTGACGTGGGTCCCGAACTTCTGCCCTTCCGACACGTTACTCTCCACTTCACAATGATTGACGTCTAGTCTGCACATCATGGAGGGACTATTCACTCTGCTCGCTTTGAGCATTGTGATGGCAATAACGTGAGCACTCTGTCTATCGGTCGATCCTTTTCGAACCTAATCTAACCAGCGGGCAGATCCTTTGTCGTCGGCTCATTACCTCTCGCGTTTACGCTGTCCCCGTCTCAACTACGGTTAATATCTTCCATTGGTATGGGAGTGTTGGTGGGAACTTCTTTGATCGTGATTATTCCGGAGGGCATCGAGACCCTTTACAGCGCCAACGCTCTCAGTCGCAAGGAACTCAATTCCCGGGCGACAACTGTCCAATGGCACCAGGCACCCGCTGTGGCAGTCGCCTATGCTCCCAATGAGGCCCACACCAACCTTCCATCCGAATCCGTTGTCCCAAGTCTGCTCTTGGAGAGAGGAAAGACCGTGCCCACGATCCGCATCGACGAACCCGAGTCGCAACGCCTGCGTACCCGCAAGGACGAATCGAATGACAAATCAAGCAAAGAATCCGAGCACGAAAATGAGGAGAGCTCACCACATGCGTGGATTGGAATCGCTCTCATCAGCGGGTTCATCTTGATGTACCTCGTCGACAAACTACCCGAGTTCGCAGCGCCCACCAAAAACGACCGGACCCCATATCACATCTCTCTGGATAACCTTGGATCGGGATTGCGCCGGGGCTCCTCGCCCTCTCGCGAGGGAGGTCTGCTGGATGCAAGCCACGCCCGGCGCGGTCATAGCTTCGCGACCACCACCGGTCTGGTGATCCATGCTGCGGCGGACGGAATTGCCTTGGGCGCATCCAGCTCCGATACCGGGTTGAGCTTCATTATTTTCTTGGCGATTATGGTTCACAAGGCGCCCGCATCCTTTGGCCTGACCTCTATTCTGCTTAAACAGGGCCTCTCCAGCCGTACCGCCAGAGCGCATCTACTGGTCTTCAGTCTTGCCGCTCCGCTGGGTGCCTTGGCTACTTTCCTCTTTGTACAGATGATGGGATCTTCTACCGCCGACGAGGCAGGCACTCACTGGCGCACTGGAATGCTCCTGCTTTTCTCCGGAGGCACTTTCTTGTGAGTTTTCTGAGATCATTGACTTGGCTTTTTGACTAATCTTGGCAGGTACGTTGCTATGCACACCATGCAGGAAAATGGGCCGGGATCGTCGCCACGCGAATTGCCCATCAACGGATATGGCGACCGGGACCAAAGTGGATCAGATAAGTCGATGAGAGACCTGATTGCGTCTGTTTTGGGCATGATTCTGCCTCTGTTCTTGCAGATCGGCCATGCCCACTAACTCTGAGCATATACACACACACACACACACTGCTACCGATGTGCCATGTTGCGTTTACGTCTTCGCTGAAAAGATCACATCTTTGGGAGCACATACCCCATTTGTTTTTAACATATACTGAAGTTCACGGCGGGGAGGGGGAGGTTCTAGCTGGGAAACTTGAAAGGAAGATCTTAGGCTGTTCTATTAGATTTGTACAACTGGGAAATGGAGTGTCGGTCATTATTGCATGGTATCTCACGATCACATCTACGTAGGTAGCGTTCAGTCGTAGGTATTTAAGCGGAGGATCCCCACGAACTCGGCAATCTTTGAATCATGTCGGTGATGACAACATTCGTCAAGGTCCGTCAAGGCCTGTTCAAGGCTCGTTAAGGCTCGTCAGTCTGAATCATCGGCACCCCGGACAAGTTCCATGGTCGAACCCAGAGCCGCGTCTGAAGTATAAGAAAGCCAGAACTATACGGACACATCAAGGGCATTCCGATCACTGTTCAGCGGCCCAGGGGAAACACACGAGTCCCCCCGATGGCCCCTTTTTGCCTATTGCCTACGAACTTTGACCTACTGGCCTATTTCCCATTGCCCATTGCCTGTTGCCTCTCTTCCAAAGGCAAAAGGCAAATAGTGATAAAGAAACGGGTCGATCCCTACCCGATGCATAGAATCCCCTCCAGTCCGGAGAAGAGCTTGGCGGCTTTGTCAGGACCCAGTCACGACATCGTCTCCGCTTGGCTTCACTTTCTCCCCTCTCGCATCTTGATATAATTTCCTCTCTTCGCATAGGCCTTTTCTCGTTGGACCCGACTTCTTTCCTCCCCCTCCCCTCTCCCCTTTCATCCCCCCTCCTACCCGACCACCCGACCTCGACTTACTCTATGCCTAACGTGGACGCCACAAGGCTGAGTGTTTGGCGCTATCGATAATTGCATTTCAGAACCTTGGAAGAACATCTTTATAATCCAGGGGCTGTTTCCTTCTTATACCGCCATGGACTCTCACCGGGCATCATTTAGCGACTTAGGGGAAGGGAATGCGCACGCAGTGGAGCAGTTGGATCCTCATTCTCAGCCATCCCGCGACTCGGTCGCCAGTTTTACAAGCCCCCCCTCCAGATCTCTCAGTATCAAGAAAACCGTCACTCCCTTACCCGCCAACCTACTCCCCTCGGCGCCTGCATCGCCCCCGACTCCAGCGCCGAGCCCGACCCCCCATCAACGACCCCCGAACTGGTATTCGACCGATGATGAGGAGAGCAGTTTCCTGTTGAACCTACGCATACAATTTAGCACTCTATCAAATGCCCGGAAACAGAAACTTCTAGAGGGTCTGTTGGATATATGCGACAGCCAGCAGTTGAGTTTCGTGTCGAGTTACGTTGGTCCTCGATTACGGAAAGATCCATTCCAAGTCTTTCCCAATGAGTTATGCTTAAGGGTATGCTACATGGTTGATCTTGCCATCTTGGTGACCCAGCGCTAATTTGTTTTGCCTCCAGGTCCTCTCCTTTATCGACGACCCCAAGACCCTCGCCAGAGCCTCGCAAGTATCCCGGCGCTGGCGAGAACTATTAAACGATGACATCACATGGAAGAATCTATGCGAGAAACATGCATATTCGGTGCGGCGAGTGCTTGAAGATGAAGGGGACTTGGTTGACCCCTTCACCGCTCATCCCGTGGACTCGACCAGCGCACGACCCTTTGGCCTGCAGCGGCGCTTAACTGCGTCAAACGGCCAGTCGACCGAGAGCGCACCGGACCTTCCCCGCACGCTTTCGGGTGAATGGCTGCCACCGACCAGCTTCCCGTCACGGAGACGTCGCACCCGTCCTGTCTCCTATCGTTCGCAGTTCAAGCAGAAATACATGGTTGAATCGGCGTGGAACAAGGGTGGTCGCTGTACACAGCGACATATTACCCCCGACCAAGGCGTCGTTACTAGCCTGCATCTGACACCGAAGTACATCGTCGTTGCTTTGGATAATGCGAAGATTCATGTATATGATACCAACGGTGACAACCAGAAGACACTTCAAGGTCATGTGATGGGCGTATGGGCCATGGTCCCATGGGACGACATTTTGGTCAGTGGAGGCTGCGATCGCGAAGTCAGAGTGTGGAATATGGCTACTGGGTAAGACAAGTAACAACTTTGACGTACGAAAGGGAAACGCTAACGCATTAGTAGAACGGGGATCCATCTACTCCGGGGTCACACATCGACTGTCCGCTGCTTGAAGATGTCCGATAAGAACACTGCCATCTCAGGATCAAGAGATACGAGTCTCCGTATTTGGGATTTGGCTACGGGGACCTGTCGGCACACCCTTGTCGGACATCAAGCTAGCGTGCGCTGTCTTGCTATTCATGGCGACCTCGTTGTGTCAGGTAGCTACGACACGACGGCACGGATATGGAGTATTTCTCAAGGACGCTGTCTGCGAACACTATCAGGTCATTTCAGTCAGATCTACGCGATTGCTTTCGACGGGCGTCGAATCGCGACGGGAAGTCTGGATACTAGCGTTCGGATTTGGGACCCGCATTCTGGACAATGTCATGCGATTCTGCAGGGTCATACGTCCTTGGTTGGACAGCTACAGATGCGCGATGATACGCTTGTCACTGGTGGTTCTGATGGCTCTGTCCGTGTCTGGTCGTTGACTAAGATGGCTCCCATACATCGACTTGCTGCGCATGATAACAGTGTCACCAGCCTTCAATTTGACAAGACTCGTATTGTTAGCGGAGGAAGTGATGGCCGAGTCAAGGTTTGGAACCTTCAGACTGGCCAGCTGCTCCGAGAGCTTTCTACTCCGGCTGAAGCTGTATGGAGAGTCGCCTTTGAAGACGAGAAGGCAGTCATTATGGCCAGTCGATCTGGCCGTACAGTTATGGAGGTGAGTTAAAATCCACCTTATTATATTACAATTGTTAACCATCTCAGGTCTGGTCCTTCTCTCCACCACTGGAGGACTACGATGATACCGCCATCGAAAGTTCGTCAAGCACGCCGGGCTTCAGCTCCGTCGACGACAACGAACTGGCAGTTCCACCACGGCATCGGACTATCTTTTCCGATCCTCCACCGTCCATCCCACCGGGCAGTGACAGTGACCAACTCATGCCCGACGCCTGATTCTCGCATTTACTGATTTGATCTCACATAATCTCATCTGACCTAACCAGCCATCTAATGATTACGCATATCCATTTATTCCATCACATTTATTTCCCCATCTTTTTGAGCGCGGTGGGGTTTTGTCATCAGTTGAGTGCTTTGCCTTTTGAATGAGCTGCCGGCGTTTCTACCTTGTCCATGTCCATGCTGTGGTGCACTAGGCAGGCTGCATATTTGGTGTTGCAAGTCAGTTAGCTGTTCCTGTTGTCATTTCTGGCACATCTCATACTGGACAAGTTGCCATATTGGAGTTATGGGATTATCCATATCATTTTGAGTCATTTTCATTTTCATCCTTGTTTTTCTCCCTCTCACATCGACTTTTTCGGAGAGATGTGTGGTGCACATGATACCTTGTTTCTTCAGCTTTGCAACCCCAGGAATATGATCTATATATCTACATTTATAACTGCATTTCCCAATAATCTCATCACCCCATCTCCCCAACAGTCCATATGCTCAGCCTCGAAAGTTGTGGAAAGCTCGGACATGACTAAGCACACCACCCCGATTGGGCCTATCATGGATAAACCTCTTTGCTTTTTTTGTGTCTTTCACATCTCCACAGCCCTGGGCGAGTGTTGGTCTGATAATTATACAAACATAAAGTCAAATTTAGAGAGCCACATTGCCCATCCCCTATGATGTGCATGTTCTTTGCTCGGACTAGGCTGCCGAGTTGATTGAGCTTCTTTTCTATGACACCCGCACATCCTCCGTGGAACCCACTTCAATCTGTGACCTGTGACCCGCTGGTCCCCGGGACTTTAATCTGAGGACTTTGTCGGTGAAAGATCGAAGGTTCCTTTGAGTGTTACGTACACCCCGCTACTGTCACCGCGGGTGAACAATGGTCTATGGGGGCAAGCCAAGTACCGGATGTTACCTGTGTCGCAAGCGGAAGATAAAGGTGAGCTTTGTTTCTGATTTTCTATTATTCTTATACCAAATCATAGATTCGGATTCCTCGGAGTTTGCCGTTCAACTCTGTATAGATATTGATTGATGGACCTGTGCTAAATCATTCAAGTGCGATGAAGCTCACCCCGAGTGCAGGAACTGCATTATCTACCGCCGCCCTTGTCCGGGGTATCGGCCCGATGCAGTCTTCCGCAATGAGACCAAGAAGGTTGAGCGGCTGGTGAAAAACGGCAATCATGCCAGCGCTAGCAATAGCAGCAACAACAGCAACAGTGAAAGTAACAGTGGCACCCAAGCTCATACGCCTGATTCAGAGTCATCAGTTATCGTGGCTGGACGCCGGCGTCCTGGAAACATTCAGAGCAATCCCACGCTAACTTTGTACTCGCCTGCTGATTCCAACTGGGAACAAAGAGCTCTATGCTACTTCTTTGATCAATTTACCATCAAGGCCGATGGAGAAGATGGTGGCCATCTCGATTATCTTCCTCCGCTATATGCACGTGAAATTGGTCAGGGTGGCCGCACGCCGTCTTCTTGCTTGAGGTGGGCCGTTGATGCTACGGCATTGATGACTCTTGCAAATGCTAAGAATGCGCCTCCACTCATGAACAAAGCAAGGCTTGGCTACGGCAAAGCCTTGCGGAGTTTGCAAGAGGCTTTGGCGTCACCGACTGATGCAGTCAAGGATGAGACTTTTGCTTCTGTTGTTCTACTTTCGCTTTATGAGGATATATCTGGTGAGCGGAATGGGCTGTTTAGCTCACATACCGCTGGCTTTGAGTTCCTTATGAAGCTCCGTGGTGAAGGGCAGATGGATCACCGCCGCGGGAGGGATATGTTCAACTTTGCTTATACACACCTTGTAAGTTCGAACTTTCACATAAGTTATCAGATGACATAGTGACATGGAGACTAATATGGAGTCAGTATGTTGAAATACTCGCCTTGGGAGATAAACCCCGCTTCGACATCGACTGGGTAGTCACCATGCTAGACAGCACCAATCCCGTCGAACGATTGATGATTACAGCATCCAGCATCTCCCAAGTTTTCATTTCCATGCGATCTGCGCCACCCACAGATCAAGCCACCGTGGAAGGGTGGATCGCCGCCGGTCTCGAACACGACGCTGAACTTGCTCAGTGGACTGAAACCCTCCCTGACCACTGGCTCCCGCTCTTCGTCTATTCAGACCAGGGCGAGCCCCTCATGACATACAAACGGATCTCCAACGCTGTGGTCTGGAACTACTACCGTGCTGCGCGGGTTATGCTGCAACAACTCTTAGTCAGTCTGCATGGCTCTCTGGCTACTATCAAACTGCAGTCTTGTGCTTCAGAGTCCTCATTCACCCATCCGGGCGCCTCCACTCCGGAGACAATACACCGAACAACAATCCGTGAATTAACCACAGAAGTCTGCCGCAGCATCCCCTTCTGTCTCTCGGACGTCGATAGCCTCGGTCGCCCGGCGACGAACACAGTTGGTGAATGGCAGATGCGCGCCGCACAGGGGTATGGCCTTCTCTGGCCGTTGTGGTATGTCTTGTCCTGTGGTATGCCTACACCAGCACAGGTCGAACAGATCCGTACTGTGCTCTATCGCATAGGCTCTGAGCATGGTATTAAGCTGGCTTTGGTACTTGCGCGGGAGGCTGAGCGGATTCGCGGTGAGCACGCTGAGGTGCCGGTGCCTGTATGAGCTTGGAAGTATTCTATACATTCCGCCAAGCTATTTCTCAACTGCATGTTTTCTATTGGGTACTTTGGCGTTCCTGGATATCTCGGCTTTGTACACTCGGGAGTCGCGGCACAGCCGGACCTCGTGACGTCATGCAGTCTTCGCGTCAACTTCCCTGATATTGACTCGATATGATAGTTCTCTAAATAGATATTGGGTAGAATGAATTGAATGACTTCAGGAAATCAATGTCTACTGGGTTGTATAGATCAAGGGACCAATAGTCAACATAGTAACAAGAAGCCAAGCAATACAGGAAACCAGTGATCGACGAATGCGGAGATAAGCCCAGGGAAGTATGCAACTTATGCATTTCGGAACCACTGACGACATAAGCAGCTTTCATATCTGAGCGTTTGCTTATTTCCACCTCTTGGGCCTCTTTCACCTCTTCTTTCTCTCAGTTGTTTCCATCTCCGCTCTCTCCTCTCCCCTCCAATCTCCCCTCACTATGGCAATGGCACAGCAGGACCGTAAGCTTCCCTTTGGGAAGATTGAGCCCAACTCATTCAAGTACTTCTACAGCTGCGGTCTCGGTGGTATCATCGGTATGTCTTCCTTCCGGTGTCCCTAGAAGAAATTCACATTCTAACTCATGATGCTAGCGTGTGGTAAGCAAAGCCTCCAGGGTAACCAACCCCAATACGACTAACGCGCAGTGCAGGACCAACCCACACAGCCGTAACACCCCTCGACCTAGTCAAATGCCGCCGTCAAGTTGACCCCAAGATCTACACCTCCAACGTCCAAGCATGGCGCTCAATCTTCTCAAAGCAAGGTCTCCGCGGCGTCTTCTTCGGCTGGTCCCCTACCTTCCTGGGCTACTCGTTCCAAGGTGCCGGCAAGTACGGTCTATACGAGTACTTCAAGTACCTCTACGGCGACCAGATGTTCCCCCAATCCAACCGCACTCTCGTCTTCCTGGGTGCCAGTGCCTCGGCGGAATTCTTCGCTGATATGGCTCTCTGTCCGATGGAGGCGATCAAGGTTCGCATGCAGACGACGTTGCCGCCTTTTGCTTCAACTTTGAGGGAAGGATGGGGCAAGATCGTTGCGAAAGAGGGTCTGAGCGGTTTGTATAAGGGTCTTTATCCCCTGTGGGCGAGACAGATTCCTTATACTATGACCAAGTTTGCGACGTTTGAGGAGACCGTCAAGGTCATTTACAAGACCATGGGTAAGCCCAAGGAGGAGTATGGCCAGTTGACACAGACGGGTGTTAGTTTCTTGGGTGGTTATATTGCTGGTATTTTCTGTGCCATTGTTAGCCATCCAGCTGATGTCATGGTTAGCAAGTTGAATGCTGATCGGAAGGGTGAGTGTCAAGCTTCTTGGGCTAGATCTGTGGGTTTGCTGACTGTTTGATAGCCGGTGAGGGAGCCATGACTGCTGTTTCCAGAATCTATGGTAACATTGGATTCGCTGGTCTGTGGAATGGCTTGCCTGTTCGTATTGTGATGCTGGGGACATTGACTGGCTTCCAATGGCTCATGTAAGTGATTCCCACCCGTATTGGGGAGATATTGGCTGACGATATGAAGTTACGACTCATTCAAGGTGTTCCTGGGTTTGCCCACCACGGGTGGTCACTAGATAGAATTTGGTGCATTTTTATATCATAAGGAGGTTGTTTATTCCATGGGTTCAGTATGACTTTATTCAAGAAATTCCATTGTAGCCGGAGCTGTAGCTAATGCCGGGGACACCGCCTTTGTGCATCGCGGCAGAATAGATCATCGCCGCTCAGACTCGCGACGTCCGCGATACCAACGTTTTGAAAAACCTCACGATACCCTCAATCCGCAAATTGAATCTATTGATCTTACTGACAAATAAGTGACCTGACCTATATATAGAGATCTCACTATCATCTCATCTTTTACTTCTTCTTTCTCCCTTACCTTTCAGAAGCTCTACAGTTGATCCCTGCCCTTCACATCGTGATCAGCTTATAGCCTCCAAATCTCGTTGCCTAAGTGAATCTTGACTTATCATACCGCAAAAGTCCCGCCTGACCCTTCCTTCCCGCAACCACTCACCCTCCACCAACAATGGAAGCCTCTCGCCCACCCACCATCCCGCCAGCCAATCCCCCCAGCGTGGAAATCGCCTACAAGCGCAAGTGCATTGCGCTGAAGCGCCGTCTCGCCGAAATTGAAACAGAAAATGAGTTGATGCGCACCCAACATACCCGAAGCCACCAATTTATCCAGAAGATGCGGTTGGAGACATGCATGCTCCTGGAGAGGCTGAACAAGATCACCAGCATGTCCGAGGAAGCCAAGACCGGCACTATCAACCCGGACCTACGTGCCCGTGCGGCCGCATTGATGACTGTCTCTGGCCTGCCTTTTGGCGCTGGCGCCGTCATGGGCACCCTGGAAGATGACACCGAAGGCAGCTCGGATGAGCAGCCCCGGACTGTACGTTGTTCCTCCTTTTCATCCTGCCTAGAGAATACCTTCTTCCCACTTCTCTCTCACTTCCCTCTTATTTTGACCTTGTCCTCTTAGTCTTTGTTGTCGTTTATGGTCTAACATATATTACTTTGCAGCCCGAAGAACGTCCCTTGCGCGTGAAGCGCTCCCGCAAGTCTGCTGTCCCCGGTATCGATGGCGCTGATGAGGACCTCCCCGCTGGCCCTGATGGTCACCACAATGAGCATGTAGACCCTGCCGGTCTACCCCACCACCTCCCAGCTCCCACCCAAGAGTCGCTTACCCATTCATTCCGGGTGCAGACTGGCAGTGGTTCTGCTGATCAAACCCCGGCCGCTCCCGAGGCTGGTCCCGAAGCCGGAGCCATGTCTATGGATACGGATAAGGGAGAAGTAAAGGAAGAGGCAAAGGAGCAACTCTAGTCCGGGCTCTGTTTGTTTTCTGTGTGCCCCGATAAGACCTTGCTCGGGCCGGGTTATTTGCTTTGTTCTATTTTTTACTCTATTTTTATTTCTCTATTTATGTTTGGCGGGATTCTATGCATCGGGCGCGATGCTATACGGGCTTTACTTCTTTTCTCCCGGCGTTAGGGCCCTATTTATCTGAGAGATACCATGCCGGAAGCATGGCTGATGCACTTGATCTTCCCCCCTGATAGTCTGTAGATGTGTGTGCCAATGTGCAATTAAATGCAGGCAGTATGTCCTCAAGAACGGTGTATCAGATACTAACGTCTGTCAACACTGCTGTACTCTACTTGTTGATAGACTGTTGCAACACGCTTTTCGCTCTACCCACACATCTGTCCTCGCATGTAGATATGGCTGTTTGAACATATGATCTTTGACAGTGTTTTCAAAAACCAATGGCGTATAATCAGTCCAGGCCATATACTTTCTGCTAAAAGTTCGCGGCGTGTTTCTCATGCGTCACGTGAGGGTATCAATGAGCCCTAAGTTCTACCAAGTAGAGGGCATTATTGAGAATGATATAAAGGCACTTTGGGGACAAGTCACTTTGGAGTACACTGAAATTAATTTGAGGTCAAAATCGACAGCATACATATGTTGAGACTCGAATCTACCCTCCAGTCCAGGGCAACTTACCTCTTGGTTATTTTCATACATGAGTACCTGTATGCCCTCTTCGCAAAGAATGACCCAAAACTACCCTAACAAGGTAAACAGTGACTCTGCTTTGTTAGGCGTTGTTCTAATTTTTATAGTTATATCATCACTCAGGATAATTTAATCTCTTCAAAGGACAAAGCCAAGAAAAAGAAGATCTGAAACACTCTACCAAAGATAAACCTGGTCCGTGAAAGCTTCCGGCCCTAAAATATCCTCAAAGGCTTTTCTGGTATTCTTAGACAGTAGAGGCAAAGGAGAGGGAGCAACCCTCGAGTTTCGAATGTTGTTGTTTCTCATATAATTAGCCCTATCACCCATTCTCTAGCCTTCACATTCGCTCAGCTCAGAGACCATTCCACCCTGCTCTCTGCATTCTGACCAACCACACACCTTTGAAATCCACCTCATCAACCTCATCGGTCTCATCAAAATGCCCGACGGAATTTTCATTCAAGATGGCTGGTATGTAGGCGAAGAAGACCCCAACGACCACGATAACCCCTGGTACGTCAACGTCTTTTTCAAAGACAACGATATGCGCAAGAGCGACGAGGCACTCATGGAGAAGCTTGCGAGGAAGCTTTGGAACAGAGAAGCCACTATCACAACTGAATGTCTGCATCATACCCGCTCGCACTGTATCTCGCTGTTGATCGATCATGACGGCACTGATACGGAAAAGTTGAACATCGCCTATCTGTTGACCAAGAAGATCCAGGAGACTGTCTATGCAGGAAAGACTACTATCAGTCGGAACAAGCTTTTCCGGGGAGAGGGGCTTGGTATTGATGGGTTTGAATATGCGGGCTCTCAGGTGGATTATCGTTGAAGGAGTAGAATGCTTTCGGGGAGGTTAATTTAGGTGGTTGTTGGAATTTCAAAGTGGGAATATTGAAGGGACATGAAGGAGGTTGATATGCTACTTGTACCAGAAGCTACTAGGACATTCTTAGGAGTTCATATATTGTCAACGATGAGACGACAGTTGTGAACATGGCGAACATGAATATCAATTTCCAACCTGTATAATGTCACTTCGTATTTTGAGCCACAATTAAATCTAGGCTAGGGATTTTTATATGCGGAAAAGCACCTCTCTGGATCTGTTTACTTTCCTGAGTATGTCAACAATCTAGCCATCACACCCCGGTCATATCTTTTAGGGCTACCATCAAAAGCAAGGTGACAAAGCCACTCGATTACATGGTTCCGATCTAGTCTACAAATATGACATCTATCAGATGGTATCGGGATGCATTCATAAACTATGAACAAACTAAGGTTACCTGATAAAGCATCATTTGTACAAAAGCATATTCACGAACCGCAACACCGTTCTCCAAATTAAGCATAGACAGAAGCATAACCCACACCAACTCCGAGACTAGTAGACAAGATAGGATACTATTGGAAACAAGAATGGCAGCTGAAGCATTGGAAATTGGGGTCTTCGTTCATGTACAGTTGAAGACCGATCGAGGCTGGAAGAAGATGCAGATTGGCGGCAGACGGGTAACGTTGATGGGTGGTGTGATTGAGTGGGTTATTATTCGACTTGGGTAAATGTAGACAGGGGAGTTCCTGTCTGATCAGGGTTTTTTGTTGAGCAAGTATTGCTGGGTGAGCCGTTCCTGACATGTCGCCATATTCTTTGGGCGACTGGCGGGTCGGAGTTATGCAATGCAAGCGCAGAAAGATAGCGGTATAGCCCATACTACCGGAAAAGTCGGGGTATTCGCATCAAGTGGTCTGGTCGATAAAAGTGAAGAGCTCGACGAGCATTCTCTAGTGCTCTAATCCACTCCGGCGTAAAGATCGACAACGATATTGATTGCGGCCACGAGAATCTCCGCAGCGATCAAAACGATAACTGATACTTGTTAGATGAGTTGCTGTCACAAGTGCAAGGGAGCTTACCAATCCATTCGAGATATTCGCCGTGACGGTGGGTTAATTGGTCCTTGAGAACTGCAAGCAAATCTGCAATGACATCCAGGCGCTCTGTCAACAGACTGACTCGTTGATCCATCTCCAGGTAGCTTCGGACTGCCTGGTACACAGGTTCCAGCTGTGGCTCTGCCCAGAAAAGTTCTGGGCTATCCAGGACAGATCCCTGCAAATGGATGTTGATACGGAGAATGAACAGCTCTCCGATTTGCATGTTGATTTGCTTGCGTGTGAGATTAACACTACCAGTCTGCGCAATTTGAGCAGGAAGAGGTGCGGTGTCGGTAATTGTTTCAGATACAAGATCTTCGAATAGCGAGGTCTTGACTGACTGGGCTAGAGCATGAGAGATAGCTAGCTTGACCATGTTATTTCGTGGGTCACGAAGAGAGATGAAGTCGTTGTAGATCCTAGCCTGGTATTCACGGGCATAGTAGAAATTGAAATTCTCAATCTGCGTGTCATCAGGGCTCAAAATGGAGGTCGCAAACTTCGAAATGTCCGACAAGAATCGCGATTCTTGCGCCGGCGACATTCCCCATATTACGACGGTGCCGTAATCGAAGAGGAATACTTCCGGCGTGTGAATTGTGGTATCAATGTCGGGGGTATCTTGAACGACTGCTTGTTCGGTTTGTTCAGCGGACTGTCCGGCCTCTTCGTGCAGATCGATCAAATCATCCCTTCGGGTTTTCTTGTTATCTTCCACTTCCACAGCACTATCCGAGTACCTTCTTTCGCTGGGTCGTCGCTCAGAATGCCCATTTCCAGTTGGATCGGCAAACATCCGACTATTTTGCTTTTCTTCATATTGGTAGTCAAAAGGCGAGTAGACACATTCGTCATAGAGCTTGGGATTCGCTCCACGAGTCTTGCTCCGCGACTTGAGGAACTTGATCACGCCCTCCAAGCGATATGAATTGGCCGTACAGTAAGCCGTGACTCGCGGAATGCGATCGCGATCGGCTTTGCCTAGTCTAGCAGCGTGACTTCGTGCGGCAGGGTCCTTAATCCTAGTGATTTGCGAATAGACATCCCGAGGAAAATCTCCATCAGAGGCTTCTTCCTCTTCGGTCACCGGATCGGGAAGCAGCTTTAATTTTTGCGCTTTTTTCGTAGTTCGCTGCGGTCCAATCTTAGACGCCGGGTGTGATTGGTACGATGCAGCGTTGAATGGAGCAGCGCCATGGCTGTTGCGACGACGGAGTTTACTGTTCAATGCTGATAGCATGGGCTGGCTGCCCGGTCGGGGCGGAGTACCCTGGGCATTCACATTGAGGACTGGGGGTGAACCTGTCTGCAAGGGTCGAAACGTAGGATCGGAGTTCGAGGAGGTGCCATAAGTGCTAATTTGCGTGAGCGGATTGAATGTCACCGACCGCGGCGTCCGGCTCGCCCGTGGTGACGTCGAGGTCGGATTGTGCTGAGGCAGCAACGGAGAATCTTCTTCTGGCATGATTGAATTGAAATGTAGACTTAGACGACAAGCGCCATTGGCGGGATATTGGGGTACAGGAAAAAGGAAAGAAAAAGGAAGCTGGGAGCTCTCCCATGCACGTGTTCCGCCTTATTAATCGGTGACATCGTCACTTTTTCCAAGTTTGGCCTGCAGCGATCGACTCATGCATCTCGCGATCTTCAAATAATTTACTTCTTTACTGAGAGTTGTCTAATATGTAATGCTTTTTCTTGTTGGATTCAACAAGTCGTGGACGCCCTAAATGACTAGATTGCTATATACAGGACTTGGTTCATAGGTTTCACTAACACCGAACACCATGCAACCTTCGAAGAGGGACAGACAGCCTCCATTGATTGATCACAACATGGCTGCAGATGGCGGCGAGCTGCATGCCCAGTCGACACCGACTTTCAGGTTGTGCCAATGGGGCCCCCGAAGATGGGAAAATTGGACTCGATGCAGTGCGAGTGTTGCCCGAGTAGTGGCTTTGGTAGGTCGCAGTAACATGCGACTTCCAGACGTAATGGAGATGTGCGACTGTCATGAATGGTCGCTTTTGATGGTCATACAAGATTGACAAGATTGGACGTCAACTTTTCAACGACGAACAAATCCCCCAGGCCCGCTTGCTTTCTTGCGGAGCCCGTTGCCGGCTGAGCTGCGGGCCCGCTGCAACATGCTGCTCTTGAGATTCTTTCCAGCCTTGGAGACTCGAGGAGCCAAAGCAGGCTTCGAGCTTTTCTTGGTGGAGGGCGCATCGAGCACCCGAATAGAAATATCGCCCAGATTGACATCCTTGGGAATTTTGTCCTGCTTGTCCAGGAACCTTAGCTTATTTGACTTCTTCGGCATGGCAAATTCATCGGCCGGGGGTGTGGGAGGGCGGATGACAGGCTCGGCGTTCAAAATGTCATCTGGAAGCAAAGCAGGCAGAGCTGCCCGTCGTGCATCTTGTGTAGTTGTGCCCTGAATGGTGGCTGTGCTCTCAGAGAGGAGATCGTCGGAAGACTCCTTAGGCTTGACAATAGTCTTGGCTTGCAACTTGCGACGCTCATCCAATTTCCGTCGCTTTTCTCTCTTCAGCTGTTCTTCTCTGTAGGAATTGTAAGCAAGTTGCAGTTGGCGCAAGTTTGCAAGAACACTTACAATTGCTTCGCGGTCTCTCGCTTCTTGGCCTGTTCCTTCATTCTCAGAAGCTGGGCCGAGTTATCAATGGCCTCTGGTGCATCATCATCGCTATCCTCATCTTCATCCTCCTGCATCGGATCTTCTGGGATTTCCTCGGATAGTGTCTCGGGAATTTCGGGTTCTTCGCTGTCGAAACGGAAGTGGTTCTTCTTTTCCGCGGGCGCTTTCTCTCCCTTGAGGTTGGACGACTTCAGGATATCGCTTGCATCTTCGGTCTCCATGTCCTTGGGATCACTCTTTCTTCTTCGCTTGGTTTGCTGGTTGTCGGCCTTGTTGGCCTTGCGCTTTCCGTTCGCAAGTTCGGGCGCAACTTCGCCTCGTCGTGTAGTCACCATGTTGGAATCGGCAGATTCTGTATTTTCAGGTCGCGTAAATAGACCCTTGGCAGCAGTGACCAAGTGAGCAAACATAGAGCGTCAAAATTGGATTGACGTGCAGGTCAAGAGGTGAAGCAAAAATAAAAAATCTCTCGGCGATTGGGATTTCCCGAGAGCGGAGACTGATAAGCTACTCCGCCTTATCGACTTGGCTTCACTTCACCAATTCGTCGCTGGACAGTGAACCCCTACTAGTTGTGCTCTTTGAAGCGGATTGATTATGATGGTGTTGGACCTAGGTTCTCAATCCCTAGTGGGAGGTGGACTTGACCACTTTCAAGTAGTCTGGTCATATATTTTGGAGCTACAAGTATCTATTTTGTCAACCCTAGCCCCGAATATATATGCTGGTTCACACGACTCTTCATACAGTTACATTGCATGACCAGGTATATGTGGCGCGTGCGAGATATCTGGTATCATGGGCGAAGAACATGATGCCTATAAGCAGACACCGTTTCTGAAGTTGAATATACAACGTTTTAGCTCGACATACGTATGTGTGTGCAGAAGTGCTCTGTCCAATTACCAGGATTCCGATGATCTACAGAAATCCAACCGTTGATGAAAGGTGCAATCAAATTCGGCCAGCCCTGCAAGCCATACATATCGTATGTTCAGTTTCAACAAACGCCGTCATCAATGCTACCAGACCCAGATAAAATGCCGCAAACCCCAACCAAACTCCAAGGAAAATGCAAAAAGATAGACAAATGAAAGTTGAATCACTTTTCAGCAGCGTTCGAGGTCCAGAATTCCATATGCTTTCGGACACATTCCTGGCGCTCCTCAGCTTCCTCACGGAATTGAGTGTAATCATCGTCTCCGAGATCACTTAGCTCCTCCCACATCTGGTTGTATTCGTCCTGGTCATCGCCAGTAACTGCCCACATATTTTCACGAAGACGTTTGTTGCGCTCGCGGTCCTCCTCAATGCGCTGCTCAATTTGTTTTTTGTCAAGGCGGATCTGAGGGGTTCCAGCTTTTGACTTGCTTCCCTCCTCGGTCCCTTCGTCTTGTTCCATATCGGGGTGGGTATCGCGATCCTTCAGAGCTGCATCAATTTCCGCCACGCTCTCCAATGTGAGGACTTTCTTGCCCTGCAGTCCGCTGAGCACGTGGCGGACGTGCTTGACGTTGGCTGCGCCAGTGCCATCGGGAGGCACGACAGAGTCGACAACACGGAGAATATCGCGCTGCATCATTCGGACGTAGGCGGGGTGATTTTCCTTCAGGGCCATGTCGCAGAGATGCTCGATAAAGTACATGATGTTCGCGCGGTTGTTCATGTTATTCTAAGAGGTAACAAGTCAGTCAAGATCCAACGCAAGTATTAGTATGATTCTATAGTTCTTACCCGCTCAAGCTGTTCAAGGATGCAGGAATGGAGATCCTCGTCTAGGTCCCGATATTTGAGCGCATAGAGGGCAGCTTTCTGCGCGGACGTGACTGATGCACTGAGGTGCTGAAGCTGAGTCGTGAAGCGCATGCGCACCTCAAACGGATCGACCATCATCTTGCCGCCCTTTTTGTTGTCTTTTTTAGCAGTCGAAGGGTCGAGGAACTCATCATGAGTAGGAGTAGCCATGATATCCCCAGGCCTGGTTGGCGCCGAATGGTATTACGTCAGCAGAGTGGGTCCTGGGAAGTTTGGGAGAAGGAAGTTCGATGGCGCTGTGTCTACTATAGGTGAATCAACCACATCACAGCACGGGGAATTTGGACATGAATTGGGTTTTATATTATCATTGCTTCCACAAGCTACTTGACTATTCACTTCTCAGATCTAACAAATTCGAGAAAATCACATGGATCAGACCAGAAATGCAAGATATACAGGGCACAATGGCAGCAAATTTCAGAAAGAATCCCGTCTCAATGAACCGCTCAGACTCGATCTATCATTCTCATGGAGGAGACCAATTTCCTCAGCTTCATGATGGTTCTCGAAATCGTGGAAGTCTTCATCTCTAAGCGCCTCTTGGCGACGGAATTCCACGCCATTAAGTACGGACCAAACGTCTTTTTTAGTCAGTAAACCTTGCAAAATACCTTTGTTGGCAAAGAGCACATAGCGCAGACCCAGGCGTTGGAACATCTTCAGAACAATCAAAAAGGTGATGTTACTGTTCAACGTAATGGGGGTCTGATCCATCCAAGGTCGTAGATCAAGGGTGTCAACAGGATCTGCAAAAGGCTGATGGGAAAAGAAGACCTGAGTCTCCTCAGAAAGGTTGCGGGTAGTCGGAGATGTCGAATATTTCAAAGCAAAAGATAGCTCATTGCGCGTGATGTAGCCCAAAAGAATGGGCTTTGAGGTTTCTGAGACAACAGGGAACCCGCGATATGTAGTGTTAGCAAGGAGACCGCGGATAGAAGCAATGGTATAGCCAGTTGCAGTCAGAACACTGATGTCGTCTACAGTCGTCATGACTCGGTGGGCAGACACATCTGGTGGAGTGGTATCATCACGGTGGTCGAGGAAAGGATATTCATTCAATCGAATCCATGACTCGTAGATACCTCGTTTGCCGAAGATATCACCGCACCACTTGGAAAGCATCACAGCAATCATGATTGGAATCACATATGTCAATGCGCCAGTCAACTCAAACATGATAACGACAATCGACAGAGTCATTCGAGTTGCGCCACCGAGGGCAGCGGCAGCTCCAATAATGGCATATAAGCCAGGAGTGACACATGGAATATCAGGCTCGCATTTGCTAAATAAGAAAGCTTTCGGGTAGGCTTCCTGCCACATGCGCATGAGAATGCCAAAAGCACGCCCGTAAAGAGCACCGATGGCGACTGAAGGTAAAATAATACCCGCTGGAATCTCAAGGCCAAAGGTCAAGGAAGCTAAGAAGAAAGCCAACAATGCAGCTGCTACCAAAAACATTGCCACGCCGATTGATGCAGACCCTGTTGCGCAGAGGCCGAAACGATCAAATGTTGAACTACTGCACTCAGCGAACAGTGACTGAACAAGCTCCGAGTTTTGAGCCCGCATAAAATGGTTCGGGTAGTTGACCAAAGCTGTAAGGAGAGCAACTGCAACGACTTCGAGTATCGGCCGGGAAGAAGTTCGACCTCGTCTCCATGTGGCAATCTTCGTATTTAAACGAATGAGGAATGCCCCGTAAAGACCACCGATGATACCAAGGATGATGAAAGGGATTATTTCAAAGCGGTGCCAGCCTCGAGTGTATGTGACTTGATAAAGCACAATTTTGCCCGTTCGGAAAGGGTTTAGGGCCTGTAAAACAACAGCTGCAATCATCGCACAAACGAAACTTTGCCACATGGTTTTGTCCGGGAAATAATATGAAAGTTGCTAGAGAAGTCAGTAAGAAATCCAGTGGCAAAAATGCAGTGACTGTACCTCCAAGCTGAAAAGCACACCTCCAATGGGAGCTCCAAATGCGACAGAAATACCCGCAGCGGCAGCAGCGGAAAGTACCTCGCGTTTTCGGGCTACATAATTAGCTGAATAATGACCAAAGATAGAAATATGGAGGCATACCTTCGTTGCCATTCAGACTTGGGAAAGGCTTCATTAGGATATTGGCACAGCAGCATGCAACGTGTACAAGAGGACCCTCTTTTCCGAGCCATAATCCAGATGCAACTGAAAGACACTTCAAATGCAGTCAGTTAGGGAAATATGTATCAAAGTATTAAGCTCTCCAGCGACTTACCAAGCCCAAGGATTTGATAGTAAGTGTCCATGGCCCCATAAAATGCCGAATGACAGTTCCACCAAGTATGGTCTTGATTTCAGGTATTCCACTGTGTCGAGCGTAGATGGCATAGTTTCGCACCAAAAAGCTAGCACATGCAGCAAAGAAGACCGAAAACACAACATAGAAGATGTACCCCACCGTGTATGTTCCTCCATTTGAGGTTGCACCCAAAGCAGTACCCCATGGCGTCCAATCAAGACACTTGGTCTGATCTATATATCGCATTGTTTTAGCACTCGAGGGTCATAGGTTCGATTGCGACAACATACCATCAAGACCCCAACAGCAAAAGCTTTTGTTCAAATAGAACTTTCCACCACCACTGCCATTTTTACAGTAGCCAGTCTTCAGATCACCTAACCAATCTGTTGCAATGTCGATACAGGCGGCGATTATGCCTACTGCGATACCGGTCGCGATCAACACTAACCAGACATTGCTAGCATCAAGAAGCCGACGAGCATGACCTAAAAGTCCTTGACCGCTCGAGTAGAGGAGTCGTTTTCTTTGCCGCTCCTTTGTATATTCATAGATCCAATCGATAGCTGTAAAGTCGTCGTATCCCACACGTCGTCCTGGGCCCTCGACATACCAGTCTAGAGGGCCGCCGTCTTTGGATCCCTCAGGGCCACCATTGAATCCGATGGGACCATAAGGATCAAGGGGCGATACATCTCCATTATGTCCACCCTGCGGGGCTGGAGAGCTGAAGCCAGTACTCGATCCGCCCGCTGTAGGGGACAGGAGATTAGAAAGACTGAATCGCGATCGTCGTTTTTGTTTTCGTTTGAAGGATATCCTGGAGGCGATTCACAGTTAGCTTCACAATCCAAAGTAAATCCCCCAAGACGTACGGCTCTTGTAAACCTTCGGACTCGCGATGTCCTTGGGGCTGGAGGTGGTCCTGATCAGCACTTTGCGACAAGGACCGATCCTCGCTGCCCGAGCCCTGACCACTCATTGACATCGTGGCACATCCAGAGATTGCAGTATGAGCATATCTCTCGCATGAAACAAGCTGTTGAACAGAACAAACGTCCAGGACGCGCAAGTGTGGCGCAAGCTCCCGGATCCAAGGCGGTGAAAATGGTCTAGGCGGGGGCTGCGCCACAAGTAGGCAGAAAAAAAAGTTATCAGACGGAGTCTCTTCACTTTCAAAACTTCAACAAGGAGATCCTCTTACGGCCGGAATAAACATGGATCGACGGCCGGTCTATGAGAGGACTCTTACAGAGTCCCAGCTGCTCGAGCAGCTTCCGAGTGGAATCTCGACTTTCATTCGGACTGCATCGGGGACCCAACACCTCCACGCGCTTGCGCTTGGCGCATTAAACACCGAATTTACAGAGAGCATTTTCAGGCTCTACGAACCGATTTTTGTCGATCTTGCAGCTAGATGGCTTCAATCGGACTTACATGCCGACTATATTCATGTATTAGCGGCTTTCGCGCAGATTTTGCCATTTGCGCCGCATCTGCGGTCGCTCGCCAGTCAATATGCCTCTTCACAGACTGGCCTTCTTTCGGCATTGGCCATTTCGAAAGAACTTACACTGCTACAACTGGATAAGTCTAGCATTCGCACCCTACTCCTCGCCCTTTTCCGACTCCTTTCGTTCGATCTCGAGACATTTTCTCCTGTCGTTTCACCGCTCCAACTCCAGTCCCTCTTCCAGTCTCAAGACCGAGTAACACGGTACCTCGCTGTACGATGCTTCGCCTTATATATGCATGCAGCCGATGCGGCTACTGAGAAGATGGTCCGCGTCAACACCGGGGCTGATCCCATTGAAGGAGAATGGGAAGGCACTCTGATCGACTACCGCCTGCTGGGATTGTGGGAGGAACGCCGATGGGATAGTCTTGGACGAATCATCCAGAATGAGAGATCTTCTAGGAATGAGGCTGATACTCTGGCGTTGGTCGAGAGGACGAAAGACTCTTTCACACCCAAGACTGCAGAGATTTGCGGAGTTTTGATTCCCAGGCTGAAGGAAGTTCCTGTGTACTCGAGCTCCGTTGTGAAGACCCCGACCACGATTGGGAACTTGCGCCGGATTGCAGGCTCTCTGCTTGGGTTCAAGCCGATCATGTTAGTCGGTTTGCCCAATTCCGGAAAGACCTCTTTGATCAATGATATTGCTGCCACGATGGGCCAGGCTGAATCTATGGTCACACTCCACTTGAACGAGCAGACGGACGCAAAGAGTCTTTTGGGAATGTATGCAACCTCGTCTGCATCTGGTTCCTTTTCCTGGCAACCTGGTGTATTGACCAAGGCTGCACGCGAAGGCCGTTGGGTCTTAATTGAAGATCTCGATCGTGCTCCATCCGAAGTCATGGGTCTTATCCTTCCTATCATTGAGAGGGGAGAACTTACTATTCCTAGCCGGAGAGAGCGAATCAAGTGCGCAGAGGGCTTCAAAATTATTGCTACAATGAAGTCATCATATAACATCGCCGGCGAAGAGGTTGCTCACAATACTTCAATGCTCGGAAGCAGACTCTGGGAGAGAGTGCAAGTCAATTCTCTTCCAGTGGACGAAATGCGGGATGTTATCCTGCAAAAGTACTCCTTGCTCGAGTCTCGCGTGCCGACCCTCATGGAGGTATACGCAAGAGTTTGCTCTGCTTTCCATGGGAGCCTTGCAATCAAGGGCTCTCAAGGCCGTACCCCAGGTTTTCGTGATTTAATCAAGCTGTGCAGTCGACTGCACAACCGCTTGCAACGTATGGGGGTGAAAACCGGCTATGAACCAACGTCAGAAGGTACCGAGGATGAAATATTCCTGGACATTGTTGATGTGTTCTTGAAATACCTTCCCGAGAGGTCGATGCAAAGCACTCTTGCCGCCGTCGTTGCTGAGGTGCTTCAAATCTCACCCCAGCGAGCACAATTCTGCCTGCACGAGCGTACGCCTTCATATACCGATAAGAACAACAGTCTTGTTCTTGGTAGGGAAACCTGTCAGAAAATCAAGGTACCGAGTGGATCGGCATTGAAGTCGGCGGCAGCAGCCTCTCGCTTTGCTCCTACCAGAGCTGCTCTATCACTCATGGAACAAGTTGCAGCTTCTATACAGATGGCAGAGCCTGTTCTACTTGTCGGAGAGACTGGTATCGGAAAGACCACAGTCATCCAGCATCTCGCAACTCTGATGCGCCAGAAGCTTACAGTAGTGAATTTGTCACAGCAGAGTGAAAGCACTGATCTGCTAGGTGGCTTCAAGCCTGTTAATATTCGTACCATGGCTGTGCCCATGCTGGACGAGTTCACTCAACTGTTTGAGCTGACTTTCTCCGCCAAGAAGAACCAGAAGTTCTTGTCTTCAGTTTCGAAAAGCGTTGCAAGTTCGAATTGGGTACGGTTGGTGACCCTGTGGCACGAGGCCGTTCGCCTTGCCAATGGTGTCTTCCACCCTCCCACTTCCAATGCTGATAGTGACGAGCAACCAACCAAGAAGCGCAAGCTGGATTCTCCCAAGTATCAGCATCTACGACAAAGATGGGAGAGCTTCACTACTCAGCTTGGAGATTTCGAAGCGCAAGTATCACAAGGCGATGCCAAATTTGCCTTTGCCTTCGTCCAAGGTAAGATCGTGAGGGCTCTGCGAAATGGCGAATGGGTTCTGCTGGATGAAGTTAACTTGGCTTCTCCCGACACCCTTGAAAATATTGCCAGTCTTTTGCACCATGGTAGCGAAGGATCTCCATCCGTTCTCCTTTCCGAGGCTGGTGATGTTGAGCGGGTTTTCGGTCATCCTGAATTCCGTATCTTTGGTGCAATGAACCCTGCAACCGATGCCGGAAAACGCGATTTGCCCCCCGGCCTGCGCTCTCGCTTTACCGAATTCTATGTGCATTCGCCCGATACTGATTTGGACGATTTGTTGGCTTTGATCCAGAAGTACCTCGGAGATTTGACAATCAGTGATCAGAGAGCTGTTCCAGACCTCGCAACATTGTACATGGTGACCAAGCAGCTCAGCAACCAGAACAAGCTCACCGATGGAGCTGGACAGAGGCCCCATTTCAGTATTCGTACGCTTGTTCGTGCTCTCATCTATGTCATCGACCACGCACACGTCTACGGGCTACGCAGGGCCATGTTTGAAGGATTCAGCATGAGTTTCCTGACTGTACTCAGCTTGGCCTCCGAGCAAGCCCTAGTTCCTCTCCTTGAAACCCACATCTTCGGCAACGCAAAGAACGCCAAATCTCTCCTTGGACAAACCCCTCGCCCACCGACAGACGGGAATGAGTATGTCCAATTCAAGCATTACTGGATGCGCCGCGGTCCCATGATTCCCGAGGAGCAACCGCACTATATTATCACTCCATTCATTGAGAAGAACCTCAAGAACTTGGTCCGAGCTAGCTCCACCCGCCGATTCCCAGTTCTACTCCAAGGTCCGACATCAGCCGGTAAGACGAGTATGATCGAGTACCTTGCTAAGGTGTCTGGAAACAAATTCGTGCGAATCAACAACCACGAGCACACGGACTTGCAGGAATATTTGGGATCTTATATCTCCACGGATGACGGAAGTCTAAAGTACCAAGAGGGTGTTCTGGTTGAGGCTCTGCGGAACGGTTATTGGATTGTGCTCGATGAGCTTAATCTGGCACCTTCTGATGTTCTTGAGGCTCTCAACCGACTTCTAGATGACAACCGTGAGCTTTTCATCCCTGAGACTCAAGAAGTCGTTCACCCCCATCCGAACTTCATGCTCTTCGCCACTCAGAACCCTGCTGGTCTATATGGTGGACGAAAGGTCCTGTCTCGCGCTTTCCGTAACCGTTTCTTGGAGCTTCACTTCGATGACATCCCGGAAAGCGAACTCGAATTTATTTTGAAGGAACGGTCTCAAATTGCCCCCTCGTTCTGCACACGCATTGTCGCCGTCTACCGCAAGCTGTCATTGTTGCGTCAGTCTAACAGACTGTTTGAACAGAAAAACAGTTTTGCTACTCTGCGTGACCTTTTCCGATGGGCCCTTCGTGACGCAGACGATCGTGAGCAGTTGGCAGTCAACGGTTATATGCTGCTTGGTGAGCGTGTTCGCAACCCCCAAGAAAAGGCTGCTGTCAAGGCTGTGATCGAGGAGGTTATGAAGGTGAAATTAGACGAGGACACTCTTTATGGCTCCGCGGAGTTTGAAAAGACCCTTCCTCAGATGAACGAGCTCCCCACCGGTATCGTGTGGACTAAGGCTATGCGTCGTCTTTTCATTTTGGTATCCAAGGCCCTCCGGAATAACGAGCCCATCCTGCTTGTTGGTGAAACCGGATGTGGTAAGACACAGCTTTGCCAGGCCGTTGCTGAGGCTTTCCGAAGAGAGCTTTTCATTGTGAACGCCCACGTCAACTTGGAAACTGGTGATTTGATCGGAGCTCAAAGACCTATTCGAAACCGGGCAGCGATTGAAAAGCAGCTCTTTGGTGATCTCCAAACACTTCTTCACGGCCAAGCAACTGGCGCTTCGTTGGATGAACTGAAGCACGAGTTCTTGGCATTGGATGCAGAGCAGCGACAAAGCAAGGACCAAGCTCTCATCCAGAAGATTGAGAGAAATGCTGCTCGTTGCAATGCCTTGTTTGAATGGTCCGACGGAAGTCTTATCACTGCCATGAAAACCGGTCAATTCTTCCTACTTGATGAAATTTCTCTGGCAGACGACTCCGTTCTTGAGAGACTCAACAGTGTTCTGGAACCTGCTCGGTCCATCCTTCTGGCCGAGAAAGGCCCAGTCGACTCGATGGTTATTGCCGATGGTGGCTTCCAGTTCATGTCCACCATGAATCCTGGTGGTGACTATGGAAAGCGTGAGCTTTCTGCAGCTCTTCGTAACCGTATGACTGAGATCTGGGCCCCTCAGCTGTCAGAGGATGATGACATCTTGCCAATCCTCCAGATGAGACTGAATGTGAAGTCAGAGGAAGTGGCTCGAGCTATGCTACAATTTGCAAAGTGGTTCAAAATGACTTTCCAGAATACCTCGACCACCTCGCTCTCAATTCGTGATCTTCTCGCCTGGGTTGATTTCGTCAACACCTGCCAAAGCACCGATACTCATTTTGCAATTATTCAGGGTGCTGCGATGGTTTTCGTTGACACTCTGGGTGCTAACCCAGCTGCAATGCTCGCCATCTCTCTCAATAACCTCGATGGAAACCGCAAGTCTTGTCTTAACAAGCTCAGTGAATTGTTCAACACAGATGCTTCCAAAATCTACTGGGAACAGTCGAACGTCTCCGTCGAACCAGGTGCTTTGCGCATTGGACCCTTCTCCCTCCCTACAGCTGGCGATGCCGACCCAGATCCTCAGTTCACAATGGACGCTCCTACTACCATTGCCAACTCCGTAAGAATTGCTCGCGGCCTGCAGTCCTCGAAACCAATCCTCATGGAAGGAAGCCCGGGTGTGGGTAAGACCACGCTCGTCACAGCCCTGGCCAGAGCCCTTGGAAAACCTCTCACTCGAATCAACCTTTCAGAACAAACAGATCTTACCGACCTTTTTGGTTCCGATGTTCCAGTAGAAGGAGGAGATGTTGGACAATTTACCTGGCGTGACGCACCTTTCCTACGAGCAATGCAGCGAGGTGACTGGGTTCTGTTGGATGAGATGAACCTTGCCTCGCAGTCCGTCCTCGAAGGTCTCAACTCTTGTTTGGATCATCGTCAACAAGTTTATATTGCTGAACTTGATCAAACATTCAAGAGACACCCTGATTTCGTCCTATTTGCTGCCCAGAATCCCCACCACCAGGGTGGCGGTAGAAAAGGTCTTCCTGCATCTTTTGTCAACCGTTTTACAGTTGTCTACGCAGACAGCTTCACCGACGATGACCTCAAGACAATTTGCTCTAGGCTTTTCCCTGGCAGCCCTTCTGTACAGACCGAGAGACTTGTTGATTTCATCTCTCTTCTAAACACAGCCATCACCCGTGACCGTCGACTGGGTGCTGTTGGCGGACCTTGGGAAGTTAATCTGCGAGACATCCAGCGATGGCTTCAACTTGCCGACCGAGGAAATCTCCAGATTCAAACCAAACATTTCCTTGACATCGTCATTAACCAGCGCTTTAGAAGCCAAGAGGATCGCGCTGTGGTCGCTCAAATTTATGACCGTATTTTCACCGACTGTGATACTGGTCTTAAGAGTTACTTCCACAACCTCACACCTGAGTACTTGCAGGTTGGTCTTGGAGTTTTGACTCGTGATCCTCTCCTGCAGCGCTCGGCTGAGCCCAATATGCGAATCCTTCCGAAGGATCTTCACATTGTTGAGTCACTCATTCTGTGCATTGACAACTCCTGGCCCAGCATTCTTGTTGGAGCTGCTGGATGTGGCAAAACTACTCTTATCAGGAAGCTCGCAGCTGTCAACGGTGCAAACCTTGTCGAGCTCGCTCTGAGCGCTGACACTGATACTATGGACCTGATTGGTGGTTTCGAACAAATCGACCATCGGAGGGAGGTGTCAGGCTTCGTGCATGACATTGAGATCTTCTTGCGCAACCAACTGATTCAATGCTTCGCTTCAGGCGAGGTTTCTGATGTTGTGATTTCTGCTCTCGGAATTTGCGAGCATTTCCAAGCCGTTGACATTTCTCTAGAGCATGTCATCTCTTCACTCTCTGCTCTCTGCCAGTCATCCTCTGATCCAGCCTACCAGCAGTTCTTGACCAGAGCCCAGAATCTGCTAAATGCCATCGAACAATCCGATAAAATGAAGGTCGGATTCGAATGGACAGAAGGTGTTCTCACTCAGGCTGTTCAGCTTGGGCACTGGGTGATCTTAGACAATGCCAATCTTTGCAATCCCTCCGTCCTTGATCGACTGAACTCCTTGACAGAGCCCAATGGTACCCTCATTCTCAATGAGCAACGGACCGAGGATGGCTCCGCCAGAATCATATCGCCTCACCCCAACTTCCGACTGTTCTTGACCATGGATCCCCGCAATGGTGAATTGTCTCGAGCCATGCGAAACAGATGTACTGAGATCTGTTTCCTGCCAAACGAGCTCCAAGATATCAAACCCACTGTCGGCCCATCCTACACTTGTGAATCCTTCATCTACCGTCTTCGCCCTATCTGGAACATGGACACGACTTTGCCATCTACTGCATTTAAGAATGCCCTTGAGATCTGCCTGGATCACCTTTCACCGGAAGACCTGTCATATCTTCAACACTCTCCCCAAAACTTTGAGGCTATCAACGCTTTAGCGCTCGACAATAACCAATCTTCCAATGTCCTGCAGCGTTATGGCTCGTTGTTCCACGACAATAACCAATGGAAACCACTCGAGATTTCTCAAGGCGAAATTGTTCTTGGAGGTGCCAAGCTTGGTATTCAAGGCATGTCACAGCCTCTCCACCCACTCACCAATGAGCCACTTCTCTCGATTGCAGGATCTCGCGATTTCCGATCATGTTTGGTCGTCTTGGCCTATCTTCAGGAGCTGAGACTTGATATTCACCGCCTCAGGCAACGTTTGCTTCAGGCTGATGCCTCTGGCAAAGAATTGAAGCCCAGCCAAATGACACGACTGGAGCGATCATTGGCATCTGCGCGAATCCCTGCATTGATGAAAGATACGACACAGCCTGTGGCGTCGTTCTTGTCTGATTGTGGCCAGGCATTGTACGACTACATCCAGGCATTGGATCAGATCTCCCTTCAAGGACCTGTGATTATCGCCGCTCTTAGGGCTGTAACTTCTCTATGCTGGGACATATACAGAGCCACCGAAGTCAGCCAAGTCGACGAAGGCGAGTTCCAAATCTATTTGCAGATGGGCAGGAAGATTTGTACCTCGCTCGACTCATCGATCATGTTGCAGCCCCTTCAAATCGCCTTGTCCCAGGCCCTCGATCGTTTCCAAGAGGGATGGGCTTTGATGACAGGTTTGAGCATGCAAAGAATGTGGGACGCTTGGAGACATGTCACCCCAGTTTCTCAAGAAAAGTTGGATTCGCTCACTGAGCTGGAGTCGACTGTTTTCGAGTTCACCACTTTGGCTCTGCAGACTCGCGTGGAGCTTGCACAACTGAGCCAAGTCCGCGACTCATTGATTGAGGCCCAGCGTTTCATTCTTATGGATGGCGCTGATGGTGACTTACTTGTTCAGGGCATCAAAGAAACCGTCTCCGAATTATCTCGCGCAGTGCGACGTTCTGAGTCGACTGAATACCCGTACTTCGCCGACGAGTTTGAGGCTCTTTGCCAGTACCATGATATCTCCTCATTCTTCCAGAACGACGTCAATGACACTGTAATTCAGACAGTCATGCCACTTCTCGCTGGCCGGGCAGCTCGCGCATTGGATGCTTCCAACTTCCAGAGCGATGTGCCAAACATGCTCCATAGGGTGACCATGTTTAGCGGTTCATCAAGTAAATCGGAGGCTGCACTTGCCACAGGCGGTGTTTTGTCACTGTCCCTGTTGGATAGACTAACAGCTGTTGGTGATACTAAATTGGGCCAGATGGATATGCTTGAGGCGGAGAAGAAAGCATTGTCGAAGGCTATTACCCTGAGCAGTCGACAAATTGCTACTGATCAGTCCATGGACCTCAGACGTATTCTGGCAAGACTAACTTCGGAGCTGGTTGCCTGTCATCGCGAGTTCCTCGAACCTCGTTCAGCTGAACAACTTATTTCGATCTTGCAGGCAGTTCAAGCGGGGGATCTTCTCGATGAACAAACATCTGTCAAGATCGAACTTGATCAAAACTTGGCAAGTGCCCAGTATCTCAAGACCATCACGGAACAGGCCCTGCCCAAGCTGCTCTCGTCATTGAGCATGGCTCCGTCAAGCAAGCAGGAGAGTATCCGTAGTACTGGACTCGCAGCGGTACAGCTGGCAGTGATTCTTCTGCGGCTGTTTGTGCCTGACAAGACATTTGATCCTTCGCTTGGTCTCGTTGTTCAACGCAAACGACACTCGCAGCGCCTTGCGGAGTTCACTGCTAAGTCTGCTGCAATTCTTGCATTCGAGAAGAACTTCACCAGTCAGATCTCCAACCTAAGATCTGAGCTTTTGCATGATGAGATTCGCGACCTAGGCGCTGCTCCGCCTCCTTCACTAGTCAACCGACCACAGCAGTCTCAGTTGAGCCTTCTGCAGGGGGAATTTGTGAACTTGATCAATTCTGTTCTAAACAGAGACCCCGAGCAAATGATTCGCTCTGCGGAGCAATCGTCAACTTCCCAGATCCAGCTCCTGCGTGATAACATCCGACAGCTGAGCAGTCGTCTCAGCACCCATTACAATTCTTACAGCGACATCACGGTGCCTGTCATTCGTTTCTTGCAACTGCTCGATCTCGGTCTGTTCCTTGGCTCCAGTCAACCAGAGCAGGCAGGCGATATCCCCGATATTCAGTCTCTGAGCGAGCGAACGCCCTTCCTTGGTGGCACTCTTCACCCAGTTCTGTCTGGAAATGGTGGCAAGGTGTCAACGACCCCCAAGCACCAAGTCGAAATGCGTCTTCAAGAATTGTCGGCTCTTTGGGCCGCCCAGGATGCAGATTCGACGATTCTTGATACAAAGGCTGGGCGATCAACAATCCTCCTTATCTTTGCCGACTTCCATCACCTGTGGAAGAACAAGCTCAAGGAAGATCAGGAACAGGAAGCCGAGAAGGGAGAGCTATACCGCTTCAAGGGCTCCTGGGAAGAGGAGGAGGAGGTCAATGAAGCCGAACTCCATGCCCTCTTCCCTACCTACGATGAAGGTTCGGTTCAGGAGACCGAAATGACCGGCCGCATTGACCCCAAGGCAATCTCTCTTCGTCTTGCTTCTCTTCATGCAAAGATCGTCTCGAACCAGCGCACAGGAACCGCACTGACTACATTTGTCAAGCAATCTGGTCACCTATTGGGTTCGATTTGGTCTGACAGCAAGAGCGATTTCTCGCCCGTCTCCCCTGAAAGTCATCTTCCTGCTGTCCTCCTGCTTCTGGATGATGCGATCAACGAGGGTGATGACCGGAAGAAGAACTACAACTTCTATACCGATTCTAACCTCGCAGAGGCAAGGAAATTGGTTGCCCTCGCGCTTTCTGTTCAGGCTCGATTTGCGCAGATTCAAATTGCTTGGCCTGAACATGCTGTTCTTCAGGACGTCATTACTTGCTGCATGGAGATTCTTCAGTTCAAGCACACAGAGCCTGTTGCCAAGTTCATGACAAAGGTTGAAAAGCTTCATTCGTACGTACATGAGTGGCAGACCGTGGCCAGCAGAGAATACTCGGCCGTAACCGTTTACGATGAGATCACCAGCATTATCATCAGCTGGCGTCGACTTGAATTGTCAACTTGGGCCAAGCTCTTGGATCTCGAGAAGGACCGTTGTGATGACGACGTCAGTGCTTGGTGGTTTATTGCCTACGAGGCCCTCCTCGGAGCCCCCATTCAGATGGCAGAGGCGGGCGAGCAGGACATGAGCGAGCATACCCACAGCTTGATGTCTACCTTGGAACAATTCTTCAAATCTACCACTCTCGGCCAATTTGCTCGTCGCCTGCAGTTGGTTACCAATTTCCAAGCCTTGCTGGAGGTCTTCACCAAAGACTTCCCTTGTCTCAAGCAGCTTGTTTCCGCCATGGAGAATTTCCTCCACCACTACCGACCTTTCCAACCTGGGGTTGACAAGATTCTGAGCGAAAAGCGTGCCACTCTTGAGAAAGATATCAAGGAGCAGATTCAGTTAGCCAGCTGGAAGGATATCAACATCGTTGCTTTGAGGGAGAGTGCTAAGCGGTCCCACGTCAAGTTGTTTAAGCTGGTTCGCAAGTACCGTGAAGCCCTTGGCCAGCCGGTCCAATCAATTCTTGAACAAGGACTTCCCGAGAGCACCGAAGAAGTCAACTCAATGTCTTCTTCAGAGCCAATTCGGCCTACTGCAATCTTCCCCGAGGCGATGGCAGTCTGCCAAAAGAACCAGGAGCTGTGGTCAAGCAGAGCACTCCGTTTCCAGAAGCCAGACGGAACAGCCGACAACATGATGAAGCTTTACTCTGGCATTCCATCCGAATTTGACATTGCCAAGGACCTCGACAGCTTCATTGTGTCTGTTATTGAAAACATGAACGAGTACAAGACCAAGACACCTAAGGTCTTGACCGAGGACAATAAGGATGATGTCCAGCACCTCAAATCCCAAAAGCGTCGTCTCTACGCTGAAACTCTCAAGAAACTCTATGAGATGGGCGTTAAGCGCAATGCTGGCACCAGTGTGATCGAAACTCAAGAATCTCTCGCACAAATCCTTGCTACCAGTGCTGCCTTTGAGTCGAACGCCGCAACCTCGACTGCTGTTCAAAGTGCTGACTGGTACTTCCACAGACTTGTGGATCTCCTGCCCAAGACTCGTCTTGCTTCGCGCAACTATTCCGAGGAGCTGAGCAACGTCGAAGTTTTCAGAAGTATGGGATCGATTGAGCACCTAATCTTCACCGTTCGTCGACAGAGAGGTATCATTTCGCCTACCCTGACTGGACTGGGCAAGTTGAAGTCTACTCTTGACAAAGTGCAGAACCTGTGGACAGCATCCTCAGATTCTCTTTCCAAGGATAATGCTTCTACTTCGGAAGAACGAACCAACTTGGCCCGAGTTGTAGCCTGGTTGGCGCCAATTCTTGGATTGGCTTCCATGATTGTTGGTGTGCATGCTAAGTTCTCGGGACTTGACGCATCCGAAATTGTCCACGCTCTCAACTCTAAGAAGGCTTCCTTCGACACCCTGCGCAAGTGGCACGAGTCCCTTCCCCTTCTTCCTACCGGAGTTGTGTCGAAGGCACACCACGATGTCACGCTGCAGACACGAACCTCGCTTGATGAGTTAGATGCTGATCTGAAGAAATGGACGCAGTCTCGTCCCGACCTTGCCTTTGCGTTGGGCCAGGTCACACCTTGGATCAAGACGAACATGGCTGCTTTGCCGGATGCTTCCGAAGAGAATGATAGCCTCTCCATCCAAGTCTTTGACAACAGCCTTCTGACTGCTATTGACAAGATGCTGATTGGTCTTCAGAAGCTCAAGGATGTTTCTCCTGCTATCACCTTTGACGGCTTGCTGTCGAGGAGTGATGAGTTCTTCTCTCGTGCAGTGAAGGCTGTTCATCTCACCGAAATTACATCGTCGTTTGAGATGGTCCTTGATCAATTGAGCCACCTACAAGATCACTCGGAAGCCGGTCTCTCTATTGCTGCCGCTTTGGTCACCAGTATTCTGCCTGTTGCCAACAGATACTATCAGATCTGCCGAGATCTCGCCGATCGATTTGTCGCCGTTCATCGCGAGATCTGTAAAACGTCTTACATTTTGACAAAGACCTTCAACCAGGTCGCCTCCGAGGGCTTCTGTAGTCCTGGTGAAGCCTCCCAAGAACAGGGCAAGGAGGGCAAAATGGAGAGTGGAACGGGTCTTGGTGAAGGCGAAGGTGCGGAAGACATCAGCAAGGATGTTGGTGATGATGAAGATCTCTCCGAGTTGGCCCAGCAGGAGAACAAGAAAGAGGACGGTGACGATGAGATGGACGATTCCGCGGATGCTGTCAACATGGATCAAGAGGATCTTCAGGGTGACACCGAGGAACGTAAGGATGGCGAGGAGGAAGATAAGGATGAGAGTGGTGATGAAGGTGACGATGACATTGACGAAGAGACCGGCAGCGTCAATGACCTTGATGACGCTGCTGTTGATGAGAAGCTCTGGGATGGTGGCAACGATGACCAGCAAAAGGATACCGAGAACGAAGAAGGCAAGGGCCAGTCAGAGGCCGAGGAGCAGGCTGCCGCCCAGGAGGAGAAAAAGAAGGATAAGGACGGCGAAAAGGCCGAAGACAAGAATGGTGAGGACGAAGAGGAGGAAGAAACTGAAGACGAAGAAGCCCCAGAAGATGAGGGCGAGGCAGTCGGCCGTGAGGAGATGGATGTCACTGACCCTCAGGCGGAGGAACAAGAGACCCTTGAACTTCCCGAGGAAATGCAACTTGACGGTGACGATGGAAAGGATGAGGGTGGTGACGAGGATGACGAAGGAATGGATGACCTTGACGATGATATGGGTCCCCTTCCTGAGGAGGAAGGAAAGGCCGAAGATGGTGACGATCATGCTGGAGAAGAAGACGTCGACGCGGCTCCAGATGATCAAGCGCCTGGTGAGGATGAAGAGATGGGCGATGAAGATACCAACGAAGCCGAAGCCGGAGGAGAGGAGGAGGAAGAGGAAGCTGGCGGCGAAGACCCCGAGGAGCCCGAAAAGGACGACTTCCTCGCACAGCGCGATGAGAATGAGGCTGCGGGCGACAACGTCGCTCCCAGCGAAGCCGTCACTGGAGGACTTGGAGCCGAGCAAGACCAGAATGAGGAGAAGGGTGCATCGGGTGATGCCCAGCAGGAGAGCGGTTCGAGTGATCCCACTGCTAATGTCGACGAGCAGTCGGGCGCCGCTAAGGATAGTGAGGAGAGCCAGGCCAGCCGAGAGGCCGGTGGAGGCGAAGAGACGAAGCCTAATGAGCCTCAAATGCAGGCCTTCAAAAAGCTTGGTGATATGCTTGAGGAATGGCACCGCAGACAAAAGGAGATTCTGAACCCATCCCAAGAGGAGGACGACTCTCAGCCTATGCCTCAAGACACCGATATGGCCGAGGCAGACTTCGAGCACCTCAAGGACGACGATGATGCTGCTGACACCCAGGCTCTGGGACAAGCCAACGATGAGCAAGCACAAGCTCTCGACCAGAGCAAGGGCGTCGAGTCCGACATCAAGCCTGGAGAGAATGATATTCTCCCCGATGCCGGCGATGACCAGCAAGATGCCGTGGACAACCAACTCGAGGATGAAATGCAAATCGACCGTGAAACCGCTCCCACTGATAGCGAACACGCCGGTGCATTCATTCCAGGCGGCCAACAATCTCAAGACCGTGCGGAGGGAGGACAGGGCGCCGAAGCTTTGAACGAGGAGCTCGATGAAGTCGACACCCAGCTCGCAGCAATTCACCTTTCCTCCACGCTTCCGCCGTTGACCCCGCAAGACGAAGCCCGCCGCCTCTGGTCTCACTACGAGTCCGCGACAAACGATCTCTCACTCTCGCTCACCGAACAACTTCGCCTCATCCTTGCCCCAACAATGGCCACCAAGCTCCGCGGAGACTTCCGCACGGGAAAGCGTCTCAACATCAAGCGCATCATTCCTTACATCGCTTCTCAATACAAGCGTGACAAGATCTGGATGCGCCGCTCTATTCCTTCCAAGCGAAACTACCAGATCATGCTTGCTGTCGACGACAGTAAGTCCATGCTTGAAAGTGGAAGTGGTCAGCTTGCCTTCGAGACCCTGGCCCTCGTCGCGAAGAGTTTGAGCATGCTCGAAGCAGGCGACCTCTGTGTACTCGGCTTCGGAAACGAAGACCATGTTCGCGTTGCTCACGAGTTCGGAAAGCCTTTCTCCTCCGATGCCGGTTCGCAGGTCTTCCAGCACTTCAGCTACCAGCAAACTGGCACGAACGTGCGCAAGCTAATCGCCGATTCGATTGCGTTGTTCCGCGAGGCACGCTGGAAGCGTTCGCCTGGCTCTGGCTCGGCTGATCTCTGGCAGCTTCAGCTTATCATCTCTGATGGTATCTGTGAAGACCATGATACTATTCGTCGTCTTGTTCGACAGGCTCTTGAGGAGCGCATCATGATTGTATTCATCATTGTTGACGCTGTCAAGGGCAGCTCGATTCTTGATCTCTCGCAAGCTAGCTTCGAGGCTGATTCTGCTTCTGGTGGTGAAATGAAGCTTAAGATGAAGCGCTATCTGGATCACTTCCCCTTCCCTTACTACCTCGTTGTCCGTGATGTGAGGGAGTTGCCATCTGTACTGGCTACTGCGCTGAAGCAGTGGTTTGCCGAGGTTGTGGATGTGTCGTCGTGACCTGCAACTAAAAAAGGAGTTGTGACTGTATTTGGAGTTTTTCTGTTTCATTTTATGGCGTTTATAGCATTTCATTTGTATATGATAGAGGTTAGAGATGCGATGCACATCAACTGAATGTACATTTTCTATTTTCTACTTAATCCATTGTTTCCTCGTAACTTCATATGAAGCAAAATGCGTAGTTAAGCTATAAAATTGTCATTATTTGTGTATCATTCAGAGTATTTCTAAATATTCTTCCTCTTCTCCTTCTCTTGCATCCAGTCCCGAATCTCTTTCAGCTTCATCGCCGAAAACTTCATTAGCACCCACCTAGGTAAGATATCCATAGAGATCCCCTGTACCCAATGCCAGAAGTATGCCCAGACAATTTCTCTCCCACATCCAACCCGATTCAACCCCGCGGATGCCAGAGCCCTCGCTTTGGGCACAAACAGACTGGTCGGGACATCATAACCGCCACTCTGAACTTCCGCGGACTTCAGCGCCATGACCTCAATTTCCTTCCCTTCAGCCTTCATCTCTGCACTCAATGCCCCGGTGAAAGACTCAACATACCCCTTCGACCCGCTATAAACAGTGATATACGGTAATCCAAACGCCGCAGCGGATGAGACATTCAGGATAAGACCAGGCACCCCATTCCCATCCAGAATAGGCATTAAAACACACGAGATTTGAGTCATGAAACCCGCGTTCAAAGCAATTGTCGTATCAACATCCTTATATGTCAACTCACTCAACATGGAGGCAGCCTTCGTCTCGCCTCCAATGTTATTCACCAACACAGTCAACATCCCACCTCCTTCTTCCTCAAGAACAAGGCGAACTTGATCAGGAATACCATCCACATCATTCTGATTCAATGATTCCACATCTAAGATCAAAGATCCAGTCTTGGCATTGGGAAACTCGGCTGCAAGTTCGCCCTGTCGTTTCTTGAGCTTGTCGGCATTACGGCCATGGAGGATGACGTTGAATCCACGTGCGCAGAGCTCTTGACAGAAGCCGAAGCCTATGCCATCGGTTGCACCGGTTACTAAAGCCCAGTTGGCCTGCTGGTTGGAGTTGTAGCGGCTTTTCAAAGTGGAGGGCAAGAGGAAAGTTGTTGCTTGTCTGGTGAACTTGTAGGTAAGGTAGCTCGCGCTTGCAAGGCCGACGTAGCTTAGTGGAGTTGCATATTCAGAGATAAACATTGTGAGGGCTTTGTTTTTGGGGAGAAATTGGAGAAAGGAAGAGAGTTGGAGGTGCTTGCGGAGCTAAATATTGCGGGCAGAGTAGTTCTTGCTCGCGTTCGTTTTCGCTTTCGCTTTCGTTGATTACCTGCTGTCTTACAGGTTGTTTACTAAATAAGTTAAGAGGCGGCTACTCGCAGAAGAAACGTTGGCCCTACTTCTATCGAGCCGGAAACGGCTAATTGTGGTGGCATATATCATCATGCGACAATGGAGTCATGAAGTATTACTGTACATTCCCTTCAGGGTTTGATTGCCGTAGATCAATACCTGCAAATCGGTCTTGGTATCTCAATGCTAATGCGCTTGACACAAAATATTGCCTTGTTAAATATCCAAATTGACTGCAACTACCATCCATACTTGGATCCAGCTTCCTTTTTATTCCTCCTGCCAGCTGCAAAGCTCTCCTCGAGTGCATCCTTCTGTGAACTCGCTGCATTGACCAATTGTTGGAGGCTGTGCTTGCCAGGTGCAATCGCGCGCACAGGGTTGTGCTGAGTGGCAGCAAGCTCTCCTTGAGCAAGGATTTGGTTCGAGGCGTATTCTTCATCCGTGTTGAAGGTACGCACCTGTGACTGCGAAGGCATGGCATTCCGCCCAAAGAGTTGGCGCCGTTCGGCCTTGGATAGGTTGAGGTCATTGGCAACTGTATCCAAAGATGATGTGTGGGAGGGGGTTGGGTGAGGATAGTCTTGAGGGATGTATGTGGATTCCGGTACAGCTGGACCGGGTTGTGGTGCCTCATCCACGGCATTGTATACTAGCGGCGTATATGTCGCCGAGGGTCCTGGTGCCGTGTCTGCCAGGGTTTCCTCCGAGGACAGAGAGAACAAGCTGACCTTTGGCTTCGGCGCCGCGGGAGCAGAAGGTTGTTGTACAGACTCTTGAGGAGCTGCTGGTTTCGCTGCCGGGCCAGGTGTAGGCTGCGGAGCCGTCCTGGTGCTCTTCTTCTTCTTTGGTCGTCCCACTGATAGTGGTCTGAACATCATCGGATTACCTTGCAATTTAACCTCCTCGGGCTTCTTCATTGCGTCCGATGTGTCAGGTGTGTGAGTGTTGAGACTGCCCGCTGCCGGTATCGCCTCGGCATCTGTATTCGTTGCTAGATCGTTGGATGCTTGTTCATTCCTTGTTTCTGCATCGGCTGTGCGATCGAATCCCGGACCTGCGCCTGTCTTGAGGCTAAATGGCTTGCGCGCTGCTGCCATGGGCGTTTTCTTTTCGGCTGTTCGCTTGGGGGCTGGCAGGAATGAATTGAATCCTGATAGCCCTCCCCCACCCCCTAATCGCATTTTTTTGCGCGCTGGACCATCGTCTTCATCCTGACCGGCAGGGGTTTCGGGTTTGATATCGGGGAGCGCGACGCGGATCTTGCGCGGGTTGCTGCGGTCGACTTGGAAACCGCTAGACTCAGATTTTTTGGTCCTTTCGGTAGGGGGAGCTGGGGTGGGGTCCAGCTCCACGTCCGAGGCTTCAGAGTCAGAGTAGGCTACTAGGGCCATAGTGGGTGTTGCTTGGTGGTGTGTTTAGCAGATGATGTTAGATCGGAACCGTCCTAGTTAGGCATGTTGAAGCCTGAATAAGAGGGCAGCAACCACCTCTCTGCACAGACATTACGTCAGCATCTCATTACATTAGCACACTGACTCAGCATACTGACTCAGCACCTCAGAATGTGAGACAATCGAGCTCAGAAAGATCGGCCAAGGCACACACGATTGAGGTGGGAAAATGTCCGGAAACGAGCTCCATCTGTCCTGAACAGGTTCTAAGGTTTACCACCCTCCCAATCCACCATCCCTCAAAGTCAGCTCATGAAGATGATCGCATTACTTGGTAACGTCATACATGAGCCGGGGACTCCGCTTCCTAGAGTGAACATCAACGATATCACCAGTGCTCCGATAGACTATTTAGTAGGGCCAGTCTTGTCGGATAGGGTTTTGGCTGTACTATGAGGGTATTTCGAAACTCAATGATCCGAATCGTCTTGTTTCATATGCCCACAGAACAGACCTAATACGGAAGATAAGGGAAATACGAGATTCTCGTACGGTAGTGGCGCTCTCAAACACCGGAAGGGTTGAGGAATACGGAGTACATAGAGCACAAAGCAAACAGCACAAGATGTAGCATGGAGCCATCGACTTGAACAAAACTGTTGAACAGAAGAGGGCGACACTGTTAGCTGCGAGCTTTCGTACATGTTTGCAGTATAGACAAGATCAATGCGTCATTCTGCCTTTGCCCCCTCCCCACTTAATCCGGACCTCCCATTCTTTCTTTCACCCCCCACCCCCCCCCCAAATGGACCTTGATTATCTCTCTCCATGCCGAGCTTAGGAGGTTTACTGAAGAAGCGGCGAACGAAGGACTCGCACGATTTTGGGGATTCTCATACTGACGATTCAGGCGCATCCATGCAACCCGCATCTCATGCCTCGCCCCAACATACGGGTCAATCGAATGCCGCCAGCATCGACAACATCATAAACTCGAATTCTGGAAATTCAAATGAGTCTCAATCACAGAGTCAGCCCCAGGGGGGCCAACAGGCTCACAAGCCCGAAAGAGTGACCAAGGGGAAGTACTCCCAGGAGGACTTCCAGTTGCAGCGCACCTTGGGAACAGGGAGCTTCGGTCGCGTGCATCTGGTGCAGTCCAAGCATAACCACCGCTTCTATGCCATGAAGGTTTTGAAAAAGGCTCAGGTCGTCAAGATGAAACAGATCGAGCACACAAATGACGAGCGTCGCATGTTGAATCGCGTTCGTCATCCGTTCTTGGTGACTCTGTGGGGAACTTGGCAGGATTCCCGCAACCTTTACATGGTCATGGATTTCGTGGAAGGTGGTGAACTGTTCAGTCTTCTGCGCAAGTCACAAGTAAGTCGCACTGCGCTGTTCTGGCGAAGCTTGGGACATGGCTAATTTGTCAGTAGCGATTCCCCAACCCGGTTGCCAAGTTCTATGCAGCTGAAGTTACGTTGGCTTTGGAATATTTACATGCACATCAAATCATTTACCGTGATCTTAAGCCCGAGAATCTGCTTTTGGATCGCCACGGGCACCTGAAGATAACTGATTTTGGGTTCGCCAAAAATGTCCCTGATATTACGTGGACGCTGTGCGGTACACCCGACTACCTTGCACCAGAAGTCGTTTCTTCCAAGGGTTACAACAAATCCGTTGATTGGTAAGCTCTTTTTGCTATTGCGATGCAATTGATCTAACAGTTGCAGGTGGTCATTGGGTATCTTAATCTTTGAAATGCTGTGTGGATTCACTCCCTTCTGGGACAGTGGATCCCCAGTCAAGATCTATGAGAATATCTTGCGTGGGAAAGTCAAGTACCCTCCATACTTGCATAACGATGCGGTCGATCTCCTCTCGCAATTGATTACGTCTGACCTCACCAAGCGCCTTGGCAACTTGCACGGTGGCCCGAATGATGTCAAGAACCACGCTTGGTTCGCCGAGGTCACCTGGGACCGACTGGCGCGCAAGGATATCGATGCGCCATACATCCCCCCCATTCGCGGTGGACAAGGTGATGCCAGCCAATATGACAAGTACCCCGAAGAGACAGAGCACTATGGTCAAGAAGGCGAAGATGCGTAAGTATCTTCCTTCCAGTCGTTCCCTCACAGTTTACTGACGATTCCCAGATACGGCCACCTTTTCCCCGACTTTTGAGGTGCTTGTATGATTTATGACGAGACGAAAAGTCCTTCCGGGGGAGGGCGGGAACTGATTGACCCCGGCGGGTGTCGTGAAAACGGAGTCACTATATGAAAACTCATACTTTTTACTTTGGAATTCATATAACTTTAGCAATTGCAATCGAATTTTTGGTTTTTTTCTTTCATTTCCGCTCGATATACAGGGTTCGGGAATCCATCTATTCCCCATGTTCTCAACCAAAAGCCACGCCCATATTATACACGGGCTACCAGGCCGCTTCTTTATCGTACAGTAGATAATTTGCAAAGATTTCTCTTTTGCTTCTCGGGTTTCGTCGTTCCATCATCCGCGCGGTTGCTCCGACTCGATCATCTTGGATGTATGCTATTTAACCGAGGATTCCACTGCCACCCTCGGGCTGGCCGGTGGCCATAGCGGCAATGGCGGCGGCATCCTGTCCACCGAGGCGCTTGGTCTCGGTACCGACACGAGTGATGTAGGTGCGGCTAGTGACGTTCCACATGGCGATGTACTTCTCCATGCAGCTGGAAAGGCAGGTGTTCTCCTTGGCAGAGAGCGAGGTACCAGGGGTGGGGACGCAAGCCTGGAAGCAGTGCTTGTTCACTTTCTGCAGGTGATGTTAGCTTGTTGTGGTCGGCAACCAGGGATGGTGACGTACTCCGATCAGAGAACGGGCATTGGACATAGCGGCCTCGGTCTGGAGCTGGCGGACGACAGCAGCCTTGATCTCCTCAGAGGTCTGAGGAGCAGCAGAGGGGGCAGAACCGAAGAGAGACGACATTGTGTGTGAAGGGGGAAGATATGGGGAAGATGGAAGTCGAGGAACAGGAACAAATTGAGGTTCAGGATCTGAGTGTGGCTGGTGTGCCTGCGCCACACCCGATGTGGACACCTTAGCATAACAAGCTCCAGGGTTGTATACTTCACTTCCTCGCACTTCACCAATTCACTCTTTGTGCTCGCCTTTCAGCTCTCTTCTCTTCTTCTTTTTCCATTTTGCTCCAGGGTAACCGGGTCCTGGTGACACCGTGCCCATCTATCCCACCCCCGGTCTATCCTTGAATCGCCTTGGGCCTTCCCCCTCCACGGGCCCTAACACACATTCAATATGCGTCTCCCATCGCTTTCCTCTCTTCTCTGCCTTGCAGGCCTGGTCTCCGTACCAGTGGCTGCATATGATGACCCTAACATCAAGAGCATTCCTGTATGTGTGCATTGTTTACGCGACGAAACGTGGAGCCGAGGTACTGACTTGTGACATCTATAGCTTCGCACCCACAGCCTGGCTCCGGTATGATTAGCACCAATATCCAGCTTGTCTCGGATTTCTATACACAGTCCGCACATAGCTTGCATTCCGTCGAACACCAACACTGACCAGGAACAGCCATATCTCGACTCGGATTTCCAAAGCCGCTGGTTCGACTTCGGAGGAGATACAGTAGTCCGCGCCGACAAGTAAGCACTGCAAATGGATACATGCCGCAGCAAATCCACTAATATTTCCTTTTGCGCGAAGGTACCTCCGTCTTACGGCTGACCGCCCATCCCAGCAAGGATGGATCTTCTCTCGCGTGCCTCTCACCGCGACCAATTGGCAGGTACATATTGGATCACTGGGTCAAAAATGAGTTTGCGCCAAAGGCTCACACAAATTTATGTTAGATCGAGCTCGAGTTTGAGATTCACGGCGCCGGCAACTTGCACGGCGATGGGTTCGCGCTTTGGCTCACCAAGGAGCGTGCCACCCAAGGCCCCGTCTTTGGCTCAACAGACCGGTTCGAAGGCCTCGGTATCTTCTTTGACACCTATAAGAACAACCGCCCCGGTGTTTCCTTCCCATACGTCATGGCTATGATGGGTGATGGCCAGACTACCTACGACCAGGCGCACGACGGCAAGGCGAACGAGCTGGCTGGTTGCTCTGTGAGTTTTGGTTCAGTTCCGGCTTTGGGAAGACAACACTAACCGATCATATATAGGCTCGTGGTTTGCGCAGCGCCCCCGTTCCCACCAAGGCCCGTCTCACTTACTTTCAGGACAAGTCCCTCTCCCTGGAACTTCAGTACAAGACCGAGGATTCGTGGACAAATTGCTTTACTCTGAACGCCGATGAAGCTAACATTGCCGTCCCCTCCGTTGCTTATCTTGGTCTCTCCGCCGAGACTGGTGAATTGAGCGACAACCACGATATTATCTCCCTCAAGGCTGAGAACCTATACTCCCTCAACCGGAACAACAACAACGCCGGCAAGGGCTCCTCCGATGGCAGCTCCAAGGGCCGTGACAGCTCTAAAGCTCCCAAGGAAGGCGGCAGCTGGACCTGGTTCCTGTTCAAGACCGTCATGTTCTTCGCTGCTATTGCTGGAGCTTACTTCGGCTGGACAATTTACCGGACCAAGGCCCGGTCTTCGCGTTTCTAAATTTATGCCCTTTGTGGCAAAGCACAGCAATCAAAAGTATCTGTGTCTAAATTGGTCTCTGATTCTACCAAGTCGTGGTTGATGAATGGTCCTTGCATACATAGCCCTGTTAAGTTCTTCTTTTTACTCTCTGATCTACGTCTTGGTCGCGACAACTTATCGTGTTCTTTTCTATCAATTTTCGAAATGAATCCAAATCATGATTAATTCATTGCATGCTAATGGGTGTCCCTGGGTATCAATGTAAAACTCAAATGCCAAACGCTGCCAAATGCATACCGGCCTGGCCAATTATCCAGGCTGCTATCTAGCTCTGCCGTGCCCTCTCTTCGCTCCACATTCGGTCAACGATCTGGAAGACCTCAGTAACGCTGCGTATAACAACATCGTCAATGCCCAGCGCAGCATACCGATGCTGAATCTTATCCGGATGCCAACGAATCCGCTCAGCCTTGAGAATGCTCAGCAGATCCAGTCCAGGGGCATGGCGCATAAACTCCTCCACAGCCTCAGGCTCAACATCAGCCCTCTTCCCAGACCGAACGGGCCAAAAGAGCAGATTGCGCAAAGGCTTTGACGAACTCTTCTCTCCCTCCGCCTCATTTGCAGCCTCCTTCCCAGCCTTCCCGATAACATCCCACTGCCCAAGATATTCCCTCCAAGCCCCATCCCAAGCTTTAAGCTTCTTCCTCTCGGCGCCCCGCCGCAAGGAATCATCCATAGCCCGTTCAAAAGCTCTCCTCTCAGCCTCCGCATTCCGTCCTTTCTCCTCTTTCTTCTTCTGTTTCATCCGCTCTGCCCGTAGACGTTCTTGTTCTTCGATCATTCCTTCGCGCGTACGCTCCCACATTCGCGCCCGGACGTATGATACGTACTCCTCGTCGGACATCTGCTCCAATTCGCCGTCTGGGCCTTTCGGGACATTTGGGATGCCGTAGTTGTGAATTGGTTGGCCATAGACTGATTCCCAGTATGCAGCGCCTTCATCATCGCCCAATGCATCGAAGAGAGATTCGCGGAAGGCATCGTTTGTGTTTGGCTCGGGTTGAGTTGGTGGGGTGATCGAGTGGTGCCGCCGCTTGGCATGTTTCGATGGGGAACTGGAGCGGCGGCTTCTGTGACGCTTTCGGTGGGTTCTTGTACTTGAGCTGGAGGTGTGGCTGTGTTTTGAGTGTCCCGAGGAGCTTTTGAACCGGAATCTGCCTTTGCTGCGGCTCGTGTTGTATGGGTCGGTGTTGTATTCGTTTGGCTCGGATGGATTCACGGAGGTCTTAGGCGGGGATAGGGGCGGTAACGGGTTAGCTGATTCCGCTACCTTGGGATCCATTTCGAGGATGGAGGGATGGAGACCGACACGATCTTTCTGAGGTGTCAGGTAGATGCGATGCAAGAACTCCTCCGGCATTTAAGCTGAAATGCCGTGTTTCCTTCACCGTCCTGTTGACCGCCTTTCTCACCGCCCCAGATCCCTGTCCTTATCGCAACGCTATCGTGTTATCGCGTTATCGTCCGAGCCCTAAGTCGACGGCTGAGAAGCTAAACTGTCCCAAGGTTGGTGCATTATCGCCTAATAGCTCATCTGTATCTGCTTTTGTTGCAGAACGTGACAAAAAAGTCTCAATGGAGGATTCTTTGGGACTCATTATCCTATAATTAACTTTTATGGCAGGTCGACGCTGTGCTGTTCGTTTTTCGCTGGCTCTATACTAATATGCAGAGGCAATTGATAAACGGAGAAGCGCATCTGATGCTGTTACCGCTAATTAGGATATAAAAGCCTAATTAACAGTACATGGCATCATAGTAATAATAATATCTTCTCCCTTTTCATATTGATCCGATCCCGCATTTGTGCTGACATGAACTCCATATCCATCCAGGCCCTTCTTTGTGCAGATATTAAAAAATTAATATCCAACCGCCCATTTTTGTCCAGGTATCAGATTTCCATATTCAGCAAGGACAATTCAAATTCACACGGCGTAGTTGCCCCAGTCTCCATTGGGCCAGACGTGCGGGCGGTCCCCAGCGTTGAGCACAAACTGGAGAGCTCTCCAGTGAGCACTGGCCATGGACATCAAGCAAGTCTCGAGGGAAACTCGACCATTGGGGCCCTCGTATCCTGCATCGAACATCAAACGAGTGAGCTCAGCGTTTTGGCCAGTCATAGCAGCATCCATAATATCGGAGTTATGCTGTCTCCATCCGCACACGCGCTGTCCCAGAATGAACTTCTTGGATTTGTGCTCCTGTCTCAGAATGCGTCGCTCGCGGGAAACTCGTTCCCAAGGGGCCACATCAGTTACAAACCACAATGCAGCCTCGCCATTCTTGGCATTCACATCTGCGCCCTTGTCCAAAGCAAAAAACACGGCATTGGGTTTGTTGTGCCAAAGAGCCTCAAAGAGAACTATCTGAGCCGCAAGTTCAACAGAGAGGCCACTACCGGACTTAGGAGATTCCAGGTAGTCAAAAACGACCGCAAGAACCTTCATGTGACCAAAGATAGTGGCCGATTTTATGGTGCGTCGAAGGGTGAAAGCACCCTTGTATACCTCCGGGTAATGTTTGAGAAGCATTCTGACCACCTCAACATGACCTTTAGCGGCAGCGGCTTGGATTGGGGTGACAAAGTGATCATCAAGAAAGTGCGGATAAATGCCGTAGCGAATCAGGTACCGAACGCATTTCTTGGATCCACTCATAGCAGCAGCGGTGATAGGGTGAGTCTTTGGATATCTTGGGATGGGAGAAAGAGTCTCAACAAAGTCAATCCCTTTGGCGTGAGTCTTGAAGTGGTCTGACTTGGGGATCTTTGCACCAGCGATGACAGACTTGCGCAGAGTCCTAAGTTGACCTTTCTCGGCACCCCAGAGAGCTGCTCCACCTTCATGCAGTTCGGCATCAACTTTGTAAAGATAAAATTCCAGCTGGTTCTTCAGGCGAGAGTGGGCGAGCACCAAAGAATTTATATCTTTCAGTTTGGTGAGGTTCTCGGCGATGTCGAGAACGATCTCCATTGGAAGCCAGAGGATCGACATGTTTGCCAATCTGAGGTAACTTCTATTAGAACAAAGGCGACATTTTAAAAGGGGTTGCATGGGGTTTTCTCACCTCCTGGAGAAGTGCTGGCAAGTCTGGATTTTGATGCAGCCGGGTGCACCGGTGCGCAAAGGAACTGGAAGTATGTTGATTTTGATCATCGAAATGAGATGATGAGAAGAAGAAGAAGAAGAAGAAGAAGAAGAAGAAGAAGAAGAAGAAGAAGAAGAAGAAGAAGAAGAAGCCTGAAGGATCAAATGAAGCAAATCCCATGATGATGAGGCCCAAAGATCGTGCGTTGCCTAATTGGAGACAGCGACATGTGACGATGCGATTCCATACAAACGAGACAAACGTCAACATAAATTCATGAACAGACTCTGGCAATATTGCTAGGCTACGCTTTATGGTGAGTTTCATCGTTTCTCCTCTCTCCCATAAAGGCGTTATTTGCATTATGATTATCCATTGTTGGTCTAGTGAGTGGTTAGGCTAGCCACCCCAAATGCCATCATACTTCTATACTACGATAACTCGTATACCGTGATAACTTCATTATTTTATCATTAGCATGGAGCTTCGAGACTGTAATCCATCGTATTTAAAGTGATGTTTATCTAGCTATTCCATTCATTCACATGTTTCTGACTCGTGCTGTAAAATTGAAGTAGTATCCTAGGATAGTTTGGTAGATATTAAAGCTTCAAGTCACACCTTGTGAACATTAGCCAACTTTATTTGTGAAAAGCTTTAGTGAGTGGCTACTGAACTACGACGATCCATCTCTCCTCTCTACATTTTGCTTCTTGAATCTCCTGGTTGGTGTTCTCTGGGTGAAGAGGTCATCCAAATCGCTGAAGGTACAGTCTTTGAACTCCGGCACTTCGAACCAAGCCCAAATAAGACTCAAAACAGAAAGAGCCATCCATAAAAAGGCAGCCTTTCCGCCCAGGTTTGCTAAATAACAAGAAAGGTCTGTCAGCATAGGTCATGACAATGTAACTTGACGGGAAAAGCAGACGTACCGTTGTCCGTATTGATAAGATAGGGACAGACGAAGTTCATAACCCAACTAACAAAAGCATTTGTCACGATGGCCAGACTTTGTGTCCGGGCTCGAACCTTAATAGAGCTGACTTCTGCACTGATTGTCCAACTCACTGCTCCAACAGTCGGGGCATAGAACAGTTGCGCAAAGTTCATCACGTATCCAATATAGTACATAGCAGCTATACTGGTGAAGCACCCAGCCACGCCGACAGACATGAGACACAGGGCGTTGAGAATGATTCCAGTTAATAAGAGTGGTCGACGGCCTATGAAGTTGTTAATGACTCGTCTAAATATTAGAAAACCAACCCAAACTTACCAACGTAGTTCATGATAAACCATGAAACAATATTCCCGAACATGGCCACACCAAATCCACCCAAAGCTAGCTTGAACGTGAAGCCAACGGGAAGGCCCGAAATTCCTAAGAAGTATAAAGCCTGGGAGTAGAATGCGATACCGGTGAATTGTTGCACCGCAAACATCCCACAGGCGATACGGGTCCGACGCCAGTTGGTACCACGGAAACAGTCCATATAGGATGCATTTTGTTGAGAATCGGCAATGGCTCGTTCGTTTGAGATAGAAGTTTGAATCTCTTCCAAAATCAACGAAGTGTTGGTCTTTTTCAGGTGCAGTCTCTCAAGACTCTTTTGTGCTTGTTCTACAAGGCCTTTGCGACAGAGATACCACGGGCTCTCGGGCATTGTAAGAGCGACCAGCCCGATAAAACATGGGAAAGCCCACTGTGCTGCAAATAGCACCTTGTAGGATTCTGGGCCCATTATAGCGAATCGGGTGTTTCCTACGCCGATTGCCATGAGCTGACCAGCATTGATAAACAAGTTAACGGCGGCAGTCAAAGTTGGTCGCAAGGGCGTGGGAGCAATCTCAGATGCATAGATGGAGCCCAAAGTAAGGAAGAAGCCCAGAGAAAACCCATTGACCTAGATATTCCATCAGTAACAGACAACAAGGATCAAGGGAAACCCAAAATGGACAAGGATGAAACGTACAATTTTGCCGGCAAGAAGCATACCAGGACTAGTGGCAGCATATTCAAGTCCAACGCCAAGTAGAGACACTGCTGAGCCTATGGCAAAGCCCAATCTTCGACCACCACGATCTGAGATCCAACCACAAATTATACTCCCTGTGAAACAGATGAGCATATAAAGTCATAGATGATTCCGCATCTTTCCAAGAGCCGTTACATACCAATGAGCATTCCAAGAGATGTCATTGCCGTCCAGAGGGCATTCCAAGTCGCAGATATCAAGAGTTCGTCTTGGTACTCATATCCAAATGCCAATTTGAACCCTGGCAAGGCTGTAGATATAGAATTAACGCCTATAGAATAAACAAGAATCAGGTTAGTAGCCGCTCCAGAAGAGACAACAGAGAGAGTCCATACCAATATCAAACCCCCAAAGCATCGAGCTAGCACATGCACCAACGCTGTAGAGAATCACCTTGGGATTGTTCTTAGCAGACTCCCAGGCACTTTCATGGACTTGAGCCGTATCCTGAGCTTCAGACACGGTCTCAATCATCTCCGATTCTGTTTCCTTCTTGAGGTCATCGTTGGTATCCGAGTTGGCGTATGAGGTGTGCAAATTTGCCATGATGAATTTCGCGGGTTGCAGCCAATCCTGACAGCCACGATGAGAGCGATGAGAGCGATAGGGATATGACCTGTCCGCTTCACACTCCAACGTCGCCAGGCTCAAATTATATAACAAACGGCCCGCATGAGCCTGGGGTTGTGGAGAACCCGGGGAAACTGGAGTTCGGCATTTCCAAGCTACGGAGAGGTGGAGGTGGACGTTGAGGTGGAGGTGGAGGCTGGTGGAGGTGGAGGTGGATCACGAGGACAACCGAATGCCCAAGTCTAAGTCCGGGGTTTCTTTCCTGGCATCTGTCATAGCCGAATATATTTGAGAAAATACTTCATATCCCTAGTAGATTGTTAGATTGTCTCCTTCAACGGCTTACTCTTTCTTCTAACAATATGTAGTGAGAATCGTTAAATGGTAAACGAGGTGCATTGAACTTAATGATAAAACTCTATGTTATAACTACTAGATTGTATTCGAGTCTATCAAAGTCCATTCCAAGTGGTCACGTCTTGAATCGGCATGCAAGAGACACAATCGCCAACTGTGACTTTATAAATGCCATTCAGAGATCGCCAGCATCCAGCCACACTGTCCCAATAACCACTGATATCTCGCTGAGAAACCAAAACTTCAACTCGCTTGGTCTCATTGGACTCAAACCACTCCTTTGTGAACGCAATCAGCTCGGAGTGTGGCTTCCAGATGACCGAGTCTGTTGGTGGCTCAGAGTATATTTGAATGACTTCGTAACCTGCCCTTGAGCTGACATTTTGAACATCCACGGCAATGGTAATCATATTGCTAGAGGATTTTAATGAGCCGATGTCATTACTCCCTGCCTGAGAGATGACCTCCAAGCCTCTGTACTTGAAAGTTGAATAAGAGAGACCGAACCCAAAAGGCCAGCGGACAGACGGAGCTGAGTGGGGGCTCCTGTAGCCCACCTGAAGCCCTTCAGCGTAGCGTATTACTGGGCCATCTCCAATATCTCTTGCAGGGAAATGAGCAAAAGACGGAACTGATTTCGCATCGAGGTGCATGGGCCAAGTTGTTGCCAGTTTTCCGCTGGGATTCGTCTTTCCTGTGATTATGTCCACAATAGCCTGAGCTCCTTCCTGCCCTGGGAAATGCGCAGCCATTACTACGTCGATATCGTCAACAAAGTCGGAAACATCGATGGGGTTGCCGCCGTGCAAGACGAGGATTGTCTTCTTGGACACACTGGCTACGGCCTTGATCAGGCGCACCTGATTGTCAGCCAGCTTGAGCATCTTCAAGTCAAATCCTTCAGATTCATGTTCACTGGTCCGGCCACCAATGATCACGCTGATGTCTGAGTGAGCGGCGGTATGAACAGCCTCTGCGATTGCGGCACGATCGTTGTGTTCCTCTTCGAAGCACAATTTGACCGAGTGAGGAGAGATTTCTTCATAACCAGAAGCAATATCTCGTGAATGGGTTTTGAGCGTAATTTTGTATGGTCTTTGAGCTTCCATACGAACTTCGACTTTGCTCTCAAGTTTTTTCGGCTCGAACAAGAAATCTTCAACTGTCATCACAGGCGCAGGTTTTGAGAGAATCTTAGTCAAGTTAGTAAATTAATTACAATAATGAGATAGGGTAAGCGAGGGAAAGTGAGAAATACCTCTGTTCCGTCAATAGACAAAGTAAACTCTCCAGTGGCTTGCACGGCCAAATTATGAGTTCCGCTTGTATTGACTGTGATCGTTGTTTCCATCACGTAGTTGAATCCAGTTTGAGTTAGGCCTGGCTTCAGATTTCCGAGCATTACCACAACTGGTCGTCCAATATGCTCTGCATAAACTGGGACATTAGAGCCATCAAGGAAGTAGTCCACATCAACACCAGGAGCTCCATTTCGTGACCGAGTTATATCAATAGGCATAAGTGGTGCAGCATGATTCGTATTGGTACCATATGCAAAGGTAACTTGTTTCGGATCCCTACAAGCATTTTGCAAACAATGGAGAGGGGTGTTTACATATTGAGACTTAGCGCAAGCACTCCCGCCACCAGTAATGGAAGGCTTGATTGCAGCGGCTCCAATGAGAGCGATTTTCAGATCCTCTGTAATGCTGACAGGAAGAGTGTTGTCTTCGTTTTTCAGGAGAACAATACCCTCTGCAGCTGTTCGTAGTGCAATAGATCTTGTTTGCTCTGTGAGTCGGATGCTCTCTTCCCTGTCACTGTGGCTACCAGCAGTACGGTCGATCATTGCTAGAACGTTTGTCACAGCAGCATCAAGAGCAGCATCAGAAACTTCATTGCTGCTGAGTGCTTGAATAAGCTTGGCTCCGCGGAAAACAGATGGTCCAGGCATTTCGAGGTCAAGCCCAGCCTCAATCGAGGCAACTGTGCTTTTGGTGCCATACCAGTCGGACATGAGACAACCATCGTAGTTCCAAGAATCGCGAAGCAATGACTTTAGAAAGGGACTTTGACTGCAGAAATTACCGTCCAATGCATTGTATCTGTTCGAAAATTAGCTCTGACGCTTACTGGAAATATATCGGGGAAGTGGCACTCACGCTGTCATGATTGAAACGGGGTTAGACCTTCGTAGGAGATGCTGGAAAGCTCGCATATAGATCTCGCGCATTGTCCTGCTATCTCCCGACTCATCGACATTGTAGCGCCGGCGGACGGTCTCGCTCTCGTTGGCCACAAAATGCTTGATACATGCACCCACACCTTGGGACTGGATACCATTCACAATTGCAGCGGCCAACTGACCGGTAACCAAAGGATCCTCGCTAAAGGCCTCAAAGTTCCTGCCACCACGTGGGTCGCGATGTAGGTTGATGTTGGGACCCAGCACGACTTGCACGGATTTGGATTTTGCTTGCAGTGCCACTTCCTCGCCGAATTCTCGTAGTAGAGCAGTATTCCACGTTGAAGCGAGACACGTTGAGCTCGGAAAACAGGCTGTGCCAGTATCTTCCAGGTGTGATTTAGAGCCGCGAACACCATTGATAGAATCGCTGACCTATCGAGCTATTAGCTTTGCTGCGCGAACATTGGGGTTTGAGCTAAGATTACCTTCAACGCTGGAATGTCCAGCCGCGCTACACCAGCTGTGCTTGTAAAGCTGATCCCGGAAAGCAAATCAACTTTCTCTTCTAATGACAGAAGAGGCAGTTTGTTTCTGTAATGAAATGTATCCCGCTTCACAGGCGTGAGAGCTTCGATATCCGGCATTTTGGTAGTCCACGAACCCCTGCTGTGAGGGAAAAGCTTCTTCTAGGAAAGAGATACTTCAAACAACTTCCTCTTTAATTTATTAGACAAGTAAAAATCCCAAAGGCTGTTTAGAAAAGGACAGAGGTCGTTTGTATAAAAATGAGAGTTGATGGGCCTCGGCAACTCCCGAACCCTACTCCGCCTCCGCCTCCACCTCCACCTCCACCTTCTCAACTTCACTTCGCCGTCACTCTTCACTCTTCACCTCCACTCCACCCCCTGCTGTTTCCTGCTCGTCTGAAACTGCACTCCACTAGGAGGGTCCGCATGTCCTGTCATGCCGGATGCGAACCTATCCGTGCACAAATGCACACAATGCGCCAAGTCCTACTCTCGGCGGGAGAACCTAGTCAGGCATTATCGATCCGCGCGTGAGTAACCACCAATTGTAAGGAGAACATGAGCTGATTTAATATGCAAGATGAAAACAATACTTCATATGCTTGCTCATTATGTCCGAGTCGGTTCACCAGAAGGTGAGGCTATTTGATATCCTAGTTCTACCAAGCTCATCGATTGACTGGAGACATTTTGAACGCATCTTTAGTGATCTTCTTTCCAGACATCGAAAGACACATGAAAGAGACTCGGTTGTGCTCGAAGATTTCGCAGAGGTGTCCCTTGTATTAAACAAAAGCATACCAATCACCCCAGAAAGTCGTTCTACTCATAAGCGGATGCGTCTAGCCCCAAATCATGAAGGTGACTCATCGAGGTTTCGAGTGGAGGAACCATCCCCTGCGCAACACACAGGAGAAAATTCTCTGCTCTCACGAGAGGAAACTCGGGATCTAGTCTCCGATAACGGGGTATTATCGGAGGATGTGCCAGCACAATCACTACCCCAAGATTATCAGACTGGAATGCCCGATTGGGATCATTCATGGCCTTTCTATGGTGAAGGATTACATGACGCTAATATTGACTGGACATTGGACTTCTTGTCTCAAGGCATCTCAACCCACAGCCCCTTTGATTCCCTACCTGTATACGGGGATCTCGGCCACGCCCATGATATGGGGCTATCCCCAAATGTGGATTTGCCAGGCAACGAAGCTGATGAGACACACGAAGAGGAGCTACGAGCATGGCCAGATCAACAGAGCAGACCTGTCAGCCCCCGGCCTCATAGACAATTTCACGAATTATCAAGATCCGCAGGGCATGTCGATCCCGAGGAACGAGCAGGTTTTTTGAATATACGCTCAGTGCAAATAGCACAGCCTCCTGGTCGTATATCGGAGGAATCACGCAGAGCAATGCTTGAGACAATCACTGCACCGTTGCTAGATGGATTCTGTAACGAAAAAGGAACTAGAATAAGCTCCTTTCCCTCGTTGTCAAATATTGACTATTTTCTACAACTATACTTCGTGCACGTTCAGCCGCGGTTTCCTGTCTTGCATGGGCCGACCTTTGATCCCGACAATACTCCTGTTGTCCTTTTGCTGGCCATGGCCATTGTCGGATCTAGCTATTCGGAGTCTAACCAAAGCAAGTTTGCGTTGGGTTGTCTCGAAAGAACGAGAATGTCAATCAAATTAATGCAAGAAAAAGACTCGAAATACGTGAGACCTTGACCACTCCATCACATCGTGAATATAACTAATCGATGCCTGATATACAGCTGCGCTCTGTACAACATCTCCTTGCGTTCTTTCTGGTCTCTGTGAGTGCTATGTGGCTAGGTCATAAAATGCTTTATGAACGTGCAGAGGGTGACCGTGGCGAGTTGATAACCTTCTGCAGGCGCTCTGAGCTGCTGGACTGCAGAGCAAGAAACAAACTTTTACAGCCTCAATCGCGGCAGGGTCGAAAACAGGTCGAGGATTCTTGGGTGGATTGGATAAATGAGGAGCAGAGGAAGCGACTAGGACTTTGCATATATGTAGGGGTTTTCAAACAGACATTCAAAGTACAAGCTGACTTTCTTTTCAGATGTTCGATTGCCAAGTTGCAGCCTTCTTCCAACGTCAGCCATACATCAGCAAAGCGGAAATGATCAACGCTGCACTTCCATGCTCAGAAACATTCTGGAATGCCTCGACAGCCTGGGCCTGGAAGGCATTACTAGGACCGGCAGATATCCCACCAAGCACATATTTCTTGACGACTCTTACAACAATTCTTCTATACAACGAGACTACAGTTCTTCCATTTCCGCCCTTGGATGAATTTTGTAGGACTCTCTACGCTTACGTCCTTCATTCCCATGTCTTCGAATGGCGACAGACCATTTGTATGCTCAATCCCACTGGACTTATAAGCTCACCACTCTCACTGGCGCCACAAAACATCGGGAGCTCTTTACAGGAGCGCCAAAGATGGCTGGAGATTTGCCTCGGAAACTGGAATTCTAATTACGGAAATGGCAGCCAGAATACTACCAACGACCGCAAAAGTTCGTCGGGTATTCTCCTGTATCATCTGGCAATGCTCGCGTTGCACATCAACTTCTCAGATCTACATATTGTCGCGGGGCGATCTGGCTCTGAGGATGATATCGGGCTAGCAGAGCAGTCTTTGCGAAACTGGCTTCAGAACGACAGGGCTCTGGTGATTCTCAACCGCACTATGCAGATGCTAGACACGGCATGGGACGCGATTGCTGCCGGTGATGCTCAGCGGAATAGCTTTGAATTGGCCATATGCCTTTTCATGAGTGGGCTCACCTGCTGGGCGATGTCACGATTCGGGAGTCCCAACCTAATGTTGGCTCTCCAACAGAGTGCTGTTCCCCTTTTCTCTAAAACACCCAGGGGAGATGGCTATAGAAGCAGGCACCAGGACGAGCAAACCCGCAATGATCCTGAATCCCTTGCGGGAGAGTCTTCGCTGTTGTTCCAAGTTGCCGATGCTCGTGACGGTCTACGCGCCTTGAAGTGTCATCGGATCGCAGTAGCATTTGGGGATATTCTCGATCGTTTTCTTCGGCCGCTTCAATAGCAATAATGACTCAAAATATATATGGATTAAAAAATAATAAGATATCTTGCCACTGCAAAGAGTTGTTTAGTTTGTCAAGTGACCACAGCCCCTCCACTTCTACTCCACCTCCACCTCCACCTCTACTCCACTTCCACCTTCCACTTACTTCAACTTTAGTCCTCTTGGTGGTATCCTTGTCCTTACAAGAGGCCAATCTCATCCTCGAATTTTAGATTGATTCTGGTTCAGCATTCTCGTCATGTCTTCAAGCGGCTCATTCAACAATCCTATCATCCCCGGGTTCAACCCGGACCCGTCAATCTGTCGTGTGGACGACGATTATTTTCTTGTGACATCAACATTTGAATACTATCCCGGTATCCCAATTTACCATAGTAAGGACCTGCTACAATGGGAGCTCATCGGGCATGTTATCACGCGGCCGTCTCAGGTTAATATGCGGACTACTGAGCCATCTGGTGGATTGTGGGCTCCGACAATCCGATACCATCAAGGGCGCTTTTATGTCTCATTGGGCTGTACACATCGGTTCCGACCAAAGGAATGGGTCAGTTTACACAGCCAGGTCGATGGGCGCTTTTTAATTCTTGGTGTCTTCCGGGTTGTTTGGCGTCTCTTGCTGACTATGTTTAACAGGACATTGTGATCCCGAGAGGGTTTTATGTGTCTACAACAGATATCTGGACTTCGAGTTCCTGGTCAGATCCTGTTTTCTTTGATGTTCCTGGAATTGATCAAGATGTGAGTCGGATTTACTCTCAATTCTCCCCAATGCAGAAAAACACAAGCTAACTAGCTACTGAAGCTCTTCTTTGATGATAATGGCAAAGTCTACTTCTCTGCGGTCAATATGATCATAGATCCAAGAGTCAAAAAGCATGGCCTTGGATTGGCAACTTTCACAGCGGAGATCGATCTCGCAACGGGTCGTTGCCTGAGCCCAGTGAAATGGAACCGTATCTCAACCTTTGGTGTAGGTATTGCGGAAGGGCCTCACATTTTCAAAAAGGACGGCTACTACTATTTGAGTACGGCCGATGGCGGCACTGATGAAGGCCACCAGCAATGGATTTCCCGCAGCACCATTGGTCCTTTTGGACCGTGGGAAGTAGGACCAGAAGGATCTGTTAACCCGGTGATATTCAACGGGGATGACTCTTCAATCCGCAACACAGGCCATCTTGATTTCATCGAGGCGTCTGATGGGAAATGGTGGGCTGTGTTCTTGGGCGTCCGTCCTCAAGGAGAGAATTCCGAGTTCCTTTCACAACTTGGACGAGAAACATTCCTTGCTCCTGTCGAATGGATTGATGGGTGGCCAATTGTGAATCGTCGACAGAGAATCAGCCTCCAGATCGAAGCAGAGGGCATGAAGCCCCTGTCTCGGCCAAAGCTTTGGCGAGATGACTTCCAAGGCCCAGAACTACAACTTGGGTGGTATACTCTTCGAACGCCTCTGAAAAAAGAATACTCATTTTCCGAGCGCCCAGGATGTCTCAGCATCTACGGGAGTGCGCATCAAATTGATGGCGCCGAATGCCCGTCCATGTTTCTGCAAAAGCAGACCGAGCTCACCGTGGATTGGCGCGTGAAATTAGACTTCGTTCCTACAGAGGCTGGCCATGAAGCAGGGACAGCAATCTGGTGGTCCCAATATGCACATGCATCGATTGGTCTACGAAAGCCATTCGCCGAGGACAAGACAGGGCTTGAAGTGATATCACGATGCTATGACGATATTGCAAATGAATTCAAGGTATGAACCACAGTAACATGTTTGTCATTAATATACTGATTTCACAGGAAACAACACATCAACTGGATGTGGAGATCAAAAGCCTTGAACTTCTCATTCGCGCACGCCCGACTCGATATGAACTCTTATTCGCGACTGAGAATGCTGACTCTACGGAAAGAGACTACATCAAACTCGGTGGAATATCAACTGCAGCATTGACACACCGCAAATCCGGGAAGGAATCTCCCAACACCGGGTCTCATTTTGCTATTTACGCGCAAGGCTCTTACGACAAGCCTTGTTTCGAGCCAGCACATTTCGAGTTCGCAGAATGGAAATTGGTCTCTGACGTTTGAATCTGGGAATTTTGATCAGAATCAAGCCAACAGAAAATGTAGAATAGAGTAGACTATTGAAAAATGCATCTCATTGAAAGTGTATGTTGAGTGACACGGTTCAATTATCGTAGGTTTTCCTGTTTCGATTCTATCCCTGCCGAGATCATGCTTTTTCTAAATCGACTTGAAGCAATTTCCCACTAGTTTCACGTTCTGCTAGATTGTCTAGAGATGGTCTGCTGTCCGATTTGTATAAATTACGTGGCTTCCAAGCCCCAATCCGTGCTCAGTTTTTAATCTCCCCCGGTTGTGGTTGTACTTGTATTGTTACATTACATGCTTCCTACCTGAAGACAACACATTGAAAATGCCCCTGGCATTGTATACTCGATTGTATGGTTGCAAAAACTAAGATTTGCAATAATGCCTAGATGAAACGCCGATTCCCGGAAAATGGCCCCCCCAGACGCGAATACATATCCGAAAGACAAAAATCAAATACGATAATGTGCCATGTTTTTCTTGATCTCATCCACGATCTCTACGGCTTCGCCGGTACTCCTAGCCTCAAAGTCATACCGCTTCTGTTCTGTAGCATCGTTGCCACGGACGATCATAACTCTGAAGCTCTTGGGATGCCGGCGACTAACCTTTGAGCCGATCACATCACTGAAACTGATTGAGCGTGTCTTGCCGCCAGAGGCTGTTTTGCCTGTGTCCCCTGGGACGATGTGCATATAGTCATTTTCGAATGTGAGGATTCGGTGGTTGGATGCTGTGAATGACATGGGTTGCTTGCGGAATACGTGGTAGCGACGGTAGTAGCCACCAAGATGGTCTTGTTTCTGGGAAGATGAGGGCAGCATGCGCTGAGTGCCCTTTTTCGCTTCTTTCTTGCCCTTCTTGGAGGCGGCTGGGTCGGAAGTTTCTACCATCAGGGGTGCATTTGGTGATGAGCTACCGGGTGATGTTCCTAATGCCAGAGGACCACCACCGAAGCGACGACGCACAAGATCAAGCTCTGTTATGCTGCCTAATGCCTCGACGGTGCGGTCCAGCGGTGCAATTGTGTTGGAACCCATCACTTTGAGCAGATAGTTGCCCTTGTCTTGCCCCCAGCGCTTGCAGACAGTGTCCAAGATCTCCGCGATGTAGCTGTCGGTAGACGTATTGAGGGTCATGACATGCGCGGAGGCCTCCGTGTTGATGAAACGAATCTTCAAGGTCTTGGAAACACCAAGACGGGGGGTAGCATGGGAGACGGGTACCACAGGCCGATCAGCAGGAGTAAGAGTGCTGTGATTGAGCGCGGAAGAAAATGGTTGGCCTAAAATAGGATTTGGGCGGGCTGAGGTAGGCTGGTTAGGCGTTTGCGTCCCGGGGGTTTGTGCCCCAGGCACTGCGAGTGTTGCCGGTTGTTCACTTTCATCTGGTCCAACGGCGGCACTGAAATGGGGGAATAGCCGTTCGTTATTCTCGAACTCGGCCATTGAAGCCTCCACCAATGCAAATTCGTCATACGGCTTGCCTCTTGACCGTGCTCGTGATTTTCCGGACTTGCTGTTGTTGTTGGACGTAAAATCCGACATAGGAAGTGCCCGCCCAAGTGCTGGGAAATCAAATTCGACTTCTCCATCCTCGACCATCCGTAGAGTCCATCGATTAACAGATAGCTTTTCGCGCTCGATCGCCGGACCACGAGAGTCTGCGGAATACTTCCACAGTGCAAGGCCGATAGTCTCGGCAACAGTAACGAGAGCGGGCTGTTCTGCAAGCTTGGATTCGCGCAAAATTGGCATGTCTAGCACTTCTTCAGGGTCACTTGCAAAAGGAACGTAGATCTTCAGATACAACGGATCCTCCTGGCCTTGCCCATATAGCACCATAAACTTCTCCACGGGGTTGCTTGGCGCACGCTTGCGGGACTTGAGCTGACTAGTCAGTAAACTAACCGGCTGTATCATACTGATAGGACGCGGGGGAGGAAGTCGTTGCAATGCAGGAGCAAGCGGTTTGGGTTTTCGTGGTGAAGTGTTCTGAGGCCCAGTTCCAGGGGGTAGTTTGTTCATCAACACCATGGGGGATGATGCGTTTAGGCCATCTGCGACACCGGCCAGCAGTAGGGAACCAGAACCAGCTGTGTTATCAAAGTCAGATGAGAGCGCAGACCCAACGGACTCAGCGCCCGAATCCTCGTCTTCTTCGTGAAGTTCTCCAAGGGCTATGCTCTCTGCTCCTCGACTCCCAGTCCGCTCACGTCGCCTACGAGTGGGCTCCATAATATGATCACTGCCGGAAAATTGGACCTGTCCCGGTTTGTAGCCTCGCGAGTCCGCTTCATTGTCCGTGGATAGATCACTGCTGGTAGTTGTGTCTCTTCGAGGGCGGGTTGGTGCGCGGTATTGGTTTGCAACATTTTGTGTTGAGGGGGATGTGATCATCACCTCTGGTCGATCACGCTGGTCTTCAGAGCGCCTGGGGGAGGAATCGGCGCGATCTCGGCGAATGGGCATTTTGTTGAACTTGATTTGATCGACAGCACTGTTGATGTTCGTGTCAAAAAAAAAGCAACAAGTTATCTTGACATCTTTCACCTACCTGCCAACGTTATCCCCGTCATCATCGCTGTCGTCGCTTAGATCACTGCTGTCGTCGTCCTCGGCTTCTGCCTGCCTCTGGGCCTCTTGTTGCCTTTCGCGTCGACTCTTCTTCTTTCCTACGCGCGCATGATGTCGTCGCCCAGTCGTATCCGCGTGGCTTTTGCCGGTCACCATCCCACCATCGTCCTCACCATCCTCTAACCCGAGGCCTTGAACGTCGTCTCGTGCGGGTTTGGCGTTTCGCTCCGCAAGTCTGTAGTATTCGGAAGAAACATTTGCCGTAGTTGGGATTGGTGGGGAGTATGAGCGTCTCAGGCTCGAGGAGCTGTGTGTGTTGGGGTACGCGGTCGTTGACCAGCCCGCGGCACGGAAGCCAGGCGTGTTCAGAACAGAGTCATTGACAGTAATGAGTCGGTCTCCGATTCCATCTTTGATTGTCGAGAGATATGAAGAGCGTAATTGCCATATCGCAAAGCTATGCTTGGGTTACTCCTTGGTCTTGCCACGCTTCGGGACACAGCCTGCGAATCCGGGGGGAGGGAGGGGGTTACTTACTCTTCGTTGTGAAGGAGAGACATTCTTGCAGCAACAGGGATATCAGAAGTCCCGAGTTAACCAGTAACGTACTGCGCAGTCGGTATCAACTGAGGTTCTCGTGCAGTCTCAGCTCAAAGCAGTCGCATGCTCACGTGGGGCATGCGGAGAGAGAGAGCATGCGTGAATGAAGTCTGTCTCCTACAGGACCAGCCTGGAATCAAGACAGAAAGACGAGAGCAGAAAGCAGAAAAAGGAGAGTGTTGTATGTTGTAGCAAGTGAGAGAGATCGTAGGAAGGGAAGTCGAATGGTTCTCCGCAGATCGCTTCCCCGCCAGGGGGCAGTGCTCCGACTTGCCAACTATGAGAATGGCCGACATATGGCGACTATGGACATATTGCTGTGGTGATAGCCAATTATTGGTTTATTATGGCTTGGAGAGGATATTGGGTTGCTTTGGCTCTCTTGATCGGTTTTTTCAAACTAATAAATAAATAAACAGTCGCTACATGGCGCCCTGGGAAAAGAAACTTAGTTCAACTGGGGCAATGTCTATAGCTTCTAGGCAGAATGAACATTCATATTCAGATGCACCGAGTAACTCCGACAAACAGGCCCTGCGACAGAAAATCACAGGAATGGTATGATACAAAAAGAGGACATCTCAAGCCTTGGCCTTGCCCTTGGCCCTGCTCTTCTTCGGCTTCTCTTCCTCGTCATCATCGGCCTTTTTGGCCTTCTTGCCCTTGGCCGGAGCCTTCTTCTTCTTCGGCAAGCTGACATATTTATCCTTCTTCAGATCCAGTTCTTCTTCCTCGTCATCCTTAATCTCATTAACAACTTCCTCCTCGTCGGATTCTTCAATGGCATCTTCCAAATCGGGCTTTTCTTTCGGTCCCTTCTTCGGTGCAACCACGTTGCTAGCCTTCATGAAGGGCATTGGGTGCGAGCGCGAATTGTATAGACGCGTGAAGGTGGCCTTGGTCTGTGTCTCCAGTTTGACCTTGGACTCGTCCATAGGACCCAGCCCTAGTTCGACCATGGCATCGAAATCATCACGGGTCAGGAAGTAATTATCCATGAAATCGATAACTGAATCCACACTGTCCTTGCCCTCTTCCATGAGACGACGAATCATCTTTTGCTGGAGTAATGGCATATACTGTTGGCGGATCTCGTCGCGGTTACCAGTCGTGCGAAGGCGCATGTGACCCTGAATTTCCTTGACATATCGGGACATTTTGCCTGGAAAGTATTAGTATTGATATAATTGGTAGCGAGACGTAGAAACTTACCGTGCTTGCTGTTGTTTCCTAACCAACTAGTAAAGGAAGCCCGTTCACTGAAGTTGCCATACTGGTAGCTGGCTGGCCGGACAAAGCTGAAAATGGCATGGACAGGCATCAGACTCCACTGTTGCTGGGTTCCGTGGATCATACGATCGACAAGATCACCGTCACTGATACTCGAGGCGGCATTGTCAAGCAACTCAAGGGACTTGAGACGTTGCTCCTTGCCCTGATATTTTCCGGCTAGGGTGGGTTTGGTTTTAACATAATTCTCCTGGAGCATCAGGTAGCTGAACTCGTGGTCATTGAAATAGAGCTCGACCTTGTCGTTCAGCGTAGCGGTGGAGCTGGGGGAAAACATCTGGGCACTAAGAATTTTGCTGACAATATCCCAGGGTTTGAGAATCACATGCTTCTCCCATGCCTTGGACATCTGCTTGCCTTCGTCATAATTGAGAGTCTTCTGGTCGAGTCTAGCAGTAGACAACATGTTGATAACCTGGCGGATATCGGCATGCGTTCCTTCGATAAGGCCGTCGAGGACAGGAGGGGGGATCTTCAAGCCTTCTCGGAAGCAAATTGTTGATAGTCTGGCCCGGATCTGCTCGGCAGTCGGGCGTCTGAATGGAATGTCGAAGGTAACATGGTCAAAGGGCTTCATCTTGGGAAGCTTGCGTTCGTTACAGACAAGAATAATAGGGATCTTGGTCTTCTTAAGAATGGCTGCGACAGCTCCCACGCCACCACGGTCACCAGCAGACATACCATCCACTTCATCCATGATAAGCACAAGCTTCTTTTTTTCACCCTCAACATGTTTGCCCTCTCCGGCGAAGTAGCCTTGGAGAGAGGTTGTGTCTAACACGCCTAGGGTAGAGCTCTCCACGAGCTTCTTGCTTCGGGTGTCACTGGCGTTGGTCTCAACAATGTCGTATCCCTCCAGCTTTGCAATGAGATGAGCTGCTGTCGTTTTACCGATGCCCGGGGGGCCGTGAATCATGACAGCCCGGTACAAGCCTGAGCCATCCTTGCCACCCTTCTTGAAATCGTACTTGGCATTGCTGTGCCAGTTACGCAGCCAGTTCTGAATCTTCTCAACAGGAGCCTTATTACCACAGATCATGTTGAGAGACGTGGGGGCATATTTCGTGGTCCACAAATCACCGGCCGAAGTTTGCGGGCTAGACGACTGAGGTGTCTGAGATGAGGGTGCAGCAGACTTGGGAGTCTTAGGAGTCGCGGCAGCTTTCTTTCGACTCTCTTCGGCATCGATCTCGGCGGCCATGGCGCGAACCTTGTCCTCGTCGGCCTTTTGCTTCTCGGCAAACTTTTCGGCGGCCTTTCCGTCACCTCCATTGGCGGGGAGTCGTCGAATCAACTCGAATAGGCCATTTTCATCAATTGTCTTTATTTTGTGCTTTGCAATGGTTTCGAGCTTCTTTGGGCCTGCATCACTACCAAGGACAACAAAGCTCGTCTTGCCGCTGGGGGCTCCTGTGACCTTGCCACCATACTTTTTCACTAGCTGGGCACCCTCCTCACGGCCGAGGGTTTCCTGAACACCAGTGAAAACGAATGACAACCCAGCAAGACAATTTTCCTGTCCTACTGGCATCTCCGTAGACCCTGACATCGCTGGGTCCCGGGAAGCCTGTTGTCCAAACTTCCATTTCTTTGCCTCTCCTTGAGCAGGCTCGGGGGCATCAACCAGAGGGATGCTGTCAAAAATGTCCTGAATCTCTTTGCTCTCCGGGACGTCCTTGACCTTCTTGGGTGTAGATATAGACTTCTGTTTCTTTGTGGGCGATGCAGTGGTCTTCTTTGGGGCTGCTCTCTTTGGTGCCTCAAAGTCTTCATCTTCATCCTCATCAATCAGCGCCTCTGCCTTGCGTTTGCGGCCTGGCCGAGCCTTTGGAGCGGGTTCCTTGGGAAGATATTCCATGGTAACGTCATCGTCATCGTCGTCGTCGCGGGAAGGTTTCTTCTTCTGTGTCTTTTTGGCTACTGCAGCAGGCTTTATTTCGAGTACCTCAAAGTCGCTGCCATCATCGTCATCTCCCATGACATAGTCGTCGTCGCCCTTGCCGGCCTTTCCATATTCGGTGGCAAAGATATCATCGTCGCCAAGTTTCTCATCTTCAATGACCTTTGAGGGTTTCTTTGCTGATCCACGAGCGGCGGGACGGCTCTTCTTTTCGGGTTCCGGGGCGGCCTTCTTGGCTTTCGGGCTGGCGACTTTCTCCGTGCTATCATCGGCCAAAGCCTCTGGCGTTTTGGCGGGTTTGCCCTTCTTCTTGCTGGAGGCGAAGTAGTCTGAGGAAGTTGTGGGTTCTCCTTTCGGTTCTTCGGGTTTGCTGTAGACATATCAACAAATGCAGACTGTGCAGATATTCGGGGACCAATGAACATACGCTTGGCTTTTTGGCTTCACTTTAGGGGTTGGCTCCTTAGCCGGTGCGACTTCTTCCTCATCGTCACTATCATCGACGACCTTTCTACTGCCTGTAACTCAAATTAGAATGATTGGCTTGAGGTGGGATGTAAAAGCATACGCTTCTTTCGCGTGGCGGACGGGTCCTTCATAGTAGAATTCGAGTCAGCAATGAATATTTCTCAATTTTTCAAGTATACAGAATCATACATCAGATAGGCTAGGCCTCTCATGTAAAATGCAACAACTCACCTCTTTTTTGGGCGCGGGCTTCGCGGGGGCCTCGCTGGAGCCTTGACTGCTTGGTTTTCCACCAAAGAAACTCCGGATGTCAGGCATGGCGAGCTTCAATCGATAACCAAACCAGCTAAAATTGGTCCAAGAGGCAATGGAGCATCCAAGCTTCGTAGCAACGAGTTGCAGAGCTTCGAGGTTGGCTGATAATTGCAGTGACGCGCTGTCGCGACGGGGAGACGTGACTGCTGATGTAAGCACTATGTCCACTTTGGGACTAGCGTCAGGATCGAAAAGTGCTCCGGCCTGAAGTAACGAGGAGAGAGTCAACGTCGAGATATCCCGATTCCCCCAACAATGGGTCCTCAGATCAAGATGTTCGCTGGAACACTCTCCGCTTGCGTGCGCCCGACCTGTACGAATCATCAATCCCCCATACCAATAGCTCTGGTTATTGACTAACAATGGGACAGTCTCGGCGCCGCTAGCCACCTTTTCTCTATCACGATGCTTTTCTACCACTTCGCCTTCGCTTGACTGGCTTACTCCTAAATTCCAAGAAAGATCCAAGTCTCCCAAGGGTCGGCCCCATGTCGCTACCGGTGGTTCAACTCGCGGAACAACGGTCGTCTGGGGAGATTTCGGATTGCGCATGAAAGACCACGATCGCCGTATGCCCGCATCAGCTTTGAAGATCGCCGAAGAGACTATTAAGCGTCGGCTACGAGGAATGAACTACAAGCTCTACAAGCGTGTCAGTGCCAACATTGGTGTCTACACGAAGGGTAACGAGCAACGTATGGGTAAGGGTAAGGGAAAGTTCGATTACTGGACTGTCCGTCTGCCTGTTAGCCGAGTCGTTTTCGAATTGAAGGGAGACGTTCACGAAAAGGTTGCCCGCGAGGCATTCAGATTGGCGGGTCATAAATTGCCAGGTATGCACGCGATGGATTACCAGAATCTACGATCTACTGGAATATCTGTATGGTTTGGTAGGATGCTCATTTTGTTTCACTAGGTCTCTGGGAATTCGTCAACAAGGACGATCCCCCTGTTGTCGGTATTACAAAGCTCGGAAATGGCGTGACTCTCGAGTCGCTCAAGCGGGCACGCAGAAACCCGCCCCTCGGTACCAATGACCTCGCCTCACCACCGAAGAGCGTCTCCTCCAGCCCCGATTCGCCCCAATAAACAAATTCACGGTTTCTTCTCTCAGTCTTAGTTTGTCGTTTTGAGTTCAGCTAAGCGCCCACTCCAGATCCAGGCCCATACCCCTGCTGTCTGCGGGCCTTGGTCTCTGCATCGTCCTCGTCAAGTGCTATATATTTGTACATTATCATCAGCTGTTTGCGTCTCTTTAGGGTCCATCAAGGCTCCGGCTCCTCCGATGGATTCCTTGTCTTTGTACTAGGAGTTTAGACAGAAGGAAAACATATGGCTATTTACCTTTGCTTGGCTTCGATACTCCCATTCCCAATCTCTGTGCTTGAAGCTCCTCCGTTTGCATGGAGTTTGGGGTATCTGTTCCTACAACGTGGCTCACTTCGCTTTTAGTATGTTGTTCGCCGACTATGCCGGTTAGTTATTGGTATAGAGCACGAGGGTTTCGTGACGGAAACTCACAACCTAATTGTCCGGTCTGCTTAGAAGGACTGATAGTATATTGACGGATTGACTCGTATCTGAATCAAGGTGTTAGTCCAAACATGTGGTGGGGGGTGGGGGTCTGCATACTGAGTGCTTTCTCCGCCAGGTTCCATATCAATAAGTCTGGGGTCCGTCATGGTGATATTCTGTTATGTGATGTGAGATTTCGATCGAGGAAAACAGCATTTTCAATAAGAGGAAGAAATAGACAAGCGATGATATAAGACTTTCACATGTGGTCCATGACGGGGTGTGATGACGTCGATCGGTGCAGAACCCTGGAAAGGTTTCCCCTCAGATCTACAATTTGATAGCTTCACCAAAATGGCATTGTTCTCTTGTGTGAATGCTTTGCAGCGCCGAGAGGTCGGGTCTACGCGTATACATATTAGGCATGTGATAGAGTGGTGGAGTAATATATACACCATCCTACGCAATGATCAAATTATAAACGCCGGAATCCTCTATGCCTTCATGCGCCGGTAGAAACTGACAAAGACCGAATGGTTAGTGATTTTGAGGGCAACATGGCTTCATAGTAAACCATGGGTTCTAGTATCCTTTGCCAATTCAGGTAAACCACCTTAGTGTACAAGTCGTCATTCATCTGTTGCTCTGATTTGCTTAGGTTTAGAAATCCATTCCCATCAGGTAACTTGAAGGTTGTTAGTATGGATCTTGGGTCTTTTACTAGTCAGGACGTACCTTTCATAGATGCGCATGAACTTGGCCACAAATGCTTCGAGGTGGAAGATGACTTTCTGTTTAATAAATAAGTATAAGAAAAATATAGATTGTAAGGAGGGAGAACAGTGCTTACGCTTCCTAGCTTGATGCGGTGCTCATAAAAGGCAGACCATTTGATAACGTCAGGCTTAAGCGCATCGTCGACACGTGCAACAAGCTTGAATGTCAGTGTCTATTATCACAATTAGTATCTAAACAACCTTCGATTCACATATACATACTTTCAGGATAGTCGTGGGAGGAATGCAATGAGTCAAGAGATCATAAAGACGTGCGCGAACCTGCAACAGCCGAGCCGGTGATCGTTCGGCCAATATCTCATCGGCTGTAAGAGTAACAAGGGCCTCCCAATCTGGAGGCGGGATGAGGCTCTTGTCTGTAACCTTTTCACTAGATTGCCAGACACATCAGTACCAAGCACCTAACAGTGAAGAATTGTCAACTTACTTCTGTGCATGAATTGACTCAAACATAAGCAGAGCTCGGCGCAGATTCCTCCCACTCTCTTTCGCAATTCTCATATGAAGCCCCTCAGCCTCAGTCCACCCCTCCTTCTTCGCAGCCCCACCAAGGACTGCACAGATGTCATTGACTGTAGGTGCAGCAACCCTGACCAGCAGGGTTCGCGAACGAATAGGAGCAATGATATTGGAAGTACTGTTGGCCAAAAGGATCAGCCGCAGATTAGGACTGTACTTCTCCATAGTCCGTCGGAGAGCTGCCTGAGCATCGCGCGTGAGGTGGTCAGCCTCGTTGATAACGACAACCTTGAATCGTTGCTTTGCGCCCAGGTCGACCTGCTGCGTCTGTGCGACTTCCTTCAACAATTCTTGGACCACAACTCGGTCGTAGTTTCCGACATCTGCGGGCGTGATTTCGAGATGGTAGACTGATGAGACGATGTTGAATTCTAGTTTGCGGTTGCTAGTTGTTTGGAAGATTCTTGCGTCGATTTTGATCTTTTCGACTCCGGGTCCGTACAGTTCTTTCAGCGTTGCAATTATCCGTGTCTTTTTTCCTGCTCCTGAGGGTCCGTAGACTAGTAGGTGGGGGAAGTCTCCGCTTTGGGCCTGTTGTGATAGCTTGTGTTAGAAATGTTGTGTTTCGCGAACGGTTTTCTCTTACCAGTGAGCGCAGGCGATCGGAGAGGTCTGAGTGGTACGTCAGGGAGTCGAGGGTGCGCGGCCGCAGTTTGTCAACTAGAAGAGCCATTTTAATATCTTCGGGTGGGTTAAGGGGAGAGTTGAGAGAGCTGGGTGGTTTTTCGATAGAAGATGCCGACGGAAAACGCGTCAAGACACGCGCCCAATTAATCCATGGTCCGTGCACGCTCCCACATAAGCTACAGCTAGCACCTGCACTGGATCGAATACCAGCATACAATTCCACTTGAAACTCCCCCCAAAATATATATTCAGACTTATTTGAGGTATCTAATTGCCTTCTGCCAAACTCCAAGATGTATAATACATGCATTTGTTCAAAGAGATGAGAAGGGGACAAAAAGCCAAACACAATATCATACAAGTCCAAATGTTCAAGTTTATGCTAAACTGCAAACATGTCAGGCACAGGACTTCAAGATGCTTTCAGATGACAGTATTTATGAAGCAATGGGCTTGAGAACACCATTGTCATCATATTTCGCTTCTATAACGATGTTAGTTCAGCTCAAAGGTAGCCAACAATTGCAAGACTCACTGAAGAAAGTATATGACAAGGTAATAGTATCAATGCCCTTCATATTAGGATCCGTCGCGAAGTCAGGATCAATGAAGAAAAACACGGGCATATCAACCGACTCTCCCGCATTGAGCTTCTGCTCTTCAAAGCAGAAGCATTGAATCTTACTGAAATACGGCGCTACCTGTCCCGGTGTAACACTGTACGTTGCAACTCCAATGATATCGTTCGGGCCCTTGTTCGTTGCCGTGTAGAACGCCAGAGCTGTCTCGCCCGGTAGCACTCGGACCTCGCGCTGCTGTGGTGTGAATTTCCAGGGGAGAACATCGGATACGGATCCATTGAATGTGATGCGAAGACGGCGGGAGTCTGTTACTGGTGTCACGCGCCCTGCAGTATCGCCGTCGCCGTTGCGGTGGGTGAGGATGGGCTGGCCGCCCCAGCCGGTTTGTTGACAGATCTGCAATTGGGTGTTAATATTGGTTCCGCCTCAGACATAATGTAAATAAGCAATCAGGCCGTGTATTTACGTACCATTTTATAAAGAGGTACGGATCCATATGCGAGCGCAACGGTTCCGAGGATGAGACTGACGGTATAGTACCTAGTCGGCAACTCTGTTAGCTTGTACAATATTTTGAAATTAGGGTTCAATGCGGTCTTACAATGTAGAGGTATTGCGCTTTTGTGACTCCGGGGTATGGAAAGGTGCGGATGATCCTTGGTGTTTTGCTTGGAGCAGGGAATTTCTCGAGAAAAACCTCCTCTCCATGTCCAGGACGTTTTTCCGGAGATAAATTGAACGTTGGGGAATTGTCCCCGTTAGCTTTGAGCATCCCCATGAGGGGAGTAATCGTGAAAACATGGTGTTAGGGGAGTAAGAGTAATCAGACGTTGAATCTCAAGATGTGCAGTTATCCTCAACACGTGATACCTTATCGATAAGCCCTGTGTGGTCCCATCATGATATCCGATGCTTCATTTAATGAGTTACATTTTCTATAAGTTACACCTAATTGAACGATGAGTTGCTATTCTAGTACTGTCCTTAGTTCAGAGCGTGTCAAACATCTGCTCCAGCTAGATATCTTAAATCATTTAGTAGCAGACCTGGCCATAGTTTGCCTGGTCATCAGAATGTGAATTGGCGCATTTCCTACACATTTTGGTACAGATGACATTGTGAAAGTCCCCTCACGAAGCCAGGAATAGTACTCGAGATTATTCTCAAAGTTGAAAGTTTATGAAAAGATCCATTGAAGCAGGCGAGCTCCGCCACTATGAAGGATTAAAGTCATAACAATGCAAGGTGAATGATGATACAAAATAGTACCCAAACATAGGGTCTGAAGTCTGGAGCAAAAGAGAAATCAGGGGGAAAAATTAATGATGAGGCCTCAGAAATTCTAGTTCAAAACGCTATTGGTGATACGGCCAAAGACTCCTCGAACCATGCTGGGCCGCTCTCGAATGGAAGTGATGAGAATGGCAGCGCTGACGGCAAATGCAAAGCGCTCTCGGTATTGATACTGTATACAAGTCAGCACGCGCTCATGACTCTTGATTCGTCATAAGCTCAGTTTCGGGGCATCGAGAAGGGGGGCCGAGGTGTAACGCTGCTGCGAGGGTCCGATGCATACATACCTTTTTATCATACAACCGTGGCAAAACCGTGGCGGCCGCCCGAGGTGCCACAAATAGTGCCAACTCTTGTCTCTTCCGCGCCTTCTCGACCAATGCACTCCAGCCACACATAAGACATCCCGCTCCTACACAGAGACCGGAGTCCCACATCAACGGGGTGACGGTCTTCGGGTCGAATATCTTTGGGCCGAGTCGCGTTCGGGCAAGACACACAGAGTAATAGAAAAGGGTCACGAAAGACGCCAAGAAGGTAGAGGATCGGGCAGCGTCAAAAATAGCCCGTCGGAGAGCTGCTGCGGAATTCATCCCTCGTAGGCGAAAGATAATTTGTAACGGGATGTAAGTTGCACAAGCGAACTTAAAGGTTCTGGCAAATCGGTGCAAAGCGTGTTTCTCGCAGCTAGGGCCGCATCCCATGTGGACCATCTCGCAGGGAATTGGGACTGTCTTGGCTGGGTCCCCCCAAACCTCTGGCCAATTATAGTCATTGCACATAGGCTTGAGAAGATTTGCTTGACCTGTATCCTTTCCGTATACAAAGACACCTCGTCGAACACGGCGTAAAGCCTCAATCAAGCGCGAGTCAACCTGAGCGGCTTCCCCGATCCATTTCTCGTATGTCCTGGGCAGTCTTTCTGGGAGATAAAACCATGCCCACATAACGATAGCGGCACTCATGGCGAAAACTCCTGAATCCACTAATCCAGGAACAAAGCGTTCGACAATAGTCCACCGGTTCTGGGCCTTGCGGTAGCGGGACCAGCGGTTCCATGCAACACATGCGATGACATCTATAGCTCTTGTGACCGAGAAGATGGTCAGGTCCATAGTCTTCCCTGCCAACTCTGGGCGTTGATGCTCAAGCGAATTGGCTGCAACCTGGCTGGAGTCATCTCCCTGGTCTGTAGATTCCCGCTCGGTACGCTCCCGCTGAACCCTGACATCCTTGGTCCGAAGACAAATGCGGTTTCTGTTGATAAGTTGAAAACTGAACCACCCCGATATTAAGGCTGCAGCAAATCGAATCAAGCGATCGAGCTTTTTCGAAATTTGAACGTCGCCTTTGGCAAGTCCTGCAGTGATCAACGCATAGAGACGATACAATAATATCGGTAGCAAAGTTGAACCGCCTACTAGAGCAGCACAGAATGCTGGAAAGCCGTTCACACGCAATGGACCAGTCAAAACTTGAACTACCTGCTCTCACGGTCAGCTACAGCTCCAGTTGCACGTATCAGGATTGAGACATGCCCCCAGCCCGACGTCACGGTTCATATCTGCGTACCTCTTGAAGTTTCTGCTGTGCAGTCCAATCTTGCTTAGCCAGACGGCGTACATACGATACCAACCTCGGAGTCACCGATGACAGGTACCCCAACGCGTAGGCGCGAAGAAGGCTACAGTGACAGTCAGGAAATGGCGGTAGAATTAGGGTAACGATCGGACTCACGGGTTCATTGCCCGGTTCCTTCTTAGGTGCACACGGTCCATACTGGAAACCTTCAGGTCCAGAAGGGGGGCACCATCCCAGCCGAACTAATGAGAAGGTCAGCCGTTGAATAATGATAAGCCCAATGAGGAAACTCTGGGAACCTACAATTGTGCGTCCCGAAAAATGGGTAGTATTCTCCGGGAAACCTGACACCTGCACGATCGTTTTGATCGTCGAGCCGTGTAACGTTCCTTAAGTGTTGTGTGGACTCGTTGGACCTCGGTTGGTAGAGCGCCCCAGTTCCCAGGGGGCAGCAAAGCAGACGATCATCCGGCTTGGTTTCGGACGATAGTCGGGATTGCGGGGGCCTAAGGGGGCCCACGGATGATTTAATTGAAAGACCAATAGGGATGGATCAGATTGCCAAAAAAACAAGAACCGCACTGACCCAATAATGGGTGTTTCTGCAGCTCAAGAGTGAGGTGCAGCAAGTAGCATCCAAGTCCCCTCAACGGTTGAAGAACATGCAGAGTACCAAAGCTCTGGAACACAACCGTCGGAAGTCAGTCAGGCACGGGTCACGGGGTCTCCGTTCCCCGGAAGTACAGCTCTCCCCGGAGATACTTGCAAAGACAAGTCAATACCGTGAAAAGCCACGGTGGACGTTTCTGTGCGGCTGTCATTTTGGTATTTTTCGTACTGTTACGTCACTTGAGTTTTGCATGTGATCCTTTGAACCTCCACCTCTTCCCCAGAGTCTCTCTCTCTTGACACATTCTCTCACTTCTCTTCTCTTTACCCTTTCTCTCACTTGCTTCCATTTGTTGCTTTCTTGCGCAACCACTATCGCTTCCCCCATCCCCTCTAACACCTAAACTCCCCTCGTTAGTGGAGTCGGCGATCCTCTGGAACTTTATCGCATAGCGCATACTTCAGAACTGGACCGAGGCATGCCACTTGCATCTTGGCCCGCGCTACTCTTCATTTGAGAGTAGCAGATACCCCCGTTATAAAGACTATCGATAGCGCTGTTTCCCCCACAATGGATGGCCGTGGGACTGAAGTTCAGACTGGACGCACATCACCCCCGTCTGGACCCTTTGGATGTGAGTTTTTTCCGACATGCACCATGCATGAAATCCCTGCTAAAATGAGATAAGATTCCTTTCTCTCTCCCATGGATACCCCATTTGAACAAGCACCCGCTCTTCCTCCGGGTCCCTCTCTCCTTGATGATAATGAATCCAACATGCTCGACAACTTCTTTACTACCATGAATGCGAACCACTTTACGAATGACTTTTGGATGCGACAAGAACATAAAACCGGGTTATCCAACTTGGACTGGTCTGGCGAATTGCCTCCGAACTTCGAAGGATCAACTACCTCCTTATCACAACCATCTTTTCAGCAGCATGGACTGGGAAAAGCAAACGGGGGCATGATGGTCGGAACTCCTACAGGCCAGGACATATTCGCAGCAGCATCCATGCTATATCAGAGCGGCCTCAACGGGCAAGATATTGGGTCCACACTAGCGCAGCAGGCTTTTGCAGGACATCCTATACCGCAAAATGGAACCCACGTAAGCAATGATTCACAGACTAGAAACCTCGGGCAGGGACCGAGTGCTTCTCCGTCTCGGGCCGATGTGCCCACTGGATATCATACATCAGAGATGTTTTTTGACGTCCGGGATCCTATCCCAGCCGACCAGCATCCATCAAGAAAAGCCCGTAGTCTCCGCTGGGGCTCCGATGTCAGTTTTATGGATCAAGGCTATCTTCGCCCACCCGATCAACCTGATGAGGAACAGCGAACAAAGGAACTGCTAGATCATCTGGGTTGCTTTGAAACACAGAGCAGTGCCGCCAACACCCGAGCCCCTAGTCCAGAACGGATCGTCGGCGACCCTGTTCACCGAGGTTCTTTCGCTTCACATTCCATTGGTTCAATCCCGGACGACAGCCTACAAACCCGGAAACGGTCACGAATTATGAAAGAAGAAGTTGACTCCGACGAAGAGGATGGAAGACCTCATTCCAGGAAATCTAGAGGATCTATAAGTAAAGGACGTCGGGTATCAGCAGATATGTCTCGGAAAGCCCGCATTCAACCAGGATCAAAGGCTGCTCGAGAGAATCTCTCCGAAGAGCAGAAGAGGACCAATCACATCCTTTCAGAACAGAAACGCCGAAACCTTATCCGTCAAGGCTTCGAAGATCTATGTACTCTCGTGCCGGGCCTCAGAGGCGGTGGCTTCAGCAAGAGTGCAATGCTCACATCCGCCGCCGACTGGCTTGAAGAACTTCTCCAAGGCAATGATATCCTCCAAGGCCAACTACATGAGCTCAAAGGCATCAGCGGTTTGGTAATGCCAAGATGATAGCCTATAGCAGCCTTCTAAACATATAATCTGGATAGCCCTATCCTTCTAACGGGGCTTGCAAGCGTTTCAGCGAGTTGGAGAAGACCGGCGCGGTTGGCGTTCATTTCGCAGTCCTAGTGACAAGATACCATTTTCTTTCTGCTCTGCATTCTCCGGCTTCCTATTTGCCACCGTCAGTGATATAATATTACCTTTGGTTGATAGGCATCAATACCCTAGTGCATAATTCGAAATATTTCTGAGCTGAAAAACAATTTATACCACTTAAACGGATCTTATAATTATAGCAACTTGAGAAGACTGGTTAGGATTGGAAACAAAAACAGACCTAGCCCTCATTGGAAGTGATATTAAAGGGATCGAATTGGAAGCGAAGATGAGTGAAACTGAATTGAAGGCCTCAATTGGTGAATTACTTCGTAACGCCGTCATCCTCCACCGCCTTGTATTTTGCCGTGTTTGGACGCGTCGACCTCTCCGTTACTTCCTCCCACTGTCTCGCCCAGAATGCCTCCAAAACGAAAGCACAGTGATGATGAAGATCATAATTCCAAGCGCTACGCTTACCTCAAACCCCACGTACGCCATGTCCCTGAAAAGACTATCAAGTCGAAATGGACCACCCTCCCAGAACCCGTTCAAGAAAGAGTTCGCGATATATTTCATTCCCTCGAGCGACCAGTGATCATGCGAAGCCAGAATGAGCGAAAACGCATAGAGGCGCAGGGTGCTGTGCAAGCAGTGGTACGAAAGTAAGTCTGCACGATGTCGCTGGACTTGGCGCAAGTGTCAGCAGCTGGGAGAAACCAAAGCGCTGACCGCTGTCTCTGCATGATATCAGTCTAGGGAAACGCCTTCCACGGATGCCCTTTCCACCCGCAACAAAGGAATCTAACTTTGATTACGAGTCTGCGTTGAATGAGCACGTATGCAACCCGTGATCTGCTAGCAAGACCTCATACTGACATACCTTAGCGTGGCCTCGAATCCAGCTTGGTTACTATGACTGACAGCGTCGACCTTTTGAAAGCCGAAATTGCAAAAGAAGAAGCAGCCCTCGTACGCGACAAAAAAGCGTTGCAGGAAATGGACAAGAACGCCAAACGGGCCGAGACTGAACGAAAACGACAGACGAAGAATGTATGCGACACAATAACTTGCCTCGTTGGTGTTTTTAACTGAATATATGCATAGGAACACCCTGTTCTCCGGAAGCTCGATGCGCTTCCTCAAACCGAGAGCTTCACGTCCTCCAAATTCGCTCTTATCAGTGCGAAGGATAGCCACGCAAGTCTGGACGAGGCAAGTCTTACCTTTGTGTACATGCAGAGCACAGAAACTTACGTCCTGCTCAATTTTAGTTGGACACCGACCCCGAGATTCAAGGACTGATGAAGCAATTGAATGGCCACCTTCAATCCATGCAAAGCAATACTGCGCCGTTCGCGGAGCTCGGTGATGCTATTACCCGATCGCAAGCGGCTTTAGATCTATACTCGCTATCTAATGACTGATCGCCAGTCATTCTGCACCCGCACACATACCAAAATACTACATCCCGCGCAATTCACGTCGACACATGAAGGACCTCGGACCAGGGAAACTCACGCTTGCCGAGACAAGCCACTCGAGGATTACCAAGAGACCGCTTGTCGCGTGCTCAGATCGCAACTTATACGCTGCATAGTGGCACCAGACAGACCTCGTGCGCGGCTGAATACCATTCCTCTCCAAAGAACAATGCAGGAGGGTCAATTCTGGCCGAAGAAATGCAAGGCGCAGTCCAATTAATGCATAGCCAGTCTCAATTTCAGACCTGGAGGGATTTGCAAAACGCACCCGAAGTCTCCAAGCTCAAGATCGCCGAGAAAATCGGAATAAGTCCCAATACAAACTGTTGTACACCTCTCTCTTTCGTAGCACCAAAAAGTAATGCCTCGCCGAGGTGGCGGAAATGCGGAGGAGTTCGGAGGGGCGACTCCGCTTTCTCCATCCTGAACATTTTCGACGTTTCCAACCTCTGAACCTCTGATCTTCTGGTTTGCGGTCTCCTCGATCTATACACAATGACCGAAATGTCGCTGGTCAAGTCCAGATCCGGGGATGCAGGCAAGGATAGCCTCAAGGAACAAACATCTGCGGCCAAGGCTGAAACGACCGGAGGGAGTCATTCCAGCCCGAAGAAGCGCCGGAAGGTGAATCACGGTAAGTTGCCGTTGCACCGCATGCGACAGGGAACTGCGCCTGTGAGAAGCTCTTGGCTAATTTTGTCCAGCATGTGTCTATTGTCGTCGCTCGGTAAGCTTCACCGAGCACTCCACATTTGCTATGCGACAGTCCTATTGCTGTCCTAGGGAATCCTCCCGATAATACTTTTGCTAACTGAATTTGTTCGCGTGGGACAGCATATGACCTGCGATTCGGTACGACCTCCCCCGTTCGCGACTAAACCCTCGAGTTGCGTGTTGCGACTTGCGGAAAATAGCATCAGCTGACCTGCGTGAAGGAACGACCTTGCACTCGCTGTATAAAGCGCAACATTGGTCACCTATGCCATGATGAACCAAGAGAGACTCCAAAGCGCGGACGCGGCGAACACGAACATTCGGCTGCCGACGAGGAGGGCTCGAACAATGATCTAGCTGTGCAAGGCATGTCTAGGAGTGTTGATATAGCCGATTCTACAAGCCAGCAACAGTTTCCTGAAGCCACGATCGGACTTACGCCCTCAGCTGTGAATCCGACTTCCACTGTCTCGTCCGGAAACCTTTCCACGCCTGGCCAGGAGCTCGAGCCCAATTCTCAGAGTAAGTTTGTCGCGAATCTTATGACCCGAGCAACAGCTGACTCTCGGTGACAGCCATGCCATATAATGAATGGGTAGGGGGTCAGAATCAATTCCAGGAGATGCATTCGCTCCATCCGTCTTACATGTTCAATGCGCCAGAAGTGACCAATGAATATAACTTGCTCGGAGACTTCCTCAGTAACAGTCTGTTAGATGACGGTGCGATGTTCCAAAACCAGGACATGCCCGGGGTCTACACCGACTCGACGTTGATGAACTCCATGAATGGCTTAGGGATTCCAAATGGCTTACCTCCACCGGCGCAGCTTCCACCACCGGCGCAAAGCCATATGCCACAGGGAGACACAATTCAAAGACCAACCTCAACCGTGGGCAACGACAAAGCCCGGGAAACTTACTACATGACGGCCGCCGATCCTGCAGGAACTGACCCACCAGAGGAACGAATGAACAAACTCCTCAAGGCTAAATACGATGCAGGATTATTGAAGCCATTCAACTATGTCAAGGGATATGCGAGATTAAATCAGTACATGGAGAAGCACATGCAGCAAATATCTCGGCAAAAGATCTTACGACAGCTTGACAAGTTCCGGCCAAAGTTCCGAGAACGCATGCAAAGCCTGACTGATATCGAGTTGATCCTTGTTGAGATGTGGTTCGAGCGGAGCTTGATGGAGTATGATCGCGTGTTTGCCAGTATGGCTATCCCCGCCTGCTGTTGGCGTCGGACAGGCGAGATTTTCCGTGGCAACAATGAAATGGCACAGCTTATTGATGTCCCCATTGAGGGTCTGCGAGATGTGAGTATTTACCTAGGGCTGCTTAGCTGGTCTCGTGCCCTATATCAGAACTTACTAACAGGGTTTGTTTCACAGGGCAAGCTCGCTATCCACGAAATCATTGTTGAGGACCAGCTAGTGAGCTACTGGGAAAAGTTTGGTGCTATTGCCTTTGACAATACGCAAAAGGCTATGCTCACCAGCTGCACACTCAAGAGCCCCAACCCCAACTCAACGGGTGATGGTATTAATTGTTGCTTCTCATTCACCATCAGACGTGATAACCACAACATGTAAGTCATAACTCAACGTTTTTCTGGCTTTTGTGCCAGGCTAATCACTCTGTATAGTCCATCCCTCATTGTTGGCAACTTCCTCCCTATCGACAAATAACTGTTGTCAAAAGACACTGGTATTAACGGTGCTTTTTGGTTTTTTTTGTTCGACTTTCTTTTCTTTTCTTTTTTTTTTTTTTTTGGTCTTTTTGATTCCCCAAGGGTTGGCTGTATCTTCAACAAAATGTCCAGTACCACAATAAACAGTCTCAGGCAATCGTGTCTTTTTCCTTCATATTTTCCTTGTGTAATATATACTTGCAACCCATCTGATGAGCTTAAGCATTGAAGGTTTGGTAGATACCAGATGGAGGAGCTGAGTAGCCAACAAGTTGGAACTTGTCTACTGGCTGTCCACGTAAGTTGCCGCAAACTGTTCATTCAATATCGACATGTCTCTTTTGTCTCTTTGACTAAGTCAACAAAGACTAGTCAGTGATCAGGGGTCCAATTGCCCCATGTACTGACCTCGACGGCGCTATCACGAATGGGGATTCTATAACAGCGAAAGGACCTTTTCAAACCTATTCTGGAGGCCAAAAAAGAATCCTCCGGGCAAAATGATTCGGCAGTCATGGCCATCTCTTGGTCAAGCATGGGTTCGTTCAGAAGGCGGATGCTTTTGATTATCCGTACACAAGCTAGCTTATATCAATTAAGTCATATTGTGACACCTAGTGGGCACATTTACGAGTAAAGAGCTGTTTGTACTGTCATTTTTATGTTATAATTGATTTGTCTTCAAGGCGGTATTCAAGAACATTTGAAATTGTATTTTCAGTAATATGTTCTAGAGAGTATCAAAGGAAGAAGTTGCAATTTCGAATATAGCAAGACAGCCTGTGGCCACTCACGGAATGGTAAATATGGGTATCATCAGAAGGTCAATGATCTCTAGGAAATCAGTGGGAGGTAAGTAGAAAGAAATAAAATGGCCCAAGCCACTGACCACTCAGTGGATGATGCATATGATATATGTGTGCAAATTGCAGGAAGATAAGGGAAGAAAATGATTTCAAGAGAATGCAATGGCGAACAAGTCAGTCCACAGAAATAGAAACATCAAGTGAAGGTAAAGGAAGATGCCGTGAAAATGCACGGCCTTGAAAAGAAAACTCCAAGGTTGCAAGGCCTCTTTCTGAGGCATGATAGGAAAATTTGCAGAATGTGGGCGTTAATCATCTCCATTTGCTGTGGCATCGTATGAACGGCTCCGTGAAACTTGGCGTACCACTCTATGCTGCAATGAGGGAGTCGATGGCATATAGCGGGGCGTCTGGGGCGACTTCAATGACCGGGAGGAATGATTAGACCTCTGATCCATGTCTCTGCCGCTGCTATCGGTCTCTGTTTCTCCACTTTCATCGCTACTGAGCCCACGACTGGTGACAATACGAAGGGTCAGGCTTAGCTCCCGCTCGAGCTCTTTCTGCGCCTGGATGTCTTGCGTGGAACCGTTGAGTTTCTTGCGGTAGGCCCGGAGAGTGCGGCACACCTGCTCGGTGGACATATCCAGACTGCCAAATTCGCTCCGTGGTGTTGTTTTGGCACGGTTTCGGAAGTCCATCGATGTCCGCCGGTTATTGTTTCTTGAGCTGGTCGGCTTTTTGGGCACTGGGGCCCTGGATCGGGGGCTCACGGGTGATGGTGAACGACGGCTTCTATCCAGTGAGGTACCAGGTGAGGGAGAGAGACGGTTTGGGAAAGATGAGGTTTCGGAGACAGAGTGATTCTTCAAGGAAGATGGTGCTAGCGATAGCCTAGATATCTTTCTCGTTAGAGTCGGCGAGCGTTGGCGTATCGGTGTTGGAGTCGCTGGGTTAGGACTGTCAGGACGTTGAAAGCCGGCTAACTCGCTGCGGGAAAGAACTTTTCTGAGAGGAGGTTTGGCCGCGGTGATTTCTTTGGCAGGAGTATCGTCATCGTCTCGTCCGTTCTGAAGGAGTTCCGGCGATATTTGCTGCTGAACGGACAGGTTCCATATCATTAAAATACCATCCATGCCAGCACTAACTACTGTGCGCTTAGGTGTTCCCTCAGGCTCATTCGTGCGGTCCTCCAGAAGGAGCACATCTGTCACGCCTTCTGTATGGCCAAATTCGCCTGTCAGAAGTTGATCTCGCTCGAGATCATAGACACGGAGAGATTTGTCAGTGGTCGAGACACCAATAAGAATCTTCGGAGTCTGGCCTGGTATCTCCGATGCAACTTTCAACGAGCCCATGATCACTGCATCAGTAGTCTCTGAATCCGATGCCTTAAAAGAGTGCAAATGGCGCCCTGAAGGTATGTCGAACTTGGAGATACAGCGATCCATAGTAGAAACGTACAGGATGCTCGAGTCATCTGGGCAGAGTGTCATTGAGACAGGGGAAGCCTTGAGGGTTATGACTCTGGAAACGAGGTAGGCAACAGATGTTCCACCCTCCACTTCTCTTGTTGCCCGATCTCTTATAAGAACAGTGCGGTCTGCTGAGCATGAAAGAAGTTTTTCGCCATCGTCGATGAAGAGTAATTTTCCGACAGCACCAACGTGGTCATCCATAGTTTGAATCAATTTCAATTCGGCGTCTCTCTTCTCAAATAGTTGCACCATTCGATCACGGCCGGAACTGGCCACTAGCCAGGAATCTGACGTTTCTTGGATGGCCAAGTCTGTGATCTCCCCGCCATGGGCGCGAGCTTGGCTGACACATGTCCAATCGGCATTCGAAAGAAGTCTAGATTTACGAGTCAGTCAAAGAACTTCTGCTATACTGCGAAATTGTACTGCAAAGTGTCACATACCTAAGCACACCGAACTTGTCACCTGAAACAAACCAATTCGCGCTTTCCGCAGCCCTCAGAACTTTGAGCTCGTTTGCAGAAACCTCCTCTTCGCTTCCCGAAAATTGATCAAGGTCAATTGCTTTCGATGCGCGGCACTTTCCCTGGGCATCCCAGAAATTCACAGAGCCATTCCGAGACCAGGAAAAGAAATCTGCAGAGAAGTCATTGGGGAGCTTCATATGGCAAATTCCGAGAATAGGATCTCGATGTGCCTGCATGGAAGACTCTCCATTCTCCTGCTCACCCTCCTCGCGCAAAGTACTGATTGGATATATGTGGATTTCACGGGTGGCTTCAACAGTGACCAAGTGCGAGTTCAGAGACCCCATGCAGGTAATTGCAGGTGCCTTGCTTTTCTTGTCAATGACACTTTTATCAATTCTGGTAGGAGAGGCTGGCCTGTTCGAGTTGCAAGATCGCAAAGCTTCGAAAGACAATCGCTGCATCTGCCTTCCACGCCCACCGAGCCAAACCGATTCTTGGTCGAAATCAATGGCCACGGATGTGATGCTAAAGCCAGTTTGTTTGACTGTGATCATCTTTTGAGAATTCTCCCGATCATCGAGAAAGCAGACTGCGCCTGAATCCGTACCAATCACAGCCTCGTGGTCGGAGATGCTACTGACACAGGTGAACGAACTATCGCTGAGTGCGCCTAGTAGACAATTCCTTCCAGAAAGCGCTTTTGGGGCAGGGTTGGGTGAGGGTCCACCTCCGTCAACATTCAAACGCGATTTGGTGGGAGATATAGGTCGCATCGATGGAAGACGCCAAACTTTGACATGCCGCACGCCGGTCCTAAGTTACAGTTAGTCACATTGTAAGTACTATCATTATCAAACATACGTGACCAGACTTTGACCAACCCAGCACATGTCTTTGATGATCGAAGTGCACTTGTTCGCAGAATGTAGCTTGGCTGATCCATTTTTGAGATTGATTGTCCAGATGAAAAGGAACCCATCATTCGGGTTTCCGAGGGTCGCCAAATACTGGGAACTGGGGCTAAATGCGAGACTGCATACACCAAATGTATGCTCATTCAGAATCGATAGCGGTATATCTGGCAAAGCATCCTTTGCCGTCGAAAATATCAGAACTCGAGGGTTATAGCCCGTCTGGAATTTGTTAGCTGTGCCTCAAACCCTGGCCATGTATTATGCACGCACCTCTCCTACCGCAAGGAATCTTCCATTAGGGCTGATCGAGACACTTGTGACTGCTTTGATTCTTTCTCTCGAGGACCATCCGCGGGGGCTACCGCTTTCGCCAATATCGCTGGACGGTGATCCATTGTGAATATTAATATGCGGATTAGACCTGATGTGAGATAGGGAGCGCGCCCTGGGGTCCGGGGTTGCCGGTGGAGTTGATTGATTGTAAAAAGAAGTTGCAGGATTAAGGCTGGTCGCGGAGGGCCGCGCTCGGAAGAAGCGCTGGCTTAGGTTGGCATCCTCATCTAATTCTGCGAGCACAGCAGCAGATCCAGCGCACAGCGCAAAGCTCTTACTCTGGTCGTGGCTTGAGAACCCATTGGGGGACGTGGTTGTGGTGCCGATAACTGTTTGGAGGGACAAGGAGGAATTGTGGGAGGTTTTGCTGGCAGATCGTGTACCCGGTCTCAGGATTGGAGAATTCGAAGGAGTGATTTTGAGTGATGCGCCGGGGCCAGCAAGCTTGCTTTTCGCACTGAGGGGGGCGGTGGTAGCCATGTCCTTGGTGGCTGAGGTCGGTATTTCAAGATCCCCTGAGTGCGCGGGGTATTTTCATATCAAAATGAAGGCGCATCTGTCGAGCAGCTCGGTGAGCGCCAATAAAATTCAGAGATGTGTGGGTTGCAAGGTTGAAGGAGCGTTCAGGAGAGGTTGGCCAGTGTGGGAAGACCGGGGTCGAATTAGTGGGGGTAGCTAAGTTGGAGCTGTGATCAGTACTGTACTGTAACGGTTCCTACAGGTCCACCGGGCTAGAACTCACTTCAAAAGAGTGTAAGGGGCTTGTGGAAGGTCAAAAGAAGAGAGCAAACAACAAGCTCATTCCGCGCTAAACAGCGGATCATTCCAGACGATCTGAGGAATCCGAACCTTGGGTCTTCCCCTGTCAAATTCTGGAGATCTCAAGACTGCCGCGCGTGGACTGTATGAAGTGCAGGAAGGAAGTGGACAGGCGAGGGTCTCACTGGTCTTCAACCAAGGAGCTGAGAGGACTTCTTGCTGGAGACCTCGATGTCAGCCCCTCGATCGGCGAAAAATCGCGAGATGAACGGTGGGTCGAGTGTACTGGTCTCTCGCACTAAGCCATCCTTTGGCTCAATTCCAAACACCAAGTGTACCAAGCGTGTCAGGTGTGCCAGGTGTCCTAGGTATGCCTGGTGAGTTCTGTAGGTGACTCGGATGGGAAAAGATGGTAAAAGTCTCGAGGGTGTGTTGCACGTGCTCTACTTATACTTCCCAGTTGCTCGTGCTACTTCTACCCTGCATCACACTTCTTTGCTCAACATTTGATCCTTTTGAATATCGGATATTCTTTGAGAACGGTCTAAGGAGTGTCGGCCTCTCTTTCTCTCAAGTCGACCTGTCTTTGTGATACCGCACCTTTGCTCTCCCGCTGAGAAACAAAGCCGAGCTATAATAAGCCATTTCACTTGACTGGTCGGTGCTACCCGGTCTAGCCTAGCAATTGCAGATGTCTAATATACAGTATACAGTAGGCTAGCTTGTATCAAAATACTACTCTATGGAAAGCTAATATCGAAGGTTATGCAACTTGACATATATATGCCAACCACGCGTTTGCATACAAATATATATCCCCCAACACTTTGCTCAAGATACCCCCAGGTTTGTCTTTAAATTTACTTCCAAGAAACATCTTCGAAAAAAAGCCAAGAATGTTATTTGAGGTCGTCCTTTCAAAGAAGTGAAGCGCGTCTCTGGCAGACTGGAGAAGTATAACCAAATTACCTGATTTGGTCTAGCGTCAACTTAAGGATCTGGCTGCCTGAACCACAAGGCATTCAAAATCAGTTAGTTATCTTATCGCCACCATATTTTCTTGACTTCCTCTCCCATCTAATTCAACTCCTTCCATATCTTCATATATGTGATTGTTTTGTTGTCACTATGGCGATTATTTGTGCTGCATCAGCAACGCTGGCCCTGCCAGCCGTCATGCGTAATGTCTTTCGCTCCCAGTTCGCCAGTGACTTGGCCTCTTCGACGATCCCCTACCGTTTCGCCTCTTGCCCTTCCTTTTCCTCCTCAAAGCACCGAGCATTCAACTCGGGTCCATACTTGCGTGATTCTGAGAATGAGCGATCGGAGCAGACGACTCCCGAGTCATCGGTCACCAATGCCGCCACACCTTCCGGCAAGCCAAGAAAGCAATTATCTGGCCCTCCGCGCACCAACAATGGATGGAAGCCGATGAAGAGTCACCCAAGAAAACCAGAAAATGAAGTCAAGAGAAGCGACAGAGAGCGCAAGGCATTCCGCACAGAGGCTCGCAAAGAGGCTCGCCAGGAAGGTCGAACCGACCCAGGCAAGGACTCGCACTGGAACAAAGACTCAAAGTTGACATCAAATGGAAAGAAACATAAGAAGGAGAATTGGCAAATCCAAAAAGCCGCCTTAGAAAAGAAGTTCCCTCAGGGTTGGAACCCACCCAAGAAGCTCTCTCCTGATGCGCTCGATGGAATCCGTCATCTACACGCGAAAGCGCCTGAGCAATTCACAACGCCTGTACTTGCAAAGGAATTTGAGGTGTCCCCGGAAGCTATTCGCCGAATTTTGAAGAGCAGATGGCAGCCATCTGAAGACGAACAGGAGAGCCGGCGCCAGCGATGGGAGAAGCGACACGATCGAATTTGGAGTCGTATGGCTGAGCTTGGTCTCCGCCCTGAAACCAAGCGTACGAAGCCCATTTCAGATGCTCGAGTGTTGTATGGCGACAAAGACAACGGCGGACGCAAGTAGACGTACCTTCCGAGGTTGTATGATATAATTGGGTTGCATCACTGTACAATACATAATAGCGTATCTTGTTTTTTTTTTTTAAATATGGACAATAATCACTCAAATTACTCCAAAATTCTCCAAAAATTGTTCTCTGTTTCACATGCCCTTTGGCATTTTGACATGTTGATACCCCAGTTGGGACATTGACGTATGAAGTTCGGGGGTGGAGCAAGGCCCGCCACGCAACTTGATCCGATCCTCGACAACCTTCCGACTCTTCACATCAACCAACATGCATTCGAGTTGACAGAATGCTCATGTCGGCCAATCTTCTACCTCGAATGACCTACAGCTCACCGTGCCGACTTGCAATTCCCTAGATCTCGACTGCCCGCATGCTGACGCGCCATGCCCTCCAACATCCAGGTCTTCGTGAAATGGAAGGACCAAACCATATTTGCAGGGGAAGACGTGGAATGTACCATCACGTTCAAGAACGTAGCTGATACTGGCGTTGACTCCAGTGTGAGCGAAGGTGGTCAACATTCACGGAAGCTCTCTCGAGTGGCGAACCACACGGCCAACTCGAATTCGGACTCTTTCTTTGGACTCAAATCACCCCAGGCCTTGTTCTCTGGTCGAAGATCCTACTCTATCAGCTCACAGCGAAAGCCTTACCACCGAACGGCCTCTTCTTTAACAAATCCGCACGTTGGCTCACATAGCTTCCCCCCGAATAGCAGCCCCTCTACACCGCGCACTTGGCAACCAGGTCACAGCCACAAACGATCAGTATCCATTCTCTCCATTGACAGCGAAGGCCAGACCGATCCGACACCTGCACCACATCAATATAATCGACCGAAGCCAGTCAGGGGTCATGGGCGCTCGGCCAGTCTTCAGGTTCTCCCTAGGAGAAACAATAGCTATGAGGACTCCTACAAGAAAGGTAAGATCGGATAAGCTGAAGCGTCATGAATTGAGACTAATGTGCATCTCATTCTAGTGAGGTCCCCCACCCATGCTTTCCCTTTCCCATTGGCAGAAGCTCCAAGCGAGCATCCCAATGGCAATTTGACTGTAAATACCGCCAATTTGGGGCGTCGCAGTCGGCCTGGTTCTCTAGCGACAAGTCCAACAGGACTCGTGGAGCCAATACGACCACCTGCCCGACGGTCACAACCACCTCCTATGGAATTTAAGTTTCCAGCCGCGCCTCCTCCTGAACCAAGTGCCAACCTCTCAGCGCGCACTCCGTCCCCCAAATCGGCAACAACAAACGGTACTACATCTACCGGGGGAAAACCGAATGCTAGGGAAGCGCCACTGACAGCCCCGGCACACCAACAGCTGACGAGAATCATTTCGGCCACTAGCGCAAATGGGAGCGCTCGCAGCAGTGGAGAATTCTTCTCCGTCAGTGACCATTCGACTGAAACGCTCGGATCAGAATATACAGCATACTCGACGCAAAGTGCGCGAGTGCCCCCATCCGCACGACATGCGCGACATTATTCAAGCGTGGTGACATCTCCACTCAAGGCACCTGATAGCCATGCGCTGCTCATGGGCTATGCGCAGGTCAGCGCCTCTTTTACGGTTGATGGATCTTTAGTCAATCAGTCAGCATTCGAGGAAGTCAAGCGAAAAGGAGTTGTTGGTGGCCAACCAGGTCCAGGTGGTATTCCTGGACGACCAGCAACCCCCGAACGTCCACGTAAGACCGGTGGGTTCTGGGGAGCGTTTAAATGGAACACCATTGAAGAATCGATCAACGGTCTTCTCCCCAACAATGAACTGGATGGCCTACGAGAAATGCGTGGCGTGTCATCCTCTCGTTCCATTCCACTCCTATCGACTTCGCAATCACTGCTTTTTGTCGACCTTCGATTAGCGCCGGGGGAGGAACAATCATATTCCTTCTCTTTCGCCCTTCCGAAAGGACTCCCGGCGAGTCACAAAGGGAAGGCAATCAAAATCTCATATAATTTAGTTATTGGAACTCAGCGGCCGAGTGGAGCCAATGAGCCTCAAAAGGTCAACCGCATCAATATCCCATTCCGTGTTTACAGCGGCGTTAATGGTGAGTGATATTCAAACATCAACGTGCAAATTGATATTAATCGTGTTCAGACAAGGGAGATATCCTTGGTCATGACCTGATGTCGCCTTATGTGCTTCTCAGAGATGAGGCGAAGGTGCAAAAGGTCGGTCCAACAACACCAGTTGGTTCCAAGAACCAGAGCATCAGTAAAACCCATCATTCTGCGACCGATTTCTTAGGATACGTGGACGAAATTCTGGAACAACGCGCGCGTTCTAATACGCTTTTCCCACCTGGCGCTCTCTCTTCGCGGCGATCTAGCGTTGAGGGACTCCCGCAAATGCTGACCTGCAAGGATATTATTGATTTTGCGATCCTTCGCAGTAACCAGGCAATCAATTCTCGTCGTAGTCCCAATCGCTTCGAGATTGCCCGCGAGGGCCAGCGAATTGCGGTGGTGGTCTTGAATCGACCGGTTCACCGACTCGGAGAGACCATCATTGCTACCATGGACTTTGGCAATGCTACAATTCCATGTTATGCAGTCAGAGCCTCATTAGAGACCTCTGAGAAAGTCACACCCACTCTGGCTATTCGTTCCAATGCAAGCATCCACCGCACTACTCGGAAGATTCATGCATCTTTGTTCGAAAACACACTCCATGCTACTCGAGTAGCGTTCAGTCCGGCTATTCCTATTGCAGCCACGCCTACCATTCTCACCAGTGGGGTGACCCTTGATTGGGAACTGCGATTCGAGTTTGTGACCTCCGGTGGTCGGGGCCATCAGGGTCCCAGCCCATCGGGCATTCGCTTGCTGGAGACCCTGTCGTCAGATGAACGCGGCAAGCTACTATCTGCCACGGATCATCTGAACTGTGAGTCCTTTGAAATCGCCATTCCTCTCACCGTTTACGGAGAGACCATTCGAGAGCGGCAGCCCGAAGAGAATGAGGGCTACGCGATTTAGCGCTCTCGAGATGTATACATGTTTTCTGCCGTGCAGGTGTCTTATTTGTCTGACTTTGAAATATTCCCCTGAAGACTCGCAAAGAATAGTCTCCGGAACCAATGTATAATGGAAAGAAACTAGCTTCGTAGCTCACATAATGCTATAACTTGACTTCGTTGATGTCTGTATACGGAGGCGGTCACTGGGGCAACCCAGCCACTTATCAGCTGAAGCACGATAACACTGCTACACTTCCTCATCTCAACCTCGAAATCATCATTCCACAAGGTACAGAGAGCATTCCGGACTGCATCCTATCTCGAAGGACACAACAATTCTAACACTGGAATGTAGGCACGACCGCGATCAGCGCAAACCCCGCCGCAAAACCCCCCCCTACAAACCAGCGCCCTCTAAGACGATGGCTTCGTTCATCACCACAATGTCTGTCCCCGCTCCTCCTTCTGTTCATTTCCCTGCCTGCGAGCTTGTATCTCGGTCATCGTCATCCCAATCCTCTGCTACCAGCCCTTCCTCCCTGTACAATACCACCCGTACTTCCCATCTGCCCCTCCTAGAACCCCCCTCTTACCTTTCGTCTGCTGTGCGCGCTCTCAAGCAAGGCTATTGTGGACTGACTCCTCCTAGTAATGCTCGTACCAGAGCTCCGTTCAAGCCCCGCTCGGCGGCTAAGGGTACGAGTAGTTATCAACTCCGACAGTTCGCCGAAGCTACTCTTGGAAGTGGTAGCTTGCGCAAGGCTGTGAAGCTGCCTGAAGGCGAGGACCTCAATGAATGGCTCGCAGTCAACAGTCAGTTCTTCGCAGTTGCTTTAGTTTGGCTGGATGGTGTCGCTAATGTCATTGTTTCTCTAGTTGTCGACTTTTACAACCAGATCAACCTTCTCTATGGCTCAATAACTGAGTTCTGCTCACCACAGACATGCCCTGAGATGAAGGCGACGGATGAGTTCGAGTATCTGTGGCAAGATTCAGAAAACTTTAAACGACCAACTAAGATGTCAGCGCCGGATTATATCGAGCATTTGATGGCCTGGGTCCAGAGTAATGTCGATAACGAACAGATGTTCCCCAGTCGAATTGGTATGTTTCAAGATCCAATTGAGTTGTTACTCCGTGACTTACCATGTTTTCTCTCCAGGCGTCCCATTCCCCAAGACTTTCCCCAGTCTTCTTCGCCAAATCTTTAAGCGTCTATATCGTGTCTATGCCCACATCTACTGCCATCATTATCCGGTAGTAGTACATCTCGGCCTGGAACCCCATCTCAACACCAGCTTCAAGCATTACGTTCTGTTCATCGACGAGCATAAATTGGCCAGCGGAAAGGACTTCTGGGGACCACTGGGTGATTTGGTCGACAGTATGTTGCGCAGCGACTGAGCTTGCGCGTGGAATTCGGATTGCATCTGATCTTCGCGAAATGACACGGGGGGACTGGGGATCTCGGCGTTTCGGGTGCGGTGCATACATACGTTATCATATTTCAGCTCGTGGCGTCTGGGGTTTATCCTAATGCCGACTTTGAATTCATGAATATTTTCTACTTTAGTATGGCACACTCTAAATAAAAATGACCTGTGAACATGGCGTACTTGTGCTCCAGTCATGATTGTAGACTAGCGGTGTCTAGATGCATCGAGGCCAGGTTATATACGCAGTACTGGGATTGGTTCGTCGAATCGTGGCTGCAGTTCTAGCCCTAATTGGCGAATCGCGAAACAAATAGGTCAACATCTGGAAGGATCCAGATCCTTGTCTTTCGAACATGTGGCTACGATATACTATATACACTTGACACTGTCGTTGGGTCAATTGTCTTGACCCTCATATTCGGACATTCTGTCATAGAACATGAAGCCAATTCACCAGCAAACAAACGAACACAACCAAGCCTTGTCAATAGGCTAAACAAGCACCAAGGTCATAATGGCCAGGCTGCAGCGTCACTCTCAACCTTATGAGCCCCACCAGAGCGCGACAGTACATCTCTCAAGACAGCCACGGTATCACTTGGCAGTGAAGTGTTCTCTTTCAAAGTCGTTAGTTGCACAAGCCGAAACAGTCCTTTCGCAAACTGCCATCGGCGACCGAGGGCCCGAAGGGTGATTACAGTATCTGTAAAGAACCTTTGGTTTTCGACATCTTCCAGATCTTCAAATAGAGTGAATAGCGCAGTCGTAGCGTACTGCATTGCTGCAATGGGCATACACTCCACTGGCCAGAGAGAGCGGAATTGATTGAGAATGCAGCCGATATGGCGGGCTGATGCTGTTCGTAGTCTCTTGATGCGGTCATTTGTTGTTATTTCGTCTCCTCTCATGATTGGTGTTATGAAGCCGAATATGAGTATGATTGTATTGTGGTAGCGCATGCTTTATCGGTCAGTGTCATTGCCCATGAACCGACATGAAATCTCACTAACTGCATCTCCATGACACCCGGCGTTGACGCATATCCCAGTTGGATGCATCGTGGAAGGTTCTTGGCCCAGCTCTCCAAGCGTTGGTGGAAATTATTGATGACCTCAGGATCGACTCTCATTATCGTCTCGCCATCAAACAGATGATTGCAAATTTCCCACATGATCAGCCCCTGTACAAACAGCGCATTTTTCAAACAGTTTGTATGAGCAGCGACGGGCCCGCCTTGATGAGGATATGGCGTCCAAGAGTCTTCGAGGTCGTGGTTTTCAGGGAAATATTCGAGCGTGGTGGGTTTCTGGATGATGGTTGGTTTCTGGAGGCTTAGAATGGAACCGCTGCATAGTGTTAGCACAGCTAAGGGTTGCACGTCTTGCAAGCTCACTGACGAATAATGACTGAATAAACCAAAGATTGCAGTATCAATTGACCTTGCCATTTCTTGGGACTGTTCATTGGCTTCACATATCATTTCATGTCGGTGGTTCATAGCATAACTGAGGCAGTCTGCTATCTTTATCAGGTATTGGGAGCTGAGTTTATCCTTGCCCTTAATACAGGCACTGTAGAATCAGGTTAGAGCGTAAATGTCAAAAGAAGAGACTCGGCCTACATGGTATAGATGTCTCCCCATGCTTGAAGTGTGGTAAGGCATAGTCGATCTTTTTCTAGTACCAGGTGCTGCATAGCTTCTTCTAGAAAGTGTTCACCTCGGGTACTGGGATCATCAGGTATGGCAAATATTTCAGGATAGTCGGAGTAAAACTTGAGGAGAAATTGTCAATTAGTATTCAAGGGGAGAAATAAGGTATACACACACATGCACAAGATAGCATGATGTTGACCAGCAACGGCGAACAGAAACGAGAGCTCTTATTGCCAGTTCTCATATCCGCTAGGAACAACTCACGGTCAATCCAATTCAAAGTACCGTGCTGCCAAGTGAAATAGTGAGAGACAAGGTGTGAAACGAAGAAATCATCGTTTGTAACAGAGGTCCACGGCCGCGCAGGTACCTCATAGAGAGGAATATCTGAGATACGCCTCACATCCATGAATCTTCTCGAAGAGGACGTTGGACTCTTGGTCTGGATATTGTGCGGAGGACTTGTATTCCGATTCTCATTCATGGATAACCGGATCTTGTCCATCGATGCGTTGCTTCGAATTAAGTTGAGAATGCCCGAAACTTGTCGCTCATCGTCATCTCGAAGAACCTCCACCAATCGTTCAAAAAGGTTCCGGTCCTGCTCTAGGGATTCGATTTTACGTTTGAGGGTGATGCGTCGACGACCATCATTGTCTGCGTTGATGACGCACTGAGTGTTTGCTTTTTGACAGGGCTCACAAGGCTCTCCTCCAACACACTGATGGTGTCAGCACGGACTTTGATGCTTGTGACGGGGTGCAGACTTTCGACTTGCGTTTCTGACAGGCTTCGCAGGCCGTGGTTGCTTTCTTTGCTCGAGATGAATCGGTCTGATGAACCGTTGAATCGGAGACCCTCGTAAAGGGCAACCTCGAGCCCTTTGCGTCTTTGGGGGGCATCTTGGTCAAACAGAAAATGATCCGAGACGTGTCAGTAGGAAGATGGCCGAACTTATCAGTAACTATACCCAGTGGCAGAAATGAATATCCACATCCACCGGCCGCCTACCACGCCCCACGCGAGGTTGCCTCGCGTCTATTGGATTGATCTGGACATTAGGCTCTATTCAAGCAAATAGCGAAGAGAGTCGATCAAGCCCCATCTGTATCTTCGGACAAGTTGCGTGAAACCTGGCCCACTGCTGACAGCCACTAGACAAGACATTATCATTGCTCGTCACGAATTTAAGCCACCATGACGCGAGCTCGGCTGTAGTTTCTTTTGTTTGGGGCAATTAACCCTGATTTTGAAAAGGAGATTGATGCAAAAAACCGGATTCTAATTCACTGATCGGGAATCGAGGAGTCTGTACCCCTGCTAGTGGGCACGGCACGACCGTTCATTTGGCCCATACCAGTAAGTCTGGGCCGAACAATGCCCACTTAGTCTTGAATGACTGCCTTTGATCATGTGCCGTGGCATGCTGCCCATTTCAGTAATCATTGCAAGCCCATTGAAGACTACTAAGGTAAGTTATTGTCTGGAGGCGTTGCATGGGGGTTTGATGCAGGGATGATTCTCAGGGAACTTTGGCCCCGCTAATCAAAGGAGAGGCAGGCAGCGACGATCACATTGTTATAAGCGCTCTAGCCCTCGACGAAATCTCCGATTGGCATTGAATTAGGGCGGCTGACGGTGGTTGTTTGTTGCCGTCAGCCAAGGCCAGCCATGGCACGTGACCAATAGGAGATTACCTCAGCTCTGAGTCAGCGAGTGGTACCACGTGATCCGGGAAGAAGTCGGACCTCGTCTCAACCTGCATCCTTGACGAAGAAGCACTCCGAACGTCGGTATCTCCAACCACTACCTTCTCTCCCCCTCCTTGAGGCTCTTCTCCCTGCCAATTGCACAATGATGTCCTCTCGCTTCGCCCGCGCTGGCCTGCGTGCCACCCAGCAGTTCTCCGCTCCTCGCACAGCCGCCGTCAACGGCCTGCGGTCCTATGCCACCCCGGCCCAGGATGTCCGCCCTCCCGTCGCCCTGTTCGGCGTTGATGGCACCTACGCCACTGCTCTGGTATGCACCTCCATTGCCTTTTCAGCTTTCCTTCGCGACCGTGTCCTTTGTCGCGACTTCCGTCTTCCCCCGAAGCCCCTCCGAGGGCTCTACCCCCTCGTGTTGGAATCAATCTTGAATCTTCATCAAAGCGCTATACCGAATTAGGATCTCCCTCTAACACCCTTTTGCTTAGTACACTGCTTCCACCAAGTCCTCTGCCCTCGACCAGACCGCTCGTGCCATCGCCAACCTCGGCGAGACCCTCCAGGCCGACAAGAAGCTCGGTGGCATCCTCAGCGCCCCTACCCTGAGCAACGCCGACAAGGCCTCCATCGTCCAGGAGCTCGCCAAGGTCTCCGGTGACAAGGGTGAGATCCTCAAGAACTTCCTCGAGACCCTTGCCGAGAACAACCGTCTCGGTTCCCTCGAGGGTGTCTGCGAGAAGTTCGCTACCCTCATGAGCGCTCACCGCGGTGAGATCGAGCTCAACATCACCAGTGCCCAGGTGCGATAATTCTTAAAGCTCAGTTTCTGAGTAACCACAAAAAGAAGAAAATGACAATCTAATTGTTTGCAGGAGCTCGACACCAAGACCCTCAACCGTCTCGAGAAGGCCGTCTCCAAGTCCGAGTTCAGCCAGGGCAAGAAGCTCAAGGTTGTTGCCAGCGTGCGTACATCAATTCTATTGTCTGTTGACCAAAACTAATGAACTGCCACAGGTCAACCCCGACCTCCTCGGTGGTCTCGTCGTCGAAGTCGGTGGCCGCAGCATCGACCTGAGCGTTTCCTCCAAGATCGCCAAGATGAACAAGGCTCTCACCGATGCCATTTAAATGTAAATTAGCCTGTGTTTGGGGGGATGTTAGACTAGCATATCGTCCCGGATGAACGGTAGCGTTCGTGGAAGGGACAGCGGGATTTTTCAGATTCCCTTGAATCCTTCATTTTGTTTTGTTCTCATTACCTGTCAATTGCACAAATTCATCCACTATTGAGATAGTTAATCGTAGCGTGGAGTAAATGAGTACATTGAGAATTGCTGATATAGCTAAGTTACTAGCTACTGTACAGCTTAAATCAACTCGTACTTTCGATAACTTACATACTACCAAGAGAACCAACGGGAAAGATATGCGCTGACTGATTTTCAATTGTCTAGTAAAAGCCGTCATATGCATAAGGAAAGATAAGAAAGTACTCCGAGAATATGACTCTGAATAGGAAATGCAAGATGTAACGTTAAATCATGAACTGAACTCAAGACGGAATCATTAAATCGTGTCCAAACGCAACCAAATGGGAACATGACCAGTCAACAAAACAAACAAAAGAAATGAACAACATTATCAGAAAGAGACACAGAAAAAGGCACATATTTCGATTACTTGTGTCCGTTCTGTCCATTTCCATTCTCCTTGTCAACCTTCGTCTCAAACTCATCTTCGTAAGCGGCAATCGATGCGGAGCTGCGCACACGCTGCAGTTGGCTAGCGACGTAGTGGTTGATGTGTTCTTCGTCGCGCGGGTCAGTGCTGCCACGACGGCTGCTGGCGTGACTACCTCCACGGCTGACGCCGCGACTGAAGCTGGGCTCATCATCTTCGTCGTCGACGACAGTTGAGGCGGCAGGGGTTGCTTCACCTGAGTAGAAGTCACTACGGTTGCCAATTGAGCGAGTCGTCGATGAGCGGCGGATAGATGGACGGTTTGAGCCGCGAGGTCTGCCCGAGCGGGAGTAGATATCATCAAAATAGTGGGATGCGGCAGCGAAGCCGGCGCGGGGTGTTTGCGGGAGACGGCAGTTGACACCTGTGTCGTGGATGATCTTGGCGATCAATCCGGTCCAGCCGCACTGGTGTGATGTGCCGAGACCGCGGCCTGTGTCACCGTCGAAGAACTCGTGGAACCAGAGATGGTCTTTCCAGTGCTCGTCGAAGTCGAGGAGGTCTGAGCCGGCATTGACGGCGCGGCGGCCTTCGTCGTTGCGAGCGAAGAGATGCTGCATACGGTGCTGCAGTTCTTCGGCTACGTGACCCAGGTGCATGTAGTCGCCGGAGCCCTTGGGGCATTCCACTTCCAGGGAATCACCATAGAACATGTAGAAGCGGAGGAGGGACTCAACCAGCAGGAAGTTGACGCAGAGCCAGATAGGGCCGCGCCAGTTACTGTTACCACCGAAGAGACCGCTGTCCGAATCTCCGGGGACGTAGGCGACCTTGAAGGTTTGGCCGTTGACATCCATGGAATAGGGGTTCTTTTCGTGGAACTTGGACATGGAACGAATACCGTGCTCGGACAGGAATTCAGTCTCGTCAAGCATGCGCTCGAGGATCTTGACCAAACGGTCTTTGCTGACAAGTGCCAGGAGCAGTCGATCATCCTTACCACGGTGCTTCATACTAGCGATGTTGCGCTCGGCGATATCTGGCCTGTTCTCAATGAACCACTCTACTCGTCGCTTGAACGACGGGAATTTATTGATAAGCTCAGGCTCGAGAGTGAGCACAGCGTAGAGAGGAATCAGACCAACAAGAGACCTAATAGGCAGCTGCTGGGTCCACGGGCCACCGTATGAGATGGCATCGTAGTAAAAGCTATCATCCTCATTCCAGAGCGACTGAACGGTGTCATCTCCATTACGGAAAGTCATGGCATCACTGATGAGCAGGAAGTGCTCGAAGAACTTGGAGGCAATATCCTCATATGTGCGACGGTGCTTAGCCAATTCCAAAGAGATGTTCAGCATGCACAGACAGTAAAATGCCATCCAGCCAGTGCTGTCGGCTTGCTCAAGGACACCACCAGTGGGCAATGGCTCGGAGCGGTTGAACAAGCCAATATTATCGAGTCCCAAGAATCCACCTTCAAACACGTTCTTACCACCCGAGTCCTTGCGGTTCACCCACCAGGTGAAGTTGAGCAACAGCTTCTGGAAGACACGTTCCAGGAAGTCCAAGTCCTGGCGACCGTACATCTTACGCTCGATCTTGAAGGTACGGAACACAGCCCAGGCATGCACGGGTGGGTTCACATCTCCGAAGTTCCACTCGTAGGCAGGCAACTGGCCGTTAGGGTGCATGTACCACTCACGAGTGAGTAGATCGAGCTGCTTCTTCGCGAAGTCGGGATCCATCATAGCCAATGGAATACAATGGAAGGCAGTATCCCATGCAGCGAAGAAGGGATACTCCCAAGAGTCAGGCATCGACAGGATATCATCAATGTATAGATGACGCCACTGCTCATTGCGAATGCCCTTACGGCCTGCAGGAGGAGGGATCTCACTCGGGTCACCATTACTCCATTGGTCCCAGACGAAGTTGTAGTACTGCTTGCACCACATCATTCCGGAGAAAGCCTGACGCTGGATGTTGCGAAGATCATCACTCATGGGGAGAGGGTTGATCCGGTAGTAGAAGTCATCGGCCTCGGCACGACGTTGCTCGATAACATCGTCCACGACTTCTTCGTCGACAAAGTCTTCCTTCTTGCGGGACACACGGAAACGGACGACAGCACACTCACCAGGGGGACTCCCTCGCCCTGGTTGAAGGCATACCATGCAGCAAACTTGGTACCTTCATTGTCTGGGTTGATGGCACCCTTCTCTTCCTCAACAATGTGACGATGGAACGCATCCTTCACATATGGAGTCTCATTCTCGGTATCCCAGAGCTTCTTGTGGTTCGTTTCATTGTCAGTGAACATCAACTGAGGCTGGATATCGTCATCGCTTGAGCCGACAGGAGGCGACGGAGCAAAAGATATGTATCGCTCGCCAATCTTGGCATGGTTGGACTTGGCGTGCAATGCGCCATCCTGCTTGATGCAAGGCTTTTCCTCCTTCTTCTTTTCCTCACCCCAAGACCAGGTGTTGCGGAACCAAACATGAGGAATAATGTGAAGCTTCGCCGGCTCTGGACCACGATTGTATGCAATGACACGGAAGATCAGTTCGTCCTCGTCATCGGCTTCCTTGGCAGTCTCGATGAAAATGTCCCAGTAACGGTTCTCCTCAAAGATACCCGTATCCAAGATCTGGTACTCAGGCTCCAAACGCGAACGCTTGGCATTCTCATCGATAAGGTCCTGGTACGGGAACTTCCTCTGAGGGTATTTGTAGAGAAATTTCATATACGAGTGCTGTCTGGGTTAGCCGGCGACACAGGAATCGGGGCGACGTGCAACCTACCGTCGGGGTATTGTCCAGATGGAAATGAGCTTCCTTGACACTCTCACCATGATTTCCCTGAGGATTGGACAGACCGAACAGGCGTTCCTTCAAGAAATCGCTGATCCCGCAATTAGTTTCCCCAGATCTGGACCCACCAGGAGAGCTTGGACTTACTCTTCTCCATTCCAGAAAGCAAAGGCGATGTTCTGCAGCGCATGGGTATCCGAGACACCGGCAATACCATCCTCACCCCAGCGAAAGGTCCGTGAGCGTGCATGGTCGTGGGTGAAATCTACCGGGTCAGCCGTTTGTCGTCTTCATTGCAGACTTTACTCACAACTCCAGGCATCACCATCCTCGGAATAATCCTCTCTCACGGTAGCCCATTGGCGCTCAGCGACGTAGGGACCCCATTTCTTCCAGTACTTGGTTCTCTCGCGGTCTTCCTTGAGACGTTTCTCTTCCTCAGTGAGGAACTCATGGCCATCGATTAAAACCATGATGGAATGGTCAACGACGGGGGGAATTGAGAGAAAACGACCTGACCAAAGACTCTGAAAACTACACAAAAAATGGAACAAAAAGGTGAAAAGAAGCTGGCGGGAAGAAGAAGAAGAGAAGAACAGGGAATGGGGGAGGGGCAGACTGCTCCGCCCACGAGCTGCCCCCAGTGGTGACAGCTCCACCCGAAAAGAGCTTTGGGGGACTTTTGACCAGCCAAAAAACAGGAATGACGAAGTGGATGGGTTTGATAGGCCTGTGATTGGCCGAGTCGGAGGCCCATTGCATTCTGGGCTCGGGTCTGCAGCGGATATAAGATGTTGCACTATTAACGTCGGATCTATACTAGAATCTATACTAGAACCTATCGAATCGATACAATCGATACAATTTCTACTAGAGCTCGAGGTTCACGTTTACTAGACTCAGTCCATGTAGCATGAAAATAGCATCACATTCAACATAAGGGCAATTTCGCACAATTACGCCAACCTCCAAAGAGGAGAGGGGTTCTCAAAATGCATATCAAAGAATCAAAAATCATCCCAAAACCACGCCGACTGGAACGCGTCTATCTGACGCGGCGCGGGTCTACATATCTCATAGATCTTCCGAAGCTCCAGTCTTCAAATATCGCCAAGGGGTCTGGTGGCAGAGTTAGACCGAATTGTCTCCTCGCTGCTCCGGCTGCTTGTCGGGTCCCTGGGACGCTGTTTCACCGTCAGAACCCGCCCGAACCGTTCTAGCCCTGGGCTAACCGATCAGGACGAGCGCTCACCGGCTGTCTGACCTTCCTCCCGTCGTCGGGAGCTGTTACCGGTCGCACCGGTCTGCTGCGACTGGAGGCGCCTCTCCGCCTCGCGAATGCGCTGCTGCAGCTCTTCCAGTTCACGACTCTGGATCATCATTTGCTGTTTCCTGTGGGTGGGGCGCGATTAGCGCCCGGTAAATGCCAACAGTCGCTTGCGCTGCGACGAGATGCGGAATGGCGTCCACCCGCGCGACTTACTTCTGGTCGATAGTCTGGGACAAGTTGTTGACGTCCGAGTCAAGCATGAAGGCGCTGTCCAGCGCCGAGGAGAAGGCTTGGGCCATGGTCCTAGGTCACTATTAGTGCCATGTTGAGAACCAGCGAGGGATCGAGGGGGACGAACGACTGCGGGCGGACCTTGGGCTTCCACTCTCGATCCATGTCAGACATGTCAGACATGATGTTTCTGAATGTGAAGGGTGCTAGCACGGGCCGCTGTTGGGACCCCAGAGGGATGTAAGATGGTCGACCGAGGGATGTGCAACCGGAGGGGCACAAGGCGTGTTGATGTTGAGATAGCCGATGTGGGATATGTCGAGACAAAGACCAGCCGAAAGTCGTACGCACGGGTATAACTCTGGGGAATGCGATGTCAGCGTTTTCAGCCTTTATACTTATGCGCCACGATCGGGTGGGGAGGTCAATACCAGAGGTATAGAGACGGTTTAGCGTATTTGACAAGACCACGGGAGACGAAAGCCAGCAGAGGGAGAATGAAGAGGAAGATGAAGAAGATGAAGAAGATGAAATTGAAGGAGAGATGATCCTTGAGTCCACTCTGTTACTAGTCGCGGTAATTCGAGTCCCATATCCACCGCAAGGAGACAGCTGAGTGTTACGGTATTTGCCTTACACAGGGGTCTGATATGCCCATCTATAAGGGGTTCAGGGGTTAGCCCCTCTTAACCTGGAGAACAAAAAAAAAAGGGGGAGCCATTTGTGCAGTAGAGTAATGAATGGATCACACTCCTCATGATTGGGTGAAGTGGAATTATTAAAATGACCAAGGGCCCCCATATGGGTTCTATTGCCCAAGTGTACAGCTAACTTGACTTACAGGAGAGGTGTATGCGAGCTCTCCAAGCTGTGAACCCCCCGTTTCCAGGTACGGTAACGGACACACGTGACTCCACATGACGTAGACGTGCGGCGACTGCCAAGACCCTCTACATGGAACAGTTTCGTCGTTTCTTCGTTTCTTTGCTTTTCTGGGTTTCGTGTGAAGGCTTCTTCTTCGATGAATGGGTGATCATGTTGAGATAACGGGGCTTCCCCAGGGACATATTTCCAGGAAGCTCGGTGGCCAAGTGCTTCCTCTCCGATTCTCCCTTGCCTTTCCTCTCATAAGTGAACGTTAATACTCAACCCAATCGGGTCGGCATCTATGACGAGCAGAATACAACATAGTCGCAGAACCCGGTGATCGATGGAATGGGATCAAAGCTGACAGTGCAAATAACCCACTCAGAGCTCCTAGCTGCTTTGGGCCATGTGAAATCTTGTGTCTTTACTGACTGAAAAGAGAAGTATGCATCAGCTCTTCTAGCTTCTCGTGGTGTTGCGGGCAGGACCGGGATCTATAGATAGGGGCAGCAGTACCTTTTTACTGTGTGCCCTGGGAAAAGTCCTCAAATGGTAACGCTATAGCTGAATAACTACTGCACAGTACCCAACATCAATGGTGGAATAAGTGTCCAATTTCGCCAGGGGCAGTCACTCTGTGCATAGTAGGTAACAAGTCTCTCATTATATTACGCTAAGTTATGAGACATGGAACAAATGTCAGAATGAAAGGAAAATAGCAAGCCTATACGTGAAATCTAGATTGCTCAGGATGTGAAGTATAAACATTGCATGTGAAGTGATGCCCTATTCGGGAGGTAGACGCGTGAGGTGGCTTGACGTGGCCAAGTCGTTTGTCTACGCCCTATGCGAAGTTCACGAAGCACAGATACCATCTTGTTTGCATAACTCATGCAATATTCAAGAACTGAATATGCAGTCACTTTCTAGAATACAAAATATAGTGTAGATCTGGCATTCTGACGTCTGCCCGGCAACCAGCCCAGACAGGGTCACCTGACTAACGTTCTCAGACCTTGGCCAACTTCCCCTTCCAGACCTCTTTTTCATCAAGACTCGCCAGTGATTTTCATTTCTAGGCCTATTTGCCTGTTTGAGACGCGTGTGTTTGTGGTATTCTGTTGTGGGCGCCATTTTTGGGAATTTTTACTCCTTTTTTTTTCTCCCGCCCGGATGGATTAAAGGCTCCGCATACAGGGGATCGATCCAGTCTGTCGCGTTCGCCTTTCCTTTCCAGGCCACCTAGATCTGGACACCTGAATCGACCGATAAGACCGAAAACTCAACCTGACACATCTACCCTTTATCCGTTTCGCCAACCACCGTGGCCCCCATCCTCAAATCTTTCCCCCCCAGTGGCCGACCGGACGGGCTATGGGGGATGCCTCCATTGTCGGCATACACTTCGTTTGAGTCGCTGCTCTTCTTCCAGTCGCTAGCGATCTCGGAAACCGCACCAACAAGCTTTGGGTCCATCTCAGAGCTCTTGCGCAATAACCCGTTAGTTCGTGAGAATGTCGAATTCAATGCGGATCGCCTGACACCAGAGGCGCTGGAAGACCTGTATGCGACTCTGATGCGCGATGGGTTTAAGAAAGAGGCCGTACTTCCAGTCAATGGTCGACCGACAGAGACCTTGAGCCCGCCAAACCCGAAGAAACGCAAGATATCGAGCCCGCGACCAGAGGCATTAGCTGCCGGGGCTTCACATGCCGCGCTTATTCCCGAATTGGTGGCACACTTGTACGCCAAATACAGAGACCTTGTGACCAGAGAAATCAGGGACGATGAGAAGCAGTACACCGAGATCAGAGCGGAACTGGAGCGTTTACAGAAGGAGGACGAGCAACCCACAGAACCGACACCATCCAGGCCTGCAAAGGTAGCACACACGGAGCTCACGGATATTGATGTAAAAGAAGAACACCTCGGCCAAAATATACAAGATCGGACAAGCAAGCCTCTTGCAGCTACGGTTCCGCACGTGCAGGACAAGCCAGCTCCACCAGAACCGCGACCACAGCGTATTGAGGTAAATGTGCCTCCTCCAAGTCAAGACATCCCGAAGGCCCAGCCAGCTCCTGTGAGCCAACCACAAGTTCAACCACAAGCGCAGACTCCTGCGCCCAAAGCCCCAGGGGCTGGACAGCCACAACCACCGGCCGCCAATATCCAAGCCTTGGCAAAACCGCCTGTTCAGCCCCAGCTTGCTCCCTCTGCTCAGAAGCCACCTACCACACCCGCTGGAGCGCGTATAACACCGGCTCATCCTTCGCAAATCGCACCTCGCGCCCACCCTACGCCTACACCCCTCTCTAGCAAGCTTGGTCCTGCACTCCCGCCGGCGCCTCAGCGCACTCCAGCACAGCCGAGCTTCCAGCAATGGCAACTCGACCCTTCTCCACACTCTACCTACTCCGCTATTTCTCCGGGCACTGCTACTCCCCAAGCAGCTCAAGCCAATATTAAACGACCTGTTCCACCTCTCTCCGCCAACCAACCAGCACCAGGATCGCAGGCTCCTGTATCATTCCAATCTCCTTTCCCAAGTACACCTGGTGCGGTTTCTGCTGTACAAACCCCCGTCCCAATCGGCCGGCCCCGCATCTCTCAAACACCAAGTTCCACATTCCCTTCATTCTCTGAATCGCGTGCTTCTCATCCGCGGCTCTCCATTGACACGCAAGGCTCTTCAACGCCATGGAAAAGGACTCCTCTTCTAAGTATTCCGAAGTCCCCACCCACACCTCCACGTCCACTGCCTGAGGATGTCAGCCCGATCAGTGACAGGGGGCAATCGCCAATCGATGCGATGGACATGTCACCTCCTCCAAGGCTGAACCGCGCGCAACGAGCCCGATCCCCCGAGGACAAGAAACCTCGGCGTGGCCGTGCTGACAGCAAGTCCGCTGCTAATGTCAAGATTGAGAAATCGGAGAAACCAGCTTCGACCCGAAGGACTCGTGCTGTGAGTTCGGTCTCGTCCCAGAGTCGTGGACGATCCCTGGCTTCCCGTGGTGAATCCCCTATTCCTTCAGAGCGGACAACGAGCCGCCGCAAGGGTGCGGCTGCTACTGTGAACGAAGATACCCCCAAAGCTCGTTCCAAGCGCAAGCGCGGGCCAAGTGAAGCTTTAGAACAAGAACCCCACCCTTCCGATATTCCGAAGTTTGACACAACCCAATATGTCATGGCCACGCGCAATTTCCACCGAACTGCTGCTCCTATCATGAATGATGTATCTACTCATAAGCTCGCCTCCATCTTCAGCAAGCCAATTGGCGAGCGTGACGCACCTGGCTACCACGACCTCATCTACCGCCCACAAGATCTCAAATCTATTAAATCTGCCGTCCATCAGGGCAGCAAAGCAGTCGCTACGGCCGCCGAATCCGTCAGTACCCCTGCCGGAGATGGAGAGTCTCCTGCTCCCGGCAGTACACCGTCGTCCAAGAATGGCCTTCTTGTGTTGCAGAAGAATGAAGATTTCGTACCACCAAAGGGAATCGTCAATTCCGCACAATTGGAAAAGGAATTCATCCGTATTTTCGCCAACGCCATCATGTTCAACCCCATCCCCCAGCGCGGATTCGGACCTGCTTTCCCCATGACCAGTGACCGTGGCTCACGCGAAAGCACTCAAATGGGCGATAGCGACGAGGGTGGTATTATTCATGATTCACTGGAGATGTTCGGAGATGTCGAGCAAGCTGTCACTAGGTGGCGTGCTGCTGAGCGGACTGCGGACGAACTAGCCAACAAGAACATTCTTTCCCTTCGTCGTGGCAGCGCCAGTGATTTCAACACTGACAGTACCGATGATGTGAAAGGCTGATTCTTCGCTGATTCTTCATTCACTATTGTATTATGACCTTTGTATTCGATTAGAACCCTGTATGTCTTCTGACTTTTTTTTGGAAATGAATTAACATGATGTCTCCCGCTGGTGCCTTCGATAGCCCAGCAATTTTTAATAGCTGTTTTCCTTCGGATCTGTCTCCATTGCTAGAAGCCACTGCTTGAACCATGGCAAATGATGGGCGTACTTCTTTACAATCACCCCTCAAATATGAGCAAGGACTTTAGACTCTTCATGGAAGAGCACCAAAGAGATTGCGTTTCCCACATAAACATGCTCATGAAAAGAAAACCGTGTATATCATTGTCGTGACTTCCCAAATCAGAGCCAGTCCTGCTGCCCTGAGTCTATGTATGGGGGGTATATACTTTCTAAAATTCTAGACGAGCCAAACAGGCACATACACTCGAGATGGTTCAAATCCCAAATCAAGTAGCCTGCTCCGGCCTCGTCCGACCGAGTCCTTCCTTCGCATAAAAGTCCATCGGATACACGCCCTTGTTCCCCTTATCCCAGTTCTCACGCACACCCAGTGCAATCAATGCCTCGTACGGTGTCAGCAATGGCCGCTGGAATGCATAGCCCCAGTCAATGCTTAGACGCGGACAGGCAATCTGCACCCAGCACTCCACATCTGCCATGGAGGCTAGCTTGCCCGGGAAGATCTCGCTTAGTAGGAGGTTCACGACGGGAATACCGCGCTCGCTCAGGTGCTTCTCGATCATCGCCATCGTGTTAGGGTTACCCTGTCTTCCCAGGGATCCAAGAATGATACCCCATTTGCGAGCGGTTTGAGCTGTGGCGATGGCATCGCGGCGAATGGTGTGCATTTCCTCGTGCTCGTAGCTCTCGCGTGTGAGGGTGCGCGAGTAGGGATCGTAGCGGTAGGCTGGGATTGTGGGATTGTGAATCATGGCTGATTCAAGGTGGAAGCGACCATCGCCGAGGTAGAGGATTGCGTCAATTTCTGTATCGGCCAGTTGGGGTGATGTGCAGCCGAGGATCTCGCCTTTCGAGAGGGGTGTGATTTGCGGGATGACAACGCGGAAGCCGGCGCGCTCGAGGACTGGCTTGAGACCGTGGAGGGTGGCGTTGAATTGGATTGTGCCGACTGTTGCAATGCTTTGGCCAGGCTTGAAGTTGCGCTCAAGGGTGGCTATCAAATGGGTTGTGTCGATGCTGATGTCCACAAAGATATATAGGGTTTTGATTTTTGTTACGTCCACTGGAATCAGGCAACTGTGTGCGTAGTGCACGAGCAGGTCACAGCCCAGAGCTCTTGCGGTATAGTCATCGATACAGCATGCGCCGTAAGTAACATCGCCCATGATTAGGGTTTCGATGCCCGGGCAGAACTGGGTCAGGATATCGGAGATGGTTGTCGCGAAGATGAGGAGTCCTTCCGGAAATTGGAGGGCCACGCGCTTCGCACCTGATGTGCGGACTCGGTGGATTGTTTTGGGGATCTCAAAGGAGTAGTTCTTGGGCAGAAGTTCCATTGCTTCTTGGATTTCGGGATCATTCAGAATTTCCGGCGGGACTTGATTGAGAGTACGAGGGGTTCGTCGCGGGGCAGCTGAGAGGAAATGAAGATCAGTATATGAGTTTGAAGGGACCTAAGGAAATCCAAATACCAGTCTGCACCGCTGTAGACTCGACATCCTTGCCCGCAGTGTCTTTTTGGGCTTGGGCATCCGCGGTTCGTCGTCCAACAAATCTTTTCTTTGGCTGGCGCAGTTGGCTAGCAGCTGGCTGAGAGCCGTCCTCAATAGAGGTGGCAGGAGGCTGTGAATCCATGATAACCGAAAACGAAAAGTGAATATCTACAGAAATCGCAGACAGTCACAGATCGATTGATCATCCCACTTCTTTTTTTTGGCTGAGTCAGGAGGGGTGGTGATCACTAGTCCAAAAGAGGTAAGGCGCTCTCCGCATCTCGGCCTCCATTCCACAGCTCCTCCGCCTTCTCCAGCTATTTCTTGCACAATTGTTGCTTTATTGGCTATATCCCCTGGCTGACTTGTGATAATGATCGCTGCCCGCCCCCGATTGGGTTTGTTTTCAGCGCTGCGTGCCTCTCCCTACACGCGCCGCTTTGCGACTGATTCGCGGTTAACCTCGGACCATGTCCGCATCGTGGAGGTCGGTCCTCGAGATGGACTGCAGAACGAGAAGAAGTCCATCTCGATGGATACAAAGCTGGAGCTAATTCGCCGACTGGCCACGACCGGCGTCACTACTATCGAGGCCGGTTCATTTGTCCCCGCCAAATGGGTACCACAGGTAGGATTGCACCGAGTATCGCCGTACAGCTCTGCAGTGACTTCAAGACTAATCTCGGTTCATCGCAGATGGCAAGCACATCGGAAATTTGTGAGCATTTGCTCACTACACCGCCGAAATCGCAAGATACGATCGCATACAACTATCTTGTTCCTAACATCAGAGGATTGGAGAGCCTAGTGAAGATCATGGATACCACAGGCGTTCCCGCCGATGCGACTGGGTCAACATCGAAGGCTGCTACAACAACCGAGGTCTCTCTTTTTGCAGCAGCCACTGAAGCATTCTCGCAAGCCAATACCAACTGCTCAATTGCCGAGTCACTTGAGCGAATTAAGCCCATTGTCTCACTAGCAAAGACGAAGGATATCCGAGTCCGCGGTTATGTCTCGGTCGCCCTCGGGTGCCCCTATGAGGGCCCGGGCGTGGATCCTGTCAAGGTCGCCGAGATCACTGCCACTCTGCTTGAAATGGGAGCGGATGAGGTTTCGGTTGCGGATACCACTGGTATGGGCACTGCGCCGCGCACCATGGAGCTTCTCCTCGCACTCAAGGCAGCTGGTATTGCAAACACAGATTTGGCTCTGCATTTCCATGATACCTATGGGCAAGCCTTGGTGAACACAATCGTTGGCCTGGAGCATGGTGTTCGCATCTTTGATAGCAGCGTCGGCGGTCTTGGTGGCTGTCCGTATTCCAAGGGCGCAACAGGAAATGTGTCGACAGAGGATCTTGTCCACACAGTTCATAGCCTGGGAATGCACACGGGGATCAGCCTGGAGGAGATGTCAAAGATTGGATCTTGGATCAGCGAAGAGTTGGGCCGGGCTAATGGGAGCCGCGCTGGAAAAGCGACTGTCTCTCGTCTCTCGACGGAAAAGGCATCCCTTTAGTCGCCGTAGCATGTCCTGATTATCCGAATTCTGTGCTCCTTGTTAGTTTGATACTTTAGCATGTATGCCAAACATCGCAACATCCGTACAATATGCTTTTTGATTCAACAGTTCAGGCCATCTTGTTATGTACACTGTAGGCGGAATTATTATAAATTGCCCACCCACTCCTCCCGAAACGGAGACTTATATTCTTCAAGAAATACCAACGCCGGCATGATGCAAATGTCCCTGGCCAACTTGTCCTCACTTAGAAATCAGTGACGCGACCTCCGTAACTCCAATCACCCGCAGATCCCCAACGGAGAGGCTCATTCTTGGGTCCCCCAACCTCGCCAGTCTTGGGGTTTGTCTCGCCCTCGAATTCGGGCATCAGTTTCTTCGGCGCATCGGGGTGCAGTTCGCCACCTTTGCCGTCGGCCTGGATCTCACCCTGCGGGGACTGGTTGACCTGGGGTGTGCTGAATGCTCCAGTCGACTGCTTCTGGAGCTTTTCAAAGATCTCTTGTTCCTCTTTAGGGAGGCGCGGGGGAGCCGGCGAATTGGAGAATGGCATAGGCTTGTCGTCGGCTTGGCACAGGATCCGGGTTGTGGAGAGTGGTCGGACAGCGCGCCCGATGGGGACAGAGAAAATTGAACGGCGAATAGCAAGTGAGAAAGACATTGTGTATGAGGAGTATGATATGTCCAGTGAGGTGAAGTTGGGGAAGTTCGGGAATGTTTTGAGTCACTCCGAGTGACTAAGAGCCGATCCCGATATCGCCTTTTTCTCCCGGATCTGATTAGAACCGTTTGATCTTCACCTCCTTGTACATTCGGCTTTTTTTTTTTTTTTTCGTTCATACTCGTCTTGAATATATTCGCCATGTCTGCTATTCGCATGGCCGCGCGCCGTCTGCCTCGCGCATCTAAGCTGGTCCCTGCCCTTGAATCACCAGTGCGCCGATTCACCACTGCCAATGTGGCCAAGGCACAGGTACGCAGGCTCACTATAGTCCACAATCTTCTCCAGCGTAAGAGTTAACAATGATACAGAAGGTGGCTGTCCCGAATCCCGATCCTTCGGCAGACTCAGTTACTGCCTCGTTCATCAACGAGCGGGCTCCGTTCATGGTCCCGACCTACGTTCGCCCAGCTCCCATGATGATGAAGGGACAGGGCTGCTACTTGTGGGATATGGAAAACCGCCGCTATTTGGACTTGACTGCAGGAATTGCCGTCAATTCTCTCGGTCACTGTGACCCCGAGATCGCCAAGATCATTGCTGAGCAGGTGCGCTACAATGCTCCATGAGTCAATAACGATCAATTGCTAACTGCGATACTCAATTGCAGGCTGAGACCCTCATCCACGCCTCCAACCTTTATCACAACCCTTGGACCGGTGCTCTGAGTCAATTGCTCATTGAGTTGACTCAGAAGTCCGGTGCTATGCGCGATGCGTCCCAGGTCTTCATTTCCAACTCCGGTACGGAGGCCAACGAGGCCGCCATCAAGTTCGCCCGCAAGGTCGGCCGCACCTTGAACCCCTCCGGTGAGAAGCATGAGTTTGTGTCCTTCAACGGCTCATTCCACGGCCGCACAATGGGTGCCCTCTCAGCCACACCCAACCCCAAGTACCAGACCCCCTTCTCTCCCATGATCCCCGGCTTCAAGTACGGCGATTACAACCAAATCGACCAGCTCCAGACTCTCATCACTGATAAGACCTGTGGCGTTATCGTCGAGCCCATCCAGGGTGAGGGTGGTGTCAACAGCGCTACTCCCGAGTTCCTGGTTGCTCTGCGCAAGCGCTGTGACGAAGTCGGCGCTGTCCTGATCTTCGACGAGATCCAGTGCGGTCTGTCCCGTACCGGTTCCCTCTGGGCTCACGCCCATCCTTCTCTCGCCCCGGCCTCCGGAGAAGCTGCCCACCCCGATATCTTGACCACCGCCAAGGCCCTTGGTAACGGTATCCCTATCGGTGCCACCATTGTCTCCGGCAAGACTGTCGGCCAGCACATCAAGACTGGCGACCACGGCACCACCTTCGGCGGTAACCCTCTGGCGTGCCGTGTCGCTCACCATATTGTTGAACGTCTCGCTGAGCCTGAGCTCCAGCAGTCTGTCAAGGATAAGTCTGCCCTCTTCGTGTCTGGCTTCGAGGCCCTCCAGAAGAAGTTCCCTGGCGTGATCTCCGAGATCCGTGGCCGTGGTCTCATCCTGGGTCTCCAGCTTGCCCCCGAGTTCACCGCCAAGGCTGGTGATATTATAACCGCTGCCCGTGAGCGTGGTATGCTGATCATCACTGCTGGCGAGGGCTGCATCCGTTTTGTCCCTGCTTTGACGATCACCGAGGACCAGATTCAGACCAGTCTGCGCATCCTTGAGCAGGCCATGGAGTCGGTCGTGAAGGCATAAACACCTTGATCTGAATGCCGCCTATGACTTTGTTTTCGTGATATATACCATGGATGTTATTATTTTCTGTATAGACATTTAGAGCGAAAGAAAAGTGACTTTGTTTTACTGTGAACAGTTGACGCGTTTGGGACGGAAAGGCGGTGGACCCCGTGGAGCTGTGGAGATAAGGACTCGTCACTCCAGTTGTCTCCGTAAATCTGATACAACCCCCCTAAAGCCATGAACTTCTTCGTGACTTCTCTGTAGCATCTCCCAAACGCAACTTTCGAATGCCTCAGCCTACATCTGGCGAGGACGCCCCGTCGTTTCCCTCCCAAGAGCAACCATCCCTCTGGTCCCGTTTCAGTGCCCGCATCAACGATGCATTCAGCGGTGCAGACCCACGAGTCTGTGTCGCTTTCTGGCTCTTCGGTGCGCATTCTTTGAGTAGCTTCACCCGTCCAGTTCTATGCTTATACATTACACAGGCTTGGTCAATAATGTCATATACGTGATTATCTTATCAGCAGCTGTAGATTTAGTCGGACCCGATGTACCCAAAGGCGTCGTCCTCCTCGCAGATGTGATCCCTTCGTTTGCGACCAAATTGGTCGCCCCGTACTTTATCCACCTGGTCCCGTATTGGATGCGCATCTTGATCTTCGTCTTCCTGTCTTCCGTGGGCATGCTAGTCGTGGCGATGAGCCCCAGCTATACTGACGGAGGAGCCATAGCGTCGAAGATTGCGGGTATTATTCTGGCTAGCTTTTCCAGCGGCGGCGGTGAGCTGAGCTTCGTTGGTCTCACGCATTTCTATGGGCCCTTTAGTTTGGCTTCATGGGGCAGTGGCACCGGTGCTGCTGGTTTGGTGGGTGCTGGTGCCTATGCCTTGGCAACTTCGGCATTAGGTTTCTCTGTTCATGTCACGCTGCTGGTCTCAGCGTGTTTACCGGCCATCATGATTATCAGTTTCTTTGTCGTACTCCCTCACGCTCCTCTGCGAGCTTCTGAGGCCGGTGCTGATAGATATCGTGTTGTTGAGGGAGGTGAGCAAGTGGAAGAAGATGAGATGGACGGGGAGAACGAGGGATTGCTCGGTTTGTCACACAGTGGCACAAGCATCCCCAAGTCGGGGCATGTCAATGACGAAGATCCGTGGCTGGACCGGGCTCTCGCAAATTTGCGCCGTGTCAGAGGGCTTTTTATCCCCTTGTGAGTACAACATTTGGAAGCCTCTCAGACGCATTATAGCGTTATTGCAAGGACTGACGGATTTATCCAGCATGGTTCCAATGCTGCTAGTCTACATTGCCGAGTATGTCATCAACCAAGGAGTTTCTCCTACTTTACTTTTCCCTCTACGCGAATCGCCCTTCGAACACTTTCGATCTTTCTATCCGACCTATAATGCCATATACCAGATTGGCGTGTTCGTTTCCCGCTCTTCTACCCCATTCTACCGCATCCACAAGTTATATATCCCTTCGCTGCTGCAGGTTGCCAACCTCGTACTGTTGACCCTCCACGCTTTGTTTGACTTCATTCCCAGTGTGTGGATTGTCTTCATCATCATTTTCTGGGAGGGCCTTCTCGGTGGCGTGGTATACGTCAACACCTTTGCTGAAATTGCCGATCGCGTGCCTAAAGAAGATCGCGAGTTTTCTCTGGGCGCTACCACTGTCAGTGATTCCGGTGGCATATGTATTGCCGGATTTCTCAGTATGGGATGGGAGGTCTGGTTGTGCAATTGGCAGGTTGGCCATGGACGAGACTTTTGCCGACAGAAGACATAGATACCTTAGGGTACTCCTCTGGCCTAGACCCAGATTGAGCATAAACAATAAATTAAGCATAAAAGCATAAAAACACAAAAACCACAACATAAGCACGTGTCAAGAAATGAGTCTCGTGATGTCACGTCACATGTGATCGAGGGGATTCCCCTTGCATGTGATTCTTTGCCAACCGCATCGAGTTGATTGGATTGTCCCAGTGCGAAGCGGAGGATGCCTTGTTCAAGTGACGTGCTGACTGAACTACTGAGACCTGATGGCCCAGCTGGCTTCGCATTCTCTTTGATGCTACCTTCAACCTGTGTATTCCTCAGCTATAAATTGCATGTTGCATTGATGACACTTCAGCCCTAGATTCAGAGATGATCGGTACGTGTGTTCTAATTTCTAGGGGAATACCAAACTAATCTAAATGCAGATCACGTTCTGGGGAGGCCATCCACCCGTTTCCGCAAGATCCAGGTCTTTGCAGTGGTCTCCTTTTGGTCTCTCTACTTGTTAAGGTACGATCATAGATCTAATTCCTATGGCCTGTCAACCCTGACAAGAATCACGACAGAGCAGACAGACATGGCCCACCGTTCATTCGAAAGCTCTCCTCCCGGTTCACTGGGAAGTTGACAACATGGCAGACCACAGTCGTCATCTTCCTATGGCTATATCTTAGCCGAAATTTTGCCAAAATTGTCGGCCTAGAATGCCCGGAGCCGCTAGCGAATATGTACTCACGATCCTTTTTCCGAGCGACATGGATCACCACTGGCTTGGATGCTGGCTTTTGGACAGCGATGAACATCAAACCGAAGTGGCTTCGAGATATTGCATCACTTGTATTCACTGCTTACTATCTCATTGCTGCAGAGCAGGCGGATGAAAAAGTACGCAGGGTGCGAGCAACACTGACACTTGAACATTTGCGGGTGTCTTGGAACAAGGCCACCAGCCCTTACCTGTGGACTCTAGCGAAGCTGTTACGCCCACGGCTTACTCGGTATCCTGCTCGGGCGATCCGTATTCCTCGTCCTGCACAGTCTGTCTACACTGAGCCAGTAAGCGCATGGTTGTACTTTGACGGTCCATTGAGTGCACTGCGTGACCAGACTAGCTTGGTGCTAGATGTCCCGGGAGGTGGATTTGTCGCCATGAGCCCCAGGAACTCCGAAGACAAGCTCTTATCTTGGTCTGGACGACTTAAAGTGCCAATCCTCAGCATTGATTACAAAAAGGCACCTGAGTATGCATATCCGTATGCTCTGCATGAGTGTTATGATGTCTATCATAGCATCGTTGATACGAAGGGCCGGTGTATGGGTCTTGGTGGTGCAGATCGCCCTCGCGTACTGGTAACCGGGGAGAGTGCTGGTGGGAATCTAGCCGTGGGAATGACCCTAATGATTTTGCAGACTGCAATGGGACAAGGATGGCGAGGTGACGACGTGCTTCCAAGTCCTGATGGCTTGGTACTGGGATATCCTGCTCTGAACATGAGAGTTGAGAGCTGGATGAGTGATGAGCAGATGTCACTCATTCAAGACAAGAGCTCGCGCCAAACCAATCGTGGTGTACTCCAACGAAAGCAAGACCAATATCGTAAACTCACGCCATTTACATCTCCAGGCCACTCTGTTGAAGACTTGACAGCGTTATCACCACCGGAGGAGAAGAAGACGAATGTGAAGTCCAAGGTTCAAGAAGATACAGACGTACCTACACAGGCTGCAAAATCGTTGGAGAAGAAATTGGAAAAGAACGAGAACGTGGTCAAAAAGTCTGCTGCCAAAGGAGAAGATAAAGTTACGCCAATCAAGACTCGACTCGCCGTCTCATCCATGATCACTTATGTCCACGATCGGATCCTCACTCCTGAGATGACGCGCGCTATGATTATTTTGTACATTGGACCACATCACCGCCCTGACTTCAACACCGACTTCCTCCTGTCCCCCGTTTTGGCGCCAGATGCTCTACTTGCCCGGTTCCCGAAGACGTATATCATGACCGGTGAGAGAGATCCTCTTGTCGATGACACTGTTATTTTTGCGGGCAGATTGCGCCAGGCAAAGATGCACCAGTTCCGTGAGCGCCAGGATCTGGGTTTAGAAGGCTCCAAACGATCCTTCAACGAGAAGAAATATGTCGAACTCTCCCTAATCCCTGGAGTGTCACATGGATTTATGCAAATGGCTGGTTTCTTCCCTGAGGCGTGGAAGTACATCAACCGCAGCGCCCAGTGGCTCGAGACATTGTTTGAGAATATGGAGACCAATGACTTCAACTCTGATTTACTGAATCCTGGAAGGGCTCCAGGCTCCATCAATTCTCTCAAATGGTCTCGCTCGACGAATCCAGATCCAAGCGCCGTCCGTATTGGACGGAATCACCACCGCAGCTTCACTGGAGAATCTTCGGCTGATGATGATAGACCCTTGGAAATGGGCATGAGCAAAATCACGCCGGCCAATGACAGTGAAAATATTCCTGCATCTAAATCCGAGCATCGAACCCGGCGCAGGAGATCGCGGTCATCTTTCGCTTCTTCCCAGTTCAGGGGATTCACCTCGTTGGGAGATGACAGCAATGCAAAGGATGACTTCATCGCCAAGCTGCGGCATCTAGAAAGAGCTAGTCGACAAGACACCTTCGATCCGGATGAGACAAACAGTGCGCCTGAGAGTCCAGGCGCGTTCCGGCCCCGCGGGCGGAGCATTGCCTCGCTTGATAGTGAGGAGGATCTGTTGGATCGGCGGATGAATGGACTTGCCGGTGGCTTGATGGGGATAGGAGAGGGGGCGCAGACACCTGGACCTTGATACAATATAGAGATACTGATCTATGACCTGTCTATGAATGATCACGTTCAAGCGAAGAAGAATGCATATCTTGAAAGAATTGAATCACTTGAATGGTTTTACTAGTGAGCTACAAACTAAATGGCCGTGAGCTTCGCTGTACTTCAAAACCGGTTGACGTTTCTATACTATTGCCTTTTTCCCCAGATTGCTTCGGTTCATTCAATGAATCATGATCAAATGCTTCTGAAAACATCACATTCAAGCCCAGCAATGCTGATAAGTATATTAGATGGCCTTATTTACACTGGAATGAGATCAAATTTGGCTCATTTGATCGAGAAGCCTAGAGAGCCGCTTTATTCACTTGATCTTAAAATGACTCTATGCAAGCCAGTTCCTTCGCCCCTGTCAACCACCAGGGACACTTGTCACTTCGAAGCGTGCCCAAAATGCAGCCACAGTTGCACCCAGCAAGAGTCGATGTCACACTTTTATGACTGCCCCGAATCAATGCACCTGCCACCGGTGTTACAACCATGGTTGCAAAACCTCTCACCATATGTATTGGGCTCTCTTGACATGGAGTCATACAGCTCTTGGTATACTCCGAAAGATAATTTAACCCCATATAACCTAAATATCACAGCAAGAGAAGCGAGGACAATGATAGCTGGCTCTGTATGGGTGTCATTCATTCCAGCTTGGTGTGATGAAGGATGTCGTACTTACAGGCGTGTTTGAAGGATCGGCGAGTTTCCGGTGGTAATGTACATCGGCTCCATTATAGATCAGCAATTGTATAGTCTCAGTGATGATGATGATGATGTTGTTGTTGAACGATGAAATATGGGCGTTGATGATGTCTGAGGCGAGAAAAGGGTACATGCCAACCCTCAACCTGGCCCTACCTAACTTCCATCTCATTTTGCAACATGCACATCTTTCAGCATCGACACGGATCGATAAAGCCACCTAAAGATCATGTATTTGTTGAATACAGCCCAAGCTATTATCCGGATTCATTATCGCTGACCAAGAAGGTGCCCCAGTTCCAAGAATCCATTGAGGAATCATTCCTTCGTCAAGCCAAGGTTGTTCGTTGCCTTCACCATCCCTTTAACGAAATACGATTGTAACTGGCTGGTTATGGCTTTTCACTAGGTGTTCCAGTTGGGAATTTGATTTCTTTTCTGAGACGATTGTACATTGGATTTCTCCAGGGAGAAAACTTGGAATTGTCAACTTATTCTATGAAACATCAATGCTTCGATTTTCGCCGGGAATAGTCAGATATACTATATTATGAACTATGCGGAATGTGAAATAGTACTCCGTGTCTAACAGGAGGTAAGCAGAAAGAACAGTAGATCAAATGGAGTCGGTACTACAAAGATTGTCCATTGCTGGCCTTTGACAATGCCATAGATTCTAGACTCATACCCCAAAATCAATCAACTCTAAATAATGATCCTAACATAGGAAGGGAACCTGTCAGAAAGCCTCATTTCCCCCATTGGGCATGCGATATGTCATTTTCCCGCGATTTCACCTGTCAAGCGCCCGAGAACGTGGCAAAGTTATTAGCTGCACTCCACTTGCTTGTATAGATGAAATCAGCCCCACACGTGGCGCCCCTCGATCGCTTGTTGTGGAATGGCAAATTGTATTCATATTTTTTTTCACTGTCTAGATTTATTGGCGAAGGGGCGTGTTTACGAGATTTGGTTATGATCTTGAAGCTAAGGACACTGTTCCGTGCATACGTCCCACTTCAATATCATGGCTTTTATTTGGCACCATCGTAACGAAAAGAAACTATGATAACGTCTTTAATACAGATATACTACGCTTCCAGATCAGCCAAGTCTACTTCATCAAGTCTGACAGCTTATTCCCGAGTCCCCCGTCCAATCGGGGAAATTATAGTAGATATTAAGACGCGTCTGACATCCCAGCAGAGATCGACACATCATTTCTTCAGGAACTCGAGGCCTAGGTCCACTTGGGTCCATTCCTAACCTTGGAACAGTATATCATAATAAAATGTAACATCAACATGGCGCTCAGCCGTTTAATACCAAAAGCCCATGCCCACATGCTCGATTGCCAATGCTAAATCCTGGAGATTCGCACATAGAGTCTGTGGTTCATCTTGTTAAAGATGATAGCCACTGGGAACTTTGGTCCTGCGCCTCCTGGCATTGATATCTCTGAAAATCAGCAAGCTCGTATGCTAGGCGCGGTCGTCTCGCTGATGATAATTGGAACTTTGGCGGTCATTCTGCGCTTGTATACCCGGGCAAAGACTTCTCAGACGAATTTTGGATTGGATGATTTTCTTATTCTTGTTTCACTGGTAAGGTTGAACCGGATAGCTTGTGCTAACATGCAGTTTGGCTTTGTCACTGACTCTTTTGTGCAGCTTTTTGCCTATGGGACAGCTGCATGTGTGATAATTAGTAAGTCAGAATATCTTATTTTTACTCTTTGGTAGCCTAACGTTGCGATTGCGAAGGTCTGAAGTATAAGAATGGCTGGCATCAACAAGCCCTTACAGACTCCGAGTTCACAGTGCTCTGGAAGCTCCTTCTTGCACACGTTTTCATTTATTCGACCACTATCACGTTGACAAAATGTTCCATCATGATGTTCTATCGACGAATCCTCAACATTCAATGGTCGTTGTACATCTCCATGTGTATCATTCTCGGATATTTTGTTGCAGTGATTATCACAATGTCTGTCGCTTGTCGCCCATTGTCACACTTTTGGGAGCAATATACTTATCCAGAGGCTGAGGGGGCCTGCATTAATGTTTCCCAATTCTTTTTGTTCAACGGAATTGCCGCCGTGATCATCGATGTGATGATTCTTTGTGTTCCGGCTCCTATTATTTGGAAGTTGAAAATGCCTCGTACCCAGCGACTTGCTGTGATAAGCATCCTACTTCTAGGAGGCTTGTGAGTATTGCTTTCCAAAACACTAAGAGATGTTCTAACCTTAGCTCATCCAACAGCGTCTGTGTGGCCGGAATCGTTCGTGTCATATTCCTTCACAAGAATATTCACTCTGATGATCCATCATGGACCATTGCGCCCGTATTCATGTGGTCTTGTGTTGAGCCTTTTATCGGAATCTTGTGTGCCTGTCTCCCCACAATCTCGCCCATGTTCCGTCGATGGTGGAGCGCTCTTGGGGTGAAGAAATCAGATGCAAGAAATAAGGAGGATTACCATGGAACGGCTGGGTCTAGGACTCATCGCTCTAGGCAACAATACCCCGAAGATAATGAAGATGAAGAGCATCATGGTGATGAAGTCCAGCTGACTAGTTTCCCTGGCTGGCCATTGAACTTATTGCGGGGAAAGGATAGCAGAGATGATGTTGCGGCGTCGCGATCTAGGATTCAAGTCAAAGAGGAGGTGACTATTTCGTGGAATTAGATGACTGTCCCCATGTTGTTTGGCTTATCTGATATTTGGCCCATCAAAATGTTCGAGCAGGACTGAATTATCTATAGCATGTGGACATCATATGCGATATCCCTATAGGGAAATTCATGTTGATTTAACTTATCGTTTACATCTTGACGCAAGACTTGTACGTGCCTCAACAAAAGAGAAATTGTTCTAAATACGCATTCGTTTCCTAAACATGAACAAAACTGAAATACCTTTAAAAGGACCTGTGGCTCCCACGATCCACTGGTCACACCACGTTTACTCAAAGCCAGGAAAGATACATTCCCCCATGTCGAGCATAAGAACTACATTGGTGTTACGATCGCCACAGGAGATAAGGTGTCATGGGGTACCTCCAACAGGCATTGAACCACTCTGGCGTATTTATGATCCGCTTGCACAAGTACTATGTGCCCCTGTCTGAGGGCTTCACACACCACGTGACTGCATTTAAGGTTGTTTCGAGGGTTTTGAAGTCTTCCCAATAGGGAGTTGACTGTCCCAAAGAGGAAGGGGCTAGCTATGCGGATACCGGTTTTTGATTGGTCGCCGCTTCCCCGCATGATAAGAGACTCGACCTCATCTCTCCAATTCTTGCCTTGGGTGCATTTACAATACTGATTACTGAGATGAATTCGGCGAAACGTAAAAGAGGAGAGAAGAGACGAGCCTCATTGGCGTAAGTCATTACTGCCCGAGTTGCAACGTGAGATTCCTTGCTGACACTGAGAAGCTGCGAGACCTGTCGGAAACAGAAGGAAAAATGTGAAGGCGGTCCTCCTTGCTGGCGATGTGAACGCCTTGGTCGACCATGTCGATTTCAAGGACAAGATAGTTCAAGTCTATCCACAGCGGGTGCCTTGGCGGTGCCTGTTTCATCTGCTCCAAAAGAGAATGCCCAGCGAGTACAAAATCTGGAGTATATTGCTAAGCACTTCCTCGGAGAGATATCTTTGGATGAGGACAATCTTTCTCGAATCGTTGAAAAGTTAAAAACCAAGACAACAAACTCAAATCAACCGGACGGTCCCCTAGACGTGAACGAGTCGTTCGATGTCCATTTTGTATCGAATAACGTGGCACATTACTCAGGGGAATTCTCACATTGGAATTTTTCGCAAAAGATTCGTCGGAAAATGAGTTGCCAAATCGATCAGCTTGACATCAGAGTATGTGACTCCTTTGCTGTTTTACTCTTACCTAACGCAATGCAGGTCAAAGAATACTGGCGTCCAACACAGCTTCAATCACCCCCTGAGCTTATGAGAAATTGCATGAATCAGTTACCACCGAGGGCTATTGCTGAATTTCTTGTCACAATGTTTTTTAAATATTCAGAGATCAATTCTTTTTACATGGAGCGGAGGTGGATCGAAGAAAAAGTGGCACTTTGCTACGACCCAACCACAGAATACAGCGCGAATGACTTCCCCTGGGTGTGCTCCGTATTTGCTGCTCTCGCGATTGGGACTCAAGTGGCACACATGGAAGATGAAAAGCCAAGGCCAGGTTCTGAAACGGCCAATGAGCTGACTCTATGCTCCGAGGACTCCGTTGGGCTTGTCTTTTACCATGTGGCATGCAAGCTCATCCCGGACGTGCTTCTAGTTGCATCTCATGAGAGTGTGCAGGTGTTTCTACTTCTTGCCACATACTCCTTACCTGTGTCGACCGGTGGCCTGGCGTACACCTATTATGGCCTAGCAATGAAAATGGCTATACAGAATGGCATGCATCGAAAGTATGTCGGCGGGAATATTGATGCTCGCACAATTGAAACGAGAAACCGATTATTCTGGACTGCCTATTCCGTGGAAAAGTATGTGAGCTGGGGTGATTTCTCCACAATTAAAGCTGACTATTCACAGGTATGTTAGCATTATGCATGGACGCCCTCTGTCTATAGCAAGATCTGAGATCAATGCCGATCTTCCAACCGACTATCCTGAATTTGAGTCCCCACGCTTTGCAAATATGACTGCGTTCCATACCTTGATCTCATACCTAGGCGAAGTGGCGGAGACTTTGTGAGTGGCTGGAAATAGACTGGATAAAAACAGAGATGAGGAACTAATATACGAATAGATCACAATTCAAAAGGTGTCCCAAGCGGCTCCTCTCTGAATATTCAGAGCGATTGCTACGACTAAGAGCCGGCATCAAACAATGGTGGGATTCTCTACCTGCCACGATAGAATGTCGAGACCTATGCTCCCAAGGTCCGTTATTCCGACAAAACGCGCATCTTCGACTTTGCTACTTACTTATATACGTTTATATGGGTCGTCCGTTCATATTTGTTGAGAAACATGATCCTCCTGACGAGAGTGTGCTAGGAACCGATAACCATGCAGGTCAAGTCCGCCGATCGGTTTTGGTGGATGACTGCGTATCTAGCGCATTGGACATTCTCAATACCTTGCAGTCTTTATCAGACCACGTTGGTCTTTGTAGAGCCTCTTATAATGAGTTTGGGGCTTGCTGAGCCGCTCTTCTCGTAATCCTTGCGGAAAGTCTTAACTCGGGCAAGTCGCCAAGGCTGCAAGATGGGCTACAGCGCGGAATGGGTCTCATACGTCAAATGATTGGAGGGGTGTCTTCTCAGTCGGAGATATCTTACATTGAGTCAATTGAGGCAGCTATAAGTCAGCTGCTCGAAGCCCCCGAAGGAGACGAAGTGTCTCAGTCAAACACAGAGCAAAGCACCATGTCTGCTTATTCCAAGTTCAAAGACTGGACACAGTCGTTGAAAAAGGATAAGGGCACGGTCGGCAGCAATCTGGAGCTTTCAGCTTTCAGCCCACTTTCGCATATTACCTCTGGCTCTGACGGCTTTACGAATCCTGATCTCAATGAACTGACTGGATTTTTCAATCCCGATTGGTCGAGTAACAATATGGAGTTTGATTCGAATATTTTCTCTGTGCTGTCAGAATAATTCACACTGTTCAGTGGCGGAACATAATAAAGCTCAACCAAATACCATATAACGAGCACGTTTAATCCATGTTGTCTGCCTGATCTTCTCTGGGTCTCTATCTGCATCCTCAGAGGCAATGTTGTTAATCACATCCTGATCATCAAATTCTCGTGCAGCACTGAAATCCATCTCCTTCAGTTTGACAATCTTTGTCTTGTAATAAAACTGTTCAAGTCAGATAACGCAAAACTTCACAAAAGACGGGCTCCGCACCTTGTAAACGAAATAATCGAAGAAGAATAGCGGAGCAGCAAGATAAGTTGAGAAGAAACTCTTGACTGAGCCCTTCTCTCCAAATGGCCAGCACGCGAGATAAAATTCACAACCAAAGACGAACAGGACAATGAGGAGACTGAAGTACTGGGCCCACGGAGTAAGGAATCCCTTGAATGGGAGGCTTGCTAGGTCTTTCCCTTGAGCTTTGAGGCCTTGTCGGAATCGGAGATGGGCGATATAGATCGAAGCCCATTGGAAAAGTGTGGCAATGGCGACCTATGATAAAAGATCAACACTGAAGCACTTGCGTCTCGCTCAAGAGGTCTCACCAGAGAAGAAAACCAGCCATAGACTAAAGTTCCAACACTGTCGGTGTTGAGATAGCACAATCCACCACCAATACCCAAACTAATTATGAGTGAGACATAAGGCCGGCCCTGTTTATCCTTTCTACCAAAGAATGGATGAATAATACTGAGATCAGCGAGGGCTGTCAGGCTTCGACTGGCAATATAAGCGCTTGTAATTCCGCAGCTGATCACACTGAGGAAGATAAATCCATTGATAGCGTGTGCAAGTCCGTATACATCAGCCCTTTTAATAGCAATGACGAAGGGGCTTCCCAATGTGCCGCTATTGGATAGGTCTGGGTCGTTGGATGGAATACACATACCCACCAGCCAAATATTCACAACGAAGAAGGTGAACATTCGCCAGAAGATTGGTCGCACGGTCTTCTTGATGGTTTGTCGTGGGTTTCTCGCTTCGCCGGCTATGACTGCAATATGCTCGCCTATAAGATCATTAGTTAGACTTGACTGGAAGTAGCGTGTCATAAAAGTCATGTACCTCCACCGAAACTGAAAGCGGCCTGTACAAATGCCTTGGATATCCCCTTGATTCCATTGTTGAAAGCCCCGGGGCTCTTCCAGAATCGGAACTCAATCGGTCCATTCGTTGCAGCAATACCACCTGAAGTCATAATGAACATGAAGAATATCATCAAAACCACGGCGATGCACTTGACGAATGACATGTAGTATTCAATGTAACCGTATACTCGGACGTGGAACATGTTCGCAGCGGCTATCACCACCAAGAATATCGTGATATACGCAGCCAGTGGTACAACCTCGGTTTCAGGCCAGTATTTCAGCACGGATATCGCGGCTGTGATCTCTGCTGGGATGATCATCACCCACTGTGAGGTATTAGTATACTGAGTCCGTGATCGAGGAAAGAATAGCATACAGCGAACCAGAAGTTCACACCAATTGCGAAGCCGAATGCTGGATCCACATATTCTGCGCACTGTCGGATAAAGCCGCCGTGGATAGGCTTATACGTGGTCATCTCTCCAACAGAGGAGTATTGGGCAAAGACGATCATTCTTCGGATATGTCAGCTCGTTGCTCAACAGTTAAAAGTCTGTTGGGTCTCATACGCAGTAATGGTATAGGTAATCGCAATTCCCGCCGGCCCAGCTGTGTTGGGTCAATATTCTGGTCCAAGTCGTGGGGGGTTCCCCATGCTATCCTAGGATTGTTTTGTGATCACTCACCATAGTAAAGAGCCTGTCCAGTACCCACCCAAAGACCAGTTCCAATGCCAGCACCAAAGGTCATCATCATGATCTGGCGTCTCGTCAAGGACCGGTGATATCCCGCCGTATCTGCTGGGGAAATGATGACCGTACTGCCATGACGCTCAGTTCCCGAAGTGGCAGTGCGCTCCAAATCGCTGGTCTCGCCGTTTTTGACGTCGCCATCTTTGGGGAAATGGGAAAATTGAGACATTCTCACTCGGAAGTAGAATGTGATTTTCCCAGGGCGATTGATTGCCTATAAGAAGTGTAGTCCGCGTATAGTTCTATCCTTATCGTTATCATTCCGGTCGATCAAAAGTTGCCGGTGGATTTCCCACCGGCATTGGGCGGGGTATGTCTGCACCACTTGGCTGCCCATGAATCAGCAATCAAACAGAGATAGCAGTGACTCACTCCTTCTTATCTGCTATTTCTTGGGTCGATGTCCTGCTCTTGTGCTTGATCGCTTCAATCTTTCTTACATCTCAATCCAAGATCAGTATATTGAATCAAAACATGTCTTCCAAGCACGTCGTATTCGACATCGTGGGAACGCTGGTGGCCTATGATCATGTCTTTGATGCCATCGATACCCGCTTAGGGGACCGACTACGCGCAGAGGGCATTAAGCCTCGTCTCCTGGGGTACACATGGATGGAAGCCGCCGAGCGTGAATACACCAACCTGAGTCTGTCGCAAAGATATGTGCCATTTGGCGAAGTCTTCCGTGCTCTCTTCTACCGTATGCTATGGATGGCCGGTATCGCTGAGCCTCGGTCTTGGGCCACCCCGGAAGATTTGGAGTTTATCATGAAGGAGTACCAGCTTCTTGAGTTCCGACCCGGTGCCGCAGAGTGTGTTCAAAAGCTGAGAGATGCTGGGTTCACGGTCTGGGCCTTTACAGCGGCGGATATCACCCGTGTTGGGGGCTACTTTAAGAACGCGGGTGTAGAGCTCCCTGCTGAAAACTTGCTCTCTTGTGACGATGTTGGTGTGGGCAAGCCTGATTTGGACGCCTATCGTCCTTTACTCGAACGTCTCAAGACTGAAAGTGACGGCAAAGTTCCTTGGTTTGCTGCAGCTCATATGTGGGACGTCTCTGGGGCGAAGCAAGCGGGGTACGTGGATATTCTTCCAAGGGCATCATTTCACGAGACTAATATTGCATTATAGGTTCAAGGGGGCTTATTGCCACATTTGGGAGAAGGAGTCTCTATCGGAGTTATTTGGAGTCATGGACGTGATGGCTGATACTTTGCCCGAAATGGCGGACAAGATTATTGCTGCCCAGGCATCGTCTTGAGACTAGATAGTTGATGTTGTTCATAACAAGATGTTGAGTTCTCTATGAGACTTTTGGTACTAGATTCAGTATTAGAATGTCAACTGTCAAGCTATAATTGGCTGTTTTGGAGAACCCTAATTAGCCGTGTGCGATATTCAGCATAGCTTTGATGCTCATCCTGGCCAGATCTCCTGTTAAAATCCGTCTTATTTTCCCCCTATTTAGCTTCTCTAGATTCTCTATTATTCTCTAAGAACCAGACAATTGCAACTGTTCATGCAATATCATCTATGATACGATGTTCTATCTATCTCCGGGATGACCCCGGACCGGATGCGTTGCCGGTGGGAAACCGGATGCCTCCTCTCCAGCCCTACCAATGACAATAAATAACCCCTCAACGTCAAGTTTTACCAAGCCTCTTACAACCTAACTTTTATCATGGCGACCAAACATACTCCAGTGCCAAATGGCATGACATCATTCTGGAGAACAGAGCCACACCCACTGGATAACCACCGATCTACGGATTTCCTCCCGGAGGAGTCTGATATTGTAATTGTCGGGGCTGGATATGCAGGATCCTCAGTTGCGCATCATATTCTCGCCCAGACTCCTGATGGTGCCAAGCCTCCTTCAATCCTCATTCTAGAGGCGCGACAGGCTTGTTCTGGTGCTACGGGTCGCAATGGTAAGCATTTGGTTTCTGAGGCGAGATTTCAGGGTCGACAAGCTAATACATAATCTAGGGGGCCACATGAAGCCGGATGTTTATAACGGTATCGCCGGCTTAGCAGCTGAATACGGCGTCGACGCTGCCGCTGAAGTCGCAGCATTTGAGGCCAAACATGTTTCTTTTCTCAAGGAATTTATCGACAAAGAGAAGATCGACTGTGATTATTCTGTCACAAAAGCAATTGATGTTCAATTGAGTGCGGATCATACTAAAATTCTCAAGATTGGGTACGACAAATTGATCAAGGAGGGATGTGCTCCAACGACCACCGCAAAGTTCATCGATGCCAACGAGGCAGAAACGGTATTGTTAAACCCATTGTGACATGAATAACCTGTGACTGATTTTGCAAAGTTCTCTGGTGTGAAAGGGGCCAAGGGATGTTTCACATACGACGCAGGCCACATATGGCCTTACAAATTCGTGTTGCATCTCCTGGAAAAGGCGACTGCGCGCGGGGTTAATTTACAGACACATACTCCAGTAAAAGAGATTATCGAGTCCAAATGTACAGGCTCAAGTCATCGCTGGTCAGTGAAGACTGCCCGAGGCTCTATTGCAGCCAAAACTGTCATTCTGGCCACCAACGCATACACCTCCGCCCTAGCTCCCGAATACCAGGATAAAATCATCCCAGTACGAGGAACTTGCAGTCGAATCATTGTTCCGCCGGGTACAGTGGCTCCTCGACTAACGAAGACTTATACGCTTCGCTGGAACAACTGGAATTACGACTATCTTATTCCTCGTGTCGATGGTAGCATTGTCGTTGGAGGAGCTAGACCGGCTTTCATTGATGATTTGGATAGCTGGTATAATGTCAGTGATGATAGTCGAGTGCTTGAACCAGCTGTCCGCTATTGGGACAACTATATGCAACGCAATTTTATTGGCTGGGAGGATAGTCATGCTTACCTTGACCGAGTATGGACTGGAAGTATGTTATACAAACATGTGATACTTAATGCAACGGACTAACATTGAACTTTCTTATAGTCATGGGCTACTCGTCCGATGGCCTACCGCATGTTGGGCCTGTCCCCAAACAGAAAGATAAGTACATCATTGCTGGTTTCACTGGGCATGGGATGCCTCAGATCTTCCTTGCAGCTGAGGGCGTGGCAAAGATGGTACTCAATGATGTTGGATATGAACAAACCGGTCTACCCAAGCTGTTTGAATCTACTTCAGCGCGGTTAGCCAGCCGGAAGAACAAGATCTTCGCTAGTACGCCTGGAGGTGGGAAGCCGGAGGCTCGTTTGTAGTCTATCTTAAGGCTAGTTTGAACCTGACCGGAAATTAAGCTCGATTTCTGCCTGAAATACACTCAGATTTTGTCAAAATCATCTAAATCCTTGAGAAAACTTCTGGCCTCTAACTAATTATTGAACTGCATATTCTCCTCGGCTGGGTATATGGATTTCTGTACCAACCATGTTGAGTTGGGCTCTGAGATTGTAGGGCAAAATCGAACTTCACCACATCCATCTTAATTCATGCCCAAACCTTTGGGCTTTGATATTTCTCTTGGATATGTGCCTTTGCCCAATCAATCTATGGTGCGATGCAGGAAATCCGCGTCACGTGTTCGGGGCAGTTGCAGCCGAGCGTTTGCTGCTTGACCAACTGCACACAAGGCCTTGATCAACTTCCTACTCATATATCTATTTACTTTTCCCTATAACACAAACCCAAGAACTGCACTTGAGCCTCTATTCATCTACAGTCGAACCTCGAACATGGCACCTTCGGAAGTTGCGGGGTTCCCACCCACCAGCATTCGAGAGATTGCCGCCGAGGTCTCAGCGCTGTTGAAGGAGCAAGGTGCCACTGTATCAGTCGCGGAAACTGTTTGTTCTATCTATTGTGTTGCAAGAGTCTAGTCTACTTGCATATTAGAAGCAACATGGCTAACAACATCATCCGAAGGCGGCCGGGGGTCTCATATCTTCAACTCTGCTGGCGACACCCGGAGCAAGTGGATTCTACCGGGGAGGTGTCACGGTGGGTTCTACTTGAATTTTCTAGATCTCTGAGATGTCTTCGGATATTTTTTGCCAACCTCAAATGTTTTTTCAGGTGTACACCCTAGAGTCCCGCATCGCATTCGCTGGCTGGACTGAAGATAATCTGAAGAACTACCATGGTCCCACCCCTGAATTGGTGGCTGGTCTTGCAGAGAGCGTGCGCAGCAAGCTTGGTTCTACATTTGCTATTGGTGAAAGTGGCACAGCTGGTCCTACTGGCGGACTTACAAAAAACAGAACCCCGTAAGTAATCATGGTCAAAGAACCTTGGTTTGACTGCTGATTTTGCTTCTAATCTCCAGTGGCTACGTTGCTCTGGCGGTGAGCTCAGATTCTGGGACTGCTATGCGAGAGGTCGACACAGGCATGGGAACCGATAGAGAAGCCAATATGGTCGCGTTTGCGACGGAAGCTTTGAAGCTACTCCGGGATTGTCTGACTGGCCGTGTTCGGGCTGAGCTGTAACCTGACATGACATGGCACTCCAAGAGTCATTTACGATTTGGTCGCTTGTGAATTTGGAGAAGAACACGTAGTCATGATTCCTCGCTGATATTCAGCTCTTTCTGAAAGACAAGCAAATGGATCGCGTCTGAAGCAGGATCTAACTAAATCTACACCCATAAGGTATATAGCTTCCGATTCGTCGATCGTAAGAATCCACTGGTGCCCACAATCTAGATCATACGAGGACCGAGCTTTTCAGCCCACATCGCCTTGGATTGAACTATTTAGCTATTAGGCTAGTCGGCTTTAAGCTTGAAATTTGAAAGACTCAAGCCTTTTGACCCCCGAGCAAGCAGAGCGTATATTTGAGCTTGGCCGAACTCTCAAATGTGTGATATGCCATACACCTACAAAACTCCTGCCTGGAGCTATCCGACGTAACAGAACCATTTTACTTTTCGCAAGAAATCGAAGATTCACAGTTTTGTATCATATTCAAATTGGTATTCACATGGATTAATTGACAGAATGCAAAGAAAACGCTGGTTCGTAATCAGGGGGTATATGGTTCAAGGCAGTCGCCCGTACATGAGTTCAGTTTCGTCGATCTTGGTCTGTCCCCGGTCGATGATCTGGCTGGGGTGGAAAAACAGGAAGGTGATCATCACGAAGATCATGAGCATGGAATCGCAAACGTAGGCAAAATACTCATGGCTCTGCAAGAATCCGGTGGAGCCCTGGATATATTCGATCACTCGGTAGATACACCGGACCATGATCAAGGTGCTCACAAAGTACAACACCATGAGATACTTTTGCCAGTCAATGGATGTGCCCATAGCGGTTGTGGTAGGGTTTCCCGCCATTCTTTGATGGAACACACAGGCAACAATAATGAAGAATCCGAAGAACAGAATTTGAACAATCAGGCCGACGATGATCACATTCTCGCCGAGTTTGAGCTTGCTCTCGGTCTTAGCACCCGACATAAGACCACCACCTAGGGTAAATTAGCTGTGATCGACCGGTGATCTAGAAAGGAAATATCTGCTAACCGGCACTTTGGATGAAGAAAGACAGAACATCACCCAGCACAAAGATCTTGGTCAACCTCGTTGCCCGAATCAGAGATCTCGAGTCTCCATCAGTAGCACGAATGATACGACCAAGAATCATATAAACAGAAGCGGCAAACAGTGAGGGTGCAAGCAAAATAAAGAGACTTTGCAAGGCGTATGGCATAGTGGTATAGTCTGGCGCCTGATGCGCATTCACAGCGCGTGCGCCATAGCCGATCGCCTCAAAGAAACCACCAATGATGAAGGCGATGATGAATTTCGTCCTTGTTTTGATGGCCATGCCGATGTGAGCCACGGTTGCAATGAGGAAAAGAATGATGAACACAATGGCGGCAACCAATGATGGCTTATAGTTGTAAAGAGTGTATCCAGTCATTTTGACAAAAGAGTGAGGGGTTTGAAAAAAAATAACAAAAAAGAAAGAAAGAATTAAGCAGTGAATGGAAAGCTTAGCGATGGAAGAAAAAGAATAATAGCTTATGGATGCATGCCGGGATGATTATATAGCTTCGAGTGTTGACCGCTTGACAGGCGTGGCATTGAGTTTTCAGATGACCGCCAGGGAAGAAAAAAAGCCCTACACTAGGCAGCCGCAAAGAAAATACTATTTCGAGACTATGAAGAATATAGCCCTGAAAGATGAAACTAGTAACTAGTTACTAGATAGTTGAGCGGACAAGGAAACGGACCGAATACGAACTACTCGACCCACTCCGTTTCAGCCGCCACACAACTGCCGCCTGGGTTTACAGCCCTAATTGGGGTGTTTGTATAGACATGTTGAAATCAGCGAGTCGTACATAGGATTCTGTTCATGTTGGCAGTTGATGGTTGACGGTTGACGGTTGACTGGTTATAACTCCTAAGGGCAATTCGTAAAGCGGTAGCATCAGTATCGGAAACGTTCGATATCTAGGCCCCTGGTATTTTGTGGCGTATGCGTTCGGTCCAAGGGCCTTCCCGAAACGGCACTCAGAACTGGTACAGTATTTCCGTAGCTGTATCCTCCCACAGGGTATGGGGATAATTGTTCTTTAGGCACCCGAGATTCAATAGAAATAGATCATTGCTAGAAATTATCACTCAATTTATAACAGGTTGCAGGTACACTCTTCTGTTTCGTCTTTTTTTTTTCTTTTCTTTTCACGCATCGTCAAGGATCCAGTGTCTCCAGTATCACCAGATCTCCAGACTTTATTGATATCTTTCCCACTCCGCCAAGACATCGCCATGAATAATTTTGCTATTATTGTCATTGTGCTGGTCTGCTCGCTCGCGTCCGTTTCACTCGCGGCTGGCATTTTCAGTTTCTACAGCACTGAACATGTGTTTCAATGGTCGCCATCAGCGGAACAACAACGGTATATGCGAGAAGTGCGAATGAGAACTCTGGTTCTTCTTCAACGAGAGAACGGCCTAGGACACGCGAGACTTTCCAAGTGAATATTGCCTTTTTGTCTGAATTTTGATCCTTACTCATCATTGCACAGAGAACGCCCTTTTTTCGATGCTGAAAGTCAAGCGGGAAGTGAGGATCAAAGTATGATGAGATGACGGTCCGATTGGTTCATGAGATGGTTGTATTGAATTTTTATACTGTATATTAACGGCGTCCTGTGGAAGGAACCTATGGACATCCAACTTGGATCCTGAACATGACAGAGTCCTACGAGATACACCGCAAGTGTGGAGGAGAATCTTTATTGGAAGCTATTGAATGTTGAAAATCTCCGAGTCTCCCCATTCAGACCGAGAACCCAGTATCTACTTATAAAGTCCCCGCACGAGGGGACCCTTCGATCGATAGTCGGAATTCTCATCCAGACTGTTGAATCCCCAGTCACGTACTGAATAGCTCTTGGAGGCGTGTCGATCGCACTCTCCAATATGATGCTCCTTTCTTGGCCCTCAAAGATAATCGACGATAGTCTCCAGATTAAATCAAATTTTAGCACAAGAAGGCAATGAGTGGTATCTACAATACTGTCCAATCTCAAGTTTCAAATAGATTGATCTAGCCATTCCTATGAGATCCGAAGTATACGCGCCGGATTCTCTTTTTTTTGACTTTTTTCTTTTAATACCTCTTAAACGGTTGAAAGAGTCTGAAAAAAGGGCCAATAGACTTTAGAAGGGTTCAGTAGTGTGCTATCAATAACCATTAAGCTGAACTCGACGAATATGACCAAAATGTTACCAATCACAGCGGGTCTCGTCCGGTTAGGGCTTCTCCAATCAGCGTCTCGTACTCGGGTTCTTGTTCGTATTCGAGTTGCGTTTTGCTGCGTTTCGGTTTCTTATTTCCAAGGTTCCTGCATTTCCCTTCCATCCGCCCTAATTCTGCGTAATTTCAGTCTCATTAACCCGAATCATGCGAATACTCTGAACCCGAAGGATCCAAATCCAATCTAGACAAAATCCACATAATTCGTTTCTTCAACGCCCCGTTAGATCTTCCAGAATTTCTTTGCCTAGGCTAAGCTACTCCACCGGGCGTGATCTGCATGATTATCTGCTGTTGTGGTGTAGATGATCTTCGCTGTATCGCTGAGCCCCATATTTTCAACACATCCACTCCCTCCCTTGGCACCTGGTTTCAAGTGTTGGCAGACAATACGAGTTGCTCAACCCGAGAATTGAGTTCCAAAGTGTAACAGTGATCACATCCAAGATGTTTCCAAGGTTGCCTGAGACCCCCCTTCTCCCGCCCCTGATCGGCCAGGAATGATCCGTCAAGCTCGGTGGGAACAATAGTCTTTATAAAAGAGAACAGGTTTCCTGGCTCTGTAGTTCTCTACAGCTTCTTCGAATTACAATTTGACAATGAAGTTCCAAGCTATTTTCCCGCTTTTGGGTCTGGCAGCTGCCAGTTCCATCTCCAGCCATGCACCGATCTTAACCGACAAGTCGGTGACAACTTCCCTGGGCTCCTTCAATGTGACCAGCGGCGCATCCTGCGCATGCCAGAAGCTGTCTCGCAAGTTCGGCGGCATCATTCTTCCCAATGGAGCGAACTATACTGCCGAAACCGTGGACCCTTACTGGGATGTTCGGGCCAACCTTGCTCCTGCTTGCGTCTTCCTTCCTGAGAGTGCCCATCAGGTTGCCGATGCTGTCAAGATCATCGAGTCGTGTGATGCACAGTTTGCGGTTCGTGGTGGAGGACACATGTGTGTAAGTAGATGAACTGGAAACCCCGGACTCCACCAACAGTGACACTGACCGCATCACACAGTACCCCGGAGCAAACAACATTCATGGCGGTGTTCTCATGGCCTTGACCAATCTGAAGACTGTCAAGGTCAACAGCGACAATGTTGAAGTCGGACCTGGCCTGACCTGGTATGACGTCTATTCGGCTCTCGAGCCCCATGGCCGCGTTGCCATTGGTGGTCGCCTGAAGACCATTGGTGTCCCTGGACTGAGTCTCATTGGTGGCTTCCACTACTTCAACAACAAATACGGATTTGCCATGGATAACGTTATCAGCTATGACGTTGTTCTTGGAAACGGTACCCAGATCACGGTCAACAAGAACAAGCACAATGATCTCTTCTGGGCTTTGAAGGGTGGTGCGAACAACTTTGGTATTGTGACCAAGTTCACCCTCAAGACTTTTGACATGCCCAAGGTCAGCACCACCATTCAGACATATGATGAAAGTCACATTCCCGACTTCATTGCCGCTGTTTGCCATGCCGCCAACCTCGACGATGAGAAGCCCATTGCGGCTGGTATGGTCGCATCCATCACCTATAACGTTACCTCCAAGGCCGCATCGGCCTCTCTTCTCGGTGTTCAGGAGGGTGCCGTTAGCCCTCCCTCTCAGTTTGCCAACTTCTCTTCTATTCCAGCCACGGCTAGAATCAACAAGGTCCAGACCATGAAGTCCTGGGCTGAAGGATTGGACTCGCCTAAGCAGATGTTCCGGTAAGCAGGTTTCTCGAACCCAGAAAGATTTGAAGGATATTGTTCTAACTGCCTTGATTACTATTCTAGTGTTATGTACTCTCACAAGAGCATGACCCCTGATGCCGATGTTATCTACACACTCTACAAGATCTGGAAGGATGCCGTCGCCGATATCGCCGACGTTCAAGGCCTTTACCCTACCTTTGTTACCAACGTGCATGCTGCCGGTGCTTCTCGAGTTGCCAAGACCAACGGCGTTGGCAACGTCTGGGGCTTGGAACCCGAGCCTTTGATCCGTAAGTGACATTCCTCGCACATCATTCACCTTCGACTATGAATAGCAATTGACTTTGACCATAGTGTGGCAATTCAGCACTGGATGGGCTCTGGCCCAAGATGACTTGCGAGTCCAGGCCTGGTCCCGCCAGCTTACCGAGCGTCTGAACGCCATCGTTATCGAGAAGGGCCTTGCCTCCGACTTCATCTACATGGGAGATGCGGGTGAGTGGCAGAACCCCTTCCTGGGATTCCCCGCCGAGAATGTTGTCCGCATGAGAGAGATCCGCTCTTCCTACGATCCCAAGGGCGTCTTCTCCCGTCTCAACTGGGGTGGCTTCAAGCTTGGAATTTAAGTCCATCCAAACCATTCACCGAAAGAAGGTATAACATGGGGACTCTCCACTTGATATATCACAGGGAGGTTAGCTTTGCTACTCATTGTTTTAGCGGAAGACCATTTGGTCCTTTGTAATATAGCGCCACACATCTGGTCAATATCAGGAGCTAGAATTTGTGCGATTAGACAGAGTTTGACAATTGAAGACAATTTCCATTTGGAAGATAACATATTTCCTGTAGCGAATGCGGTACATTATTCTCGTAACAAATTTCAGTCTAAATGATTGCTTTTTTTTATCTCACTAGACAACCCTAATTTTGCTCATATATTGCTGTATATTCGCGATGAAGGTGGTCACATATCACTCAGAAGCAATAACGATCCGTTTGGATGAACCGGGCATGTTATATATTCTCACCCTTTGAATGTAACGCAGGAACAAGCTTTCCAGCAGACAAGGGTTTGGGTATGGGGCGTTCTTCCAAGAAAAATTCATATATTTAGGTGCTTATTGCGAAAATCACTACTGCAGTCAGAACTTAAAGGAATTTATTGATTCATGAGCGTTTTAATTTGAGAACCGATCGGTTTTTTCTGTTTCATAGGAAGTGAATTATGTCCTCTTTATTGTTTGCTACATAAATCATATCTTAGAGGATGTCGTGCAGTTTCCATGTTAGCAGATGAGTTGGTGTATGTGCTGACTCTATGCGCTGAGATATATATTGAGTACCAGGTATAGGGACACCATGGTGAGCGGCAGGACACTCCAGACTAACTGTTGCCAAGGTAAATGAAATAAAACAGCAAAAGAAAACCGTAAAATACACCATTTCCTTTAGCCTAGATGCGGCGAATTCTTTTTGAAAAAAAAGAAGAATAAAAAAAAAAAACAAAACAAAAGAACGTGGCGTTGATTACTGTAGATCGGTGCCCACTTTGAGCCAAGGTCTTGGAATAGTGTATCTTTTCTATATGGTCATCAAGGATCTGCCAACGTATTCTGAAATTTCTAAGCATACGGGTTGACGCCCTTTCCATCCAATACTTCACTCAAGAAATCTCCAAACGTGACCGGCTTGAAATCCGGATACAGTTCCCGAGCATTGAGATATCCAAGGCTCTTGGCACTTTCAGGAGAGTTATCGCATCGGACATACTTGCTATAGTTGTATTGTGACACATACAGCATGTACAAACTACCCATACTAGTGGGGTTGTCTCCGTACGCCTTCTTAGCCATGTCCACGGCGCCTTCCAATTCCTGTGCAGTCATCTTTCATCATATATCTCATTAGCCACACCAACACGGACATTGGCAGATCCTCTTTCAGGACTGTGGGACATGGTCTGTACTTACGTGCTTTCGGTCGATTTTCTCACCGGAACGTTCTTCCATCATGCTGAAAATTTGGTTTTCAGAGAGAACATCACCGTACGTGTACACGTATTGGTTCAATGTTCGGTCGTCGGCAGCAATGAGAGCAACAAATCGACCAATGTCACGAATGTCGGTCAGCAGATTCGGCGCCTGACCATCGTGGTGAATGGTGACATTGGGTTTGATAGGAGTGGCATAGTCAACCCGGCCAGATGGTACGGTTGGATACGAAATTTGATACCAGTAGCCGACATCAATGACGGTAAAAGGCAAAGAAATCTGCTTCAAGTGCTGATAGACCTTTTCCTTCTGTACGGTACAAATTCGTTAGATCAGAACAATGCAGAACAACTTCCAACCGCGGAAATGGTGGGTCTTACATCGTCACGAATCAGCATCACATCTCCCGGTGGACAAACAGTAGTGAAGCCACAAGGAATGAATCGTGCGACGCCTGCTACTTTGGCGGCGGTAGCAAGGGCGATTTGTGCCAACTGCGATCCAGCATCGATGGCACTGATGACCAAATCGAAGCCGGAAAGCACGGAGACCAACTCTTTAAATGGCCCGTCCAGGTTCCCAACACGAATTGGGAGACCTCGCTGGGCCAGTTCTTTGACTGCGGGCTTGTCTACCGAAGATGGCCGAACAAATAGTTCTATCGCCTGATCACCTCTGTTAGATTGACGAATGCATCTTCACATAACGTTCATGCATGACCTACATATTTACCATGTTCGATGAGACCCTCCAAGATCGAGTTGCCAGTATGGCCAGTTGCACCGAGAAGAAGCACCTTTTGCTGCGACATCTCTCTGTATTCTGCTGTCTGCTGTCTGCTGTTTGCTGTTTGCTGTCTAAGTCTAAGTGGGCAAAGTCTCCTTCAAAAAGAAGACACGAAACTGTCACGGAAACATGCAGATCCGCATCCGAGTGCTGATATCTCACCTGAACTTGGACCCCTCTTTAAACGTCTCGGAAGTTGAGGATCCGATACCCGGACTCGATTTGGCTGGATTTGGCTGGATTTGGCTGATTTCGGCCGAACTTGACCCATTTGGCTGATTAAGCTGACAAAGCTCGATACGAGTGCGAACTCGAACCCGAAGAACACGAAAATTACGACAAATACGATCGAGACAGACAATACGAAGAGAAAAATACGAAGGCGAATCCGAATCCTTCCAATTTACTCATGTAGAGGAATGAGGGAGATGGGAGACCGTATGTCCAATCTCCGTAGAGAGTGCTAAGCTTTTTCTCTGTTTCTCTCCCGTTGCTTGCGTGAAACATTACTCAACTCTACAAAAGTCATTATTTGGAACCATGTAGATGTTTAATCGTCTCCATTGAGAAATTCTTGGGGCCAGCGAAGCCAGTCATGGTATTTCGGGTCCAAGGTCGCATATATTTGCAACATCATGCGCTCGCTGAGTCCTTCCAGCCACCACATCCAGTCGATCTTGCGAATGCATACACACCAGTAACTGAAAATCACAAGCGAAATGGGTTCTTCCTGGCCGAGCAGCACCAGATATGCATCGGAGACGTCAAACAGCCATCGAAAGATATCAGCAGTTTCCAGCCTCCGGGTGGCCCCTGGTTTTAGGGCTACACTCAATGTCTGCGCCGATACATCCAACGCCTCCTCATAGATTGCCTGGATCGCCGGGTCGGGACATTCCGTGCGTATAACATGTCTCAATTCCCAAACATACTGCCTTCCTATCTCCAGTGCTTGTGGCTCGCGATGGGCCGCCGCCAGGTGAGATCCGTTCATGATAATAGGTCCTAGAATTCCTTTCATCAGGTCCGCACGATTGGACGCGATAACCGTTCTGGTCCCCCGAAACAGACGAGCCCATTCGGTTAGATTTCCGCCTTCGAAGAAAAGGAAACTATTGCATCCTGCTGGCTGAGCACAGGAGGTAATGCACGTGAGAGAAGAGAAAAGGAAAAGGGCGGAGATGTTGTCCGAGGCGAGGGTCGGAACAAATGGCACGATGGCTTTTACGGCAAGGGCGTGATGCTTTTGCGCGTAGTCCAGGCACTGCACTCGACGGGCTTCATCGAATCGAGCCATATGCAGCGCGGAGAGAGCAAGCAAGCTGTGCAGCACGGGTGGCGTTGAAAAGCCAACGCGAGGTGCCTGGTCACGCCAAACCGCCTGCACAGCTGGAGCCTGCGATAATGTATAGCATGTCGAAGTCACATAATGATGAAGCAGTTCTAGATCAAAGATGGCCAAACTGGGCGGCGCTGTTGACAATGGTATCGGTGATGAAATTGGTAAAGAGTTGTGAACAGATTCGAAGTCTGCATTGCCTGAAGATGAGGTCACCGACTCCAACGAGGTTGGTGACTCGACGAGATCGGGTTGCGCATTACAATCCACGGGGCTGGCAAAAGAGCAAGGGACACCATGTCTCCCGCAATTGCCACAACGAGGCTTTTCCTCATCGCACTAATCCTGGTCAGCCCTATATGCCCCCCACGATTGATGATTTATGCTTACCTTGACCCTTCGTCTTTTACATTGTAAACATCCTGCCCTGGACTTCCGATGTGAACGGCGGCCTGTCGGAAGTTTTTTCATACTCGGAGATAGGAAATTGATTCGGAGATGAAAAGTCTTTTTTTTTCTTTTTCTTACCCCGATGGAGATTCGAGCCTCAAATAAGCATATGGCTGAAACCCCAAATTCAGGCAGACTCGATACAGGGCCTGGGAGACCAAATGAAAATCGACATATAAAAAAGTTGGAAATTAGAGGATAAAAGAAACTAAAAAAAAACTTGAAAAAAAAAAGAAAACGATAGCGTATAGACTACTCTGGTGGCAACAGAACCCCTGACTGAGTTTCGGGATTTCGTACCCTTAACCATTTCCGGTGGGCTTTTTTTTTCTTTTCGATGGAATTGGTGGGATTTTACCTTTTTGCAGCAGTCTAGAATGACAGTTGGACTTGTTCTATTAATATTGATTTTCTGGTCCCCTATCGTCTCAACATCCAGCCCAGTTTAAGTTGACCGAAGAAGAACCGAATCAGCGGAGATATCATGAGACCCTGGATTTGTACAGTAGCCAAATCGGGAGATGTGGGGAGTCAGAACCCTGGAACTGAACTTGACAAATGCCGAAACCGTAAGCTTTTCGCGCGGTTAAGGATTTAGTTAAGGATAAGAAAGAAGCTAGTGCCAAACTTTAAAAAAAAACGACTAAAAAAAACTAAGCAAAAAAGCTAGTCGGGAAATCTCTGTTGCTCACCCCCCAATTAGTGTCGCCAAGACCCAGTAATGCTGTTACCTAGTGATTCGGCGCCAAAGAGTATATCAACGGCTAGTGCCTTCATTGAGCGGGGAGTTCGTAATCACAGTTTCCCACGGCCGAATGGAACAAAAAGGGAAATAACATTCCGTGTGAGCATTGAGGGCCAGAAGAAACATGCATCGCGCTTGCTATCAGTGTCTTAAAATGCAAAGGTACTGGATTCATCGAGGCCTGGATAGACTTAGGATGCTGCCGTGAGGATCCACCATCTCCAACAGCAGCCTTGCGAAACATCTGATACAAATGCTTGGCAGAGATTCATGCGAACGCGAGTCTCGAATACGAGCCCCAAGCCTCAGATAAGCCTAAATCGAGCGGGGAAAATTGATCTTCCGGAGACTAAATATCGTATTCGGCTTCGGGTGGGCTTTTTTCGATCCTATTGTTGGAGCTTGGCGTGGAATGATCGTCCCGTAGTGCCTCTGCCACGTTTATTCCTGGTTCAATGCTGCAATGGAGAACCGCGGTGGATGCAAACCCTTGTTTGGGTGGCGTCGCAAACCTGGATGCCTATCGAGAAATTAAGCTATATAGGAGAGCAGTCCTCGCAGGTTGGTGATATCTTTCAAGTTACTCAAGCCTCCAATCTCAACGACATCGTTCTTTACTGTCCAACGCCTATATAACACATCCCTTTCTTGTCCATCTCTTTTCAATCTCTTCATCCACTATGGCTCCTACTCCTGCCTTCGTTCTCTACCTGTACAACCCTACCTTGGTGGGTTCTGTGCTATTTGCAGTACTCTTCTTCCTGACGACTGTTGCCCATCTTTATCAACGAATTCGTGGCCATGCCAAGTATTTCAACCCCTTCATCGTTGGAGGAATCTGTAAGTGGTCGACCAACTGGACCGAGCCCCTTTCACCGTGCTCATGTTTTTGTTTAGTCCAGATTATCGGCTACGGAGCCCGTACCTTCTCTCACTTCAATGACACATCGACTATCGGTTATGCTATGCAGAGCCTGTTCTTGCTTCTCGCACCAATCTTATACGCCGCCTCTATCTACATGGTACTTGGCCGCATCATCAGACACGTCCATGGCGAACATCTGAGCGTTGTTCCCGTGAACTTCATGACCAAGACCTTTGTTGGTGGAGACGTGCTCTCTTTCATTCTTCAAGCTGCTGGTAAGATCATTTCCCATGATATATCTTGAATCATCAACAACACATCTAACATTTATATCTATAGGTGGTGGTGTTATGACCGGCGGATCCAAGACCAGCGCCACTATCGGCCAGTGGATCATTGTTTCGGGTCTTTGCGTCCAACTTCTCTTCTTCGGAGCCTTTGTCCTTTCTTCTCTCTTCTTCCACTTCCGAATCAACCGGGCACCCACAGCTGAGTCCCAGGAGACAATGCGCTCTTCTAAGTTCTTCTGGCCCCGCGACTGGAGAGGACTTCTCTTCGCTTGCTACGTTGTCAGTGTGCTGATCGTCATTCGATCCATCTACCGTCTGGTCGAATTCATTCAGGGGAACAGCGGCTATGTCATCGGCCACGAGGTCTTCCTCTATGTCTTTGATGCTACTATGATGTTCATTGCCATGATTGTGATGAACTTCTTCCACCCATCCACTGTTCTGCAGAAGGACCCCGTCGAGGTCCGCTCCGAGCCCAAGACCAGCGCCAGTGTCTCCGATGTTTAAGTGACGAATAAACATCTCTTCGAGCTGTTTACACGACCCGTGATGAAAATTGATGGAGGCTGTTTTCTTTTGTTGCCTTTTTTGCTTTGCATTTTGCATTTTACATACCTATAGACCGATGTTTAAACGTTCATTTTCTCAATATTTCCAATTTTATTTTCAGTCTCACTTTCAATTTCATTTTCAAAATACCCAAAAGACTTTAGATCCAATGACTGTCAACCGACAGACCGTCTGAACAACAGGCTTTCAAGCTTAGTGACGTGACCAGTATTCTCTTTCCTGAAAAAGTAGAGGCTTGAAGATCATAGGTTTCATGTACTGTACTAGGATGTGTCCTATTTCCCGATCCGCCATAACCGATGTTTCGACCCTGTTATCATTTGGCGCACAAAATAATTTATTTCGGAGTGGACCTTCATATAGTGACTGGGTGACTATCATTTGCCACAATTACTCTTTGAGCGCATCGTGTCCCCAATTTTTAAGCGATCGGTAACTCTTGCTTGTGGTGTCATGCTTTGCTCGTTCCTCTTGCGCTAAGTGGCGGTTGCAATAGGATACCACACGACGCATGTGGTCGATATCCTGATTTCTATATCCAGAAGGGTCTTTGCTAGGATTGTGTCCGAGTATTTCCAGGATTCGACGGCCACTATTGGTGCTTTTAGTTTTGTCTTCATCGCTGCTACAGGCATCCCTGATACGGTCACATATTCCCGACAGGACTCACCTCTCATGGCCAATGGTCTCGCCGGAGCTGCCTGTCCAGCCTGCGGACTGGGACTGGTCCTCTTGAAGCCAGTCATCCAGCTCACTCTGGCTCATGTTGACGAGGTCGTTGAACTCGCTAGGTGGTTCGTTAATCTCTTCTCTTAGACTATACGCATCATAGAGCTTACACAATGACGGTTTCTCTGTCTTTGACCATTTTCAAGTTCTGTTTTGGTATTGAAAAGAATAAATTGATTCAAAGAATAAGATTTTATTTGCATAATTGCCAATTCCTGGGGCGAGATGGTAAAGCCGACGTCATTATTACAATATCCCATGGGAGGCAGGGGACACGAAAGATGTCAATTGCCAGTACAAGCTGGATATATAGAACGATGATATCAGAGTGCAACAATTAAGGCCCATGGCAGAAATCTCATTGGTCTTCATATAGTGGACGCCACCGGTTGACCAGAAATGGGTGCAGTCCATCTCATTCATAGGATAGCAAACCGACAACATCAGCGGATAAATTCATCTATGGACAAAATCAGCTGTAATAACAAGGGCAAAGGGGCTAGAACCTGCACTCGTATTTTAATAAGCATCAAATTTCTTGTGACAGTCTGGGGATTGTGGGGATTCATTTATACTCTTTTGCTAGTTTCCCTAACTGGGTTCGTATTCGGGTTTGTGGGCCATTTGGAAATGTACTTAATTTCCAACCCAATTTCCCCTCAAATTGATCAACCGAAGGAACCTGCTGTGGATATCGGCTCTGATAGAATGGTCCTGTCGGCCGCACGGGCCCTTTGTATCTGCAAAAGCGCCGATGATGTCTTTGGGGTATTCGGTAAACTATAAACGCAGTGACATCGATAATCGTCTTAACATGCTTTTCTTGACTGTGCTCTGAGCAGACCAGAGTGGGTTTCCCTATGTCCAATATGGACTGAGTATATAAACTAGAAGAAGATCATAGGTGGCGTCAATCTTGTGCCTGGGCCAGAAATGGCCCTTGCCGACCATCTGAATCAGCTGAACAGCTTTCTTAAGGGATTTACTTTCAATTTGAACTTATTCTTTTGCGAGATTCTGCTCAACCCATATGGGTGTAGCATTCCTCAATGATTGTTTATACATAGGTGGAAAGGATGACCTAGCATTCCATAATGCCTACTGGATCGTGGAGCTTATACGAGCCCGTAATTCTACCCTAGATCCATGAGTGCCTTTCGTGCCGGTATTTATTTCTCGAGGCGGTCTGCTATCTCTTTTAGGAGTCTATCATACTGAAACACCTGACATGCGAAATTCTAAGGAACCATCTGCCAGATTTTTCATTGAAAGACTGTCAGCGAGTAAAAGGTCTGGAGGACTCATTTCAGTTTTGCAGGTAGCTTGTGTCCCACTCAAGGCAGATTCTTGTCATCGGCAGTGGTTTGCAAGGATCATCACGGACCTGATATTACAGTTACTTTGTCTACAAGCCCCCGACACCCTGTTGCTGGACGGTACCACTATTGAATATTCTATAGAGGTTCAAAAGGATAGATGCCCTTGACACCTTGTTATGATTGGCACGGCAGTTGTCCAAAGAAGTAGCGCTCGTCTGTGTGAATGATGATATCCAGTACGATGAGCAGGAGGCGTGCCGCAACAGTATATTCACCTTTTGAATCTCTTACAATATACCTACTTCAGTGGCGTGCTAACCCCTTAAAGTGCAATTCCTTAGAGATCAACATTGTTCGTTGAGCATTTGCTAGCTATGTTATGCCCATGTGCATAGCTGCGATATAATAATCTCCGAGCTCTCTAGGACTGTAAATATAGCTCTGCAGCCTGTTTTCCATGTTCGATAAAGAGATCTGGGAAGAAATTGATAGCTATGATAGGGCCCAGAGCCAACGGTATGTCCATTGAACTACACACTTCTACTTCCTAGATTCAAATTTCCCTATCACTCCAAGCTGCGATACATAAGAGAAAAAACGAAAGTGGTGGGCAGTTTGGGAACATGGTTATTCAATCACAGTGATATTTCACCTCCTCTCATTGAAGTACATACATCCCCAAAACCAACGTCACAGCAACCATGACTGCCCCGAAAATACCCATGTTCCTCAAAGCCCGCTCATGGTGACCCTGCATAGTAACAGCAATACGCTCAGCCCACGCTTTCGGCGGATTCCCCATTGGAAATGCTTCCTGTGGGACATCTTTGTCGAGAAACTTGCAAAGCGGTTCCCAACCATCCTCAACAGACCATTCCAAGAGTCTTTCCGGGTGCAGACCCATTCCCCGTATAATAGCCACGTGCTGCTCATAGACCCATTTCCCATTCGATGCGAAACTGCCTCGGAAGAAACGTGGCATCATGGTGCGACACATTGTTTGGCGAATCCAGAACAAGTCCGCATTGAACCAGCTCTTGAGCCAGTCCCAGTCTGTTGGGTTTTGGTCGAAATAGCCCATTGTTTGTTCCATACTTTCGTACCAGCTGTCGAGGTCTTGGCGGGTGTTGAGAATGACTTTTGCGTTGGGATACGCGGCGATAAGTTCGGGGGAGAATTCTGCAGCGAGGAGGTCGCTGACGCCAACGCAGTTGCTTAGGACAGTGTCAAAATCTTCGGCTGTCAATTTGTTCGTTTCGCCGGGCTTCGGTGCTGTATTGTACTTTTTCTGCAAAAGTTTATAGATGGCCTGTAGGGATGAAGGCGGGAGAATTGTGTCGAATCCATGGAATGTATGATTGAAGCCAAGTATATGGAGCGCCTCGCGAAGAGACTCGGTGGCCGATCTGGATATTCCAACAGCCAGAATTTGCATCGGTTCTTTTCTTTTCAAGGTAGTTGGTGGTGGAAGGCCGTACACATAGTGGAAAATCGAGTCTGTGATGGACATCTTTTAGTATGGAGTCGAGGCAGCTATTTTCAAAATCACGGCGAGCCCAAGAATCAAGGGCGGTTGAATGCCTATTTGAGCTTTCTCAATCTACATAGCGCGACATGCAACCAATACGGTGCATGAGTCAGATTCACGGCATGTGTTGATTCGCTGATGCAAAGCCCCGGAGGCGGGTGGCCTTAACGCCATGGCCCAGTTTCATGGTTCGATGGCTTTGACAGCTCTTCAACAATCAACAAAGATGAGGTCAACAAAGATGAAGGTTGAGGAAGTCCGGGAAAATCTGGTGTCATCACGTGCAGAGCCATTCGATGTGCATTCAACTGCCTGAAGTCACTCGGAGCCTGTGAGTGGAGACGAGACATCTTTTCCTCTCGCACAACGCCATCCCAGAGAGGATCGAGACATCGACCCAGGGTTACGATCATTCTCGATTAATATCAGAATGCGTTCTTGTCCGAGGTTCGGCCCAAATCTGATTGCAATGAGTCTGTATCTCTCAGTGATCGTCTGCTATTGTGCTACCCAACTAGCAGCAAGGCGGGCACATATGTCGTCAGTGGGTTACAATCAAGATGCCAGCTTTGACTCTGTTGCTCACATCGAGAATATGGAGATAAGAGAGACCCAGATGAGCCAAATCGAGTGGATGCTATGGGCATACTTCACTTTTGCTAAGCATTCCGCAAAGTTAGTACGACCCACGTTCAAAGCGGGTCAGAAGAAGCCGGTGCAGCTCCCAGTGAGAAGCTCGAATTTGATGCCAGGGGAATGTGGGTCGAAGTGGAGTCTGTCAGCAGGAAAGTCATTGATAAAGCCTTTCTCGGCTCGAAGAGGTCCGTTTTGTTTTGACCCCCTGGGAAAGCTTGGGGTTATCCTCGATCATGGAGTCTTATTTCCAGTATAAGCGGATCCAACGCGCGGTCAGGAACCAGCTCAACGCCAAACCGCATTCCGATGACGATGGGAACAGGAGTGCGAAGTAGGTGCCCAATTCCTGGTTCAATTCGGAGTGGCTGGAACAAAGGACTGATTTGTGATGCTTTACTCGCTACTCTCTAGTTCTCAGCGCGATGAGAAACAAATACCAACTACTCCCGAAGGAGCGGAAACCCTTAAAGATGCGATCATCCTTGTGAGCTGGGAGGGCAAGGACGATCCCCTGAATCCAGCAAACTATAGCGTGCCGCGGAAACTGTTCATGACCATATTAGTGTCCTTGATTTCACTTGTGGTCACGGCAGCATCGGCCATTGATGCTTGCGGTGTTCAACAGTATAGTCAATACTATCACGTCTCCGAGGTTGTGGGGTCTCTCGCTACCGGTATGTCCACCGCAACGCTTCCAAGGGTTCAATCTGATACGGTGATGGAGGTTTATTCTTGATCGGCTTTGGAGTCGGCTCTCTCCTATCAGGACCATTCTCGGAAACATTCGGGCGCAACGCGGTGTACCTGATTACCATGCTGGTCTTTTTGATCTTCGTCATGGCCGCTGGTCTGGCTCCAAACCTCCACAGTCATCTTGTCTTCCGGTTCTTTGCCGGCTTCTTTGGTTCGACGCCGCTCAGCTGTGCCGGTGGGACCGTCGCCGACTTGTGGAATCCAGTACAAAAGGCTTACGCCTTTCCCGTATATGCCATTCCGGCGTTTTCAGGACCGATGTTGGGTCAGATTATAGGCAGTTTTGTTCCCACTACACTAGGATGGCGCTGGTTGGAATGGCTGATGCTGATCTTGGGCGGGGTGATCCTGATCCTGGTGGTTTCAATGCAACCGGAGACATACGGGAATCTTCTGTTGCATTGGAAGGCTTCGATTCTTCGCCAGGAGACTGGTGATCCGAGATATCGGGCCCCGATGGAGATGAGGAGTGAGAGTCTTGGGCGTCGGTTGTTGATTGCGATCTATAGACCGTTCCTCTGGAGCTATACGGAGTCGATCATCATGCTGATGTCGTTTTACCTCACCGTCATCTATATCGTTCTCTATACCTTCTTGGAGGGGTATTCCTATGTTTTTAGTCAGCCTTATGGGTTATCCCTTGGTTTGACGAACTTGTCGTGGGCTGGGATGCTTGTTGGCATTATTCTCACTACTGGTACCGTGCCAGTGGTTTACTCTTGGACTGCGAAAGAGTATCAAAAGACGGGTCGCATTCTTCCCGAGACACGTCTGTGGTATGCAATGCTCGGGGGTGCACCAGCAGTGCCTATTAGTTTATTCTGGATGGGTTGGACCTGCTATGTAAGTTCCATGTCGTATTGTTCTTGAGGTAAGAGTCACTAACACCCACTCCCATTCAGTCCTCCGTTTCCCTCTGGTCCCCGCTCGTCGCATCAGCCCTCTTCGGATATGGGATCATGGCCATCTTTATCGTCGCCAATATGTACATCATTGATACGTACAATATCTACTCCGCTTCGGCGCTGGGCTTCCTCGTTTTCACGAGATACGTCGTGGCCGGTGGAATGACCATCGCTGGTGGTCCAATCTACGAGGCCATCGGCCCTCACTACACTCTGACCATTCTTGGGGCGATCAGTGCCGCCATGGCTCCGATTCCATACTTGCTTTACATCTACGGACCTCGGATTCGGAGGTTTAGTAAGCATGCTGTCAATGTGGGTTAATTTTATGAGACTGTGAATCCTTCCTGCAGATAATTGATCCCAACTGAGCAATCCACCAAATGTCAAACGGCAGATCTCGTCCGTTTATTACAAAGTGTAGAGTGTGGAGTGTAGAATCTCGGCATCCCGGTCCAGGCCAAGCACCAAAGTCGACGTTGATAGTTCCCGTGAACGTTATAGGATAAAGCTGACCACATACTCCGACCGGATGACCAAATATGCTCTGGCGGTCTGGGCAGCATGCAGCTCAGCCAATCCAATAGTTTCATAGCTCTCATTAAACTAAGAGATTAGACCTCATTATTGGTCTTGGCGGCTTGGCAGAAACGTCCGATCAGCGGGGAGTTGTGGGAGTCAAGTTGACTCTTCCCTTGAGTACTCTAAATACTGTTGGTTGATACTAGATGTGAGCTCCATGGGAAGAGAGCCCTCGAACATGGAGAGAGAAACCAGGCCCACGAGAGCAGCGGAAAGAAAAGAGCGATCGCAGTCTGCAATCACTCGTGATTGCGTGCTTATGGCTATTCAGTGCACAATTGCCTGAAGCGATCAGTTATAAAGCTCTCACTTTCGCTCTCTGGTCATCCTTACCCCTATTAAGGATGAACATGGAAAAGACCTCACTGGACCTCGAGTCCAATAAACTCGAATATGATCCATGGCTGCTGGAGGACCATCCACTGCGCTCGTATCCGACGGAGTGTATCCCCGGGCTATCAACTTATCTCTACGGACTCTACCAGTCGTGTTCGCTCAGGAAGACCTTCGTGCGAGCTGCAGTGCTCGTGCTGGGATGTCTGTGAGTCAAGTTCAGTCCCTGATTTGAAGCATGTGGAATCTAACCTTGTTTTCAGAGCCGCATTCCAATGCTTCCGATTCCTCCGCTTCAACCTCCCCAAGGGACTTCCGCCCATGGCTTCCGCGCCAACCGCGCAACCCCACGTCCAGCCTAGCGCATGCACATTCCCGACACTAGACACACGACCCCAAGCTCTGAAGAAGGCGCTTGGCAGCGGGTGCGACAGCCTCCGAACAGCCATATGGATGTACGACGGCGAGCTACAGATTGGCAATGCCGTGGCTAGTCCCGATCCCAATGTCTTCCTTGACCGACTCGGCCTGGGCCCTCTTTTAGCAAACCTCGACGAGGCCGAGTCCCAACCACTCCATTCTGAACCCCCGGTGAGCCCTCCGGGCGGTCTGAGTCGGACGTTCCTCTTGTTACTGGATGCCAAGACTTCGCTTCATGAGTTGTATCCCTTGCTTGTTGGGCAGCTAGATAGTCTGCGGCAACGGGGATATCTTTCGCATTGGGATGGGGAGACTGTGGTTCAGCGTCAAGTGACGGTTGTTGTTACAGGGGATGCCTTCGCGGACACAGACTGCGCGAGTCACTCTTATGCTGATGTTTTCTGGTCGTTGCCGGATGGACGCTTTTACCCCAGTGATCTCACCAAGGATGGCCTCCGACATTTGTCGCCCATTTGTATAGCATGAGTGTTTTTGATTCTATGATACCCACGAGATGTTCAATATCAATCTTCAATCTTGATCGAACGTGGATCCAAAGTACTGTATAGTAGTAAAGGGGCCGACTTCGGGGAGAAGAGGTCACCTGATCCGATCCACGGAAAATACTGTTCCTGACTCATGAAAGTAAGTCGGTGGATAGGATCTTCGCATCATTGTACCGTTTGATGATCTTGGAGACCCAGTTCAGGGATATAGTACAGGTGTACAGGGGGCCTTCAAATGTTGATAGCCAGCACAGTTGACCAAGATTCGGTGCTGTGGAAAATGGGGCCGCCACTGACGCCACTCGCAACGCTAAGTGGATTGCACAATTTCATGCTGTGGAGCTCAAATCTCCAATTTCATCATTAAATTCAGACAGCCATGTCTCGGTCAAAGGGGAGAAGTCGAGGAAGCCGAGATGCTACTGCATAAAATTCTGGCATGACTAAGGTCGGAAATCCTCCTTCCCACTCGTGGACAAATTGGCCATCTGCCGAGCAGAAGTCCAGACATCCGATTTCAAGCATCTGCTGGACATTCACATCGCCAAAGGTGGATAAAATCAGGGTCCATTGCAAGTCAAACCAGATCGTCCGCACCTTTCTGCTTGAAATGTGTTTGCCAATGCCCCTGCCAATGGGCCAAGCTACTTTAACCGAGCCTTCGCGCACTGACATCTCCATACTTACCGGTACTATAACGGACGGTCCGTCAACTCCAACGACCACATGCTGAGCAGAACGCCAACCTCGAAATTGAAATCCACCGGCTATCACGGCGTGGCGTAGCTAGTGCCAGAGCCGGGTCAACGAGGCAAGCTTTTGCGGACCCTCACGGTGGACTGGGTGTCGGTGGATCAGGACAGGAACTGCCAAATGATGTCAAGCCCACCATCAAATTTCAGATCGAAGCACTCTGATATGCTAAAGTGCGCTCTCCACTTGTTCACCATTCTCCACGCCAGAGGAGGAGTTCCGTGAAGATCCTGGCACCATTGCGTAAGTTCGTCGGCTCTTGCTCCAGTTTGCGTTCCCTGGCGCGGTACGGCTGTAGTAGGGGGGTTTTTTCTGACTCGCTTGGAACATAAATCTGTTTGCTCGTTCCCTGTTCTCCCTGACTTGTTTTGGTTCTTTTCCTCTGTTCCTTGTCCTGTTGTCTGTTATTTGGTTCGGGAAAGATCTTTGCCCCAGTATCGTTGCCGACTTTCCCGGTGTGAAATTGTCAATTGACTTGTATTCAAGATGGACGAAGGTGAAACTGGACGGCCTAGAGCCAGAGTGAGTTAAACAAGCACGTTGAAGGCATCGCTGTCTAATAATTATAAGTCTGATGCTCAGACACCGCAATCCCCAACTGGACGGAACCGAGCCAGAGTGAGTTGAAGAAAGAAGTTACTGTGTTAAAGTCAAGGTCTAATCATCTATTTCACAGTCTGATGCCCAAGCACCGCAATCCCCAAGCGGACGGAACCGTACTGCTAGCGATGCAGACTATATCTCGCCGACAAGAGGCGCATCAGGCGTTGATGACGGCCAGGAGGGTACCGCCCGTCGACGTAGCTCGGCGGCGTCGAGACGCAGCCGCTTAAGTGGACTACCTAGCTTGGCTCCTCGCACCACTCTCGCTCAGCGGACTCAGGGCAAGTTTACGCTGGCGGGTCCGGACGAGACTCCCCAGTTGCGCTTAGCCCAGGAGCCATTCGTTCAGCCAGGTTACGCGGATCTCAACCCGTCATATGAACAACCATCTAACGCCAGACCCGTGTGGTCTTTGGCTAAGCCGCTGCCCCGTGTTGTGCGGTCTGCCATGGTCCCGACCAAGGAAGAACTACTCCAGAACCTTGCAAATGCCCAGCGCCCCGTAGAAAACTCGCAACGGTACGGTCTTGAAGTCGACCCTAATGATGTTGAGCAGGGTCGTATTGACAAGACCCATGACCCGCGTAAGATGGCTGCTCAGGTCGAGGATGCTCGTCTGCAGCGTGAGCAAAACTTCATGAACAAGATCCTCACTGGTGATGGCCAGTCCATGAGACAGACGTCGCGTATGTCGCGCCGTATGTCCCGTGCTTCGTCGCAACGCGATTCCATGCGTGGAAGACGCCCTGCCCACTTTGAACAACCCGACAACCTGTCGACGGTTGAGGAGGGAGAGTCTCAGGACAACGATGAACCTGGAGAGCGTCCCGTCTTTGATGAAAATGACGAGGATCTGCCAGAACAAGGCTATGAAGAAAGGCTTGAAGAACGGTTGGATGAGCTCATTCCGGACCTCGAGAAGTCGGAATACCCCGAGGACCTTCATCCACTTGTCCAAGAGCTGGTTGAAGATGAAGTGCACAACAACCACACCACCTGGTCTGTTATCCGTACCCACCACCGTGAGGCTTTCGCCGAGGCTTTGGCTGTCTTTGTTCAGCTCACCATGGGCTTCTGTGTCGATTTGTCCGTCACCTGCGCGAACCAGGGCAACCCCAACACCACCTCCTGGGGCTGGGGTCTGGCTACCATGATGGGTATCTACATTTCTGGTGGTGTTTCCGGTGCTCACATGAACCCCATCGTCACCCTTGTTCTCTGGTTCTACCGTGGTTTCCCCAAGCGCTTGATGCCCGAGTACTTCGCCGCCCAGTTCTTGGCGGCGTTCTGCGCGGGTCTTTGCGCCTACGGTATTTACTACGAGTCTATCACGAACTACCTTCTCCTGAACGCGGAATCTGGCATCATCGACAGCTTCGTCACCAATCAGCGCGAAGCATGGATTGGACCTGCGACGGCCTTTTTCAACGAATTCATCGGTACGGCCTTCTTGCTCGTGACCGTCCTGGCGCTTGGTGATGACCAGAACGCCCCACCCGGTGCTGGTATGAGTTCGCTGATCATTGGGCTGGTCGTCTCCTGTCTGTGTATGACCTTCGGATACCAGACCGGTGCTGCGTTCAATCCTGCTCGTGACTTTGGTCCTCGTCTCGCTCTCCTTGCTGTCGGCTTCCCCAATAGCATGTTCCTTAATGCCTATTGGTTCTATGGACCGTGGGCTGGTGCGATTTGTGGCGGCTTCTTTGGTGCTTTCCTTTATGACTTGTTCATCTTTACTGGTGGTGAATCTCCCGTCAACTACCCCTGGGAGCGTACAGAGCGCGCCATCAGAAAGGAAGGCATGAAATGGAGACGCCGCGTGCACCTCGGTTAGAGTGTCCTGGACCATGTAGTGTTGTGAAATGGTGGTAGATGGCGGTTGTATTCTTGTGTGTATTGTGTCTCCAGTATATAGATTGTCTAATATGAAGGAACTTTCCGTTCCTTACCCCAGGTCTGAAGAGAGTAAGAGTAAAGCTCCGAATCACCCAGGACACACCGCAGTATACACAGTATAGAAACAGGGTCCCCCGCTAACGCCCAAAATTTCTGCCCTTTTGACGCGCCCAACTGCACGTTCCCTATCTCCGGGTCCACTCTGCACCTCTTTTCTTCTTTCTGCTTGCCTGCATTGCATACACTCCACCGCCATTCCACCTTTTACTTTCGACTTTCTGCTTTCTGCTTTCTATTTTCTACCCCAACTCGCTTTCTCTTTTTCTCTGCTGCCCAACACCGGTGGGATGGACTATCGACGACTACAACATTCGTATCAGCCCCGACCCTCCCCGTTGGGGGTTTCAGAGCGACCCGATCAATCTCGCACTTTCGCTACGCCTGAGTCTCGTCGCCCCGACGATTCGCGCCCGCACGTTTCCCCGACATCCACGTCGAATGTGGCCTCGCCGTCCCAGATCTACCCGGGGCATGCCCGGTCCTCGCGCGCTTCGCATACCTCGCATACCTCGCATACGGCACACCCCTCACACTCCCCCAATTTGTTCCGGACCAATACTCCCAGTGCATACTTTCAGTCCGGACCGAGGCCGACACATCGTCGAGATGGTAGTTTAGAGAGTCGGCACCATGGCCAATCTCATCGGAGGAATAATTCGCAACCTCAATCTCGTGAAGGTAGGCCATTCCCATTCCCCAGGTCGCGTGGCTCCCCAGATTCAGGAGGGAACCAAGAAACCAAGGATCGGAGTTAGGCCGGCACTTCACTGGTGACGATCGGGCGACTTGGAGTCAGCCTGAACCTGGAGGACGCTGCCATGTGATTGACAGGCCCCATCTTCCCACCACAGCCCCCATCTATTGAGAGAGAGATCTCCCTGCACCTCACTTCCACCGCACTTCCTCCTTGATTTTCCCCGACGATCGACTGGACAGCTCGGGAACGCTAGTCCAGGTCAGGCCTAGCGTGGCCAGAGGAGCCCTTGCCTCTTTGGGACTAGCGGCTGAGCTTCCGGAGTCACGGGTTCTGCTCGATCTGGCCCTTGCTTTCCCTTTGCTCACTCGAAACAGGCTTGAGTGCTATTATGAACACGCATTCGCGTCGCACTTCTCAGGGCAGTGTATTTCCTGGTAAGCGGACTTTGTGCAACAACAACCCCGGGTTGCGACCAATTCCGGGAGTCCTTTGGTAACCCCAACTGACGCAAACTCGATAGCATCTCACGAACAATCCACGGCTTTTGGCAGTCGCCAAATGCCCCCTCCCTCCCCTCCTCACTCTTATCCCTCACGAGCTCAGTCTGCCAACGCGCCTGCTTCCCTCATGTCGCGCGATGTTCCAACCAGTCAGGCACACAGGCCGGGCAGCAGCATGTCGATTTCCGCCATGCTAGGTTCGGACCCGGACCGCTCTGCACGAGATCCGACGCGAGAATCAGCACCGTTCTTTTCGCGACCGTCTGCATCCCTGTTTGGAAACCCACCCCCGTCATCATCATCTGCCGCCATGTCACCGCCGACGGCCCCTGCGCGACCATCGCCGCTCGAGAACAACTTCTTCCGTCGCTCCCAAACACCGGAGAAGTCTTTCTCCAAACCTCAAACAAACCGCACTTACCGATCAGGGTCTGGTGGTTCAAGCCTGGGGGCAGATCATACCTTCGGTGGCTTGGCGCGCTCCTCGCTCTCTCAGTATCCTGAGAAGCCACACTCCACCCATCCTTCGCCTAGAATCTCGTCGGCAGACGTCTCGTACACGGAGCCTCGTGAGCCTCGTCGCATGAGCCTCAGCGGCCCGATCGCTCGACCCAGTAGTCAACCGCCCAACGCCGAAACTCCTACCCGAGCGCCCGGTTACAGCCCGATCTCCCAACAAGGAGGTTCCGCCGATCGGGCCTTGGAGTCCGGCTCTCGGCCTGCTTCTGGGTCGTATGGGGGTAATGACTCGCAACACGGTCGGTATAGTGGGTTTGGCGATCGGCGCATGGACGATGCTATACAGCGTGAGCGAGAACGTGCAGCGGCTCTTGGAGATCCAAAGCTGTCGCAGGCTGGGTATCGCTATGGCTCTCACTATGCCGAGCGTGACCCTCGAGACCGGGACTCGGGTTTGACATGGGACCATCACTCTCATCCTCCGTCGCCGGAGAGTAAGCGTTTCCCTGCTCCAGACCATGGGTCAGCTTTCGGCTTTGGGGCTATACAGAGCTACACCAAGTCCCTGGGCTCGCAACCCGGCAACAGACAATCACAAATTTCTCTACAGTCTGGGAACAGCCAACCCACTCCTCCGCCTCACGATGCTTATTCCAGACATCAACCCCAGCCTCCTCGCATGGGGTCCACGCCTGCTTTGGCGGTCTCGACAGCGGTCGCCTCCTCTGGCCTTGCGGCTCTGGCGGATGAGGGACGCCGCAAGGGAAGTGAGGAGCTTTTGCATCATCGCAGTTTGCTGGCTGTCAGTGCAGACGGCAAGCGCGGTGGTCGTGCCTCTCCGCTGCCGCAAGCCGTACAGGGCGCTCAGGCTCCTTTCGCCGGTCCTTCTGGGGATTCATCTATCAAGAATGATCTTGGTCGCGTCTTCTCCGGCATTGGAAGCGGTGTGGGTGGTGTGACAGCTTCTGCTGGTGGAAGCGGGCCATCCACACCCTTGGGCTCCAGTCCATTCAAGCGTGATAGCCTGACGGGTCGCTCTACTAATGGCGAGGCCATTGATGAAGCAGCCAGACTTGCTCGGCCTCCCTCTGCCTCCGGTAGGCGGTCCAGGAGGCCGCGTGACGAGGAGCAGATGGAACTTGAGGCCAACGATCCTCGTGGCGTACTTTCAGCCCGCAACGCGCGTCGGTCTCGACATGCTCATCACCACCATCACCAGTATGCCAATAGAGCTGCATTAGATTCCAGTTTACTGACTTCCTCTAGTCATCATCATCACCGCCACAAGGCAGATGAGGAAGCAGCTACTCTGACCTCCCTCCATCGGCCTACGAACTTCTTTCACCGAACATCCCCCGCGGATCCATCCGCTCACCACCACCATTCTCATCATCATCACCATCATCACCATGTCCCTAGACAGGCCATTCCAGCTGCCTCTCCTATTCGTGAGCCTCGCACGACCGTAAATCTTGAGCCCTTGCTTTCTAGCGTGGCTCACCTCCCCCGTCATCATTTGGGTTCAACCCTCTACACCCCTCGTGTCGGTGCACCCGCTGCTAGATCCTCTACAGAAAGCTCGAAGTTTGGATACACCACGACCCCCCAGCCTCTTCCTCGCTTCGAGAAACGTGAGAATTGCACTTTCACCGTTCGGGTTCCCCGATTCCGCATCGACCAGTCTCACCGCGAAGAGATCTGTGCTCGACGAGCCCTCTGGGGCACTGGTGTCTACACCGATGACTCTGATCCTGTTGCCGCTGCCATTCACTCGGGCTTTATCCGTGGTGCCTGGGGCGAAGATGTGGACGAGTCCATGCTTGATCTCGAGATCAAGGATAGCTACCAGCACGCACCGCAAGCACCTGTCGAGGCGGACGGCAAGGGCAAGTCCCCCAAGGAGCCTCGCCTCCCGCCCTCACCTCCTGCAGATAAAGATCTGCACATTACTCTCCTCGTTCTCCCCCGTGTCGCCCAGTACGACTCCACCATTCTGTTCGGCATCAAGTCTCGCAAATACACCGGGCGTCACGACGGCATGAGCTTCAAGGTCCATGCCGTCGACTGGGTCGACGAGGGTGTTGGACGTGGCGAAGAACGTAGCGGTGAGGCCCGTCGCAAGCGTCTCCGCACTCTCATGCAGTCTGGTCGCATCTGCACTGGACCTGCGATGGCCAAGATGGACGAGCTTCGCCACAGCGGAGTGCAAGTCCCTCGCACTCTTGATGGGCAGGACCAGCCAGCGGCTGTTCAGCCCGTGTCGTAATAACTTCTTTTATCATAGGGAGGCATTTACAGTCTCTTTTACCCCGGATCTACTACTATCTTCTCTGTTCCTTTTTTTTCAGTCGACCTTCTTGTCCTTTGGCGGTCCACGGCGTTGGACATTTCTTGTTTATCATATTTCTCCCTTGATACCTCTTTTGGTTTGCGTCGGATCAACGGGACGGGGGAAAGGGTGGCGTGTAATTTTTTTTTGGATTTCTTTCATATACATAATCTATGACCTCGTACTTGTGTTTCTGTTCTATTGGAGGTGTAGCCGTTCTTCCCCACACGTCATTGATCGGGTCACCGGAGTGTAATCTTCAGCTGAATGCCTTTGATACTTGACAGGTGATAGTTGACAGTAGACAGTGAACAGTAAACAGTTTCCACTGGGGACTGAACAATCACTCGAAGATCGATCTGATATCCCTTGTGACCGAGACATCCCCAACCGAGGCCCAGTGGACGAGGTAATACCGAATACATTACATACTATAACGGACATGAAGATGAAGCTGTCCAGTGTAAAATCCCTTCTCGAGCTTTGATTCTCTATGTTGTCAGTAGCTTTAACTTGTCCTGAATAGTCTTTAATCCCCTCTAACCAGTCGACTACCCCCTGTCTCTCCCTAAAATCTCGTGTTTCCCTCGGAAATCTATTCGGTCCCGTCCGTAACGGCCATACCGTGCTTTACCGGCTTCCCCGCCAACCGAGGCTCACGGACTTGGCCTTGACTTGCTCTCGCCGCTTAAGTCCAGCTTCTTCTCTCTCATCTTCCTCTTCAATCCTATTTTCACAATCACAGGGATGTTCACTGCTTCTGCGCGAAGCCGTCTCTCTACCCTTTCACGGCAACGGCTTCCTCCGAACCCTCTCCTAGCCCGCTCGGTAAGTCGGCCGCCTCCGATTCGAGAGCAGTTCCCCCAGCTTTCCACCATCGGCCTCGCTGCTTCGGGTTTCCTCTGGAACACACCTCATTGACATTTTCTACAGACTCTCACAATGGCTCCCCGCCGCGCAGCTTCGTCCGTCCCAGAGGGTGAGTGTCACATGCGTGGAGGGTGCAGCGCGGACCACCTCCGCTCACCCGCCTTGCACGCGAAGTCGGGATCACCAGGTTAATAGCAAGCAATCGCTGACAATGCTATGTACACAGGATACAAGGAAGATATCTCCAAGGGCAAGATGCTCCGATTCGAAGACTCCCTCCCTCAACTCCCTGTTCCGTCCTTGGAAGAGACCGGTCGTCGGTACCTGAAGTCCGTCCACGCGGTTGTCTCCGAGGCGGAGTACCAGCGCACCAAGAGCGCCGTTGAGGAGTTCATTCGCCCCGGTGGTCCGGGTGAGCCTTTGCAGGAGCGTTTGCTTGCTCGGGCGGCTGATCCTAAGATTAAGAACTGGCTGGCTGAGTGGTGGAATCAGGCTGCTTACCTCGGCTATCGGGATCCCGTCATTCCTTATGTTTCGTACTTTTATTCATACCGCGATGATAAGGAGCGAAGAGACCCTGCGAAGCGTGCGGCGGCTATCACTACTGCGGCGTTGGAGTTCAAGGCGCAGGTTGATGATGGTTCCCTGGAGCCTGAGTATCTCCGTAAGGAGCCCCAGGCTATGAGCTCTTACCAGTATATGTTCAACTGCTGCCGTATTCCTGGCGAAGGGGCTGATTTCCCCCGCAAGTATGCGGCTGCTGAGAACCAGCACATTATTGCGGTGCGCAAGAACCAGTTCTTCAAGGTTCCTCTCGTGGTCGATGGCCAGCAGCTTAATGTCTCTGAGTTGGAGCAGCAATTCCAGCGGATCTATGAGATCGCACAGCCTGCGCCGCCGGTCGGTGTCTTGACTGTTGCTGATCGTGACCACTGGACTGCTGCCCGTGCGAAGCTCGTTGCTGCTGATGCGGCTAACGAGCTCGCTCTTCAGGATATCGAGTCTGCTGGTTTCGTCGTCTGCCTGGATGACGCTAAGCCTGTCACCCTCGAGGAGCGCGCCCAGCAGTACTGGCATGGTGATGGCTCCAACCGCTGGTTCGACAAGCCTCTCCAGTTCATCGTCAACGACAACGGTACCGCTGGATTCATGGGTGAGCACAGCATGATGGATGGCACCCCCACCCACCGTCTGAGCGACCACGTCAACAACCTCATCTTCAACAAGAAGATCGACCTCTCCGCCAAGTCTGTCCGTTCTCAGCTCGCTGACCCCAAGCCCATCACCTTCAAGCTGAACGACGAATCCCACGAGGCCATCGACATCGCCGCTCAATATCACCGCAAGCAGATTGCCTCCCACGAGCTCGTTGTCCAGGCCTACCAGGGCTACGGTAAGGGTCTGATCAAGAAGTTCAAGTGCAGCCCAGACGCCTTCGTCCAGATGACCATTCAACTCGCCTACTTCAAGATGTATGGCAAGAATCGACCCACCTACGAGTCCGCCTCTACCCGCAAGTACGCCGAAGGCCGTACAGAGACTACCCGCTCCGTCTCCGATGAGAGCGTCGCCTTCTGCAGGGCTCACCAGGATCACACTACCCCCCGCGAGGAAGTCGTGAAGCTGTTCCGTGCTGCCCTTGCCCAGCACACCAAGTACACTCAAGAGGCTAGCGCCGGCCACGGTGTCGACCGTCACCTCTTCGGCCTGAAGAAGCTTCTCCAGCCCGGCGAGAAATTGCCTGAGATCTATCAGGACCCTGCTTTCGCTTACTCCGGTTCTTGGTACCTGTCCACCTCTCAATTGAGTTCTGAGTACTTCAACGGATACGGATGGAGTCAGGTTCTTGATGATGGATTCGGAATTGCCTACATGATCAACGAGAACAGGTTTGTCTACACCTCCCCTCACTCTCTCTGATGTCTGCATATCTCTTGTCATATTACACTGCTAACCCTTTCTTTTTTTTTTCCAGCCTCAACTTCAACATTGTCTGCAAACGTCTCGGTGCCCAGCGTATGAGCCACTACCTCAATGAGGCTGCTACTGAGTTGCGCGACCTCCTCATGCCCGACTTGGTCGCTCAGCCCGAGAAGCCGAAGCTGTAAATGTCTCGCTTGCATATACCCGGTTTTTGTTTGGGATTTCGTTCTTTATTATATGTACCTATCCGATAGAAGATATATCTCATCGTCCTTTTTTTTTTTTTTTGAGGATCAAGATCTTGTTTTACTGGTTGTATGGATATAATGTTTTCGTATAAATGTGACTGTATGTGTCTTTTGTTGGGTTTTGAAGATTGATTCGGAAGAGTATACAAGTATCCTACCACCGTAAGGATCTTTTAGGTACTCGGCTACACATTCCGATTGGTTTTAATGAAAAAGAAACTCCATTTATACAGACCTTGACATGACTCAGACATGGTAGCTGTTGAAATACCCTGTTTCGAATAGACTTGACTCAAACTGATGTACAAGGACAGCCCTTGGGAAGGCTACCTTATTTGGAAACATTGCATTGTAGACCTTTCTGGCATTAATGAAAAACGATTTCGTGTAATGGGGTCTAATGGAAGAAATTGCATAACCACAATGAACGCGCTGCATTGATTGTTGCACTGTTGTACTGCATTGTAATTGTACATAGCATGGAAGACTGGAAGTGTCCGTCATTATACCACCTAATATGCATGCGAGGAGACTTCACGTTGTCCACATCTGAAAAGCAAGATGGAGCGGTACCAGGCTGCCTCAGTAGACTGCCATGACAATGAGACTTGCAGCAAGTAGGACCGGACCATCATGAAGGATTCTGCATATTATTCCCCTTGGGAATTTGAACCATCTTGTCATCGGGGACAGATAAAGCGAAAGCGAATGCAATGGACTCAATATCCTCCACAAAATCTAGGCGCTAGGGTTTCAACATGGTGTGAAAAATTTGCTAGGGCGAAAGGATCTGACTTGGTCATGGTATTGTATCACGGACAAAGTTAACAGCGTTGCCTGATGTGTCAATCGTCGCCCTGTACTGTAGGGAGACTGCAAGACTCAAATTTTGCTTTCAGTCTTTACCGTCTGCTGATCCCACAGCAGGTGGGTCCCTGGCCTCGGGGCCCGCTTGCCCGACAACACCAGATCTCGTTGATGCCCCGGAAGTTGACATTTCACCAATTTGTCTTTCTGCGCAGTGTTAGTATGTAATGGATCTCCACGTCGGAGTGGGGTAGCCGCAAGGATATTGCGGGATTAAAGAACAATCTTACCTAGTTCCCGAATTCGTTGTCGGAGGAGAATGTTTTCTCGGCCAAGTGAGCTAGCTTCGGCTTGGTAAAACGCACTTTCGTCCCGGCTTCCCCGCCGAGATGGACTGAACCCCGGGAATGCCTCCACACCGGTATCGAGTGGTCGCAGATTGGGCGAGGCTGTTTGACTGGACGGCCGAGAGGGACGGCGGTTGGAAAATGACGAAGAGATTGATAGTCTATTTCCGGCTGGACCGGTGGGTGCGTGTGTTGGAGGCAGGAATGCCGACCGTTCCGATGACGGTGTATCATCGATAGCCGTTGACTGCGCGATTGATTGCTGTGGGTTCTGCTGCTGGTATTGCTGCAGCTGGGCCTGCTGACTGCGGATCATCTGCAAGAGACGGTTCTAGTGGAGCAAAGTAGATGTTAGCTTATCAGCTATGTCAATGATTCTTGCCATAAGTATAAGACCTACCACTTGTGCTTCTTGCTCTTGTTCCAACTCCTGGTGTAGCTCCCCCAGCGATGGCGCCCGTTGATGGTGGGGATCAGCTGTTGCAAAAACAGGACTACTCCCATGGCTAGAGGGGCTGGTTGTGCGGAATGCATGTCCGATAGAGCTGCGGTGGTCTGACGAGACAGTATCACCGTTATTGGCCGGCATCTCACTCAGGTTGAGATTACCTCCGGCAGCTGAGCGACGGCGCTCGGATACCGATAAACGGCCTATGCTCGATCCTTGGGAGGGTCTGGGGGATGTGGCGGTCGCCGTGGGCAGGGCACTTGGTGAGATGGAAGGCATGTTGCGGTATGGGATCGAGGAAGAGATGGAAGAAGAGCGAGATGGTGGCAAAGAGTTGAGATCAGGAGACATCTGGAATGGCGTTGATGTCGATAGCTTTGATGGCGAGCTCCAAGCTGCAACGTACGTCAGGCCCCCTTGAGATTGGATGACTCATCTTGTTTTTCGCGGGGGTGATCACATGATCAACCTCTGTCACAGGACTAGTGGCGCAGTGCCTGAGGCTGCATTGCCAAGAAAACCCAGCAAACGAAGCAAACGAAGCAAACAGGACCAAGTGTACTGTATGGCAATGCACCATGCTCTGTGGCTCGAGTAACTATCTGAATGCATGTAACATCTCACCGTACCTGATAGACCTCGTGTACTGTTATAATGTTCCATCATTACGCCCCGACTATCTGGCATGTACGACTTCACCTATGGTTCTGTTCCTAACTCGAGCCTGAGGATTACCATTTCGGAACATGGGCCAGACTTGGCGTACCAAGGTCGATTCAGCCACAACAAAATATTTTCATCCTGCAATTGGAGGCCCTGGTTGCGCACAGGGTTAATTTGCAAATTATCAGGGAAAAGGCCCCGGTCCCTCCGGGTGGCGTCAAACCTTCAAATTCTAGACTGTATGAGTAGGTTGATTCTGTAAATGCGTAAACATCCATCCCTTGATACTCGCCGGAAAGATCAACCTTCGCGTGGCCTCAGATACGATCTTGTCGATCTTCCAGCAAAAGATTTGCCATGTGCAGGAATGCAAGGTTACATTCCCCAGGCCGAGTCCGGGGGAAGCCCCTGCGGTCGTGGTTGTTTTCGGACAACGTAAATGCGGTCCACCCTGGACGATGTGACTTGAGGAACCGATCGAACTGTCTTTCTGGTCACTGGTCCCAGTCAGCCATGCTGGAAATGAGTCGGCCAGCCAAACTGGAGGGATTACAAGAAACAAACTTCGTACACGTAAGTATGGGAGGCCTTGCAAAGCAAGGGATTGCGATCGACAATTTTCTCGTGGTTGACAGTCAAGCTTCCGTGTACAGTTCTAGAAGGGAAAGTCGGGAGACCACGGGAATTTGGAGAGCATCGGGCCGGAATCATGCCTGGTAAGGTAACCACAGTCCGAGATCAGAACAAGACTTGTGGCCCCTGCCCAGACGACGATCGCCAGAACGCCACGCCCGTAATGGCGCCATGGCGATTTTGGGGGCGCGGTAGCCGTGCGCCTGGGTCTCTCTGTCTGATCCACGAACTGGCGCTTTGGCGGCCTTTGACGTCACAACGGACAGGCCGAAGCAGGTATTCAGCGAATAGTGGCTTGGCAGAGTTTTGTACTGTCAGAAGCACATCGGGTCCTTTGGCCCCGTATCCAAAACGCGGAGGGCAGTTGCAGTAGACCCCTTACATCGCGGGGGAACCATATGGTTAAACGTAGACTCGATGTTGCATTGGGGGCACTGAACAGACTACCCGATTCGGGGCATTCCTGGACAAGTATCGGGCTCGGGCTGTCTCTGGGGAAATGCTGCAGTCATCAGTTCTCCGAGGTGGGTCTACCCCATTGCGGGCTTTCCCCGTGGGCTCAATGCGGTGACGGTCAATCAAGTAGACACCGACAAACAAGCAATTCTCAGCTGTGTAGAGGAAGTCGAATCCAGGAAATCGTTTGATATGATAAGTCTTCAAGGAATAGAATGGATGTCGAGAAGGAGAACAGAGAGAGGAAGAGTCTGGGGAGAAAGAAAACATGGGGAAGACGTCGGCATCCCGTAAATTACCAATACCATACAAGTACGCCGCATCTTTTTTTTGAACCTTTGCTGTTTCCGTATTTAATCATCCAACTTCCCCTCTGGTCTTTCTTCTTTCTCTTCTTCTCTTCTCATCCTTGCCTTCCCCCCGGGTTTTCTTGGTGAACACCTTATTACCCCCCTGCCCCATACTTTTGGTCCATCATGGCTTTCGATAAGCCGAGGGACACTGTCCAGGCCGCTGAGGCCGCACATGCTCAGGCTGTGGTCAATGCCGCTACTGAAAAGCTGGAGGAGGAAGAGGACCAGTTGGAACTGGCGTCCCCGGCGGAGCAAATTGAGCTCACGGAGGACATGTGCTACGACCAACTGGGATACTCCTTCAGCGAAACTAAGAAGTGGACCATCATCACCGTCATTTTCTTGGTGCAAGTCTCCATGAACTTCAATACATCTCTCTACTCCAATGCTCTGTCTGGAATCTCCGAGGAATTTGGGGTTTCCATGCAGGCTGCACGATGCGGTGCCATGATCTTCTTGGTGCTATACGCGTTTGGTTGTGAGCTCTGGGCACCCTGGAGTGAAGAATTGGGCCGCAAGCCCATTCTCCAGGCTTCACTTCTCCTCGTCAACATCTGGCAACTCCCTGTGGCGCTCGCCCCCAACTTTGCCTCCATCATGGTTGGTCGTGCCCTGGGTGGTCTCTCATCCGCTGGTGGTTCCGTCACTCTGGGTATGATCGCAGACTTGTGGGAGCCAGATTCACAACAGTATGCAGTCGCCGCAGTCGTATTCTCGTCCGTTGGTGGATCGGTGTTGGGCCCCGTCGTCGGCGGCTTCGTCGAGGCTTTCTTGCCGTGGCGTTGGAACATTTGGATTCAGTTGATCTTCGGCGGATTCGTTCAGATCGCCCACTTCCTCCTGGTTCCAGAGACCCGTACCTCTGTGATGATGGACCGCATTGCCAAGAAGATGCGCAAGTCTGGCGAGAATCCTAACATCTACGGTCCCACCGAGGGCATGTCTTTCCGCCAGCGATTCCCCCCTCGTGAACTGATGATGACTTGGATTCGTCCATTCAAGATGTTCCTGACCGAGCCCATTGTCTTGGTTCTCTCTCTCCTCAGTGGTTTCAGTGATGCTCTGATTTTCATGTTCATTCAGTCACTCTCGCTCGTGTACAGCCAGTATGGCTTCAACACCTGGGAGAAGGGTCTGGCATTCATCCCCATTGTGGTCGGCTACTTGATCGCTTGGTTGTCTTTTATTCCAGTGATCAAACGCAACATCAAGGAACGTCGCGACAATCCCGAAAGTGAGCGGGCTCAGTATGAATCTCGACTGTGGTGGTTGTTGTATACCGCACCTTGTCTCCCGATTGGTCTGATTGGCTTTGCTTGGACCAGTTTGCCACAATGCCACTGGATTGGATCTATGATCTTTGCCGCGATCATTGGTATTGCCAACTATGCAATTTACATGGCTACCATTGACTACATGATTTGCGCCTATGGCCCGTACTCTGCGTCTGCCACTGGTGGCAATGGATGGTCTCGAGACTTCCTTGCTGGTGTTCTTACTATCCCAGCTACACCATTCTTTGAAAGTAGGTTTTTTTCTGTCTTGATCTTTTTGTTTTACAATACTAACCGAATGTGACAGACATTGGTGGCAAATATCATCTCGAATATGCCTCGACTATCCTGTTCTGTATCTCAGTGCCGCTCGTCGTTGCGGTCTACATCATTTACTGGAAGGGTCCGGCTCTCCGCAAGCGCTCTCCATTCGCCCAGCAGCTCGAAGATGCCCGCATCCAGGTACACGCTCAGGTAGCCAGCCGACGGGGATCCAAGGTTCCTCAGGCATCTCGCGCAAACTCATATGCTCGCTCTCAGCAAGACCTCCGCATTCGGCCAACACTGGGCAGCCGCGCAAACTCACGAGCGAACTCACAGGCTAATTCCCGGGTCAACTCGCGCCGCAACAGCGTCGTCAATGCCTAAGTTGTTTTTTATTGCTATGGAGACCTGCAGATAGTGTTTAGTCACTGTCATGGGATCTAAAAGCTACTTCTCTTTTTTTCTATGTGCATGTTTTTTTGGCCGTTTGAGTCCTGACGCTGTGCGAAAATGGCTTTATAATTCTCTCCTCCCGACGCTCGGTAGATATACTTCTGGCCTCTAAAGATACCCTGTGGCTTTCGATAGAAGCACGGGCGCGGGCTGTTCCACTAATTGTTTGGTTTTGACTCGAAAGAGATTTACGATCTGGGGGTGTCATGTATACTATGGGTTCTCGCGACTGCGAGGCCGATCATGAATTATATCAATATCGTTACTTGCATGAAACATCCTGAATGCCTCATTGTTCATCTCCATATTATGTCGATATCAAGATTCTCTAGATGAGGGTATTCACATCTCCAGATCATCATCACAGACGATGATCTACAACGCGGGGAAAGACCTGGGGCCCCGACAGTCGAATCCGCACGGCGATCCGGCTAGTAGATCCGGCTTTGTATCGAGTGATACATGATCCCGGGATCGAGGAAACGGTATAGCGTAGCATCGCCAGCTCTGTGTATCTCGGTATCCGCATCCGGTCCCCAGTCGAGCTGTAGCTCCAGAAGACAAGAGATATGAACTATAGTCATTGAAGCCGATGTCAATGATTCGACGGAATCTTTATCAATGGTGCCCTTTTCTTTTTTTTTTTCCTTTTGTCATGTATGTCAGGGTAGCATAGGGCCTTGGCTTTGGTCAGGTCACATCAGGGCTTGAGTTGGCTTGGCTTTAGGTTTTTGGTCTCGAATGCAATACTGCTCTTCAAAGCTGGATTGTGTTGAACGTTAGATGGCCTTTTTTTGGGGGTAGGTACCGTCGTTCGGTGTATCATTCCCGAGACATGCTGAGCTCGGCTTCCCCTAATAATGTGTTTCTTTGTAAGATGTGGTCTGGTGATATATCTCTAGGGAGGATATCTTGCAATCTAGACTGATTGATGGGCATATATAGTCGACATGCAAGGGGTTATCTGAGACCTGTTGTGTCTCGAAACTCGAAGCCCTCCAAGTGGACAGATGCTATAGATGCCAAATGTCACTGATATGTGGTCCGTGCGTCTCAGCTGTTTCTCTCCAGAATGTCAACTCAAACCCTCCAACACAACTAAACATGACCCTACAAACATTACGTCTCTGCAGGCCATTGGCTATCAGGCCACTGCGGTCGGCCACTTCACGTCTGCAACTGCAGCCCATCCTTCGAATGGCCAGTACGCTCCAATTCGCTGAGGGCGAAGACACACAGCAGCTTAGTCGCGATGCCGAGGTTCTGCTGAAGCAGGGGTGGGCCCTTGATGGAGAAGGAATGGGAATTACCAAAACGTTTCACTTTAAGAGCTATTTCAAGGCAGTGGTAAGTTTTGCTTTTTCCAGCGTGTTATTGCACCCTGTTCTGTGGTCATAAGCGTGCCCTCTAATGGGTGAGGACATGCTGACGGCTAACTGCGGACTGGATAGTCATTCGTCAACATGATTGCTGCAGAGAGTGCATCGAAGAAACATCATCCCACTATGACAGTGGTATGTGAAGGTCACTTATAGAAAGGAAATTAAAGCTGACGTGCTGCAGCGGATCGGGTCGGTCGATGTCCACTGGACCACTCATCGCCCGCGGGGCTTTACTTCCAAGGATGTGGCTTTGGCTCGGCACTGTGAGCAGGGCGCTGGCCTGATGGCTGTTGATCCCAGTCAGGGATTGAACTGTGCCAAAGGAAAGTAAGTGACCTGTCCATTTCGAATGGCCATGCTCCGAGTCTCGAATTTGAGGAGGTGGATATTCATCTTTGCACCGTTTCATTTCTTTGTGTATGATCTACAATTTGTGGGATATTTCAGGGGCGATGTTTTGAGCTATTCCTGTCTGTATTATCACCCATCACTCCCGACGTTAGTCCCCCCACCGGGCTAGCCAGGTTGTGAATTTCCCCTTGAAATCTTCAATTCCTCAATTTCAGCTCCAATTTGTTTCTCCCGAAATCGTTGTCCTTCATTTGTGTCACGTCCCAAGGCCATGACGTTCGGACAACGGTCCTGCAGGATTTCTCACGTTCCGTCATTCCGATGATCATTTCCTTAAACTTCGCTCCTTTTCCTATGCTAGTATTCAGTCCTGAACTTCCAACTTCCTGGTGCACGCCATGGTTCAAGACCCTCAGTCCTTTGGCGAGCGCAGAGGGCATCGGCTCGCTCCGCTGCAGACCAATTTTAGCCGACCAACGGCTTCGAAATCCCAGTCGCGGCTGCAACGGCCGCGGCCGACAGAATACCCAAGTACCAATGGCTCAGAAGGCCCAGTCCCGCTTCAAAGTCCGATCACGGTAAAAAGGCAAACTTCCAAAACAAGTTTGCGCAATCTTTTTGGCCGCGAGAAAACTTCGCGCGTTCCTGAACCGAAGCTGGACGAAGTCGACGAGTCTCTTCCCGAACCGCAGACGGCTATTTTGTCTGAGACGCCAATGTCGCCCTCCTTAATGAGTCCCCGCACCATTGACTCGACCCCTACGGTCACCTCCCCAACGACCGCTCAGCGTCCTCGCGCGACATTGAGGACCGCCCGTCCGAAACCGTTAGAGGAAAGCTTATCCAAGCAGGACCGATATGGTTGGAAACCACCCCCGTTGTTCCAAGCGTACCCTCAATCCACCAAGCATGACTCTCTATCCGCACCTGCGCTCTCCGCCGACTCAATTTTGCGCCTGCACGCAATACAGGCGAAAAACTCGACCGATGAAGGCACCACCAATGCGCTAGAACAAGACGAGGCTGCCAATGTGGCGCGCAAGAAGCGCGAGCAAAAAGAAAGGAAGCACCTCCGGACACTTTCTGGGACAATCAACAAGGTGGAATGGACGCAAAAGATTTATGTGCTCGCGACTGCGGGTTACATCCTGCAGTATGCAGGGGATGGAAAGCACGATCGCTTGCCGGAGAAAATGTTGCTGTTGGGTCCTAATTCTGTCGCATTTGCCAGTGATGCCATTCCGGGGAAACATTGGGTTCTTCAAGTGTCTCATAATCCTTCATCAGACCCAAACTCCAGCGTGCCCGAGCCTCCTAAACCTCGCTTCTCACGATTTAGCTTCGCACGCTCTAATACCCGACGCTTTGCGGGCAGCTTTCTCCTCGTCTTCGATAACCCGGATGCGATGATCAGTTGGTTGACGGCAGTGAGAGAGGAGATTGAGAAACGGGGAGGACCGAAGCTCACGCAAGAGAAGCACTCTGAGGACCAGATTCCCCAATTGCGATCTAAGTCGAGTATCAGACAGATGGTGAAGAAGGATCCTCATCGTATCTCCAGTCTGTTCCTTCAGCCACAAACGCTTCAATCTCCCAGTGAGGAGGATGATGGGCAGTCTGTCGGTGGCACGACATGGCAATCCCGCCGTAGTTCATACGTATCAGTCAATCGCCGATCCGTCATTGAATCTCGATCTGGGTCAGTATCGACTAGTCAAACTGAAGCTACGAATCCTGCGAACGGATCCGGAGTTTCATCTGTTTCTGATCTACGTTCCTCGTCAATCCCTTGTTCGAATATTCCCACCTCGTCGGTGAACGGTGCTTTCATGTCTGATGAGCCCCTGCCTGAAGAGGCCGAGCGCCCTCCTACGCGCAGTCCACCGCCTTCGAGTCATGGAATTCGACAGTCCGTGTACACGTCTCCAATTCTTCCGCCGTTGCCCATAACCGACGTAATGGAGGACCGACAAGCCCCTTCGCCGCCTGTGCCTGAGAATCTCATTCGGTGTGCATCCCCCCCGCGCCAAATTTCAGTGTTCCCTCCTTTAGCAAGAAATTTGTCCCTAGAGGATCGGCGCCAATTACTCATGCTTCTCCGCCTCTTTCGGGCAACGCGTTCGCTCGTCGGGTTGATCAGACTGACCCGAATATGTCTACATTCTCTTCCCCGCCGCAGTCTCCAACCTTTAGCATTGCCAGTTTGCGTCAAACGGAATCATCCGAGCCTAGGCGTATTCTGCGTGTGTCAAACTCAGAAGATGCATTGGCAATGACGGTGCGCTCAATCCAGAATAGCTCTATCTATTCCCGCATGCCTCACGCACCACCTCCAACAGGACCACTGCCCGATCCGACTGCTTCTTCTCGTCCGCCGAGTATGGTTGGCCGTTCAGGAACTAGTCCTCAGGCTACCATTGAGCCGCTGGTTCCAACAGCTCCCGCTGCTCCAGCAGACCCAGCGCCGCGTAACAGAGTTTCGACGGTCTATCCTGATAATCACCCTTTGAGCATGTCTCGCCGCAAGAGTATGCCAGGTCTAGGATTATCAATTGGACCTGCTGCGCCACCTCCCAACTGTCCCCTTCCTAAGCTTCCTTCCCTTGCAAATATCGTTAGCACTGCTGCAGTTCAGTCTCCACAGACGTTGTCCCCTTTGTCCCCGACTTCTCCAATGGAACGTTTTTACGGATCCCAGCCAGTGCGAGACCATGTTGAAGATCGTCGAGTCAGTGGAAACAAACCTGGGAGTCCCGCAGCTCAAACAAAACCACATGCGAAAGCTCGGCATTCGAAACTGGTCAAAGGACCACCAGTATAAACAACTCCTTTCAACATAACATATCGTACACGACACTTCGCTGCTCCCTCAAAATACCCCTGACGTCGATTAACTTCGACTTCTCATCTCTTACGCTATCATCTCTCATGAAATTACTGAGATACCACTCCCTCAATCCTCGTTTTCGTTTCTCATATTGACTTCTCAACTGTGATTATTACTACCATTATATCTGTCGTTTTGCGAATCACGGCATCGGATTTTGCACATGCATTTTATATTTCCTTCGCATCCATCAATTTTTTATCCACTACACAAGACGATACCCCCTTCGTGTTTCATTCTTCACCTTCTACCTCCTCTTCTGCCTCCGCTTCGCATAAGCGTTTATTGGCAAAGGCCTTGTATTTGTATATACCCATTTATTTGATTCTGGGATGGGATCGGGATTGGGATTGGGATTGGCATTACTCATAGAATGTGAGGACCTGTTGTGTTACCATCATTGCTTCACGATCTGCCTATCTTGTATTTTCCTCACATAAGTTATCTAACTTAGTGTGAATGTCTGCCTTGCTATAGATGGGCCTTGCTTTATTACGTAGGTCTACGTGGGAGTCCTTTTTAAATCAAGCGCAATATAATCAATGCATAAATGCAAGCCTTATACGCCATGAGAATCCTGTGAATGAATACAATACTCGCGGAAAGTAGGTTTGTATCCCGCTTCTCTGATCGTATGCGATACAACAACTTAAACAATGTTCGGGATAGAAACATTACTCTGCTTCTTCCTCCACTCGTGCACTCAGATCTCGTTTCACTACGGACGCGGGTGTCGAGGTTGTTTCGGCGGAGGTAGTCGTTGCGGAAGCAGTCGTTGTTGAGGAGGCTGAAGTTTCAGTGGCTGCAGGGGTCAACGTCTTCTTGGACTTTTTGGCTGCCTTTTTGCTCTCCTTGGTCTGTAGACAAGATGAATGATTAGCAAAGTGATTTAAATAGGAAAAAAGACCTGATTTTACCTCTTGCCAGCCCCATAGAGGCTTGAAACTGTCGAAGAATCCAACATCCTCAAACAGGTTGGGGAACAGCCAGAGACCGGGAGGAGCAGCGAACACAGTAATGCAGAATAGAATCAAACGGAAGATGGACATGGCGAAGAAGAGACCGAGCAGTCCCATCATTCCAACACTCAGGTACCACACACCCTGGCGCAGCATGATGGGCCAGAGTGGGAAGAGAACAACAGCGAAAATACCAGCAACGACGGCGGCGGCCATGGCCTTCTGCTTCCACTGGGGACCGTCGTAGAGCCAGACGTAGTGCATCATAGGGTCGGTTTCCTGGTGCTGCTCGATCTTGACGGTCCACAAGCCCTTGGTGCGGTTCTTGGGTTTGGCATGGTCGTGACCGGCATGTGGGTCGACTTTGCTTACTCGAAGAGCTAGCAGGGACAGTGGGAGGAGCTTAAATACGTTCTCTGCTGACGCGCGGTCTGTCACGGGGGGTAGGAGGGAGTTTTTCTTTGCGGCAGCTTTGGCGTATGCGGGAGACTCGATGGCACGGATTGCTCGCTTGACTGGAGCAAAAAGACACGGTTAGATGTTTCGGTCTAGGTTACACCGACATGGGTCCATATTCTAGCTTACCCTTGAACATATCCTTGCGCTGGCCGTCCATGATACATGTGCGCGGCTTGAGGCTCTGTGAGCGCAGCCAGTTGGCGACTGCAATGGCCTTCGGGTCAGGAGGGTTGTTGGGGTTCACGGGAACCTGTTGTTGTGTCGTGTGTTGATGTTGCTGGGGAGCTTGTGCCTGGCTCTGTTGCTGTTGCTGTCCGGGCTGTCCACCTTGTTGCTGAGCTTGTTGAGCTTGTTGAGCTTGTTGAGCTTGTTGAGCCTGCGCTTGCTGTTGCGCCTGGTGCTGCTGCATTGCTCGCATCCGCAGCTGTGCGACATACTGCTCAGTAGTCAAGCCGAGCTTCTCGGCGTCAGCAGTGAGCTGTTCGCGCTGCTTCTGGGCGAATTGTTCAGGTGTCATCCCTCGTTTGGCGGCCTCGGCGGCGAACTGCTGCTGCATTGCCGCCATCTGCTGAGGGCTGGGGCCGGGCGCAGCCATAGTGAAAAGATCCGGCGATTAAAATTGGGATAAGAAAAAGAACCGAAGCCGGAAAGAAAATTGGTGCGTTGAAGGGGGAGGGTGGGACTTGGTGAAAGAAAGAAAGAGAAGTGGCCAGATTGACTCAGGTGATTTCAGGTGATTTCAGGTGATCGACCCGCAGCTGTCCCTCACGAGTCTCCAGTCCCCAACTTCAACTATGAAACCCCCATGTCAGTGACTTATGATTCGTCGGCCACCTTGGTGAACGCTACTTGGGTGGCTGTTCTCCTAGTGAGTATCTCCATGCAATACACAACCCACGGTGTTAATTCAGCCAGAGTGAACGTGATGTCGCCGGGCAAATCCCACTCAACTTCGTCACGAACCCCGCGGTGTCGCTATCGGCTGCCTGCTTTGGAAATGGCATATATGATAAATCTGCCGCGACGGAATGTTTCTCGAACTTGCTAGCAATCGGATACCGGCGCCTTCATCTCGACCTGTACTGGTCGCCGGACCGCAGAAAATGGTCCTTCTGTCCGGTCACTGTTCCAACGAAGGCCGACGTGATAGTGTCTTCGGAGACATCTACTGTGAGTAGTACCTCACAAACTTCGACCATCACTACTGCGGCTACGACTTCGACGGTTGCTGCACAGCCCGCAACCATCACTGCCTTCGACGATTCACATGGAAATACCCTCTATGAGCTAGGTCCGTATAGATGCACAAACGATCTGGATCCGTACACATTGGCCGAGATACTTGCGGGCTACTTCTCGGAGACCAATGCACGACTAACCGTATATACGACGTATCTTGCTCTCAATCTTCATGTCGCCGCCAGTGACTCGGCACCGGACTATCCGGCTTCTGCCGTCACTGGAGATCAGTTGCCATCAGAAGATGAGCGAATCGGCCGGATACTTGGAATTGCCCTGGAAGACTTTCTATACAGCCCTGTCCAACTGGAGGCAGACCGAAGCAACTTGAATGAGTCTTGGTATAAGGTCGAACAGAGCTATATGCCAATTACCGAGTACTTCACTATTCATGAGAATGAATCAGGCGACCAAAGCACTCCTGACGGCTGGCCGTCATCAAAGTATATTCAGCTGGCGAAACGTGACCGAGTACTTATTGAATATGGCTCGGTAGATCCTCAGCTGGCGGACTACGACTTATCTTTGGATGAAGATTCGATCTTCCCTCCTGGATATCTGACATCTGCAGTGAATGTCTCTGCAACAAACAACGGCACCCTCACATCAGGCTGTCTATATGAACCGAAAGCTACAGCCATTTCTCAGGCCAATTCGTCATGGGCAATGTCCGATGGCATACCTATCCCGGACGGGCTTCCCATATACGATACAATGGCGTCTATATCAAACGCTCTGTCCGATATAACATCTTGTGGAATGTCACCGATACTCAATACCACTCTATTTGGCGAGACTGCCGACACCAATGTTGAACACTACCGCAATGTCTCTCTTTCGACGTCGTGGGCCTGGGCTTTGGGAGAGCCTCGCGATGCCACTTATGGCGGAGGCGAGGGTGTTACAAAATATGATCGCTGTGCCATTATGGATCTCACATTGGACGGCAAATGGCGGTCTACAAACTGCACTGAGCAGCGACGCGGTGCCTGCCGAATTGGAAACTCCCCCTTCTCCTGGGTTCTATCGGACCAATCTGCATATTTTTCTAATGTCTCTGAGACATGTCCAGAAGGAGCGAGCTTTGCTGTACCTCGCACAGGTCTTGAAAGCAAATACCTTCACAAGCACCTCCTTTCTTTGCCCGAGACAGATATTAATCCCTCCTCTACAGACGCCACTCTGCGCGAAGTCTATCTCGACTTCAATTCAATTGATGTTACTTCGTGTTGGGTTTCCGGTGGCCCCAAGGCCGTTTGTCCCTATGCCTCCAATCCGCAGCAAATTGAACGAAAAACTGTGCTTGTTGCTGCGATTGCTGGTATCATCATTCTCATCATCGCAGCCTTGACTATCTTTGTTAAGTGCAATGCCAATCGTCGGAATTCACGGCGCGGGAAACGTGTTATTGAAGGCTGGGAATACGAGGGTGTCCCCTCGTAATACGCCTCGGCCTTTGATCTTCTCGTATCTAGACTTTCTTTTTTAAGACTGTGTGGAACCATATACAACACTACTTATACCTCCTGGGTGTTGCCAGTTTACTTGATCAAATGATACCCATCAGGCGCCGAAATGCTTCCTTTTACGCACCATACACCTCCAATAAACTGATTAGCTCTTGCTCCCCCGAAATACATTCAACTCGTCATACGAAATACTGACGACGCAAATCTATTATATAAGCCTTAAAGGTTTAATGCTTCTTACAAGTTCGGATATTGTTATGACAAATTGTTCAATTGGAAATCTTACAGATCCGAAACTAATATCAATAATGAAACCAAAGCGTTAATACACCCAACAGTACCCAAACATATTTTCATGAAAAAAATGAACAAATCAAAGCGGGATATCAGAGTCCCCAAATAAACAGTCGCTAGATGCCATTCATAAAGACAAACCACAAACTCCTCAAAATACAAGTGATATCATGTTCAAAGTCCGGCAAAGCGGGCCCAGCCAGCTGCCCGGGCTGGGGATGCGCTGGGGGTTTGATGCTGGGGAACAGGGGGCGCATCCTCCAGGATGGGCTCACTGCGACCTTCTTCAGCGACCTTGCCGCTGACGTCGCGGCGGCGACCAACGCCCAGACCTGCAATATAGCTTCCATATGAGGAAAGAGAGGCACCCACGCCAGCTGCAATGCTTGGTCTGGCAGTATCCGCGCCGGAGTTGCTGACGACACGGCCTTGACGGTCACCTTCGGCGGCGTTGAGGGCTCTGGGTACATATGCATCTTCGCTATCATCATCTTTCTTGAGGGCTTCATAAGCGGACAACTTATTGGTGCGTTTCTTTGTAAGCTTGGTCGGTTTCCTGGCAACTTCATAGCTGGGTTCGCGGGCGGTATCCAGTCCGGGCTTGCCAGGAACATCCAATTCACCGTAGAATCTGGGGGGCGGAGGAGATCCAGGGGTCTTGGGGGAGACAGTGACTGGCTGGGCCTTTTCGTTGTAGGATATGTTAGGATTGTCGCTCAAAACAATGCGTCTCACGGGATCAGTGTCCTCGGGCTTCTGGGACAAAATCGGCTGCGGAGTGGGCGGGTTGAGCATGAGAGGGTTGAATGGAATAGAGCCACTACGCTCATCATCCATAGGATCACTGTGCTCCTCGGGGTCAGGGAAGATATCCATGCGCTGGTCACCGACATCCAGCTCACGCTGGTTGTCATCATTGCCGTAGTATTCATGCGTAGTGAGGGATGCATACTCCCCTCGAACATCTTCCGGGATAGCACTTCCAACGCTGGGAGCAGGCTTGGAACCATAAGCGAACCAGTCACGAATTCCGCTACCGGTGGATGTGTTACTGCGCCGGCTATAAACAGATGAGGACTGGCGCAGTGTATTTTCGTTCTCGTGGGGAGCTTCGCTCATCGGGGATTGAGTGCGTTCGGAGTATGCTACCCAATTGTCAGATAAAGGACTGACAGTGTCCGATCTATCGGCAGTTCGGGATGACAAATGACGCATCTGAATAGTAGCATCAATCACTTCCGGGGAATGAGAGGCAACATTTCGGTATTCTGGAGCCGGTGGGGGCGTCGGGGATGTAATATCATATGGCTGGCTTTCGCTTTGGTGAAACAGCATCTCCGGGCTTGAGGGATCCGAATGAGGCTCTATGGGGGATTCAAGGTGAGAAAGACGGTGTTGATATAACGAGGGCTGCGACTGTCGGTGGTCATTCATCATATCCATTCCTTCGTAGTTGGAGTCGGCACCAAGGGATTGTTCACGTGTGTGCATAAATGGCATGCTACGAGGACGCCCAATGAGTGGATCCTCCATGGAGGAATTGAAGGTAGATTGACTGAGATGCTTCTCATCTTCGTCCGTCTTCTCACGGTTACTCTTGCTCTTTCGGGGGCGCGCTGTCAGGTTATCTTCGAGTGGGTTCATATCAGGCGGGAGACGAGAGATCTTGCGGAAGGTGATTGCAAAGAAGATACAGATGAAGAGTGAGATGAAGTGGAGTCCACCATTTGCAAGAGCCAGAATGAAGGTGGTCTCGGACAACTTGACGGTGATGTCGCTATTTTTGAACATGGTGCCCCAGTGGTATGCGTTAGATGTCCACTCGCCATATGCGATGAATGCGGTAAACACGTAGAATGCGATGAGTCCCAAGTCCAGGGTTGAAGCGAACAGCCCATATGCGGCCTGAGAGCCGGAAGGTCGAGTAATGGGAGAACGAGCATGGTGACAGATACCATATATGGTGTGAAGGATGGACACAATTGGCTGGTATCCATGTCAGCAAGGGAACTTGTTGGCCAGCTTGTCGGATGGATATACTTACGCCTACGCGAATGATCCAAATAACCGTCGTCGCAGCGCCAGTGATAACAATTGAACAGAACAGGGACCCAAGTGCTCCCAGGAGAGTAGCGACACGTAATGTGAGTTGAGCTATCCGTGCCCACTTGACGCGATCCTTAGTGTAGGGGCTCATCGGAGTCCATGAACTGACCGTATTAAAGGAACCCCACTGCATCCACCATTAGTAGAATCCACATTGAATCTCTGGAACGCACATACCGTATCTGGGTGGCGATTCACATTCACCAATGGCCCTGTTGGTCTGGGTTTTGGAGCTGGACGTGTCCAGCTCGCCTCGGTCGCTGCCTTCGGGTTGAAGGCCTTGTCGGTCGGTCCACGGAAGCTATACGCAGCCGGACGATCGTAAAGGAATGGAGGTGACGATCTCCCCATGGTAGCGACTGCGAAGGACTCGTGGCATCCACGCGCAAAAGAGTAGGAATGTCAGAGAGTGAGGCTGGAATGTGAGATGTGACTGAGATGTGACAGGTGAGAATAGAGCTGCGAGTCAACAAGATAGTCGGCCCGGCAACCGGTATCACGTGCCTTATCAGATTGATCTCCGCTTGTCTCTCCGCGATGTCTCCAACTATGCACCATGCGCTTGAACGGGACACTGGCATGTGCTCAATGCACTGCGCAGACTACCTACAGGCCTCTGCGGTATAAAAGTCTTGCGGCACAATTCCTTTCCCCGAGGCGATTCAACAGTCATGTTGCGCCAACCGGCCGACCAGTTCGGGTTGCTATCGTGGGCTCTGGTCCAGCAGGATTCTACGCCGCCTATCGATTGCTAGGTAAACATCAAGATGCAATAGTTGATATGTACGAGAAGCTTCCTGTGCCATTTGGTCTTGCTCGGTATGGTGTTGCGCCGGATCATCCCGAAGTCAAGGTGAGTGATGGTCACGGCGAACTTATCACGGAACTTGAAAACTAAGTATATGACCAGACTAACCGCTTTCTAGAACTGTGAGGATAAATTCACAGAAGTAGCCACCTCGTCGCGCTTCAATTTTGTCGGGAATATCAACCTCGGCAACGATCTTCCGCTTTCCGCCCTCAAACCCCACTACGATGCCATTCTGTTCGCCTACGGGGCGGCAAAGGACAAAGAGCTCGGAATTCCTGGGGAGCAGGCATTGAATAGTGTACACTCTGCCCGTGCCTTTGTGGGGTGGTATAATGGTCTCCCAGAACACCGGGATCTCGACCCCGACCTAACGAGTGGGGAGGAAGCTGTGATCGTCGGACAGGGCAATGTTGCACTGGACGTTGCCCGTATTCTTCTTTCGGACATTGATGCACTCCGCAAGACCGATATCACGGACTATGCACTGGAAAAGCTTGCTTCGAGTCGCATTAAACGTGTGAGAGTTGTTGGGCGTCGCGGACCGCTACAGGTGAGTCAAGCTGGTCTAGCGCCTTATGTTCCAATTGCTGATTCATTTGACTTAGGCTTCATTTACTATCAAAGAAGTCCGTGAATTACTTCAACTCCCGGGTGTCTCGTTCGACCCGATCCCGAAGGATATCTTTCCGCCAGAAGATGTGGTCTCAGCATTACCCCGGGCACAGAAGCGTCTAATGCAGCTTCTAGCCAAGGGGTCAGCCAATGATCCCAATCAATCCCCCAAGTCGTGGTCGTTGGACTTTTTGCTTGCGCCGGACTCGCTATGTTGGTCCCCAGAGTACCCGTATCATTTGTCTCATGCCCGATTCTCTCGCAATGAGCTCGATCCTTCCGATCCTCATAGTCCCAGTTCGAAAGTCTTCCCCAAACACTTGTCGAATGGAAAGCGTGCGCAGATCAATCTCCCAGCCAGCGTGTTCTTCCGCAGTGTTGGCTATAAATCGCTTCCTCTCCCCGGGCTGGAGGACCTGGGTATCGACTTCGATGCCAGCCGCGGAATCATTCCGAACGATGGCTTCGGTCGCATCACGAGTCTTTCGGGCAAGGGGGCACCCGAGGTACTTCCTGATGGGTCTCTGATTTCCACCTTGCCTGGACTGTACTGTGCTGGTTGGGTCAAGCGGGGTCCTACGGGAGTTATCGCTTCAACTATGACCGACGCTTTTACTACGGCCGATACCCTGGCACAGGACTTGGCGAGCAGTGCTGACTCTCAATCCTTGCTTCATGCACCTCAACAGAGCAGTGGGCTCGGCTGGGAGGGAGTCAAGGCCGAGGCTCAACGCCGCGGTCTCCGGCCTACATCTTGGCAAGATTGGTTGAAGATCGATGCCGCTGAAAAAGAATATGGCCAACAAAAGGGCAAGCCCCGGAATAAACTCAGCCGTGTAGAAGAAATGCTAGAGGTGCTTGGTTGAGCTTTGTATGTAAATTAAAATTGTATAAATAGATCGATTTAGATCATTACTCGCAACTCTCCACTGAACTCATGACGAACTTTCGTATACCCTTTTGTCTCGTATCATATGTGCATTCCGCACTTACATGCCGCACACACTGTCATCCACCGCAACGTAGGTGGCGGAGATACGGCCCAGTTGCTCGGCCTGGCCATTGGTCAAGGTGTTCATCGCCTGAAGGCCGATGTTGAAGCCCCCTGGGGCGGCGTCAATGGCAAGGACATTTATGGTGTTTTCATATTTGCCGTTGGAGTAGTGCAACTGGTAGCATTTGCCGCAGTTAGGGCTGTTCCAGGACGGGATGGTGAGGGCACCGCCAACGTTGGGGAAGTTTGGCAAAGAGCCGAAGGTAGTATATCCAAGAGGGATCAACCCGTTGATTCCGTCGGAGCAGGCGACGGTCGTCAGAGGTGATGCTTTCACATCGTATTTCGTATCATAGGAAACAGATACAGTTTCCTCTCGAGCGACCACTGTGGGAGCGGCGACGGCGAGGTTGACGACTGCCAATAAGGTGGAGGTGAGTGCAATAGTGAACTTCATGGTGAGAATCTCGTCCAGAGTAGATTTAGTTTATGTATGAAAAGATTGAATGTTTGTGTTGTCTTGTCCATCTCCAGCTGCCTCACCAGGTGGTTTATATATCTTGACCACCAGGCCTCCCGCCAAGTATGATTCGATTTCCTCCCATCATCACCGCTGTTACCCGGTGCAGGTCTTAGAGACATCCAGCTGATACTCAAATAAGAGCCTTTCATCTCGGGCCCACCATCACCCGATACTTCCGTAGCAGAGGACTGGAGAAACCGGTGCAATGAGGCGGAAGATCAATGTGGGGTTGACTAGGAATGTGCGGGCAAGACTGAGACATACAGCATGCAAGATGCTATTTCCAAGTCATTCATGAATGCCTGACCTCGTAAATAGAGAAGATCGACCTTTTTATGCTATGATGCTACAGCATAGATGGGTGGCGGCAGTCAAGGTTGCATTTCAATATCGACCAAAATAGCATTACAGCCGCATTTTATTTCCATCTATATAATATCAGACAAAATGAGATTGAACAGAGGAGAATAACTAGGTGGAACACATCGAATACAAACAAAAGGGAGAAAAAAATAAGGTATCAAGGGTACATGCAAATATGCAAAAAGAATAAAAAAGAAACGTCCCCGGGAAGGCTCGAACTTCCAACCTCCTGATTAACAGTCAGACGCGCTAACCAATTGCGCCACGGAGACGAACTTGTTGAAAGAGGCTGAAGGGTTGTGATTGTTGACCGACGCTGGAAACATGGAAGGCTTTTCCATTCTCCCCAGTTCAAAATAGCCCCCACATAGTCCTGATGCTAGGAAATTAGCTATGAGTGACAGCTTTAGTTGAATTTACAATACTGCCCAAGCCTTGGCATTGAAGGCTTGGCCATATCATAGAATGTCATCTAGTTCATCAGACCCTAGGAAGGTAGAGTATACGTAGTGAACGTGCAGCTCTGGCGTCTTGTTTCTCTCCCCGAAATAGTGTATAATTTCTGGGAGTCACCACACAAAGGTAGTGTCTATAACTATGGAAAAACTCTAGCATATAAATAATTATAATAGCAGACTACTTGTATCCAAGAGTTGCAAAAGTACTGTGGAGGTACGCTTAGGCATCCTGAACCCTGCGTAATATTATTCATCAATTGCATTCGATTGTTCAGCATCTAATACCATTTGAGGAGCAAGAAACCCGGAAATAAAAAAACAAAAATAAAATCGGACATGCGCTCATAGGCTGATTTCTCAGCAGCATCTTGTGGGGAGGTTGTAGCCCGGTACTCATAATATTGGACCGAACCTAGGTAGGAAGCTTGATCTTCACCTCCACTATCCCAATCCTTCCATCCCCCCCTGACCCCCTAGCGAAATGAGGACTTGCACAGACCTCTCAAAAATCAGGGTGTATACAATCCCAAATTGCACGAATAGGCAAATTCTCTATACGGATACGGGGCGAAGTACAGTATGTCTGCCACAGTGAAGTTCAAGAGATATTTGCTGTGCTTTCGGATGTGCGTTCGGACTTGCCACTAGCAACGTGCCTCGTCGGATGTACACTGTACTGTATATGTAGGAACGTTTGATCGACATTGCATCAGGTCAATCACATGGCGTTGGGTTGGAACAGCGATCATGAAAGGTTGACGACTCCAATACCAGCAATGCCCCCCACGAGGAACATCTCCAGGCCATGGACGATCCATTGACGATCCGTTGATGATGCAGCTTGGATTGCCCTCACTACCAAGCGCAGGAAATCTCGATTGATGGCTTGGTCCACTAGTGGGCCAGATCGCGTCAAATACGAAGGGGTCAACTAGCCAACCCACTTGGCTCAGTGACCAACCGCCGAAACCCTCGAACGGTGGCGCTGGCGGCAAAGTCCGCTTCAAATCTTAACATGATTCACTTCTGATGTCGATCACCAGCGCAATTTTTGGATGAGAAGCAAAGTTTCAACTGGGTTAGGGCTCGGTACAAATTCTGAACCGTCCAGGGTGGAGCGTTCCAACCTGCCTGATGATTTGCCCAATGGAGTATACAGTCCTGTACAGTCATTTGCTCCATCAATTGAACTAGCGCGGACTATTGTGTGGAACCCGTGGAAGTCCGCTGCCATTGAACTCCTAAGCCTTTTTGCTCCGCTTGGCAGAGTGGAGTGCATCTATGCTCCCCATCCTTTTTCAGGCAGATGATTATTATACCTGCAACCCCCTCGTTTTGATCAATCTTTTTTTGTTGGCAACGCCTTCATCATGTTGTCCCTCGTTCTACGCTCTTTAACGTCGGATCATGGTCTCGTTCCTCGTAAGTGGGAGTTCCGCGAGGAAGCTCCCCTGCTGGGGTCCGATCGTTCACTCTTTATTGCCATGGGAATCATTGCGCTGATGTCCCTGGTGTCCTCTCTTTTCCTACTTGCGTTTCTGACCTACCGATTCATTTACTGGCAACGATACTACAAAAACCCGCTGGCAAAGAACCAATATGTCGTGCTGATTTATAACTTGCTGTTGGTGGACTTGCAGCAATCCATCGGTTTCTTGATCTCTCTCTATTGGGTATCGAGAGGTGGTGTTCACTTTGGCGAAGCTGCCTGTTACTTGCAAGGATGGTGGATTCAGACAGGTGATCCTGGCAGTGGATTGTTCGTCTTGTCGATTGCTCTCCATACCGGTGCAGTCGTTCTGCGTGGTCGTCAAGTGACATTCAAAACCTTTATCTGGTGTGTGGTCGGACTTTGGGCGTTCATTTTGGTTCTGGGATTCATCCCCGTTGGATTATACGGAAAAGAGGTCTTTGTGATCTCCGAGGCTAACTGGGTACGTTTCTCCATTGAACCGATCTCGGTCTTGAGACCCCTCATACTGACTCCTCGATAGTGCTGGTTGAGCCCCGATCATGAAGATGAACGTCTTTGGGGTCACTACTTCTGGATTTTCGTCTCCGAATTCGGCACCGTCGTTCTCTACGCCATGATGTTCTTCTACCTACGACGCCGTATGCAACAAGCGAAACAACTGCGCCGGGGCCAACAAGAAAGTCTGCAGCGTCTCAATCGGGTCGTCATTTACATGGTTGTCTACCCTCTGGTGTATCTCGTTTTGTCTCTGCCTCTTGCCGCCGGTCGTATGGCCACTGCACGTGGGAGTGCACCCAGCAAAACCTACTTTGGTGTTGCCGGTTGCTTGATGGCCTTGTCCGGTTTCTTCGATGTCTTGGTTTACACCCTGACCCGTCGCCATCTCCTGATCGACACCGAGCACAGCACTACCGATCACAATTACGACAACACAGACTCGCAGTGGCAGACCAACATCACCACGAATGCTGTTGGAGGCTCAAAGCCACGCAGCAAGAAATACCGCAGCAAAGGCGGATCTCGCTTTGGCTCCCGATTCCGTCCATCTTCGAACCCGGACGTCAAGCGAACCAGTCCCTTCGACGACTCGACCGATGATATCGTTCCTAAGAGTGAAGTGGAAATGAACAACTTTGGTGGTGTGATTCAAGAAACCACGATCGAGATCTTACACGAGCCGGTCTCCGCATATGAGTCTGATGAACACACGGAGCGTCGCAACAGCTGAATTTTGGATGCCCAGACTATGACTATAATACTTTTTTTTTTGTTATTCTTACGATATTGTACATAATCACGCTCCCCTTCTACCTCTCTATACTTTGGGTAATTCCCACTCCACTGACGGACATTTGTCTAGTATCTGAAATAATTACATGTCCCGTCCCACCTCCCCGTTCCATGGTGTTCCCATTCGCCCTCTCCAGGCTGAGCCGACGGCATCCAGAGGCTGATTCGGCTCTCCACCAAACGAGCCCCATCTGCAGAGCCTGACCAGCTGCCAGTGGAGACGAGAACTAGACTGCGGTCCCTGCACAAGCTAAGCCGCCCCGGAACCCCTGACCCCAAGCCGTGGCCTTGACCACGCCTACGGTAGGCTAGTGTATGCAAGTGCATGCAGGCGAAGGAAAGAAACCGACTATCGTGTCGATCCAAATAGAGTGCAGTCTAAAACCACAACCCCAATAGGAAGGCCTTCCCCGACCTTCCCGACCATGCCGAACTCCCCCTGACCCGAGCAGAACGTGAAGACTCAATTTTGGATGCGGGCCCGTTCGCACGTCGAGCTTCGCCAGCCGAACCAGTCTGGAACCGTTCTGGTTCTCTCTGGATGTGGTCAATCTGGGTGGACTTTGGTGGAGACGGGTTCCACTTCGGATTGAGATGTTGGAAAATTTCCCTGTACAAAAGCCGATCCAACAGGAGAGTTTAGACGAGCGACTTACCGAGTGACTAAGGGTTGGCTGCTATTGACGTGTCGGAGATGGGCCAATCTGGGAGGATTTGCCTGTGAACTTCGTACAGCCTTCACATGGCGTGATCCATGGATCGGAGTATGCATGGGTTGAAACTGACCATGAGGGCGCAACACTGTACACCAGGACATTTTCAATTCCTGGTAAGAATATCGAACATAGAACAGAGGGACTTATATCCTACATCACGTATTGACTTATTTACTTATTTACTAAATTACCACGAACATCTAAACCGCCATAAGAATATGAAACAGGAAAATACGAATCTTCAGTATCCAATGGCTTAGTGGCGCAGTGGTTAACGCATCGCACTGTGAGTATTTTCTCTGTCCAGCCGAAACCCAAACATCGACTAATTTCCCTAATAGTGTAATGCGAAGATCCCGAGTTCAACTCTCGGCTGAGCCTCATTTTTTTCTTTTTCTTTTTTGTCTTCTTCCTTTTCTGGCTTCCTGATCTTGATCTACGAGCTTCTGTTCAATGTGCCTATCATTCCTAGGCTTAGTGGCGCAGTGGTTAACGCATCGCACTGTGAGTATTTGCTCTGTCCAGCCTAAACCCAAACATCGACTAATCTCCCCAATAGTGTAATGCGAAGATCCCGAGTTCAACTCTCGGCTGAGCCTCAATTTTTTTTTTTTTCATTTTTTGGTCTTCTTCCTTTCTTTTCTGGTTTTCTGATCTTGATCTACGCCTTTCTGTTCAACGTGCCTATTATTTCTGGGCTTGATGGCGCAGCGGTCACCCTTAAGCTGGCGAAAGCGAAACACGCCGGCACTTGAACGATAATAGTCATTGATTGAAACTGGCGAAAGTGGTAAGTGGTAGTGTAGGGAGACTTTTGTGACGGTATGTATATGAGTAAACACCCAATATCAAAATTCTAGTTTATACTGAACCTACTAGTCCTGAACAGTGGCGTCACTGGAATGAGTGGAAAGAGTAAGCCAAATTTTATAAGAGTTTCACGTGGATTTGCTGAGAAGATGAGGTGATTGTCTTGAGTGTATTCTTAGGTTGAAAGCACATATGTCGAAGGGTCATAACTTCTACAACATTGATTTCATAGCTTTCGCTCCCTAGTTCTTCCCATTCTCCATGTCCTTCCAACCTCCCCTGCTCTATTGATCAAATCAATCGGTTCTTGGTCTCAGTTTGTATCACTGCTCCTTCCCCTCTATTGCTTGAATTCCACCTTCCTCAGATTTCCCACAAGTTGCTAAGCTCCATCTTCCAATATTGTTCCCCACTCCAAGCTTGTGCCTGCCGTTCGACCACGAGGTAAACCAAAGACAGGCAAATCGTGATAAGAATCCGGGTAGGCCTGTCTTTTCTGGATCCTTTCCACTTGTCACTCTTTCATCCGAGGTCGTCTCTGTTGGCCTCGCTAGCTACCGGGTTGGAACACATCTAACCAGGGCATTCTTGTTTGCTAGCTACCCTAGCAAAGAACGCAAAATGCCTTTGTACCCAGATAATCGAGCCTGTACAAGATGTGGCACGGTTGGGTTTACCAACCAAACATGTCCTTTCTGCCCCTGCTGCCTTTGTCACGAGATCGACCACCCTGCTTCCAATTGCCCAAACGTAGCACCTTGTGGAAAGTGTGGCAGAAAGGGCCACATAACCAAAAACTGCCGGAAACTCGTGGAGACGTTCACCGAACAAGAAGAGAGGACCAAGAGATTTCAACGCGCCAAAGAATTGAAAACGATGGAGTCTCTGAGTGGAAAGACCCATCACCATGGAAGTTGGAAAGAGCGTCCAGCTTACCAGGATCCCGGCCAGAAAAGAAAATGGACGACGAAATTCCAAATTTCCGAGACATCATTTGAAGAGACCAGACATTTCAATATCACAATGAAGCCGCCGGCCCATCATGATCCGGAGTGGTTCAAAATCCCTCAGGATATTCGAGACGTACGTATGTTCGAAATGCCCTATTTATGAATGCCGTGTTTGTCGTGTCTAATGTAATTCACATAGAGTGTCATTGTTGAAGAGCCTGTCAATTTTCCTCCGCTCAAGCCCACTTGCCTTACACTTCTCCAAGTTATTATTGATGGGGCAATCCCAGCATGGAACGATGCACCCTATGTTCAGGAAATCCATGTCCGCGGAGGCATTGAAGCTGTCGCAGACACCCTCCTTGGTTTTGTCAGACCCGAGATCCTCCAACTACAGGGTCACCCAATCTGTAGGGAAACCCTTGATGAAGTTCGAAGCATGCAAGATGATGATAAAGACTGGGACGGGAACATGGGCTACATGGACTACATCACTGATGCAAGACACCGGAACTATAAGAGATGTTATGTTGGACAATGCACTGATGGCGAGCGTCGGATTCTCAGACAGCATGTTCAGGATATACTACAAAAGTCGCGCCATAATCTGCATCATTTTATTGTCTGGATGGGAAACGGACAAAGAAATGTCAACTTTATCCGACTCTGGGCTTGCCCAGAGTCCGTCACGGAGAGCGGTGAAGCCTCCAATCGGAATTGGGTTAAAGTCCGGATGAATCTTCTGGAAGCTCTCTTTTGCAAGGCGTTTTTTACTCACCATGGAATTATGAACCGGCATGAGGGCAACAGGCTTCTTCAACTGAAGAGCTTTGGCTTAAATCTTATGACCCCACTGGCACAGAATGGAGTCAAGTTGGACTACGACAGGCTGAAATTCGTTCATGAATCTGATGCTTCCCCAGACCCTCAGATTGTGTTCTGGGGCAAGTTTCGATCACAGCAAAAAAGTGAAGCGAAGAGACGGAGGCTTAGGCAGCTCAAAGCTACGCGTCAGATTTTCCGATGTGATTTCAACCTTGCTTTGCAGAAAGCGTTGCATGACAATGTGCTATTCCAGGAGCTGAAGGAGTCGATGACCAATGTCAGCGGAAGGTCTGAAAGTGCAATCAGAAATAGACATACCCCATGCTTTGGTACACTAACGGCAAAGATTGGCATCGTCCTTGACTATGCTGGGGTTTCTCCGGCATCCAGCTCGCTAGGCGAGTATGACTCGACGGAAAAGTTCTCGGATATACTGCTTCCATGGGCACTCGAGCGCTGCAAATTTGACGAGACAAATGTCCTTGTTTGGACGTTCAATTTCCGCGCATTTTCTCCAATAAACCAAAACAATCTCTCAAACCGCTTTGAGGATACCCGCCATCGTCACCAAGAAATATTAGATACTAGCAATGCAAGAATCATTATTCTTTGCGGCTCTCGTGCTGAGGAGGCACTACAGTTTGTCCCCAAGATTCGCTATTCTCTTGAATTACGAGGTTTTCGTTTCTCAATCTACATTGCAAACAGCCACATATCCAGTGGGGTTTCAAAGCGTCTATTCATTGTATGCCCAGTCTTACCCGCCCGAATTTGGTCCAATATTCGATGCAATGGAGCAATGATCAGCGAAGCAATTCGATTTGCCACCAGTATGCTGGAGCTTGAAGGAATTCGTCCTTACTCTGTCAAAACTTCTTCAATCCTGGGATCTATCCTTTCGTGGGCAAGAATGGAGAAGTTAGGAAAAGAAGCTGTTACGTTAGAAACGATGGACTTCAATGTTGCACTCTGGCTTAGCCGAAAAGGAATCGGCTTTAAGTGCCTTGAGGAAATTGTGAAGCTGTCTGGAAACCTTCCCCGAGCACTTTTGATGATACTGTATGCTTTGAGACGGCAATTACAGAAACCAGAATGGTTTACCAAGCGACATTTACCCTTTGAAAACCAAGATGAGCAATTACCACCCAAAAAGAAACTCTGCAATGGGGCTTTGGATATGAAATGTTGCAAAGATGTTGAGAAGATCGTCAAGAAGGCCACAGATAAAATTGATGAAGAGTATGCGCAGAGGCTACAAAGCCTTGTTGAGAAACCTTCCTTGATCGCTGGACCCCATGCCTCCCAAAGCCCAGAAACCGACGCACAGGATATATCCAGTGACGTTGATCTTTTATTGGGCAAACAGCTACCAGATTCAATGATTCTAAAGAAAGTTCATTCAGAGATCCTACTGAAAAACCCCAAGCCCATGACACCAGAAGAATACAAGCGCGACAGCGAGCTAGACACAGATATTGCAGATCTTGTGCCGCTTTGCACCGAGGCCATAGACCTCGGAATTCTGGAGCCAAGTCTCCGACGAGCGAAACGAACAAATCGCGAGAAGAAAGAGGGACGTATCTGGAAGAATCAGGTCAATGTCTTTCGCGACAAAGAATACTACTACAGAGCTAACCCGGACATTGATCAACACCGAACAATCTATGTCAATTATTGCCCAATTGAGCTCCCACGAGGTGAAGACATAGGAGATGGAACAGTTCAGGTGAAAATTGAAATAACCCCTCCAGGCGAATCTCATCCTCAATGCTACTCCACTCAAGCCACCGACATGGATCCATCATGTTGCCTAGCATTTCAGGTGAAATACAGCCCACACAACGGTCCTGATATTACAAAATACGTTACGCATTCGAGACTGACGTCTGTTTGGAAAGCCAACACCTTTGTCGACGTTCTCAGGGGCAAACCGATTGAGGAGATAGCCTGTACTCCACGACGGTATATCTACTTCTGGAAGGATAGTCGCATTCCACCTGGGCTTGAAAAATTTGTGGGTGGCGGTTACACTGATGGAACCCCTTCTGGTCAGTAGTTGATCATTTCTAGTCCTCAGCTTACCAATATGCAAAGATAATTCAGAGTCCCCGGTCACCTCATACAAGAGAGACGTTCAAATTATGACGCTGTATCTAGATATATCGTGATAGTGTAAACATGAAAGATAAAAAGACACTTTAGCGAGAGGTTTCGAGAAGGACACTATTACGGAGTAGAGGTAGGTGCATTTGGAGGCTATAATTGGATAATTTGACGTCATAAGTAGTACTCGTTTACCTTGGTATATAGTATCATGATATGTCAATTTACTCCTTACCAAGACTATAGAGAAATCGAGTCCTTGGAAGAAAAAAACCCATCTCTACGCGAATCCAATTTTGAAAAGTACGCCATAACCACCCCCACTGGTTATTCACCACCCTATCAGCCGTATGAGACGGCAGTGGGATTTCTCTTTTGTCTCCTACGAAACATCATTGATTGACGATCTCTGCTACTCGGAACGGGAACGGACGTTGTTCGTGCGGCGATTTGGTTGACATAGTTTCATTGGCCAGCCAATGCTTGCTGCCTATTTTCTTCCGAGCAGAGAAGATACTCAAACTCCAAGGACAGAACTGCCAATCTCCCCGAAAATTGAACTGAGATCGGGGACCCGGTGGACATCCGAGCTAGGCTGTGCGGGGATTTGAGGATCAAGAGAACATCTTCCAGAGATCACTTCTTCACCAGTCTGACCTGTGCACTGAGCTGCTCTATTGCAATATCCCCAGAATGACCGAGTCCAAGTCAGTGGCCATCATCGGAGGTAAAAGCCCTCCTCTTCAACAGCACCAGACAGACTGACGAATCTCCCAGCCGGCATTTTTGGACTTTCGTTGGCCATTGCTCTGCGAGAGAAGAGTAAGTCTGGCCCCAAAGATGAAAGATACCTGGATACGGACTGACCCTCTGGACAGACTATGAAGTGACCGTCTTTGATCGAAGCCAATATGATGCGAATGAATATGACCCCGCATCGGATGATGTTCAGGCTGCTTCGGCGGATCACAACAAGATCGTATGGGACTAATCCTGGAACGAGGAGGAAAAGGCCAACACTGACCACGCCAATAGTTTCGTGCTTCCTACGGGAAAGAGATTCACTATCAGCGTCTCGCTTTCGAGAGTCGCAAGGCATGGATTGCCGAAGACGAGAAGCGAGGCTTCCCGGAACACGGCAGTGAGAGTAATGACCGGATCTTCGTGAACAGTGGCATGCTTCGTATCCAACCGTCAGATCAGTTATCGGCACTGGAACAGGAAACCCTCGCCAACATGAAGCGGGATGGGCTGAGAGATACTCAGTTTGTCAAAAGTGACCCCGCGGATTGCCAACGCGCTGGCACATTGGGCTGGAAAGAGAAGATTCTCGACTTTCGGATTCCTGATTCCCCGGGCAATTCGTACGAAGCAGTGCTGGACTCAACGGCTGGGTTTGTTCGATGCAGTAAGGCCTGTGCCCATTACCAAAAGCTGGCGGCCGAGAAAGGAGTCAAATTTTACTTGGGATCTGCCGGAGCGGTGGAATCGATGGTCAAGGTCAAAAGCAGTCTGGAACCAGGCAAAGACAAGGTGACAGGGCTCAAAACTCACAGTGGCATGATACATGAGGCCGATGTCGTTGTTGTGGCTGGTCAGTCGCCCTGACACCTCTCGACTCTCTTATACTAAGTCCCCTTCGTGTAGCCGGTTCATTCTCGACGCAATTCCTACCTGAGTTGAGTTACCATCTGGAGTCCTCTGCTGGGAGTCTTGCCACCTTCAAGATTGACAAGAATAACACTGCCCTGTGGGAGAAATATTCACCAGAGCGCTTTCCAGTTATGGCTTGGAAGAGCGTACCTCGCGATATTTCTGGCAAAGACACGGGGAGTATTTATGTTCTACCAAGAACTCCAGAGGGCTTGGTGAAGATTGGTTACCGTGGGATCAAAGTAATCAATGGCGGCTCTTTTCACTCTCTTGACTTTGCTGATTAGGTTAATAGTGGACAAACTTTCAACCAGCACCACAAGGCGCTTCATTCACTCAGGATGGTCAATGGTCAGTCCCCCTTCCAGTTGAAGAGTGCGCAAAGCTACCGGAGCCGGCCATCTACTGCATCAGTCAGTTTGTGTCCACATTTCTACCAGAGTTTGATGGAACTCCATTTTTCTCTACAAAGCTTTGCTGGTATACGGATTCACTGGATAATTCCTTCGTGGTAAGTCATGATCATAGTACGAAGCGGACCTTACTGATCCCCAGGCTCTCTAGATTGATCATGCACCAATTTTTGCGGAGAAATCGGTATTCGTGTGCACAGGGGGCAGTGGCCACGGCGCCAAATTCTTACCAGTACTGGGAAAGGTCCGAAGATTGTCTACTCAAATCATGAGACTTTTACTAATATCTATGACCAGCATGCCGCGGATATTATGGAGAAAGGAGGTCAAAGTTCATCTTTTATGCGAGAGTTCTGGCGCTGGCGCCCCGATGCCCCAAGAAGGAATGGACTTGAGGAGGGCCCTGACGGACCGAGAAATATCTCGCAGCGCCAGACTTGAGCTGCATTTACTCATATACCTATCTCATCATATTGTATACCGTGATATGAATGGGACGCTGGCATGTGCGGGTGCACCTTTAGAGGGAATGGCATTTATCAACATTGATATAGTCCCATTGACTGTAGCTGTAGCAATTAAGATTGTAACCCTATTAAAAGGCAGAACCTCAAGCAAAACTGAACCATCATGGTCCGCTACTGGTTAAATCAATGTGCTACAAAACAAATGACCAACAGAAGTGTGCCCACGGTGACATTATACAAGATTGGCTCTAATAGACTCACTAGGAGCCTTCTCCGATAACTTCTGAAGCAGGTGTTTTCCTTTGAACTTTCTAGAAATTCCTTGAAAAAGTGGACCGCAGTCTCATAACCAAGAGAAACAAGATAATAACCAGTCAAAGTAATAAGAATAATGAGTATTTCTTTCGATTCTATGTACTGTTTACACACTCTGATATATCATATCATGGCATGAATCATCTATAAACATAATAATGAGGCTTCATGTGCTTAAAAAAGCCCCCTTAGGAAGGATACATCATCGAGCCTGTCTTAACAGGCTTGACAATACCGGCCTTTTCAAGATCCTCAATGAGATTCACCAACATGAAATCACAGCCCCTGGCAGCACCGAAGCTCATAGTGACAGGCATATACTCCTCCTTGAGTGAAATAGTAGAGTTGTAGGCAATCTCACCAACAGGAACAATCATATCAGGCGTCCCAGCCAAGACGGCGATACGGCCATTGGAGAAGCCTAGAGGGGGAGCGGTTGGGGCACTGTGGAGGTCAGGAATTGTTTTCTGGCCAAACGTTGGAAGTGGGGATGTCAAGAGCTCACCTGAGATAGACATTGCGGTACTGCGTATCTCCCTGAGTATAGGGGTAGAGATAGATGCCCTCAGAACATGTCTTTTTGTCGGCCTTGCCGTATCCATCTGTTTCCCACCAGTTCTTGAAGATGGTCTTGTTTTTCACGGCTTCAGTAAAGGCAAGATCACCGCCGTTATTCTGGCCCCAGGTCCATCGGGCTAGAGGGCCGGGGTTGATGAAGGGTCGGCGCCCTTCGTGCTCCTTTTCGTAGTCTGCGTAGAATGGCAGTGCAAGGGAGCGGTATTGGTCAACGGATGTCAAAAAGGCGTATGTCTGGTTTGATTGATTAGTATGTTATGATACAGTTTGAATATTTCGATGCTCACTGTATTCAACACGTCGTTGATGGCGGGCATTGACGATGGTTGGGTCTTTTCCCATTGCGAAGAAATGTTCACATGCTCACGCTTGGTGGAGAGGAACTCTTCAACCTTGACAACAAATTCCTCAAGCATTGCACCCGCGGAGGTGTTTACGGCGGGGAATGAGGAGTCCTGATAGAATATCTTCTTGGGATATTGCTTGTAGTCAGTGAAGTTCTGGTACCAAGCATGAATGACTTTTGACCAGGTAGCAGCATCACGAGAGAAGACACCAGCTGTATCAAGTGCATGACACAGGGGGATGACATTATCCAGAGAGACGGCGCCGGTAGAAGGACGGTTAGCAAACAGTCCTTGCATACCCCCGGGACTACGCATGGAGCCACCGGTGTCGCTTCCCACAGCGATATCCAGCCAGTCATACGAACCAATACCAGCACCTGGCCCCGAAGACGAGCCACCGGGAGCTTGGTAGCCATCACCCTGAGAGAGATTAGTATTATTATTCGCATGGGAGAAAAGAGACATACCCTCGGGTTGAAAGGACAGTGGAAGTCGACCCAATCAGCAGTGGGGTTATCGCCATTCGCAAATTGAACAGTGCCCATCTTTCCGATCATGATAGCGCCTTGATCAATCAATCGTTGAATTGCGGGACCGGTGGTATTTTGCGGCGAGTACAGATCGTAGTAGGCTCTGTTGCCCCCACTCGTCCGGAGTCCCTTGATGTGGTAAATGTCTTTGACACCCAAGCGTAGCTGAATGCTGTTAGCAAGACACGCAATTAGTAGTACATGGAGTTAACTCACTCCTGCAAGTGGCTTCTTGGTAGTGGGTGTATAGTACAGTCGGGATGGAACAGCGACACTTTTGGTCATTGCACCCTAAATCTCATTAGTTTGACATCACATGAAATTGGATACTCACTACTCACCGATACTGCTGCAGGCAAAGGCTTGAATCCTCCCTTTCCGTCACTCAGAGCGGGCTCGGTAAAGGCAACCTGGTGGTCTGAATAGAGACGGAAAGCTTGGTAAACCTCTCCAGTCTGGGGCGAGAAGAAGTAGGGTCCCTTAGGAAGATCATGCGAAAGTTTGGCAGGTGTCAGATGGGCCTCGGGCTTATAGCGAGGCGAGGCCATGATGACCTTGCTTCCACGCTTCTGCAGAGCTTGATGGATTGAGACATCCGCTTTGCTCCGACCATCTCCGTCGTAGAGCAAGAAAACCGCTGCTTTGAGGTCAATTGAACCGAAAAATGAAAACGAGAAGTTCAGTTTTCACTTACACTGGAGGAACCCAGTCTGGAACACATCATCAGAGGCGGAATAATTTGCAATAGTATCCTTCAAGAGGTCCTTTGTGAACACCGCATCCCCTGTTCGAATAATCGTAATAGGAACAATATCCGCGTTGAATTGGGTGGCATTGAAGTCTGCGGACACGACTATCTTGGAGACAGCCGCGCCTCCGCCATAATAATTGATTCCATTGACTGTGAATAGCTTGCCATCATCGATAGTCTTTGCTGTCGCCGTAGTAATGAGAAGTACTATTGAGGCAGAAACACGCCACAGGCGAGAACCGAAACCCAAAGCCATGATTACCCTTTCAATGCTGTGACGCTGGAATACTGAGGGTCGTCTGCAATAGATATATAGACCGCACGAGGACTATCTCTTAGCCTCTCTTCGACCTTCCTCGGCAACCCCAAACCCCAAATTGTCAGCGATAACGGTGGGGCGCTTCCCCCTCTTTTGGAGTCTTCATGTTGTCTCCGGAGGCCCTGAGAGGCCCAGAGAGCTCTCTAGCCATAGCTCGAGTCTTAGCCTCTGAGACACAACAACGACCGGTAGTTTCCGGCGTTGGGGAACTTGGGGGAGAGATTGGCAGTCTTGGCAGGTGGAGTTGGCGATAATCCAAGTTGATATGACTGTCGACCTCGTCAAATCGCTCAGGGGTTTATGCCATATCGGCAGAGTCAAGAGATAACTCAACATTTGAAGGCTTCCAGTCTCGATACCATCGTCGGGGTCACGTTATGTCTAATTCCTGAGAACTTGTCAGCAAACATAGACCTGAAATACCAGGCATCTATCCACGCCAAGATATCACGAGATCTTCACTCATTCCTCTCAAAGCAGAGGACTCATCGAGTCACGGTAGTCGCAGGTCAGCATCAGACTGGTGAATTCATTGGATTTTCAGCATATACAACAGGTCAGTGGCCCGGCGTGTTGGCGCGGTCAACTGACAGCTTATATCTCCATCGTTATTTCGCGGTGTAATGGTATAAGTTATGCTTGTATGGCAATGACAATGACATCTCGCTAGCTCAGACATATTCACACCTCGGCTTTCTGATGTACATTTCACGTTCTGGTTCAATATTGCATCAGTGTCATGTCCATAGATACTCGATTTCTCTAGTCAGAAAGAGGAAGAGACTCAAGCCCTCGGACCTCTCTGATTGGTCCGAGATCACGGGGTATGAGGCGCCCTAAGCTTATAAAAGGTGAACTGTTCAAGTTCAACTTACTTCTCTTTTATTTCAAGTTGGCAACTGCATTTTGATTCCTTGGCTTTTGAACTCGGTGCAAATTTTCCCCATTGGTGCTCATCAGAAGCCAACCCAGCTTATACGGACCCCACGACTACCACTTGACTCCCACATTACCGCCAACCATGACAGCCACGGGAGGACAGGTCTATGTCCTCACAGGAGCAAATAGAGGACTCGGTCTCGGACTCACCAAAGCACTGCTTGGTCGTCCAGGAAATATTCTCGTGGTGTCCGTTCGCAACCCTGAGGCAGCCGCTACCCTCAAGTCGGACGTCAGAAATGTCACCGTAGGGAAAGACAGTGTTCTTCATATCATCGAGCTGGACTTCAGCACCGCCATTCCCCCACAAGAGATCTTCCAAGCCGTCACCACGATCAGTCCCACGATTTCCCACATCGATGTCTTAATTTGCAACGCTGGATTCGCTGCCCCCATGACCCGCGCTAGTCTCACTTCAGCGGAGGACCTACGCACTTCGTTTGAAGTCAATACCATCGCCCCTCTCATGGTCTTTCAGGCATTTTGGCCTCTGATGAAAAAGTCCCATTCTTCCCCTAAGCTTGTGGTGATTTCATCGTCTGTCGGGTCAATCGCGGAACAAGAGCCTGTTCCCGGAGGTGCCTACGGTCCCAGTAAAGCCGCATCCAACTGGATTACCAAAGCGCTTCATTCTGAAAATGAAGCACATGGTCTTGTCGCATTCGCACTCCATCCGGGCTGGGTGCAGACGCGTGCTGGAGAATTTGTAGCAAAGGAGTGGGGATATTCTGGTAGCCCACCTGTCACTGTTGAGGAGAGCGTGACGGGAATGTTGAAGGTGATCGATGAAGCGACGAGAGAAAACTTCTCTGGTAAATTTGTGACTCAGACTGGAGAGATATTGCCCTGGTAGATTCACATCATCACTATTGAACTGGACTTCAACATTTTTCTAGTATGGATATGCGCATGCCAAAAGAAAACCTCTTTTATATACACAGGTTTCTCGTGGGAGTTTCAGGACTCCCAGGATATCACAGCTTAATCCATTGCCCCATCCACCGCTGATTCAAATCCTTCGCCTCATCCACCAAACCAAGCTCCAAAAGCAACTGAACAGACCCACGAACGGAAGACTGCAAGGAGGAGCTAACCCAAGCATGCGTAGGCGCAGTATGTTCACCAATAAATATGGTGTTATGCTCGGTCTGATGATAAGCAGGAATGTACAGTTTGTGCTGCTCAACATCCGGCCGACACCATGACGTCGCGGTATGTTCATCCTCCAGCCAACAAAGACGCTCGTAATCACCGGTATACAATTCTCGCACTTGCTCGCCATGCAAGCTAACAATGGAATCAAGCACTGTCTGAACATGCTCTTCGTCAGAGAAACTCACGAACCGGTCGCTCCAGTCCCCGCCTCGGTAGTGCATTATCAGACCGGGGCGTGACTCGTTAAGACCGTAGACTGGGTAGTAGAGGGCGCCGACTGGGTCACTTGGGGGCTTGGAGTATCCGCCGAAAATGGGTCGGTCGCCTTTCTCCCAGAATCGCTCGGAGAATAAGAGGGCGACTTTGCAGGCGGATTTGAAGCGAACGCCGGCTTCGCTGATTGCGCGGTCTAGGACTGATGAGAATGTTGGCAAGTCCATGAAGCGGGTCATGGTGAATGGCGCGGCCATGATCGTGTAGTCGTACTCTTTAGATTCAAATGTCCGGTTGAAGACGCTGGGATACCAAGACAGTCGGGTGCGAGTGTTGTTATTGTTGTCCCGAACAGGTTCTAGCTTTCTGATCTTTCGGTTAAGAATGAGCCTGTCGCGAATATGCGGAAGGAAAGCATCAGATAAACGATTGAATCCTCCATCAATACACAGCCATTTTGTTTCTCCCAAGCTGCCCTTTGTGCCATCCAAGCCAAGATTGGAGTTGTGGTGCAATTCATCCCAAAAAACATCGTAGTCGGATGAAGTCCAGATCTCATCTGTGACATTTTCGCTGGCCTTGAAGACATGTCGCATGAAAGCCTGTTCGCTCCAGTCGTCAAGGCCCTCGTCCATGGCAATCTTGTGTGCGTGCCACACATCCTTCTGAAGTGATTTAAGTGTTGTTTCGTTCTTCAAAATCTTGTCCATGGAATTCTGAGTATTGTTGAACTCGGCTGTGGTCATAGCCGGTGCATCCTCCAGATCTGGGTTTGCCTCGACTTCAGCACGCGTTGGGATTCTTCCGTCTGGATGCCGACGAGTTCCCTGAGCGAGTAATTCGTTGGGACTATGTTGGATCCAGGGAATGAACTCGATCTTCCATTGCGAGTCATTTTTGTTCATGTCGTTCAAAATGGTTGCCATTTGGAAGGTCAACTGGTGGTCGGAGTACAGGAGAGTCTCATTGTCGTCTTTGTATGTCACCGAGTATGGCAGCCTCATCGGTCCCATCTCTGCCCATTCCTGTGTGTCTGCAACATATTTGGTTCGAAATCTGCCTCCGACACGGTCACTCGCCTCAATTATCTCCCAGTTGTGCACGCCGACACTGTCTAGCATCAGACCTGTTGCGAGACCAGAGATGCCTCCGCCAACGATTGCGAGTGAGGAATTCTTTGGCGAGCTTCCTGAAATGACTCCCCCATTGGTATCGAGCTTGTCCTTGATCTTGGCCACTCCGTCGAACCATGTTCCAAGTGCATCAAAGTCTTTTAACAACGGGATGTTGGTGTCTGCCGCCGATCGTCTTTTCGGCTTCTTCTGCAGGGATACTGGGCTACTTCTGCCCAAAAGTCTCTGCGCACTGCCTGAGGGATCTCCCCCATAAACAAATACGCAGTGGTGAGTTGCGGCATCCTCAGGAACTGCCCAGACCAGTCGCTGTGGGGGCTGATCTTGAATGGAGAATTGCGCAATGGTTTCCTCTTTTCCAGATGTCTGGCCATCACAGGAAGCATACCTTGACTCAATCAGGCTTGGTGGCTCGCTCAGCCAATCGAGATGAACGTTGGCCAGTTCACCGCGTCGAACCGTGTCAGATGTTGTCACTTTGACAGTCTCTTGCTCGATCGTTCTGGCAAGCCCAGCTAGACCCTGGGCGACTATTGCGGCCACGAGAGACCACTTGCCGAACATTTTCTGAGGATTGAATTGTCCTTTTTACATCTCTTCGCCGGGTTTATATAGCCATTCATATGTGGTAGATCCCTCTTAGACCCTTGAGGACCTTCAGCGATGCCAAGGAAAGTCCGACAATGACAAGTCTGGTATGAAGTTGCAGATCGTCCTCTCGCGAGGCCGAAAAGAGTACCTTTAGGGCACCGTGGGGAAAGCCAATAATATACTCGTATCATTTACCGTGGACCTTGCGGTTCGTTCTCCCATGTTTAATTCCTGCATCACTTATTGTTAGTATAGCGATGGAGAGAGAAAGAAAAAGAGCAAGAGCAAGACAGAAGGAGCTAAGAAGAATTTGGGGGCCAAGACTGGAACACAACATTCCGTCTCTTCTCCTAAACACAGCCAATCCAGTTTCCTGAGATATCTCAGAGCTGCGGATTCCAAGAAAAGAAAGTTCGATTTGGAAACAAGGAAAACCTCCAAAATAGTCATTGGCACTTCATGGGACATCGTTCGCTTTCAAAATGGCAATACCGACCCAGCACCAAAAAAAGTCCTTGTCTTTCAAACTTGCATTCATAGGGCTGGCAGCAAGTCTGTTTGTCTTTCAGGTAGATGCGACATGTCTAGGAGTTGCTCTTCCAGTAAGTTCCTGGTTCGTGTCCGGTTGGTCCATACTAATTGGCGTCGCTAGACAATAGTTGGTGACTTGAAGGGCTCCAGTTTGCAGTCATTCTGGGCAAATCTGGCTTATACATTATGTGGCCTGGTGATGCAGCCAGTCTGGGCAAGTATATCTAATACATTCGGTCGAAAGCCGCCTCTTTACGTCTCTATGGCATTGTTCTTCATTGGCTCCATTGTTTTCGCTATGGCGTCAAGTATGGACATCATCATTGTCGGACGCGTACTCCAAGGTCTCGGCGGGGGAGGGATTGACCTTTTGGCACAGGTTATACTTGCTGATATGACGACGCTGGAGGAGCGCGCGAAATATCTCGGTCTGATGGCCATTCCATCGGCCATTGGCAATATCATCGGGCCTACCCTTGGCGCGCTGTTCTCGACTTATGCGACCTGGAGATGGATTGGATGGATCAACCTGCCACTGCTGGGAGTTGGGACACCCCTGGTGTTTTTCTGCCTAAAACTTCGGCCGATTGAGCTTGATGCCACACTTGCTCAGAACTTAAGTCGCCTCGACTGGGTCGGTATGGTGTTAGTCGTCATTGGAGTCACAATCTTTGTTGTTCCACTGAGTTGGGCAGGATCCTTATATCCCTGGGTTTCCTGGCAGACCCTTGTTCCAATGTTATTGGGAGTTGCGGTGCTCATCATTTTTGTCTTCTACGAAGCAAAGCCAGCAACACCCATTATTCCCCATAGGCTCTATCACACAAAGACAGGAAATGTGACGCTGATAGTAGGCTTCATTCACGGGGTGATCATGGTGTCTTTATTACAATATTTGCCTTTACTCTACCAATCTGTTGAGCTCGAAAGCGCAATCTCATCAGCTGTCTCCCTGCTTCCTACCATCATCATCAGCGTGTTGGTTGCAGCGGCCTCGATGATGATGGTCCCGCTCTTGGGGGGCTATGTGTGGCTTTTACGATTCTCATGGGTAATTGTTACTCTGGGAGCTGGCTTATTGACCCTGCTCGACGTGGGATCTTCGTCTTCGATGCGCTACGGGCTTCCAATTCTCTGGGGGCAGGGGATCGCATTATTACGTCTCAACAATCTTCCAATGCAAGCAAGTGTCAAGAACATCGATGACACAAGTTTAGCTATTGGACAGTTCCAGGCTATTCGTCTCTTCGGGGGTCTTATCGGGCTCACTATCTCGTCTTCGATTTTTAACAATGTTTTCTCGGCTTCAATTTCGGATACTACACCCGAGCTAGTAGGGCCACTGTCGCCATTGAGAGATTCCTCTAATGCTGTCAGCTTCATTGAAAATCTGGGATCACTAGACGCCTCTGTTACAACATTGGATCATGTTTTGAGAGTCTATTTAAAGTGCTTTCGAACGATATTCTACACCATGACTGGCCTGGGCGGGATTGGCTTGTTGAGCTCTGTGTTTATGGAAGAGATTGACCTGAAAGACCGGGGCCTTGGAACCCAGCGCTTTGAGGAATAATCCAGCCGGAAGATAACATGGTCTTTGACGGCAAGGATGCAGTTCAGTACCTGTACAGCAAAATAATGACATTCAAATTGGAACCTATTCTGTAGTAACCAGAAATTGCGTGGCAGAATGGAGAAACAACCCCGACTCCCTACATCATACAAAGCGCCGCGGAAGACGCCAAAATCAAAATAATACACATATCAAAGGCAATATCAACACTACTAGCAGCATTAGTCGGACTGGCAGTAGAGCTAGTTGTACCACTGGCAGATTCGCTAGTTGGATTGCTCGCAGAACTGCTCGCAGAATTACTAGATGTGCTGCTTTCAGGTTTTGTAGCTGTGCTGCTACTGCTGCTACTGCTGCTGCTTTCAGATTCGCTTCCAGCCTTCCCCAGGGTACCACCTTGAACGGATGCCGGTATAGTGCTGAGTTCGGCGGTGGAGGCAGCTTGTTTAAAAGCAGCAAGGGACACCTTGCCATTTGATCTGAGTCAAAAAAAAAGAGAGTCAGTCATCTCAAATTTCAAAGCGAGATTATGCTTACGGTGGATTGATAACCCCAACCATGCCGGCCTGACAGTGCCCAATCTGTCCGCAGTAAAACCAGAGTGGCGTTGTATCGTTGACTGTCAGAGTAAAGACGGTTTCCTGTTGGAGTTAGTCACTCATTTCAGATTGATCCAGGGGTACTCACTGATTCTTTTGTCGTGGGCATGAACCCACTCGAGAAGCTGGACGCACTCAGGGGATGACAGGGATGATCGAAGGAAGCTTGGGTCACGGAATGATTCTGGGGATAGAAATGAAATTCCACCTTCTCTCCTGGGGAGACAGTGAGAGTATTAGGGTTGAATGAAAAACCGTCTTCGCCGACATCGACTTTATGGATACTGGTACTGCTCGAGGCCGCGGCTGTAGTGGTAGAGGATGCGCTGCTGGTCATGCTAGCGTCCTCTGGGCCGTATTGTGCAAGGGCAAATGGAAGCGCAAGGAGAAGGAAGATCATTGCGGTCATCATTGTTGCTGTCCGAGGTCATTCAATGATGTTCGCTGTTGAATTTCCGAAGTATACGAACTAACTCCCTTCATTTTATATCTCAACATCATCGCTACCCCGCGGAATAGCCCTTCTATCCCCAATACTCAAGGCTCTAGACACGAATAGATATCTCGCACAGCCACGGAAATATCGAGCTAAGCTCTGAACCTTCGCACGCGGTAGCTTTGTTAGGTTAATGTGCCAAAAGCTTAAGCCGAACATGGCCCAACGAGGAAACCAACACGGCCTCGGGCTCTACCTTCTCTACATCTCGAGGCTATAAATGTCATTGAATGCGCCGATCCAGAGAACTATCAGCTGATTTGGAAATAGTCCTGGGTTCCAGACCGTGGAGGCGCAGCAGGGAACCTTCGTATTGACCTCAACCCCGAGTGGCTGACCAGTCGACCTCGTTTTGCGAGAACGAGAACGAGAAGATTGTCAACCCAGGGTGCTGATTAGGAATCTCGTAAGTTGCTTCTTTAAGCTAATGTACAATTGGGAAACTTGTGGCATAGAAGTCAAAATTGAACGCTAGGAAATCAAAGGTGAAGATGACGGCAGACCTGGGCCCAGTTGAGATGAGAAGAACTGTGCGACAAGGAGCTGAGTCGTGAATGTCAGCTTATTTATTCAGGAAGCATTTCTCGGTTGAGAACAATTTCAATCATCTGAACTATGATCTGGTATGTTTTCGCGTGGCTCTGGGCTGTCCCTGTGTGGGCTCAGCTCCAGAGCTTCCATCCCCCGGCCACCAGGAAATCTCCTATAGTATCAATGTTCCTACAGAGACAGCCCAGACTGGCTCGGGCTCTATATTCTTCCAGATGAATTCCACTCATCCGGTGCGGTGGTTTGCTCTGGGGCAAGGAATGCAAATGGAAGGGGCCAACATCTTTGTTGCTTACACTTCTGGCGACAAAGTGACAGTATCTCCACGGTCGGGCATAGCGGAAGTTGAGCCGTTGTATAACAAAGACGCCCGAATCGCAATGCTCAATGGCAGTGGTGTACACGATGGGGTCATTACGGCCAACATCCGGTGCGACAGCTGCTTAAAATGGACCGGGGGAACAGAGAATGTCAACAGCTCTTCAAGTTCATGGATCTGGGCAGTGAAGTTTGGAGACTCTTTGAATTCCACCAGTCTATCCGAGTCCATCACCCAACACGATGACAGTGGTGTCGTGTCTGTCGACCTCACGAAAGCAACGGGTGGCAGTTCGGAGAATCCCTTCGCTGATCTGGCCCCAGCGTCTGTTACCAGTGCAAATCCGAGTGATTCTTCCTTCTCAGACATGATCAGTCGGAAACAGACGGCACATGCTGTACTCATGATCTTGGCCTTTGTGATCATGTTCCCTTTTTTCGCGATGGGCCTTCATATCTTCCCAGCCAAGTGGACAGTCCATATCCATGGGCTCAGTCAGCTCTTCACTTTAGCTGTTGCGATTGCTGGTCTCGGTGTTGGTGCTTCTATGGCCAGGGATCTCTCCCTGGTCAACCACTACCATCCCATTATCGGCATGGTGGTTGTCGCGTGCCTCGTTGTGTTCCAGCCTGCCATGGGCGTATTACAGCACCGGTTCTTTCGGAAAACCGGTGGAAAGGGGCCTTTTGCCTATACCCATCGGTGGTTTGGGCGACTCCTGATCATCCTGGGTATTATCAATGCTGGACTAGGATTTCAGCTGGCGCAAGGACCGCGTGGGGCGGTGATTGCGACCAGCGTTGTGGCTGGAGTCATGGCACTGGGGTATGTGACCGTTGTATGGCTTGGACGAAGACCGAGGAGACGAAGTGGAGACTAAAACAAGCCCGAGTGGATCGCCCTGACTGCATAGCGTTAGGGCCGTGGGTAGTGGGAAGTGTAGAACAAACTGCAGAGTTGAGATTCGGACAGTGACATCATCGTCCCCCTGTCTTCTGTTTGTTCGCTGCTTTGCTCTTTCTCTCTCTCTCTCTCTCTTCCAGTCTCCAGGGCATTGAGCTGGCCAAACTCTTGTCTTTGTCTTTCTTTAATAATATCCCTTCTTATAACTTTTGGAATTCTACTTTGGGCGTCAATCCCACCTGACGTCTGTGGCATTTACGCGACATCCACTATAACCTTTTAAGGCATTATAATGCCATTACATACCTTCGCACTCGGTGCAGCACTGACACCCACAGTGCTGCATACTTTGATCAGCCATGTAAGCTGTGATGTGAGGGGAGACTTCGAGGTTCATACTGATTTCGCATGGTAGTATCTGCACCGGAAATCGCTGCACAACAAACCCACCGTCCATGTCACCTACGATGAAGGCATTCAGATTGTGCGCCAATTTCTTTTCTATGCGTCGAAGCATCCCGTCGAAGACCTCCAAGCGTTTACCCGCCAGTGGGTGCCCAGTCCACATTGGGTGAGAACAGAGACAATCACAATCCCCGAAAACTTCCTATCCTCTGCAGGAGATGCGATTGTCAAGCAGCTGGGTCCGAAAGGGGTCAAAAGAGTGGGAGGAGAGAAATGGTGGCAATGGCGTGGGCCATCTGAAGAGTTAAAGGGAGAGTGGATTGAGATGCGCAATCACTACAATGAGACCAAGAAGGCCAACCAGCGCTCCAATCGAGTCATGCTGTATATCCACGGAGGGGCATACTTCTTTGGAAGTGTTGACACCCATCGATATATGATGCAACGCCATGCGCGCAAGATCAAGGGACGTGTATTTGCGCCAGACTACCGTCTCTCGCCACAATTCCCATTCCCATGTGGACTACAAGACTCAATGGCTGCATACTTATGGCTACTGGAGTCATATGAGCCCAGCGAAATTCTTTTGGCCGGTGACTCTGCGGGCGGAGGTATGGCCCTGTCCATGCTGGTCATTATGCGGGACCAAGATATTCCTCTGCCTGCAGGCGCTATCCTGATCTCACCCTGGGTTGATCTGACGCACTCCTTCCCGAGTATTGTTCAGGACAATCCAGGCGATTATATTCCTCCGTGGGGGTTCCGCCACAAACCGTCAACCGCCTGGCCTCCTCCCAATGCCGATGACATTCTGAAGATGAAAAAAATGTCGCAACAACCAGTCGTCACAGCCGAAGATGTCAAGAAAGCAATTCCGGCCCCGAACAGCGAAGCAGAGGAGACAGCCATTCGTGGGTATACTATTCACGAGGGCACCCCTCCAGCGGGACCTGCCTACCCTGGCGAACAGCAGAATCAGGACCCTGCTACCTTGCAGACTGAACCCGACAACATTCATGTTCTGATAGATGGTGAGACCGTTGAATTAAAGGACCAAATTCAAATGTACACGACAAACCAACTTATGTCCCACCCTCTTGTTTCGCCTGTCCTTCAACCCTCGCTCGGTGGCCTTCCTCCCCTTCAGATTCTCAGCGGTGGGGGTGAAATGCTTCGTGATGAGCAGTTCTACGTGGCTCATAAAGCAGCCAATCCGACAGCATATCCGCCTAGCGATGTGTACCTGGATGATAATGATCCCACTCGCGAGACCTTGAACAAATACGCACCAACTTATGTACAGCTTCAGGTGTGGGACGATCTTTGTCATGTGGCTCCCACTCTCAGCTTCACACAGCCTGCCAAGTATATGTTCAGATCTATCTCTCAATTCGGCTCTTGGGCTCTGGCTCGTGCCCAGAAGGGAGAAATCGACATTGTAGACGACTCTATCTTCATGCCCCTCACACCGAGCAGCTCTAGCAGTTCCGAGGAAGGGATGTCCGGACCTCAGGCAGAGACCATCAAATCATCTCGTAAAGAAGGACTTGCGTCCGTCGGCAAAGCAGGTGATCCTTTACCGGCATTCCATGAACACATGATTCGCCAACGTGTGGATAAACATGGACACATTTTCCCACTTGAACCCACTTCTTCATACCCAGTACTCAAAATACCGCCCACCCAGGTCGGTGCGATCAACCCCGAGCTCATTCGAAAGTGGCTGGCAGCCAAGAAAGAGTGGGACATCCGTTTCTCAAAGGAAAAGCTTCGCGTTCAGAGCCGTCGCTTAAAGGAATTGGCGCACGGGTTCCAGGACTTCGACGGCGAATGCCCGCCTTCAAGCTCGCTAGCCGCCCGACGTGCTGCGCCTGGCGTGCTACCAAAGCGCCATGCCAAGAAGAACTATGGTATGATGCTTTGGAGTGGTTGGGGAAGTAAGCATGATGAGCGCACAATGGAAAAAGAACGTCAGGCCACGCAATCAGGCCGCCCTTCAACTCGTCCCAGTTTCGACGCTGGCCAGGCAGGGGCTTGGTCTAGCACTCCACTAACAAACGCTCACGGCAAAAATGCCGCGGATCACGAGCTCAGCAAAGAGAAATCACACGCTAGCGGTCCTACCTCCATTACTTGGAATGAGAAGGAGCAACCCAATAACAATGGAGACGCTGCCACAGATCGTATGTCCACCGACCCGGATTCAGTATCCCGCCCACTATCAGAGATGAGCGGTCCAATCCTCATATTACCTGAGGTGGACAATCGCAAATTCACCGATGAAAATGCAAGCACCAGAGCCCTCTTCCATGCGGCAGGCACTCTCCCTATGAAGTCTGATATATCCTTGTCCAACAGTCGATGCCGACCAGGCTCAGCTGCAGGCTCGGCTACTGGTCGCAGTGAGATGATCTCTGACACTGCCAGCACTATCGGCGGCGACAAGGACTCTGTTGCTCGTATGAACATTGCACCTGATAGTGTTAGCACCCGTGCTGTGCTGGGCGCGAAAGGCGTCATTCCAGTGATGGCGCATGAAAACGGTCGTATGTCTTCTGATACACTCTCAGTTTTCTCTGCAGCTGGTCGTGATTCCATGTCCCAGCGCCCTGAGATGCCTGATAGAGAGGTATTCAAGACCGCCGAAGAAAGCCTTTAGGCTGCCATTTCTGCCATTTACTCTGATATATTTCGGATCTTTCACGTTCTCGTCCTGTCTTTCCAATTTCCCTCGCTTTGATCTATGCCTGAACTGCTCTAGCATAGACATGTTCACCATGTTTAGCTCTACCCTCTGAGCTGCCGTTTCTTTTTGTCTCTAACTTTTGTTTTGATTTTGTATATACCCGATGCTGGCAGTTCTATTCTCGATACTCTGCCACTAATCTGCTTTTGAAAATTGCAGAATGAACACAATCTATACCCCCACAGTAGCAGCCATGATGACTTCTACACAATGAAGCGGCCTTGTCAGTATACCATTCAGTGGAGGTGAGATCAAGTTCTACCATGAATATCCGTAGCGCCTGGCCCGCCACTAGATGATGTAAGTCTAATAATAATAATATACAAAGATGGTAATCTAATATCGTAATCCAACATGTTCCCTTTCAACGCCAATCCAGGCCAATTTTCTTCGCAACCTGCTCCGCGATATCAAGGAAAGCCTGGCGACGAACGCTACGCTCAGCACTCTCTTCCGAAACAACGGTAGGCATACCCCGATCAGCATCCTCACAGACCCGAGCATCAAGAGGGATATCGCCAAGGAAGTCAACTCCAAGTCTCTTACACTCCGCAACGACGCCATGCGTTTCATCGTGGACATGCGGTTGATCCCCATGTGAGAAAATACGACTCTGGTGTCCACACTGCGGACAAGCAAAGAATGCCATGTTACGGACCATTCCGAGCACTGGAACGTCCATGCGTTGGAACATGCCAATTCCGCGCACTGCATCACGAAGTGCGATGTCCTGTGGTGTTGTGACGATGACAGAGCCGTCAATTATGACTTCTTGGTTGATTGTTAGTTGAACATCGCCTGTTCCTGGGGGCAGGTCTAGGATTAGGACATCCAGGGGTCCCCAGGAGACTGAGTGGAGAAGCTGGTGCATTGCTTTGGTGACCATTAGGCCGCGCCATGAGATTGGTGTTGTGTCCATTGGCAGTTCGCCTGTTGTGCTGTCCGCTTGTGTCTGGGGGAGAAGATAGCCCATTGACATGGATTTGAGCCCGTAGTTTGTTAATGGGACGAGGCAATTATCTAGAAGCCATGTAAGTACTTCATCAAATGCGCTTTCATGGGTGGCGAATATGAAAACTTACTTTCATCGAGACGAGGCTCGCCGGAGAGATTGAGAAGAGTTGGTATAGATGGTCCAAAGATATCCGTGTCCAGAATACCTGTCTTAATGCCCCGGCGTGCGAAAGAGAGGGCGAGGTTTACTGAGGTATATCATAAGAGCCTGTCCAATCGAATTGCTCTCTTGGTCTTGCAGTGCAACTTGAGCCGAGCATATTGGTGAAGGTCAAAGGACTAACCTGCTATTGTTGACTTTCCTACACCACCTTTAGCCGACGAAACAGCAACAACTTTCTTGACATCGCGAATCTTTCGCTTTTCGGGGAGATTGCGACGAGAGCGGAATGATGGAGGTGTGCCAGAACGTGGGAGTCCCTGTTTTAAGTCAGCCTCTTAAATCCTTGTCAATTGAGTGGTCTATGTCCCAGCGAGTTTGGGAGAAACTCGATGCACTACTGGACAACAACAGAAGTTCCAAGAATGATGTAAGAACTGACCAATGGATTATCATGTTGGAGAGCCCTGCATGTTGAGAAGAGCCTCACATGCATGGAAGCTCCACGAGCAGGCGATACCAGCATATTGGCAGATACACAGAGCAGATTGTTAATCGACCAAACAATGTATGAATAGAAGTGAAGCTGAAAGGATAAATCATACTGCCAATGCAAGCTCTTACCGCCCAGTACACGGACCATAATGTGGTTACCGCCTTGAACCGCCTTGCGCTAGTCCCAGATAGGCCAGTTGATCCGTTATCCGGAAAAACCGCAAAAAAAAAGTCGCGAAGCAATCTTCTCTTTCTTCATATCAAAGCAACATCATGGCGAAAGGCACACGTTCGCTGGCTGATCAGCTGGCTGATTTTGAGGATCCCACACCCAAGGGTATGACCACTTTTGATCTGTCATCTTTGGGCATAGAATGCTGATTTTCTACCTAGATTTCGATCCCGAGGATATCGAGAATGGTGTCCAGTCAAGCGATGATGAAGATGCCGAGAAGCCTGATGAGAACGCCGGACGAGAGCATTATCAAGCTGTGGGGTGAGTTCTCAATATTCAACAGGGTTCAATGACATACTAATAATTGAATAGCAAAGGAAAGCTCCGCAAGGAAGACCCCGTCGCCCTAGGAAAACAATATGAAGGCGCCCGTGTCAGCAGAGATGCTCTCGGCGCAGACAGCGATGACGATCCTTTCGCGGCTCGCTCTGACGATGACTCCGGCTCCGAGGAGAGCGGATCTGAGCAAGGTTCAGATCTCGGCTCCGAAGTGGATTCTGAAGCAGACGACGACGAGGAGGATGAATTGGATCAGGAGGATTCGGACGAAGAAGAAGACGATGATGAGAGCGAGGAATCCGAAGAGGAAGCGCCCCGCCCCAAGAAGTCCAGCAAGAGCAAGAAGACTTCCGAAATAACTGCCCCAGCCTCAGGCGATCGCGATGAACTCCGCAGATTGATGGCGACAGATCAGAAGTCCATTGCCGCGACAATTTCTTCGGCGGCCAAGGCTGATGCCACCAAGGGCAAGGCTGTCAAGGAGCAGCGCGCCACCTTCGATGCCCTGCTGAACTCCCGTATCAAGCTCCAGAGTGGATTGACGGCTGTGAACAGCATCGCTCTCTTGGGATCTAACGAAAATGGAGACAACGCTGACGGCGACGATGAAATGGTTGACGAGGAAGCGATCAAGTCAGCAGAATCAGCAGCCCTCGCATTATGGTCGACCCTCGAAGGTCTACGATCCGCACTCGCCGATGCCAACTCAAAAGACGATAGCAAGAAGCGCAAGAGACCATCCGCCGCATCTCCCACCACTACCACCGCCTCGCTCTGGGAGCGCATGTCCGAATTGGAATCCGAATCCCTCTCCCACCGCCGCTCCATTCTCGACAAATGGTCCTCCAAGGTCCGCGGCACATCCGCAGCTGGCAATGCCCGTGGCAAGCTTCTTAGCGCTGCAGGCCGCCAGCAAACCATCACAGCCGTCCTCGATGCCCAAGTCGCCACAGAGATCGGCGAACGAACCTCCAAGCGCGCTCGCTCTTCCGACGAGCCAGAGCCCCTCTACGACGATGGCGCTTTCTATCAGTCCCTTCTGCGCGACCTCGTTGAGCAGCGGATGTCTTCCTCTGAGGCTATGACCAATGGTCTCGACTTGCACCATTTGCCCTCCCGTCTGCCCATTCACCCTATCACCGGTATGCGCAACGACAAGGTCAAGCGAGATGTCGATACCCGCGCCTCCAAGGGCCGTAAGATGCGCTACACCGTGCATGAGAAGCTGCAGAACTTCATGGCTCCTGATGACCGGGCGTCGTGGACTATACGCGCGCGCGATGAGTTCTTCGCTTCTCTGCTTGGTCGGACGGCGAGTGGTGTTCTTGGTGAGGGCGATGAGAGTGGCAGCGATGCGGAGGATGATGATCGCGAGGAAGGTGGTTTGCGACTGTTCCGAAGCTAGGTCTGCACATTTACATACATAGGCATTATTACTTTTTTTTTCTCTTGTACTATAGTGGTTACGGCCATGACATAAAAGGCGAATCTCTATGCATTCAATGACGTTGTTCAGTGGTTAGGGTATTATATACAGGTGTACTCCGGGTATCTCGCTCGCTTTCAATGTGTATCTCCAAGATACATGCAACCAAATCATTTCTTCTCTTCCCGAGGTGTGTACGCTGGTAGTTGTTCGGTTGATGGACCTTGTGACCATTCGAAAGGTGTTGTTCGTGGTAGCCCTAACATCTTCTCGCGCACTGCTTGTTGCAGTCGTAATCGTCGCTCTACTTCTTCCTCTGCGGTCATGAAGTGAGGTCTCCCGTCGGCCCCAATGATCACTGCGCCGCTCACATCATTGTATGACGGAGGAATTGCGCTCGTGAGTGGGGGCGATGTTGGGTTGCTTGCGCATGCTTTGGTTTCCATTGTAGGAGTGGTCGGGAGGGTAGAGAGGGTAGACATGATTGGACTTTGCATGGTATATAGGCAGTCGATCCGGAGTAGAAGATTCAGGCACAGGCTTGGAATCGTCCGAATTATGTACTTTCTGAGGCAAAAGTATTTAGAATGTCACGCGGTCTGGGGTAAAGCGCCTCGGCACGCTAGTGAATTTGCGGGGGTGAGACAGATGTGGCGTTGGCAAAAGGTCGTGGACGTTGAGGTTGACGAGAATAACCGATGTTTCGAGTAGAGTAGAGTAGAGAGAGAGAGAACAAGAGAAAGGAAGAGAGTAAGAATGAGAAGAAGCAGGGAGGATCGTCCAGGAACGCGTGTTGACTTCAATATGCAGTGGGTCTTTCCCCCTTTCAATGATGCAAGGCCCCGACGTCAGAGTTTCTCGGGTGAAGACAGTCGCACTCGGACGTTTTGGCTTCCAACTCTTGCGCTGAACGAAGCCTTTTGGTCGTCCACTGCATAGTTATAAGCTCTCCGTCCATGTTGTCGGGTATAATTGCTCGTATAACTCCGCTCCGCTCGGATATTTCGTGGCTTGATCGGCTGCAGTCACCAGCCCTAACTCACATTCATCCCAACCCACTCCGTCCTGGGCTGGAGCCCCGAGGGCCCACGAGGATCACCCAAGTGTCAATATTCATCCACCTCCTGCCACTGTGCCCGCAATGACTGGATGAGAGAATCCATATTCCAGCCGGTCCTTGCATGCATGGCTTGTAATAGAGCCTCCGCTGCCCTTTGATCTAGGCGATGCCGAAGGACCCATCCCCCTTCCATACCGTAGTCAGCACAGGGTCAGCTGGAAAGTGCATTGGCTAACTTACAGGCCACTAGGCTGTGCCGTGCAGTAAACAGGGTATTCTCGGCTTTGCGGTTCGAATGCGCCAATCCCAACACGGTGAGCAGGTGATGGCGAACAGTTTTCTACATGGTAGCGTTAGTATCGCCGACCGCAAAATAATAATACTAATAAAAATAGTAAAAAAAATAAAGAAGAAATGGTCGAACCTCCACTATTCTCGAGTGGCGTAGACTTTCATAGGCGGATGACGCGTTTGCTCCCTCCGACAGTGCCAAGACGATCTTGGCTAGATGGAAGTATTGGATTCCGATGACTAGGAAATCAGCCTGGACTCCTCGAATACAACCGACATCGCTTACCATGTACGGGCAATAGCATCCAGAGAGTCGGAAGCCGCCGGTCGGGCTCTGGTCCTCGTGGAATAGACCTGACAGGCGCAAACGTATATGGCTTAGTGGAGTACCATTCGTCGATCTCGGCTCTGATGCCATGTGCTGTCCCACAGTCGGTGAATGCGCTTTGGAGAACTTTGGCGAGCAAGAACACCATTCGACTAGACCACGCAAAGTCGTCATTTCTTTGAAAAACTCCCGAGTCGTAAAAACTTTGCAAGTTGGTTCGGAGAGGCCGTTGGGTGGTCAGGGAGATATAGATGTCTTGACGCAAACAAAGCCAGGCTGCCGCCTCACCCAAGCCACCAGAAGAGCCAAATGTCGACACCGTATTCAAAATGTGCGTTGTGCCGGTCAGATGGAACTGATGATCCTCGCCTAGAAAGTATGAGTCTCAAGAGGCCACACGACTGCCGATGCACCTACCGTCCATTTCCTCATGCTGGCGAAGAATAGCTACTGCTGCAAGAATGTCCTCGGTGATGTGTTCTCGCGGCTCGGACAGTGCTGGAATCAGTAGTTGCACACAGCAACTGTGATACTGCAGTGCTTCTGTCAAATCACTGCCACTCTGCCGATCAAGATGGCGCGATGAAAATGCAAAGACCGCGTGCCGCAAGAAAGGTTCTTTCAATGCGCGAGCCGAAACTTCTGTTTCAAAGTGCCGTTGAGGGTCCGTAATGTCGGCCTGAAGGGCGAGTTGTCAGTTGCAAGTCTATTGGTAGATACCCAGATACGCACCCAAAGGGCCATGTTCTCTACAAAGTTCCTCAACAAGACAGCTTCTCTTTCAGTCAGAACATGCAATGATTTTGTTGATGATCTAGATTGTACTGATCTTGGAGAGGACAACGATGAGACGGACGGTAAATGGCATTCTGTAGCGCAAGGTGGAACTGGCGTCAAAAGATTAGCTGCGAATGGTTCTATGCTTTGCTGCACAGTCTGACACTCGGATCTCTCATGGTCTCCAAATGTCAAATCGTGCTCCGAAATACCAATGGCAGTTGACTGGTCCTGCGGGAATGCCGAGTACAAACTGGCGATCTCGAAAGTTTCATCGTAGAAGCGCACTAAGGGATGCGTTAAATTGATTGCAACCAGACCATAGAAAATACTGACCTTGGCCATGTAGCTGGGGCCAACTACTCCGATCTGGAAATGCAAGGTCCGGTTCATTGGGCAGCGAAAGACCATTGCGAAAGCGGATATTAGTTCGATCACATTCAATGCCCGCGAGTTTACAATGTCCGCAGCCCTGGTTGTTAACGTCGCCTTGATGCTGCTTTAGTTTCAAGGTTACAGCTTCAGGTACGGTATAGCTTACACTTTAAGTGTCGAGCTGTGCGATGGTCAGCGATTGGGTCAATCAACCCTCCCAAACCACTTACCACGACATCGTTGGCTGTACAATATCAATTAGTTCGTGTCGTGCATCAAGTGTAATCTATGACTTACCACCCAGCCACTAAGCGACTTCTTTTGGACGACATGGAAACATATGCGTGGAACAAATTACTGTGTAAGCCCAAATCAGAGAAGGGTATTCTTTCCGGGGATCTGACCCCTGCTTTTCCACTTGAATACGATGTGGAAGTTGAAGTTGCGGGGTGAGGAGTGATACTCGCACGCACCGATCCAGTCCGCCAGTCCTGATGTGGACTAGCGGCAGAGGGGGCTGACCAACCATGACAGTGAAGTCTGTGTCTTGGCACACTAGCCTAATTCGGAGTCATGCAGGTATGCGTGCGCATATCATGTCCTATGAACATTCTATGAGGGCAATTCTTTCCGTGTATATCTTTGTTCCACTTCACATCACTTCCACCATTTCTCACGGAGATTTTGACTGACAAGATTGAATGCACTCTGTTCACAATGCAGGATAGATTGCTTCAAATCTATTTAAACCCCCGTATGGGACGGAGGAAACAGAAGACAACCATCACTTCCTCTCGAGTTCTTTCCACAACTTACCTCTCATACCTTCAACACAATGGGCATTCAAAAGCTTCAAGTCGGTATGGCTGGCCTTGGTCGTGTCGGCAAGTTGCACGCCACAAACTTCCTTCAGAAGACTCCCCGGGCAGAGCTAGTGGCAGCTTTCACCCCCGACCCTACTGAAATTGCGTGGGGGCGAGTGAACCTGGAGCCTCATGGCGTGACTCTCTACACCAATTATGATGAGATGCTCAATCACCCTGGTTTGCAGGCTGTAGCCATTGGCACTGCTACCTCTGTTCATGCCGAGGAAGCTATCAAGGCCATTGAGAAAGAACTCCACGTTCTGTGTGAAAAGCCATTGTCCACCGATGTCGAAGTGGTGAGAATCTATACATGACCTCAAACTCATATCAAAACTGATCAGTGTTCAATTACAGTGCAGAGCAGTTGTTCAAGCTGCCCGGAAGAAGCCTCACCTGAAGGTCATGTGTGGATTCTCACGACGCTTTGATGAGTCCTACCGGGATGCCCATGCCAAGATGGAGCAAGGCCTCATTGGAAGACCAGCCATTATTCGAAGTCAAACTTGCGACAAATTCGACCCCTCGGGCTTCTATGTGGAATACGCCGCATGGTCCGGCGGTGTATTTGTCGACATGTCAGTACATGACATTGATCTCAGTCTGTGGTTCTTCGGTGATGATGTCCTCCCCAAGAGTATCTCGGCCCATGGGATTACAGCAGTGCAGCCAGAGCTCAAGAAGTACAAGGACTACGACAATGCCGTCGGGATTGTGGAGTTCTGGAATGGCAAGATCGCCTACTATTACTGCTCCCGCATGATGGCTGCCGGCCAAGAGGATACGACTGAGATCATTGGCACTGAGGGTAAGCTGACCGTCAACGGCAACCCCCAGCGCAACTTTGTCAATCTTTACCACTCCGGTGGCATCACCCGCGAGATTCCTCCCAACTTCATGGGCCGCTTCAGCCCGGCGTTTGTGCAGGAAGCCAATGATTTCACTGCCGCATGTCTGGACAACACCCCACTTCCTATGAAGTTGACCAATGCCGTCAAGGCTGTTGAAATTGGTTCTTATCTTCAGGAAGCTCTCGTGTCTGGAAAGCAGATTCACTTCGATGAGATTGGGCGCCGCATTGAGAAATCCCAGCTGTAGGGTGTTTCTGTAAATGAGATGAATGATGAAGGAACCAGTTTTAGTACATAAAATGCCCATTTGAATAAATTTTAGCATATATCCGATTTCTCAACATTTGCTCTTTCAGTATAGACGAAGCAACCAACGAAAGACTCACAAAGTGTGGGGTTTCCCCGAGCTGACGCCAGCTGATCGGCAAGGGGGGGACCGCCCTGGACTTCATACTTCATACTTCTGCAACTACTCATCAGAATACCGTGCATTTCGATCCTGGCTTGCAGCGTCCTATACTAAAACACTCTTATACATGGGCTGGTCCCTCTGAACATGCGATTCAATCTACAAAGTCCACTGGGACTAGGCTCCCTCTACGCATCAGTATTGTCCTTCTTCTTCGGCCAGGACTCGGGCCATGTAACGCATCATCCAGTACTTCCACCATCTTATCCACTGGCAGTGCGTAACCCGTATTTGTCGGCATGGATGCCTAGTGACAGGGTCCAGCGTTTGCCCTATTCAGAACCCCAGTTCTGGGCAGGTCAGGATCTTGGTTGGTCGATTATTGTCCGTGTCGATGGACAGGCGTATAGTCTGATGGGTGTGCCAAATCCTGAAGCAAATGATATACGTCCTGCAATCGTCCATCGGGCGGAGTTTACCACTACGCATTCTGTCTTTAACCTCATGGCAGGTTCTGTGGAGGTCACGCTGGACTTTTTGTCGCCGGTTTCTCCTTCAAACTATGTTCGACAGTCACTTCCTTTTAGTGAGTTTGCTTCGAAGTTGTTTTGGTTTTTATGCTAACTGAAACCAGGTTACTTGACTGTACATGTGTCTGCGCCAGAGAGTCAGATTATTCAAGTTTATTCGGATATTGACGCCAGGTGGACTGGCAAGGCAGATCGCTCGCAGCGAACCTTCGACAGACGAAACGGTCTGGCTATCTACTCGCTAACAGTGAAAGATGCCCCATTATATACCGAGGCAGATGACATGGCTCTTTGGGGTCAAGCTATCTTGGCTTCTCGGCCCTCTAACTTCAGCACATTATCTGCTATGTCAGGAAAGCCCGAAAAAGTGCGTGGTGAATTTTCGAAAGTCGGTGCTCTCTCTGGAAAAGATGATGCCTGGAGTGATGAAAGTGTCGTTGCCCTGGTTCATGATCTAGGTCACGTCACAGAGGGTTCTTCTGTGAACTTTGTGGTAGGTTACGAGAGGGAAGCTGCCATCAATTATTTCGGAGAAGCATATACTGGCTACTACCGAGCCGAGTATTCGACAGTCTCAAGTGCACTCACATTTTTCTTGGATGATTATGGTAGCGCATTGTTAGAGTCATGGAAGTTGGATATGGAGATCAACACTTTGTCTGCAACTGCTGCAGGTTCAAAGTATGCAGACATCATCGCTTTGTCAACTCGACAGGCATACGGTGGTATCGATTTGACTATCCCCAACCACACACTGAACACTGGAGATGTTTTGGCATTCATTAAAGAAATTTCCAGTGATGGAAACATCAACACCATCGATGTGATCATGCCCGCTTTCCCAATTTACTATGTCATGGACCCGAATTATATTCGCTTGCTACTGGAGCCTGTGATGAAGTACCTTGCTACTGGTCGGTGGCATCTACCATACGCAATCCACGATCTCGGCACCCATTATCCTCATGCCATTGGCCATGACGACCAACAAGCAGAGCCGATGCCCATTGAGGAGTGCGGAAATCTTCTGATTCTAGCCTCAGCATATGCTTATGCCACCGGAGATACTCAGTGGACTTCACAATACACGGAAATTTTCCAGAAGTATGCAGATTACTTGGTGGAAAATAGCATCAATATTGCAACCCAACTTTCCTCCAATGATGCAGCTGGGCCACTCGCCAATGAGACAAACCTGGCGATCAAAGCTGCTGTGGGTCTCAAGGCATTTGGAAAGATGAGTGGGGACAACTACTACTCTCATGTTGGAGAAATGCATGCAAAAATCCTCTTTGAGCAAGGTTTAGGGACAGACAATGCGCAGACACATTTTGTGCTGGAGTATCCTGACAACCCAGAAACATGGAAAACCCCGTACAACCTCTTCCCAGATGTCTTGCTAGACCTGAAGACGTTCCCTGATGCAGCCTATCGAATGGGCAGTGAGTTCTTTGCAGCCGTCCGAGGCGAGTACGGTGTTCCTCTCGACAATCGTCAGGACTGGGCAAAGTCAGATTGGAATATGTGGCTGGCTGCCACCTTTGATACGAGCACTCGGGATGAGTTCGTCAATGACCTGTGGGCATTTATGACCAATGGGAAGCACAACTGGCCGTTTTCCGATCGGTACGTTGCTAAATCTGCGCACGGCAATGAGCCTGGTGTTCCTGTTCTTTGTCGAGCACGTCCCACTGTCGGCGGTCATTTCGCGCTGTTGGCATTGAAGGGGCCGAGTTCTATATCGTCTTTGTTGAGTCTGGCCCATGGAAAAGAATCTGAGGCCGTGCAAAGGACTCTGAGGCAGAACCATATGCTTGAGTCCCAAGAGCTATGATATCGCAGTGGCTGTCAGAATTGACCTTGTTGTGGTCGAAAGCAGACATGATATCTTTTATACGTATACAAAGCATTCTGGTTGATGGGGGTTCTGGTGCCAATTGTGCATTGGCTATGTCTCTCGAGCAATCATGGCGCGCAAATCTAAGACTATTCTTTGCAGTGATCTGAGCAATGGTCATACCAGGCATAGATACTGTCCTACAGATTCTGTAGCCTACGTAGACAGTCACAATGAGTCATACTTAACACAATGTACAATTTACACAGCCTGAAGGCAACAATGACATACAAAAACATAAAACAATGAAGTAAACGCTACCAGGTAGGGCCCATAGACCCAATTGGGAAAAGTGTTGCCAGGGGGCTTACTCAGCATCACGCCTGTTGCTTCATGGGAAAGTCAATCTCCATCGAAAGTTCCCCTTCGATTCCATTTTCCACTTCTCTCTTCTTCGTTTCTCCCCTACCGAACTTATACCCTCCATCCTTCATCGCCTATCCTCTTTGACCTTTGATAACACGACACCCATGGCTTCTGTACGTGGCTCCTTGAACCGTCTCCCCTAGGAATAGCTTCTAGATGCGCGACACCCGCAAGATACAACCTCCAAAGCTAACGCAGTCATGATTCTCTCTTCTAGCCTCGTCCTCATAACTTTGGTCCTCAAGGCTATCCTCTCGCCAACGGTTCGGCCGCCGGTCCCGTCCCCGGTGCCACGCCGCTTCTCCCTAACAATGGCCGAGTGATCCAAAATGGTCCCACTCGAATTCTGTGCATCGCAGACGTGCGAGGTAAGACTCTTTTGCTGATGATATTCTGAAATCATGGGTGAGGACATAGACTAATCCGCCCCGTGCAACAGGAAACTTGAAGTCTCTGAATGAACTGGCCAAACAGGCTCGCGCAGACCATATCATCCACACCGGTGATTTTGGTTTCTACGATGATACCTCTTTGGAACGGATTGCAGATAAGTGAGTTTACCTTACCGTCAGTTTGGCGCGACTTTTGCTGCCCAATACGTCACCGTGTCGGCAGGCAGCGAACATCCACCGCAACGACAAGAGCATCAACTAATATCAAAATTCAATAGGACACTGAAGCACGTCGCACAATACTCCCCCCTTCTACCTGAGAACGTGAAGCGATCAATCGCGCAGGTCCCTCCTCAGCAATCCATCAAACAACGATTCCCCGCCGACCAGCTACCCCTCTCCGAGCTTTCTATGCTTCTTGACAAGCGAATCACTCTTGACGTACCCGTTTACACAGTTTGGGGTGCTTGTGAAGATGTGCGCGTGCTGGAGAAGTTCCGCTCTGGCGAGTACAAGGTGGATAAGCTGCACATTATCGATGAAGCCAACTCACGCCTACTCGATATCGGTGGAGTGAAGCTGCGTTTGCTGGGTCTTGGTGGTGCTGTGGTTATGCACAAGCTTTTCGACAACGGTGAAGGGAAGACAACTATTGCAGGTGGACAAGGAACCATGTGGACGACGTTACTGCAAATGGGTGAGCTTATTGATACAGCCAACCGGGTTTACGACCCTTCGGAGACTCGTGTTTTCGTCACTCACGCCTCACCTGCCCGTGAGGGTATGCTCAACCAACTCTCTGTCACCCTCAAGGCTGATTTCTCAATCTCGGCTGGTCTCCACTTCCGCTACGGCTCCTCCTACAACGAATTCTCCGTCAACCCCTCTCTCGACCACTACCGTGGCAAGCTTGCTGCTTCCAAGGCTTCGTTCACTGATGTGTGGGAGACTGTTCGCAGTGAGGTTGAGTCGGCTATCTCTTCTAACGATGGCCAGAAGACTCTCCTGGAGAATGCCCTAGATGTGGTCGCCAAGATGCCTTCCATCGCCAACGGCGGTAACCCCTTCGGTGGCCCTGTTGCCGCTGGTAACGCTGCTGGCCAGGTCGATGAGAGTGCCTTCAAGAACATGTGGAACTTCAACTTGGCAGATGCTGCCTTCGGCTACCTGGTCCTCGAGATTGAAAGCGGACGCATTGCTACAGAGATGCGGGCTCAAGGTTTCAACTTTGCCCACCGCAGTGGCAAGCCCCAGGCCGGTGGTGCCCCTCAGCCTGTGTCCAGCGGTCTTCCTGCTACGACTGCCTCCCCTGCCCCTACTGGTGCTGCTCGCACCCCCGTTGTGGCTCCTCAGTTCGGCCAAGCTCCCCCTGCTCGCCCTCCCATTCCTCAGGGTCAAAAGGGACAGGCTCGCGCTTCTCCTATTCCCGTTATTCCAAAGTCTGCTAGCCCTGCACCCCCTGCTGCTGCCTCCGCTCAGCCTACCGGCGAGGAGAAGGCCGTCGAGTCCAACACCAACGGAAACACCCCCCACGAAAAGCCCAGTGACTCCCCCGGTCCCCGCGAGAAGAAGCCCAGCAACATTCTCTTTGTGTCCAACGTTGAGAACGAGCAGGCCGTGCGTGATTTGATTCCCGAGGAGGACAAATCCAAGGTGGTCAAGGTTGAGAAGTATGGCAAGTTTAACCACATTGTTACTTTCTCTACCGTCGATGAGGCCAAATCTATGCTTGACCACCTTCCCCTTGAGCACAAGAAGGTTGTGAATGTTGCCCAAGGCCAGCCCCGCAAGCCCAACTTCAAGTACTTCGAAGACCGTGCCAACAGCCGTGCCCAGGGCGGTGCCGGCACTTGGCAAGCTAGCGCCCGAGGTGGCGCTAACGCAGGCCAGCGTGGATACCAGAGCGCCAGTGACAGCGAAGGAGGTCGACGTGGTGGCTTTGCTGGTCGCGGCCGCGGCCGTGGTGGCGAGCGTGGCCGTGGCGGCCGTGGAGGTTCTCGTGGAGGTTTCAAGGGCAGCGCAGGCTCGAACGAGTCTCCCGCTTCCTCTACTCCTACCGGCGATAAGCCCGCCCCGTCCAACGACGCCTAAGCGGTGGTACCTGGACTTGCTCGTTTTCACATTTCTCTCAGGCGTCAACATTCGATTGCCCTGGTCTTTTGCACACCCCCTTGATTTTTACCCCAATATTCTAATTTCTTGTGTTTCTTTTTATCCCTTCATATTTGCAATTCCCCATTTACCTGAGCCGTGCTTTACTTGAACATTCTTCGGGCCTATCTAAGACAGGTATCTGGAATGGCTTCTGGCTGGTGGACTCATGAAATGATTTTATGGTGAAGTGGTGAAGTCTGCAGTGACAGCGTTTGCGGAGCGCAGAGTGGGAAAACGCAAGAGAAAGCAAAAGGAGAAGCAAAAAAAAAACATGAAAAAAAGAATACACCATTCCCACCATTCTTGTTGTATTTTAGTTCTATTTCCGTGGAGAGACACATCGATACCCTAGCAGCTTTGCTCTATGTTCGTTTACCAGTAGTCCATGTATTTTAATCTCCTCAATGTAACTGGACTAGGGAATCAGAAAGTTATTGCTAACAGCCAATGAAGGAGTTGATTGTTTACAAAAAGTAACATCCTCTTGAAGGAGTGCAAGTTGCGCCAGAATTAAGCTCGCCCTACCAGTTCCTCCAAACGATAAATGAAAGTGCCATCCCCGTATGTAAATCTCAAGATGGCCGACCTGCGTGTCGAAGCAAATGACCATTCGCCGATTTCAAAGGTGAAAAAAAAAAAAAGGAAAATCAAATAACAAATTACTAGGATAGAAAAGATTGGTGCAAATAGCGCGAAATAATCAAGACGTAAAGAGGAGAGGAAGATGTGTGTTCCATTGGAATGGGCAATGTGTTGCCATAGGAGTTCAAATAATCAAAATTTCAGGATCGAATATCCAAATGTTGGAAGCATTTCCTGGCATGTCCAGTTGTTCCTTCTTTTATCCTGCTGTGTTTGTAACGCCGTATGTGTTCCATGTTTGATCTTGGGTATGCGTTGAAACAAGAGAGCGAGTATCAGTGAGGTGTTGTCCGTGAATCGTGAATTAAGGGTCTAGCAATGACCGTAGATGTAGTCCGCTACTTTGCTCGGCCCATGATGTCGTCAACGTCATTCTGGTTCACGACCACACCACCCTCGGAGCAGCGTGCCTTGGTGCGGAGCTCGGAACAGAGGTTGTCGACGTCGATTTCACCGTTGCGGAATCTTTCCATGGATTGGAGACGATCCCTGGATAATAGGTTAGGAGCTGCTAGATGGGGGATTGTAGGATAAACATACCAAATCTTTGTACACGAGAGCATCTGCGACTGATCTTCTCCTGGAACAACTTCATCCTCCTCTTGCTTACTGTCAATCTGACTGATCAGACTCCTCTTAGGTGCGGCGTCTTTAGCGACTTCGCTGATGTTGTGGGAAGGACTGCCCAGGTCTGGCAGAGGGAAGGCATCATTAAAGAATGAGCCAAAGTCTTGAGAGAGCACAGCGTCCTGGGGTTCACGCCAGTCGCCAAAGAGTACCGGGTCAAACTGGCCACCATTTTGATGGGCCAGCCAGTCGATTCCTAGGTCTGGAATATCATCCGTTGGACCTGTGGTCTCAGCTGGAGCCTGGTGACTCGAGAAACTGTGGGACTTGCCCTTGCTATCCCGCAATGCTGGGATGGGGTTATTGATGTTGCCGCAGGCCATGCCCAGTTGCGCGCAAAAGGATTTCTCACCATCAATAGTTAGATGTCCTCCGCAGGTGTCACCTGGTCCCAATTCATGCTGCTTGCCATCTGGGGGTGAGTTCAAGCTAGGCTCGGGAGATGTGCCATTAGACGAGAGCAGCTGGCTTTGGTGCGAGTCAGATGAAGATGAAGGAGAATCCGAGTTAGAGTTGTCATGGGTCGGTGCTGAGGACTTCAGCCCAGAGTAGGGAGTTTTGGCAGAAGTAGCGCTTTGAGGGGTTCCATCCGACCTGGCGCTATTGGACGAAGCATAGCCACCATAAGGTCGGGAAGCGCCATTTGTGCTGTCGCGAGCCAAGACACCGGGGGCACGGTGATTGGTATCGTTGGATTTGGAGTTGTGCTTGTTTTGATCCTTGCCTTGTCCATTGAAAAGATGACTGCCGGGCAAGTCTCCAAACTTAGGGAAATCGAAAAGGAACTCGTTATTTTGAACGCCATATGACGCCTTGGACGGAGCATTCGGAATTGAGTTTGAGCTGATGGCCGAGATACCGTTACCTGTCCCCGAAGCCATCCAAGACAAACGCTTCCGGTACTCACGGAGTTCGACTTGCAAACGTTCAACTTGAGCGCGCAACAAACCGTTCTCCTGAGTCGCCGTGTCGGAGTTCTTTTGTAGCTTTTCCACTGTGTCTTCCAAATCCTTCAGGTGCTTCTCCTTCCGTTCGCGGAACGCTCGCTGGGCAGCACGGTTCTGTGCCTTACGCTTCTGCTCAGTGGGTTAGCCCCAGACTTTCACCCTCCACGCATTTTCCAGAGGCATACCGTAGTGGGCTCCGAGGTCAAAGGCTTCCTGCCAGGCTTCTTCGCCTCACTCTCTCGGCGCTTCTTTCCCGACTCTTCTCCCTCGATATCCGACTTGCCGTCCAGGGACTTGCGCTTCTCACCCAGTTCATAGTCGGCCGAACCTGGCAAGTCGCCAATGAGGTCCGCCGAGCCCGGGAAATCAAAGTCGACATCAGGAGTGAAGTCCAGGAATGGACTTTCATCGTCTCCTCCAAATCCATAGGCATTCACATGGGGGGTGTTTTCGAAGCCACCCGAGGGAGGAGCGCTTAGGCCGGACGAATTTTGGTCCGGGCTCTGACTGGTCTTAATCCGGGGAGTTCCAGTCTGATTCTTGTGGTCTGGATTGTTGGAGGAAAGAGCCGCCAGCAACAGATCTTGCTGATTGGGGGACAGGTAAAGACCTTGCTGGTATCGTTGATCGTAATCGCCCATTGTGAGGAATCTGGGGGAAGATAGTGCGGGGAGGGAAAGATCGCGGGACAACAGATGTCAATGGAGAATCAAGAAATATCAATACAGAAGCAGCAGACCGGGCCTCCCGCCCGTAACCGATATCGAAGTCGTGGAGGCGAGGTTTATGATTCAGACTTTCCAGAGTCTCACAGTCTGATAGAATTCAGTTGGACAAGCCTGATCCAACGACAGACCAGGGGCACAGTCAAAAATAGTGATCCGAGATTCAAGATCCGATATCTGATCGCAAATCAAGCAACGAGATGGATGGGGCAATCTGGGGAGGGGGGGGGGGGGGGAGAAGGAAGAAAGGATTGGAGAGGCTGAGGGGCCTGAGGCGAGGAAAATCCCCGCTAGTCAACTTGCGGCAAATGTGGCTCAGGGATGGAACGAGGCTGATGCCTGAAACAAAAGTTCAGAGGCAGCGAGAAGGGGAGATGCTGCTACTGTCTGAGCGAAATGATGAAAGAGATAGAGGGGGGGAGGCGATCATACAGGCGGTGAGGCATAGCCCGTTCTCATTGGCGGATAGTGATTGCCCCCTCGGACCGATCTGCCATGCTTTGAAATCAGCGCCAAAACTTCTTTTGGTTTCTTTTCTCTCACTGGCCGAGGTGGAGTTTCTTCAAACTTCTACTCTAAGTTCACGTTAGGTGAGGCATGGATCATCCTGACTCATGGATGGAATGCTCCGACTGTCGGGGAATCTTCTGATCCGGTCCGATTAGGATCAGGCCAGACTCCCTGCAGTGTTCTGATACGGCTCGTGTTCGTTCTCGTTACTGATGACGTGTAGACTGGATAGAGTAAAGTACATTGGACAGAACGTATATTATGGTATACCCACGCCTTGTCTCGTATGACGTTACTTGAACTCCAACCAAAAGTCTCAAGAATGCTCACACCAAGTACTGCATGCAATGTCCCACGCCGATCTCGTGTGTCGAAAGTGGGTAGCCGGGGATTATGCTTATCATATCCCCAGGGTCGTACTGTATACCCACCGAGGAGCTCAACGATACTACTGTACAACAGTATATATCTCATGGTTTACACTATTGATATAGCAGACAGTGAGATTGTCAATTGAAACTACACTATTTGATCGGGACCTATAGATCATCCTACCTACAATGGCCGATACAGTACATCCAAGTGATTTTACAGTAGGGATTCCGATAGAGGCGATGCCTGGCAGGCGGTGTGATGTCACGTGGTCAATTCACGAGTTTGATCCAGGAATTATCTCCGCATTGCCTCCGCGATGCTGTTCGTTCTGCAAAACATTAGATCTTCAGAGTACACCGTTCATTATGGCTGATGTCACTGCCTTAGAGGCAGAGGTGAAGGAATTTAAGCTGCAGGTAGGTGCGACACCATTGTGGGCCATGCAAAGGCCGCAGGCTAACACTGATCAGCTTGACACGGTCGTATCGAGCTTGCAGGATGACCCCGACAATACGGAACTTCAAGCTCTCCAGACTGAACTTGAGGAATTCATTGCCTTTACTGAAGCGTCGATCAGCGAACAGAAGCCAGCCAGCTCGGCTCCTCCCCGGGACACTCGACTCAAGGATCATGCCCCCCACAAGCCCGCCGCGCCTGAGGAAGCTCCTCCGGCTTCCGTGAACTTCTCAGTCAATGACAATGTCCTGGCCCGCTGGGTCTCAGGAGATAACGCGTTCTACCCCGCCAAAATCACCTCGATCACCGGTTCCTCGGCCAACCCGGTCTACCTGGTTTCATTCAAGTCATATTCGAGCGTGGAAAACTTGACGGCCAAGGACATCCGACCCATTTCGGGCACTGAATCTCGTAAGCGCAAGGCTGATGGAAGCTCAGGCAGTTCGGCATCTTCGCCCGCCCCTCCCGCCGGTGTGATCTCCGCTGCCGCCGATATCAACCCCACACTGGCCACCCAGGCTCGCAACGACCAGGCCAAGGGTGATGCGCTCGCTCGGCCAGCCAAGGCACCCCGCAAGGTCAAGGCGAATCGCGAGCTGGAAGAGGGCAAGAACAAGTGGAAAGACTTTGCTGCCAAGAGCAAGGGCAAGGGCAAGTTCGGCAAGAAGGACAGCATGTTCCGAACCGGTGATGGTGTCAACGCACGAGGTATGCCTGCTTTCCTCGGTTTGGAATTTCATGATACTGATTTTTGTCTAGTGGGATTCACTGGCTCTGGTCAGCAGATGCGCAAGGATCCTACTCGAACCCGCCACACTTACCAACAGGCCGAAGATGAGGGCTACTAAGGTTGATATTAAAAACTTGCATTGTGATGATTCCCCGACATATGGCTATGGTTTTTTTTTCCTCCTTCTTTATTTGATGAAATCTCTTTTCGCTTTTGCGTCTGGTCTCATCGCTAACTGAAACACTGGCGGTGCAGATGTCATATTGTCTCTATTTGAGACTAGGAGTTATTGTTCATAGAACGCGGTTCAGCTCGGAGTCGGTAAATTCTTTGTATCTAATTAGTGGAATGAATCATGAGTATTAAAGAAGCGTTTCACCACGACCTATGAAGCCATAGTTAGTTGGAGAAGGATATATATATCCCTTGAGCAAGTATCTCGAGTAGAGGTAAATATTAATGAGCAGCTTGTAAGATCAATTTTGTACTCCATGAGCGAATCCAGTGGCAACCTTGGAAGTGAAATCAAGCCAATTGCAGGCAGACTGCATGGATTCAAGTTTGTGCCTGACGTTAGCTTGATTTCGTGACCGTGCGGGGGATGTTCGATCTCCGCCTTCACGTCACTTGCTTTCTCTCCGTGTCCAAGACCTTCAACGTCTTTCAACGTCTTTCATCTCTCTTTATTATTGATAATCCTTGATAACTCTTGATAAATTTTGTGATAATCCCGGTTTATCTTTTGTGCATCTCTAGTATTCTCACTGCCTCGCGTTTCCGAACTCGAGCTTCCATCCCCACACGACTGGCGCATGGCCGACCATCGCTGTTGACAGCACCACCTCGCTAGATACCTTGGCTGTAGTGACTAACCCTTGGTCATTGGCACAAAATGAGGTTAGTCGAGACTCTTGCTGCAATAGTGGGGCTGGGTGCTCTTGCGCTCCAGCCCATCACCGTCGCTGCCCAGGGTGAAACGAAAATCCACGAAAGAGGCCGGTGCGCGATTCGCGGACATTGTGGAAAACAATCTATCTTTGGAGGGGAGCTACCCTGTCCCGATAATGGTCTGGCCGAGCAACCAGAGGACTCGGTGCGCGAGAAGCTGGTAAATCTTTGTGGTAGCAAATGGAGCGAAGGGGCAGTCTGTTGTAAAGACGAGCAGGTATGATACTCCTGGTTTCGGATGTTTTGCGCCAACCTACGCTCATAATTATACATACGTGATGCTTACATGCCAATAGGTCGATGCGCTCGCGAAAAACCTCAAACTAGCCGAAGGAATTATCGCGTCCTGTCCGGCCTGCCGAGATAACTTTTTCAACATCTTCTGTACCTTCACTTGCTCCCCCGACCAGTCACTGTTTGTAAATGTGACCAAGACAGAGCCGAAAGGTGACAAGAGATTGGTGACGGAGCTGGATAACATTTGGTCTGAGGAGTACCAAAGCGGCTTCTATGACAGCTGCAAAAACGTCAAAAATGGTGCATCTGGCGGAAAAGCCATCGATTTCATCGGTGGAGGCGCGAAAGATTATGCAGGGTTTTTGAAGTTTTTGGGCGACAAGAAGTTCCTTGGAAGCCCGTTCCAGATCAACTACCATACAGAGCCTACTGGCGCAGATCCTGAAGGCATGGAAGCTTTATCAATTACGCCAAAGGCTTGCAACGACCCGGACAAAGCTTTCCGCTGCTCTTGTGTTGACTGCCCAGATGTGTGCCCCGAGTTGCCTGCTGTGTCTACTCAAAAAGCGTGCCATGTTGGCCTTCTCCCATGCCTATCTTTCGCCGTCATCGTGGTATATTCCACATTCTTACTATTTGTCATGGCTCTTGCTAGCTATGTGACCTACAAGGAACGCCGGTTCCGTAAGCCAGAGCGAGTGCGCCTACTGCAAGACCCCACGCCCAGCGATGATGAGGATGACGGGGAAGTTGTCCGTCAAGGAGGGTACATGGAACAGCCCCAAGGGGTCTACAAACTGAACTCCTTTCTATCTGCCTTGTTCTATCGCATCGGCGGTGCTTGCGCTCGGTTCCCCGCAATCACAATCTCATCCAGCGTCATTGTCGTTGTGTTACTGAGTCTGGGCTGGCTACGTTTCACAGTTGAGACAGATCCTGTTCGCTTGTGGGTAAGCCCGTCGTCGGCAGCCGCTCAGGAAAAAGACTTCTTTGATAAGAACTTTGGGCCATTTTACCGAGCCGAGCAGGCGTTCTTGGTGAACGACCGCCCAGCGAATGATTCTAGACCACTTTTGGAATACGATACCCTCAACTGGTGGTTCGATGTAGAGTCTCGTGTGCGGCGCATGATTTCCGTGGAGCTGGCTCTCAACCTTGATGACATATGCTTCAAACCTACAGGCGACGCTTGTGTCATCCAGTCTGTTACTGGGTATTTCGGCGGCTCAGCCGGAAATCTTGACCCGCATACCTGGATGGATCGATTGACTCACTGCACCGAATCACCTGGAGATCCTAGCTGTCTCCCCGACTTCTCACAGCCTCTCCGACCAGAAATGATTCTCGGAGGACACGAAGAGACAGGAAATGTTCTAGACTCGAAAGCACTCATCACCACTTGGGTGGTAAATAATTATGACCCAGGAACTGATGGCGAGGCAAGAGCCATCGACTGGGAGAATACTTTCCAGGGTATCTTGGGAGTAGTTCAAGAAGAAGCTGCAGAGAGAGGCCTTCGAGTCTCCTTCAATTCCGAGGTCAGCTTGGAGCAAGAACTCAACAAGTCCACAAATACCGATGCGAAGATTGTCGTCATCAGCTATCTGATCATGTTCCTTTACGCCTCGATCGCCTTAGGATCAGCTACGGTTACTTGGCGGTCTTTGTTAACGAACCCTGCCAATGCTCTTGTCCAATCCAAGTTTACTCTGGGTATTGCGGGCATTGTTATTGTTTTGATGTCAGTATCTGCATCAGTCGGGCTGTTCTCCGCAGCCGGTGTCAAGGTGACCTTGATTATTGCGGAAGTGATTCCATTCTTGGTACTGGCAGTGGGTGTGGATAATATCTTCTTGATTGTCCACGAGTTTGAGCGAGTGAATCTCAGCCACCCCGATGAAGAGATTGACGAAAGAGTAGCCCGAGCAATTAGTCGCATCGGACCCAGCATTTTCCTTTCTGCCTTGACAGAGACTGTGGCCTTTGCTCTTGGTGCTTTCGTTGGTATGCCTGCGGTCAAGAACTTTGCAGCATACGCTGCAGGGGCTGTCTTTATCAATGCCATCCTGCAGGTCACCATGTTCACTTCTGTGTTAGCTTTGAACCAGAGGCGCGTACAGAGTCTTCGTGCTGACTGTCTGCCTTGCCTCACTGTTCACAAGGCAAGCTCATTCGGGTTCCCCAACGATTACGATGACCAAGAAGGGGAAAGTAGTCTACAGACCTTCATTCGCCGTGTCTACGCTCCTTTCCTTCTGGATCGTCGGGTAAAGGCTGGTGTTGTCATTTTCTTCTTAGGCCTTTTGACTGCTGGTCTGGCCTTGATTCCGAAGGTTGCTCTCGGTTTAGATCAGCGGATTGCACTTCCTAGGGACTCTTACCTGATCAATTACTTTAATGACCTGGACGCTTACTTTGGTGTCGGTCCTCCAGTCTATTTTGTGACTCGCAACGTGAATGTCACGCAGCGGAACCACCAACAACAGTTGTGTGGGCGCTTTACTACATGCGAAGAATATTCACTGCCTTTTATTCTCGAACAAGAATCGAAGCGTCCAGACGTGTCCTATCTTGCAGGATCTGCCGCTAGCTGGATCGATGATTTCTTCTACTGGTTGAATCCCCAGCAAGACTGCTGTAAAGAGGATGGCAAGCTTTGCTTCGAGAACCGGATTCCCTCGTGGAATATCTCTTTGTATGGAATGCCCGAAGGATCCGAATTTATCCATTACGCTAAGAAATGGATTGATTCCCCTACCGACGCTTCTTGTCCCCTGGGCGGCAAGGCGCCATACAGCAACGCTCTTGTCATCAATGACAAGCAGGACACAATTGACGCAAGTCATTTCCGTACCAGTCACACGCCACTCCGAAGCCAGGACGCGTTCATTCAAGCATACATTGCAGCTCGCCGGATCGCGGATGATATTTCGCAAGAACACGATATTGATGTCTTCCCCTACTCCAAGTTCTATATCTTCTTCGATCAATATGTCTCCATTGTTCGGTTAACTGGTACACTCTTGGGATCGGCCGTCGCCATCATTTTTGTTTTGACATCTGTGCTACTGGGCTCGATTGCTACCGGGGCTGTCGTTACCACCACGGTTGTCATGACTGTGGTCGATATCATTGGCACCATGGCTATCGCAGGCGTGTCCTTGAATGCCGTTTCGCTTGTGAATCTGGTCATTTGCGTGGGTATAGGCGTCGAGTTCTGTGCTCACATCGCTCGAGCGTTTATGTTCCCTGCTCGGCCCATCATGGAGAAAGTGCCCACCAAATATCGTGGCAAGGATGCTCGAGCATGGACTGCATTGGTCAACGTTGGTGGAAGCGTCTTCAGCGGTATCACTATAACCAAACTCTTGGGTGTTTGCGTCTTGGCCTTCACTCGGAGCAAGATCTTCGAAATTTACTACTTCCGCGTGTGGCTGGCCTTGGTGGTTTTTGCTGCCACTCATGCTCTCATTTTCCTGCCAGTTGCTTTGAGCTACTTTGGCGGTGGTGGTACGTTTCCCTTTACGTTCAATTTGTGACTTGCTAATATCCGTACAGGTTACTTCGATCCTGCATCTGACGGTGGTCTGGAGGCCAATCTCGCTTCACGCGGCTACCGCTCATTGCTAGTAGATGACGGCTATGACTCTGAAGAATATTAGGCGATTCCTCGTTGGTTTGACACTGCCTTCGTGTGTGGGTCTCCTGGAACGTCCGGATAGATGCCTGATGGAGCACGCGGTACGCGAAAGACTGAGAATCTTCTAGTCGCGCAAAACATTGGGCCCCTACGCAACACACAAAGGAATGAGATGGAGTTCGGGTTAGTTATTAGGAGGAATGATCAGAGATTTGATTTGTATTTCACTAAGTTATGGTAGTTTGATGGGATTTTTATACATGGGGTTGTGATATTTTCCGTGATAGAAGCTATTGCCATGTCAATTGAGCTATTTCCTCTCACCCCCCTTCCTACATTGCCCTAATATACCTCCCAGTGCTTTCTAATGCCTCCAGAACCCAATGCTCAACGTCATCTTAATTTGCCCGAAGTCGCGTGTTGACTGTTATGCCCGCGCTAAACCACATTGGGCAGCAACCCACTCCCCTAACTTTTTTTTTTCTTCCGCTCCGTTTCTGTTCTCTTCTCTCCCCCACTACTCTCCTTTTTTTTTCTTCCTCCCATTTTCCTTTCTTTTCCTGTCCATATTGCTTTGTGATACCCCCTTTGAGTTGTTTGTCTGAGACAAACTGCTCAATTTTACGACTGGCCTGACCTTGTAAAGGCCTGGGACAACTTACCGTTGGACCGAGAAAGAATTTTACTCACACCTATCCATCATGGATCAGCAACGATTCCTGCAGCAATTGCAGGTTATCCTCAACCGTAAGTCAGACGTCCAGTACTGCATCTATCTAGGGATGGCTCACTAATCCTTGCATACAGCCACCCAGGGTAACGTCAAGGAAGCCACCGGTATCTTGCAAAAGGAGTTTTACAACAAACCCGACTCCCTTGTTTTCCTTATCCAGATTGCTACCAGCCATGAGGACCAGGCTCTGCGTCAGCTTGCTGCTGTCGAGTCGCGTTCGCTCGTTGCCAAGCACTGGGTGAAGGTTTCTGCCGACCAGAAGCCCCAGATCCGTGAGCAGCTGCTTCGCTCTACCATGGGCGAGAGCTCTTCTCTCGTTCAGCACTCCATCGCTCAGATCATCTCGGCTGTTGCCAAGATTGACTTGAACGACGGCGAGTGGGCTGACCTACCCAACATCCTGCTGCAGGCTGGTAACAGTGGCAACCAGGCTGAGCGTGCAGTCGCTATCTATATTCTCTTCACCATTTTGGACACAATTGGTGAGGGCTTCGAGGAGAAGTTCTCAGATCTTTTTGCCCTTTTCAGCAAGAGTATCCGCGATCCCGAGAGTGCCGAGGTCCGCATCAACACAATGCTCTGCCTGAGCAAGCTTGCTATGCACCTCGACTCCGAAGAGGATGAGGCTCCCGTCAAGGCCTTCCAGGAACTGGTTCCCGCTATGGTTGCCATCCTGAAGGACTCGATTGACCAGCAAGAGGACGGTCATGTCATGCAGACTTTCGAGGTGCTCCAGACTCTGCTTGGCTGTGACCCTGCCCTGCTTACTGTCCACCTCAAGGACCTGGTCATGTTCATGAACCAGATCTCCGCAAACCCTGAGGTTGATGAGGATGTCCGTACCCAGGCCATCAGCTTCCTGATGAGCACCATCCAGTACCGCAAGCTCAAGATTCAGGGTATGCGTATCGGTGAGGAGCTCACCCGAACTGCTCTTCAAATCGTTACTGAGCTTGGCGATACCGCCATTGGTGACGACGATATCACCCCTGCTCGCTCCGCCCTTGGTCTGCTCGACATGCTCTCCCAGAGCTTGCCCCCTAGCCAGGTCGTTGTTCCCCTTCTTCAGGCCCTTGGTCAATACTTCAACAGCACCAACCCTGACTACCGTCGCGCCGGTATCATGGCTCTTGGCATGTGTGTTGAGGGTGCTCCCGACTTTATCAGCACCCAGATGAAGGAGATCTTCCCCATGGTTCTCCAGCTTCTCGCCGACCCAGAACCCAAGGTTCGCCAGGCTTCCCTGCACGCTGTCGCTCGTCTTGCCGAGGATCTCGTTGAGGACCTCAGTGCCGAGCACGCTAGCCTCATGCCTCTGCTCTTCCAGAACCTGGCTAGCGCCATGCAAGAGTACAACGGTGAAGAGGAAGGCCCTACCGTCGACATCATCAAGGCTGGTATCAGCGCTATCGATGCCGTCGTTGACGGACTCGACGAGAAGGACGTCGCTCCCTACCAGTCTGAGCTTGTCCCCATTCTCCACAAGCTGTTCAAGGCTCCCGACTTCAAGATCAAGGCTCTGGCTGCCGGTGCTCTCGGTTCCCTTGCCTCCTCCGCTGGTGACTCTTTCCTCTCCTTCTTTGACGAGTCCATGCACCTCCTCCAGGAGTTCGCTGCTGTCAAGGATAGCGAGGACGAGCTTGACCTCCGCGCCAGTGTCACTGACTCTATGGGTGAGATGGCTGCCGCTGCTGGCCCTGAGCGCTACCAGCCCTACGTTGAGCCTCTTATGCGCGCTACTGAGGAGGCTCTGCACCTTGGTCACTCCCGACTCAAGGAGAGCACTTACATCTTCTGGGGTGCTATGGCCAAGGTTTATGGCGAGCACTTCTCTCCTTTCCTTGAGGGTGTCGTGAAGGGTCTCTTTGACTGCATTGAGCAGGACGAGGATGACCTTGACGTCGACCTCGGCACTTCCGCCAAGGATCTCGTTGGCCAGGAGGTTACCTTCAACGGTCGCAAGGTCAAGGTCGCAAGTCCCGACGAGGAGGATGATGGTGAGATCGAGGATGTCGATCTTGAGGACGAGGATGACTGGGATGATATCACTGCCACTACCCCTATGTCTCTCGAGAAGGAGATTGCTGTTGAGGTCATCGGTGACCTTGTCACCCACACTCGCAGTTCCTTCTTGCCTTACTTTGAGAAGACCATCGAGACTGTCATGCCCCTTGCTGAGCATCCTTACGAGGGTGTCCGCAAGAGCACCATCAGCACTCTGCACCGCTCTTACGCCATGCTCTTCACAATTGCTGAGGAGACTGGCCAGATGGCCAAGTGGCAGCCTGGTCTGCCCATTCAGGTCCAGCCCGCCAAGGAGGTCCAGAAGTTCGGTGAAATCCTCATGACTGCCACCATCAAGATGTGGACCGAAGAGGACGACCGGTACGTTTCATACATTTCCCATTATTTTCGTTTCCCCCTCCCCCTTCAGGTTTCTATGATGAACTTTTTCCGCTTAACCCAGCTCACTTTGACGCACAAGTTGCGATTGATGTAAACGGCGAAGTCTACAGTCTGAGAAACATTTTCACTGCCACTTTATTCACTAATCGATTTGTTTCGAATTGATTGCTAATGATGAATGAATGATAGTGCTACCGTCGCGGATATTAACCGCAACATGGCTGAGAACCTCCGCTTCTGCGGTCCCGCTCTCATTGCCAACGAGACCACGCTTCACAATGTTATCCAGATGGTGACCGACATCATCACCAAGCAGCACCCTTGCCAGCTTGAGTTCGGTCCCGAGGAGGAGACCCTTGAGGCTGGTGAAGAGAGCTCCGAGTTCGACTGGGTCGTTGTTGACACCGCCCTCGATGTTGTTTCCGGCATGGCCGCTGCCATGGGCCAGAGCTTCGCTGAGCTATGGAAGGTCTTCGAGAAGACCATTCTTCGCTACGCTGGCAGCACCGAGTCTCTCGAGCGCGCCACTGCTGTCGGTGTTCTCGCTGAGTGCATCAACGGCATGGGCGCCGCCGTGACTCCCTTCACTGGTACCTTCATGAAGCTGCTACTTCATCGTCTGGCCGATGAGGACCCCCAGACGAAGTCGAACGCCGCTTACGCTGTTGGCCGTCTCGTTCAGCACTCGAACGCTGATGCTGAGATCACCAAGGAGTTCCCCACTATCCTTGGCCGCCTCGGTGGTTGCCTCGACATGAATGTCTCCCGTTTGCAGGACAATGCGACTGGCTGTGTCAGCCGCATGATTCTGCGTCACCGTGACAGCGTCCCCATCAAGGACGTCCTTCCCGCTCTGGTCAACATTCTTCCCCTGAAGAACGACTTCGAGGAGAACGAGCCCCTCTACCGCATGATCTGCCAGCTGTACAAGTGGGAGGATGCCACCATCCGCGAGCTCACCCCCAACCTGCTCCCCGTCTTCCAGGCTGTTCTGACTGGCGACGAGGACCAACTCGAGGATGAGCGCCGCGCCGAGCTGATTGAGCTCGTTAAGTGGCTCAACCAGATGCAGGCCGGTGCTGCTCCCTGGGTGGAGCAGCTGTAAAGGCAGCCTGCTTTTATTATGGATTGATGAACAAAAAGGATATATAATGGATAGACGGATATGGCTTGGAAGCCCAAGATGACTAGACGATACCCCGGTCACTGTGGCGATGATTGATGAACCCCTCAAAAGTTGCTACTGTACATACTGTCAATGACTGCATACTTTATTTTCTACTCTTTTGAGTCTTGTAAGTCCACTGTAGACTGGTATGGACCTCGTATGCCCCTCAACTTCGTTGAAGTAGACCCGTGGACCCTGTGACGTGTGTGGCTGGCCCATTTTGGCCGCCAACCAAAAGCATGTGGCAGGCAGTTCCAGGAGAAAGCTGTTAGGCCTTCAGACTTCCTTCTGACGGTGTCCGTTAATCTCAGCCTTCCTATATAGTGGGAGTCGATATATGGTTGCCTGCTTGGCCTGCCATCTCCCCCTTCCTCGTTTCCCCCCACCCCCCGCTGTTTTCAGCCCTACACACTTACTCGAGGCTTTGACCTGAGGTAGGCTTTTACATGTATCTCGTATTGACTGTGCTGTTCTTCTAATTGTGAGAAATACCAGATCCATCTCTCTCTCTCCGCCATGGCTGCTACTTCCATCTCCGAGCCTGTCAACTTCATCCTCCCTTCGAGCAGCTCCGGTAGCTCAATTCAAAAGCCTATCAAGTCTGTGTCTAAGCCCTGCTTTGGCTGTGACTGTGGCGATGAAGAGTGCGACTGCTGTATCTGCACTGTGATGTGAGCGGCCATTCGCCTCGGTCCGAGTGTGTTTTGAGTTCCTCCATGTCCTCCACGTCCTCCATTGTCTGCCACTTCTCGGCTAATAATTCTTGCGGTTGAATGCCATATATTCTGTCTACAAATGCCTTCTCCATAGATGATAGAAAGCCCGATAGATATCGGTCGAGTTCATTGTGATGTCCCAACTATAAGAGAGAAACTATAAACCCGTAATGACTCAGCGGGTCATATTTGTCAGCGGAAGATGGTCTTCTCTCGTGGCGAGCAGCAACTTTTGTAGACCTTTCAATGTATCCTTCGAATGCAGGTGACCCTCGGAAGAGGACAGCCCGTGCTTGCGATTCATGCTACAAGCGAAAGGTATGTTTGATGACCCTCCAGTGCGCTCCGCCGCTAATCTCGCCAAGATCAAATGCGATGCTGCGGTGCCGCAGTGTAATTGGTGCAGCCACCATAATACTCCTTGCACATTCGATCGAATAGTGCACAGAAAAAGAAAAGGCGTTGAGGATGATGGGTAAGTCGATCTAGATACGCGTTACTCATCCTGTACATCTGTCTGATTAATGCAGACGGCCTAAAGTATCACGGCTGTCGGACCGAATTAGCCGCATTGAGCGGCTCCTTACTGAGAAGTTAACTCGAGATCAAATATCAGGTGCACTACTCCTCACCTCATTCTTCATAAAAGCCATTTTTTAACACTGCGCAGAACGTGAGGATACGCCGCAGTCTCGGGCCAATACAACAGCCAGCACTTCCCCCAGCACTAATCAACCCCCAGACTCGTCATCAGCTCGTGTCCATTTTGCAGGAAAAGAACTGGGTGTCATCAGTCTACTTACTGGCACCCCATTCCTGTTTCCTGAAGGTCAGGCATGGATTGAAGCTCGAACCGGGCAAAAGATTCCAATTGACACGCTCAGCCCATCACGAGCACCATGGGAAAAAGAGCGAGGCCAAAGTTTTAATACGCTTCTAATGAATATGAATGCTCTCAACCCCTTTGATCTACCTGACTATGGGATTCTGCAGGCTCATCTCGAAGCTTTCAAAGCTTCCAAGGTCATGCAACGCATATTTCCAATCATAGATTTCGAGCTCTTTGAGGAGACGATCAGAACGGCTTACAAGCATCCGGGCTCTACTTTTGGCTATGGACAAGCTAGTGCGCGGGTCTGTGTCATTGCTTTTATCACATTTGTTTCTCGCCTTCCTCAGGTCAAGGAAACAATCGCGGCTTTGAACATGCTATCTCAGGTTGACTATGATCTACTTGCCACGAGAGCGCAATTTTTGATGCCCCAGGTGCTTCAAGAGAGTCCTTCGTTGGACTCTGCCCAGGCTCTCACTATTTTAGTACGTTTGTTCGTCAACTTTTTATATGCCACTGTGACAACTGACCCTTGACTAGACTCTCGTTGAACTTTCGGCTGGAAATATGCGGGCAACCAATTACTATTCCGGCATCACGGCCCGATTGATCTTTATGCTTGGTGGGAACGTATTGAACAGTCAGGTCTACTCTCTCGACAGACGCCGGCAGCAAGAGGACCAACAATTACGAAATTTGTTCTGGATCTGCTACACCATGGACAAAGATGTTTCGCTCCGCACCGGCCAGCCACCTACAATCAGTGACGAAAACTGTGACTTGACCCTGCCAGTGGGCTACCTCGAACGAGCATTCTCGGACGTAGAAGACGAAGATGCACCGTTCCTGGGACCAGTCTTCCCCTTCGACCTGCGTCTGAGCATAATCAAGGCTCGTGCGCACAGAGAGCTCTATTCCGTGAGCAGTCTTCGAAAGTCTGATGCCGAGTTGCTCAAGTCAATTCGGGTGCTAGATGATGAGCTTGAAGAGTGGCGTCTTTCGGTGCCTCCTGCATGGCGTCCAACAATGTCGTTCTCTTCAGAAACATCAGACCCCAATATGGGTATGCATAGTGTTTTGCTGCGCTTAAATTATCATTTATGTATGGCCATCATTCACCAAGCAAGTGGGAGGTGCAAATCATGGATGGAAGGGCAAACTGGCATGATGGATGGGGTAAGTTCGAGTATGGCTCTTTCGGTAGAGGCCAGTCGATCAAGTCTTTGTTACCTCGAGGCGGCGGAACATGTGGTGGTCGATGGAGTATTCTGGTAAGTGATTTTATGCTATATAGAGATCAAGATTAACTGTTTTAGGACGCTCATCTTCTACCCTATGTCCGCGCTACTCACGATCTTTTGCAGCATTCTGCAGAACCCACTGGATCCACATTCGCGCGAGGATTTGGATCGATTGAAGCTTGCCACTCTCATGATGGAGCGCATTTTCTCTCGAAAATTGCCCGAAAGTGAACTTGTGCACTTTAAGATGGTCGCAGACTTTGTTATGGAGTTAAAGCGACTTGCTGAGTGTGCCATTGATAAGGCTTGGGCAGAGCAACGTGCCAGCCACATAACACAATAATTTAAGAATGATTCCTGGCGATTGGGTACCATTGGTGTATGGGTTTACACTTTGTCTATAGAATTAAAGATGGCGGGAATAGTATTTGCATAAAATATTTGGTAACTTTCTTCAAGTACACGATCAAGGCAGTCTTCTGACCCATCTTCATGTAAGGAAACTATTAGTCAATCAATATGATCAAGTATAGTCATGGCTCCTTCTTGTTTCATTTGAAGTTCTGGAGCAGATAGCCACCCTGACTGCCTGAGCCGAGACAATAGACTTAGGGCAGTCAATAACAACAAACCGTATGGAGCATGTCTATAAGGTCATTGATACCCGATGCCTGATAGTTGCAACACTTCTTCATCTCCGTGCAGGGTGGTGGGATGGACATGCCATGTGGATTCGCGCAATGCTTGCCGGTCGAGACTGCAACGGATTGAGCTGGCTATGCGGGTAGCCTTGTTTGAGGGACTGTATCGCTCGGGTGTTCCTAACATGGCCAAGCTCGAGACTTCTGTTCAAGCCAAGTGCCCAGCGCGACATCGTTTGCAAGAAACGGTTGAACCCGTCCAGCTATTCAATCGTACATGAGAATAATTGAGTACTAATATCAAGCACATAACTTCATTCTTCTTTGTCGAGTAAATCCCAAATCAGCCGAGAGTGAGCATCAGCCTTCTCCTTCAGCGCTTTGTTCGGGTTGGTATTATCCGTAGATTCGAGGGAGCCTACGCGATTGCCTTCAGCTTGCAATTGCTCCAGGATACCCTCAACCTCCGTCTTGACCTTGTCCATTTGTTTAATTTCTTCACGAGTATGTTTGAGCTGCTCTTCCATCATCATGATGAGTGATTCGCGGGCCTGGTGTGGGCGGTAGAGGTTGAGAAGGTGGTGGGCGTTGATGAAAAGGTTGCGCATATCCTCCACCTTGGGCTGATATTGCTCTGGAGATACTGAGAGAATACCGACAAATTCTAGAAAATTGAGAAGGAGAGATTTGCTGATCTTGAGGAGGTAGTAGGCATGGTTGAGGGGAGGAGAGGGCTGCGAAGGGTCCTGGTCGGCGTCGGCTGTGGCATTTTCTGGGTAGAGCTGTTCAATTCCTTGGTCTTTTAAGGATGGCAAGACGGTCGACATCTAATTCAAAGTGAGTCATCTTCGATTGGCATCTCGGATGGGGAGACAAACCGTTTGCAGTTCTCCAAAGACGCTATATTGACCCGTTGGAATATCGGGGGGCACAAGATATCTGAGCTCCTCTGGGATCTCTAACGCACGCAACTCTGCTGCTGACCATTCTTTCTTCTTATTCGGCCGGCCATCTTCGTCTTTGGAAGCTTCGGCTTTGATGTGGTCGAGCTTGTCGAGATTCTCGCGCGTAAAGTGCTTCCACAACGGCGGTGGAGGCGCAAAGGCTGTCGGGACAGGTGGCTGATTTGGATCCGCCATGATCTGTGAGTGCAAGTGAAAGCGCAAGTGAAAGCGAAAGTGAAAGTGAAGATTGGACGTCAAAGGCGCAAAGGGCAAAAGGTGAGCGGAGAGCGGAGAGCGGTGTGGTCCGTGCTGCCCAGTGAAATGTCAACTTGCGACTTCAACTTCTGAACGTCGCGCGGTTTCTGGAGATTTCCCGAGTACGTTCAAAATGGCTCATAGTGGCTTGGGGAATGGCTCAACTCCAATTCTCCAACGTGTTGGGCTTGCCGGAGCTGCTGCTCGCTTTGCGCAACGCTCTTATGCCGCCGATTACATCGCATTGGGGTTTCTTGTAGCTGGCTGGGTCTTGGTAAGTCGCATGCCTCGCTTCTTGGTATGATACTAAACTTTTGTGGTGTAGGTCCAGTTTATAGATCCATTCCATCGCATGTTCTCCCTGGACAATAGGGCTATTCAATACCCATTTGCGGTTCATGAACGAGTTCCTGTTTGTAGGTCCTTCACAGTCGCATAACACCTTGATGTTCCGCTGATAGATCTAGTATGGTCGGTCTTATTCGCTGGCGTCGTCCCTTTCCTGATTATTCTCACTTGGTCGGCAATGTGTCGTTCCGGGGTGCAAAAGACACAGGTGACGGTACTCGGGCTGCTGGTCGCCTTGATGTTGACATCGCTCCTCACGGATATTATCAAGAATGCGGTGGGAAGACCACGTCCAGACTTACTGTCTCGCTGCAAACCCTCGCGAGGCACACCCAACAATGCGCTGGTCGCATGGACCGTCTGCACAGAACCGAATCAGCATATTTTACAAGAAGGATGGAGGAGCTTCCCTAGTGGACACAGCAGCTTCTCTTTTGCTGGCCTTGGCTTCCTGTCCCTGTCAGTATATCACTCAATTACTCGAAAAACATGAGTCTTACCTAATATCTAGTTTCTTGTGTGGTCAAATGCATGTCTTTAGGCCACGCACCGATCTTGGGCGTTGTCTGCTAGCATTTGTCCCATTGCTATGTGCTCTGATGGTTGCCATCTCGCGATTGGATGACTATCGACATGATGTCTACGATGTCACATGCGGAGGACTTCTGGGCATGTTAATAGCCTGGTTCTCCTACCGCCGTTACTACCCGCCTCTGCGGTCGGTCCTGTGCGATATTCCCTACGATAAATCGGACCTTGTTGGACAGGACGGCTTTACCAAGTTGGACGACGAGGAGCAGGCTTTGTCGCGGTCACGAACTTCACGTGCTGGCCCGTCTCGAGAGAGTTTCCAGCTTGAGGATACGGAGCCAGCTCGATGAACTACGCATTGCGTATACTCTCTCAACCCGAAACAATCACATCTTTATACATTGTAAATACAGACCGTTGCACCTCGTCAGTCATCATCTATTGATGCACCCTTTTTCTCTTGCATCCGAATTCGTTCTAGGATCATTTCACCGCATAGCTGACTCGCGAGTTGCCTGTCTTCCTTGCGATCTTCTTCACTGTCACCGGCCCGCACAGATCCGTAGTATCAACATGCGTGCCTCCACACGGATACACTTCAGCCCCCACAATGTTGACCACGCGGGACTTTTCACCGGCGGGAACTAGACTGCGATCTGGGATCATCCGCTCCAGTCCTCGCGAGCGGAAATCCTCTTCATCCCACCACTCGATCTGAACGGGCATTTTGGCCGCGAGAAACTCGTCCAACTTGTGCTGGATCGGGTCTTTCCACTTTCCCTCAATGGAGCCTTTGAATTCACATGACGCGGAATCTGGGAAGTGCGACGCCTTTAATTCATCAAAGCCGTCAATCTCCTTCTCCAGCAGGTGTCGGACTGCAGAACCGAGCACATGGCCTGCGGTGTGAAGGCGGGAGTAAAGCAGCCGCTTTTCGGCATCAATGGCCTGTTCGACTGGATCTCCGGTCTTGAAAATTGCAGATGGATGCTCGAAAACACCCAGGTGAAGCACTTGTCCCTTGGCATCCATGCGAACTGCCGTGACTGTGAAAGTACTCGTAGGGCCCGTCAGCACACCTACATCGGAAGGTTGACCGCCACCCTGGGGATGAAAGATGGTCTTCTCGGTCACCACAACATGGCAATCCTTGGCCTCCTTGAAGAGTTGCTGGCTGGGTTCGTCGAGTGTATCAAAAGGGTGCACAGCTGTCACCGTAGTCTCCAGGGTATGAAGACTTGCATCATGCTGAAACGCGAGATATGTGCGGGAAGCCATTGTATGGAAGTAGAAAATGTAGTGGTTGGGGGTAAAAAGAGAGAAATCAACGATCAGGTCTACAGTATGTGGGCCCCTTGTTGTTGACAGGGCGTGTCCGAGATAACGATCCAAGGTTACATTCCCGAACTATACCAAAAAGAAAGAAAAGAAAGGAAAGGAAAAGAAGAGAGAAACGGAGGGGGAAAAAAGAACACAAAAAAATGCACTGGGAGGGAATCGAACCCCCGCCACTACTTTGGAAGAGTAGTATTCTACCACTGAACTACCAGAGCTGGTTGATATGAGGTCATCAAGGAGATGAACTATACCCTACACTTTCATGTTCTGATTAAGGAAGTATGCCATCCATTGTCGATATTCTCAGACTTGGTCCCTTCCCAAATCCAGAGAGGATACACAAATATCGCTAGCATGACGAGAATCAACCTGAAAACCGACCCTGAGGCTGTCGCATCGATCGGCAGAACGAGATCGGCTTGGCTTTCCCTCTTCGGTCAATGCGGGCAACTCTATCTCTCCCACTCTTTGTGACGATTCCCCAACTTCAACTTCACCATGTCGAAACCACAAGTGCAGATTCTGCTCTCCGTCGACTTTGATGCCGTGTCCGGCTTCTTGGGTACTGGTGCTTCGCCCACAACCAATCTCGCCGATTACAGCAGTGGCTTCTTTGCCGCCCAAGTAGGAGTGCCGCGCCTACTGCGACTCTTTAAGAAACATGGGATTGCCTCTTCAGTGACCTGGTTTATTCCAGGACATTCAATGGAGTCATTTCCAAGCGAGACCAAGGCGATTGTGGACTCTGGCGCCGAAATCGGCTGTCATGGATATGCCCACGAGGGTTCCAGCCAAATGACCGAGTCTCAGGAGAGGGAGGTCATCATGAAATGTGTGCAGCTGGCAACTGAACTGACGGGAAAGAAGCCCCGGGGATGGCGAGCTCCATTATATCAATTGCGAACAAACACCATTGAAGTCCTAGAGGAGTTCGGTTTCTTATACGGTATGGGCCGGCAATCCTTCGGCTACAAATGACCAACTAACCAACCTCCTAGATTCTTCCCTGACACACCATGATTCGGCACTCTATTTTATTCCTAAAATGCCCGAGCCCACGGCCATTGACTTTTCGCCTTCCCAATCTGCCTCCACTTGGATGAAGCCTCTTCCTTCTCCGGCGGCCAGGACGGCTGAAACCCTTGTCGAAATTCCCTGTAACTGGTATATGGAAGACATGACTCCAATGCAGTTCCTCCCGGCTGCCGAGAACTCTCATGGGTTTGTAAGCCCGGCGACAATTGAGCAGAATTGGAAATCGCGATTCGAGTTCCTATACAGCGAAGCCCTGGAAAAGGCTGAGGAGGAGTCTACCACACAGGGATTTATCTTCCCTTTGGTCCTGCACCCAGATACGAGTGGAATGGCTCATGTGGCGGGTATGATCGACCGAATGATCAGCTGGCTTCAACAGCACGATGTGGAATTCGTGACATTTGGGGACTGTGCAGCCGAATGGAAAAAAGAGCAGTCCTAAGCACACCTTGATTAGTCCTGATAGGAAATATCTCAGCATCGAGTCTCTTCAAGTCTCTTCAAATATATGTAAAAAGTGTCTGGTTTCCACTCTGACACTTTGCGGGGGACGATAGACCCTTATCGCCACTACCCAATCATTTTTTTGTTCCTTCAACTACGCACTTCATCAGGGACCCGACAGGGCTCATCCCCCTAGATCATGTGAATTTCATTCCTCCAATGCCACGAAGAAAAGCTGCTGATCGTACGGGCCCTGTCAAGACTCGGTCTCGCGATGGCTGCAAAGAATGTCGAGCGAGTCGGGTCCGCTGCGACACCAAAAAGCCTCGCTGCACGCGCTGCGGGGAGAAAGGCTTGCCATGCACTAAGAATCTGATTTTGAAATGGGAATCCGAATTTACTAGTCGTGGTATGGCCTTTGGCCGTGCCGGCGTATGGAGCAAGTCTCGGTCAGCGAGCCCGTCCACCCCCAGCTCTGTTTCTTCTATGCAGGAGTGGTGCCCTGTACCGACTGTTCGCTCCTGGGGCTTTATCAACAGTGGCTATGCAACATTTGAATGCCCAGATGAAGTCAATGTGGACTTTAACGAGCTCAATGCTATCATTGCCGTTGCCCAGAGCTCCAACTCGCTGTTTCCTAGGAATGCGACGGCTGATCAACTATGGTCGTGGCTTCAGCATCTTCCGTACATGGGTAGACTGGCCAATGGCTTCGATCTCAATCTTCCGCCTTCCCTCGCACTCTTCCCAGACCTCTCCAAATCGGGACACGGAGAGTTATTCGATTATTATCTGCAGCAGGTCTGTCCACGCACGACAGCGAGCTCTGCTTTGTCGTCGCCATTTGCTTCTGTAATTTTGCCTTTTTGCCTGTCTGCCTCTCCTACTCTCTTCAAGGCAATTCAAGCCTTAGGAGCATGCCACTGGTCAAGGCACAACCCGAGCTACAGTGCTATCGGACTGCGATTCAAATCAGAGGCGCTTAGAGAACTTCGTCAACGTCTCTCCACAGAGGGAACTTTGACATGCTCTATGGATCCTGAGGTTTTGGTGATCATGATCATGCTATGTCTATATGAGATAGTAGACAAATGTGATCAGCAATGGACAATCCATCTCAAAGGAGCCAACGATCTGATTCGGCTTCGAAGAAAGCAACAAAATACATTATCGCATCCGACCGCACCATCAGATCCCGTGACGAGCTTTGCAGAGCAGTTCTTCGCTTTCCAAGATGTTATGGGCCGAACGGCCTGTGCTAAGGAGGTTTTATTTGGCACAGACTATTGGAAACCTGATGAGCGAAATATCGATCACTGGATGGGTTGCAGCCCTGAACTGGTCTCCATTTTGGCAAACATCACAGATATGAGCCGAACAAGGAGGCAAAATACGTCCGATGCAGACAAGGCATGTTATGCCCTGCGTGCTGCTTCCCTCGAGCGCCAAATGGAGGGTTTAGTTCAGGAGGTTGGGGAGGGGGATGATGAAATTCTGGCACTTGTCGCAGATGCCAAAAGACTGGCAGCAGTATTATACCTCCATTGTGCACTGTACGGGGCATCCCCGATCACCCCTTTGGTGAAAAGCTATGTCCGCCAAATTCTCCGTCTCATTCTCGATCTTCTGGATCGCAATCTACTGACCAATGTGACATGGCCAGTCTTTGTGGCAGCCGTGGAGCTAGATCCATCCGATGACGAGGTGTTCCCTGGCCCTGAAACCGAATCAGTGTCTGGGCGGGCAATTGTGCTACGTGCCCTTGCAACAATGGTCGATTCAACCATCTCAAACATTGCAAGAACACGAGCAGTGATCACCAAATTATGGCAGAAAAGGGATCTGGATTTGCTCAAAGGAGTTGTTCTTGATAACGACTACAATGACTGGGAGTGGCATGTTGTTCCAATCAGCAATGCGATGAGTCTTGCTTGATGGCCTTGTAATTACAATCAATTATTGGACACTACAGTAACCAAATCAACGATGTTTTGATGAAAAAATGTTGTCGCATTGAAGACGGCTTCGGCCAGTCCTATCTCGACTCAAGGGGTCAATCTTGCAGGCTCGAAGAATCACTTTAGTAGATTTCTTCAACCATATTTCCTTCTTTTTCCTCTTTGTGCGGGTCTAACAGAAAAGTGAAAGTATCAAGTTCTCACTTTCAACTTGTCCACATGAACTCATGGTTGGCCTAGAAAGGTATGGCGAACAAGGTGGGATTGAAAACGAACAAAGATCACATCGGCCTTTTTACCATCCTTTCGACCGTTTTCCTACCTTCTTTCGTTGGAGTTTTCAGGTAGCATGTCTTTCGTAGATCGGTATTCTATACTTCTATTCCTCAAGCTATGAACTATACCTTACGACCTTAAAACTATAAGGTATCTTCCAAGTTCTACGCACGATAAGGATAGCAATCAAAGAGACCGCGTACTTACAGGACTAATTCGTCTTGTATATATATATAGTGTAACAGGTGGACGTAATTGTTCACAGGAACACATTCTGCTGAGGCTGGGAGATTCTATAGATCGTCACATGGTGGATAGTGTCCGCATTTGGCTAGCGTGTCATCTGATCAGCGCGTTAACCGCTGGGGCCAGCGACTTCAGACTGATCTCAGGCTTTACATCTACCGTTATACTAGGTGAAACAGGCTACACTACCTTGCTTGTATAACTTTCATCTATTGTGGTATAACAATTGATACCGGAAACGATGCCCGCCTTGCGCCCTGCTCGAGATTGAAGATCACTTCACTCGGATAATGGCTCAGGCGCGACCTTCAGTGCCAGGGCGTAGGACCTCAGCCCAAATGTTTGAGAGCAAACTCAGCCAACAACTATCACAGCCACAAGAATCGCCAGATCTGCAACTCCAACCCACGACGCGCTCTTCGCGCTCGTTATCTGATGCGTCCAAACCCACCACCCAGCCCTCCACTGGGGATCTGAGCCGTCCATCAAGCAAAGACGATGGGACCCCTGCTCTTCCTGCAACCCCAAGACGCTCAAGTGTGTCACATCCTAGTCTCTCGCTAAATTTGTCTTCCAAAACCGCCACGTCGCCATCTCTGAATCGCGCCCCTCTATCGCCCAAACTAGATTCCTCACAAATCTACGGATCTCCAGGATCAGTTCTGCCGCGCCGATCTCGCGGCCTCGACTTTTCTCGTGCCTGTACCAATCTTCACCATTCTACTCTCGCCGAATCCTCCCCGGACTCGTCTCCAACCGTAGGAGGGCGGGGTATGGCAATTCCCCAACGGCGGGGATCGCCTGGCGCGACCTCCGTTCCTCCATTCTCGACATCAATTCCAGCAGATCGTGCGACGATTTCGAGTTCTATGTCGAGTGTGAACATGATGGAATCAGACACCAGTAGTAGCGAAGAGGAGGATGAAGCGATGGGGGATCGTGACGACATAATGCTGAATACGCCACAAGCAACACGCATGGGAAATGCCCCCAACTCATTTTCTACCAATATTCAAAGTCCAGGCAATGAGTGGATGGGAGGGTATTCACAAGCTGCTGCTAGTTTGATGAGTTTCCAGCGTGCTCGTTTTCGCAAGGGTCGCAGTCGACATAGCTCAAGCAGCGCAAGTGGGAACAGCTCGAAACCTAGTCCAACGCCGCACTCTCCTCCAATCATGAAGAGTGTCGAGCACGCTGCGGGTTATTTCGCTCCTCGACAAAATCCGCATGCGCGCAGAGAATCTCTCAGTCTAGGCACTCGTGACTTGCGTTTGTCCGATATGAGCGACGACGGCGAAAGTCGTACGACACGTGGTGGAAGCCCGGTTCCTGCCTCTCATTCAGAGGGTGGTGGACCACTGGGGGTTATTCGACGTGCGGTGACTCGTCGTGGAAGTCTTCTAGTAAGCTCTTTGTTATTACCTCCAGATGTGTAAATCTAACATGTGTCATAGCCCAAAACCAAAACATTTGCGCGCATCCGCGCCGCTTTGATGGAGGAGGGTGCTCCCGTTGACAGTGACATGAAAAGAGAGGCAGAAGTAGTCCGGCAGGTCCGGGACACTGAGCCTGAAACAACCCCCGGACTGGGAGAGTTCCCATCGTTAGAGCCGTCTGCTCCGTTCGATGGGGACCCATCTGATGATACCCCCGTCAAAGCTGCAATCGATACACCATCCAAGGGCAGTTTCAGCAAACAAGCCACTCGCAACTCTGGTGGCCTTGAGTTCTGGAACTCCTTCGATGAGCGATACCGAACCCCTCCTCCTCTACGCCAGGGTGCTCCGTCTATTGCAGACGATGAGATGTCTCTGGATATGACCCCATCCACCACGGTTGGTTCCACCGCTGCCGACTCGTCCAAACCTCGTTCTCGATCTTCTACTCCACATCCGCAGGGGATGGCAGCCATTGGCGAGATTTGTCGTAAGCGACGCCGTGACGATGATTTCGACCCCAATCTTTTCAAGCGCCGGGCTGTGTCACCCAGTGTGAGCGCGCATAGCAGCCCGGTGATGACCCATACCCACAATGTAAACATCGACGCCGGACCAAACATCTGGGGTCCACCTCCCAAGCCAGGACTCGGAGCCCCTTTCTCTGAGCGGGAATCTGGCAATCGAATGACTCCTCACGGGGCGAAACGCATCGGTCTACAGGGAATGACCGAGGCGAGCGATGGATTTATGAACATGAGCATTGATTGAACAGACAGTTCTGGACATGCGATTCTTTCTTTCAGTTCGGAGGGATTCTTTCTGGTATTCGGGGGCTATACTTCACTTAATTTCTCTTTCATTTTTTTCACAGGCATGGCGTTGGGGATGTTATGAAGACACACGCATTCGTTATTTCAGCGAGATCCAGATACCACATTAATGGAAATATAGTAAGGGATTTTCAGCCATTCCAGCCATTCAAGACCTTGTTGCTTCGTAGCTGTGGCAGATATACTCGGACCACGTGCTGATCGCTCTCCGCCTCCAGCTCAATCTCTCCGCAAACTCCCCTCCGATCACTGCACGTTAAGAGCTCAATCCCTCTCGTTTGTTTTCAGCGTTCAAGTTGCTTCTATTCTGGACTTTTTATTCATTACTCCCCATGGCTTCCAATGTTGAACTGGCATCCTCGTTCATCGAGGGTGCCCCGCCCGGAGAGGTATGCATGTCAACAACAACCCAGAGCGCCCATTTCCTGATTCGCTCCCGATGCACTGGATGACTGCTAACCTGTTCTCTCTCGCTCTCTCTTCAGCTCGCCGATGTCGTTGCCGGTAAATAGCCCTCTCAGTGCTACGCTGTCCCGATCCCCGATCCCCCGACCCCCGCACCCCGGTCTGTTCACATAAACACTGGTCCTAATTGCTGATCCTTGTCGCTGGGTTAGATGTGCAAGCCCTGACCGCTGAGGGCGAGGATATTATTCCCTCCCTCGTTCCCGCATTCGAGCGTTACAACGAAGCCCAGCTTGCGACAGTCAAGTTGCCCGGATCGAGCCAGGAGGTACGTTTCACCTTTCAGCTACACTTATCGGTAGTGTCGATATGCTAATGCACCTCTGAAAAGGTCATTGTCAGCGAATTCAACAAGGTCGAGGGCAACCGCTACTTCGATACAGAGAGCCAAACCTCATTTGAGATCGACCATACCACACAGGTAAGATGCACCCGATTGATTGCAACGACACATTGGAGGCTTACGGTTCGGTTCGACGGATATAGCTTGCCTCTGCGGCTCAGTCCTCTCCTTTGGAATCTCAGAATGCAGATTTGATGTAAGCAAACCGGGTTTTTCAATTCTGAGAAAGATGCTGATGCCATGTAGTAAATCACTGCTCAAGTTGTTCGGTGCCCATGCTCGTGAGCACTACCCGGACTGCTCCTATGGTGTCTATCCTATCGAGGATGACTCCGCTGTCGCCATCCTCTTGGTCGCAAACCGATACTCTCCCAAAAACTTCTGGTGCGTGCTGGTCTCTTGTCCCAATCTGGAAAAGAAAAAAGGCTAACCAATTTGGACGCCCCCCGTCTGGGGGTGGCTGTCTCTTTCTTCTATAGGAACGGTCGTTTCCGTGCAATCTACCAAGTCCCCGTCTCCTCCTCTACCACCATAACCGGCAAGATCCACGTGGACGTGCACTACTACGAAGACGGCAACGTGGCACTTAACACTACTAAACCTGTCAGCATTTCTATTCCCTCCATTTCTGCCGAGTCTATTGTGTCGCGCATTGCTACCGCCGAGCGCGATTATCAGGAGGCCTTAAACCGGGCCTTTGTCCAGACTGCCGAAGGTGTATTCAAGGGTCTGCGAAGACAGCTCCCTATCACACGGCAGAAAGTGGAGTGGGAGAAGGTCGGTGGATATCGTCTGGGTCAGGATATCTCTGGCGGCAAAGGACGATAGAGTAGATTTGGGGATCTTGAGCAGTGATACACTTGCTCGTAGACAGCTGGGCTGAATCTATCCCTCGTGTTTCCAAGCATTATCTTTTTTTTTGGTGTTTGAATTGATTTCATCTATAAATTATACAATGGGGGTTGAGCATCTCGTAGGTCTGCCACTGCCGACTGAATATATATCCCAACCCAATCCCAATTCCAATCCCAAATAACCACCAAATAATAAACCATTTCACCACTGTTGCCAAACAAATCAAAAGACAGTGATCATCTCCCAACTTCTCTTTATACCAAGCCCTGCAGAGCATGCATGGGCTGAATAAGCAAAGACTAGCTAGCTCACTTGGGGTTGCCGGAGATCAGCCCGCCTCAACACACACAGCCCCTTGAGACTGAAAAATAGGATAGCATCGCAGCCATGATTCAAAAGTTCTCTCGCTTTATCAATTCTGGCGCTGGCCTGGAGAAGACCCTTCGTCTGATCCAGTGCACGGCACAGGTGGTCGCAGCACTCACCGTGAGCAGTGCTCTGGCTGTGCAATTGACCACGGTCAAGTTGCAATTGGCACTGGGTAAGTTGGTGTATAGTTATCAGAGAACATACTATCCCTCCCAGTCTCTTTCAAACGCTAATTCTAAGGCCCAGCACGGAGATATTTCCGGTTCTTTGGATTCATTGATTCCTTCCAGCGCATGTATGCATTGCTAGGTAAAGATGGGTTCACCTCAGTGGGCGGACTGATTGACCTTGCCAAGTGGACCTGCTTTGGCCTTTATTTCGTTCTGGAGGACCTGACTACGGTATGTTGCTTGCTCTACCCGATGAAGATTCGCACTGACCGATTGCCAGCTCCATGCCATGGGTGTATATTCCGTATCCTGGCATGACCCTGTCATGGACCAAGCCAACACCTTCTGGCTCTATGCCTTGTCGTTCTCAGTTGTCGGTAGTCTCTGGGCTCTCCTGTTTGGTCGTGCCTCAGAACAACCACCCAAGAAGAACGGCAAGAACAAGAAGGAGAAGGTCGAGACCGAGAAGGCTGTTGCGGGCAAAGCGACTGCTTCCTCGGCCTTGATTCAGCAGATCGTGGTCGATAGCTGTGATTTACTCATCCCATTGGAACTTCTCCACTGGATGCCCACAGGAGATGTCGTGGTTGGATCCACCATGGTATTGAGTACACTTTTGACTGCTCAGAACATTTGGGCTCGGGTGTAATCAAGTGTCGAGGGATACAACGTTAGACAGAACGAGTGGAATGTAGATATTAGATATAGATCTTTTGCGTGGAAGCGGATCAGAGAGCAAAAAGAACGGGAACCATACATGAGACAACCAAGCACCAAAATAGAGAGAGTGAATATGCACATTAAGATGACTTCGTCCTGCATTAGGCTGATTAACTTGGTAAAAAAAAACACCCAAGAAGCAAAAAAGAATGGACTCGCGGGGAATCGAACCCCGGACCACTCCCATGCTAAGGGAGTATTATACCACTAAACCACAAGCCCAACTTGATGTAAGGACTGGGGATTTAGTGCTAGATAAGCCAGAAATGGAGCCGAGACAGGGGCTTGATGTCACGGAGTTTGATAGATCAATCGTTTGATACGCCGTTTGAGTGGTTCCCGGATGCTTTTCAACACCATGTTCTGAACTCCTACACCAACATTCAATGTGATATAATGTGGCTATGTCACTGAGACCCCAGACACCCAAGCACATTCTGCCTTGTTCAAAACGAGTTCCCATGAGTTAGTTGAAGCGTCCGCTGAGCCACGAGGCGCAGCGGATACGAGATGCCAAGACTTGATTAACGTTTTTGGGTTCCATGGATCGGCGGCATAAGGTTGCCCGCCACGCTCGATTAGGCAAGTTTCGTATTGGAAAAGGTAAGAAAAGAATATAAAGAGATGCGACAAGGTGAGACAGAGATCAATTAGCCATCATGACTACCACTACTACTACCACTCACGGTGTCAAGGAGGAGATTCATTCTTCTGCCTTGTCTGTGGCATCCTCCAGTACTTCGTGTACGCTCAATGAAAGTACTGTCTTTCACCCGTCACATATCCTGACCGTCGACGCGCAAGGGATTGCGGCTTTGCGTCTTCCTCTACCTTCTCGACAGACTGAGATCTTGATCTACCATGCAGATGGTGGCGAGGCTTATGTCTCGAGGCGCGACAAGCACTGGTCGGGTAATGCGGTCTTGTCACACCCAAAGCGTGGAGATCTTATCCGCACACAATACTTCTTTGGCCCAAATCGCGATCCAGTTTTGCATCTTCTACAGGCTGCCGACCGTGAATCAGTGGCAGTGACTGGAAAATGGACCTCCCGTGCTACGCGATTTGAGATGCCTGGGGCCCAGTCTTTCGAATGGGAATACGTCAAGGAGAAGCGAGCAAATGGCCAGAAGGTGAGCCTCATTGTTTTGAAGGTGGTAGCAGAAAAAGGCGACAGTCAGGGGCACGACATTCGAATTGCACAGTTAGTCCGTGGCTCAGACTCTCGCACACCGGGCACGTCACGATGCACGGCGGGGAATGGCGGGGAATTGCAGATCGATCGGGCAGCGTTGCAGTCGGTTGGGTTAGATGAGGCCATGGTGGTTGCCACCTGCTTGATGATGCTGAAGAAGGAAATTGACCGACGAAGGATGATGCAGATGGCAGCCATTGGCGGGGCGGGAAGTTGAGAAGGTCCAACTGGATTCTCATGAAGGAGCGAGGTTTTGTGTATTTCTGTCATGTACATTCAATTGGTATCTATGCTCTATGTCCTTTGTTTTCGGTCTATATCTCGTGTCCTCGTTCAGTAGTGTATCGCTTAGTTGCGCTTGTCCTTGCATTGAGTCGCAATGTGGTCATTGAGCCAGTAGCCATCCAATTCCTGGTTGGACATGGTCCTGGCCCCAGAGATCCAGCCTCTGCAGACCCCTTCCCCTGCGCCGCAGGTGCATTGGAAGGCCTGATCCATGTCCCACTCCGTGCTGGGATAGAAGAAGGTAAGAGCGTCACCGGCCTTCAATGGCCTGTCATCAACAACGCGCACCTCCATACGCCCCATATCAAAGTTCACAGATGGTGCGCAGGAGTGGTTGCAGTAGACCAAGTCGGAGTTGAGCTCAATGTGGGTGTCGGGGCCTGTCTGTACGCTGGTGTAGGCTTTCGTCCCAGGCGTGGCCGTGGTGATCTTTGCGAAGACAGCACCAGCGGGCAGATCCACCAACGAGTACGCCCCGCTCCCAAAGGCCTTGGTGCTGCGGTCCACGCGCAGACGATCGGGATGGGTCGGAGGAGGGTGCCCATCGGCGTGAGTGACGGGGATAGGGTCTGCGGAAGGGGCCATTGTGAGGAGAATAGAAGTCAGATGAGAGAGTGAGAGAAGGAGAAAGAGAGTCCAGAGGAGACAGAGTCAAATGGACATCGGAGAACGAGGGGCTTTTTATTGACATCCCTTGAACCGAGGGCATGCAAAGCTCCGAAACCGAGGCAGGATGACGACAAGCCGGAGACGAAGCCTAATCAGGAACCCCAGTCAGTTTCAGTCTGCAGCCACTCAAAACACGAGAAACCACTCAGGACGTGGGGTTTGGATCGCCGCATTCTGGACATGTTGGCATGTGATCCATGGATGCGTCTACGGCTGGTTTACTTGAGCATCTGATTTACTTGACTGGGACACTTGCTCTTAGTTCATCTTGCGCACCAGTTCCTCTCCCTTGAGCCACCTCTCTAGATTCTCCGCTGTTTCCCGATACCAACCGCGGAGTAGCTCTTCTTCCCCATATCCCATGTGGGGCGTCAAGACCACCTCGCTGCGCCCGTCTTGACCCCACGGCGTGGTTCGCCAGGGACTGTCCAGCGGCAAGGGCTCGGGGTCGAATACATCGAGGGCTGCTCCACGAATGCGTCCTGCATTCAGAGCCTCGAGGAGAGCTGCCTCATCGATCAAGGGCCCTCGCGACGTGTTGACGATGAATGCAGTGGATCGCATCTTGGCCAACTCCGCGGTACTGACGATGCCGCGGCTTCGGTCGGAGAGCACATTGTGCACGCTCACCACGTCCGCCTGCGCAAAAAAGGCTTCTTTGGAGGCAGCGACCACGAAGGATCCCGCCGGCAGGCCCTGAGCTTGCGCTTGCTCATCGGCCTTGTCTTGGGTCAAATTGGTCGACCAGGCCGACACTTTCATGCCAAAGGCGAGAACTGCAATCTTGCCCACTTGAGATCCCAGTTTCCCGAGACCGAGGAGTCCGAGGGTCTTTTCCGACAGATTTAATCCCAGGGCGCCTTGCCATTCACCCCGCTTCACGGCGGCATCATCACGGGCGACATTCCGGGCTAGTGCTAGAATCAAGGCCCAGGTATGTTGGACGGTCGAATTTACGCCGGGAGGTCGCCCCTCGGTCCCCGCGACGGGGATGTTGGCCCGCGCAAAAGCCTCCAGGTCGAGCGAGAGATTCCGGGTTCCGGTGGTCAAGAGGAGTTTTAAATTCGGCAGTGCGGAGATGGTCTTGGCCGCAAAGGGGGTGCGCTCCCGCATCGCGAGGATGACATCGAACGGATGCAGTCGTTGGATGAGCGCATCGTGCTGTCCGGGATTGCGGGGGTCGAGGGTTTCGGGGAAACTGGAGATGTCGATGCGTGACTCGAGATGGGCAAAATAGGCGGGCGCTATGCCCTGATAGTCGTCAAGAATGGCAAACTTGAGCTTTGTCATTTTCGAGGGTGAAATTTAACCCAAGAGAAGGCAGTAGAGAGTAGAGTAGAGTAGAGTAGAGTAGAGTAGAGTAGAGAGAGAGTAGAGAAGAGAAGAGAAACGGCAATGAAGCATGCGGGGGATGTGCTGTTCGGCAGTGAATTTACCCATTTGGTGCTCAGTCAACATATGCTAAGTTATACATCTATTCAGAGGGATCTCTCATCATCAAATAAAAAGATTCACTTCCTTCTCCTCCGAATGGTTCATAGTCCATGGTCACCTCCTCCAATTGCTTCCATCCATACTTCAAATAGAGAGGCACGCCCTCGGGCGTGGCCTCGAGGAAGATGCGAGACTTGGAGGCATTGGCCTTTTCAATTCCCCATTGCAAGATCGCAGACCCGTAGCCTCGGCCCTGATATGGTGGCAACGTGGCGAGCAGGTCCAGCACTGGAGCTCCGTTGTTAGCTCTGTTGTTAGACCGAATCTTTCTCCAATGCGGGGGTTTGCATACCAATGTCATTCTCGGTGGTGTATTGCTTCCGCGCATTCTCCAGTATTTGCTTAAAGGCATTGAAGATATCTTCTCTCATTGGTTGGGGCGCATATGCCACCGGGTCATTGGCGAATGCAATCGCCTGTTCGCTGAGTTCCGGCACTGTTGGCCCGTATCCCAGAGCCTCGGGGATCATCCACCGGCTATAGGCGACCAACTCGCCGCTGGCCTCATCATGAATTTTGAGGACGTGCATATTTGGGTTGGCTAGATGTTTCATGCCAACCTTGGCTTTATATTCCACCATGCGCGGCACACTAGTGGTTGGAAACATTTGAGCCAGTAGATGGCGGCCTTGGAAGCTTTCGACATTGACCTGCGCGAGGCCGGGCCCGTCAGCCTCGACGGCGTATTGAATGAGATGCATGATTGCGAAATTAAAAGAGAGAAATAATTACAGAGAAAAGGTGGAAAGAGAAGAAGAAAAAGAAGAAGAAGAAGAAGAAGAGGCTCAGATAATAACTTAATCAGGAAGACAGTCGGAGTCCGAGAAAGGTAAGCGCCAGACTGCCGACCATTGGGACATTTTCTCTTCTGTTGCATCCACGCAAATATATATCTCTTCTCATTCACGGTATGGACCAGACACAGAGAGCTATCTACGCATACACCGTTACGGAAAGATTGGGGATCGTGAAGAACGTCGCGACAGTCCAAGTCAAGCACCCTGAGCAAATTTCGTGAGAGAAGCCTCACTGCCGTTCCAAAGGTCCGAATCGCCCCCATAGGTATACTTGTCCGCGTTCTGCCAGAAGCTCTGATACGACCAGCCCCCGGGGATGGTGCCCACGGAGCTGCTGTATCGAGCCAACACTAAGGGATAGTCCTTGCTGAACGCCGTGCTGCCGCCAGTACAGGTATTCCACCAGTCGGCGGTCGTGTAAATCATGGGGTAACGACCAGTCGTGCGTTGATAGGTTTCGCCAAAGTCCGTGACCCAGGCAACCATGGCAGACTGGCTCATTCCATAGCAAGTTGCGCCAGACGGGTTGTATTCAATGTCCAGCATGCCAGGGAGGGTCTTGCCATCGTTGGACCAGCCACCACCATGAGCAAGGAAGTATTCGGCCTGGGTGGCACCCGAGGAGCTGTCGGGGTGAGCGAAGTGATATCCTCCACGGATCAATCCAGCCGAGGAGGCTCCCTCATAATGATCGGAGAAGGTCTTGTCGGTGTATGTGGTGCCCTCGGTCGCCTGAGTAGTAAAATGAGCATGGTCAGACCTGCAACCTTGGTTGGACTACACATTCACCTTGATCATGACAAAGCGTGCGCCGGCACTGTATGCCCCGGGAAAGTCGACTGTTCCCTGGTAGCTGGAGATATCGAAGCCCTGGACCTGGCTACCACGCGACTCCAGAGGAGTAGGACTAGTGGCACTCGTGGCAGCGAGCATGAGCGAGAGGGCAATCGTCTTCATGATGAGGATAGAGAATGAAGGAAGGGATTCAGCGAAACGAGGGATTAGGTTCTCCTTTATATGTCCTGGAGTCACAGCTTCGAGGACCAGGCCGTCGTCGTATTAGATCGCAAAGGAACATACTAGGCCGCAATGTCCTCTCAGGAAGAAATGATGTCGATCAGTCCACCGAAAGAGGAAGCATGGCTGTTTCAACAGCCGAATGCTCTTGGTGCTTCACACCACCCATCGGACTTCGGTTGATCTGAACGAGCCTAACGACCTGTTCCTGCAGGCTGTATCCCAAGCGAATGTTCAGATGCGTCTCTCTTGTCCGCTCATTGGTATAGAGACCTCGTATCAAGCCGGACTAAGGCAGGGGGGAGTTGCCGATCGTGGTTCCAACTCGAGTTCCAGGTTAGATCCAGGTTAGATGCAGCAGCACAGGAGTAATGCCAGCTCAATGGCGTAGATGTCCATGCCCTCAAGTCCACTGGCAGTGAACACACTCGCTATACTCCGAGAATGGATCGGCACTCGGCCCTAAGCGAAATCCGGGCAAAGCTCGCCTCCCCGCCAACTCCCCAGTCTGCACTTCAGGATGGACAGGCCTAGTCAGTATGGGGAATCAGGACTTCCGCGACCAGCTGGGCAAGTTCCGTCTGGACTCCAACACTGTCCCCCCTTCAACCTGGCAGCCGCAGCCCGTCTACCACGAGCCGGTCGAGTCCTCCCCCTCGCGCAGCAAACGAGTGTCGACCGCCTGTGACTTTTGTCGCAAAAGAAAAAAGAAATGCGACTTTCGTTATCCCAATTGCTCCGCCTGCACCCGAGCGGGAGTCCGATGCACCATTCCTCCCCCCGGCCCCCAAGTCGCCAGTGCCTCCGTCCCCCGCGATCAGCTCGAGAACCTCCAGAAACGAGTCCGATGGCTCGAAGAGATTGTGCGCCGTAAGTCGGGTCTTTCAGTGGGAGAACTACCCACGGGGACTGCCGTCGATGGCGAAGGAGACCCGGACTGGTGGTATCAAGTGCCTGCGATGATTGCGACCGGGCATCGTCCAACCGCCGTGTCGAGCCCGGCCGGCAGTGGTGGCTCCTCGACTGCAGGTCCATCCGAGGCGTCGACCGCCGTGGGAACTGACCTACCAAACGTTGGAGAAATCTTTCGCGATCAACTAGAGCATCGCCGACCGTCCGTGGCGCGACCCTCCGCTGCGCCACGGGTAATGCGCCTGTCCTCGCTGGAGGAGGCCGAGCGCATCGCCGGGCAATACTTCGACAGTATGGGCTACCAATATCCGTTCATGTCTCGTCCGGAGTTCATGGCAACCCTGCGACACATCTATACTGGCGGTATTCCAACCCCAGAAACACACAATTCATATCATATCGTCATGGCCATTTCGCTCCTGATCGGATCGGCAGACCCAACCCAGGCGGCCGAATTCTACCATGCCAGTCAAGAGACTCTCCCATTGGCATTGCAGAATGAGGATTTGCCGGCGGTACGAGCACTATTGGGGCTGGCCCTGTATACCATGTTTGCCACCGCAGGGCCTAGTATCTGGCATATATTGGGTACAACCATGCGGTTGGCGACCAGTCTCGGTCTACACAAAGCACGATCATATCCTAGTCTTGCCGAGGAAGAAATGTCGAAGCGCGCTTTCTGGAGTCTGTATAACCTGGACCGCCTGATTGCAAGTACTCTCGGCCGGCCTCTAGGCGTCGCCGACGACGACATCAGCGTCGGTCTTCTGCGCGAACTCAACGATGACGGGACTGAGGCACCTGGTGCGAGTGGAATGACCATTCCACTCCAGGTCATTCGTCTCCGGAGGATCTTTTCCCGTATCTATCAATATCGTAAGTGGACTCTGCGCCTCAATCTGGTACTCTCTAACCGTCCGTAGTATATAGCGGCCTGCCTCGTCTCTTGCCCCAAGAAGCTGCTGCCACCCTCGGTCGATTCCGCCAAGAGGTCGACGATTGGCGCATGGCTGCTCCAGTATACCCATCGGCACTTCTCTATTCCACCTCGTATTATGACTACCTGTACTACACGACGTTACTTTTAATGTATCGTCCGAGCCCCAGGAATCCGACGCCCGACGCCCTCAGCATTGTCAGCTGTGGTGACTCCAGTGTCCAAGTCATCAGATCCTACTGGGACAGCTACTCCATCGGCAAACTCAAATGGATCTGGTTGACGTTAAGTCAGGTCTATTTTGCGGGCATCACCATCCTGTGGTGTCTTGAGCAGAATGCGCGTTCTTTACGGGAGTCACTCCCGGCCCCTTGGAATCCCGATGAGCAGACAATGCGTCGTGGGATTCAAGCCGTGGTAGTTCTCTTGGAAGAATTTGGAAAGCGTCGACCCGGGGTGGACAAGCTGGCAGAGACATTCCGACATCAGAGCACGATGATCTTTAGCCAGATGGCCTATCAGCAACAACAATTAGAACAGCAACAGCAACACCATCCTCACCTTCAACCTCCTCCTCCTCCTCCTCCTCCTCCTCCACCTGCACTCATCCCGCCTCAGTCCTCTGTGTCTTTAGCTGCACCACCGCCTCCTCCAGTCCCGCTGGCCCCTGTCCTCGACGACGTACTGCTCGTGGATGGTAGCGGAGCCATTCCAATGTTCGACCCCCAAATGGCGGACCAACTGTTTTACTCCTACAATTGGTTCCAGGAGGAGATGGCATCCTACTATACCCTTTGAACGAATGTTTTTCTTTGTATTTAGAGCTCTGGTGATACACGGAGTTAACTGGACGCGTTTTATTATTCTTGTTAATAGTTACAAGCTCGTCATTGGATAGGACGGCACTCATCAAATAGAGAAAATTTTCAAAGAAGGCGCCGCTGACCTGCGCGTGGACATTGTGCATATTGTTTCTGGATGTATGAACCTGTGTACTCGATCTTTCTGGCTGTTGAGATCCTTGTAGGGCCATGTCTTTCTTTCCTTTCTTCGACTCTTCAACCACCCCGACAAGGGACTGGAGACTTCATTGCACCTGTCTCCCTTGCAGATGTGATGTATCTCAACGAGATCGACAAGATTCTCTCAGACTACGCAAGATGGGAGGGTTGAACCTGATATCTGATTATTAATGTCTGACCCCTCCATCTCGCTGATAACACAACTTCACTTGCATTTCTCCCTTTCTTGCCTTCCCCTAGAATGGAGGAACTGGATAAAAGGACGACTCCTGCTTCGGGTCTACCTCTCGCTTTTCACGGTACAGTGATCCATTCCAAGAGCCCCGAGGAACTCGAGATCTTGGACAACTGCTTCATTATCGTGGGCAAAGATGGCAAGATTCAGGTCTTTCAAGCAGGTATAGAGCCTGACCAAATCAATTCTCTGGTCTCAGAGAATGGCTATGCGCCCGACGTCTTCCCCGTGAAACATCTCAAGCGGGGAGAGTTCCTGTGTCCTGGCTTCGTGGACACCCATAACCACGCACCGCAGTGGGCACAACGAGGCGTTGGAAGAGGCATATCGCTGCTCGACTGGTTGAACAAAGTGACCTTTGCTCATGAGGCCAAGTTTGAAGATTCTGAATATGCCAAACGCACGTATGCCTCTTGCGTCGCGGGGTTCTTGCAACAGGGCATCACGACAGCATCATACTACGGCTCCCACCATGGCCAGGCAACTCGAATCCTGGCAGACATTTGCTTCCAAAAGGGTCAACGTGCTTTGGTGGGGAAATGTAACATGAATCGAAACGCTCCAGACTGGTACAGAGATTCCTCCATCGCAGGTTCGTTGCGCGAGACGCGTGAGCTTATCCAGCATATCCACCAACTTGATCCGGGATATCAGCTGGTGAAGCCGATCATTACGCCACGCTTTGCGATATCCTGTGAGCCTGAGTTGCTGGATGGGCTCGGTGCCATTGCTTGCGAACACCCCGATCTGCCAATCCAAACCCATTTCAACGAGGCAAAGCAGGAAATCGAATTTACAAACCAGCTCTTCCCTGAATTTCAGACAGAAGCCGATCTATACCGGAAATTTAATTTGTTAAATGGTCGCTCCATTCTTGCCCACTGTATTTTCCTGCAAGAAGAGGAACTGGTCCGCATCCAAGAACTTGGTTGTGGTGTTGCCCACTGCCCGATCGCCAACACTACCATGCAAGAGTATATGATCGCGCCTGTGAGGGAGTACTTGCGTCGTGGTATCAAGGTGGGACTGGGCACAGATAGTGGTGGCGGCTACTCGTCGTCGATCATGGAGGCGATGAAGCATGCCTTCATTGTATCAAATGCACAGCAGACAAAGACTGAAGGCCGTGATCCTGCATTATCTCTGCCAGAATGCTTTTTCCTTGCCACTTTAGGAGGTGCGCAGGTATGTGGGCTCGATGATCGGATTGGAAACTTCGCGGTCGGCAAAGAGTTTGACGCGCTGGAGATTCACACGATAGACCTTGATCGACCGGGTGTTATGTGTCTGGTGGAAGACGAAGATACTATCGAGGTCATCTTCGAGAAATTTCTGATGACTGGCGATGACCGGAATATTGCCAAAGTCTATGTGAGTGGTCGCTCCGTGAAGACTTGACGAGCTTATGATTCAAATGAGATTGAGGACGATATATGATAAACATTAAATATAAAACCACTAAACCAGGAACCCAGACCATACCCGGATACCCATATGTGCAAGCCATTGTAGATGTATATAGAACTCAAAAACAAGGCCGAGGAGTAAGACCGCAATGCTGATATAGAAACAGAGGGAAAAGAAACATAAATCCAAGTGTGAAAGGTCACTCCCATGATCCTCGTGGAGGCCCAAAGTAGCCCTGGACCGGCAGGCTTTTATAGGGAGTGCCTTGACCGTCCGCTGTCTTGGTTGATACGGTGTTTCCCCACCAGCTCAATGAACCAGCAGGGAGAGTGATGCAGAAGAATATGATCACTGTTGCCACTGCAACACCGCAGTCGAGCGCGGCAGACAAAACGTAGTCTGTGAGTCAATTAGTCAAAGAGCAACAAAGGGCCTGTGGAAGAATGATCACTTACTATACTTTGACCACCACGCGGGTTTGCGGCGACGCAGGATACCGTTGAAGATTAAATTTACAATCCACCAAGAAGAAAAGCTGATACCTGTAGCTGGTGGAACCTGGCTCATGGCACCAAAGGCGACAGGCCAGGAGAGATAGTTGACGGATTTCCACCGACGACCTAGTAGGTAGGTAACCACCACTGCGGCAGGACCAACGAGGAAAAACCACAGCAAGTTGCTGTATATCTGCCCTGAGGAGAACAATCGACCTGGACCAATGGCTCCTATCAACCCGTTAGCGGTCAGTTGGAGGTGGCTTGATAGCGATGACTAAAGTAATAGAAACTCACCCCAGACAAGCGAGGAAGAGTATGTGACTCTCCCATGAGGACATGTGAAACTTCCCTCTGCATCAGATGTACAAACGCCCTTGATTCGGGTGATCATGAAGACCGTCACTCCGCACTGAACGATAGCCCCAACCAGCGTGGCAAGACCCTGGGCAACAAACAGGGTTCGTGGTGCAATGTGCATATAGTGAGCCAGTTTCATATCCGCAACGAATCTAACTGTAATGTCAGCCTATGCACCTGTGTTTTGGATCTGAAGACTGACTCTAATCCTTGCTGGACAGCGACGTAGCCATAGAATTTGAAGGCCATGTTGGCCACTGGCCGCCCGAGAAAGGCATATCCACCAATGAATTCGGTGAGCAGATTCAGCTGATTGCTGCTGATGTTTGTTAGGGCTTTAATAATGCCCACTGGGATGATGTAGATCATGGGCATCAAGAAAGCCACCAACACACCCCAGGCTGGCAGCCCAGTGTGCCATACCTCGTTGGTTACAATGCTCAGGGCAAACATCAAGACGGTAATTGCAACAAACCACCACCAGGGCACGTGGCGATAGACTGACATGAGTCGGCCATGAACATCTTGTTTGCAAGTACCCTTCCATTGTTGCCATAAGTCTTTACCATGGTATAGTCCAACGTGGAAGAAGATCCCAGTCAGATTCGCAAAGGCAACACCAAATGTGATTGCATAGCCAGCCGGAAGGAACATGGGTGAGTAATCTCGATAGGCAGATTGGTCGACTTGGCCAGCAGTATTTATAATGCGGCTCGTGTTATAGGTACTTCCCGTGTTGTCGAAAGTGTTGGAATTGAGGAGTGGTATATATGCGGAGTACCACGTATTAGTATAGTAGACCAAGGGGCATAAAAGCCAGAAAAACAGCGCAAACGACCCCATCACATTCAGGCCAGCCCAGAACGGCACCAGCAGAGGACTTTGATTGGCGTAGACTATCTGAGCCCAGTCGAAGGTCAACATCGACATGCCCAGTCCTGTCGTTTGTCCGAAGAGCTGATTGACCACCACATTCGAGGGTACAATCCAACAGATAAAGTTGAAGGTGCTGAGACCCGTGAAGAGATAGCCTGGGGCGAAATACCAGATGCCGCCACCGATGAAGATATAAAGGAAGAAGCGGAGACGTGTGATGCGCCAGCCATCTGCGACGGCATTGACGCGGGAGTGCAGCGTGGTTAGAAGGGCCGCATTCGACAGCACCTGCGGCCACAGCATTGCTGCTGGTACCACAAGCCAGCGCGAAGCCATACCGGCCAAGCCGAAGCCAAACAGTTGCGTCGTGATGCACAGCAATACTTCAAAGCCGCCCTGCGACGGCATGTTATAAAACTTCACCAAAGCTTCAATGACCTGCGTTGCTGCCGCGGAGCCAATTGACACATTGGCCATGATGGTGATCAAAGCATGCTCCTTGATATTAAAGTGCCGATCTGGATTCAGCATCCCCAGGGGCATCCATTTCGCCCAGGCGCATCCCACCGGAAAGGCCAACAGTTGGGCCACCAAGGCGCTGATAGTCACACTGGGCTGTCGCAAGCTGAAGAATTGATTCAATCCACTGCCGATCTGCGACCGTTAGCTTCCCTCATTTGTCCGGTCGCCGTCGACCTACAATGGTGAAGACGAGGCCAATGGTCCACATGCGGACCGTATTGACGGGCAAGGTCAGGTCATTGACTGGCTGAATGACTGCCCGCACCTCTGGGAAAGGCGAGTCGTTGGCCTCGTACGGCAGGATCTGTTCGGCATCCCGATCATGCAGGATGGCGATGTCATCGCGGACAAGGTCCGGCGCATGCTACTGACAGTGTCAGAAACTCCACTCCGTATCGTTTTTTAGTTAATTTTTTTTGTTTTCCAACCTAATCGCGTGGAAAAACGGGTTCGATTCCCGTAGGCGTGGACCACCCACCAAGGAGTTTCGCCGACATTTCTCAGTCTCCATCGTGAACCCGGTCCCCCCGGGCAACCCAAGTCCCCGGGTCACAGAATGATCGAACAGAAGTGTTTCAGGAATGCAGGTCGGCTGGAGCCGAGTCTGGGATCACAATAGGCAGTTTCAGGCCCCCCCGGGAGGAGTGTCAAGAATGGGAATGGACAAATGGACACTCGTTGCAGGGATGTGGTGGACAAGCAGGATGTGAAGACACCAGCCGGCCAATCAGGACCGACAGTCACCACAGCTCCCACGAATGCGACGAAAGATGGAGACCTGGGATTGGAGCATTGAGAAGAGAGTCGGCAGAGCCCGTTGACCCACTTAATAATTGCCAGAGTGAGAGATGGCTTCACGGGAAAACGGCTGAGATGTCTTTTATATATGGTCGAGACGATGGGAGAGTGGAATGGTGAACCGTCGTGAGAGTCGTCTTTGCCATGGACCTCCCTTTCTCGCAACGTCCGGTGGTCATCCTGGGTGCCGGCATCATTGGCTGTGCCACGGCCCGACAACTCCTTCAAAAGGGCTTCCCCGTCGTGCTGGTCGCTGAATATCTCCCCGGAGATCAGAGCATTCACTATGCATCGGCCTGGGCGGGTGCTGCGTGGCATGCCGCTGGCGGCATCACGCCAGATCAACGATATCTGCAAGCCGTCACCCATCGGATCCTCTTGAAGATGGCAGAGGACCCCAACTCGGGCGTGAGCATTGTTGATGCCCGCGAGTATCTGGAAGAGCAGCCATCCCCGGACTCGGCGATCTGGGGACGAACGGTGGTCTCCAAAGTATCTCTCTCTCTCTCTCTCTCTCTCTCGCTCGCTGTCTCGTGCCGGGGATATGATCTTCATCATTGCGTCTACTATACTAATCGGTGGCTAGTTTCGGGAGATGACCCCAGGAGAGTATCCCTCTACCTTCCAATGTGCCTGGTCCTATGAAACGCTGGTCACGGATCCCACTCGACATCTGCCTTACTTGAAGCAGCAAGTTACCTCCCTCGGGGGTCGCTTCATTCGCCACCGCGTCGAGTCGCTGCAGGAATTATATACCATGTTCCCCGACTCGGGCATCTTCATCAATGCCAGTGGCATCGGCAGCAAGACCCTCACCGACGTCCAAGACGACCAGTGTTTCCCCGAACGAGGACAGAATGTGTTCTTGGCCACGGAGCAATGCCACACGCTCTACTTCCGCAATGGCACGGAATATACCTATGTGATCCCTCGACCGCAGTCCCAAGGGGTGGTGTTAGGGGGCGTGAAGCAGCAAGATGACCTGTATATCACCACCCGGGCCCTCTCTACACCCTGTCCTCCGCTAACCGCCCGTCCGCTGTGTTTTTAGGTCTCCCGAAGTCGATCTGGACATTGCCCGCGATGAAATTGCTCGCGCCCATATCTTAGCCCCGACGATTGTCCCGCAACATCCAGCTCCGGAGAGGATCAGCCATCTCATTGGCATTCGGCCGTCCCGCAAAGGAGGGTTCCGCCTGGACTCGGAGCGCAAAGACCATCGGGTGGTGGTGTCGGCGTACGGGTTTGGCGGCGGCGGCTATGCGTTCTCGTATGGCATTGCAGAAGCGGTGGTGACGATGGTGGAAAAGGCCGAGCGCGACAATGTGATCTGAGTGTTGCGTTGGGTCAGTTGGTTTAGTTTCGTTGATTTCGTTGGTTATACGCTGGTTACGCTGGTTACGCTGGTTACTGTACTGTAGTTTGTAGGGCCAATCCAGCAGTTCAGCAGTTCAGCACCAAAGTACGAAATCCCTACGTCAATCGACTTGAACTTCGATCTTCGTCTGATCTCTCTCTATTTCTCTCTTCTCTTTCAACTGGTTCGCTCTTGGCTCCACCCCGGGGATCATTCCCGTCCACTCAAATCTCGTCGCTTTTCCAGACCACACCTGGACCAAATCCCGGCAGCTGGAGGCATCGTGGGATCTGGATTCGTCGCCTTGGATCTTCTCTGATCCTCTCTGATCCTCTGATCCTTTGATCCTCGCATCTGCACCTCTGCACATCCTCGATATCCTCTTTGGTTCTCTTCGATGATCCGCCCCCGTTATGCTGCCAGTGGATCAGATGCTCCACCTTCGTATTGACTGCCCGGGCAAGAATCTCGCGATGATCACTCCGCCGGACGAGAATGAGAACAAACTCGGCGCCTCGTTGAGTGACATTTATCGTTTAACTCCGTGTGTCTTCTCTCTCTTGCTCTCTTCTCCCACTCTCTCTCTCCCTCTTCGCACTCCCCCCTCTTCTCTTCCCCCACTAATCATCACCCGGTAGAAAACCCACGCTCGTCCTCGATCACTCCCTCCACGTCGTCGAAGTCTCCAACAGTCATGTGGCGACCTTCTCGTGGTCACGAGATCAACTGCTGACGGCGAGTGTCTACGATCTGCCCCCCACCCTTGTGCCCTCACCGAATATCGCCTCGCTGAGTGGTGCCATCAGCACCGCCCTGTCCACCCGCGATGTCCAAGTCCTCGAGGGTGTCCAGGTGGCGGACGCCCAATACTCCCTGAGCGTGACGCCCATCTTTCAGCACGACGCCCTGATCTTTGTCCTCCTCGAAGCCCAACGGACGAAACGGCATCAAAGCAACCTCATGAGCGAACAGACCTACTTGAACGAAACCTACAAGATCTTGGTGGACACCGTGCGGGACTATGCGATTTTCATGCTTGACACCCGGGGCTACATTGCGACGTGGAATGCGGGCGCCGCCATTCTCAAGGGGTACGCGGCAACCGAGATTATCGGGCGGCATTTCTCCATATTCTACGGTCGCGAAGACTGCGCGGCCAACAAACCGGCCCGCGAGCTCGAGGTCTGTCTACAGGAAGGAAAAGTGGAGGATGAAGGCTGGCGCTACCGCAAGGATGGGACTCGATTCTGGGCCAACGTGATGATCACCGCCATCTACCAGAATGGCAACCATATTGGGTTCGTCAAAGTGACTCGCGATCTGACAGAGCGCCGGGCGGCCGAGGGGCGCTTGATCGATGCCTTTGAAGAATCAGCGAAACTCAAGTCCGACTTCTTGGCGAACATGTCCCACGAACTGCGAACGCCCATGAACGGCATGTTCTTGGCCCTCACCATGTTGATGAGAACCGAGTTGAATGAGGAGCAGCGCGAATTCGCGTCCATCCTGGAAGATTCCACCTCGATTCTGCTCCAGGTCATCAATGATGTCTTGGACTACTCCAAATTGTCATCCGGATCTTTCCCTTTGAATGCCGATGTTCTGGATGTCCCCAGCGTGATCAACGCAGTCGTGCGCAATTGTCGACCGACACTCAAGCCTGGAGTGGAACTGCAGACGACCATTCAACGAGGCCTCCCTTCGAGTGTCAGAGGCGATCCGCTCCGATTTCGCCAGGTGCTCCAGAATTTGGTGAGCAATGCAGTCAAGTTCACTGAAAAGGGTCACGTCCAGATCAATGCCTCATGGATCGTCGACGATAAAGACCCCAATCTTTACGTGATTTCCACCCAAGTCGTGGACTCGGGCATCGGTGTACCGGACACTGCCGTGGGCACCCTCTTCACTCCATTCACACGGTTCGCAGACACGGCCACCAAAAGATATCAAGGCACCGGTCTGGGACTCTCCATTTGCAAGAGTCTAGCTGAGCTGATGGATGGCGCCGTTGGGTTCCACGCCAACCCAGATGGCCCTGGCAGTGTCTTTTGGATGACTGCCAAAATGGCTCGGGTGGATACTCGTGTCGCGCACACCAAGAAGAAGCTCACCCCAGCGCTTTCGACGACCACCGACCACTCCGCCGCTCTTCAAAAAGTCGCGCCACAGAAGCACATCCTCCTGGTTGAGGATAACAATGTCAATCAAACGATCATGATGAAACTTCTTGCTAGCCTTGGGTTTGAGCGCATCGATGCGGCTTGGGATGGCGCCGAAGCGGTTCGCCTGGTAAAACAGAAGCCTCTCACCTACAATGTGATCCTCATGGATATCAACATGCCGGTCATGGATGGGTTGATGGCCACAGAACTTATTCGAAAGATGAAGGTTGACGTGCCTATCATCGCTCTGACGGGCAATGCCTTGAAAGGGGACGCAGAAAACTATCTGGCAAGGGGGATGACCGACTACATTGCCAAGCCACTGCACAGGCAGCAGCTGGTAGATCTCTTGTGGAAATGGTGTGGACCCTGACCGTTTCTCTCCGCAAAGGGGATCCCACCCCTGAACACCACACTAATCCGTTCTGCTATCTCTCGATGGATCGGAACGCAGTTGGAGTGCACTTCCCGCAGCGCCCTACCGCAAAAGACGCGGAGCAAAGACTGACCCAATGGTATCATCGTCATCTTCGTCGGTTTCATGTTGACTGAAACGGGTGCCATGGCATCTGAGGTCTTGAACCACGTCCATCCAGTGACATTCAACAGCTCTCGGTCTACGTCGATCTCTCGCCCTTCACACATTGATACTCGTCAATGCCCCGAGAATGGGCCGATCGACAACGCACGCCGTTAGCCGAAGCAATACGTTCCGTCCCAGCGCATGACCTGCGCCCAAGGACGAGAATTGATGGGTCGACTATTGCCGAACACGGATGCCCGTAGAAGGCACGTGCATGTTGCATCCACAGTGCAACCATGCGGGCTTGGTTTCCTGTATCAACTGGCTCTTTAATACCATGTTCTGAGATGATATATTTGCGGCATTTTGGCTGCATAGTGGATGACGGCCGTTCCAACGGTCGTGATCCTGTAGTATGCGGGATGTGCATATCCCCAGTGTAGCCCGTTCTCGTAAGGCAGTAAATGCAGAGCTCCCTGAAACCACGTGTATATGGAAATGTTAACAAGAATAGTCCAGCCCTAGGAGACCATGATCCATTGAGACCCTGCAATGTGGCTGTCTTCTCATCACTCGCCACCATCACCAGCTCGCTTGGTCCTCTCTCTCTCTCTCTTGTCCTGGAGAATCTGCAAACGCGGGGGGATTCAGGGGTGGAATGAGGATCGTCGGTCTCGTTTCGGCGACTCAGAAGACTCGCTTTCGAATTAAGATTTGACGGGTTGCGTTCAAAGACCAATTGCGCTTCTTCCATTCCCATGAACTCTTATGGCGATCCATAGCTTTCGCTGCACCGGATGGTTTCCTTTGCCCACAGTCCCATTCTTCTCGAGGCTATCACTGGCTAATGAAAGGGGCTTTTGATTCCAATTTCCAATCACATGAGGCCATCGTCACTTATCCTTCCGAGGCAGTTCGCCGGATGGGCGTGATTGTGCTCCCTCGGAGCTTTCAATCTACAAACAGAAGAACCATTACCGTGTCACTTGGGTGTGCGTCCCTCCCATCTCGCAGGCCGATCTAGGAAATCTGGTATTTGTGCTCAGCACATTTCTAAAAGTCGCCGAAGAAAGTAACCCTTTGAGGAGAGATATACTCTCCGTAAAAAAGGAGCTTCACATGGCCACGCGCAATCTCCAATACGTCCCCCTTTTTAACCTGCCGAGGAGTTTTGATCTGCAGTTTCCTGGAGCAATACTACCTAGGTATTTTGGCGAATCCTGCGGCGCCTGCCGGTTATCAGGCCAAAACTAATGTAGCGTTCAACATAAGCTCTATCATACCCCGTCTTCTTTCCCTTCCGGGCCTTAGCATCGGTGATTGACTGCAGTCTTGCCTCTTGAGTAATGCCAATCCCCCGAATAAGTGGCGCTTGACTCTGAAGACCCAATCCAGGCCTGTAGTGAACGCTTATCAGGGTTCCACCACGACGCGACAGTTCATGGCGACACCTTGGTCGACTCTCTGCTAATCTTTTTTTTTACGTGAAGGGTGCGCGCTATGGGCATGAGATATTCATGGAACCGGTTGAGGAGAGTGATCGTACCTAGTGTGGGTGGCTGAAAGAGTCGTATAAAGTCGGTTGTTGCACGTAGTGTTGCTCACTTCAACCTATACGGCGAACTAACTAGTTGAGCACTTGATTGGTAAACTTCACTTCTTTTTTCCCTCGTTTTGGACTTGTCTTGTAGACACAACTCAGACTATGAAACTTTCCATGCTTCTGCTAGGTCTGGGGGCTGTCATCGGCTCAGCTGTACCCACCCAACACTATGAGCTGCACGAGCGCCGTGATTTTATCCCCAACACTTGGATAGAAGCCAGGAAGCTCGAGAGCAAGGTCTCCCTGCCTGTTCGCATTGGTTTGACGCAGTCAAACCTTGATTATGGTCATGAGCTACTCATGGATCTGTATGTTCCTACTCATTCTCTGTGAGTGTCAAGCTAACCTGTCCAATTAGATCAGACCCACGTTCAAGCCGCTATGGAAAGCATCTTTCCAGTGATGAAGTGCACAACCTATTTGCCCCGAGCCAGAAAAGTGTGGATGATGTGCGTTCCTGGTTGGAAAAGGCTGGTATCGCCAAAGATCGCCTGACCCAGTCCGTCAATAAACAGTGGATTCAGTTTGACGCGGACACGGAGGAGTTAGAGAAGCTGCTGCAAACAGAATATTATGTTTATTCGCATTCTGAGACGGGTCGCTCACACGTGGCGTGTCGCGAGTAAGTGTTGACTTGAAGGGTATCAACAGGAACATACCATTGCTAACTGGTGGTGTCAGATATCATGTCCCAAGCTCTTTGCGTGAGCATATCGACTACATAACCCCAGGAATTGCTCCACGAGAGGTGACTGGTGTTCGAAAACCAATCAATCTGCACCAAAAACGATCTTTAAAAGGCCAACCCCCTGTTCTTGAGCCAATTCTTATGCCAGTGGAGGAGCTCCTGGCCAATATCGCCGGCTTCTGTTCTGTCGCTGTTACTCCACAATGCATACAGCGTTCGTAATATATTACCAAATCCTATATTGCGTGTGAAGATGCTAATCAAAGGCAGAGATGTACAACATCAGTCAGGGCACTTCTGCTACAAAAGGCAATGAACTAGGAATCTTCGAGGGAATTGGGGATGTATACACCCAATCAGATCTTGATTTGTTCTTCTCAACCTTGTATTCGTATGCTACCATTGCAAAGTTCTTGATTGATCAATTCATTGAGCTGACCTGTTCCCAGGGAAATTCCCACTGGCACACATCCTATTCTCAAAGCAGTCGATGGCGGCCAGGCTCCGACCTCTCTTTACAATGCTGGAGCTGAGTCGGATTTGGATTTCCAGATCTCGTATCCGATTATCTGGCCGCAGAATTCGATTCTATTTCAAACCGACGATATGGTGTATGAGAATTATTACACCTTCAGGGGATTTTTGAATACGTTCTTGGATGCGATTGATGGATCATACTGCAGTGAAATCTCTCCGTTGGATCCTACATACCCAGATCCTCAAGAGAACGGTTACAAGGGGTCTCTGCAGTGTGGTGTGTATAACCCGCCCAAGGTTGTGTCGATTTCATACGGCTCTGCAGAAGCCGATCTCCCCATCTCGTATCAGCGTCGACAGTGTGCCGAGTTCATGAAGCTGGGTACCATGGGTGTCTCGGTCGTTGTCGCCTCGGGCGACTCTGGTGTAGCTGGACGTGGAGGTGATCCTACTCCCAGTAACTGTCTTGGTCCTCAGGGCAAGATCTTTGCTCCCGATTTCCCAGCTTCTTGCCCTTACTTGACCGCTGTGGGAGCAACCATCCTTCCCTTGGGGGCATCTCCCGAAGATCATACCGAGGAGGCTGTCACTAGTTTCCCGTCTGGCGGTGGATTCAGCAATATCTACAAGGCGCCTGATTACCAGGCGCAGGCTGTGGCCGACTACTTTGCCAAGGCAAAGCCCTCTTACGCCTACTATGAGAGCGTCGACAACAGTAGTTTTGGTGCTAATGGTGGGATTTACAATAGGATCGGACGGGGCTATCCCGATGTCGCTGCCATTGGTGACAAGGTCGTCATCTACAACCGAGGCTTGCCCATCTCGATTGGTGGCACCTCTGCTTCCGCCCCAGTCTTTGCTGGAATTCTCACTCGCATCAATGAGGAGAGATTGGCCGCTGGTAAGCCTACCGTTGGCTTTGTCAATCCGGTCTTGTACGCCCACCCGGAAGCATTCTTCGACGTGACCAAAGGCTCGAATGCGGGTTGCAATACCGATGGCTTTTCTGCGGCCGTAGGATGGGATCCGGTGACTGGACTGGGCACGCCCAACTATCCGGTTCTTCTTGATGTCTTTATGAAGCAATAGTTTTCTTTTGGCGTGGATAGTCGCATGAGACCAGTGATTTATGTATCAACTCGGAATTTGACTTGCATTCATCACATTTCAAACCCGGAAACCGTGGAGTAAATGGGATATATACATCCGGGCAGGATATCGAATGAGTATCTTCGTGGTTGACAGAAGCTACGAGTCCTTTTGATCGTAGACAGAAAGCCAAGTCTCACTGGTTCTAGTTGCATCCTGGCACGTCCATATAACACCATAGGGGAGGCAAAAAAGCTCATGGACTAACATGCTCGAGGCAATGATCAACACGGTCGGGATTGTTCAGGTAATTCATACGGCATTTGGATTATATTCATCGTGCGGACCCTACAGTAAATATCAACTCGAAGTTCCCTTTGAGGTCCAATAAAGGTTCCAGTGAACACTGCACCTGAATCGTCAACTGCTTTACTTCAACGGGGATACCGGAAACATCGTCTCGCGGCCCGGAGCGATCGCACCGAATCGCGGGGTTCAGCAGCCACGCCAATGAGAGATATGCAAGGCAAACCGAGTCCCCCGTCCTGCTCAGTCCCTTGAGTAGCGACAAGGAATACGCGATTCCACTGACCGTGGATGACGTCACGTCGACAGAGCAAGTTGAGAACTATACTCGGGATAGGGATGTAGAGATGAGAGAGAGAGAGAGAAAATAAAATAGAGTCGAATACAGCGTATCCCACAGATTATTTCTCTGTCTCTCTCTACATCTCTCTCTCTCTCTCTCTTTTTCTCCTTCTCCAGTTTCTCCTGTCGGTGGGGTCTACTCCGACGGACGTGGGGGATGTTCTATGAAACCCCGCCGGAGTCTGGGCTATTAAGACTCCCAATTCCCCCCCTTCACCTTCTCTTTCCCTTTCTCTTTCTCTTTCTCATACAATTCTTCTCTTTTTTTCTCTCAAAATTGAAACCAAACTCGACAATGTCTCTTGGAAAGAAGGTCACTCTCAACACTGGTCACCAGATCCCGTATGTGTAGTTGGACAACCCCCGGAACAAACACGGCTGACCCCATATTCCCCATATTCTAGCCAGCTGGGCTTCGGTACCTGGCAATCGCTCCCTGGTCAGGTCGGCAATGCTGTCTATGAGGCCTTGAAGGCCGGTTACCGCCACCTGGTAAGTACTGAGATCCATCCGGAGAGTGTCGTACTAACTGGCTCTAGGATTTGGCCACAATGTAGGCAATGATTCACCAGCTCTTGCATTTGAATGTCGTATATCATACTGACCCGCTTCTCTGATAAGCTACCAGAACCAGCGTGAGGTTGCCAAGGGTATCAAGGATGCCTACCGGGATGTTCCCGGCCTGAAGCGTGAGGACATTTTCATTGTGCGTACATCCATGCCCCGGATAATGCGCAGTCTCGGTAACTAATGGGTCAATTTCCAGACCTCCAAGCTATGGAACAGGTCAATCCCCACCCGTATCGCCCCGGAACATACAAATACTGACTGGATGCAGCCAGCACGACCCGAAGGATGTTGCTAAAGCCCTGGATGATTGTCTGGCCGAGCTTGAGCTGGACTACCTTGATGTAAGAGTGCGATGTCACTGAACAACAGAAGAAAGCTAACTGGTGTAGCTCTATCTCGTTCACTGGCCCGTTGCATTCCAATCGGGTAACGACTACTTCCCCCTCGTTGCCAACAGCAATGTTGAGGGTGGTGATGTGGTTATTGACGATAACATCTCCATCGTGCAAACCTGGAAAGGTAGGATAATTACGGACTGAGGATGAAGATATGTTCCCAACTGACATTCTACAGCTATGACACAGCTCCCCAAGGAGAAGGCTCGGTCCGTTGGTGTCTCAAACCACAAGATTGAACACGTTAGTTTTCTACCAACACAAGACTGTCTTCACATCAGCTCACCATCTCCAACAGCTTGAAGCTATCATCAATGGCACGGGTGTTGTCCCCGCTGCTAACCAGATTGAGCGCCACCCTGTCCTCCAGAGCAACGACTTGATCGAGTACTGCCAGAAGAAGGGCATTCACGTCACTGCCTACTCTGTATGTCACCCATTTCCTAACATCCTCGTCTTATACTGATCAAAATTGGCAGGCGTTTGGTAACAACATGCTTGACATTCCTCTATTGATCACCCGCCCCGAGGTCAAGGAAGTCGCCGAATCAGTCTCGAAGCGCACTGGTCAGGAGGTCAGCCCGGCTCATGTCATGTAAGATCATCACCTTTGGTCCCTCCAAATTGATGAATCGGCACTCACCTCATATAGCCTCGCATGGTCCCAGGTTGGCGGCCACAGTGTCATCCCCAAGTCGGTCACCCCGTCGCGTATTCGCGACAACTTCAAGGAGGTGGAGCTCACCCCCGAGGAGATTCAGAAGGTCAGCGTTTTGGGTCAGAACCGCCGACGTTACAACACGCCTTTCGCTGCTAGTACGTTTCCCGATTGATCATTGGTAATGAGTAATTTATGCTAATATCCCTCAGACAAGCCTCGATGGAACATCGACATCTTCGGTGAGCCCGAAGAGAAGGCTGCTGGCCACAAGGTCATTGTTTAACTCGAGAATTGAGTTTTGGGCTGGCTGAACATCAAAATGAATAAATGAGACATGTATTTTCACGTGGTTATTCCAATTCCAGTAGAATTTGAATTAGTACATTGAACCAACAACAGAGCTGTATTGTTCAAAACATTTATGCCTTGACGATGCGTCCACTAAGAAGTTTTTAAATATGCAGAAGTAGATAGGGCAAAACAGTGCAACCGAACCTTGAAAGACACAGTATGCGTGAAATCATGACCGTCTTGAATGACCATTCTCCTGTTCTCCTAACTCATTTTCTTTCGTCACTGGGTCCTTAGTTTTGTCCTGCTCGGTGTATATTGGTCGCTGATGAGAGCTAAAGACTAGCCCCGCATCCAATTCGTGACATTCGTGGACAGGCGTGGCCGCTATAGGAGCCTCATGGATTGATTGGCTGTCCAAAAGTATGGCCGATCCCACTGGTTTTCGAGGCATAATATTCTGCGGCTCACTTTCTGCTGATACGTGTTTGTCGGGAGGTGAAGCCTTTTCGACTTGTATGGGAGCTGATGCAAACGAACCAGTCGGCTCAGCATACCCAGATCTTCGTTTTTGCCGCCGCCGAATCACGAACCATAGAGCCAAAAGAAGCAGAATAACACCCAAAATCGCGCCGACTGCGATCCCGCCCTTGGCTCCTCCACTGAGACCTGCTGAGGCCGTGGTGCACGAATAGCTCCCTTGGAAAACACCCTGGGATTGTAATCGGTTCAAGCTGCTGCATGACATAGAGCTGGCTCCTTGAATTGCTGTTTGTCCTTTGGCTTGATTGAGTGCAGGAAGCGCCACGCTGAAAATCCTTGTCAATATGCCCAGCAGCAAAACATAACACAGGTTTCTGTCATACCTTGTAAATGAGCCTGTCATTTCCAAAAACCCATCAATTTCCTCCAGCTCTGCAAACCCAATAGCTTTCAGTTTTGGGTTGTCTGCAATGGTCATACCCGAAGACACGCGTGATAGCGTACTCAAAGTGAGGGTATCAAATGAAGCGAGGTTGCTAATAGTTAATGTTCCTTCAATAGTGTCCAAATCAGGAGCGATGAGCTTCGTGAGTCCCGATACACCTTCTGCAATCAATGAACCCTTGATCTCTTCCACATTGTTAAGTGTAATTGCGCCAGTCGCCGAAGAAGAGACTGTGATACTCCCTTCGAAGGTGTCACAACTTGTCAGATTGTCGGCATCACTTTGATTGGAAATAGTTACACTGCTTGAGCCTGGATGATTTTCAGCAATTATCTTGGTATGAGATCAAAGAAAAGGGTCCTCACAGGCATCTGAAGTACCAAGAGCTATTTGCCACGTCGTGGCAATTAGAACAAGGGTGAATAGAATCATTTTTACAGAGTCTTATTGAGAGTCACCTGTCTAGGCAAACCCGGTGCGCATGAAAGCTCCGGACATTGACGTTGCTTTAAGGGATTAAGAGGGAGGCGGAGCCAGCAACTCTTTCTTGGCCCTGTTTCCGTCAGGTACTCAATTCTAGCGATAGCACCTTAGTGGTGGATTGATATCAAAGCTGGACAGGGCATGCAAGTGTTGATTGGCCCTTGTTGGACGTGTATCATCAAGATCCACTCGCAGATCAGAGGTGTATGCGTTGTTTACAGCCGACTTGACACATACTGGTCGTTGAGGAAGGGTAGACAAATACTCTCTCCCCCAGAAGGCATACAATAGAATAGCTATTGTATACTATACCATCCCGTGAAAAACTTCAACTTGGGCGCTGTGCCATCTCGGCAAGTAATGTTGCTATTTTTATGTGCAATGAGCATAGCTAGGCAACAACATTGGCAATTCCAAGCTCCTGGGGTATGCTCTGACATCACCGTGATAACGCTGAATCCAACCTCTTGAACGAACTAGCAGATGTGTGAATCTGTGAATCTGCGAAACTGCGTTCATACCCTTCCTCTCCAGGGCTCGTTCAGTCACCAGGGGACCGGAACCTCGATGAGTCAGCCGATGCGGGGAACTCCCCGGACTCGCATCTGGGGTTTGCTCTTGAACTCCGCACCCATTTCAACCTCCAATCCCTATGAGAGTAGGCAAGGGTTGTGAAAGGTGTCGTACTCGCCATATCCGATGTGTGATTCCTCCTGGCGCCTCAGCCTGTACCCCATGCTCACGGCTTGACCGAGCCTGTCATCTCGATCCCCGCTTTCAGTTCAAGGCTGTCCACCATGTCTATCAGAAGAGCAAGGGAGCCCCTGCGCGATTTGAGCTTGTCTGGGATGAGGAACAAGTCTGGGTGGATGTTTCTCGACCTGGTAAGTGGCCCGACATGGGGACTTTGAGCATGCACTGATCGAACATAGTGACATTTGTACTCGAGACAAATGATGTAATCACCGAAAATGACAACAGCGGAGAGTCGGCTTTCCTATCCCAGTATGACCGTGAAAATCTCCATGAGCTTTACATGGAGGACGTGGACAAAACTGGGGCTGGTAGATTCGCGATTCACGAGAATAGGTATCGACCAAACCCCACCAGTGGTCCACTAAGTCTACCCAGTGGGGATGAACAAACATTATCATTGAGGGAAGCCTCCCTGATGCGTTATTTCATCCAGAAACTAGCACCCTGGGTGAGTCTTAAGTCCTTCGGCAATGTATGGAGGTATCTGACCGAACTAGGCCGATATCTGCGATCTCCAGTCTCACTTCAGCACAGAGGTCCCAAGGAGAGCCCTACAGAGCTCGATGGTCTTAAAAGCAATTTTGGCCCTATCGGCACGCCACGACGCTATTTTGTCTGGCGCTAGTGATTGGGAAGCCTCGGCTTATCATGGACAATGCCTGGAGCTATTGATTGTGGCACTAGACCAAGCCGAACTGAGCTGTGATGAAAATATGCTCATTGCAGTGGTGATTCTTCGTATATATGAAGAGCTGGAGAACAACACTGACCAACAGTTTCACCTGTTAGGATCTAATAAGTTAGTAAACCTTGTGGCACGCTCTGCATCATCTGGTGGATTAGCAGAAGCTGTGAGCTGGCAGTTTCTGCGACAGGCCATCTATGCATCGATTGTTCAGTATCAACCCCTGCAGCTAGACATGCAAAACTACGAACGCTCAGCAATGTTTCATCGTCATGATGATGCTGCGTGTGCTAACGTGATTATATATCATTGTGCACGTATCATTCAGGTTTGTTCCGAGGCACCCGGGAGACTTGTGGACCGAGAAGCCTGGCGCAGCATTTCGGAAAGTGTCAATGAATGGAAACAAACAAAGCCCCTTACCTGGCAGCCACTGCGGTACCAGGCACCAGATGTATCTGCAAATCAACCATTTCCCGAGCTTTGGATGATCTCCCCTCCTGCCGGTACATCTTCAACCATACACTACTATTTCAAATTCCTTGAGTGCTGATTGTCCATCCAGTAGTCGGAATGCAGTATTACTACTCGGCATGTATTTTTCTTACCTTATGCGACACTCCGCCACACCATATGAGCGATTATGACATTGCTTGCTCGCGACGTATCAAAGAGGTACTTTCAATGCCTGACTTGATGGCTGCCTGACTAACATGAGCCATCAGAAATCGATTGCCGATAATCTAGTGATGGTTATTGGTCTTTCTTTATCCAACGAGAGTGTTGAGAACGCCTATTTCATGGCCTCGCATTTACTGCACCGTTGTTCGTATCTCCCTTGTCTGCCGACTGATTCGAACTAACGTAATTCCAGTTGGTTATTGTTTGCGGCATCCAGTCGAGCAGCAAGGATCGCTAGATTTTATGTGTCGTGTAGAAAAGGTGCTAGGCTGGCGCACTTCCTGGATGAGAAAGGAGCTAGAAAGCAGGTGGACAAAATTGGCAGCATTTGACTCGAGGGACTTTTGACTGCGGAAATCCCTTAACGTGTGGATTGTTTTGGAACACTAGAATTCAAGCTCTTGGGTGTAATATTTGCTTCTGGGTATGGGGGACTGCTTTGTTGATCAGAACCACACAAGCGAATCGACTGGCAGACCACAGATTGTGCGAGTAACAACTGGAATGGAAAGGTCCGTGACAACATCAATAAAATAAGACTTGAGGGCGTCTGAGCTGGCAGAGAAAAATTCCAAAGAGACAGTCGGACACTGGGAGACTCAGGTCCTCAAGGCTCGGTGTATTTGGCGGCGAATCATGCAGGGTTCGCAGGGGTTGGGCCAATTTCGTCCGTCTCTTTGCTCAACCCCGCGAATGACGATTGTGCTGCTCCGCATCAATCAGAAGATCGATTTTCCTGTTGGTGGAAGTTCCATTACCCAGTGCCGCATCGTCATGGTGTAATCTGCAGATGAATATGGTGACATTGGGGGTCGCACTTATAAGGTGCGCCCCAAGAGCTATTTTTCGAGTTGATCGCCGCCGATTAAAGTCTACAGCATACACATCACACCGGAAATATGACAAGGATTGCCAAGTGGGCTTTGATTGCTGTGACGGCTTGCGTCCAGGCATATCCCTTCTCTGGAGCAGCGAGGCAGTCACCCAAGATCCCCTGTCTCATTCTAGCAGGGGATAGTACCACCGCTACTCAGTCTTCGAATGGTGGAGGCTGGGGAGATGGCTTCCTCAATACCACACTATTCCAAGGAGCAACCGGCATAAATTATGGTCACAACGGAGCGACCACAGTCAGCTTTCGTGCTGGAGGTGATTGGAATAAAGTCTTGGAGGCTGTTGAACAAGTTCGAGACGAATATATCCCTTTTGTCACCATTCAATTTGGTCACAATGATCAAAAACCAGCCGCAAACATCTCACTGTCACAATATACAGAAAACCTCGAAGCCTTTGTGACGGAGGTTTTCAATGCTGGGGCCACGCCCATCTTAGTGACGCCATTGTCACGAAGAAACTATGACAATTCCACTGGAGTCTCTTCTATCATCCAGAGTTTGGCCAACGAGACGACAGCTACTATCTCAGCCGCCCACCATGCTGGCGCCAAGTATATCGATCTAAACCACGCCAGCACAAAATACCTGAATGCCATCGGCCCAGCAAATGCTTATACGTACAACCTGAACGCGGCCGACTATACCCACTTAAACATTGCGGGAAGCGTTGTGTTTGGTGGAATTGTTGCTGAGTTGATTGCACAAGATTTCCCGAATTTGAAGCGGGACGGATATCTTCGAATAAACGAACAGCTCAAGAAGGACGTGGAACGTGGAATTTACTACTATCCCTGATCATGCGTATCATATGGATAGATTGGCAAAGGTTGCCGAGTCCTGTCGCTTGAATGATATATTGTTTGTAATGCATGATTTGTAGTCCGACACCGAGACTATTCAGCGCCAGTGGTATCGAGAGGCGTGTGAGGACGCATTCGATCATGAATTTGGATCAGTATAACACATAAGCCTAAGGAATACAGGTCCAATGATATACTGCCCCCTCATTTCGAAATATTTTAAGAAGCTCAAAAATTGCTCGAACACAGAATAAGTTCACGCTTCACAGCAGAATACTTTGGATATCCTAAAGTTTGGAGCTACTATCTAGCGAAAACAAATTTCTTCTCTGACCCTTTTTACCTTCAAGATCGGGGACAACAAAGCCAGTCTTCCCAATTGGCTCTTCGTCCATTGCAGACAAACGTAACAGGGTAGCCTGGTCGCTCTCATTCGCCAAGAATCGGTGGTTAGTATCGGCAATTCGGCCTACAATGCAAGCCCTCATAGGGCTTCCATCTCGAGAAAATTCAATAGTGTATGTCTGATCAAGTCAGCCTGTGTTTTGAATTGGGTAAATATGAGTTCACTGACCTCGATTATTGCTTTCCCCTCTGCTTCAAAGTCAAATGAGGGCACCGATTTAGAGTCCGCCACACCCGAGGATTTGGCATCCGGATAAGGCTTTTGTCCCTTGGGAGCTTGAGCAGACAGACAAATTGCATGCTGGTAAGATAAAAAGCCACCATTTGCAAGGATCAGCCCGTTGCGCCTGTTGCTATCACGTAATTGCCGAGTCATTTCCGTGATGGCCTGGTATTATGAATCAGAGATGACAGTTCGAAAGGCGCAACGAAATCTGGAGAGCTCTTACGTGCATAGAGTAGTTATTCCCAGCCCCTCCAAAAGATGTGAGCCCGCCTAGGAGAGTAAGCGGCTTCTGTGGCTCTGTAATAGAAAGTCCCAGGTGATGACATGCAAGCTTGGGCACAATAGGGAAGCATCTGTGGCTAATTAGAAAAGTCCCGAAAGAGCGACGTGAAACCCGAGTCACTTACGAGTAAAAGTCGTAGAGATCTATCTCATGAGAAGCGAGGTGGCTTTTTTCTAGACAAAGATCGAGCGATTTCGAGATTGCGGAACTCTCAAAGAAGTTGGGTCGGTCCCAAACTAGATGCTCTCAGGGTCAGGTATCTTTCCTATGAGATCAAAAGGCGAACACTTACAGTTATCCCGTTCGCTGAAGCCGGCGCCGCCAAGAGGATATATCCATCGGTCACTTGGAATCCCAAGCTGGGTGGCATACTCCGATGAGGTCAAGATGCAAGCAGATGATAAGTTGACAGTATTGAAGGCATTCATCAAAAGCGGATCTGTAGAAGATGAGGTTAGAAAATCCTCTTGGCCGACCGTCATGACTTGATATAGATAGTCATACATGGAAAGCAAATCATGCGGTTCTTTTTGGACACATTTCCGATCGAATCTGTGGTTTCAGCTTCCATGCCGTAATTCCACGCATATCGATTTTGCGAGGCGACTTGACTAAAGGAGGCATACAGGCCTGCTGACTCCTGATTATTGGCTTGAATCGTCTGTTTGCGATGAGCTCGGAATCCATTCTCGTAAAGTGGGTAGACATGGATTGGTGACCCCACGGCATGAAGTCCTGCAATATCTAGAAGACTTTAAGTCAACCAATTACATATAGGATACTTCGAGGCCTACCTTTTCTGAGCCTTGTTGTAGTCGGAGAGAATACGTCCGTCACATCTTCTGCCGGAACCGACCACCCTGGAGGTGGCATCTTGCCATTCTTAACACAGGCGGCCACTGTTCTTGGATCAGAGAAAGTCCAGAGAAAAGAGATGTATGCACCTACAAGATGCCAACGCTTCACCACCAGTCAGAACCGCAACCTTTGTATCTCCCTTCTCAATTCTCATGGCTGCCTCATCAAGCAGTTTTGCGGGCTGGTTGCCTCCATGTTCACTGTACGAGCGGTGTTGCGGGTTCACCCCCAGTTGTTGTGACAACAGGCCTGGCAGGTCACGATAAGGCCAAGTCCATGTGCGCACCACACTGATACTATCAATGCTACTTTGAAGGATTCTTGCGGTCTCGACTGAGCTGGTTGCGTCGTGGATGGCCCCTTGAATGGCCTCCAGCATCAAAGTCGCAGGCTCTTTAGCATCTTCGACTGCGATTGACCGATTTCGGACGTCGGCCACGCCGATGATGATGGGAGGCATAATGCAGTCTATTCATGAAAGATGGAGGGAGGGAACTTGGGAATGGAAGAACAGATGAAGAGGTGTGAGACCTCGGCCCGAGCGAATGTGAACATATGCGGGGGATTTAATGGCCCCAGTTGCTCTTCTGTTTACTTCAGTCACTGAGTCTCGGGGACGAAATGATATTCCCTTGAAAGTATACAATAATGCTTCAAATGCTTGCTTGATATCTAGAAGACTTCATAGATGCGACGGAACCCATTTAGGTTTAGTCTTTGTAGCGAACGCCTCAACACCAATCTTGAAATTATCTCCTGCTACTAGTCGGTTGACGTATTCCTGGCGAGTGCGTGCAGTCGCATGCTCAACACTGGGATTGTCCCACGCCTCGCGCAAGCCTTGACGTGTAACAATGATTCCATCGGGCGAAAAACTCGCGATTTGGGCTGCAAGTTTGAGGCACTCGTCAACAACGGACTCTGAGGTCTGAGAGACCCGATTGATCAGTTGATATTGCAGTGCCTCCTGAGCATTCAATTTGCGACCGGTCATGGCAATTTCCGAGGCGAGCTGAAGGCCAACAATGCGCATCAAGCGAGGCAAGCCGCCGGCGGCTGCATATAATCCCACCGCAACTTCAGGCAGCCCGAACTGAGCTTTGGGTGATGCGACCACCATATCACTTGAATGTGTCAGTCCCGGGCTCACGGGAAATGTAATGGAACATACCAATTGAGACAGATCTCAAACCCTCCCCCCAGTGCGAATCCGTTCACGGCGGCGATCACCGGCTTCTTCCCCTTGCGTTGGCTGAGGCCCATGAAACCCGTGGGGGGATGGTTCATCACTGCCAACTGAGCTGCAGTCTTGGGCCCGCGGCGTGAATGACTCTGCTCGGCCAAATCCTGTCCAGCACAGAAGGATTTGTCGCCCGCGCCGGTCACGATTGCGACAAGTAAAGTAGGCTCGTCATCGAACCACGAGAATATGCCATGACCTTCCCAGTGCGCTTCAGCAGGGAGAGAATTCCGTTGCTTTTCCCTATCTATCGTCACCAGAAGTACCTTGGGTGCTGGGAAAGACAGCCGAAAATGCTTGGTCGCTGGTGGTTCGGAATGAAGACTGTCAGACATGATGTGATGTGTAAATGTGAAGAACCCTTCGACAGTATAGAAAATATATGAAGCACACTTGAGCAAGCTATCAAGTTTAATGAAGAAAATGGCATTTATCCCGTCCAATCGTCTCTTATGCTGCGGTGAGGGGGAGTTCAACATACCTCGGAAGCTCGGTTAACCACACATATATAGGAGCATTCGTAAAGAAGCATTCTTGCGTTCACCGAGAGTATAGCTTATAGAAATGGCACAGGCTTATGTTCTTGGGGTGGGCTTGACCCAGTTTTTGAAGCCTCGTCGCACCCGTGAATGTGAGATCCTCTTTGGCCGCTCGCTGGAATGGTAACTGACTGTCGCCCTGCCAGACCCTGAACTGGGCTACGAAGCAGCAGTCAAGGCACTGATCGATGCGCATATCACATATGACGAAGTGCAAACCGGCATTGCTTGTTATTGCTATGGGGACACGACCTCAGGCCAGCGGGTTCTGTATCAGCTGGGAATGACAGGCATCCCCATTTACAACACCAACAATGCGTGTGCCACAGGCTCGACTGGCTTGCACCTTGCGCGCACCCTGGTGAAAGGGGGTGTGGTTGACTGCGTGCTCGTGGTCGGCTTTGAGCAGATGCGCCCGGGGTCCATCAAGAGTGTCTGGGATGACCGACCGAGCCCATTGGGGCCATCGACCACCATGATGGAGGACACGTATGGGAAGCATTCGAGTCCCCGGAATGCGCAGTACTTTGGCAACGCAGGACAGGAATATATGGACAAGTAGGGCACCAGAAGAGTCAACCCGCACATGTTGAGCTCACCATGGATACAGATATGGAGCCAAAGCCCAGGACTTTGCTGAAATAGCTCGCATTTCGCATGAGCATTCACAACGGAATCCATATGCTCAGTTCAGAACCGCATACTCCTTAGACCAGATCCTGGACCCCCAAACCCAGATCTATGGACCGTTGACCAAGCTTCAGTGCTCTCCAACCAGCGATGGAGCAGCAGCAGCGGTCATTGTCTCTCAGCGATTTCTCGATGCGCGACCTCACCTTAGATCCCAGGCAATCCTGATGGCTGGTCAGCAGTTGATGACCGATGGACCTGATGTCTATTCCCGCAGCGCGATCGATCTGGTTGGGTTCAATATGTCGCGTCAAGCCGCACAGCTGGCGATGCAGGAAGCTGGCGTGAAGGCAAAAGACATCAAGGTCTGTGAGCTTCATGACTGCTTCTCGACCAACGAGCTTCTCCTGCTGGATGCTCTCGGGTTTTCGGAACCAGGGAAAGCCCACGAGATGGTTCGGCAAGGAGACATCACCTACGGTGGTCGCGGCCCCGTGATAAATCCATCTGGGGGTTTGATATCGAAAGGCCATCCACTGGGGGCCACCGGCCTCGCTCAGTGTGCAGAGCTAACCTGGCAGCTGCGTGGATGGGCCAACAATCGCTTAGTTCATGGAACAGATGTCGCCTTGCAGCATAACCTTGGATTGGGAGGAGCCGTTGTGGTGACAGTCTATAAAAGAGCGGACGGGAAAGCGAGCGAGGCTGTTTCAAGCGAGGAAATCAGCAAAATCTCCGGTATGGGGTATAACCCGGCCGTGGAAGCTCGATATATCACCCCTGAGGATGGAGAACGCGTTCGTAGCATAACAGAACGCCATGACTATCCGCTCCTCGACACGGCAGGAAAGCTGAAAGCCCGTATGTGAGCACACCCGGGAGTGCAACTGACATGGGCATCAGGGGCGTGCCAATATTGGCCATTTATCTTGACTCAAGGGATGAAGTGGTGTGTTCCGCAAGCGCGATTTCATCCTTGGATCTATTCGGAAGGTTTGATAGGTCTCCTCAGAACCACGAGTCACATAATATGCGTTTGAAGTATACAATAGAAAATCTGGTTGCGAATCTGGATGAATCTCCATTAGGCTTTGATGGTGCAAACGAAACATATATTGTTCATGAGATATAGTTTCACACATATTTTGGGACTCTGGCTCGGATATAGATTCCATCAACAATCTCCAAGTTTTCATGACCACCTCCACCAAACTCCCCAACCACCTCGAGGTCGTCTACCAGCTATAACAAAGTCATCAAGTCGGACATCAACTGACGATATACGTCTCTATATCACAGGTTGGCAAATCTGATGCCAGACTTTTGTGCAGTGAAGGTCGAAATCAAATCCATCAGCGCTGGGGACAGGACATCGTAGGTCTGCAAGCCAACAGCCTTGAACTTGTCTCTCACGTTGTCCATCTGGCTGGGGTGAGAGCCCTGCTCAATGATCGAAGACACGAAGCCTGCGAATTGTGGTTCCTGCCACCCCTTTTCGTCAGAGAGCTCCACGTGAACAAAGTCGAGTCCCTTGAAAGGGTGGTCTTTCTCAATACGACCAAAGAGGTGAACCCCACAGTCCTTGCAGGCATTGCGCTGAATTGTAGCATCTTTGTCCACAATAGACAGCTTGGAGGCATTCGCGGTGACAGAGAGAGCGTCTCGTGAAATCACGCCCACAACGGAAAAGAGGGCCCCCTGGGGCTTCCAGCACTTGGAGCAGCCACAGGCATGGTTGTGCGCTACATTGCTCTTCAAGGTGACTTCGACCTGGTCCGAAGGGCAGCGGCAGTGCAGCTTTCCACCAGAAAAGCTACTGGAGCCGGCAGTGATGCCGTTGTCGATAAGAGGGTGAAGTGAGGGTGCCATTGTAATAGTATATAGCAGAGAGTTGATTCTACCAAGGTCCTCTAGACCCGATCGATATATTTATATGTATAGCATCTGGAGTCCCCTCATCTCCTCATGAGGGGTGGACGAGGGGGGGGGTCTTGGCCGGATGATCGGATTCAGGTACAGCCTGTGGAGCCTGATAGGGAAGGCTTCCGACGCTAAGCTGGACATGATTTGCGGAGAGATCTCAAAGGAGGAATAACTTCCCGGAAGCTATACCGGGCTGCAGAAAAGACCAGCGAGTCCTGAGGGGGTTCTCCAACAAGTCCATAGATCCGTTGATACTGTGGAGAAGGAGGTCCATTCTCAAATTCTCTTTGGGATACAGAGAAAGAAATGACATACCCGAAGACCAAACAACACCATCATGAGAATCAAGTGCAAGATGAGATCAGGTGAAGTCAAAGAGGGAGTGAAAGTGAAGTGAAGTGAACAATCTTCAAAGTTGGAAGACTGGAAACCGGATGACAAAGATCTTGAAATGACCCCCGATGATTTTCTCCCCCACCTGCGAACATCTGTTGACTCTCCAAACCTCCCTCGATCGCATCGGCTTTGCTTTGTTGAAATCTCTTTAGTTTCCTATTCCTTTCTTGGTAGCCATTTCCTCCATGACGCGGACTCCCTCGCCGGAGAGGCGTGACGTCATCGAAGCTGCGCGAACGGTTCAGGTACAGTTGAAGGACCCATGGGCGACAACTGCAGCTGAAACATATCTGCTCTGTTAGAGGGTGTATCGTGGCTATCGTACACGAAGAGAGCTTCGTGGGTTTGGTTTATCGGCTTCAACACGATGGGACGAGGTATGGTGTTGCACTACGGTTGCCCCCCCCAAACATAACTCTGACTTGGTTTTGTTCCTAGGCCTTCCACGAAGCCCACTGGCATCAACTTCACCAACCCAGAGATATTCGAGTCGCACCCGCGGATGAGAGCTGCAACCAAGCGCGGCGAAACTGGCAGCGAGCGGTCAGCGTCGCGAAACGAGCTGGCGGCGATGATGATGACTGTGTTTCGGGGTCAGCGTCCACCGGAACGCAGTCCACCCATATAAACGAGATGTCGTCGGGGGCAAGTGCCAAGATGATGGATCTTAGATATTTCCTTGAAATGGTGGATCTGAAACATCGACATGGGAGCAATCTGCGCGCATACCACACCTACTGGCAAAACTCGCCATCAACCCAAAATTTCTTTTATTGGTTAGACCATGGTGAAGGGAAACAGTTGGAATTGGAACAATGTCCACGAGAGCGTCTTGAGAAACAGCAGGTCCGCTACCTAACCCGAGAGCAACGCATGAATTACTTGGTCAGAGTGGATGAAGCTGGGTTATTCCGATGGGCCAAAAATAACGAGTTAGTGTGGACAAATAACACACGCTTCAAAGACAGCCTTGAGGGGATTGTATCCATGGAGCATGATGCACCGCAATTTCTTGGAAACGAGACCGCCACAGACTCTGAATCTACATCAAACTCTTCCTCACCATCCGATTCCATGTCATCCTCTCCAAAGAGCCTTGGCAGTGTGTTGTCCAACGAGGAGAATCATATTGTCACAAAAGAAGAGTACAAGGCCGCAAAGGTGATCAAGAAGGTCATTCATTCGAACCCAACCACTGCATTCAAACGAATGTTGGGTCAGTCCACTGAAAAGGAAAACATGTGGATTTTCGTAAGTATCCTGCGCATGAACTCGATTTTTGACCACTCATTGAATAACGACCAGGTCGCAGACAGTTCCTTCCGTTTGTACATTGGGATCAAAAAGTCGGGAGCTTTCCAGCACTCCTCATTTTTAAGAGGTGCTCGTATCGCTGCAGCTGGAATGATCAAGATCAAACACGGCCAGCTACGCAGCCTGGCGCCAATGAGGTAGATTATATAATAGCCCTGCATATGAAGTGAATATCTACTGACTGCGTATTGATATCCCCAGTGGCCATTATCGACCCCCAGCCGCCAACTTTCGGGCCTTCCATCTTGCCCTTCAAAAACAAGGGGTGGACATGTCAAATGTCTCGATGAGCAAGTCCTATGTGATGCTCGCTGGAATCCAGGGCTACACTAAGACAAAACGAAAATTCCGTGCAATACATGGGAAAATGCAACATAATGAACCAGACGTCTCTAAGCCTCCCGAATGAAGGTTGAAAGGCATGCATTTCCGTTTGAACCAACTGTTCACGATGATGAAATATTGGGACCAGCTTTTCACTGCAGTTCTACGCTATGGTCAACAATGTGCAAATGGACCTGGCGACCGACGAGCTCCATTGGGTTAGTCATATCGCTGGCTCAACGACCCGAGAGGGAGTATCCATCCAAGTCTCTTTAATGTGGATATGTGAATATCTACTCTGCTAGATGCCCAATGAGATGCCCAGTTTTAACTGAAGTGATAGTCACGGTGAGAACAAGGGCCGAAGAATCCGACAAAGTGTCTCTCGCTGGGAGACGCCATGGGGGACGAGACTAAACCTCGCATTGAATCCGGATTGGCTTTTGACTCCAGGCCTCCTGAATTGGATGATACGGAATCCTAGTCTACATGAATCTCTCATTAGATGACCTATGAATTGAAATGTCTCATTGAAACATGTCTTGGTTTTCTGCCACCCACTGCTGAAACCTGATTGCGTCCTTTCCAGTAAACCTTCGAATATTTTCAACCGCTTCCTTGAAGCCAGGGGCCTGGAAAGCTGCTCCTGCGTTCTGCGTAGCATCATTGACCATCCAAACGGCCACAGGGGGCGGAACTCCTATGCTGATCATATTCCGCAGGGCTTGATCGGCCTCAATTTTCTTGACCTCAATTGGCGTTCCCACAGTTCGACTAATGACTGCAATGGCTTGTCTCAACGACATTTTTTCCACCCCAACCAGGCCTACGATATGCTGTGTAGTGCCATGCGCGAGGAGCGCACCACACACTCGTCCGACATCCGACGGGGAAATCCAGTCAAACTCGGCCTCGGGGTTCGGAAACTCAACTAAGCCCTTCATGATCCCCAGTTTGTGCTGCAATATGTTGCTCGAGAAATAGGCTGGTCGGACGGCGGTAAAGTTTTCGAGGCCAAAGATGTTCTCCAGGGCGATTTCCACCTGTGCGTGGTGCCACGCGATAAAGTCGGACGGCGACACTTGCCGCGGGTTACTTTCCACGGTGAAGCTACTCAACAAGACCACAAATTCAACCCCGGCATCTTTGAGAGCCTGAAGGCTGAGTTGCATGCCGTCGGTGGCTCCAAACACCGCATACACGAAAGCCACGGTGGCACCGGTCTGCACCACAGCAGCTTTGACTGTCTCGGGCGCTGTCAGGTCTGCTTGGACTTTGATCAAAGGGATGTTGTTCAACGTAGGAATCGACTTTTCCACGTTCCGCACCGCAAGAAAGACTTTTGCCTTTTGCTCGTGAGCCCAGAGTGCCGCCGCCGAGCCAACATCTCCTGTGGCACCGAAAACGAGGACATGTCGGACTGTCGCCATCATGCCAGAACCCTGAGACAATTTCAACTGTGCTGCTCTTGGCCTTGTCACTCTGGGTGATAGTGTGACCTGAGATGATTGAGCACAGGACTCCATTGTGAAAGCCAGGAAGACCTAGGCTATGAGCGGTGTGCTTCGGCCTTACATGAAGATGCAGCCATTAACTTAGCGCACACTTTTCGAGGATATCCATGATCGCAAAGCAATCCTCTATTGAGATCGAAGAGCGAACCGCTTGGAACGGTTCAAGATGCCTCTGACTTGTCTGCTGTTTGGCCCACCGGTCGCGCATTCGAATCCTTCACGGACGATTTCCGAGCTTTGTAATTTGAAGACTGTGATGGCGTTTTTAATAACTTATAGGGGATTCATTTCGAGGTCATCTACGGACAGGTGAGACCTCGTTCTCTCGAGAAACACAGCATGGATTCGGTTCAACCCCTGAATGCCCGTTGTCAGCCTTGACGCTCCTGTTTCGGATCTGGAAATTCAACCCTCCAATGAAAAGTCGTCCCCGTGAGCTTGGCTATTATACGAGGCAACTATACGAGGTTGATCATGTGGACCCGATGAGCTTGTTTACGGTAGCTTGAGCTTCAATATGAATTGCAGGGCACTTTGCTAAGTGAGACACTGTCTCGAAACACCGAAAGGTGAGTGATGCAGGGTTTAATTGTCTTCAGGAACACCAGAAGGCCTCCACAAACCGCCGCCGGCGGAATTGCCTGAAGTTTGCTAGTGATTTCACATATAGTTGTCTCCGGACTCCACGGAGCAATCCCCTATCCCCACCCTAAGCTCCTAACGGACATGAGACGAATGCAGCCCTAAATATGGCGTACTCACGCTGGGACAACAAGGAGATAAATGGTCGTGTTTCGCCCCGAAATTGAGACTCCTACTTGTCAGTTCACCCGATTTCGCACCCTCGCAGCACATCATGGTTAGAGCAGTCTCAGCTTTCGCTCTCTTCGCAGCGACCGCGCTTGCGGCCAACCGTAGCACGGCGCCGTCGGGGTCGATTGTCGTGGCCAAATCTGGAGGAGACTATGAATCGGTCAGAAACTCCCCGGAATTGGATGTCCGACGGAATGCTAATGGTCGTCTAGATTAGCGATGCAGTGGCGGCCCTGAGCACCACCACCACCTCGAGCCAGACCATTTTCATCAAGGAGGGTGTTTACAATGAGCAGGTGTACATCCCTGCATTGAAGGGAAAGTTGATTGTCTATGGTGAAACCGAGGAGTGCGTACTTCGTTGAGTCGTGGGCGCCATCACATTAACGTGTTTCTTAGCACTACCACCTACGATAGCAACCTCGTTACGGTCACCCACGCCATCTCGTACGAGGAGTCTGGCGAAAACGACGACTTGACTGGTAAGTTTCTCTGGCTCAGCGTGAAAATCATAGACTAAGAAACCTAGCCACGTTCCGCAACAAGGCTGTTGGCTCCCAGATCTACAACCTGAATATTGCCAACACCTGTGGTGCCAGCTGCCACCAGGCTCTGGCCCTGAGTGCATGGGCTGATCAGCAGGGCTACTATGCCTGCAACTTTACGGGTTACCAGGATACTCTCTTGGCTCAAACCGGTAATCAAGTTTACGCCAAGTCTTATATCGAGGGCGCTGTGTACGTGACGGTCGTTCCCTTCGAAAACCCGATACTGACCAATGTAGCGACTTTATCTTTGGCCAGCACGCTCGTGCCTGGTTCCAGGAATGTGACATTCGTGTTGTTGAGGGTCCTACCTCCGCTTCGATTACCGCCAATGGCCGAAGCTCCGACACTGATACATCTTACTACGTGATCAACCACTCAACTGTTGACGCCAAGGATGGCGATAACGTTGCAAAGGGGACTTACTACCTTGGTATGTGATTTCTCGTTGCTCTTGGAGATCAATGAACTAAACCGACCTTATTGCAGGACGCCCTTGGTCCGAGTATGCTCGTGTTGTCTTCCAGCAGACCAGCATGACTAACGTGATCAATTCTCTCGGCTGGACTACCTGGTCCACTTCCACTCCCAATACCGAGAACGTCCTGTTCGGCGAGTACGGCAACACCGGTGCTGGATCCAAGGGGACTCGTGCCAGCTTCGCCACGACTCTGTCTGCCAAGCTCACCATTGCTGAGATTCTGGGCACGGATTATAGCTCCTGGGTCGATGTCTCCTACATTTAAACCAATCATCTGGATTGGTATGATCTCTTTGTGAGAATCATACAAAGCGAGCAGCTGAGCTGATCGTTAGCTTTGTATATCAATATTTATTCTTCTAGCTAATCAAACTTCTTACCAACCACTTTGGATAAGCCTCCCGCATGTGGTCATTGACAACCGGACTTTTGAGGCTCGTCACCTAAGGCCATCACATTGGTAATTCAGCCGCACCATTAAAGTTGAACTCGTCATCCGAAGGGTTCCTCTGCTTAAATTCTTGTTCAATGCTGTATTTTAACTGACCCTCATTGTCTCAACAAGCACATAACACTGTAAAACGTCCAATAAGCGCGATGGCTGCTTTCTCCAATATGGGGATTAGACACGTTCAACTGCAACTCGTGTCTGGGGTCTTTCCGTCCTCTGACTCCTTGGAAACCGGTATATCTATTTCGCCTAAGATACTCCTTGAGCTTACGAATTACGCTCATCCTGCTCTGTTTTGACCTACCGAAGCTATCATTCCTAAAATTACCCTTTCAATCCTTGATTCATCAATACCACATGCAAAAAATGCACGAACGCGAGAAAGACTGACGATTGTGAGCTTACAAAAGTATCAAAGCCCCAAAATTCGGAAATTGTCAAGCTGCCAAGCCAACACGGGGTCGTTCGAGGTCTGAAGTCAAGACATAAACAGTCTATCGCCATAGGAGGCTGCATTGGAAATGGCCTTTTCGCGAGCAGTGGCCAGGTGCTTTGCTAGAGCAGGCTACTACGTTGTGACCTTTTCACTTGGCTCATTGTCACCGCCATCACCAAGATGCTACCAGTGGGAGGCGCATCTGTCAGTTATTGTGCAGGTCGCTATGTCTCGAGTAGCTTTGGATTCGCCGTCAGCTGGCTATGCTGGCTATACCTCTACTCTAGCGCAATCACAGTCCGCATGGCATCAGATTCTTGGCAATTCAATAAATCGGATAAATCATCAATCATAATCTACTAGCCTATACAAAACCCGTTTTTTACTGAGGGTGTAGGGTAAATGCGCACTTGGGATGCTTGAGTCTGCTAGCAATCCCCTCCGTAACTCACATACCGCGAGTTTCTAAGATTCAAAACTCAGCCATTTAGGTAAATTGGGATGAAACTAAATATATGTAAGCCTCATGTATTCTAACTAATAAAGCCTAAGGACATCAGATACCTAGACTTGCTACGCTGCTACATAGTAAAACTACGTACTGAGTGCCCCCTAAGCCCAACAATTGCACATATATTCAATAGATGTTATAGTCCATCGAGGGAAACTCGACCGAGAATTTGTATTAGTCTCCCGCTTTGTACATGCTTATATTAGTCAAGAATGAGGGACATAACCTTTCCTCCTCTAGTATCCGTATTATTGACAGGATGCTTAGACTCCCCTCCAGTAGTAACATAAAGAACATCACGGCTTTTGAGGGATTTGCCGAGAGCTGCTGATGTAGCAGTCATTAAATCTTTTGAGTCTAAAGAGCCTGCTATAACTTCGTGTGATCCATTTGGAAGGACCTGGGTAATCACGTTGTCCACGAGTCCCGCTAAATATGCAACCCCGTTCGGCCTAACGGCAAAATCGTCAGCCAGAACATCCTTGGCTATGATTTCATAGGGTCCCAATGCCCGGCCTGTACGTCCGTCAATATGAACACGACAGAAGATTCGTCGAGGGCTATTGTTATAGTACAGATAGCCGCTCATTATCCTCAACCCATTGATCCCGAGTAGCAACCCCAACTCATCATTCGGTGCCATTGTCTCATCCTTGTGTATCATGGTATAGTTGCCCGTATGGGTATTGAGATGCCAAACAAGGCCCAACTGAGAATCCGACATGACGACCGATTTCCTATCGTCATCCAATGTAGCCATACCATTCAAGGTCCCAGCTGGAAGTTTGGCAATATGGATTGGTTTCGACACATCCATTACACTCAGATCAATTTTCCAAACTGAATTAGATGCAATGACGGCGTAGGTATCCGGTGCAAGCTCCGTGATCCCATTGACGGATTCCGCATTATCAAAGTGATGAACTAATTTGGCCGCACTGTGGCCTGAAGGAGTTGGTGTGATCTCCCAGAGTTCTGGTGTGTTCACGAGTGCGACCAGGAGATTTCCATTGGGCCGAATGGCGATGTTCTCAACCCAAGTACCATTGGGAAATCTGTAGACCTCATGTAGGCTTGAAAGGGAGGATTGACTGAAAGTGCAGAAAATTGCAAGATAGAGAATGCCGATTGCCATTGCGGACGCCATGGTCTAGGATGAGAAGCAGATAATGCTATTTCTTAGAAGAATGCGGAGGACATTGTGATCACTTCCATTGCTTCCAATCAACCGTGAAGGGATCGAGTCCCCGTATTAGTATCTTCGTTTCTTTCCTGTAGATCTTTCGCAGATCTTTCTTTCGCACTAAAAATGGCCCTCTTTTCCTTATGCCGGTTGCTTATCATACGTCATGGTGAATTGCTACGGAGAGCCAATCCAATTCGCTTTGCACTTGGCAAACTTAATGCCAAGCAGCTACACTAAAACAATTGATTTGGTTGACGTATGATAAGCAGCTCCCTGGTTCTGATCCCTTGCAGCTTGCAGCCACATACAACCTCTCGAATTGATAAGTTGAAACCGGGTGAGCATTTTGCCAAATGTATCATGAATTCAACAACATTTGAACCCAAGATCTTGGCAGGTAGGAGCAAAGATCGATGTCCAGGTGGCAACCTGGGAAATTCCTTAGCCTGCGCGCTCCCTCTGGCAAGAAAGGGGGGTTATATATAGCTTATTTAAATTGGCGCCTTTTTTCAGTGCTCTGACTTGACCAAAAGTTTTCTTCTTTGCCAGCATGTTTTTATGTAGATTGTTGTTTGACGCTTTCTTCCTACCTTTCACTGCCATTGCATGGCAAGACGATGCGACTTTGAGCACCACCAATACACACAGGGCAGGTTGTGCAAAAGCAGTAAGCCTCACTACTCTCCGATAAATCCTCCCGAGGTCATTGACGTTAGAAAAAAGTGCGCCGAACTATCGTCCCATTTTGGACCTAATGTACACTACGGTGCGGATGGAAATTCTACGGTTTGGGACGCCAAACAGCAGGATATTCAATCCGCCTGCCGCGTCACGCCTTCTAATTCCCAAGATGTGAGCAAGATTCTGAGTACTCTGGTCGACCATTGGTGCAGGTTCGCAGTTAAGAGCGGGGGTCATGCTCGCAATCCAGATGACTCGGTGTCGATTGGCGGCGTGACCATCGACATGCACTTGATGAGATCTATCCAAGTGGCCCATGATCAGAAAACAGTAAGACTAGGCAGCGGCCACGTGCTTTATACAATGTATCACGGCCTCGACGCGTTTAATCTGACCTCGATTGGCGGTCGAGTTGCTGATGTCGGACTGGGTGGTTATGCTTTGGGCGGAGGAATTTCCAACCTCTCCCCTCAGTACGGCCTGGCCGTAGACAACATCTATGAATATGAGGTATGTGTTGGATAGGCTAAACGGCCACGAGTCCGCGTCTTGGCTAATTGATGAAATTCTAAGATTGTCCTGCCAAACGCGACGATTGTGCATGTTAGTGAACAACAAAATCCGGACTTGTACTTTGCACTTCGAGGTGGCATGAATAACTTCGGTATTGTGACGAGCTATAATATGCGCGCAGTTCCTCAAACAAACATTCTTGGCGGAGACAAAACATACAGTTCAATTCAAAAGGACAAAATCGCCAATGAAGCCTTTGACCTAACTACTGCTTGGAAGAACGACACTGATATGGCATTTTCCTACGGTTACAGCTACATCCAGGCATCAAATCAATTTTCCCTCAGTTTTAGTCATGCATATGCGCGACCGATTCTTCACCCAGCTCCTTTTGCTAGCCTCGAAAAGATTCCATACGAGTCAAGTACTGTGCGTATTGATCGAATGAGTAACCTATCTCTGGAAGGTGCTTCTCACACCCCATCCGGGAGTCGGTTTGTCTTATCATGATCTGAAATGAACTTAGCACGTTATCTGACAATGATTTGAAGTAACCTGTTCGCCACCGTGACATATAACCCATCCGCGGACATGGACGGGTGTATTATGGATATTATGTCGGAAGAGATACAGCCTCTCAAGCAAATGGCAGGATTCCTCCCAAACGTTATCTTTCAACCTCTCTACGAAGCGGCAATCCGAGCAGGCCGTGAAAGGGGTGGCAATGCTCTAGGTATTAGCGCCGATGGTCCCCTAACTAGTAAGCTGCCTTCCTCGTCAATTGAGCAATTCTTCACCTCCCACATTCAGAGACTGACACTACCATTTGAACTAGTGTGTCTTTTGACAGTGAAGTGGACTGATCCGGAGAATGATGATGCAATGGATGCATTTGTTCAAAGGTGGATTCAAAGCGTACAGGCCACTACCACACAAGCTGGGAGTCGCCATCGCTGGCTCTACATAAATTATGCTTACCATCAGCAAGACCCTTTTGCAGGATATGGAAGACACAACAAGCAAAGACTAATCAGTGTGCAAAACGCGATCGACCCGCAGGGAATATTCACCTCTCGAGGTCTATGTAGAGGTTATTTCAAGCTGCAGTAGCAACGGCATTGTGAAATTAGCTGCTAGTGATTACTGTAAGACTCGATTCACAATATGAAATGGCTCTCATTATAGTTGGTGATGTTTTTTTTTTTCCTTTATGAAATCAGCATCAGGAACTCCAGTGTAAGTGACACATAGCCTAACATACGAAAATAATAATTTCAATGGCCTGAGAATATTCTTGAGGAGCAAAGCCATTCCCGAAGTAGCGAGACCGCGGGAGCCCCCAGGACTGCTGGGAACCCACCACTCACCCACCAATCACGCGTAGGATTAAGGTCAGGCCACTGACGAGCCGATCACCATCCGAGCCCTACTCACCGGATAATACGTATATGTCTGTCTTCTGTTTGGCTGATGAGTTCTCAGCCCACTGTGGAGGGTTCTTGCCCGTATGTGGCATGTTCATCTCCATACTCCGTACTCTGGTACCATATCGAAGGAGTGCCGAATCCTCGCGCTCTGCTGATCTCGAGTCGAGCTTCATGCTGTACACCGTATGCAGTCTATGGTAGCTGCGGTGACAAGGTCCGTTCGACAACGACCTAACGCTACGGAGGGACGCGTTATTTACGGAAGAGGAGGCCGTAATACGTGCGAAGACTCCTTAGAGCGCGAGATGAATGATGGTGACACTGTATGTTGCCAATACTACATGTAGTACCTAGGGAAAAAGCCAATGAGTGCTCCCTCCAGGAAAGATTAATATTTGCTGCTCCTCGCCCTGCTATTCTCTTCTTTCTTCAACCTCCCTCCACCATCTTCTCCCTCAACCAACTATTCTTCCCTTCTTCCTGGATCTGTTGGCAAACACAATGTATGTTCTTTACCCTTTTTTTCTCCTGCCTCTGCCGGAAGTCTTTCTCCCGAAGGAATTGCAATTGACCCTTTTTGTTTCCCCCTCCAGGAATTCCACCGTGTTGCCCTCGGCCACCTACTGGGGCCAGTATGAGGAAATCACCAAAATCAACACTGAGTTGAACATTGTCGAGAGATTATGGGTTGCTTGGTTTGCCTGGATGCAGAACGATGTTCTTGCCACCGGTATCATGTCCTTCATGATGCACGAGCTGGTCTACTTCGGTCGCTCCCTTCCTTGGATCTTCATTGATACCCTGGGCTTTTTCAAAACTTATAAGATTCAGAACGTAGGCTGGGTCTCAATTTTCCACGTCAATGGTCCTGTGCTAACCCTAGTTTCCTCCTCTTTAGAACAAGATTCCCTCATTGAAAGAACAATGGGATTGCGCTAAGTTTGTGCTTCTCAGCCACTTCACTGTTGAGCTCCCTCAAATTTGGTACGTCTCTTTCCCGTCCGACCAGCATTTGGGATTTATCATAATCCTGCATTCATCGCCACTAGTGCTAACAGTCTTTCCAGGCTCTTCCACCCCATGGCCCAATTCTGCGGCCTGTCGACTTCCATTCCTTTCCCCTCCCTCTGGACCATGGCCTACCAGATCGCCATCTTTTTTGTGATGGAGGATACCTGGCACTACTTCTCCCACCGCACTCTCCACTGGGGCCCTCTGTACAAGGCCATCCACAAAATCCACCACCAGTACTCCGCTCCCTTTGGACTAGCTGCCGAATACGCATCTCCGATCGAAGTCATGATTCTAGGGTTCGGTGCCGTCGGCTGCCCTATCCTCTGGTGCGCTTTCACTGGTGACCTACACATTCTCACCATGTACATCTGGATTGTGCTGCGCTTATTCCAGGCCATTGACGCTCATTCTGGTTACGAATTCCCCTGGAGTCTCCACCATTTCCTTCCCTTCTGGGCCGGTGCCGACCATCACGATCTCCACCACGAAAAGTTCATCGGAAACTACGCCAGCAGCTTCCGCTGGTGGGACTACCTTCTTGGCACTGAGTACACTCCCGATGCGCTGAAGCGCCGCAGAGAAGGCAAGGCCAGAGCGAAGAAGGCTCAATGATCTGATCTGATAAGGATTCAATGGCAGCCAGTTTGCCTATTCTCATTCTCTCCACACTCGGTCTTGGCCTTGTTCGAGCCGTTATTTATCACATGATAGCCTAGTCTGCTCTTTTAGCATTACCAACGGAGATAGAGAGGTTTTCTAGATTCCATGTCTTCTCAGTCCTGTCTCTTTCAAGGATCTAAGTCACTTTCTTTATACATATTTTTGTTGTTATTTAAAATTTTAAAAACAAACTATTCGTCGATTCTATTTTTCTGTGGCACATGATATTATGATTCTATAATATTCAGGTGTGAAAAAGTTATACCTATCAGAAAATTCCTTCGACTGAATATTTTGTCAATAGAATATTCACTAGCTTCAGTGGGCCGCTCGTTAGCGTCTCGGTTGATCGTCAGCGTTTCAGTTGATCGTCAGCGTTTCAAGACCACCACTAACTAGGGTTGTTGGGACTCGGTACTAGGCCAGTCCCTTGAATGATGTCATGCTTACTTACATGATTTGTTCACATTATAACTAGGTAGGTCTTGTGTTATTACGCGTCTATTCTTGTTTGTTCTATCGATAGTGTCAAAAATGTTGTTGAAGGAGCATGTTTCGTCACTACTCAAATAAACGCTGCATTTTATGGTTCAGCAACATTATCATGCCTCTCTCCAACCAGTATCTGGTGCATGCGCATTGTGAGTCTATCATGCATATAATAGGAATGGCTTAAATGGAATAATTCCTCTTGCACGCCATCAAAATTGAACCTGGAACCCTGGCTCGCCATGAATTACTCTACATTCATACAGCTACTCGCGATTCTTTTATACCGACAAAGTCACACTACGGCAGCTATCATTGCTACACATGACCGTCCGGCCTGAGTTCAACCGCCTTTAAAAGAGTCAGTAAACAGTTACCTCAACTGTTGACGCTCGATCTCAGCTACTGGACAACTCAAATTAGTCAATTTATGCGAAAATAAGCAACAGATAGAGCCTTGAAACAAAGACTTATAGAATGAACTTAATTATAGTTTACCAGTACAATTTTGATGCATTGGATGGCATACATTAAGTAGAGTTCGTGGAAGTTGAACCTGGCCTTATTATGAATAGACCTATTCAACTCGGGGAGGTACAGATTATTAATTTCGAGAGTTGATGTCAAGTGACATTGAAAACAGCTATCCCACATTGCCTTACGAGAAGTGGAGATGTAGCTAGCTTTACAGACAACCAAGCTTAACCCTCGGAGACCCCCTCAGCAATGTTTGACGAGTGCTGTCTGCTTCCATTCTCTTCTTAATAGCCCTCTGGATGCAGTCGCCCCTTGCTATATCCAGAGATCTGTTTAAACTGAAGTATTTGAGTCCGGTGTTTGCCACAATTGCATCAATAACCGAGACATGTCCACCCTTGACTGCCAATATCAAAGGATCCTTAAACCATCAATTCCTGAGGTTTAAATCAACTTGAACATGTAGTAGTGCCTGAACCATCTCCAAGTCACCACCACGGGCAGCAATGCAGAGTGCAGTGTCGTGAGATGTAACCATGCACTCATTGATTTTCAGACGTGTGACGTGTCGCACTAATAGCCTGACTATATATCTTGATAACCGTGTACAGCCGCTCGATAGGTTAGCGAAGCTATGCAGCCCCTCCTATTAGTCTCCAATGTCTCTATATATAACAGATAAGTGACTGTGCTCACGTATCCGTGGGATACGGCAATAGGTATTGAATAGTGAACTGCGACGTGGAGATTTAGATCGATCTCTGGCACCGCAAGCAGTCGTCGTAAAAGTTCGGTATCCAATCTAGTCGCGGCATGGGGTAGAGATAAAGATAGCATTTCGAATCTCCCACGGCCCCTAATAAGATTAACGTCGATATCTTTCTCGGCCAATAGCCTTTCGCTTATCTCGTAGTATGACGGACAGGTAGAAAGCCAAAGCGGCGTATTTCTACCATTGTTCGTGGAGTTTATATCGGCACGCGGGTGACTTAGGAGCAAATCGACCAATTTAGGGCGATTGCTTGCAATGGCGAGATAGATCGGCGTATAGCCTTTCCTATCCCGATGTCCAAGTTCCGACCCTTTTGTCTAAGAAACCGCTTGACAGCATCTATCAAACCATAGGACGCTACTTGATAGAGCGGTATTTCAGCGTCCTGTGATAATGGAGTACCAAGAAATACCTTGAAGTCTAGTTCGTCAAAAGATATCGTACTCATTGTGGGACGATTGAAGTGACGTACTTAGGCCCGTGGTGAGTGGCATGAGTTATCTTTCAGATCGGGGTCGCTGCTACTAGAAATAAGCAGACGCACGAATCTTATTCTGCCTGCGAAGACCGCTGGGTGGAGCGCTGTTCGGCCGTGTTTATGCTTGACGTCCACTCCGACATTTGGCTGTTCATTAAAAACGCTCTTGACGGTGGAATATGTTCCGTAATGGATGGCTTGCTCATTCCATTGATCAGCTTCCTATACTCGTGGAAAGGGCTTAGGGTTTATCTCTTCAAAATTCCTCACGTCCTCGATTTTCCACCTATATACTCTCCCGCCGCGCTTTGCTTCTGTCGACATAACTATAACCTAAGCCCCGCTAATACAACGATCAACGAACCCAGCAGTGATAAACTAAGCTCCACGAAGCATCATTTCAAGGCCGGAAAGACTTGTGCGACGTATTCTTAACAAAGGCGCTGACGTCAATGTTCAAGGAGGCCTTTGTGGAACTACTCTTCAGGCTGCGGCAACGGACGGACATAAAGCGATCGTTCAAATGCTCCTTGACAAGGGCGCGGAAGTTAATATTCAGGGACGTTCTTATGGAACTGCTCTCCAGGCTGCGGCATCGAAAGGACACAAAGCGGTCTTTCAACTACTTCTTAGCAAGGGCACGGACGTCAACGTCTAAAGCGGCTGTCGTGAAACTGCTCTCCAGGCCGCAGCATGTGTGGAATCGGCAGAAGACAAAACATCTGTGGAATTGCTGATCAACGTGAACACGGATGCCGATTCTCAAGCCGGTAGTGAAGGATAAACGACACTTCTATTCGCGGTCGAGGCAGGCGCTACATCTGTGGTTACTGAACTTCTCAGACAAGGCGCTCTGACCAACATTCGGGATTTCGGCAATGAAAACCTCCAACATCAGTTGGCCTGTCGAGGATCTATTACTGGGAACGAGATGACTTCAAGGTATTCAAAACGATATATCATGCTCGAAATACCGAAATATAGACTCTTGGGTTGATTTCAAACACATCGCCTTTGCCGGGACATAAGCATCGAACAACACCAAAAAGCCAAATATGTGTCCGAAAACCCTACAAAGTATGCTCAATTTGATAGACTAGACCTCAATGTGCATCCATCCTGCGCTATCTTGGGGTATATCCCGAAGACCGTACCTCGACGTAGTGTAACTAAAATGATGATGGTCAGCATGATACACAACTAAGATGAGACTCCCACCCCCGCCTCACAGCATGTCACTCACCTCCAATCAATATTTGCAGAGATGTTGTGTCGACATTCTTCAACGATAGATAACAGTCCCTGCTTGTGATCTGGGGACGGGTGGAAGGTTGTGTCGGTGATCAGGACTTCGGCAGCTTGGTCAAATCGCTTGATGTTGAGAAGTAGGTCATCCTTCGCCTGACAAATGGCATCCTGAATCGAGATGTCTTGATCATTTACCTTGACAGAAATAATATTGTCCACACTCCCCTGTTTCTTTCAATACGAAGAATTGTTAGGACTGGAGTAACCTAGATTCATGTACAACTCACGATTTCTTTCTTCAAAGAAAGTATATCATTGGCACTAGGATAATGAAATGTAACCTGTTAGCTTGCCACGTAAAACTAATTATCTTTTCAACTCACATAGCAACGTTTATCACGACCTCATCCCACAAAGTTCTCATCTCCGGATGAGTCATAATAGATTGAGGGATATGCGTGCTGCAGCTGTACCTATTATACTATTAGTCTTGGCAAAATGTCAATATCAGAATAAATAAGGGGCTCTTACTCATTCAAAGCCAGTAATGTCCCGGTTCCGCTTGACCCCATCCTGATTTGCCAGAATTCTTCTGTGTTGGGTATACGCCCACTCAACCTCACTGTTTGCTCACGACCCACACAGCGCACAAAGTCTTCGAGCTCATTTGCGAAAATCTCTAGTTGTTCTGCACTCGTAAGTCTTTCAGATGCTTGAAATTTGGTCTTGTTGGGCTGCCCCTCCACACGAGAGCACCTACCCTGGGTATACACGGCCTGTATTTCCTTTCCCACCACATCAAAGCTGCGAACGAGGCCATCCAAAGGAGCAAAACGCACACTAGAATCTGTTTCTGTCTCGTTGACCGGCAAACCTAGAGTGTAGCGGGTAAAGTTGATTGTCTCCTCGCGATATCGATGAGCACCAACAATATCTTTGTGAAGAGGCCCATCAGTGTCATCAATCTTATCGTCCCAGGTGAATAACCATAAACTGAAGAATGCTAAAGTTTGCAGCCTGTCAGGTGTTGCTTGGGGCCACCACCTAGCGGTAAACAGAGCATAATCGGCCTTCTTCAAGGCTTGCGCTCGTGGAGGAAGATACAGGCTGCATGGAATCATTGTAAGAAGGGGTAATAAACATCATCATTAGGTATGTGAGGCGCACCAATCAATTCTTTGTTCAAGTATTGGCTTCACTTGTTCGTAGAATGGGTTTATATACCCGGGAACATGCGAAAAGAAAGGCCTCAAATCTGGGATAGAGAACAGTTCCGACGTAAAGCGGGACTTGATTGTCTCCCTTACAGTATCCTGTGGATACATAGGAACCAGTGGCATAATTTCGTAGAGTTAGAGAAACCCGAATGAAATAAGGCAAGTGACATTATAGACAAGTGAACGATACAGGTGGCTTATATAGTCACTCTAGTCGACCTTGCCGCTATAGGATCTGCACTTAGTTGATCAGACTTCTTTTAGAGTTTATTACGTAGCCTTTGTAATAATTGCTTAGCGTAAAGGATGGTTGAATTTTGCTGCACCTATCGTAGACTTCCGCATAACCTAATGTGGGTCGAAGGTCTCGCCTGAAATCTGACTTTATGCAGAAATAAGCATAGACAGGACTAACTTGGAATATTTTGGTGTATTTATTTATCTTTATGCATCAAGTTGAGTCGAAACTGGGTGGGCAATGCCATGACTGGGTCGAAAGTTGGGTAATGCGGGAGTCTACCCTATCTCGGTCTGGTACACGCAGAGAGCAAATTTGGGTAACACAGTGGACACACCAGCAGCGATCTTTGGGTTTGTAAACGAGCCATTTATAATCTGACGAAATTCGGCCTCAAGCCTATCACCTACCTTATAGAAGCACTTATACCGAAGTCCAATTGATCTTGTACTGAGAAATGGACATGATCTGGAGGGAACCATTCCTCCACCTTGGTACTTATGATACTATGTGAATCGGGGTGGAGGAATTTTTGGAAACGCTGCTTTGCAAACTCATGTCAATCTCAGAGCCCAAGGCAGTGAGCCCGAAGTCCGGCCAATGTATGAGTTATTTACCCAGATGTACAATAGGTGTGGCGGACTCGTATAGGCCGTGATCGCTCAGACGCTACATCCTTTTGTTAGTACCAGTCAAGTATGCAGTGGTATGCGTGATAGATAGCTCATCACAATCCCTCGCGTATCCAGTCCTGGCGGCGCAATGGGTGAGACAAATTACGTCTCTTTGAAGATTCACCGCAACTTCGATATGCGCAGGTTCTACACTAGCACTTTCCTATATTGTTCGGTCAGCCAACAGATCTGCTGGCTCCGTGATATGCTGTTTCGAGGCGCGTAGAACAAGCAGTTGAGGGGACGAATACTAACTATACGTGACCTGTTCTTATACTATAGACTATATCCTAGTTCTCGCGTTTTCTATAGATCACTAAATCTATTCCAGGACAAATCCTGGGGCAGGGTCCGTCTTTTAAGGCCTGTGGTTGGCCGAAAATCGAGGTAAAAGCTGGTCGGGGTACCTGGACCCGTCGAGGAAAAGTTGAAAAAAAGGTCCTAGGTCAGCGGTCGCAATTTTGCTCCGATCGCCTTCGAACTTTGGGAAGTTCTATTTAAGTATCCTAGCTAGATTCTGTGAACGTTTGAAGTCAATCGAGCGATTATTGGTGGCGTGGTGGTGGACCCTAATTTGGCTGAAAAGTTTTGATAGGGTGCGACCGACGGATGTCAATATGGTAACCCTATCTGTAACGGATAATGGTCTAAGAGTGGACGTTTCCGTTTGCTTGTATATAAATATCTTCTTTTACTGGAGGGCTCAAAGGAAGCCTGGGTCACATGACACTCGGCAAAGCGGGGCATTGTCATCTGACCCCCGCTAAGGATCCATGGGTATAGTCAGGGCCCCCCTCGGGACCCCACTGATTCCGTCAAGAATCAGTCTTGAACACAATACGAGACTACAGCGTTTCCTCCCCTTGGGACCATTCCTCCCTTGCCTAATTGACAGGCCATACACCTGTAATAACGTATACCCTTTACACTATCCCATGGGGGGGTGCTGGAGTCTAGTAGACTCTAGGTTAAGGTTTTTCCTTCACTATAGCAGGAAAAGTGGGTCGGACGCTAGACTTTAGGTTTATCTATAACTATTCTACGTTGAACTACAGTGTAATTCTGAACCCCTCCATAGTTAAGAGAGCGGGAGCTAGGCTGAAAACCGACTAGCGTACACTGTTATTCAGGAAAACGGACACTGTTATTCAGAACTCTCCTCCTATCACTCACATACTATTTTTACTTTCTGAAGGCTGCATGGAAATCACAACAATCTTAATTCTAACTCTGCAAGTTTTGCAATCGCCGTATTCAAATTTGAGTGGTTTTATTCAAGACTACTATTTCCGACTGTAGAATGTCTAGCCTTCCGACTATACTTACAACCACCCAACTCAAATATATTTCTGACCACAATCCAAGTAGAATACTAAGGAATTATATTAGTACCAAGTTAATACAGATTCAGGTCCTATCCTTTCTGAGTATATGATACCCTGTATTAAGCAGTTGTATACTATCACTACAGTGCCTTAATGTCTTACAATATCGGATTGCTTATATTTCTAACTAGTGTTATCACATTAATCCATAAACAGACTAGCGTACGGTGATATTCAGGGGAACCCATAATCATACTGATATCCACCATTCTACTTCTAATTAAATTTTATATATCTATACCATCTACTATTTTTACTAGATTCTACAATGTCACAATCTAATCACGATCATATAAATTCTGCCACGGAGCCTGAAATTAAGACTGATAACCCCTTACCGTCGTATCTACAAGTGCTACCGGAACTTAGGGTAGTCCTATGTATAACCCATGGTTCCTGCTACATTCGAACCAGTCTCTCTCGCCATCTTCGTGATAAACATCATGTTAAGAGTCAACAGCGGCAAACCATCGAGTCCGCACGAGAATTAGCTTGCGTAGCACAATATAGCACTAGAGTCATCCAGCCTCAAGATAGGATTTGTGAGATTCGCGGGTTGCCGACCGTGCTCGGGTTCATCTGCTACTTCCCCGATTGCGACGTTCGCTCTACCAGCAAGGACCGGATCCGCTAACATTATAATAAGCATCATCAGTGGCAGGTCGCGTAGCAGGGGGCGATTCCATGGCATAAGGCCTTTATATAGACGCTCTTTCTCTAGAAACAAAGCCAATAGTACTTTGCTGTGGTTCTTGCCGACCAGATTCCGACCTCTAACCCTTAATATATATATCGGCATGCTAACGCTCCTACTTATATACCACCATCTGGTTCCGAGACACCCCCTTCGTTAGCTCTCACCGGCGATACATAGAAACAGATCATAGGCCGATACTAGAAGAGTCTCTCTCAATCATCGCGGAAGTCTATCGCCGTAGCGCGCCATATATCCGAGGTCACTCCCTTTATGAAGCGGGCCGGTATCTATATCCACCTTGAAGGGCTCGAGGTCAAAGATCTTGGTCCTAGCTATCGAACACCACGATAGGACTAGGAGGCTTTACTTTTTGTCATTTGCGAAAGCGTCCAACGTGTTCTCGAGGGAGCAATGGCGGTCTTGGTATATGACCAAGATACAGAGGTACGCCAGCTTAGTCGCCGTAACGCACGGCTTCTCAACACTTTTGCCCGGGGAGAAACATCCTAGGACCCCCTCTCCGATCTCCAGAATGAACGTACGCGACAGAGATATATCACTACCTGGCAGCAGCTGGTATGCTACTAGGAGCGCGTCGTAGAGCAGCAGCAACTCCGGGACAATCTCTTTCAAGCCAGTACGCGGCAGCTTGAGGTATGGGTCGAAGTAACCGAGATCGCAAGTCAGATTGTGGATCTTAGTGGGTCTGAGGTCGATAGTCCGCATAGGGAGGATCTACGCGCCCGGCTAGATCATGCCGTACTTCAATTCAGCCTTGCTATCATCCAGCACCCGGTTTCTCGTCGAAAGTTTGATTCAGTCCTTGTTTCCTATGCCGTGGTTCGCTTCTGGAGCCCTACGCAAGGAGCATGGCTCGCGATTGGGAACTATATATCTATACTATCGCAGTTGATCTACGACTGTCAGATGGTCATCCTTGCGTCTGTGTTGGCAGAGACGGCAGAGGGTAAGGATACGGAGATAAGTACTATGATCATTGCGATCCGGGACGAATGGTTGTTAAACGATACCGACGGTCCTCTATCGGAGCTGCTCGAGAACCGACTGCTCGGGTTCCGCATTAGTTAGACCGAGGTCCCCCCGGCCTAGATCCGCTGGCATGCCGATGGTCAGACTCTGGTCTGGTCAGATGTGGTCTTTCACCTCTCCGATATCCGCGAGATCATCTTTCAGCGGATTGCAGAGGCCCGGCGGATTCTCGAGGTTGAGCTTTGTCTCAGTGGGCGCTCTAGCCTAGTATCGGAGATCCCGACCATCGCGTATGATGAGCTAGTCGATAATTGGGACGCCACTACGCTAGGCCAGTCATTTATCACCGATTCGCGCAATACGTGCCATCTAGACCCGGTCAAGGACTAGCTAATCACTCGGGTTGGTAGGACGCCTGCCCTATTCCACACATTCTGGTCGCAGAATGCCGAGGGTCATTGGGTTATGTCCGCCGATGCGACTTAGCAGTACGAGAACGCTGTCCAGCAGTTTCTCCGGGTGGTTATAGTCCCGTTCTTTCTCGGTTCAGGGTAGCAAGGACGTCGTACTGAGTTCATTGGCCTTCGGTGGCGGAACACCACGTTGACCACGCGCGATCTCTTCCTCCACGATAGACAGATGCTTTTCATCCTTAGCTACTATAAGTCACGGAATCAGACCAACGCCTCCCGCTGGCCTATCCGATTCCTACTGCCCGAGGTTGGGCAGCTTATCACGCAATATCTTGCCATCGTGAATCCCTTCCGAGAGTTCCTCCAGTAGGAGACCGGGGGACCCAAGCCGTCCGACTATCTCTGGTCTCAGGGCACTGACCCGTGGCCTGCTAATACCATGACCCGGGTCATTGTCGAGGCCGGTAAGCTAGTCCTAGGGAAGTATATCCATATCAAAGCTTGGCGGCAGATCACAGTCGGTATTGCACGGCGGAAATTCGCGGATATAGATGCAAATCTGCTGATCGAAGAAGCGGCCGGAGAGGATGGTGATGAGACGGATGCGGTCTAGGGGAGCATGTCCGATGCGCTTCACTAGCAGGCCAGCCATACGCCGCGTACGGGAAATCGGGCCTATAGAGGAACAGTGAACTTCCGTAGTAGGCTTACCGATGCTAGGCTATA